TTAGCAAGATATTTTTGATTTCCCGCGGTTTCCGCCGGGCCCGATTGCTTTTTTCCACATAGGAAATTTCCACAACTAGAATTTAATATTCACCAGCACCGCTCGGCCCTTTCTCCTCTCTCTACCTGCTCTAATTTGTATTTCTTGCTGGAAAATTCCCTTTCCGACCGCGCTCGAATTGAAAATGTTGATCACAATTTTCTGTTGCTTAATTAATGATGAGACCGGTCGCAACTTGCACGGCCTAGTCGCCGGTAGAGCGGCCGGGAAATTAATCTCGCTTTGGAGGGCGGTCTACAAACAGTCTACCGAAAACTTCGAGAATCAAGCGCTTTTGGAGAGTCGTAGGTATTCTGTTAAGGTGGATTTTTAGGTTTGTTATAAATCTCTCTGCTTTAGAAGTAACAAGGTTTTCTTCAAAATATTCTTCCCTTTGAGTGAACTTGAAAAGTGTTTGGCATTAGCGGGATGCGACCCGAAGGGGTGCAAAAAGATGGGATGTTTATTCCGAAATTTTCCAAATTGACAGACCAGAAAATTTTCAATCCAAGAGCCGTAAAATAATCCGCCGCCGGTCCAACAGAGAAAGACTTGAATGAAAACTTATAATTGGAATGTCAGCTTTATGAGCTTCCGATACGGCTCCGGAGCATTTTAGAAAATTGCGTTTTTAATAGGAGTTAATTATTTTTTATTTCGGCTTCCGGTTTTTATAGATAAAAACGTAATTAAAGTCGGGAATTTCGCTTGTACCTTTGTACACAGGGTGTTCCAGAGTAGAGTGCTTTCAATTAACGCAACATGATTTTTTCTAAAGAATAACTAAAATTAAACAGAAAATTACTATAATTTCCTCTCGTTAACTCCATCCAGAGACACACTGTATATTTATATGTATGTTATACAGTCTAGAAGAGAAATGTTACTCAGGTAGACCTCATAAAAGACCAGACTTCGGTAGACCACCACGAGCATGTAAAAAACAAACAATATTAAACTCATACTTGAATTTCGTAGTGTTGCTGAACAAACCCACATACATCAATATTAAAACCTCCTCCTGGAGATCTTTGGTAATTTCCAGTGACAAAAACATTGATTTTATTCATATATGTACATCGTTACTTTCAAGTGAGGTCTGGAATAGCAGAACGAATCCCTGTTTGGCTCTTTATTCCACCGAAACAGCACAACAAAGCAATTGTCCGGTAAAGCTTCTTCTCTAAGGCGATTCTGGCTGGTTTTTTCTTAAACACCGCTTTCTACGCAGCTCGACAGGTAACAGAAATATAATGTTTTGTTAATCCGAAACGAGCGGGGCCACATCTTGCGAAATCAGCGACTGTTATTGTTCCCGACGCATAAATTACGCGAGAATCTGGAACGAAGAATGAACGTTTTTCTCATCGAAATCGAATGAAACCTCGCAACGTTGTTTTCCACTTTCGCACATATTTTAGTCGATTTTTTCCTTTTGTACATATTCCTGCTTTGAATGTCGAAGAGCGCGGCTCGAGCAAAACAATTTTTTTGTATATACGCGCGTATATTTTTTCATTAAATTCCGATTCAACGTGTCCCAAATTCGCGATTGATGCAACGGGACGTTATAATGGAAAAACACCATTCCATATTTAATGTAGTTATTTAAAAATCAATACTCGGACTTCGAATGCGAGATAAATTATACATATTATTTAGGACAGATTTAGCATAGAACCTGTTGAAATATTTACGGCCTGTGAGTGACGGATTCGCTATTTAAAAATTAAAACTCGGGATCAATAGCAATAGAAATACTTGAATTTTAGCACCCTCTATTTTAGTAATAAATAGCATTTCGTTTACTATACAGTGCATTTCTTTAATGCCCCCCCCCTTTTATTTTTTGAACGGATCAACTTAGAAAATTGAAATTTGGGATAATGAAACTAATGTATGATTACTATATTTTGGAGTAAAATTGACAGATGAAAATTTCAAGATGGCGACTTGGCGCCATCTTGTGAAATAAATTTAAATGGAAAGGGGGGTCTTGTGATACATCATTTTGAAGCTCCTGACAAATACTCTACAACCCTAGAATATAAAGTCAATATCTGCACCCATTTCAAAATGGCGGAACATTTATTAATTACCTGAACATATCGACGTTTAACGTCATAATTTGAGGAAATAAGCTGAGTTCAGTTCAAAAAAAGCTCGAAATGGTTGCCTTGAACTTCTTAATGTAAGAACAGCCTAACCGAACATTTTCGAACATAGTAACGTCGATATTTTTACAAATATCTGTAATTATTTCTCGTATTGAAGCAGGTTTAGTTTCGTACACATTTTGCTTCAAATAGCCCCATAAAAAAAGTCTAAAGGTGTCAAATCTGGCGAGCATCAGGCTGGCCATTCCGTAGGACTTCGACGACCAATCCAACGACCAGGGAAAATAGCATCCAAATAGTTCATTACTTGTCTGGAGTAATGGGGTGGTGCTCCATCTTCCAATGGACGAGAATTGGCCATTTTAGAGTTAGTTCACGTGCTACCTAACTGCAATGAGAACTAAACAACCGAAAACTAAATGAGAATACTTTGAACACTAGGAAAATCGAAAACTAAAGAGAATATTTTGAACACTAGGAAAACCAAAAACTAAATGAGCATATTTTGACTAAACAATTAATGTTCGTTGTCGTACTTAAATTTTTGGAATTTTTTTAACCAAAAATAACCTGTCAAACCTTATCGGTTTGCTGGGATTGCTGTTTGCCATAGAAAAACAAATATTTCTAGAAAAATTGATATTATTTTGTTTGTATTCAGGTAATTATTAAATGTTCCGCCATTTTGAAATGGGTGCAGATATTGACTTTATATTCTAGGGTTGTAGAGTATTTGTCAGGAGCTTCAAAATGATGTATCACAAAACCCCCCTTTCCATTTAAATTTATTTCCCAAGATGGCGCCCAGTCGCCATCTTGAAATTTTCATCTGTCAATTTTACTCTAAAATATAGTAATCATGCATTAGTTTCATTATCCCAAATTTCAATTTTCTAAGTTGATCCGTTCAAAAAATAAAAGGGGGGGGGGGACATTAAAGAAATGCACTGTATATCGTTAGCAATTCCTCCATTAAAACCATTGTTTTGTAAGCAGACAAGGGAGTTCAAAAAAGCTCCATTTTGAAGATGCTCCCTAACAATCAATCAAAAAAAAGTATAAAAGAATGGAGTGACAAAGGAAGCAGGGAAGGTTTAAAAAAGTAAAATCTATATCGAAGAAAATACATATAAGTATAATAAATAACTATGAAATATTTTCGATGATGACGAGTGAGAAATACTCTTTAATTTCGCCTTTAAGAAATTGATTAATATGACTTCACTTGAGGACTTAAGCTCTATTAAATGTGGAGGTATTCCTTTTGGTGCAAATTTCATATAAAATAGTCAAAAATGAGAGCGAAAATTGCGAAATTTTATTGAAAATGTGAGCAAACGAGGTTATTATTACCTTTTAAAACATTTCTTTATAAATGTAGGTAACAAATAATGAGAGAAAATTTTGAAAATTTCATGAAAATGTAAGCACATGAGGTACTAGCTTTTGGTAAAAATTTCATAAATATAGCCCCAAATAAGGGTGAAAATATTGAAAGTTTCATTAAAATATGAGCAAAAGAGGTAGGTACTATACCTTATGGTGAAAATTTTTCATAAATATAGCCAAAAATTAGGGTAAAAATATTGAAAGATTCATGAAAATATGAGCAAAGGAGGTACTACCTTTTGGTGAAAATTTCATAAAAATAGCCAAAAAATGATAGTAAAATAATTAAAATTTGAAATTTTCATAAAAATATCAGCAAAAGAGGTACAAAATTTTGCTACAAATTCCATAAAAACAGCGAAAGATGAGAATTAAAATTCATTAGGTATTGCATTACTTATATTCCACAAAATCTTGCATGCTTTATCCGTGTATTAAGTCAAAACATTTAGAAAATACATAAAAAAAAACGCGCGTTATCTTGTCACATCAATGCATAGATATTTCAGCCACGTGGTAAAATTCGCACCCCGGAAAATAGAAAATCCAATTACAATTCCGCGTAATTTTATCGACATTGAGTGACGATAATTACCCAAGTCGGGATACAATGAGCCGCTAACAAGCCGGCTTAGATTTCGCCATCGCGACACAAAACGGGCGAGAGTTCGATGCGAGCGAGCCCATTATTTTGGATAATTCAATTCAATTCTCGCGATGCGAGTATACTGAGGCGGAAAACTCGAAACCGTCGCCCCCGAAAAACAATTTATTCTTCCGCCGAACATCGCCAGACAACCATTTGCCCAAGATATATCAAAGAAACTTGAATGGTGAAGCGCATTTTGCATGTTCCTTTAGACTCTATACGCTCTACAGGTAATCTAAATTCGCTCGAGTAGGATTCAATCGCTCGTTCAAAATATCAGATGGCATTTTTACTACGAAATTTTATGTAGAATCGACTTAAGAGCAACAGGTGTCTCCACAGTTTATTACACACAGAATTTGTTACTGATGTAGTAGATAAGTGCAAAAAAACTTCTTAACAAAAGTTTATGATATTAGCTGCATATTATTTAATACCTTCTACAGATATATTGAATTCTGCCATACTAATGTGCCACCCTGTATATGAAAGCTTGTGTTAAACAGCGCTTGCGCTATGGAATGGTTCTCGAGCTATTCCCTTTGTACTGTAGAAAAATAAGTATTAATTAACAATTAAGTAGTGTAATTATTCGAAATTAGAAAAATTATGTATTTTGAGTGCATTTACCGGTTATTATTAATTTATCCAACGTAAGATGCCCAGGAAAGAAATATTTGTATTTATGTTTTTCTTTATCTAATCAGATATAGTATAGATACACAACCCAACGAAACGATAATATTATTATATTTTTAAGTAAAGAATAAGTAACATCTACTTAGTTATTTACTGAATTACTACACTTTATTTTGTGTATAGTGGTATAAATATTCGTGAAATGGAGAGCATTTAGATTATTTAGAAAGTATAATAGTGGAATGAAACTTCAGGTACGATATACAAGATATTCATTAACTTATAAACCAGGAAATCTGATATTACTACTCAAATTTCCTGTTATTAAGTGAAAAATATATCCCCCGTTTATTTATAAAACACCAAAAAAATTACCTATAGAATTAACTAATTTCTACTTCATGTTTGATATATTTTTTTAACATGATTATTTATAAAATATACGATAATACGATTTCAAGTATTACTATACTCGAAAAGTCGAAAACCGTCACGTTTATATCAATAATAATTAGATTACCGTTATTGAATAATCAACCCTTATTAAAAGGCCCCTAATATAATCAAAGATAGATTCTTATAAAGTAGCTCGGAGTTACTACTACTACTACTACTTCAGGCGAACCTTGGCCGAGACAGCTCAAGCCAAGGCTCAGGCACTGAGGCCTCTAGCGGGCCCATTGTGCCATTCCTGCTGCTTATGCATCCATGAAGCCGAGTCCCTCGATGAAGGCCTCAGTCCTTTTCAATGGATGCCTATTTGTGTCTCCAGGGGCCATAACAGGGACCCCAAAGGTTCGCCTGCGTAGCACAGCCCACTTCTGACACTCCAGAAGAACATGGTCCGATGTTTCATCAGCCATGCCACAGCCCCTGCAAAGGGGACTTTCCTCTAAACCTAGGTTATAGAGGTGTTTTCTCAGACAACAGTGCCCCGTTAGGAGTCCTGCTATCTTTTTTAACCTACTCCTTGATAGTTCCACAGCTGCCCTAGCATGTCCATCAGTCCAGCCCCTAAGAAGGAGCTTGGATTGCCTAAGACCATGCAGAGCACTCCAATAAGCGAGATGCTGATTTCTCAGCCAAACTCCCGCCTCTTTACGAATCATTTGTTTTGTAAGGCCCAGGGTCGGGCCCGGGCCACTGAAAGGAGTTGCCGTCCCCTCCACAGCCAGCGCATCCGCCCTCTCGTTGCCCTCAAAACCAGAGTGGGCCGGAATCCATTCTAGCCGCACTACATTCCGCCTCGCTAAGTCAGCGAGCCGTCCCCGACATTCAGCAGCGAGCTCAGAGTTGATGGTATACCCACTCAGGGCCCTGATTGCCGCCTGGCTGTCGGTGTATATGGTTATGTGACGGTTCACATAACCTCTGTCTAGGTTCATCTGCGCACATTCCAAGATAGCGTATACCTCAGCCTGATATGCAGATACCCCCTTGCCCAAGGGGACACAAACTTGTGTCTTTGGGTTCCTAGAGTAAATTCCCGCCCCAGCCCCATTACTGGAGCATGAGCCATCTGTGTACCAGACGATCCCATGAGGCTGTGAATTTCCCTCTCTTTCCCAGAATTCTCTATTCCGGATCTTCACCATATAGGGAGTTGAAAAGGAGTACCTGCGCAGGCAAACGTCTGCCGCTCGAGCCAAGACTGGGACATCTCCCAGGAGCCTAAGCTTCTTGACGTGCCTGCACCCTTCCTCACTTCGCACGTATCCCAAACTTTTCAAACGCAGGAGTGCCCTCCCAGCCTCGGCCTCAATCACATAGTGAAGTGGCCGAAGTCCAAGAATCACCTCCATCGCAGCAGTTGGTGTAGTCTTCATGCAGCCAGTTGCTCCCAAACTGACCACCCTTTGAAGGCGTGTCAGTTGCGTTCTAGCCGTGGCCAGGGTTACCCTCGGCCACCAGACCAGAGCCGCGTATGTGAGCATAGGCAGCATGATCACTTTATAGAACCACATGATCGTCTTTGGGGTTAGTCCCCACTTCAGACCGATGGCTCTCCTACAGGCCCAGTACGTGTTAGTCACCTTGTCTAGGCGACTATCAAGATGGGCCTTCCATGTCAGTGACTTATCCAGGATCACCCCTAGATATTTCACCTGTTCGACCACTGGAAGTGGTATTCCGCCAAGGTGCAGACCCTCCGGTCTTATACCTCTCCTTTTGGTGAAGGCAACTACCTCAGCCTTGGCAGGATTCACTGCAAGTCCGTGCTCGTTGCACCACCCCTGTACCCTATTCAGGGCCCTTTGCATTAGGTCCCTGAGGACGGTGATATGCCTTCCAACAACAAGGACAACGATATCATCGGCATACCCAATTGCTAGAAAGCCCTCACCGTTTAATAGGGTTATGAGTTCGTCGATTACTAGGTTCCACAACGTGGGCGAGAGAACGCCCCCTTGCGGACAACCCCTGTCGACGACCATTTTAGCCACATGTTCTTTCCATGTGGCCTCTACTGTGCGATTGCGTAACATGGCCCCAAGCCATTGAATTAACATTGGCTCTATTCCATGATTTACCGCAGCTCTACACATTGATTCTACAGGTGTGCTGTCAAAAGCTCCCTGTATGTCCAGGAATGCACCCAGTGCGATCATGCCATTTTCCAGCGCCTTTCCCACCTGTGTTACCAGCTGGTGTAAGGCACTTTCCGTTGACTTCCCACACCGGAACGCATGCTGGTTGTTGTGCAAAGGATACCTGAGCCCAACCTTCTCCCTCATATACCGATCAACCAACCTCTCCAGTGTTTTTAGCACAAAAGATGTTAGGCTGATGGGTCTGAAGGACTTAGCCACGGTGTAGGTAGTACGACCTGGCTTTGGTATGAAGACAACTCGCACTTGTCTCCACTCTTCAGGAACATATCTGCTTGCCAAGCAGGCCCGAAAGATATGCACTAAGATTGGACCAATAGCCTCCCAGCCCTGCTGAAGTAGAGCCGGGAAGATTTGGTCCTTCCCCGGAGATTTGTAGGGCCTAAACGTACGTATAGCCCAGGTACTCCGTTCGTAAGTAACTATTTCTTTTGCCAGAAGATAGTCCTCTTTACATGGTCGTCGTGTTGCCACGTGTCCCATGTCAAGACCCTCCTTCCCGACTGCTTTGCAGCCCGGGAAGTGAGTCTCTAATAGGTGCTGCAAGGTGTCACCCGGGGTTTCCGTGAAAACACCCGGTACGACTTCCAGGCAGCCAAGAGCACTGTCAGGAGACTTCGCCAAGATACGACGCAGCCTTGACATCTGAGGTACCGAGACGATATCCTCGCAGAAGGCCCGCCAAGCATCTCTCCGAGCCAGCCTAACAGCACTCTTATACTCATTTCGTTTCTGGCGGTATTGTTCCCAGTCCAGATCCGACTCTGTCTTCCTAGCCCTATTAAATAGACGCTGGGTTTGTTTTCGCAGCGAGTCCAGAGAGTTGTTCCACCACTTGTGTCCCTTACCCTCTTTCCTCGTTTTTTCCACGCAATTATCTTCATACGATGAGACAATAATCGAGCCCAGCTCCGCTACGGCCCAATCAATCTCATCGTTATTTCTGAGGCTCCTAGGGAACCGCTGGAGCCTCCCCTCGAGATCCAGTTTATACCGTTCCCAATTGGTGGCCCTAGGGTTCCTATACTTCACTGCCTGTTTTTCAACAGCAGCATTATATCTGAAACAGATGTAACTGTGATCCGATAAGGACGGATCATCATTAACATGCCAGTCTTTTACCATACTCACTATGGCACTGGACGCAAGCGTCACGTCTAGGACTTCAGTCCGAATCCTATTGCGGAAAGTCGGCTTCGTCCCTCGGTTAAGTAGCTGAAGATCGGTGGTGCCCAGGTAGTCAAGCAAGGCCTCTCCTCTGCTGTTAACGCCTGTGCTGCCCCACATAGTGTGGTGCGCATTGGCATCACAGCCAATAAGGAGAGGCAACTTCCTAGCCGTGCAGTAGTCCACCGTCTTGCGGAGCTCCTCAGTAGGCGGCAATCCTGGTGAATCGTAGGGCAAGTAAGCAGAGCATACGACCAAGGTACGTCTCGTGCTATTCTCACCCGGTACATCCACCTTCACCGCAACAAGATCCCTGAAACAGAGTTCCCTTATCAGTGTTGTATTTACACTATTATGTGTAGAAATACACACTCTCGGATTAGGTTCACCCACAGCGTAGAATAAACTACGCCCGGGTGTGCCCAGACCTCGCACATGACCTCTATACACCCATGGCTCTTGTATGAGGCATATGCCTGTCTGCAACCCTGCCATCCGCTGCGCGATTACTCCTGCGGCGGCCCGGCAATGTTGCAGATTTATCTGCGTAAATTTAAGGTCCCTGCAAGCAGACATCAAGAGTCTGAAAGAGGTACCTCCTTTACCCATTTACTCCGGGGTAGTCTCCGTAGTTCCCGAGAAGATAATTTTTATCTTCCCGAGCCCATACCGGATTTCCCCCTTCGTCCGTTCGAGCACCTCAACCGACCGAGGATCGAGCCCCAGTACGATGCTCTGCCTCAACGAGGCAGCATCCCACTGGGAGGCCCGAATCACCCACCCTTCAGTCCTAAGGGCCGGATTGCCAGTCCGGATCCTCCTAAGGACCTCCTGGGGAGGCGTCTCGATCGGCGCTGGTACCCAAACCATCGCCCTCTTGAGCCTCTGGAGGGCCGACTGCTCAATAATCTTGAGCGTCTGTCCCTCCACCTTTATACCGGTTACAGCCCTCTTCAGCCAAGCCAGAGAGTCCCCGTCTGTACAGATCACCATAATGGCTCCCCGGGCAAACGAGTGTCCCTCAAAGCTCGGCACGAAGGTGGTGCCCGGCTTGTACATATCCTCATGCAGGCGCGTGAGGATATTCGCGTACTGCTCCTTGGTGAGCAGATTGTCTGGGTAGCCATCACGGATGATGGCCACCTTGAGGTCGCTGCTTGCAGCTTCCCCATACGACATCCGCCCACCAGACGCAGTACACGCCTTCTTGGGGACCGGTCTGGCCTCCGGGGGCGTATCCGTCACCCGGGGCCTTTTGGTCCCCCCTTTGGGGGCATCGGGCTTGACTCCACTAGGGCCGGCACTCTCGTGCGTGCCCCGGCTCGGTCCTGCCGCCGCCACCTTCTTGCAAGGGCCAGTTGGGCCACCTTTCGGCGTCCCTTCCGCCGCCCTTGCAGCTTGGCGTCTTCGCCTCTTTTCCGCGCCGCAAATGCGGCGCCTCCTAGGTACCTCAGATGAAGGGGCAGTTGTTCCCGGCAAAGCCTGGGCGCCAACCGCTCCCTCCACCTGGTGTCCCGAGGTCCCTGTTTCGGGATCCCTCTCGGGAGACTGTTGAAGGGCCCTTTTTAGGTCGCCCATCTCCAGCGTCTCCTCTGAGGTCTCCTTTTCCAGAGCCCTCCCTCCGTCAGGTTTATTAGTGGTTTCCATAAATGGTCCCACGAGCAGCTAGGGAAGTATTCGGTCCACCTCCGCAGAGCCCCGCATGCGGAGGTAAGGCTACTTACAATGGGGTTTCGCCCGGTTCCCCAAGGTCGGAACCGGTAAAGATCGATCTTCTGTTCGACCACGCATCCTATGGGCCCGGTCCCCCGCCTCAGGATTCAGGTTTCTTGTTGAGGTTGTCTCCTCTTAGTCCAGGCGGCTAAGCCACGACCCCCGACTCTCTGGCCCGCGAGACATGACCACAGTCAGCCAGGTTGCCGGTCTCACAGAGGTCCCACTCGGGCCCTCTGGCATCGTTCACCCCGTGCAAACCCTAAGCCACGACACTACAGCCGGGTTGGGGGGTGGTCCGCGGTGGGGCCTTCAGGTCCAGCTGGTAGTCTTGCGGGTTTTAAGCCGCTCATACCAACCATCAACCCTTATAGCCCACACTTCCCAGCGCGTACCCATCCGAACTGCCATATTGCGGTGTTAGACGCTCAGACAGCCCTTCCGGACGCTGGGTTACCCCTATCCGCCACCTGGGGACGCGCCCGATGGGTTCCACCACACGGGAGCTCGGAGTTAACGAAGGTCGGCAAGAATAACAGGAAGAGGGTTAATAAGGAAGGGACTGCTGTGAGTAGATTGAGCATCACGTATCGAAATATCGATCGCCGGCGATAGAATAAAATAAAAAATAAGTTGCGCCATAGGGAAGATTTTCTAAATATAAACCCCTATAAGGAATAAGTAGCAGCAACAAGCCCACATTGTCCCGGGAGGCTTCATTAAAATGCAATTTCTTGTTCTTAGGATAAATCCCAATTTATTATAATAGTATGGAGTAGTGATATTTCATAATGCTCTGTAAAAGAGCTTTATTGGAAAAATCAATATCCGCTTTCCGAGAAAATTTAGCTAATTTAAAATTGGTTTTAGTTCCAGATCGAGGCGAAGCCATGCCCAATCCTTACGTGGAAGAAATTTTAGAAAATCAAGACAAAGCCCAGCGCTCGGCCGAAGAGAATTGCACCCTGCTCTACGGGGTTAACGTCAGGAATAAATACCAAGAGCCGTTCTATAATGAAACCACTCAAAGTAGGTAAAAATTATTTACGCCGAAGTTAGAAGGATCGTTATAGCGTTTACGGCGCTAGGAAAATCCGAAAGTAAATTTTAATTAGAAAAAAACGTTAATTTACGACTTTTTAATTTAATATTCAAAGAGAATTTTTATAGCCTTTTACGATGGAGCTACGCAGCACATCATAAGCAGGACTAGCGAAATATCTATTAAATCGATATTTTTTCCAGGTTTCATGTGCCCTCCATTTTGGGATAAAATTTTATGCTGGCCTTTTACTGCGACTGGCAAAAATGCGACCATCCCTTGCCCTTTGTACATAACAGGCTTTAAAGAGGTAATAGAATTTTGTATCGGGGGTTTGGTTAAATTGACCGCTTCCTCGGCCATTTCAAAACGCTTCTTTGCAGGACAGAGTTACAAAGAAAACTTTAATCAACTACCATACTTTGAATTATTTCTAATTTTCGTAATGCTAGAAATGTAATATTTTGAAATGAAGCTGGTGAGCTAAACTACACCTCTGTTTAGTCCCTTTTGTAATAGGAAAACTCGGTGAAAAGGCACGTCTTTCTCTCACCGAACTCCTTGATTCCTTGTACATATCCTAGTATAGCTTTAACATAAGTTTCTACTCAAGCCGAACTTCGTTAAAGTTTCATCCAATTTCTTTAAAAATACAGCGCGAAGTTCATGTGCATTCTCCAAATTGACAAGTACTGGTTAGGTGGAAAATGTTCGAAAGTTATCCTGCATTGCTATTATCACTCATAAGTTCGACATAGGCTTTTAAAAATATAGTAATATTTGAATTTGAATGCAACAAGGTAATAAGTTATTGTGTTTTAGGGGTACAATGCGATCAGAACCTGCACGGAAAACGGGACGTGGTTCATGAACAAAGTGACCCAGGAACCTTGGGGAGATTACACTGCTTGTTATGAGGGTAGCACGGTGACGATTTTCAAAAATATCAGCCAACCGAAATCGGAACTTTTGGACAAATACAAAACCTTAGTTCCGATTATCAAAGGGATTTCCCAAACCGGCTACGCTGTGTCGCTAGTCTCTTTAACCATAGCGTTTTTCATTATGTTGCTTATACAGTAAGTATAGGAAAATTGTGCGATTTTTGTAGCATTAGCTTGTAAATTTGGTGTTTTAGGAAGCTTCATTGTACGAGGAACATCCTGCACATGAATTTGTTCGCCTCGTTTATTTTCCGGGCGTTTTTCCACATTTTGAAGGAGCTGCTGTTTGTGGAGGGCGTCGGTTTGCCCATAGATCTTATCGGAAGAAACGGCGAATTGTATTTTAAAACCGACTTAGAGGTATTTATGCGATTTTTTCAATTTAGCGCTGATGTCAAACCGCGCCAAAATGCATATATTTATTGCTTGTAAAGCTCGAAATACTATTTTATTCCAATAGGTAAATTGGACACAAGAATATTTCAGGTAGAAAAGGGAATTATTTGAATTCATTGCAAACTTTAGATATAATTTTAATTTCTTGTATCTAAGTGAATATTAACTTTAATTATTTAATAATGGAAATTGGGAATAATGGAAGAATTATACAAAGTTACATTGGGCTCTGCTCAGGATTTTCCTGTGGTAGAGTAAATATAGTAGAGAGTAGAGAGAAAATACCCTTGGAAAATAACCCTTAGAAAATACCCATGGAAAATATGTATACTCGCTTCGGATAGAGGATGTGGAATTTATTTTGAGACCCGTGAACTTTTTATCCATAAATTATTTTTAATACTACATACCTATATCTGGAATTTTTGATAAATTAATGCGCCAGATACAATCTAAAAGCCGAGCATAAACTAACCGATATGTTGCAGCATTCATTGGTGATTTTTAAATCGAAAACGTTCAATTTATGGCATAACTTTACCTCACATATTTCAACGATTTATTATTATTTTTTCCAGCAAAATAACTACCAGTGCAAATTATTGACTTCCTTGGTGCAGTGTTTCACATTAGCCAACTATTCTTGGATACTAATGGAAGGCTTGTATTTGAATAATTTAATATGGAGGGCTTTGTTCGCCGATTCCAGCAGGAATTTGATGTATTACATATGCTTCGGTTGGGGTAATTTTTTAAATAAAACAATTTTTTAATCATAAACTCGTATGAAATTTGTAGGTTTACCTATTTTGGTGATTATACCCTGGATTATAGCCAGAATTTTCTTCGATGATACAATGTGTTGGACTACGAACGATAATCTCAAAGCTTATTTGATCCTAATTATTCCTACGATTGTTGCAGTACTGGTATGAAATTATTTAAAATAAAAATAATTTACGCAAAATTCGGCATCAGGGCCTTCCTGAAGCAGTAAAACTTTTGGAATTTTATTATTTTTTGCCGAGTCTTTACTCCTTATTACTATCTCCTGATAGCGAACCGAGTATAATCCATTTATACAGTCAACCAAAACTAATAGTAAAGTGCTACCGAGCCGTATTTAATATAAATTAATTGTTTCATTGGATAAACTTGCTCTATTTTCAGATCAATTTAGGACTTTTCGTGGTCATTTCCATCGTCCTTTACACGAAATTGCGATCTCCGATTTGCGAGGACACCAAAAGGTACCAACGCTGGGCCAGATCTACATTAGTTTTGGTACCGCTTTTCGGTGTTCACTACGCCATTTTTCTGATCTTTTATTTTACCGGGAGGTTCGACGTGTGGTTGATATGCGATTCTCTTTTCGGCAGTTTCCAGGTGAATAAAATAAATAAAATAAAAAATGGAATTTAGTGGACAGAGCTGTCCAAATAATTTTTAAACCTTTCTGAACTTTATCATTATTGGTAACATTTCTTATCTATTTTTTAGGGTCTGTTTGTAGCAATCCTCTACTGTTTTATGAATGGTGAAGTTCAAACTGAATTAAAGCCGCTCTCTTTTAATGTACTGAGCTATTTCGCTACTCACAGGGTGTTTGGCAAGTGTTTTCCTTGCAAAGAAAAATTCTTTAGGTCAGTAAATAAGTAATTATATACCTAATATAGATTTATAAAAAAGCATGCTATATTTTCATTTTTCATCATCATTTTTATAGATCAGCTGTGGCAAGACACTCGGTGTCCACAACATTGTCCTATAGTTCAATTTATATCAATGGATTTGGACATAAGTCCGGTAAATTTAAACATGGCGATAAGGGGATGAGACAGTTTTCATTAAATGGTAATTATAAAACGAACCACTTAACGAATTGAAATTCACGTTAGGTAATTAATTTTGTATTTCTCGAAAAAGAAAAACGGCATAGTTGCAGCGGAAAACCAGCTATTCCTCATAAAACTGGCCACAACAAAAGTATTTCGACGCTACAAAAAGATGGACAACAGGTAACTTAATATTAAAAGAGAGTAATAATGGCTAAGCAATAAACAATTTCATGATTATGTGGCAATTTTCAGGCTGAAACGTCGTTAATTTGCAACGAGCCGAAGCAAGAAAAGTGCAAAATCGGTTCCTGTAACACAGACGAAGAAATTTGCATGTTATCATTAAGAAATTGTTAAAGTCATTCCATTACTTTACATTACAGTTGTCATATCTAAATGTTGTAAATGTGAACCAACTATTGGAAGATTTGCGCGTATTCTCCAAAAAATTATTAATTTCACTCTTACAACTTATTGTAACATAGCTAACATCACACAAACAATTAGTGAAATAAATTCCAGAAAAAAATATTATAAATGGCCTCTACCTTTACACATCTTTCGCCAACCTTCCTGTATAGGCCTTGATAGCATATTTTACAATTACATGTGTTATAAATGTGATCCTAGTATAAATTTGAATTGTAATCGATATAAGAAAATTATTTTAGATTATTCAAATTTTTTTGTCAAAATATTTCGATAGCGATTAAATTTTGTACGATATTAAATGAAACAGCAGGGTATTGAAATGTTTATATTTTTTAAATCTACATGTCCTAATTATATATTTGTCTACTTACGTGTCCATATAGTCGATATTTCCAAAAAATGCTTATAATAAGTATTTTGACATGATATGTATTTTTAAGTAAAATTTTTTTGTACATAAACGATCAGTTTAATAAATTTTATCTGATATTTTAGTATTATTTTGTACACAATGGAAACCTTCTTTTATCGATCTCTAATACAAACTTGACAAAAACACTTTAAAAAGCAGTAATTATTTTAGTGATAATTAATCATTTCAAACCTTTAAAATTGACAAGAATCACGTTGTACGTCAGAGGCTCCAGAAAAAATAAAACCATTGAAACATGCAAAATTATTGAGTAATGAGCAAGCCAAAGAGCAGCATCCAGGAAATTTCGAGCCACAATGATTCGGAATCCATCAGCAGATTTTCCAGATCCGGAATTCAAGGCGGCAAGTTGAATTTACTGGAGAACTACGGAGGTTTGGGATGGCGATTTTTCGAACGTTTGAAATTAGATTCCGATAAGATTTTCCAGGTAAACGATAGTTCAGAATTTCCACTTCTTTTGAATTGAAATTCATTTAAGTAAATCATTCTTTTTCAACTCAATATGCCCACAAATGCACGTCCTAATGAAATACACATATTTTACTTAAATGTATTTTGTTAGTAACTAATATTGTAAGTTTGTTAACATTTTTGTTTAATAAGGTAGATGTTAACCGTTCATTCACGGAAACCAAAGGATCCGTTAGAAGAAGAAGCATTCAACTTGCCATGGGATTGAGAGCACACGGTGTAATCGAATACGACATAATCGTAATTTGTAGCAAAAATAATGCAGACCAAGTTATAGGTAGTGTAGTTTATAAATCTTCATTCCACTTTCTTCCACATTTTCTTTGAGAATTTTCTCATTTTTTCGTAAATAAGTTTAGGATTGCGGATTTTTAATACGAAATATCCACCTTAGTTTACATTCATGAGGTGGCTCCTGAATTTTTTCGCATCAATTTCGAAACATCCTGTATAATCAGCTGAAACCAGTATCTGATTACCTTCTTGTTTCGAGGTTTTTTTATACATATACATACAGTGCATTTCTTTAATGTCCCCCCCCCTTTTATTTTTTGAACGGATCTACTTAGAAAATTGAAATTTAGGATAACAAAACTAATGCATGATTACTACATTTTGGAGTAAAATTGACAGATGAAAATTACAAGATGGCGACTCGGCGCCATATTGAGAAATAAATTTAAATGGAAAGGGGGGTCTTGTGATACATCATTTTGAAGCTCCTCACAAATACTCTACAACCCTGGAATATAAATTCAATATCTGCACCTGCTACAAAATGGCGGACATTTAATAATTACCTGAATACATTGACGTTTAACGTCATAATTTGAGGAAATGAGCTGAGTTCAGTTCAAAAAATGCTCGAAATGGTTGCCTTGAACTTCTTGATATAAGAACAGCCTATCCGAACATTTTCGAACATAGTAACGTCGATATTTCTACAAATATCTGTAATTATTTCTCGTATATCCAATATTGAAGCAGGTTTAGTTTCGTACACTTTTTGCTTCAAATAGCCCCATAAAAAAAGTCTAAAGGTGTCAAATCTGGCGAGCAGGCTGGCCATTCCGTAGGACCTCGACGACCAATCCAACGACCAGGGAAAATAGCATCCAAATAGTTCATTACTTGTCTGGAGTAATGTGGTGGTGGTCCATCTTCCAATGGACGAGAATTGGCCATTTTAGAGTTAGTTCACGTGGTACCTAACTACAATGAGAACTAAACAACCGAAAACTAAATGAAAATACTTTGAACACTAGGAAAATCGAAAACTAAAGAGAAAATGTTGAACACTAGGAAAACCAAAAACTAAATGAGCATATTTTGACAAAACAATTAATGTTCGTTGTCGTACTTAAATTTTTTGGATTTTTTTTAACCAAAAATAACCTGTCAAACCTTATCGGTTTGTTGGAATTGCTATTTGGCATAGAAAAACAAATATTTCTAGAAACATTGATATTAATTTGTTTGTATTCAGGTAATTATTAAATGTTCCGCCATTTTGAAATGGGTGCAGATATTGACTTTATATTCCAGGGTTGTAGAGTATTTGTCAGGAGCTTCAAAATGATGTATCACAAGACCCCCCTTTCCATTTAAATTTATTTCCCAAGATGGCGCCCAGTCGCCATCTTGAAATTTTCATCTGTCAATTTTACTCCAAAATATAGTAATCATGCATTAGTTTCATTATCCCAAATTTTAATTTTCTAAGTTGATCCGTTCAAAAAATAAAAGGGGGGGGGGACATTAAAGAAATGCACTGTATAATGAAACAATTTCCAGTCCTGTTGGCCACATTATTTCTGGGCGCGATAGTGGCGCCCCTCGACCCGGAATTCACCAGAAACGAAAAAGAACACCTACTAAAAAAACTGCGGCCTAAGATATGCTTCGGCGACACCCGATCGGTCCCGATACTAGAAACGACCATCAGAATCCTGAACTTGGACACCGAAGTGGTGAATTTCTCCGAGGAGAGCTGCGGCGACATACCGTTCATCAAGCTGTTCTCGCCCAAAGAGGACGAGTCCTTCCAGCCGCCGTTCGTCCAGGACACCGGCAAAACCGTGGCGTTCATTCTACCCACCCAAGGCACCACCGGCGTTCCCAAGCTGGTGTGCCTGTCGCACGACAACATCTGCTTGCAGTGCTCGATCTGCGAGACCATCTTGGACCTGCCCAACCGGGTGATCTCGTTCTTTCCGTTGTCGTGGATCCTGCAGACGATTTTGATATGCGTCTGCCTCAAGTCCTCCATCACTTTGATCATACCGGGAGTGTTCTCCACCAAGGCCGCCTGCAAGCTGATAAAGAACTTCGAAATCGGATACGCCGTTTTGGGCACGGATTTTGCCATGAAACTAGCCAATAGTGTCGCTGTAAAGGTAGATATACCTCCACTAGCTTACGAACAATTCATTCTACTAATGTTAATGTTCATTTCGAAGAACACAGACATCAAGTGCCTCAAATGCGTGGTGGTGGGCATCGTGAACACCAGCAAATACGACATAAGAACGCTGAGAAGTACACTGCCCGGCGTAAAGTTCCTCTCCATCTACTGCATGGTGGAAGCCGGTTGTATAGCGGCCACGAAATTGAAGGATTACACGTTGTCGATGGTGAAACCGTCGGATTTCATCGGACGATTGACCTACAACTGTAAAGTCAAAATCGTGGATATCAGAGACGGAGAACTCTGCGGGCCCAACACCTATGGAGAGGTTTATTTCTACGGGGACGGATTGATGCTGGGGTGAGTTTTATGAAGGTATAATCGGGTGTTTATTAAGTACTAGAAATGGTACTTGTAGAAACTATAAGGTAAATTTTTGAGCAATTTTGAGATGAAAAGTTCATAGCACGGTCCTATATTTCTAAGATCTGGAAACTTAGGTCTAAAAAGTGTCCCGTTATTTGAGGATAAAACAGGGTTCCTAAAACGACCGCTAGGAGGCGATGTTGTAAAGGACCACGGTTTTTTGCGTACGAATTGTGAGGACCAAAAGTCCGTCGCCCCCCTTTAACTTTTGAATGGTAAGAGCTTTTGTCGCGAAATTTGGGGTGTTTATATTGAAGTAAAAATACAATTTTTTGACGTAAAAATGACAGTTAGGCGCCATTTTGAATCTTTTTTTCTTATGGAAAGGGGGGTCAAGTGACACCTCGTTTTAAAGGTAATTTCATTCTTAAATCAAATTTGGGGGTTGATTTAAGAATGAAATTACCTTTAAAACGAGGTGTCACTTGACCCCCCTTTCCATAAGAAAAAAAGATTCAAAATGGCGCCTGTCATTTTTACGTCAAAAAATTGTATTTTTACTTCAATATAAACACCCCAAATTTCGCGACAAAAGCTCTTACCATTCAAAAATTAAAGGGGGGGGCGACGGACTTTTGGTCCTCACTGTATAGAATTAGCATTAAGAAAGGTTATATTTGAACTAAAAATAGATAAAAAATATAAAAACATACTTAAATCAGCGATGATTTTGTTGATAATATCACGTCTCACGTATCTTCGGTTATTGTATTTCTCCATTTTCTCCTCGAAATGTCAAAAAATAATTTTTGAAGTTTTGACAGCTTGAACTGTCATCTCACAACCGCGATTTAAATGTAGCTCGACGCTGATTGGCTGAGTTAAATTGGTCCTCCGATCGTTCGCCACGGTGCGGCGCAAAAGTGAAGCTCAAAAAGTCCTCAAATAACGGGACACATTCTCTAATGCATAAGCATAGGCAGTTTCCAGACCTTAGAAATATAGGGCCCTGGATCATAGGAACCCTTTAAGTTGTACTAGTACTAAATAAACACTCTGTATAATACAGTAAGACTTGAAGTTAGGCAAGAAGTATAAAAGAAGATTTGTTTCAAGTTGTTGTTATTATTATTATTACTATCATTTACTCCTGAAGCCAATAATTCGTTCTACTAATCCAGCGCATAACGATATGATCACCCTTTTAGTTACTTTAAAGATAAGGAAGGAACGTTAAGCACTATAGATAAGGGGTATTTTAAAACAGGCGACATGGGAAAGTACGATGAAGACGGTTGGTTGAGCGTACCGGGCAGGCTCGAAGACCTGATCAGATTCGACACTTGGTCGATGGTACCGACTGATCTGGAAGACATCATCGTCTGTCACGAGCACGTCAAGGACGCCGCCGTCATCGGCGATAACGATTACTTGATTGCGGTGGTGCAGAAGACATCGGATTCCCAATTGGTAGCGCCGGAGGTTTACAGGTACCGTTGTAGATACTATTCTATTCGTTTGAGTGAATCATCGGGTTGGTTTCAGCTACATAACCCGTCAGTTACATCGAAAATATTGGCCTAACCAAGTGATATTGCTGGAGCATTTTCCGCGGACTACCGTCGGAGCTGTTAGGAAAAACGTCCTTAGAAAGGCTTACCTGTATCGAACGATTATGTGCAGCAGCAGTTTCGCGTTGGAACGAGAGAAGTAAAAGAACTAAGCGAAATGTAACGATTTTATTGATTTATCAGTAAAATAATTGATGGAATAGTTGCTGCATAACCATTCATTGGAGACGCTATATGTATAGTTTGTCTTCTAAATCCAGTGATTGCAGGAGGAATCGGGAGAAAGCGCAACTTATTTTCTTATTTCGAACCATAATTTGCAGCCCTCGGGTAACTTCAGAATTAGTTTGAAGTTTCTTTTAATCTCTTCTATCGATTTGTAATCAGTAAACACTTTTAAATCTCTTATCACAGTTGCTGTGACTATTTTTAAATTGACTAAAGAGTGTTCCCAACCTACAAAATTAACGAAATATTTACCCAAGATTCTTCAAAGTTATCTTCACTAAGTTTGTGATCAAAATTTTAACATTATTTTCTAAGTTTAATTTTAATATTAGTTTTATTACATACCTAGGCAATTTCTTGCGCCATGAGAAAATGGAATATAAGCGTATGGGTTCCTTTGGGCCACTGCTTCTGGTAAAAATCTATTAGGGTCGAATTGAAGGGGGTCTTTCCAATATTTAGGATTCCTGTGGACTAACTCCGGAAATATAACCATTGTAGAATCGGCCGGTATAATGTATTGATCTAAAAAACACATTGAAATTGTTGGTTTATCGCAATTAAACGAGTACTTGCAATGTGTACCTAAATGTAATTCGGCGGTGGTTTCCCGAGCGTAGATCGTAAATGGCGGAAATAATCTCATGGTTTCTTTTATGACTCTATCTGTTAGTTCTAAACGTGGAAGATCGGAGATTTTTATCTGTTGTTGCCCCACAACATCTACTACTTCTTGGTGGACTTGTTGCTGGAAAGTATATTTAGCTGTTACAAGTATTGTAGTATTATCTGGGTGAGTATAAGACATGGAAAGTATTTAATGTATTTTTGGTTAACCTGTATATCTGGGTACAGTGCCAGTGTGATCAAAACGGTACATAATGTTATACTGCTGACTTCAACAGACTAAAAAACAAAAAAAAGTTAAAGTAAAAAAATATATGTTAGTAGCTAGAAAAAGCTTACTAATGCCAAAAGAGGTTTTATAACATCAATATCGCTAACTTCTGCTTTGGAAAATCCCGGGTTGGTGTCAATGTATCTAAACAAATCATTTTCGAATTTGTCCTGGCCGTTTTTTTCTATTCTTTTCTTCAGGATCTAAGAAAATTATTCAACTATCTAGTTCAAAAACTAAAGTAATTTCGTTTACTTACTTGTTGAACGTGATTTTCGAAGATTTCTAGGCATTTGTCTATCTCTTTCTTCGTTTTAGATAAGTTCCACAAAAATCTAACGTTGAGCCAAATAGACACATATCGGTATGTTAATAAATCAATTACTCTGTAAATTTATCCATATTGATGAGTATATCAGCAAGCTTTTAAAAAGATAATTTTGAAGGATTTTTTGACGGGTTAAAACGGGATTATTGAGTTGTTTATAACACCATAATAAAGTTACAATTTTGTCTAATAAGTACATACCTTCGTATACAATACGCCAAGTCATACTTATTGGACTCGTTTAGATTTATTGGTACATTAAATCCGAGCAAAGTTTCTGTGAAATAAGTAAATGAATTTCATTAGGCATTAAGGTAAAGTAAAAAAACTAAATATATTTCAAGGACACTATTTTATGAGGTCCTATAGGGAGGGCCTGTAGGGAAAAACTTTATAGGAACTTTATAGGTACTCACTGCAAGAGGTGTCCACAAAATATTTAGCCGTTATGGTTTCCCAATGAATTGATTTCTGACCCGCTAATTGTTTCAAAATATTCGCAAAAAGCGCACTGCTTTGGTTGAAAATCGGCACGTAAGTCATCAAAGCCTTTTCGCTAAACATGGGCGCGACTGCTTTTCTAATGGGCTGTGATATTTCATCTAAAATAATGGGAAATTAAACGCGATTTACTATTGAAATGAGTGTATAAAATAATTACAAGATGACGATAGAAGGCCTTCGCCGATTAATTCGGTCACTCGATCGTAATCTTTAGGTTTGTCGATAGTTATGGAGGAATTTAAGACTTTTTGTATGTATCTCGGTTCGAAAATTAGACACCATAATTTGTTGCCGAACAAAAACTTTCCAATTCCGGGATATTGGAAGTATTCGATCAAGATATCGAATAGTTCTGAAAAAAGTACCTATTTATTTTCATCACAGCTCTTTAAATTTTGAACGTATCGAGATGAAATATTGAAAGTAAAAAATATACAGTGTGCCCTTGAATGGAGTTGACAAGAGAAAAAATGTAGAAAAAACTAAAGAATGATACTTCTCACTCGAAGCAATTTTTCCTAATTTATTTTCTTGTGTATCAGATATCAGATTTTAATTAAGATAGGGCAACTTATTTTTTCGACAAACAGGAAAAATAACAAAATGTTTCCTCTCGTCATCTTCATCCAGGGACACACTGGGTATAATTAATTAAATAAGTATAGAATAGTTATAGTCAATGAAAATTGAACATGACTTCACCGCTACTTAAATAATTATAAACCAAAAAAATGAAACCAATATTTCAATATTTTTTTTTATAATTTTAGAAAGATTGTTACACAAAATAAACTCACCGACGTCTCTTCGGAAAAATTTATAAGAATTTCCTATAATTGGAAAAGTAGGAGGACCGGGAATTCGCCACGTGCAAATAATCGATCTTCTATTCCACCATAAATAATTCACGCACCAAGTAAGTAAAGTAACGAAGAATATTGAGAATAAAACCTTTTGCAAATCAAAATGCTCCATTTGGTCGAGTGAGTAATGGCGCACTTTAACTAAGTTTGTATGAAAAGTGCACGCACATATAAACTGGAAATATAATGCACGTTCGATTAAATTTAAGATATTTTGATATTTAACTTATTCTAATAATCTGTTTGTTTGAATTTATTGCAAGTGGTGTCGGAAGTTGGTGTAATTGATTTATTATCACAAAGAATAATTGTATAACTCAATAACAATTGAGTTATAAACTATTTGGTGTTAGATAACAATGAAAATATACGCTTTATTTAATTTCCAATTAAAGATAGGATATAAGGATGTCAAGGATATAGGATTAAAGAGTAGGATAATATATCAATATAAAAGATTTCAATTACAACCCGACAACGTTGCAACAGTCTGGCTTATGACGTAATTGTCATTTTAAAACGTACGAACTTTATTACAAAAATATGGTGTAAAATAATAAAAATAAAATTTACATAATGATACTTCTCACTTGAAGCGATTTCATGTTTTCCTAATTTTATTAACATTCTGTACACCAGATTTCAGACTTTTTATAAAGAATAATAACATTTTTCCTCTGGCCAATTCCATCCAGGGACACACTGTATATAGGATATTGTAGGATACTAAAATTAATCAATTTAATATAGTACATTTTTTTATTGATCCAAGTTTCTATTTAAAATTTTCTCTTCACTATGGTGAATTGCTAAATGCTTTTTTAACCGGTCATTGCGAATAAATGACTTCTCACAAATGTTGCACTCGTATTTCCTGTCTCTCGAATGAATTAACATGTGAGTTTTTAAAGTGTCTTTGCGTGTGAACGATTTCTGGCAAACAACACACTCGTTTTGTTGGTCCCCAGTGTGAATAGCCAGATGAGTTTTCAAATTGCAGCTGTAAGTAAACGTCTTCTGGCAAAAATTGCACTCGAATTGTTTTTCTTCGGCGTGCACCAAGAGATGCCTTTTCAAATAGCTGCGCTGATGGAACGATTTTTGGCAGATATCGCACCGGTGGTTGCGCTCTCCCGTGTGAATGACCGAGTGGATTTTCAAATTGCTCTTCGAGATGAACGATTTCTGGCAAATATCACATTCGTGCTTCTTTTCTTCGGCGTGAATAAGCAGATGGTTTTTTAAATGGCTTTGTCGGTTGAACGATTTCAGGCAGACGTCGCACTGGAAATTCTTCTCGTTCGTGTGAATGAGTAAATGAGTTTTTAACGTACTGTTGTAGGTGAATGATTTTTGGCAGAAATTGCACTGGTACTTCTTCTCGCCCGTGTGAATTAACAGGTGGCTTTTTAAGTGGGCGCTTTGATTGAAGGACTTTTGGCAAATTTTGCATTGGTGTTTTTTTTCTTTAGTGTGAGTAGTTAGGTGAGTTTTTAAGCCGCTATTGTGCGTGAACAGTTTCTGGCAAATGTTACATTCGTACTTTTTTTCGCCGGTGTGAACTAAAATGTGACTTTTCAAATGGCTGCCGTGATTAAAGGTTTTTTGACAAACGTGGCATTCGTATTTTAATTTAACTTTTCGACCGAACGATTCTTTGCAAATACTAACGTTGTGTTCGTTATTTGTGGGATTAATAATTTTAGATGTTTCAGCTGTATCTTTCGTTTCTTGTGAATCAGTTCCATCGATCCCTGGGCATGTTTTTTCTCCATTTGGAAAATTAAATTCACCTCTTACGCTACCGCAATCTTTTTCCGAACATTTATTATCATCAGTGTTTCTGTCTCTAATATCGGTGTTGTAATCGTATTCCATTTTGATATTGTTACAATTAATTAGATAAGTAGGTAAATTGCTGTATTCATCTTTGATATTTGGAATATCATTAACTTCTTTGTTCTTCCCAATTTGTAAATTCACTTCTAAATAATCTTTAACAGATGATTGATCACAATTACTGGAAGATGATAAATCGTAGTATTCTTCTCTTAATTCTTGTTTAATATTATGTTCTCGATAAGCTTTATCATGTGGTGTTACTTCAAAATTAATTCTATCAACTGGTTCAATTTCATTGTCCTCGGGAACTTCTTCCTTTATAAATTGTCTTTCAATATTCAGAGGAATTGACGGTTTATCCATGCAACTCATACTTTTCGTAGAGGAAACATTCAATTCTCTATTACTGTAATTATTTTAAATTATTTAAGTTGATTCACAAAAGGCATGGGAAAGCTATTGGAATCTAATGGTTTTTGTAGAACAATTTAATCCATACCTAAAGAAGAAGTTATTTAATTCGGGAATAATTTAATTTGTCTGTTTTCTTACAAATATAGAATGTATGTGGGTTAATAGAATCACAAACTTTAATGAGGCTACTGAATTATTTAAACATTTTAAGTAAATAAACTGACTGGTTAAAAAACCACAAATTAATAAATAAAAATAAACGAATACTGACAACACTGTCAACAGTGTCAAGTGTCAACTCAACTGACAGGAACATTCTTCTTTCTTCTTAAAAACATAAAATTATCTGCCCTCGATCTAGATAGTATTTGGTCAGAATAGGTTTTTTAACGCATATGTTATCTTCTGGAAACACCAATTATGATTTCTTTCTTATTATATAGAAATAATATAAAAATATTTCTGAATTAACAAGCTTCTACATGTGGAGCCCATTTGGAATTTATGTCAATTTTAAATGTCAACGTCAACTGTCAAAACAAGTGCCACTTATCAAAAGTCAATTGACTCGTGAACTTGTGAAAAATAAATAAATATTGAAGCCCTAAATGTTAATTCCCTTTAATACGTAATAAATATAGCCTAGTTATTGAGTGATGTCGCATTGGAACGGCACTTCCGAATCCGGAATACTAAGAAAAAATTATCCTTCCGAAAATCATGAGGAACTTTTAGTGTTTGGTTACGCCTGCAAGCTCTTCAGAGACGATGAGAAAGCCCTGTACATCGACCAAGGCAAGCATTTGATACCTTGGATGGCCGATGAAAAACTCAAAATTGATAGGTAATACTTATTCAACTATCGTTCATAGTTCATAGTTCAAGCTTTAAAACTATCAAGTCTATTTGACATCATGGAATGAGTTTTACACACGTTCTGCAATACCAAAAAGTCTTTATATTAATGAAGTGAGTGCTATATGTTTCTGAATAATTTTAGGTATGATGGACGAGGCGCTCTATCGGATTTACTCAAATACGAGGCTAGTCGAGAGGGCTACGATGCTACGAGGTGGTTGGGTTTAAGTGAAAAAGACAGAAATGTCGAAGAACTATGTGACAAAGAACGATATTATTCATTAATAATCAACGAAGAAGAGGAACAGATGTATAAAGGTTGTTCAATAAGCTTCTGCATATAATTTTATAAAATTTGCTGAATGTATTCGCCCTATTTCGATTGATTATTCACAAACAATTATTCATGTTCATAACCAGGTATTGAGCTAATCTTTTACAGTCTCTTAAATTTTTTAGAAGAGGAAATTAAAAGAAAAACCACTAACGCTATCCAATACAATTACGATGTACCTCAAAATCCCGAACTCAAACAGGATGAAATTCCAACAGTGCCTGAAGCCGAAGAAGAATATATTCCCCCGCCTGTTCTGGACGTTCCCGTAGATATCGAAAAGGTAGAAAATAGTTGAAACTAAAACTAATTGGAAAGATTGTAAAAAAAAAACTGTTTGTGTCTAGCCCAAAACGGTGAAAGAAAACGCCAGGATCGAGAAAACAGCTCTGTTCGTTTGCAAACAAGGTCCCCAAATGGAAATTCTCATCAAAGCCAAGCAATCGAACAATCCACAATTCGGGTTTCTGAATCAAGACAATAGTCTGTACAAATTCTACAGGCACGTTTTGGTCGCTTTCAAAAACGGTAGATATCAAGGATACGAGGCGCACACCAAAAGTAATACTGGTGAGTAAAAAGGATGCTAAATATTGAATTTGCCCCGTACAGAATGTAGTTACTTTAATAAATTATTATGTGAAAGACTGACCCGTTCGTTTTTGACAAGTTTTGTTATATTTCTACATTATACAGGGTGATCTGCTTATGCGTTAAGTAGGGTTAAACAACATATTTTAGGCTCCCCTGCTCTGTGTCGGTTCTTATGTGGGACACCCTGTATTTTGGGATCCCTATACGCCTCTGATCTTTTGCAAGACATCTAATAATATTGCCCACTCACTATCACTTGTATTATACAGGGTGTACTGAAGAAGGTTAAATAAATAAGGAAATCGTTGTTTTGTGCTTCGCCAAAAAAATTAGCCTCTTTTAGGGTGGAATAGGGAGTTTATAAATTTGCAAAACTAAGCTAAAAGACACATTATTTGGATGTTTTTTTTTGGGCCATTTCGACCACTAGTTTTTGTTTTTATTTCGCAGAAAATCAAATGGATCCGTCAGATCAAGACTCCGGTACACACTATTTGCATCCAAGTCTGAGCTCTTCATCGTCATCCGAACCGGTAGGTGTACAACGCGTTTTACAGTATAACAAAGACAATTTTCTTGTAGTAGTAATTAAATTAATCGTAATCAGTGATTTTCCTTTAGCGGTGTTATATACCTACGATAATAAGGGTTTGAATAAAACATTTTTATTAATTAGAATAAGTTGTATTTATTAAATTTACTTGTCTCGATGTACTAATCATTTAGTCTTTTTGTTTGCAGGTTACTTGAACTGAGTTTGTGTGACATGTCATTTGATTTTATTTCGTTTACAGCGACATTGAAAAAAATAACAAATCTGCTAGCTGGACGTCGGGACTTGCCGCCGAGATAATTCTCGGTCCTTACGATTTCGTTGCGCATATGCAAAAATATTTCCATAAATCTAGGTGCATTAAAGGCGATATTTTTTTCTTCTTTCCATTTTTTTGTCTAATAATCGCTGCGCACACGGAATACCTTGAATACATTGGATTTATTATCGTGCTTCAGTGGTTTTTTAGGTCACTTAGTGAATTATAATTTTTTTTTATAATTTACCTTCATGAATTCCAATCATTTTTTTTTGTTTCAATTCTATTTGGGCTAATGTTTTGCTTCTATTCTTAATATTCAGTAACTCATAACATCTAAATGTAATGATTTGTCTTTATTTTACTACTTATTAAGCTCAATTTTTATTTTGTATTATCATAGATAATTTTTTGAGATGTTGGCAATAATTGTGAAAAATTATGTTGGTTACACTGATTGGTCTCTTTACAAATAATCACAGTATTACCAACTACTCAAAAATTCCTGAATTATTTATGGTCACTCGGTAGAAGAAAACAGAGCCTTTTTTGTGTTTACCTCCTGGTTATTTACTGTTTATATATCACGTTTTCAACATCATTTCGAAGAATTGTGGGTATTATTTTTATCGTTTACAAACAACGTGTAAATAATTAAAAAAACGACCAATTAGGGAAACGATGAGAGTAGGTAAAGGTAAAAGAAACCACACAACCCCACATTCCAAAAAGGCCCACAAGCGCCTGGTCTCTCTTCCAATTTAATTCAACTCGATCGCCGTTCGAACATAACTTGAGTTTATTGTCAAACAGGCGGCTTTCACTGCCATTACCATACCGCAGATACCTTACAAGCCGTCGGTGAACTGCGCTTACAGTCAACTAGTCAACCGCATCCAAGGCAACCACCCCGACGCCGCCCCCGACGCCGAAAAGGTCCCCGATTACTCGCAGATGACCTACGAACAACAGCAGTACTACCAGTACTACTACGTGCAGCAGTATTTCGAGTACTACAAGCAGTTGACGCTGTTCCAGCAAGGACAAGGCGGTAATCCGGGTAAGCCATTACATCACCTATACACCGTTGGAAAATTATTCGCGCGTAATAGGGAAATCAATGTTAAATTCTTAGCCGTCTGAAATCCAGTCTACCAGTGTACGTTTCAATAGAACGTCGCGATTAATTCTAATAAATTTAATTGTACTACTGGACTTCACACCGTGATTTGGTTCGGTTAGATTAAGAATCAAATAATTTCGACGGTTACTACACTTCGACAGTATCAAAACGGGTTCGGATGGGTGAACGTCGAGTCGATTAAAAAGAAATGAGAATTTTTAAACGATAATTTATTGAATAAATATCACTAATATTAAAATAGAATTATGTAGATATGTCTTTTTGCCACAATGGCGTGAAAAAGAAAGTAAATTCTAAGAAAATAATAAAAAGGAAACTGCAAAAATTAACTTAAAGATAATTTTAAAACAGAAAGTAAAAGAACTCTAAAAAATAGTCCACCGCTTTCTGCTTAACAATATCCAAACCTGTCATACAGATGTCATCTCATATTACTGAGCTGAGGTATAATTCTAGCAGAAAATTGAATTATTTTTTCCCTTATTTCAACAAGATTTGTTGCTCTTTCAAAACTGTACCTACCGATACACATATTTTTTTGAAATATCCTCAAAAAAATATTAAATTTAGTTTCTAAATAATTTTGTACCTCATACTTAACACAAATAACTTTGTACCTCTACAAATCGCGGCGTGCGGTCCAGTAGAACAATTAAATTTATTAGAATTGATCGCGACGTTCTATTGAAATGTACACTGGTAGACTGGATTTCAGCCGGCTAAGAATTTAACATTGATTTCCCTATTATGCGAAATTAAATTTCCAACGGTGTACAGCTACTACTAAAGGGTGTTTCAATAAGAGCGCAAGATTTTAAGGTTCAATAAAACAATGTTATCTATAGCAAAATATGGAAATATTTATTAATTTATCATGTGTACATTTGGGAATTATATATATGAAACAAAATATCTTGTAAATGGCCCACGGCTTTGTTGGCACAAGCGTACTGTTTTGATAAAATTTTCAATAGCATTATTGAATAGAAGTATAGAAAAATAGATTATAGAAGTATCTGGAAAAGTAGTTGTAATTAAAATTTGAAAATATGTGTACAAGTATTAGTCGATGCGCTCTATTCAATGAAAATATTTTCAACTTTTCTTTACTTCCGGTTATACCGGAAGTGGATATCAACTTTGTTATTTTAAATGGGACACCCCATATATTAATATATTTTCGAAATGTACGCAAAATTTTAGAGTGCTTTTGTCTAAAAAACTTTTTTCAAAAATGCATACTTTTTGAGTTACTAATTTTTTTTTGGAAAATTTTGACCGATGCAAACCCTTATAAATTATTTTTTTACGGGGATCCCTTTAAAGATATGGATACGGTTTCTGTAGGGTGACCACTAGCAAGGTCAAAGGCATTTGAATCTGTGTTAAAAAACTTTTTATTTTATACAGGGTGTATACAAAACATGTGAAAAGTTAAACTTCAAAAATACCAAGTTTTTTAATTTTTTTAAATGAAACCATCCATTTTTTTCTATTTTATTGAAATCAGCGGTAAAAAATAAGGGAAGTTCATGTTTACTTCCCTATACTTAAACCTAATAGTTTTGAAAATATTAAAAATTTTACTTAAAACTTACTTTTCTGTCTTATTCTTAAATAATCCGTTTTTACAAGTTGGCCATGCAGGAAGAAATGCACTGTATGTGGCGGTATTTTATTGAAACAGCGTCTAATTTCGGCTTTCTACGCTTCGGTGGTTGCGGTCATGTTGGCATAAACCTGTGACTACAAGTAACCCCACAGCCAGAAGTCTAAAGGTGTTAAATCACAAAAACGTGGCGGCCAATTCTGGTCACCAAACAGGAAAATGACTCGACCGGGAGTACATGTTTAACAATTAAGACGCGATTATGTTCAATATCCAGATCATTGATTATTATTGAATCATCCAGATTATTGAAACACCCTTTATGCCCGTATTCGCCGTTTTCACTTTTAAGCTTAGCTTGTCTAAGCCTGCTTAAACATAGACCAACAACATACGAAACTGTCAGAAACTGAAGCTTAACCCTTAAACTTCGCTTATTTTATACGGCGAATACGGCCATTAATAGCTTAAAATAAGCTCCCATCTAATAGTTTGTTTGTATGTCCAGGCCAGTTCAATCCGCCGAGCGATTTCCGCAACCTGGACCCCTCTCTCCAGCACTACATCCAGCAAGTGGCCTACAACCAGTACCTGAAGCACCACCAGCAGTCCAACGACAATTCGTACGCGCGCATCGTCTCCAACGTCAACAAGGATTCGAATCCGTACGCCGCCAACGTGCCCCAATTGCCCCAAACGCAGCCGCAGCAGCCGCAGCCGCCGCCTCAGGCGGTCGAGGCCGCCTCCAAGCCGGCGGCGGACGAGCGAACGGTGACGATCGTCGGCGGGGAGAAGGGCGACGCGGCCGTCGGGCAGCCGCTTCTGTCGCTCGCCGCTTACGGTTCGGGCAGCGAGGACGAGGACGAGGAGGAGGTGCGCTCCGTGACCGTCGTGACCGTCCCCGCGGGGGAGGTGCGCATCGTTATCGATAAATTGGCGGCGCACGTCGCCAAGAACGGGGAGCAGTTCGAGGAGATTCTCAAATCGAAGAACGATCCGAGGTTTGTTCGCTTGTATTGAGGCTGAATCTCTCTACCATAGATATACTATAGATATATCATCGATATGTGCTTCAATTCAGACCGCATAATGGTTGTTTCTATGAGTTGAACAAAGAAAGATTAATAAAATGACAGTTGTCAGAGTGAAAAGCTTCAATGACACGAATGTCACTCTTTCTTTTTTTCTTTATAAATGTCTTATGCCCGATTTCACCAACCAGTTACTAAAGTTAGGTAATACCTAAACCGGATTTAGGAATTCCTAAGTACAATTTGCGTTTCACCATGCACTAAGTAATACCTAAAGGTAATAGGAAATCACTTTCCATGTGATTTCATGTGACTTAAGTCTTGACTGTCTTTAGACTCTAGATGAAAATATAAAATGGGAGGGGAGTTTTTAGAAACTGGACGAAACTGATTTTTTTTCGCCTTTTTCAATATATAAAAATACGGCATTACAAATATTAGAATGAATTGGAGATGATTTTTAATTTGATACACAGGAAGTTTTTGGAACTATTGACCGTACACATGAATGTAAATATCCATAGTCCTGGAGAAGAAGATGTAGAAATATTTTACAAAACGGAAAGGTTATTTTTCTAATAATGTACAGACTACATCTTCAGCAGATTTAAAAATAACTAACATAGTTTAAAGATGGCCCGGATCGTCAACATCTCTTCTTTTCTCTCAACATATTCAATTTCGATCTCCGCTTATTCGGTTTACACGTCAAAATTAGCCAATGCTATACCAATAAAATTCAAAAAATTGTCGAAATCAAATTTTTACCTAGGTATTTCTTAGTAAGGGATTTCTAATGTTGGTGAAATGCGATTTAGGTAAGTATTCGATTTAAGTAATTCCTACCTTAGGAATTACCTATTTAGGAAATACCTAACAACATGTTGGTGAAATCGGGCATTAAGGGAAGTTGTCTCTATCGTACCTATAGCCTATATAACCTATGTTGCGATCTGGAATGAAGCACAGTGTATAACTAAAACAGATGAAATTGTTTGCAAAATTTTAGGGTACCAACAATAGGTCACAGTTTAACAGAAAATAGAGGTAAAATATTACATGTTGCCGCGCTATTTTTTACAATTTCCTTCTGCTATATTTTTTATTTTTATATCCTTATTATCTAATCGTCTTAATGCTAAAAACTAATGTTATTAACATTCTTCAAAATACACCCACAACATATAATAAATTGCAAGTTTAAGAAATATAGTTTCAAAATGTGACGAATTATATATTTCAAAATTTCTGTAATAGATAAACTCTTACAAATTTGGCAACGGTGTACTACCGCTTGTTGTAAAATTTGTAGACGATTTCGACTAAAGAGAGATCAGTGAACAGTATCTATCTCTTTTTCCCAGCGAATAATAGCAAATAGCGGGAAACCGGGAAGCAGTTGCCAATATTTTTTCATACAATATCAACAAAATTTTCATACGTAATATTAAATAATGTTATATTTTTACCATAACATTTGTTAACTTAATCAAATTCTTATTTAAAATATATTTGCCTACGTTCAAGGCGCCTGATTGGATCCGCCATGTTATCTCTATTTTTCTATCTTACTTTTTCTGCCTCGTTTACTTAATAAGTGAGAGATAATTTTCAATGTTGGCGTCCAAAATTTTTGAATTTATGAATGACTGGCTGGGGATGAGGCCTCTATCATGAAATGATTGCTAAGTGAGAGGATTCAAGTAAAAAGTGTGCTAATAGAGACTTCTCTTTGTAGGTTCGAATTTCTGAACGAGTCGAACGAGTTCCACAATTATTACAAACAGAAATTGAGCGAATTGAAAGGGGGAGCTGCCGAAAACGGCACTCAAACCGACGAAAGTAAATCGAAAACCAGCGACGATGGGAAGGAAAATAAGAAGATTAAAAAGGAAAAGAAAGCGATAGGTAAATCCAAACATATACATCAATATTGAACTTTCCTTTTTAACGCCAAACAATTGCTTAAAGAGTCTCTTTAATGTAAACACCCTAAACTCTTTAACATCCTGCATATTTCTTTTGAAGTTATTAACGTGTTAAGTTTTAGCTCCGGTGTGTTTTTCGATAAAGAAACCGAAAGACGAGCCGCCCAAAGAGATAAAAAGCGCCTTACCGGTGGAAGAAAGCGATGACGAAGAAGAAGCACCGGCGACACCGGCTCTTAACGCTACCTTCGCATCTGTAGCAGCGCAATCTCCGAAAACAGCGACTGAAAATCCGAAAGAAGCGGTTCAGGAACCGCCGGAAGAAGTTATAATCGAGAAAATTGAATCTGCCGAAGCGGAAACTAACGACAAAACGAACGTAGACGACGATCCCATTTTGGAGATGATCGAACTTACCGAGGAGACTGAAGACAAAAAGGACGCAAAACGAGGTTGGTCGCATTTCGTACCACTTCAAGTTTGTTTTTTACCTCGATTACCGCTCCTTTCAGCCGAAGATAAGATCAAGGATAAGCTCGCGGCGGCGGCAAGGGAGAAATTGGCCTCGGTTTCGAGAGATAGGGCGCTTCAGATGGAGAGGAAAAAGCGGGCGGCGGCGTTTTTGAAATTGAAAACCTCCCATTCGGATCGACAGGTGGAACTCGTGGGGTCGGGCGCGTCCGATAAATCGTCGCCCTTGCGCAGGGCTTCCATAGAAGTGATAGAAATCGATTCCGAAGATTCCTCTCCGAAGAAAAAGAAGCACAAACGCAGACGGGACGGCGACAGGTCGCGGAGTAGGTCCAGGGAGAGGGATAGAGATAGGAGGAGGGAGAGGAGGAAGGATAAGGACAGGAAGAGGAGTTTCAGTAGCGAAGAGGAGGAAAACAGGAGGAAAGAAAAAAGGAAAAAATACAAAAGGTGTGTTAAATGACTGGATAATGATGGTCTAAATTATTAAGGGGCTGTTTTGTTTGATTTTTAGAGATCATTCGAGAGGGCGACACGATTCGAAGAGTAAAAGGAAATCGAAGAAACACCGGAGAAGATCGGAATCTGTAAGTTCGGATAGCGCCGATATAGTTTTATGACAACAAAAGTATCGTTATTAAAAAAATCATTGTCAAATATTGTGTATATAGGCTGTTTATGCCGTTTGTATTTGTAATATTGGTTTACTAAATTGATCTTCATATATTTAAAATATTTTTCTTTTCAATTGCAATGATGGGTAGAGTAAATATTACGTATTTAGATATGAAACATCCTGCAGTATAATGAAGAATATATAAAGGCAGGTAATTGAAGTGAGTAAATTATTAAAAAGAGGGCACTATTGAATTAATAATTCGATAACAAGCTAACAATTACCGCTAACGATTCAGATATCAATAAAAGCGATATTTGTAAGTATTAATTGTAATATATCTGGGGAATAAAGTAGACGGGGGGGAAGTAAAAAACTCGTCACTTATTAAAATCTACCTCTTGTCGGTAGGTAAATTCGTTTTTTTCTTCCATAAATCGAATTTAAAATTTACATTTTTTGACAGATTAAAAAAAAATATTTATTGACGTTTCCCGTTTGTTTGGTTTGAACGGAACTACACCAAAGTGACAGATTTTTTCGTTATTTAGACAAACACAGTTTTTAATGGATGAGAATAGAAGAAATTACAATAATTCACAAAAATATATCTTCCTTGCTCATTTATACTCGCCAAAAACAGATAAATGATCAAATTAATTTTAAAAAACCTACACTAATGACAACGGCGAAGAACATACTTCGGTCTGTCAAAATTGTCATTTGCGTTACTTCGGAGCTGATAGGTTATATAGGTCATAATAAACGAAGAACGATGTTATTTTATCAAATATAATTATCAAAGATTCAATAACCGGCATTTGTAGATCAATCAGTTTTCATTTAATTCAACAATATTCATAATCTCCTAAAACCGTCTTTGGAGGAAGTCCCAAGATACAATAAAGATATGTTGAAATACCGGTATTCTCCAGTCTTGAAAACGAAAAACGTAATGGCCCATAACAACCAACAAACACCTAAAACATGTTATAATTAATATTAATCTCAATATGTAGTTTTAACAATCCTAACATTCGTCAAATTCGCTGGGACTTGTACCAAATTTCAATGTCAAAGTGACGTTTTGACATTGACAATGGACAAGTTTTAAGCCAACTTATGTCCATTGAAGAAATATAAATTGCATCATTCCACTTTAAGGTAAGTTAGTAAGTAGACAAATGTTACGATTACTTTTCATAATAAAAACAGACTTTACAAGTATTTCCATTCTCATCACTCATCAACTCGCATAACTAGTTATCATCAAATTGCTAAGGAATAGACAGGTGATTTACGGGTGACTCGTGACAGTTCTGAAATTTGTACTTAAAATAAATCACCGTTATTTAGGGGATGTACATGTTCCAGTAATTACAAACGAAACTATATTAAAATAATCATCTTACCAACTTCAAATAAACTCCTCATAATATCAATCACATTGGACTTATCCAAATCGATGGCGACCACAAATGTTATGTACAAAAATCCTGGCAAAGTCACCAACAACCATGGGAGAAGGCAACGAGTGGCATTCTAAAATTATAAATAAAAAAAGATTAACAATAAATTTGTCCAATGATTTTTGGAGTAGCATACTCTAAACAAATTCTAAGTGATAGAAGAAATTTATTAATAAAAAATATAATAAATTGCTTACCTTAATAGTAGAGTAAAATAAGGTAAAAATAAGTACAAAATGAACTGTGTATAAAAATAGAGCTTGTGCATTTTCTTCGTATTCTAATGCATCATCTTTGGAGTAAAACTGTTTTTCGTATATTGTTGAATTTAAACCTTCGTACAAAAATATCTGGAAAAGAAAATATCTACAAATAATACATGTTTAGGCCTCTAAAAGGTTTTTTTAATAGTTTAAATGATTCTATTTTTAGGTAATAGTTTGAAATGATTATAAACTCTAAAAAAATCATTTATAATTTCAAAAAAATAACTGACAAACCAAATACAAGTAGGTATTCGATATTTTAATTAAAACTCACCGAATGTATAATTGCAATAAGGCACACGGCAATTCTTCCAACGGGTAATCTCAATACCATTTTTCATAATTATCATTTTTCATCAAATATATCCTGCATTTGCACTTATTTGTTCTGTATTTATAACATTGATAAGCTTTCTAAACTCTACATTTGCAGGTCGTATCTAATATTAATATCAACGTGGTTTTGGCTTAATTGAAACACATCGATGGCACTACATGTGGTGTTCCCGCAATCTTATCAGATTCTGCTTGCTCTTATCACATGCAAATAAAGAAAATTTTATTAGGATTTATAGAAATTTCGCGCCGAAACGAGATCGATAAAGTTTTTGAATATTGTTTGGATGATTCACACAATAATTCAGGCATGTACAAGATAATTTCTGAAACGCGCGAGTTTCATCACACAATTATTTGATTAAATTAGATTAAATAAGACGATGATAAGATTAATTTACTTCAACAAATGAGGAATATTTCGACAAATTTTTCGGTGTTTATTTTATTTTTTAATTTATACAAAGAGTGTTTATTAATTAATTAAAGTGTATATTTTATAGAAATTATATTTTTCAGAAAATTTAATCATGTTTGGTGCACTCGTGTTTATCTATAGTTACACTGAACTGATAATACGCAATACTATTGAATTCTAATTAACCTTTCACGCGAGCTTATCAAACGGGTAGACTTTTTCCAGTATTTATTAATTTATTTAAAACTGAAATGTTTAGAGCCATTGTACAACATTCGCAAATCACAACGAATCATATTATGGAACTAAACAAGAAATTATAAATTTTATTTTGTCGGTTTTTATCGCTCTATATAGTGTATTTAGCTGAGAAATTGCAAATTTATTTATCTCAACCAGTTTTGATGCTGCTGATGAAGGATTATTTTATCAAATTACGTTGAATAAGGAATCTATTTTGTGTGTTTAAATCTTGCAAATTGCATTTTGAATAATTTAGAACTTTAAAAAATTAAAACTATAAATATAAAATTAATCTATAAAAGTTATGGACCACGTGGGTTTCTTAAAATAAAATCCTTTTGCATCCAAGAGCGATCTTAAAATAATGCATGTACATACACAAAACACAAACAAAATATGAATGAACTCCAAAGTAATATAGTACCAAAACAAACGATTTAAAAATATAACAAACCTTCAAAAACATGTTATTATTAATATTAATCTCAATATGTAGTTTTAACAATCCTAACATTCGTCAAATTCGCTGTGACTTGTACCAAATTTCAATGTCAAAGTGACGTTTTGACATTGACAAGTTTTAAGCCAACTTATGTCCATTGAAGAAATATAAATTGCATCATTCCACTTTAAGGTAAGTTAGTAAGTAGACAAATGTTACGATTACTTTTCATAATAAAAACAGACTTTATTACAAGTATACAAATACAAAACACAAACAAAATATGAATGAACTTGAATGTAATATAGTACCAAAACAAACGATTTAAAAATATAACAAACCTGCTGTTTCTGAATATTCAGAAGTTAATAAAACTCACCTACAATTCCCATCAAAAATCGAAATCATTAACAATCACACACACCTGCAAAATGTGGATTAATTTTTTCGCAAAAAAACACATCGAACCTATAATATCTATTTCGGTATATTCGGTATATCATTTCACCTTCACGATGGAAGGCGAATGTTCGACTACTGCTCGACGACGACGGTGGGGTGTGGACGGCGTGTAAGATACACGCCTAGCCTTTGAAATGAAAAATAAAATAAAAGTATAATTATTCGCTGTATTATTCGATTGTGGTCCGGCCCGTATTCGTTCGTCAACCGTTCCGCTATTACCGGAGTGAATTATTTAACAGCCATACACGTAATTTCATGAGAACCAAGGTCAGCAATGAGACTATCGTTGGATTAATGTAATTAGTTTTGGTCAATAAGATACTAAAAATTTTGTTCGATGTTTAATGTGGAATACTGGATGTAAGGACAGATCGAATATGGGGATATTTTGTAAGAGTTGTTAAGAGTTTTGTAGGGATAGTTTGTAAGACACCAAATAGTTCTGAGATAAAAATGGTTAAAGAGATAAGAAGATACCACATCACACATATCACACTACAAGATTTATGTAAGTTTCTAGTAGTAGATCCAAAACCAAAGAGGATTTTTTTTAAACTATTTCGAAAACTCCTCCCAAAACCAAGAGTGGGTTTGGAGAATCATCCAATATATCGGTCGCGGTCTTACAAAAACTGGAAACTTAGTAACCCATTTCCAAGAAAATTTTGGAAGGGAACCAGAATATCATAAAACTGGAAAATATGAACAGCAAGCTATACCCTTTAATTGAAGAACACTAGACGAGTAAAATTAATTTTTATTTTTAAACCAAAACAGTGCACAATTACAACATTATGGAATTTATTTTAACAGTGCAATTTTTACTTAAATATATCAATTACAGCTTAAAGTTGAGTACTTTTCATTCGCTGGACAAACTGGACCAGAACAACAAAAATCTAGACATCCAAATCCAATTTGAGAACACCGGACGAGTAAAATTCATTTGCATTAAAAAAAATCACAAATAATCCACAATTACAACTCTACACCATCAATTTAAACAACGCAATTTCCGTAAAACATAAAAATCTTATCAAACGATAATTTGAATAGAAAACACCCCAATTATTTGCTCAGCCTTTTCAAACCCAACGGGAAGCCGCCCTCGGCCTGCAAGTTGAACTGCGCCTTGGATATCCGAAGGGGAATCTCGGTTTTAGCTATGGGCACCACCTCGAACAGCGACAGCAAATGGAAGAACACCACCTTGATTTCCATCAGAGCGAATCGATTGCCGATGCAATTCCTGGGGCCCACTCCGAACGGAATGTACGAGTACGGGTGGATGTTCGCCTTGTTGTCGTCGTTGAATCTCTCCGGATCGAACCGCTCCGGGTCCGGGTAGATCTCCGGATCGTGGTGGATGCCGAAGATGGGCAGCCACAGGATGTCGCCTTTGTCCACGTGCAAGGGCTTCTCGTCCGGTCGCACCGGCTCGATGGTGTAGGGCTTCGTGCAGACCCTGTCCACTGCTATGGCGCTCGGCCATTTCCTTAAGGTTTCTAGAAGACATTATGCGATGAAAGTTGTACGGTTTTTGAAGGGTAATACAGGGTGTCCCAATAGTGCGGTAAAGCCCGTTTACTCAATTATAACAGATACGAAAAAATGATAAATAGGAAAAATGTTATGCATCTTTAGGCGCACAATTTAAAATTATTTAGAAATATACAGGGTGGCCCATAAATCGAAGCCATACCAAACATACCTTTTTTTAAAGGCAATGATATATTTTTTATTTCATATTCTATTTCAGCTCGTTTTCACGAGTTTTTCAATATAAGATTTCATATGACTATACTGAGTATTTAAAAAGTTATGGCCATTTTTATGTTCAAATCGTCATGACTTCAAGGCCCTGTATATCAGAATCTCTATCAGATAATGTGAATTTTTCTGTGTCAGCACTTTTTGAAAATGGTCTATTTTCACAAAAATTAGTTATATTTCAAAAAAAATTACGATTTGTATACAGGGTGAGTCAAAACGCAAACATAATAATTACTCGCTTAATTTAAATGGAACACCCTATATTAATAATATCCAATGGGAAGTCTATTTCTTACTGAATCATTTTTCATAACATTACACTATACCTAACTGTCACCGTTTCTGAGATATTTTCAGTTTTATTAAAAAATGTCCAGTTTTTGATGTTATAATTTCATTTTGATCTAATTACCAATGATGTTGTCGACCTTTTTTGCAAAATAATAGTAGAACATGTAATATCGATTAATTAATGAACATTAACTACCCGAAATATTTGGTAATTTTTAAATTAAACTTTATTTATTATAATTTTAATTTAATCTAGTTACCTCTATGACGTCATCATCTACGAACTATGCGAATTTTACTTATTGAACTCACGTCACTGTAAATTAAAGAATAACTAAAGATTTAGGGTACCTGCTAATGATATTTGATTAATCATTAATCGATATTTAATTTTCTACTATTATTTGGCAAAAAAAGTTCGAAGACGTCATTGGTAATTAGATTAAAATGGAAATATAATATTAAAAACTGGATATTTTTTAATAAAACTGAAAATATCTCAGAAACGGTGTCAGTTAGGTATAGGGAAATGTTATGAAAAATGATTCAGTAAGAAATAGACTTCCCATTGGATATTATTAATATAGGGTGTTCCATTTAAATTAAGCGAGTAATTATTATGTTTGCGTTTTGACTCACCCTGTATACAAATTGTAATTTTGTCATAATTTACCTAATTTTTGTGAAAATAGACCATTTTCAGAAAGTGCTGACACAGAAAAATTCACATTATCTGATACAGATTCTGATGTACAGGGCCTTGAAATCATGTCGATTTGAACATAAAAATGGCCATAACTTTTTAAATACTCAGTATAGTCATATGAAATCTTATATTGAGAAACTCGTGAATACGAGCTGAAATCGAATATGAAATTAAAAATATATCATTGCCTTAAAAAAAAGGTATGTTTGGTATGGCTTCGATTTATGGGCCACCCTGTATATTTCGAAATAATTTTAAATTGTGCGCCTAAAGGTGCATAACATTTTTCCTATTTATCATTTTTTCGTAACTATTAAAATAACTGAGTAAATGGGCTTTACCGCACTATTGGGACACCCTGTAGGTGCTTACCTGATACGACCATATCCATGTATTTCATCTTCAAGACGGCCTCGTACGTTACGGTTCCTTTGCATTCGTCGAGGGTTTGGAAAACTTCCTCTCTGAGTCTCTTTTGCACGTCGGTGTCGATCGCTAGTTCGTACGCCATGAAGCACATTACCGAAGAAACGGTGTCGAAACCGGCGAAGAAGAATATCATAGCTTGGGCCACAATGTCCATGTTGGTCAGTTTACCTAACGCCGATTTTCCTGAGATCAATTTTATTATTGTAAATAATTTAAATAGTAGGGTACAATCGTTTACCTTTTTGGTGGAAATCGGCTTCTTCAACAGTTGCGAATCCATTGTCGACCGGATGATGGTTCTCCTCGTCTTTGTCTTTACCTTTTTGGGCTTCAAGGAGAAGGTTGATCATGTCGGGTCGTACGATGCCTTTTTCTTTTCTCATTTTGATGTTGTTGTTGATTAGATCGGTGAAGAATTTAGCCACCTCTTTGTCGAATAACGGTATTTTTAGCAGCTAAAATGTTGATTGATGTTCTTTATTAGAAGGGAGAAGAAGGAGAACGGGTGGAGGACACTTGGTCGCCGCGGTTAATTTTACCCAAATTTAATCCTTTCTCGATTCGAAAGGTACAGGTCACTTGGTCGCCAATACTGGATTAACGGTTTCTAGGAAGGACTGATAGGGATATCTACATTTTTAAAATTCTCTGGTAAAGTTAGTATTTGAATTTCGTCGTACAAATTAATAAGGATGTTTATGTTAACGATTCGCATATTATTTTATTTTCTTGCGAATCAAATTTGACATATTTGTGCTCTCGTGGCACAATTTATTGCGACGGCACATTTGATTATTTTCCCTTATTTTTTTGTGCAATTTTTTACTATACACGCTATTGACAATGGCCATTAGCATATTTTCTCCTACAAAACTGCATTTAAAATATTAAAGGAGTATTGCTGTAACAATTTAAATTTAATTTGGATTCAATCAAAAGTAGTTTGTGTTTTTGAAAAAGCCCTACACTGGCATAAGGCAAATTTGGCCCGACATTTTAGTTATCGGATGCCGATTTCATTTAAAACAGTCATGGTTTCGAAAAATTCAAATTACACATTCATTACATATTCGGCTTTTTATTTTTAGAGAGTAATGAAGTTGCAGATTGTTTTAGCCTAGATTTAATTCCTATAATGCCAACCGATGAACGGTTACTTTCATATACTCTTTATATGATAAATACATAATATACTAACGACTCTTCTGACTTCCCGCCTTCAATGTGTTGACTTTAGACACAATGTATACATTTTTTAATACTAATACTTATTAAATATATTTTAACATTTAAAACTGCATTTTGTTCATATTCTCTAAGCTATCTGTGTAGGTATAGGTAACTAGAAGATCTCAGCCAAAATATAGATGATTATAAAATGTACAATCTTGTCTAATCCGATTAGAATTATTTTTAATAAGATTTGACCGCGGCGACCAAGTGACCCATTAAATTTTTAAACTGGGGACCAAGTGACCGGTAGGATTATGGAACCCCGCAGACAAAATTGACCGCGGCGACCAAGTGACCAACACCGAGGAGAACAAGCCAAGAAGATCCAAATGATCTAATCAATTGTTGCTATGTATACCTCACCAAGTGTAGCATGGCAGTTGGAATCTTTTATAAGTTGGATGCAATGATTAGTCAATTCTACAGGGTGGCACATTAGTATGGAAAAGCTCAATATATCTGTTATTGTAGAAGATATCAAAAAAACTTCATTACAAAAGTTGTAGATCTTTTTAAGCTGCACATTTTAAAATTAGTTACATTTATACAGAGTGTCCCGTTTTTCCGTAGTAGATCAAACTTATACTTTTTTAAATGGAACACCCTGTTTTTTATTTAAAAATTGAATTTGGCTCGTTTTCAGCTTTCCAAAAATATACTTTTGTGTAACGTTGTACCGAGTGGGAAGGAAAAAAAAAGGAAATTTTTTGTCAATTTTAATCATACTGCTTACAGGGTGGATCCAAACGCAAAAGTAACATTTTCTCTGTTAATTTAAATGGATCACCCTATATTTTATATCGTTAATAGGAAGTATTTTTGAAGTACTTTCATTCTTAATAACCATTCCCTATACCTAAAGTTAACACTTTTCGAGATATTTCAATTAAAAAAAAATAGAACTTAAAATTGAAGAAAAAAAAATTAAGCTTCACTCTGTATAAAAGTTACTAATTTTAAAACATGCTGCTTAAAAAGATCTACAACTTTTGTAATGAAGTTTTTTTGATATCTTCTATAATAACAAATATATTGAGCTTTTCCATACTAATGTGCCACCCTGTATATGAATTGAACAAAGAAAGATGATAAAAATAACAGTGCGATTAGATTAAAAAAGATGAAATTCCACAACATCACTCTTTCTTTTTTCTTTTGTAATACTCTATCAAAATTTATACCATCCGGCATTTCTCTGGTAATTAAAGACTCTTTCTTTCTTTACCTTTGCCTATCTTTCATCCCAGTTTACGCATCCAATCCAATTTTCTACCGCCAAGCTACATCTGGTGTGGTAAATTTTTTTCACATTTTATCACCCACTTGTAGTGAACCTACCGTGAATAATTTGGGGGCCAAGAAGAACCCGAAGAACTTCATCCGTTGCCAGAAACTGCCGAAATTCGTGGCCTGCTTCCCCATCAAGTAAAACTCATTGGTCTGATCTTTGAGCGAATCGATGCTGATCCCGAAGGCGGTGGTGGCGATGACGTCGTTGGTGTAGCGCGTGAACACGTCCTTCATCTCGACCTCCACCACCTCCTGGTTCTTCTTCGAGAAGTAATCGGTGAGCGAGGTGGCGCAGTCCGACATCAGCGTGAACATGTTCTTCATTTTGCTGCTGGTGAACGAGGGGCTCAGGATCGGCCGCATTTCCCGCCACCTTTGGCCTGCGGAGGTCGCGAGAGGCGGCGATTAAATGAAAATACCCGGCGCTAATTGCTCACCTTTGAGAGAGAATAGGTTCTTTCCGAACAATGGATCGGATTCTTCGGTAACGAATGATCTGTGGTCCACGAAGTGATCGAAATCCTTGACTCCTATTTGTTTGATCAACTCGGGATCTCTAAGGACTAGTGTTGGGGTTGTGAACTGGTACATACCCAAGTACCTAAATTGAGCAGAATATATTACAAAATGAATGTTGCTTATGATGTAGTGATTTACCTAGCTCCTGGCATTTGCATGTACACTCTTTTCACCATTTCAGCAAAACTCTCTAGTTTAAAGACTGTTCTCCAGTTATCTCCTGCCAACCATACCACCGTTGTTTGGTTTATGCCCTTTTCAGTCCAGTGGTACATCGGCTTAACGCCGAAATAGTAAAATAGCGCAGCGAAACATATCGCTATTAAAATAAGTTGCAGCATTTTGTCGTCTTCAATTCACATTTATCTGAAAAATATACTAATTTAATTCCTACAGATGATTAAAAATGGTTTTACAGTATCACTAAGGATTTAAGCATAAATGTTGGAATGTTAGAATTATGCATAAAAGAAGATAAAGATAATAGCCTTATTACAATAATGCTGTGTTGCCAAAATAATGATGTAAAAACCACACAAAACGCAATAATGTTAACACTCAGGTAAGGTACAAGTGATATAAATAATAAATGTATGAAAACGCGAGATTGTCTTTTTAAAATAGGCTTCTACGTATCTGATTTGTAATTTGTTTATAATTGCATGTTGTGAATGAAAATTTTACAATGAAAATGCTTTATTAGCAATTACAGGCAATTGTAAATTATTGTTAGCGAACGAAGTAAACAAATATAATTATTACACAGTTTTATGGACTTTGTGATTTAATTGCGAAAGCTGAAAGTGTCATGTATTTTTTAAATTGACTTAATTTTCATTTATTTGTTTAACTTGTGTGTTCTTTAAATCCCCAAGTCTGGTTACCTTTGATAAAACATCTCCCAATAACAGAGTGTTTCCTAATATAAGGATATTTTTTTCAATATTATCAATATACACGAATAAAACAAATTACTGGCGCTAAGAGTTAGATTTGTTTACGAGAATGTGGATAAAACGATACTGTTCTAAAACCGATAAGAGCAGATACGAAGATAAAAAAATAATTAAAATATCTAAAATTAATGGATTTCGAAGGGAAGGCCTTGAAAGTTACAATTAAGTTCACTTAATTTTTGATATTAAAACAGATGAAAAATATTTTAAGAATAAGCTGTCTGATAAATTTATTGTATGTCTATAAAATTTTATATGTATAATAATTAAGTAAACAAATATAAACCCCTTTTTTTTTGACGAATTTGTTAAACTTTTTGTACTTTATGTTGGATAAATTCAACAATGTTATTCAATAGGTGAAAAATATTTTTATTCAACTAGAACAAATATCAAAGGTCAATACGTTAATTTAAAAAATCATTAGATCAAGTAAATTATTGAAGGTCATTGTCAAAATCATTTTAATTTTAGGAGGCGCCGGATATACATATGTATACAAAATTGAATGGAACCATTGGATAAGAGCAATAACTACCAGCATATCTAGGGGGATACTCGGAAATATTTTTATTATATGTTATTTATGGAGTAATAAAACGAATAAAGATGCTTTATTTTGAATAACAATGATTACAAAATTAAGAGTAAAAAGAAATTTACTGATATTCTTACGATTTTTCTGTTGTTTTTTATAGTATTGCAGTTTACCAATAATAAATAAATTACCAAATACTACCTAATTGTCAATTTTAGAAGTTAGTGTTGAAATATTAGGTCTATATGTATCTAATATGAGATATGTATATTCTAAAAAGCCTAACATTTTGACAAAGTTTCAACAGGTTTCTTGCATGCACTGATATCTCAATAAAAGATTCGCTATATTTATTAGGTAGGTATACATAATTTACACTGAGAAAAAATATTGAAATGTTTTTCACTTTAAGGACTTTAAATATGATATTATTTGATGAACCGTACAGTTATATTAATTTAATTAAAACAGTCTATTTTACCTTATTTTCCAATTACAAACAATCTTCCCAACGACTTCAACCTTCAATAACCAAACGCAACCGACTAAATAATAGCCTTCACGTCTACTTAATACGTCTTCAACTAAATATTCAATTTTTGTAAACAACTTTATATACACCCGTATGAGATCGAATTGAGATAATGAACCTCATCATACACCGGCGCGAGAATGATCTTTTTTACGTCATTTATCGATACAAAGGGGATAAATGCAGGAGACCCTTCAATGGATGATTTATATTTAGTTAAGCGCAAGAGATGCTCCCGTTCGTTTTTGTTAAATAAATAATTTAATGTAATATTGCGAAATATCCGACAGTGTTGCATGTAATTTCGTTAATTTTATTACCGTTACATTTGAAGGATAGGTACATGTGAACCCGTCAGGATAACTTCAGAACCTTGTAGAGTTCCTGATAAAATATGCATAAGGTAGACTGGGGCAAATCGGTTGTAAAATTTGAATAGTTCAAATTAAATCCTAAAATGTGGCTTTATTTTTTCTCTTATTAGAAATGCTGATACCCCATTAAATTCACAACTTCCTAAACTGAAGAATCGAGGTATTAAAAAGTTTTTTTTTTGAAAAAGGAAGAAAACGATTTTACATATTTTTTAAAATGTTGACAATATGTTACATTTACCCCATGATACGGGGTAAATGTAACAAACGGTTTTAAAGTGCAATACAATTATATAGAAAAACATATGGGGCAGTTGTAAAAAAATATTTGGTTCCTCTAAAATTTGATATGCTGTTTATTTATTTATTTCAAAAATAACAAAGCTACAAAATAATAAAGAAAAAATAAGAAACAAACCCTGTCTAATGCACAAAAGAACTATAAAAATAATAAAAACATTAACATAATAGGTAAAAATATTACATTTACCCCATTTTTACGTTTGCCCCAGTCTACCTTATGGGACATCGAGAAAATGGACTTTATTCGCATTTTTGTTGAGTAAGAAAAAGAATAAGTGGTTTCTACAGATTCGAATTTCCCGGTACTCTTGTACCGAATAAGTTAAAATAGAGTCAATATATCGAGGTACATATTTAATTCCAATTTCACAGGTCCGTATTCAGCTTCTCTATTTAAGTCTAGAGTAACTCTAAAGTCGCGTCTTTAACTTGACAGATTTACATTGTTGTTATGGAGTGACTAAGGACTCGAGACGCGACTTTAGAGTCACTCTAAAGTTAAACAGAGTCGCTGAATACGGACCATAATATGTCGAATGTAGAGTGAAGCTGCAATACTTTATTACAAATGTTCCTGAATTTTCACTTTATATAGACTGCTCAATATATAATATACAGGCAACGGCCATACCACAATGAATACGCCAGTTCTCGTCCGATCACTGCAGCTAAGCATTATTGGGCGCGGTTAGTACTTGGATGGGTGACCGCTTGGGAATACCGCGTGTCGTTGCCCCCTTTTTATTTTTTTTATAAATTTTGGTTATTACATAAATAAGTAGATAAGTACAGTAAAAAATTAATCATTTTTTCCACTTTGTGAGAAAATCCACCTTCACGTAATAAGGGGTGTTTCAAAAAGAGCGCCGGATTTAAATTTATCCGGCGCTGTTGTTGGGACACCCTGTATAAAGTAATTATTGTAGATATCACAATGCCAGTTTACGCCAATACTAAAATTCCTTCCTGGACCATCATCTTCAACCAATCACCTTTCCTTACGAGCATTTCAAAGAAACATTTTGATTGATTTTGTTTTCCAACGATGACCAAATCAAATTCCGAGATAAAAATGCCATCATACAATTTAAATCACAATCACAGAATTTTTATCAACACTTTTTACGGTACTACTTTTGACCTCGTCAAGAGCCTTTTCACTTGAAATAATTTTATCTCAACGTTAACATTTGTAATGCTTGCATTTATCGCAACCAATAATTATTTATACCATTGGAATCAATAATTTAAAGGCTTTTGGTACGTTCCCTAAAGTATCAAATCCTATATCATAATAATAACAAAATCAGGTTTGGAAAAATTATTATTAAATACAGAAAACATCATTTAAATGAAACGACCAAATAAAATCAATCTCAATTTTTCACAACCACCGGATAAACGGCGTCCAAAGTGATCCCGCACAAGTACAGCCCTCTCTTGATCCTGATCATACCATCCTCGCCCCAATACACTCCCATACTCGTTTTGATCAACCAAAAATCTGTAGCCGGCGTTCTATCAGTGGCAGGATCAGTACCGTAACCAACGACCAACGCAGTCGAGTCCAGCAAGTCCAAGTCGCTCAAGCACCCCGGATTATCGTACACGCCGCCTCTGTAATCCAGAAACGTCTCCATATAGAGCCTCACCGGTATGGGACCGACAGTTGCAACGGCCACCTGCAGGTCTTCTTCAGTGGAAAACACAGTCCTGTAACCAGCGACTTTGATTGCCGAGGTATTCTTAGCTTTGCAGGTGCCGTTTGTCCCCACGTAAGGATAATCGCGGTTGGTGTTAATGCCGTTGTATTCCACGTATTCAAAGGCCGATGTGGCATCACCGCCATTGCACCCGTCAGTCCCGAAGGCAGAGGAGCAGTCCAAGAGCTGCTGCGAGCTGAGTAAATCTTGCCCTTTGTTGATTAGGAAATTCTGGGCTGTTAGAGCGTCTGCCTGAAATTGTGTTATTCTAAAGTTTGATTTTGGTTTAATCATTAAGAAGATACTTACAGCAGCTGCTGCCCAGTCTAATTTGCAGGGATATTCTGCTATCAGGTCAGTGGGGTCACCAATGGCGGTGATGTTATCTCTCCAGTCTATTGCGTTGGGTAAGGGCTGGGGAGTGGTTTGTGAAAATATGTGGTGGTGGTTTGGTCGATGGGGAGGTTTTCTTCGGTTAAAGATTCTCTCCAGTTCTTCTTTGGTTTGGTCGGTGAATTGGTTGATGCCTGTTAAATATTTTAAGTGAAGAAAGTAATGTGATGAAATAAAACTAAATCGAAGAATATATTTACCTATTTTATAAGAATGTTTGTGAGCAGCGTATTCCGTGTTATGTTTTTCGATAAGTCTGAGTTTATTTTGAAATATATTAAAATGTAGGTAGTCATCTTCTACTGATTTGTAGGTTTTATTATACTTCAACTGAAAAAATGTATGGTAATTTTTTTGATTTTTCTAATACTAGGTTCTTACCTTGTAGTCCTGCCATAATGTTTCGTCATCTAACGAATAAACAGTTAATAATAAAGTAGTTAGGAATATAGCAGTTAACATCCTTAATTACTCTTTAAAAACTACTAGGTAATAAAACAAACGATAATTTACAGAATAATTTTATCTCCATATATTTGCACAATTTCAGTTAAAGTAGCTTATTATCAGGTAAATTATTATAACGTAATCAATCAATTATTTATCAGTAATATTCGTTTATCAATATCTAAATGTTAACAAGATTTTATTGGCCAGTGCACTTACCTTAATTATGAAGTAATAAAAGATTGAAATCGTAACTTGATGGAAAAAATAATATTCTAATGTGATTCATGGACTGATAGAGTAATGTGTGTTAGCCAATCATCGTCCAATCTGAAGATATTATAGATATTTAGGAAATATAATAATTGGAAACACTTTTATTTCTAATGTTTCTTTAATAACAGCAAGCAATAAATTCAATTCGTATTTATTGTGATTTTGGTGGCTGGCAAGGGTATCTTCAGAATTGCTTTAGCTGCCTTTGGTTTTCAAATTTCTTTTATTTTTGGCTTGAATTATCGACTACAAATAATGCAGAATGTCAGTTGAAAAAGAAGTGAATTTTTATGCAATTAATTTCTAAAGGTTCTTTTCATTTTTACAAGCGCATAGTATTCATAAAAAAAGGGAAGAAAAAAGTAAATTTCTTATATTTTATAATTTTTTACTACTTTAGCAATAGTATTATGGACTTTTTGCATTTTTACCAGTCTGTAATATATGTGAAACTTAAGTTGACAAAGATAATTATTATTTTTTGAGTCTTATTAAACATTATCTTTGGATACATGGAATAGAAGTTAAAAAAAAACAATGTTTTTAAAGACAACAATAATTTTATTATAATTTTATTCTTCAAAATAGTATAGTACCTAGTTTCCTTAAAATTATCTAAATAATAACAATCGGTAAAGGACATTTGAATATTCAACACTTAATATACTGAAAGGAGTGGTTTAAAATAAAATGCATTATCCGATAAAGTAAAGAAGTTTTTTGGAGGTTTTGATAAAGCTTTTGTTTTTTTAAAGCGAATTTTTTTGGAGGTTTTTTAAAGTTTTAACAAGGTGTCTTGAAGATTTCAGATGATATTTCAGAAATTGCAATATTAAAAGAAATTTTGAAGATGAATTGAAAGTTGTACAAGATTTTAAATAAATTTTGCTAAAAAATTAGTGATATTTTAAGAACCTTTTAAACACAGGATGTCCCATAAGATCAACAACACTCGGCTTAAATGCAAATATTGCATAATTACACTGTTGCCAAAGCATTAAAAAGTCTAAAATTTATTTCCTTTCCCAAAATATTTAACTCAAAAATCAAAACATTTTCGCCATACATTATACAATGAGTAACAATTCTACAAACTTGAAAATCATCTTAAATGAACAAAATTTTGATAAACCAACTAAAATCTTCAATAAATTATTTACAAAAAAAATTAAAAGGGCATATGTAGTGTATAAATTATGTAATGCTAAAAAATCAAAAAAACCACAAAAAATTATAAAAATATTTAAACAATTTAGGGGATATTAATTCGATATTATCATACTCTTGTATCTGACGAATTTTACTAACAATATGGACAATTAATCAATCATCCTCTCATTTTAGAAATGGATACAGCAAGTTCAATTTTCAGCGGGCCATATGCTGCGATATATTGCATGCTAATGAAGCGTTTTCATACCTATTATACACTTTAATACTTACATTTTTAACCTACTTCCGCTGGAAATTGATATTTTTAGCGATAGTACTAAATCAAAAACAACAAAAAAAATCTTCAACTTACATCATTTTAGATAATCAAAGGGGTAAATAATTATTATCATTCAATCGTGATCGTGCATCGAACGACATTTTAACTAAGGACAATCGATTAATCATCCTCGCGTAACGTATCTACATGGATCCTACAACAATAAAAACGACAATATCAGTAAGATTTTAGGCCTTTCCCGCCACCTGCTGCACACCACCTTTGCCCGGCGCCTTCTCCACGCCCGTCTCCTTCTCCAGCTGCCTGCCCAGGTACTCCCAATTGTGCACCATCAATTTCTGCACCGCCAGCAGCGCCTCGTATCGCACGTTCGGGTCCTCGTGGGCCAACAGCTGCATCACCAGTTGCTTGCCGCCCAATTGCTCGATAATGCTACAACACAGAAGAAAAGCGATTAAGTTAGCCCAAAAAAAGAAAACCAGAAAAATAAAACCTTTTCATTTGTTGGTTCTTTGAGGAGGTTAGTAGTTTGTGGTCGAGCTTGCGAAGCAAGCGAGTGTATTATGGAAGAGAGTATGGAAGAGGGTTTATCAAAGAGAGCATATGGAAGAGAGTATGGAAGAGGGTTTATCAAAGAGAGCATATGGAAGAGAGTTTATCAAAGAGAGCATTTGGAAGAGAGTATATGGAAGAGAGTATATGGAAGAGAGTATATGGAAGAGAGTATATGGAAGAGAGTGTGGAAGAGAGTACATGGAAGAGAGAATATGGAAGAGAGTATATCGAAAAGAGCATATGAAAGAGAGTACATGGAAGAGAGTTTATTAAAGAGAGCATTTGGAAGAAAGTTTATCAAAGAGAGCATTTGGAAGAGAGTATATGGAAGAGAGTATACACCGTTGGAAAATTATTCGCGCATAATAGGGAAATCAATGTTAAATTCTTAGCCGGCTGAAATCCAGTCTACCAGGGTACATTTCAATAGAATGTCGCGATGAATTCTAATAAATTTAATTGTTCTACTGGACTCTACACACCGCGATTTGTTTCGGTTAGATTAAAAATCAAATAATTTCGACGGTTTCGACACTTCGACAGTATCAAAACGGGTTCGGATGGGTGAACGTCGATTCGAATAAAAAGAAATGAGAATTTTTAAACGATAATTTATTGAATAAATATCACTAATAATAAAATAGAATTATGTAGATATGTCTTTTTGCCACAATGGCTTGAAAAAGAAAGTAAATTCTAAGAAAATAATAAAAAGGAAACTCCAAAAATAAACTTAAAGATTATTTTAAAACAGAAAATAAAAACTCTAAAAAATAGTCCACCGCTTTCTGCTTAACAATATCCAAACCTGTCATACAGATGTCATCTCATATTACTGAGCTGAGGTATAATTCTAGCAGAAAATTGAATTATTTTTTCCCTTATTTCAACAAGATTTGTTGCTCTTTCAAAACTGTACCTACCGATACACATTTTTTTGAAATATCCTCAAAAAAAATATAAAATTTAGTTTCTAAATAATTTTGTACCTCATACTTAACACAAATAACTTTATACCTCTACAAATCGCGGCGTGCGGTCCAATAGAACAATTAAATTTATTAGAATTGATCGCGACGTTCTACTGAAATGTATACTGGTAGACTGGATTTCAGCCGGCTAAGAATTTAACATTGATTTACCTATTATACGAAATTAAATTTCCAACGGTGTATATCGAAGAGAGCATAAGAAAGAGAGTATATGGAAGAAAGTTTATGAAAGAGAGCATTTGGAAGAGAGTATATGGGAGAAAGTATATGGAAGAGAGTGTGGAAGAGAGAATATGGAAGAGAGCATATGAAAGAGAGTACATGGAAGAGAGTTTATCAAAGAGATCATTTGGAAGAGAGTTTATCAAAGAGAGCATTTGGAAGAAAGTATATGGAAGAGAGTACATGCAAGAGAGTTTATCAAAGAGAATATATGGAAAAGAGTTTATCAAAGAGAGCATATGGAAGAAGCGAGCAATTTCACTCGTTATGAATGGATACTGAAGTGGTATTGGTAGAAAGTAAAAAAAAAGAAAATCCAACTTACTGCTTGCCTCTGGGATAGTGCCTGACGTACTCGCCGATATCGAAGCTGGCCACGCTCAACACCAAGGGGTCCTTGCTGGTCTCCAACAGATGGATGAGGATGCGCAACAATTCGTAGTTCTTCTCGTTGAGGCGCTGCGCGTTTTCCCGCCAAAATTTGCTTTTGTGCACCGGCGACCATTCCAAACGACCGGATTTTACCTAGATAAAAATACAGAAGAATTTTCGATGTAATCCTTAACTCTATAAAAATCATATAAAGTGTGTATTTCTCACGATGATGGTTCATTGGAGGTGTAAGTGGGTATTTTCCACGCTTTTGCAAATGCTTCATTATGGGTACTGTAAAAACCGGCTACGGACTACGAGCGATAATATAATATATATTATATTTTGCATATTACATATTACATAAATATCGCTTTAAACAAAATCAAATGTAACACCGCGCATTAATGCTATAATATACAGTGTGACACACACTGTATATCTATATCCAGGCGATATATTAAGTATCTGCAGAGATATGCTTTTCGAGCGATATTTTAGAGTATATCCCACTCGTAGCTTCGTATTTTTCTTTTTTATGTCAGCTTTTATTAAATCATGTAGTTCAAAAGCTTAATTCGGTCCATGCGAAAATAATTCGTAAAATGTTCATCACTTAGATCTTCAAAGAGTCTAAATTCACCCCTTTCTTTACGAAATTTAATATGCTTGGATATCTAGAATCTAGGCGTTTTCTTTTTATTAGCAATAATTAACGCCAAATCATTGTCACATTTTGCTTCTTCGTCTTCTGAAGAGCTATCAATAGTATCAAGTATCATTTCGACGAAGTTTTCCATTTTTAAACGGCACAAACTAACACAACTTATCGATATGCCAACTGAAATAGTAGTAAATATAAAAATTTTATATCCTAATCTGCTGCATGCTTAATATAATATGATATTATATCTCATTATAGAGCTATAATATATATTATATTATCGCTCGTAGTCCGCAGCCGGCTTAAAAGAGGTGCTTGGTCTCATAATTAAAGTCTTACCTCAGTCGAGTATTCATCGAACGAGCTCAAATCTTGCACAGAGCTTTGCAGCTTCTCGGTGAGGAACTCCACGTCGGCGGTGACATCTTCATCGTCGAATTTACGCTGCTCCAATATAGCCAGCTGTTTGAGCACCTAAAACAATATTCAAACAATTACAATAACACATACAAATTTCGAACCATCCCCATCGCTCACCTTACACTGCACCATAGCGATGCAATGTTCCTTGCACACCTGCCCGTCCTCCGGCTTCTCGATCAGGTTCCTGAACACGGCCAATATGATCCTGGTCACCTTCTCCTTCACCGAATCGCTCAAGATGTCGGCCAGGATCGGTATGACGTTGAACTTGTTCATCTTCTCGGCGAGCAACGGATTGAAGGTGAGCGCCCACAGGCAGAACACCAATTGGTACTGCACCTGGAAGTTGACGCGGCCCGACAGCACCGACAGCAACGTGGAGATGCCGTCGACGGAGACGAACGCGAAGCGGTACTCGTCGATGCGCAACATCATCTGCAAACATCTCGCCACCGACTGGATGTACTCGTTGTTCTGCAGAGGATCAATGCGTTCGTTTATTCGATATCGAAGCTGTTTTTGGGATTGGTTATGGTTTGTACCAATTTGGGATGTGTTATTGTTGGAGGGATGAGAGTTTTTTTAGAAGTTTTAGGTAGTTTTCGTGCTCTTTTCAACGATACACAGTTGTTGTTAAACGATTAATTAACAATTATATCTATAGATACAAGTTATTAAAGCATTATACTCTGGTCGCTGCCAGGAAGATTGTAATCAAACCTAATTTTGTGTTAACTACAAAACTTTTAGGCTTAAATGATGTAATAGTAATGGTTATTCTACTTTTGTAGTGCCACTCTGTATACAGGGTATTTAACAATAAGCGATCCTTTACTAATTCGAAGCTGTTTTTGGGATTGGTTATAGTTTGTACCAATTTGGGATGTGTTATTGTTGGAGGGATGTGAGTTGTTTAGAAGTTTTAGGTAGTTTTCGTGCTCTTTTCAACGATACACTGCCGTTGTTAAACGATTAATTAACAATTATATCTATAGATACAAGTTATTAAAGCATTATACTCTGGTCGCTGCCAGGAAGATTGTAATCAAACCTAAGTTTTAGGTATAATTTTGTGTTAAATACAAAACTTTTAGGCTTAAATGATGTAATAGTAATGTTTATTCTACTTTGGTAGTGCCACTCTGTATACAGGGTATTTAACAATAAGCGATCCTTTACTAATTCCAGAACTGCTACCGGTCATTTTGAGATTAGTTAATTTTCAAATTATTAATTCAATTATGGTAATAAAACCTAATTAAGTGCAGCACGAGCGACTCAATGGAAAAATCATAAATTTGCAAAACTTCTAGGCTTTTCCTTTAAGGCTTTTAAGGATGTAATAGTAATGGTTATTCTACTTTTGTAGTGCCACTCTGTATACAGGGTATTTAACAATAAGCGATCATTTACTAATTCCAGAACTACTACTGGTAATTTTGACGTAATTATTAGTTATTTATCAAATTATTGATTCAATTGTGATAATAAAACCTAATTTTGGGCAACACGAGCGACTCAATAGAAAAATCATAAAATTACAAAACGTTTAGGCTTTTCCTTTAAGGCTTTTAAGGATGTAATAGTAATGTTTATTCTACCTTACTAGTACCACTCTGTATATCTATCGCTTTTATTGATATACACTGTGCTCCACTTCCGATTGCAACATGGTCATTTTTATGAGTGGAACAGAGAAAGATTATTAAAATGAGTTGTCAAAATGACACAAATGTCACTCTTTCCTTTTCCTTTATAAGTTTCTAATGGAAGTTGTCTTTATCGCACCCATGGCCTATATAACCTATGTTGCGATCAAAAATAGAGCAATCTGTATAAATCATCAATTATTAATAGGTTTGTTCCTACAAAAAGTCACTGATTTGTTACCAATAAGTTTCTGACTCTTCTATTTCGCATGCGCGGTTTATGATTGAATGGTGTAATCAAATTTCCGATTTCTTGATGGAACAGTCTTTACATTTATTACATATATTCACCAAATATCAAACAAAAACAACAAACAACATAACCTAATAATTAACCTACATATATTCAGAAATACAAATTAAACCCAAATTAAAAATGAGCTTGCGCCGAATTCTAAATCTCTGTACTATCAGCAAATTTTTCTGACTATCACAAAACCAGTCCCTTGAACTGTTGGAACAATAAATTGTTAACCAAGTCAGAATCAGAGATGTCTGTGGAGTTTGTTGGAACGCCTAAATTATTACTGCGCAGACTCCTGACGACCACCGACTATTTCTGACTGTTGTAGGAACAAACCTAATATCACGAATTATCAATAGTGCCTATTTTTTAATTATTTGTTTACACACCTACAGGTTACACCTTCAATAAGGTTTGATTCCTATCTCCTGATGGCGAACGGAGTATAATAAAAAAATACAAGTCGAGTACAACAACAACTCTTGAACTACAACCAGTCAATTCACCTAATCGACAATCAAAGAAGTCCAAACGACTCAAAGTTCAACAGTCGAGAAATCGTACTATAAAAGAAGCGTTTCGGCAACAAGCGGTTAAACCACAAAACAGCGCCACAACACCACAAACCACAAGAGAAAACCGGGGCGGTAATCGTTTCGAAAAAAATTCGAGCGGGGGCGCGCGCTTCGTGGAGGCCTACAGGGGCCCGCCTACCTCTTGGGCGAGCTTGGTCGCGTCCGCCAGCGACATGCCGAACAGGATGGAATTGGCGGCGTGCGCAATGTCCACGCAGCTGCGCTTGTCTTTTTTGGACCGCGAAGTCGGCACGGCCGAGCACGCCATTTTGTATTTGTTTTCCTACGTGGAAATCCACAAGACGTCGGTGTAATTATTATGTAACTTCAATAACGTTCGGTGGCAAAGTTTGTTTTTCGTTATCTCCAATTGCATGTCTATTAATCTCTATTAATTCTCCGAAAGAGGCTCAAAGTTCGTCGGACGAAACCGCCTTAAACTTTGACATTTATTTATGCCCGAACATCCTTACGACACATTTAAGAAATGTCAAATTAATTCCACAGACTACTGTTCTATAGACTTTTCAGGCAAATGACCAAAGTTCAAATCATTTTATATTTCGGATTCGCACGCCTAGAGGACACTTTTACCAGACAATTTATAGGAAACTCATGGCGTTTTCCATTGGTAAAATAGTGCGCACTGAAAATGTACCAAAAGCGAAATTTTTGTTTCATTTGGTGCACTTTGCAAGTGTTTTGATTTGCATTGGAAATCGGGTCACCAAAAAACCCTTTTGGAAATCAAAACACTCGCACAGTCCAACAAATAAAACAAAAAATTTGCTTTCAGTGCACTTTCAGTGCGCACTATTTTACCAATGGAAAACGCCATTATGTTTCGTTGTATGTTGATTAATTCTTCTTAAAAACTGGCCTTATTTTTGTAGAGATTGTTGACATTGTTGAGTAATCATTTTTCAGTTGGCGTTGGAACAGAAAAGTTGCGTTTTAAAGTGTAATTCTCTTTTTAAGATTAATTTGGAGTTCTGTTTGTGTTGTGAATGTTACTGTTAAATTGTTTTATTCATAAATAAATTATTTTAGATTAAAAAACCAAATTATAATTTGAATTTAAATATAAATAATGGCAACGTCAAATGTCAACTTCATTGTAAACAAAAACAAGATCCCTTCATTACCGACTAAGCGTCCTCTATCCCTGCGAATCGGTATTACATTTTTGTTCTAATCTAAAGCATTGTCGTGAGACATCTATAGAGTATATCATCTTTGATTAATTCCTCCAAAGAAATAGAATAAATAAATTTAACCCCACTATCGAACCCCCAAAAAATGATAAGTATAATTAACAAACTAACATTACAAACTCCAAATACACTACAATCAACTTCGAACATTTTCAAATTTAGTAACACCCTAAACATTTCTCGTGATATCCACAAAATTCAGACCAAACTTTCGACATTTCTGGCGTAATTCCTACACCACAGCCCCCTCTTTACCTGCGTTCTCAATTGGTCCTTCAGCCAGGTGAGGTAGAAGTGCAAATCGGAACGTTCCATGGGCGTCTGCGACCAGCACGCTATTTTAGCCACGATCTTCGAGGTCATGTTGGTGACGAAACCGTCCTGTCTGTTGAGCAGGTTGAGGAACGGGGGCCAAAGGGGCTCCCGCTTGCGTTCGGCGTACTCGCGGAACATCTCCACTCGGCTGCGGTGCTCCTGGAAAATCAATGTTCTCTCGAATTATTTCGTACGACAGAAAGAAAAGCGTTTCGAGCAGCTAGATTACCTGCAGCATATCGTCGAGCAACACGAGCACGTATTGCAATGTCTGATCTTTGGAAACGTGCCCCAACAGGTTCAAGAAGGTTTGGGCGCATTGCAGACGGTCCGCGTTTAACAGGGCTTCCCTTTTGTTGTGGTCGGCAACGTCGAAGGCAACGATAAAGTTGTAATCCTCCTGTGAAATCATCTGAGACCTTAAACACGTAAAAATAGTATTAGTCGATTCGCTCAGAGAGGGCTGTGGAAACAATGGGTATTTATAGTCGTGTCAAAGTATGCTGTGAATACAGCTATGAGATCTATCGTTACTCACTGGAAATACGATTGCCAATTAACGTGCTGATTTCTGATGTCTGCGGCCCTTTGCTGAAGGACACTGGTTGCAGCCAACATATCTAGAAATAAAAACATACCAATTAATCATTCGTTAACTGTTAGATGAACTGCACTATACGATCTAAACTTTATTAAATAATTTGTAGGCATATTTAATTAGTAAGATAAATTTTAACTATTCGTTATAAGTCACAAATTCCTTTAATGGTAAAATGTATTCATTGGGTAGCTATTGGATAAATGGGATGTGACTAGATCCCTAGTTAATCATTGCCATACATAAAAGGTTTAAAATTTTTCAAATAATCAATATGTTTTACTTGTTCTACTCGATTCGAAATTTAAACAAGAAAAATTGTACATTGTAGAACATTAATATGTGAAAGGTTGTTAAGTATTTTCTTCTATTTGTCCATAAGTACGAAGTATCGCATTAAAAAATTATTATTTTACCTGTTTTATCGTCATCCAAAGACGTAATTATGTCCGTAATTTTTGTCTCCATTTTGCCTCTGAAAACACCAAAGTCGCTATTCAAGCTCTTATAATATTAAACTATGGATTTACAATTTATCCGCCCAAAACTCGTGATTTTTGCTCACTATGAATTAAAATCAGTTGAAGTTGTCTTGTGATTATTTATTTTATTTTGACTTGACGTGTTTGACACTAATGACTTAAAAGTGACAGTTATGTCAAGTAAGGCGTAATTGCGAACGACCCAACGTTGCCAAGTGTATTCTGCTATTGATAAATGTGTTGCCTACCTATTGAAACATCTTCTAACAACCTATTTGAATCAGTTATTCATGTAGATAAGGTTAAAAAGCTCATATTAGATAGGGCTATAAAGAGTGAAATTAATTAAATATGACTACACATTTTTTCTGGATCACTGTGTAGATTAATTATGTTCATGCTTTTTGCATATTTCAAATAATTTCGCAATACCTAAGTATGAACATTTTTTATTATTGCGTATACGTTTCAAGAAATATAGTGGAAATTATGATATAATATAGGTCAAATATCTTGATAACGTCTAGTAGAATAGTCGTCTTAATTCCAGCACGTTTTATAAACATTCCGGAATTTTGAAAAATTGCACAATATTAATTAGCTTTACAAAGCTCAGAGCTTTTAAATTAAAGCTTAAACGGTGCTTATTTATATTTTTTTCTAATTCTCTATAAGTTTTCCACTGCAAAATTGCAATAACAAACGCATTAACACTCTATGAAGAGATTAAAATTAGAGAGTTCATTAATCTAATATCAAGAATAATTTTATTCTTCGAATAATTTGTTTTTGCATTATGTAGTTATTATTAAATATTAAATGGAATGGTGGAAACAACTAAAATTAAATATTTGGGACAATGAACCTGTTAATAAACGAGAAGCCAATGACTTTTTATAAAATTTATTGCATCACGTGAACAAACAATTTAACACACATGTCTAATGATCAAAAAAATTATCTCATAATATGTAAAGAATTCAAAATTCAACCTTAAAATACTTTCGATTAACTGTAAAAATGATTTGATGTTATTAAAAAAATACCTACAAATCATGTAGATATCGGAAAGTATGGCAAAATGTTTGGATTTGCTCGAACGAGCATTACTGACATTGACAAGGGGCTTCCACGAGTTCCCTATCGCAAATGCACGATAAGGATTCACAAAACATTTTATTATTATATAATATTCTTTGGGAATCCTTGTAAAAATATCAGACGATTAGTCAGAACATCAAGGAACTTGGCGAAAATTTATTAATTATAGAAGATAAGATTTTTATAAATATAAATAATTTAATTAGTAAATTTTTCAATTGAATATTACTTGTTTTTTTGTAGTAATTTTAGCTATCACGCTTTATGCGTGTGTGCGTCTCGTTTAGATAAAATACTTTGTTCCTATGCTAAATTTTTGTTTAAGATGTTTTCCCTAATTTATGAGACATATACCTGTTAAAATTATTTTATGATTTATCAATTTGATTATTTATTTATAGTTGTAATCTGATTTACACCTTTTTGACTGGTGGATTTCGTACTTTAATTTCGATTAAAGGTAAATTTTGCATTGTTCATAGTAAAGAACGTTATTTAATAAAAACTTATATCCATTTAAAAAGTATACAGGGTGTTCCAAAATGACATGCTAATATTTAAGAGGGTGATCCTTGGGCCAATTTTCCATTTAAAAAGTATACAGGGTGTATAAAAGTATACATTAATTTATTCAAGACGTTTCATGAAGTACATTTGAACAAATTTCCTGAATACGCCTCTGACAATATTCTACCACAGGACCGCATTCGCCAAATATAAAGCAGCTAAGCACGGATTTTACCAATTAATATCAATTCTTGGGTAACAAAACACCTTATTTTCTATCAAATAATTATTTTATTCAGTTTATAAAAACACCATATATAATAAATTACATAAAAAATAATTAAAACAAAAATATGACACACAATCACAGCCAGAAATTAATTATACAATATGTATATTAAACGATCACACAGTATATAAGTATAGCATAGCTATAAAAGCTATGTATAATATTTAGCATGGATAGCTATAAAATAGTTTACGAACTTCAAATAATATGGACATTTGACATTTGTCAATTTGCCTATTGTCATTTGACAATTGACAATTGACAATTGGTAATTGTAAAACATATAGCTTTCTTAATTCGTAAATTTCAATTATCATAAAAAACTCATACCTAATAATATCACAATAGAATAAAAAACTCAGTATATTGCATTGTCTCGGCATTGAAACGTTCTTACTTCATCCTCACAATAGATTTTCAAAGAAAACATAAAAAAATTCAACAGCATGCTCGATTTTTCTCAAGCGACCTTCCCGTAATTGGTGTACCTGAAGCACCAATTGTGGACTTCGTCCTCTTCGTTACAGCACATGGGGTAGACTATGGGGGATTTGGTCTGCTTGGCGCACCTTTGGCAAATTTCCCTTTTGGTGGACTGCAAAGAAAAACTCGTTTAGTACCCCCACGTACAGGATGTCCCAAAATATTTATGGTAAGTAACATTTAAATGGAACTTTGAAAAAACTTACATCGCCTCCTACGCAAGCATTGTTCACTTTCCATTCGCTTCCGGGTCTGGCATCGGCAAATTCATACGTGATTAACAGGAAAATCAGTATGATTTTCTGGAATATCTGCTTCTGAAAATTGTTATAAAAAGCGTAAGTAAGTGAGTTATTCTTTGAAAATCGAATCAGTGTTTTACTCGGTTAAAATTAGTCTACAATCTAAAAGTGTATCCATTTTTCAATAAAAATGTGACTTTTATTTCATTACGATAACTCGTTTTCCAGATATTTCGAAATTCGACTGGGTTTCCCAGTTTTTTGCTAATTAACTTGGTATGCATCAAGAACTGATTATTAAAAATACCTTATTTTTGAAAAATCTTCAATTAAAATCCGTATTTTCATTTATACGCAATTCTTCCTACATCCTAATTATCTAATAATAAATAATGGGAGGAGTATACATGTAAGTATTGCGTTTTTGATATTTTAGTAATGTCTTATGTCTGACCCGACAACACCTCTGTGATGATAAGATATAAAGGGGTTATTTGTTTTTCTTGCAAACATGTGTATATCTTGACTCCTACAATATTAATTACATCGACGATGGTAATTAGTATAATTTTAAATAATTATTGCTGGTTGTTGTATAGAGAGTATATTTCGTATTTCACTTTTGCTTTCGTTATTCCTGAGATTTAGATACAGAAAATTACTTGTATCAGAGAAATTTTTGTAATAAAAAGAATCGCAAATCTCTACCTAACAAGAGCCACTTTTTAATCATTTATAAATGATCTACTGAGGACAATCATGTTTCCATCAAGAATCATTTATTTCGTAATATTAAAGTTAATAATTCATCAGCATAAATTTTAACATTAATGACCAATTAAAAAAAATGATATTAAAATATAAAAATTTCAATAAGTTTTTTAATAATTTTAAGTGTGATTTTTGATCAAATTTATATTATAAGTTATTTGGTTTTTATTTATGGCAGTCTCTTTTCTTATCTACTTCAGAAATAGTCAAGTTTTAATTTGGGTTTTGAAAAGAGTATTAAAAGTGTGAAATTTTTATTCAATTGTATCCCAGAAATATTTCTGAGAAAAGTGAAAGGTTTTTCGAAAAAAATTTGGAACATAAAAAAGAACAAAATCTTTAAGTTCAACGCAAGTTTCATAAAGCTTATTGATAACAAACGAATCTAAAAATATCTTCAGAAAGCCCTAACTTAACTTCAAGAATCTCTTTAAGGATCTCTTGAAGGATCTTTTGAAGGATTTCTTCAAGGATCTCCTCAAAGATCTCTTCAAGGATCTCTTGCAGTTAAGTCAGGGTTTCAAGTATTTCAAAAAAACTCTTAAAAATCACTATAAGATTCCCGTGTAATCGAACTAATCAAAAACTAAACCAACCTTAGTATAAAGCTCCATTTTCTTGTTCCACACAGTACGCGAATATATCAAACAAATACACAAGCAAACATCCGAAAAAACTCAAGTTCCTCCAAAAATTTAATCAAATCGCACACACAACAAGACCTCGATCCAAATTGAATCCCAAAATCCTCTTCATAGATTTATATATGAAATAAATGTAGGTTAAAAGTCCAATTGATATCGATAAATTCTGTTATATCACGTTGACAAGGAAGTAACAATCACGCAGAAAACTCTCACCGGCTCCCTTCCAGGAAGTGCTCAATAAAATCGAAGCCTCGTGTTTTCACAGTCTGTCTGTTTCTGAGCGAAGAAAGAAGAAAATCTTTGAAGAAAATCTCGACTTTGTTGTTGTTTTCGTCTGGAGCAATGCAGACAGACACGCAGGGGAATTGGGTACCATTTTTATCGAGGCGATATTTTTTATATTTATCTTATAATAATTATTCTTGTAGTATGTTATTGAACATTGTTGTAACATGAAGTAAGCAAGATATATTTAACTCATCGGGGGTTTTTCGAAAACTGCAAAAAAACTTTTTAAATCCTCATTGTAGAATTGTTCTATTTATATCCTGTTATGGTACTCTTCCCTGAGCAGATGAGGTAGTCAGGTAGCCTAAGCTTAAATTTAAATAATTGTGCCTAGAGACAGGTTTATTTGTCCATGTTCAATCTACCAAAAAAGAACCAACTGTAGAACTTTTTGTAGAATATAGAATCCTAGAAGTACCCACTGCATAAGTACCTTCAATGCAAGATCCTGCTGTTTATCCAATGGAAATTTATACAAGAATATAATTCCATAAAATATTCGAACATATTAAGTAATGTTTAAGGACGACTGATAATGGTTACTATGCTATTTACATTAACATAGTTAAATGTTTTTAATCTCTTTTACATAAAATGGGTTTTTTGTTCATTTTGAACTTATTTTCTTCTTGCTGGAATAATGAGTTTTGTAGATAACACTAATTTGATTGCGAACTGTTAATAGTCATGTAGGTAGCAAAGGACCTTCCAAATGATCCTTCCAGATTGTTTAGGAACCAGGAAGTCTTTAGTATACCTATTATAATATGATTGCATAGCAGATATTCTTACACTCGGATCACAACATTTTTTTCCTTAATCTCCATTTCTTCATAATCCTGAGTCTGTGAGTTAAATCTTCGTCCTAAGAAAGAGTCATAAGGCATTTCTGCATGTAGATTGCACTTTAAAAATTGCCAGGATTGTTACCTAAGTTCTTCTCCACTAAGTCTTTTTATATTGTTCAACTATAATTATTTTATTGTTAGTATTATCAATATGTTCCGAAAACAAAGTTTTATTAGTCTTAAAACAAGATGCATCAAATCTTGTCTCAGATTTTTTGGTGATAATTTAAATTGGAATTTCTACACTTTCGCTCGATTCCCCTACGAAAAATTAGATTACCTAATTAAATTAATTTTAATTAATATTCCTTGTAATCGGCCATGATGCATTATGTTACTATGGAAATTACTGGGAAACATTAATTCGATTAATTTGTTTGCTCTTATTTTTCTTTACATAGTTACATACTATTTTTAATTCGGACCAATAAATGAAAATTCAGCACTTCTCAGGCAAGTGCTTTTTCTATAAGAATAATAAGATTACAATAATTATTAATAAAGTAAGAATAATAATCAGAAAAATATACGTTGTACTATCTAAAATTACTAAATTTTAATTTTTGATATGGCCAGGAATTACAGAAAATAGAAAAAGTTTTTTTTTAATTGTAGTTATTTATTATATTTTTGAACCCTGTATACCCGGTCAAACCTAATATAGCACATATCATTTTACATATTTCTTCTAATTATTTATATCAAAACGTGCCCTCTTTAAAATAACTAAATCACAATTTGTGAGCATTAGAAATTTTAAATACTTAACAAAAATTTCGAAAATTTAAAAATGACATTAGAAAAAAATCGCGTTACTTATCTAATTAATTACCAATACGTAACAAGTCTGATTTACTGATTTAATTGATATTATGACTAATTTCTGTTACCAGTCAAAAATTTGTTAACGTGGGTGTTTATTTGGTTTATTTAATTTATACACGATTAAATTATCGTTAATCCTTAATTAATCGCTAATTAACAAATGAACAGGAACCATGAGTATGCAATAACAGTTTTACATATTATTCAATTATTGATGACTTATTTAATTGATCAAAAAAAAAAATAATATCAATTTTAATTATTGCCAAACAAAATTCCAACGGAAATTCTAGACAGTAAACATTTACTATGCGTGTACTGCGAATGCTAGGCTAAGTATAGCTTACGATCAAGATGTGGTAGAAACTATATTATACAGGGTGTTTCATTGGGAAAGGGCAATATTTTAACCCTATATAGAGGTCACCCAGGGGATTAAAAAAAACCCATATACTATGGGTCTTGCGCCCTTTACAACCGAGTTACAGGGTGTTTTTTGAATTTGGCCCATTTCTTTCGACACCTACAACTTTTGAATCACTCTTTTGGGAGATTTTTAAAGAATTAAAAACAATCCCAATGTTCTTAGAAGATTGATTTGCAATTTTATTAGGAGAGGTAGATTATGTATCTAACAAAATGGAGGAGATTTTGAGCAATTGTTAAAATAACTTTGTGGTGTGGAAAAGAATACTTATTCTAGTATCTTTTGGGGAAAATCTAGTAAATTACTTAGTTAAGTTTTGAATTTTCTCATGTAGAAATGTAAAAATTGAGTAACCACTGATTAATTATTAAATGAATTGAAATCATTTTAATTTTATTAAGTGAGGATCTGTAATTGTAATTTTTATTGGTTTATGTGCAAGTTAATTCAAGTTCAATAGGTTCATTTCAGGAATTTCAATGAAAGTGTTAAGTAAACCTGGTTTTATTAAAGAAAAAATAATTAAAATCCCTTCAATTACATTTTACATGGACCAAAAATCTCATAATGTACATTTTAACGTTTAAATTTTGGTAGAAAAACGGCATGCGGGAAAATAAAAAGTTGATGAATACATTCAGTTTTTTATGCTCTTTCTAAATTTGAAATACAATTTTTAAAAATATGATGTATAGGGTGTTGTTTAAGGGTCGGTCAAATTTTATTAATTTTTCTAAATCCGGGCCTGGATTTTATAATTTTTTTAATGTTGCAATAAATTGTCCTAAAGGTATAGAATATCTATGCCAAATATCAAAAAAATATACTGAGTGATTCAAAAGTTATAGGTGTCGAAAGAAATGGGCCAAATTCAAAAAACACCCTGTAACTCGGTTATAAAGGGCGCAAGACACCTATAACTTTTGAATCATTCAGTATATTTTTTTGATATTTGGAAAAGAATACTTATTCTAGTATCTTTTTTGAAAAATCTAGTAAATTACTTAGTTAAGTTTCGAATTTTCTCATGTAGAAATGTAAAAATTGTTTAATCAATGATTAATTATTAAATGAATTGGAATCATTTTAATTTTATTAAGTGCGGATATGTAATTGTAATTTTTATTGGTTTATGTGAATGTTAATTCAAGTTCAATAGGTCTATTTCAAGAATTTTCATGAAAGTGTTAAGTAAATCTGGTTTTATTAAAGAAAAAATAATTAAAATCTCTTCAATTACAATTTACATGGATCAAAAATCTCATAATGTACATTTTAACGTTTAAATTTTGGTAGAAAAACGGCATGCGGGAAAATAAAAAGTTGATGAATACATTCAGTTTTTTATGCTCTTTCTAAATTTGAAATTCAATTTTTAAAAATATGATGTATAGGGTGTTGTTTTAGGGTCGGTCAAATTTCAATAATTTTTCTAAATCGGGACCTGGATTTTGTAATTTTTTAATGTGGCAATAAATTGTCCTAAAGGTATAGAATATCTATGCCAAATATCAAAAAAATATACTGAGTGATTCAAAAGTTGTAGGTGTCGAAAGAAATGGGCCAAATTCAAAAAACACCCTGTAACTCGGTTATAAAGGGCGCAAGACCCATAGTATATGGGTTTTTTGTAATCCCCTGGGTGACCTCTACATAGGGTTAAAATATTGCCCTTTCCCAATGAAACACCCTGTATAACGTGTTTTTCGTCGAAATTAATTAATAAAACTTTGAAATAAACCAATATTAGTCACCCAATAACGCAACCTCTATTGGGGAAACTTCATGAGTTGATTTTTTTTAGAAGTTTGTAATTATATGTCAAAGCTATGTTGGTAGCATTGATTTGCAATCAGTGGATTCCCCTCAGTTGACAATTAAAAAAAAATGTTTTTAAATCATGGTAAAATGTATAATGCAGATTTTCATAGAGGTATAATACCTACTGTCTTGGTTAGATACATGACCTATTTAAATCCAACATAATTAACATTTCCTCGGATTTTCATTGAAATAAAATTAGATCGTTGCGCTAATTAGTACACTGGTAAAATGTAATAAAATGAAACAAATATTAAACTAATATCTAATAATTTGCATCATCATCCATGGAGTTCCTGCTTAGAGGATTTTCCTATCACGAACTCGAGCGTGATAAATTGCAAGAATTTTTCACACGTGCATAATTTTAAGATACATATACTTTCAATTTTGATAAATATGTATGTAAATGCACTGTAAAAATAACTTATAAATAATAATAATATGCAAAAAAATATTTTGGTTTTGAATTGTTTAATAAATATATTACTCTAAATACTTAGTACTTTGTCTAATACTTTTACATTGCTGTTGACATTAAAATGTGCGGAAGTCTCTTCAGTAATCAAGAATAGTTTCATTTTAGATCGTACGCTTATTTTATCGACAACAAAAAATGAAAAATTTTCCTCATATAGATAAGCCTCTCTTCAGTAAACATGTCTAATTAATTATTTCTAAAATTAAATATTGATGTTAAAAACAACTTCCTAATTAAAGGATTTTTCGCATACCACAGTGGCGAATAAATAGGGATCAGCATGGTAAATAGGTGTAAAGGGGAAGAGTACAATATATTATATGATTTAGCAGATTATATGAACTACTGAAATTTGCACTCTAGACAATCTTGAGAAAAAATAACCAAATTTTTCGTTTAAAAATGAATTCTAAAAATGACAATCGTTGTAATTTGTTATTTAATTTTACATTTAAATTAGATAGGTTTTGTTTCCTTCTGAGAAAGTTCTACGAACAATGGACCGGATTGATGCAGTTGCAATAAACTGGGGCAATGGATTAACTAATCGCATTTTATTATTTGTACAATATATTTTGAAACTAGGACAGTTTTTGTTTATTTTATTGAATCTGTTTGATTATGTTTATAAATGTTGCAAGTTATTTATACCTACCATTGCTTAGGGCAATAGTTTTCAATTTATTTAGAAATTTTATAAGTTAATAATGCGTTTTGTAGAAAGTTTTTTAATATTTTTTACCAATTTTTAGGAAATTATCATTAAAGAAAGATCAAATAAAAAATTAAATACAATAAATATCCAAATTGCAGACAAATTACTTAAATAAAAGACAGTGATATTTTATCATCGGTATAATAATTGATAATTACTTTTTATATTTTTAATGGTTTTTCTGAGCATCATGAAGCATTCGAATGAAGTGTGTACGGTTTTTTTATTAGAGTAGGGAATAAATAATCCCTAATTGTTTTAAAACGTGGACATAATTATATCAATACAAAAATAGGTACTTATAAAAAACATCGTGACCTTGCTTCAATAAATATTTGTTAAGAATTTATATTTTTATCCGCAATAAACACGATTATCTATAAATTGCATTATTTTTATTTTAGATGTCTGTTGGTATTGCGACCTTTACCAAAAAAAAAGAGAAGTAGAAAAGTCATTACTAGGCGTTTTCTGCACGATAACATAATATTATGAAAACGTCTACTAGGAATAGTTTTTGGATCGATAAATTTGGATAGTTTGGAAAATTTTTTGAAGATTTTTGGCAACATTTTGCTTTAAAATTTAAACGAAAAAAAGGACAGTAAAGCTTGTATGAATTTACAAATAAATACCTAATTTTTATAGTCCATTTTTGTCTAAAAAATAATTACCAGAATACTTACTAACTTTTTTTCATCATAACATAAATTCCGAACAATCTCCACGAATTGGTAAACATACACAAACAAGTGTACATATCGCCAAATAAAAATCCTTACAGTGATAGATTAAATAAATATTTTTGGACCTTTAGAAAACGTGTCTCAGAACGATTATCTTCTCAAAGGACGTTAATGAAATCGAAAAAATGCGTCGTCTGTGTTCGTTACGAAATCAAACGCGCTCGATTCGATTTTAAACCGCTTATTGAAGAATCGAAAGGGAAAAAGGCTACCTACTTACCTAATTTTGAAAAGGTAAACCGGCGAAATGCCTGCTTAATTAACCTTGGAAAGATCTCTTCGGGTTTTGGGTACCTTTAGGTAATTATACAATGTGTCCACGGATAGCGTTGCCTATAGGAGAAAAATTTTTATTATTCATTTTACGACAAAAAGTCATTGTTTATAAAAATTTTCGCTTCTTTTAAAAATGAGAATAACACTGAAAAATCTTAGATTGGATCTACAGGGTGTTGCCAAATTAAAAAAAACATGAAAATACCTCAAGAGAGAAGTACCATTATTTTTTATTTTACACAAAATTTGTATGAAAGAAAGTTGTTTATAATCTAAAATAAAGCCTGAATACAAATTTTCAAATTAAAATTCCAATTTTGTGTGTCCCTAGATAAAGTTGACCAGATAAGAAAAATGGTTATTATTAATTTTACGACAAAAAGCCATTCTTTAAAAAAATTAACTTGTCGAAAAAATGAGATTCACATATCAAAACATTAGATAAGATGTATAGGGTGTTAGTAAATTAAGAAACAGGTAAAAATTTCAAGAAAGAAAGAATTTATTTATTATCTTACATTATTATTTACAAAAAAATGCTTTTAATCCAAAGTAAAGCCTAAACACAAATTTTCAAATAAAAAATACAATTTTAGGCTTTATTTTAGATTATAAACAACTTTCTTTTATAAAAATTTTGTGTAGAATAAAAAATAATGGTACTTCTCTCTTGAGGTATTTTCATGTTTTCTTAATTTGACAACACCCTGTAGATCCAATCTAAGATTTTTCAGTGTTATTCTCATTTTTAAAAGAAGCAAAAATTTTTATAAACAATGACTTTTTGTCGTAAAATGAATAATAAAAATTTTTCTCCTATAGGCAACCCCATCCGTAGACACACTGTATTTTGAGTAAATTGGTAGTACAAAGAGTACATATTCATTGTTTAAATTAATAAAATGATGACGTCAATTTTAGTTATTAGCAATATTCTGAGGGGGGGTTTGGGGGTTTGGGGGTTTCTGTTAAGGGTGAAAATTTGGAGTAACTAAATTCAATTTCAGAAAACAACAATAATTGTCCTATTTCAGCATTTTTAATTATACTAATATTAACTGAGATAATATTTTTTTTCTTTATGGGTCACGCTGTATGAAACTTGATCGAACTATACTGTATGTATAGTCGTTGAAACTACCTGTATAAATAATATAAAAAAGTAATAACATAAAGAACATTCCACTGGTTACAAATTTGGTATTTATTAATGTTTCGAAAATCATGAATATAGAAGAAAAAAAATCAACGTGACAACACCGCAAAATTTTAGCTCGTGACGCCATTGTCAGGTTATCGTGAACATATTCTAAGTACCTTCTTCGTACATTTTTGACCTAATTTAAATTACAGAGCGGTTTCCTAATTGCGTAAAAAAGAAGTGATAAGACCTGTCGCAACAACTTGAGCGTTTTTATCTTGTTATTTTCGAAAAAAATTCCAGTGATTTCCACTGATTATATAATGGTATATAATGGTATTTTCAAGAAAATTTTCAATAGCTTCTGGTCTTCAAAAGTAATTGATTTCAAAGCACACTATTACACAGGGTGTTTCATAATAGTATGACATTATTTTTAGGGAGTTAAGTACCTATGTATTTTTTTTTGAGAAATAATATGGAGATATCGAAAGTAGTTGTTTCATAAAATTACATGATTCATATGATATTGCAAAGATATATTATTAAAAAATGAAGCAATAGTAGAATTATTGGCATGTATTTCTGGAACACTTTGTATCATGAATTAAGAATAGTTGAAATGAAATTTTACAACAAAAAATTCAGCATGATTATGCGTGTTCGATGAATCCCGATATCCTTGTAAACTCGGCGCGAAATTGTGGAAAGTTGTATGATTTAATACGCACAATACCCGTTTTATGCAACTCAATTAAAGCCGTAATATACAGGTTTTAATTGTAAACGAGAAATAAAAAAATAAAGTTGCCCTTTGTTCAAAAAACGACTTTTATTCGGGTATAAAAGCCCCGTAAAAACTGTTACATTTCAGTCGTTCGAGCATATCAGTATTTTAAGTTTTAAAGAGACAACATATTACCAATCAAAAATGGCATTCAAGGTATTTATCAACCTAATTTTATAAAAATATCTAATATTTATCAAATAAATTATTAATTTAGAGAAATATAATTGTTGAACAAATTATTTATAACATATTCTTGGCAACATTACTTAATACTTATCGATAATTTTAGTGTTTATTAATTTTTCTAATAACATTATTAACAGGATTTTCGTTTCAAATTTAAATAAAAACAATCTAAAGTACAATTTCCTTAAAAATAAAACAGTTAACACGAATTAAAATGCGCGAAGTGGGAGTTGGAATTCGGAACGATTCTAGATTCTATATTTCTATCCTAAATTTGTTTATATTTAAAATAAAGTTGTGTCTACTAATAGTATACCAAAATATTCTTTAAATATACTTAATAATAAACATTGAAATATTAAATTTAATATTCTTGGAATCTTGGATTAAAATCATGGAGTGTTCAATACACATTCATAAATTATTATCAACAATTACGTATTATTAGAGGGAAATTATAAAAGTTACATTTTCGATTTGAAATTTGACTGGTCTTAAAATAAGACTGATGGACTTTTACGAAATGAAGAAATAGTTTTGCATCTCTTACATGAAATAGAAGAGCAAGTCGCAAGTCATATTTTTTAAGTTACTAATTTTATTCATGGCTTTACATTAGTATAATATGCTTCAATTTATCAATAATGCTTTGAAAATTTGAATAGTGAACCATTTTATTCTATTATTCCATCGAAATTTCCATTTTCTCCAACAAACTAATCAAAAAGAATCTCAAACAAGCTCAAATGCCAAATAAATTATTCGAAATGTACCAACTAGTTCAATTATACCGCTTTTCAGATTGTCCAACGCTTTAAAATATCTTTAAAACAACCTTTTCCTAAAGGAACTTTTACATAAAGACATTTGACTTCAGGAATAAGGTGAAATGACACTTTATCTTAAAGTTTATTCCATTTACAAAAGGTTATTCCTACTATAAAGCTTTATTATAAATTCGACCATAAGTTTCTACTGAAGTTGAGAGAATCCAGCGAAGATAATCGTCACTGGTTCACTACTGGCACTTAGACTATAATTGTGCATCCAGAAATGAATGCATTGGAGGATGCATAATAAGGATATTAAAATAAAAAATATAGCAGAAAGAAATTGTAAAAAATAGCGCGGCAACATGCAACGTTTTACCTCTATTTTATGTTAGACTGTGACCTATTGTTGGTACCCTAACATTTTGCAAACAGTTTTATCTGTTTTAGTTATACACTGTGCTTCATTCCAGATCGCAACATAGGTTATATAGGCTATAGGTACGATAAAGACAACTTCCATTAGACACTTTATAAAGGAAAAAGAAAGAGTGACATTTGTGTCATTGCAACTTTTCACTGTGACAACTGTCATTTTATTAATCTTTCTTTGTTCAACTCATAGAAACTTGCTCCATTTCCGATTGCAACATGGTCATTTCAATGAGTGGAACAAACAAAGATTATTAAAATGACAGTTGTCAGAGTGAAAATGTAATGACACAAATGTCACTCTTTCCTTTTCTTTTGTAAGTGTCAAATAAATGTAATTACACGAGTAGATTATTAGTGACAAGTGACTAGCCTAATATTACAAGTCTGTTTTACAATTGTAGATAGGTTTGCGTTTCATAAAAAATAAATTAAACAACACTTGTCATTTATTCCTATCATATATTAGTGTAAAGCGACAGGGACTTGATTTCCTGTCACCATCCAATTTTCTTGTAAATTTAAAAGAAAATGTGGTCTAGCGACAGTGAGGAGGAAGCTTAATGAGAGTTTATTAAACGATTTCGAATGAATTCGATAAAAATGGAGGAAATATTAAAATCTATTGGTCCCCGCCTAATGTATAGAACCAACGTATAGAAATTATGCATTGTCTTTGTCTTCGTTCCAATGCTCACATTTTATAGCTTTTGTAGAAGTGGGACTAAATTTTCCAAATAGAATGCCCTTTCTTTATTAAAATAATTGAATATTAAATAAATGTTGCTGCATTTTAGAAATAAGTTTTTTGTCAATAAACGAAATTGTCGTGGTTCACATCTAAAAATAGCTCCAACCAGAAAAAAAAACAATTTCAAAGTAAAAGTTTCCCAATATCAAAAAACGAAGGTTGTGCTATACTTATGCTCCTCAGTATAGTAAGTACTAATTCTTTCTTTTTGGCTTAAGTCTGACGTTTAATTAATATTACAGTTGTAGAAAAACAGATGCCAAAAATTTAATTCGACAAGTGTCGAATTTTATTTTATGAAACGAAATTTGTAAATACTTGTCAACCAACACTTGTAACTTGTCAACTTGTCAGTTATATGAAACAGGCCCCTGTATATCTATGATTTTCCCCAGCTCATCGCCCTCTGCTCGCTGATGGTCTGCGCCAACGCCGGCCTCATAGCCGCCCCCGCCGGCTACGCGGCCGCCCCGGCCATCGCCTACTCGTCGCCGGCGCTCACCTCCCAATCGGCCAACATCTACCGCAGCTACGGCAACTTGGGCCAGATATCCACCTACTCCAAGACCATCGACACGCCGTTCTCGAGCGTCAGCAAGTCCGACGTGAGGGTGTCCAACCCGGGCATCCATCTGGCCCAGCCTGTAGAACATCATTCCCTCGTCGGAGTCGCCTATTCCGCCGCTCCGGCAGTTTCCCATATCAGTTTCGACTCCGGCCTGGTGCACTACGCCTTCTGAGATAACCATTTTGTAATAGGTTTTTTTTTGTTAAAAGATTATTCTAAGGAAAAAAGTTTTTGATTCGGTTATTAGTTTGTTGTAAATATCGCATTGGAGGTTAATAAATTATTTTTTCACCAGGTCGATTCGTTTTAATTAGTATTGCAGATCAATAGACTTTCCGTTTGGAGATAAAATAAATATGAACAAATTTCTATGGTATGGTAGACTGGGGCAAATCGGTTGTAAAATTTGAATAGTTCAAATTAAATCCTAAAATGTGGCTTTATTTTTTCTCTTATTAGAAATGCTGATACCACATTAAATTCACAACTTCCTAAACTAAAGAATCGAGGTATTAAACAGTTTTTTTTGAAAAAGGAAGAAAACATTTTACATATTTTTTAAAATGTTGACAAAATATGTTACATTTACCCCATGGTACGGGGTAAATGTAACAAAAGGTTCTAAAGTGCAATACAATTATACAGTGCATTTCTTTAATGTCCCCCCCTTTTATTTTTTGAACGGATCAACTTAGAAAATTGAAATTTAGGATAACAAAAATAATGCATGATTACTATATTTTGGAGCAAAATTGACAGATGAAAATTAGTCGCCATCTTGAGAAATAAATTTAAATGGAAAGGGGGGTCTTGTGACACATCATTTTGAAGCTCCTGACAAATACTGTACAACCCTGGAATATAAAGTCAATATCTGCACCCATTACAAAATGTCGGAACATTTAATAAATACCTGAATACAAACAAATTAATATCAATTTTTCTAGAAATATTTGTTTTTCTATGCCAAATAGCAATCCCAACAAACCGATAAGGTTTGACAGGTTATTTTTGGGTTAAAAAATTCCAAAAAATTCGTCAACGAACATTAATTGTTTAGTCAAAATATTCTCATTTAGTTTTTGGTTTTCCTAGTGTTCAAATATTCTCTTTAGTTTTCGATTTTCCTAGTGTTCAAAATATTTTCATTTAGTTTTCGGTTGTTTAGTTCTCATTGTAGTTAGGTACCGATATGGATATGGATTCGATATGGATATTGTACTCCAACAAGATGGAGCACCACCACATTACTCCAGACAAGTAAGGAACTATTTGGATGCTATTTTCCATGGTCGTTGGATTGGTCGTCGAGGTCCTCTCGGCCCGCTCGCCAGATTTGACACCTTTAGACTTTTTTTATGGGGCTATTTGAAGCAAAAATTGTACGAAACTGAACCTGCTTTAATATTGGATATACGAGAAATAATTACAGATATTTGTAGAAATATCGACGTTACTATGTTCGAAAATGTTCGGATAGGCTGTTCTTGTATCAAGAAGTTCACGGCAACCATTTCGAGCATTTTTTGAACTGAACTCAGCTTATTTCCTCAAATTATGACGTTAAACGTCGATGTATTCAGGTAATTATTAAATGTCCGCCATTTTGTAGCAGGTGCAGATATTGACTTTATATTCCAGGGTTGTAGAGTACTTGTCAGGAGCTTCAAAATGATGTATCACAAGACCCCCCTTTCCATTTAAATTTATTTCCCAAGAAGGCGCCCAGTCGCCATCTTGAAATGTTCATCTGTCAATTTTACTTCAAAATATAGTAATCATGCATTAGTTTCATTATCCCAAATTTCAATTTTCTAAGTTGATCCGTTCAAAAAATAAAAGGGGGAGGGGACATTAAAGAAATGCACTGTATAGAAAAACATATGGGGCAATTGTAAAAAACTATTTGGTTCTAAAATTTGATATGCTGTTTATTTATTTATTTCAAAAAATAACAGAGCTACAAAATAATAAAGAAAAAATAAGAAACAAACCCTGTCTAATGCACAAAAGAACTATAAAAATAATAAAAACATTAACATAATAAGTAAAAATATTACATTTACTCCATTTTTACATTTGCCCCAGTCTACCTTAATAAAAGTAAGTCAATAAAAAATCGTTATTTATATGTGTATATGTATAATTAATAATAAAAATAAACACTTTATACAAATAAATTAACAAACTAGTAAAAATAATACTAAGGTCAATCTTTTTTTATGTTTTTAGTAGACCGCTGGCTTTGTTTTATCTGAAATTAAAAACCGAAATTTTTATTGCAATTATACTCAGACAATAAGGGAAAACCTCAGATTCAACTTACCGGAACAATATTGTTATTGATTCATAACAGCTTTTATGTAAGTACCTTTACCGTCTGGAAGAAGAGTGTTTTAACCTGAAATAAACAAATAGTTGTATTATCTTTAGTCAAGAATCATTATTCATATTATTATTATGAAATCTAAGTAGATCTGAAGAGATCTATAGAGATCTGTGGAGACTTGCAAAGATCTGGGGAAATCTGAAGAGACCTGAGGAAATCTTAATACATCTTAAAAGGTTTAGAGAGGTTTGGATAGATTCGGAAAGGTCTGAAGAGATCAGGGGCCTGTTTCATATAACTGACAAGTTGACAAGTTACAAGTCGACAAGTTACAAGTGTTGGTTGACAAGTATTTAAAAATTTCGTTTCATAAAATAAATTTCGACACTTGTCGAATTAAATTTTTGGCATCTGTTTTTCTACAACTGTAATATTAATTAAACGTCAGACTTAAGCCAAAAAGAAAAAAATTAGTACTTACTATACTGAGGAGCATAAGTATAGCACAACCTTCGTTTTTCGATATTGGGAAACTTTTACTTTGAAATTGTTTTTTTTTCTGGTTGGAACTATTTTTAGATGTGAACCACGACAATTTCATCTATTGACAAAAAACTTATTTCTAAAATGCAGCAACATTTATTTAATATTCAATTATTTTAATAAAGAAAGGGCATTCTATTTGGAAAATTTAGTCCCACTTCTACAAAAGATATAAAATGTGAGCTTTGGAACGAACAAAGACAATGCATATTTTCTATACGTTGGTTCTATACATTAGGCGGGGATCAATAGATTTTAATGTTTCCTCCATTTTTATCGAATTCATTCGAAATCGTTTAATAAACTCTCATTAAGCTTCCTCCTCACTGTCGCTAGATCACATTTTCTTTTAAATTTACAAGAAAATCGGATGGTGACAGGAAATCAAATCCCTGTCGCTTTACACTAATATATGATAGGAATAAATGACAAGTGTTGTTTAATTTATTTTTTATGAAACGCAAACCTATCTACAATTGTAAAACAGACTTGTAATATTAGGCTAGTCACTTGTCACTAATAATCTACTCGTGTAATTTTATGAAACACAAACTTGTCAAATACCCCAATTAAATTTAGACTACACTTGTCCGACAGGACTTGTCAGTTATATGAAATAGGCCCCTGTTTGGAGAAAAAATAAAGTAATAAAGTCGATAAAAATAAGTCATTAAAAATTCGTTATTTATATGTGTATATGTATAATTAATAATAAAAATAAACACTTTATACAAATAAATTAACAAACTAGTAAAAATAATACTAAGGTCAATCTTTTTTTATGTTTTTAGTAGACCGCTGGCTTTGTTTTATCTGAAATTAAAAACCGAAATTTTTATTGCAATTACACTCAGGCAAAAAGGGAAAATCTCAGATTCAACTTACCGGAACAATATTGTTATTGATTCATAACAGCTTTTAAGTACCTTTACCGTCTGGAAGAAGAGTGTTTTAACCTGGAATAAACAAATAATTGTAATATCATATTATTGTTATGAAATCTAAGGAGATCTGAAGAGATCTATAGAGATCTGTGGAGACTTGCAAAGATCTGGGGAATTCTGAAGAGCCCTGAGGAAATCTTAATACACCTTAAAAGGTTTAGAGAAGTTTGGATAGATTCGGAAAGGTCTGAAGAGATCTGAAAAACTCACGTTTCTTCTTCTTCATCAACCTCTTGGTCACGAACATCCTCCAATAAACGGTAAGTCTCACAGCGCACCTACGCAAATACAATTGATAAGCCATTTCATTAAATATCCTCTCCTCCTCTTCAGCCTTCTCCTTCAGGACGTTGGCGTAGACCAAATCCTGGGCGGCCAGCTTCCGGTTCATATCCGCCATTTTGGTATTCAAAGCGTTGAACCTGAAACGTTCCACCATAAATCAGTCGACGGGCTTCAGCATCGAACGAAACCGGTTACTCCTCCATCGCTTCCTCCCACGTGGCCTGCTTCTCCATGCTGTCCTGATCGAAGGTGTTGATCCAGCCCATCAGCTGCGACTCGACCTTCAGCCGCTTCGCGCGCTCCTTGTTCTCCTCTTCGATGTTCTGCCGGAGGATGGTGTCGTAGGTGTGGACGATTTGCTCGGCCTCTTCGGTGAGCTCCGCCTGGCGGGACTCGCTGCTCAGGCACACCTTCATCATTTGGTCCTCGGAGAATTGCCTGCGAGGAAGATTCCGGCGTGGAATAATTCGGAGGTAATTCGGAGAGGAGCTCTTACACGGTTTTTTTGCAATCCATGTCGATGAAGGTGATCGATTTGGATCTCTTCTCTCTGTAGCTCTCGGCTAGTTCGCGTTTCTGCTCCAGCTGCTGCTTGAATTCCTCCCGTTGGTGATGCAGTTTTTGCCGCAACTCTTCGGATTAATACAGGGTGTTTCATTGGAAAAGGGCAATATTTTAACCCTATTTAGAGATGTCACCCAGGGGATTACGAAAAACCCATATACTATGGGTGTTGCGCCCTTTATAACCGAGTTACAGGGTGTTTTTTTGAATTTGGGCCATTTCTTTCGACACCTATAACTTTTGAATACCACATTAAAAAGGCGCCTTGTGTTCTACCTCTTGGTGGTGTGGAAAAGAATACTTATTCTAGTATCTTTTTTTAAAAAACTAGTAAATTACTTAGTTAAGTTTTGAATTTTCTCATGTAGAAATGTAAAAATTGATTAATCAATAATTAAATTATTAAATGAATCGAAATCATTTTAATTTTATTAAGTGCGGATCTGTAATTGTGATTTTTATTGGTTTATGTGAATGTTAATTCAAGTTCAATAGGTTCATTTCAGGAATTTCCATGAAAGTGTTAAGTAAACCTGGTTTTATTAAAGAAAAAATAATTAAAATCCCTTCAATTACATTTTACATGGACCAAAAATCTCATAATGTACATTTTAAAGTTTAAATTTTGGTAAAAAAACGGCATGCGGGAAAATAAAAAGTTGATGAATACATTCAGTTTTTTATGCTCTTTCTGAATTTGTAATTCAATTTTTAAAAATATGATGTATAGGGTGTTGTTTTAGGGTCGGTCAAATTTTAATAATTTTTCTAAATCCGGAACTGGATTTTGTAATTTTTTAATGTGGCAATAAATTGTCCTAAAGGTATTGAATATCTATGCCAAATATCAAAAAAATATACTGAGTGATTCAAAAGTTATAGGTGTCGAAAGAAATGGGCCAAATTTAAAAAACACCCTGTAACTCGGTTATAAAGGGCGCAAGACCCATAGTATATGGGTTTTTTGTAATCCCCTGGGTGACTTCTATATAGGGTTAAAATATTGCCCTTTCCCAATGAAACATCCTGTATAAGGGCGGAAATAAGGGAGGAAAATCGAGAAATTTTGTAACATTACCGACGATTTCTTTCACTAGGGATACGTTCATTCTATACACAGCCCTCAGTTCCTGTTCGTTCTTAAAGTGGTTCCCTCCAGTTGTGTAAATTAGAGGTTTCACGGTTTCCTTCAATCTGCTTAGCCATAACATGAAGGTCACGACGTTCTTGTCTATCGGTGGATCGGTGGCGTTTTTGATAGCCTTTCGAATGCACTTGTTGTAAAACAGGATATCGACGAGTTGGAAAATCGCAGGATCGGGAAATTCATCCATATGACTGATAACGGGCACCTTTTTCGCTTGCTTGTTAATCTTTCCAACGGAAAGTTTGTATGTAATAAAATAGTATTGTAGTTGTTAGAAATTTAGTTACCTTTGCGAACGCTGGAAAAAACTGCGACAATCGCGCTTCCTTGGCTTTTTCGGTGGTTCTCTTCGTGTCTAAGCAGCAACCGCAGGATGAAAGCAAATCCAGCGCGAATTGAAGCTCGTGGGGTTTTAAACTGTGCTCCAAGAGGCGGGCGTCGTCTTCCAGAAACATCGGCATATGCGCCTGGAAAGATTACAATTCGAAGTAATTGGAAAAAATACCATCAAGAAATTCATCTCTTTCGATGGAGAGAAACCGGCTGAAGGGTATCGAAGCAGGATGAAAACCATCTAACAAAAAAGGGCTTCGTTTTTATGCTGTACTTACCAGCATATTTAATTTGAACAAAGTTCTACGAATCACGTAAAGGACACGATCGGCTTGTACTTGCAGATTGACCTCTTCGTTGCTTAATTCTTTCTTTTTAAATAAGTTAAATACTCGCGTAAAATCTTCGTCTTCCATTTTATTTTGTGAATTTTCTTACAAAAAAAATGACAATGTTTGTATAATTATGTAATTCTGACATTAAAGAGTCGTATCTATAAACAACTGACTATAGAAGCAGAGGCCTGTTTCATATAAGTTACAAGTCGACAAGTTACAAGTCGACAAGTTACAAGTCGACAAGTTACAAGTCGACAAGTTACAAGTCGACAAGTTACAAGTCGACAAGTTACAAGTCGACAAGTTACAAGTCGACAAGTTACAAGTCGACAAGTTACAAGTGTTGGTTGACAAGTATTTAAAAATTTCGTTTCATACAATGAATTTCGACACTTATTAATCGAATTAAATTTTTGGCATCCGTTTTTCTACAACTGTAATATTAATTAAAACGTCAGACTTAAGCCAGAAATTGGGAAACTTTTACTTTGAAATTGTTTTTTTTCTGGTTGGAGCTATTTTTCGATGTGAACCACGACAATTTCGTTTATTGACAAAAAACTTCTAAAATGCAGCAACATTTTTTTAATATTCAATTATTTTAATAAAGAAAGGGCATTCTATTTGGAAAATTTAGTCCCACTTCTACAAAAGCTATAAAATGTGAGCATTGGAACGAACAAAGACAATGCATAATTTCTATACGTTTTATATGCATTAGGCGGGAACCAATAGATTTTATTATTTCCTCCATTTTTATCGAATTCATTCGAAATCTTATATTAAACTCTCATTAACCTTCCTCCTCACTGTCGCTAGACCACATTTTCTTTTAAATTTACAAGAAAATCGGTTGGTAACAGAAAATCAAGTCCCTGTCGCTTTACACTAATATATGATAGGAATAAATGACAAGTGTTGTTTAATTTATTTTTTATGAAACGCAAACCTATCTACAATTGTAAAACAGACTTGTAATATTAGGCTAGTCACTTGTCACTAATAATCTACTCGTGTAATTTTATGAAACACAAACTTGTCAAATACCCCAGTCAAATTTAGACTACACTTGTCCGATAGGACTTGTCAGTTATATGAAATAGGCCCCAGCTGAAAAGATTTTCTCGTAGAAATTCCGATTTATTCCAAAGAATTTTTACAGTTTATAACATCATATACACTGGGTTATTACGTGTTCCAATTGCTTGGTCACGAAGTAATTTAACCGTAATCACTTACATATTTGCTCAACCAGACTATTGTAGTACGATCTGCGATGGATAACTGGCATTAAATATTTCTAACTATTTAGAACAATACCGCAATCATTCATTTTTACTGCAGTTAAAAATGCTTCGTTATTTGTGCTGCATGTTTTTTTTGTTCCCAATCGGTCTGGCTAAATTAGAAATGCTTTATGGTGAACAACCAGTGGTGGAAAAGTGCCTGTTGGAATTTTGTAATAGAGTTGCACTTTACCAAATTCAGGACGTTATGACATTCGTTTACGAACGTAGCAATGATGTAACGTTGTATAAACAATTCGGTAAAGAATTAAAGCTAACTTACCGCATTTATTTGCTAACTGATGATAGCGAAGTGAAGTATTTCCCGAGTTCAAAAAGGAGGTCTGAGGATTACGTTTTGATAATTGAAAACATGAACTCCCTAGGAATCTTGATAAACAAATTAAAGAAGACCTTAGGTTGGAGAACTGAGGCGAATTTTTTGGTAATCGCAACGTTTTCAGTAGACAAAAAAGGGGTGGAAAATTTGTTGAATGCGCTTTGGAAAGAAGAGATTTTAAATTCGATCGTACTGGTTAAAGATGAAAATTCAACGATATTTGAGGCTTATACAATTTACCCATTTAAACAAGAAAGAATTAAATTAATCAACACTTGCATTAATGGAAAGTACACTACAAACACATTCTTCGAGAATAAAATCCCGACAAACTTGCGAAATTTCACATTAAAAGCAATAATGTCATCACATAAGCCGTTTGCATCAAGTATTAAAAACGAAAACAATTTATTGGTGAAAAATGAAGGTATAGAAATAAATTTATTGAACTTGATGGCTAAAATTATGAATTTTACAATCAATTACGAATCGAAATCTCTAATCGGAGACATAAAAGAAGACGGTACTTGTACCATAGACTTTTGTAAATTGAAAGAAAAAAAAGTAGACTTAATTATTGGCGGACATTACTTAAGTTACGCTAGGTCTCTGCATTTTAGTACAACTACATACATGCAGAGTAAATTAGTTTTTTGCGCACCACAAATAATTATAAGCACTGCAAATAATCATTTTTACGTTACCATTTGTACATTGGCGAATTTTATTTTAATTATTACAGTCATTTGGTACATTAATAAGAGTATTAAATTCTACAAAACATTTGTGGATCTAATACAAAACAGTTATTCCATTTTGTTGGGACAATCTGTTAAAAATCTACCAAAATCGAATAAACTCCGATACATTATCGGTTTGCTCATCATATTCGCTTATTATTCGACTACATTCTACTTATGCAACAAATCCCAATCGTTAATTAGTCGCAAAGGACATCAAAAATACAACAATATCAGAGACATATACAACAGCAACCTAACAATTTACTTTTCTACTAATACTCGAAAATTTTGGATTGGATCAATCGAAGGGATATCTGAGGAAGAAATCGACGAAAAGAGAATCGATTGCGAGGATGTATCGATTTGTTTTAACGAAATCTTGGAGGGACACTCTGCAATATTTTTTGTCGATTACTACCAGGCGAATTATCTAATGAATGATACAGTGCTGGATAAAATTCATTGTTTCGATTTTTTTAATACCGTTTCCAAAATCTTACTGTTGAAAAAAGGGTCCTTTTTGAAAAATCTTTTCGATCGACTGATAACGAGAATCGAGATGACTGGAATAATATTGAAATGGCAACGGGAATACATCAAACTACATAAAAAACAGGTTATTCGGAAGAAAGATTCAAGAAATTTGAAGAATATTTTTTTGTTAATTTGCTTAGCATATGTAGTATGTTTTGTTATATTTATAGGTGAATTAGTTTTTTATTATAAAAAGAACAAATAGTCGATTACGCTAGTGCACCTAATAGAGAGTTTAAAAGTAGAAGCTAATTTAGTAGAAATTGCATGGATAGTAAAGGAATTGTTATGTTAAAATTTCATAAAAATATATGGAGTAATAAGAAAATTATGATTTTTTTTAAACTTTAACACCCTGTAGCTCAAAAAACTAAGAGATTTAGGACACATATATACTTTTCTTCTTAAAAACATACAAATATTTACATCCTTAAGTAACGGCACTCAATTAATTATGACCCTGTATTGAGCTTTTCCATACTAAATGCCACCCTGTATATACACTTGGTTATGTTATGTATTGAATTGACTGTGACACGAAATACTTTAACTATAATTACGCACATAATTGCTCAGCCTAAATACTGTTATTGCATGTACATACGAATCATACGATGTGCGATAAATCTCCCATTATACATTTATAAATTTTATAGTTTTGTAACTTAATATGTCAATTTTTTGTCAAGAATGAGTAACCTGTAAATACCACCAAGTTTCTCTCGTTGGGTTCTGCAAGATGGTAGACTTCTACTTTGGAGTCCTAGGACTCTCTACCGGAGTTCCCTGTCCCCTGACTCTTCTACTGGAGCTCACCAGTCCCCTTACCCGACCTCACCCGAGTCCCCCCGAATTGGAACGCTCGAAATGGAAAGGAATTTGTGGACATTCAAAAAAAACGAATACCACGAGTACATTTTTCAAAAAATAAACGAATTTATTTAGTAATAGTAAATACATAAGTAGTAAATAAACGCATAACACAAAAATGACAAACAAGTAACAATAGAAACATAAGCAATACCTGCTTCATCTTTACACCTACATACTAAAAAAATTAGAATAAATGGAATTAGAAATCACGTCTCTCAACCACGGACATGCCCTGATCATCTCTTCTGACTTGCCAGTAAGTATCGACGTCGAGACTTTGGCTCAATGTTGTGATGAAATCGCTGTCGTGCGTGATTACCAACAACTGAAAGTTCTGTTCCCTCTCCCTACTCCTTATAAGCTGGCAAAGAGCGTCGCACAAACTGTAGATGTTCTCTTTATCCAGATTAGTCGTCGGCTCGTCCAGAGCCAATATACCGCAATTTATGCTGAATGTTTCCGCTAAAGCCATGCGAATCACCAAGCAAGCTAGTACCTGAAATACACGCAAATTAAATTCCAATTAATACCAACTGATCAATTACAGGAACTTTATTCAAAGGTAAACGAATATACTGGGTGTTGCTTACCTTTTGACCGGCGCTGCATCTACCTCTCATTTCCAATTCAATGTCGTTCTTGACCTGTACCACTCTGTAATTGTAATTGCGCCTGTTTCCCCCACTTTCTACGGTCTCCTCGGTTTTGATCTCGATGTAATCGATATCGTTTCCCCTACAAAAAATATCAATTACTATCTAATTCTTCACCAAAATAATAATGAGAGTAGATTGTAGAGAGTAGAGAGTCGAGTGAGTGTAGAACGTAGAGTGTAGAGAGTAGAGTGTGTGTAAAGAGTAGATTGTAAAGTATAGAGAGTAGAGTAAGTGTAGAGAACAGATGTAGTGTTGAGTGTTGTAGAGCGCAGAGTGAACGAGTGTAGAGAGCAGAGTGTAGAGAGCAGGGGCCTGTTTCATATAAATGACAAGTCCTGTCGGACAAGTGTAGTCTAAATTTGACTGGGGTATTTGACAAGTTTATGTTTCATAAAATTACACGAGTAGATTATTAGTGACAAGTGACTAGCCTAATATTACAAGTCTGTTTTACAATTGTAGATAGGTTTGCGTTTCATAAAAAATAAATTAAACAACACTTGTCATTTATTCCTATCATATATTAGTGTAAAGCGACAGGGATTTGATTTCCTGTCACCATCCGATTTTCTTGTAAATTTAAAAGAAAATGTGATCTAGCGACAGTGAGGAGGAAGCTTAATGAGAGTTTATTAAACGATTTCGAATGAATTCGATAAAAATGGAGGAAATATTAAAATCTATTGGTCTCCGCCTAATGTATAGAACCAACGTATAGAAAATATGCATTGTCTTTGTTCGTTTCAATGCTCACATTTTATATCTTTTGTAGAAGTGGGACTAAATTTTCCAAATAGAATGCCCTTTCTTTATTAAAATAATTGAATATTAAATAAATGTTGCTGCATTTTAGAAATAAGTTTTTTGTCAATAAACGAAATTGTCGTGATTCAAATCTAAAAATAGCTCCAACCAGAAAAAAAAAACAATTTCAAATTAAAAGTTTCCCAATATCGAAAAACGAAGGTTGTGCTATACTTATGCTCCTCAGTATAGTAAGTACTATTTTTTTCTTTTTGGCTTAAGTCTGACGTTTAATTAATATTACAGTTGTAGAAAAACGGATGCCAAAAATTTAATTCGACAAGTGTCGAAATTTATTTTATGAAAGGAAATTTTTAAATACTTGTCAACCAACACTTGTAACTTGTCAACTTGTCAGTTATATGAAACAGGCCCCAGAGTGTAGAGAGCAGAGTGTAGAGAGCAGAGTGTAGAAAGCAGAGTGTAGAGAGCAGAGTGTAGAGAGCAGAGTGTAGAGAGCAGAGTGTAGAGAGCAGAGTGTAGAGAGCAGAGTGTAGAGAGCAGAGTGTAGAGAGCAGAGTGTAGAGAGCAGAGTGTAGAGAGCAGAGTGTAGAGAGCAGAGTGTAGAGAGCAGAGTGTAGAGAGCAGGGGCCTGTTTCATATAAATGACAAGTCCTGTCGGACAAGGGTAGTCTAAATTTGACTGGGGTATTTGACAAGTTTGTGTTTCATAAAATTACACGAGTAGATTATATTAGTGACAAGTGACTAGCCTAATATTACAAGTCTGTTTTACAATTGTAGATAGGTTTGCGTTTCATAAAAAATAAATTAAACAACACTTGTCATTTATTCCTATCATATATTAGTGTAAAGCGACAGGGATTTGATTTCCTGTCACCATCCGATTTTCTTGTAAATTTAAAAGAAAATGTGGTCTAGCGACAGTGAGGAGGAAGCTTAATGAGAGTTTAATAAAAGATTTCGAATGAACTCGATAAAAATGGAGGAAATATTAAAATCTATTGGTCCCCGCCTAATGTATAGAACCAACGTATAGAAAATATGCATTGTCTTTGTTCGTTCCAATGCTCACATTTTATATCTTTTGTAGAAGTGGGACTAAATTTTCCAAATCGAATGCCCTTTCTTTATTAAAATAATTGAATATTAAATAAATGTTGCTGCATTTTAGAAATAAGTTTTTTGTCAATAGACGACATTGTCGTGGTTCACATCTAAAAATAGCTCCAACCAGAAAAAAAAACAATTTCAAAGTAAAAGTCTCCCAATATCGAAAAACGAAGGTTGTGCTATACTTATGCTCCTCAGTATAGTAAGTACTATTTTTTTCTTTTTGGCTTAAGTCTGACGTTTAATTAATATTACAGTTGTAAAAAACCAGATGCCAAAAATTTAATTCGACAAGTGTCGAAATTTATTTTATGAAACGAAATTTTAAAATACTTGTCAACCAACACTTGTAACTTGTCAACTTGTCAGTTATATGAAACAGGCCCCAGAGTGTAGAGAGCAGAGTGTAGAGAGCAGAGTGTAGAAAGCAGAGTGTAGAGAACAGAGTGTAGAAAGCAGAGTGTAGAGAGCAGAGAGCAGAGTGTAGAGAGCAGAGGTTAGAGTGTAGAAAGTAGTGCACACACCTGTAAATGTCCCTCCACAAAGTCTTGATGGACTTGTTGATTTGAATCATCTTGGATTCGTGGAACTTGAGCAGAGAACGTTCCAATACGACGGCGAATTCCTTCATGTCTTCAATGGCCAATTCGGTGGTGCGCAGCTCGTAGTAGGCCAATTGGTGTTTGTTGTAAGCGCCCGCGATTTCGGGTTTGTTGATTTCCGACTCGAGTTCCCTGTACTGCGCCTTCATTTGCTCGTGTTGGCCCTGCAACATGATGATTTCCCTTTCTCGCCTCGACATGGCCTGCTGCTTTCGCGATTTGTCCTCGAACAGCGTTTGGGAGGTGTATTGGCCTATTTCGGATTTGATGGATTCCATTTGTTCGACGACTTGCTGTTCTTGTTTTCGTATATCGCGCAACGTTACGTTGTCGGTGAGCGCTCGAAGATTGGTTTCGCCTTTGGCTAAAGTTTCCTTCTTTCGCGTGATTTCCGCGAGTATTTTGGACTTGTTCTTTTCCAGATTCTGCGAGGTTACTTGCAATTCCGCCAGGTCTTCGACCAATTTCCCCAGTTTGGCGTCGTTTTCTTTCAGCTCGTAAGCCCTAATGTTGTCTTCGACTTTACGTATCTCGGAAAATACGTTGTGATGTTGGGTGATCTTCTTTCGCTCGACGTCCTGTATTTTACGGTTCTTCTCCACGAGATTTTTCTTATTATCTAGGGCCGTTTTCAACTCGCCTTTTTGAGCGGCCAGACAGAACTCCTCTTCTTCTATGGAGGTCGTTAAATTGGCAATTTGTGCTTTGTATTCTTCGTGTTGCTTGTCCAACAGAGGTTTCTCTTGGACCAGCTTCTGCATGTTGATTTGTTTCTGCGTATCGAGCTGAATTCTCTTCGTTAACTCTTGACAATTGTCTCTGTGCTGATCCAGCAAGTTTTTGGCAGTGTTGAGACTACAACAAAATTTATATTTTTTACGCACTGTAGTGTCCAAACGATTTTAATGCCCGATTTCACCAACATGTTGTTAGGTATTTCCTAACTAGGTAATTCCTAAGGTAGGAATTACTTGAATCGAATACTTATCTAAATCGAATTTCACCAACATTAGAAATCCCTTACTAAGAAATACCTAGGTAAAAATTTGATTTTGACAATTTTTTGAATTTTATTGGTAACATTGGCTAATTTTGACGTGTAAACCGAATAAGCGGAGATCGAAATTGAATATGTTGAGAGAAAAGGAGAGATGTTGATGATCCGGATCATCTTCAAAACTATCTTAGTTATTTTTAAATCTGTTGAAGATGTAGTCTGTACATTAATAGAAAAATAACCTTTCCGATTTGTAAAATATTTCTGCATCTTCTTCTCCAGGACAATGGATCTTTACATGCATGTGTACGGTCAATAGTTCCAAAAACTTCCTGTGTATCAAATTAAAAATCATCTTCAATTCTTTCTGATATTTGTAATGCCGTATTTTTATGTATCGAAAAAGACAAAAAAAATCAGTTTCGACCAGTTTCTAAAAACTCTCCTCCCATTTTAAATTTTCATCTAAAGAGTGTATAGACAGTCAAGACTTAAGTCACATGAAATCACATGAAAAGTATGGTTAAGTATTTCCTAAATGCATATACCTATTAGTATATACTGCTTACTACGGTCTAAAACCCGTAGCAAACATTATACTTTGGTGTGCCTGCTTATTTATGCGCATGCTCAAGTGAAAGATTTCTTGATTGGCTACTTTTGACAGAGCAAATGAAACGTCAGAAACGTGCTAGCTTTTATTTTGGTATATTTTTTGATATATTTTTAAAATCGACTTTGACTTGCCTGTGTAAATATGTCAGGTTACCGAATTTAACCACGATTTCAAATATTATTTTCTTTCTTTTCTTTTTAGGCCTCAGCTACTCGCTATTGGTCCTTTTAAAATTAACGCGCTTGCGTATAAACCACTAAGCACACCATAAAGGGTCGGATCTCTCTCTTTAATCGCTACGATTTTCTCTCATGGAATAGATAGAGAGTTAGCAGTATATACTAATAGGTATATGCCTAAATGTTTTAGGCAAACCCAGTGAGCTCTACTAACGTTAGGCATTTCCTATTACTTTTAGATATTACTTAGTGCATGGTGAAACGCAATTTGTAGTTAGGAATTCCTAAATCCTGTTTAGGTATTACCTAACTTTAGGAACTGGTTGGTGAAATCGGGCATAAATGTACTCACCTGTTTTTCGAGTTGCTCAATTTCCCTTTAACTTTGCCGATTTCAACGTTGGTTTCTTGATAGGATCGACCGCACGATATGGTTATGATGCTTCTTTGCAAATCCTCCACGTTAGCCTCGGCCTTTTCCACATCGATTTGGCATTGATCGAACAGCGCCGCGTCCGCGATCACTTCCCGGCAAATTTTCAACCGTTTCTGCGGCATCTCCAGCTTCGCCTTCTCCGCAGCCAGTTTCCCGCGCACTTCCCCGATCGATTCCGACGCCTCGTCGATGTCGCCCATCAGGCCGGGTATTTTGGTGAATTCCGCGTATTTCACGTTCTCGTAGACGACTTTGAGCTGTTGCAATTTGTTGTAGAGGACCTCCTCGCGCTTCAGATTGCCCTCGATCTCCGCCTTGTTGGCCGGTGCGTCGCTGACGCGCTTCCTCAGCTGCTTGACTATCTCCGGTATGAGGGCGACGGTCTGGTCGAATTTCGTTTGGCACACGGGACAGCACTTTTCCGATTCGATCTGCTTCGCGAACTGGTTCAATATGGTGGAATAGGTCGAAATGGTGCCGTGTTTCTGTTGCAATTGGTCCTTCTTGCGGCTGGTTTCGTCCAGGAACGAGTCGTAGCTCTTGCCCTGGCAGATTTCTTCTATTTTTCGTTGGTTGCTTGATAATTCTAAAATGGTTTAATGAATAAATAAAACGTGTTTTAAAACCGGAAATTTACAGCGCACTGCAACAAATCAAAGTTATATACAGGGTGGCACATTAGTATGGAAAAGCTTAATATATCTTATTGTAGAAGATATCTAAAAAACGTCATTACAAAAGTTGTAGATCTTTTTAAACTGCATATTTTAAAATTAGTTACATTCATACAGAGTGTCCCGTTTTTCCGTAGTAGATCAAACTTATACTTTTTTAAACTTATACTTTTTTACCCTGTTTTTTATTTAAAAATTGAATTTAGCTCGTTTTCAGTTTTCCAAAAATATAATTTTGTATAACGTTATACTGAGTGGTTTAAAAGTTATGACCACTTTTCCACGAAAATCGTACTAAGTTTACCACTCTGTAGAAACTAAATGGATTGAATTTAAAATAAATTTCACGTTTTACAACATTGCAAATATCCTGAAAATGTACAAAATGAATATTTTTTGTCAATTTTAATCATACTGCTTACAGGGTGGATCCAAACGCAAAAGTAACATTTTCTCTGTTAATTTAAATGGATCGCCCTATATTTTATATCGTTAACAGGAAGTATTTTTGAAGCACTTTCATTCTTATTAACCATTCCCCATACCTAAAGTTCACACTTTTCGAGATATTCCAATTAAAAAAAAACTAGAAAGGAATACTGAAGAAAAAAAATTAAGGTTTCTTTTTCATCGAAGTACACGTTACAGAAAGAAGTAAGAAACGTCAATTAAATACTATCTGGTATGATTTGTCGGTATTGCCTCCACAATTTGTAAAAATTAGAATACAAAATGAATTTTTCTATTGAACAATTATTGATGGTTATGATTTGGGTAATGGGAGAAAGTTTAGAGAATTTGTTGGTTTGCCGTTCAAAAAATCCTTTGAAAAATGTTTAGATTGTCTCAATCGTATGGCTTCAGCTGCATACGAAAAGCCAGAATGTGAAAAAACTATTATAAACGAACAAAATGGACCAAATTATTATTAATAAAGAATATTGAAATATCTCGAAAAATATCAAATTTAGGTACAGGGAAGGTTTATTAGGTATAGACAATTTTTACCAGAACTTCGGTTATTATAAAAAGGAAAGCTTTTTTTTTTTCTTCAATTTTAAGTTCTAATTTTTTTTAAGTGAATTATCTCGAAGACGTTTTTTTGATATCTTCTACAATAACAGATATATTGAGCTTTTCCATACTAATGTGCCACCCTGTATATTTCAATGTAATAAGTACCATTTTGCTCATACTGAAGTTGGCCCTTCTTGTATTTCAAGTTACTCTCTAATGTCGTTAATTCTTTCTCCAAATCCTTCACGCTTTTGTGCAATTTTTCCTGTTCGACGTCCAGCTGGTTTTGAATGAGTCCAACGGCCCTGTTCAAATTTTTCTCCGGCACGGGATCCTGCATAAACAGGGTTTGCAAGTGTTGCGAATGCTTGGTCTTGAATTTGTCGATTTCAGCCCGCTTTTGGAATATCACGCCCCTCTCGGATTCGATCTTTTCTTCGGTCGTGTAGTTACGTTGGAGTATCCGGAATTCTTTGTCCAATTTCTCCAAGTAGACCTCGGTTTTGTCGATCTCGTCTTGAAGGTTTGCTATTTCGTTTTTTGCGTCTTGCTCGTTGAAGGAATTTTTCAAATCGACGAGCTCCTTTTGGGACCTTTCGATTTTATCGGTGATCATTTTGAGTTGGGTGTGAGAAGAGTCCAATTCGTCCAACTTGTCTTTGATCCGTTTTAGCTTGTTTTTGTAGTCGTTTATCATGGATTTCTTCGACGAAATCAATTGCTCGATTTTGGCGTTTTCCGTTCTCGCCTTGTCGATTTCGTCTTGCAGCTTTTTTTCTTCTTTGTCCTGCTCGATTTTCAACTGATCGAATTTGCTTTGTAAGCTTGTTAATGCAGTCGAAAGTGCTGTTATTAGAGCGGATTTGTCGCCGGAAACTTCTACTTTTAAATCGGATTTTAGCTTATCGATTAACTTCTGGCTTTCTAATAGTTTTAACTTGTACTGCTTTTGTTCTTCTTTCATTTGGCCTATTTGGACTTGTTTGGCTTGGATGCTTTTGTAGAGATTTTCGATTTGTTTAGTATCGTTTTGCACGGATCTTTCCAGCTGATGGATGGACGATTTTTCCGAAGCTTCGTTTTCTTTGAATTCCTTTATTTTGGCTTTAAGTTCATTGTCAGAACCTTCGAAGACGCACGACATATTATCCTTAAGGTTCCTTTGCTGGTTGAAAAGTCCTAAAAAAATTTGAAAATTAATGTGGTTTACAATTTTACTCAAGTGGTAGTTTACAAGAGACTGAATTTACCTTTCTTCTCTTCCTCTTTCGCAGTAAGTTTCCCATGCAATTCCCCCAAAGTATCTTCCAATTTCAGTATTTGCTTCATCTCCTCCACCAGAGGCTTTAGTTGTTCTTTCTTCGCTTTTATATCCTTTTCAACATCCTTCAATTTTTCCTTTAGATCTTCGTATTTCGCTCTTTGCTTCTCCGCTTGGTTCTTCAACACTTTCTTATCTTCCAACGATATTTTCAAGTGCGGCAACTTCTTCATGTTGTCCTTAATGTACTTCCTGACATTGTCGATGGACTGGTTGTATTTCTTAGTGTCGAATATTTCATCGAATTTCTCCTTGAGTTGCTTGGGCTCGTCCAGGGGCCAAAGGGAGTTCTCCTGGTGGCAGAAAAGGACGTTGTTGAGGATCGATTTGGATACTTTGAATGCGCTGCACGAGTAAATGTCCACGTCTAGGTTACGATTGCAAATGTCCACCGGGGCTCCGTTACTGTCCCTCTTATGCACGGTGTTGTTTAGACGACTGAAACGGATGGTGCCATTTTTATTTTGTACCTAAAAGAGCTGCGATTTGTAGTAAAATGTAAGGGTTAGTGTGTGCTCCCTAATGTAGGGAGAAACTGTATAGTTAAATGTAGTCGAAATATTTTACCTGTAAAACTTTGGAGACTGTTATCATATTTCCATCAGTGTCTCTAAATTTGATCTTTATGCTTCCTTTCAATGTGTTTTTACCGACTATTTTCAAATCGTGAAGAAAACCCCTGCCATTATTGGTGCCTATAAAGTATGAAGTTAATAAGTGATTGTGAAGGTTATTAGAGAGTAGGAACCTAAAGGTAAATCTCCGGTTATGGCGAATTTTATGCACTCCAATATCGTAGTTTTTCCACTACCGTTCTGCCCTTGAAATAGAACCACCGGCCTTTGGAAATATATTCTTTGGACATCGTCGGGGCTGAAGTTTCTTATTCCTATGATTTCCAAGCTGTGCAAAAGAGCCATTATACCGGTGAATCAATTGAATTGAATTTCACTGGGATTGTTATATTTTAAGGTTTTTTATCACCACTTCTAATTTCTAACTTCAAACAGTTCAAATAATATAAAAAAAATAATATTGAAAACTGACATACTTGACAAGTGACAGCGAGGGAAAACAAATCGCACTAATTACAGAAGATTTCTTGCATTGTTGTCATATCAACTATTGTTATAAAAACGACATAAATGAATCCAAATAAAAGTTTATAAATTTATTCACATTTATCAACTAATATGCATACATCATTATTTCATATTTCATCGATGTACTCAATATTTAATTGAAGAAGATGAGCCCCCATTGATGGCCTATTCAGTCACATAGACCGAGAAACTGTAGTCATAATCGTCCAAATGTAGCGAATCCCGTGGGACAGAAATTTCAACAAACTCTGAACCGAGTCCACCCCTTACAATCAAGGGATCACATCCGCTGCCTTTATTGTCAACGACCTAAATAGAATCATAAAAAACCGTACCAAATTTAGGTAATAATCGTAATAAATTTCAGGTTTACCAACATCGCAGTATGCTATTAGTAATTTAGTAGCATACTAATGTGCCACCCTGTATTTAGATAATAATTGAAATGTGAGTGAAGTATCTCAAAATTACTTACTAAGATGCAGCTAATTTTATTTTCCAAAACTCCGGATTCTGGAATGCGGACGTCTATAAGTTCTACCTTTGGTTTTTTTATAGTTTCATGGGCTACTAATTTTCCACTGAAAAATGAACAAAAAAAATATTTTTTGAACATTCGATACAAATATTATTTATTTATTTATTCGATACAAACTTACGGATTTTTTTGATCGGCGCAGAAGTAAAAATCACGGCCTCCGTATTTCTCCAAGTACATACTCTGTACACCCAACGCCATAATTACCACCAAGAAACACAATCCTACTATTTTCAACATTTTAATCTTGGGATTAAACTGAAAATATCTATAATAATGCGACAAATAAAACAACAAATTAAAGAAGAATGGATAATCCACAGTTAATTGAACCCTATTTAATATACCTCTCCTATATTTTATATACAAATGCGATATCATTAATTCCAATCAGTTGTTGAGCAGAATATCCAAGTGTTCTTTATTTTATCTATAATTATCATTAGTTGATTACAGGTAGATATATGCTTAATAAATAATTTAATATTTAATTCAAATTTTATTAGATAAATTCATAAGAAACAACATAAAAATTGTTTATTCAAATACAAGTTTTAATCAATTTACAATTTAATCCTTTGAAACTGAAATACATATTACTTAAAATGTTTTTTAAAAGTGCCTAAAATTATGTAATTAAATATTCATTAAATATTCCCTGCCTGCATACGTTAAATTCAAGATTCGTTAAACAGACAATAGATGGCGCAACGACGTTTTCATTACATCTCGCCGATAGGCTCGTGTCAAACCTCGCCTTATACCGAGGAAATCGCTTGTTCTAGTATCGCTTCTCGGCCTCTGGCTAAGATCAAAGTGTAGTATCTGTTCTTATCAGCTTAATATCTGATACGCTCCGCATGCGGAGCCAGTATATTAAACTGATTTTTGGAAATTGATGGGAGGTTAGGGGCTTGCTCCACTCCCGTCGCGGGTTGGCCTGGCATTGCAGTACAGCCAGGATCGGCCCATTTTATGATAATCAAAACATAATTACTTCTTATCATCTTTGCAATAAAGTATTGCGATCAATGATGAATAGTTGATGGGTGAAATTGGTGATCGAATTGATTACGAACATTCATGTCTGCGCCTCTATAGGCAAGTCAGGCCTCTCTCTTCCCGGTGATAAAAATATCGAAATTACAGTTTTATGCAAAACAAAGCGATGTCCCTCACCATAAGTTTTCCACGACACAAATAGACAGTGTTGCCGAAATTTTTTGATATGAATTTTCTAATGGCGTTTTCCATTGGTAAAATAGTGCGCACTGAAAGTGCACTCAAAGCAAACTTTTTGTTTCATTTGGTGGACTGTGGGAGTGTTTTGATTTCCAAAAGCGTTTTTTGGTGGCCAGATTGCCAATGGAAATCAAAATAATCGCACAGTCCACCAAATGAAACAAAAATTTTGCTTTGAGTGCACTTTCAGTGCGCACTATTTTACCAATGGAAAACGCCATAAAATTGCCGAGAAAGACTTCTAGAGATGAGATTTAATTTTCATTTAAAAATGACCTTAAAAATACCTTGTTAACATTTATTTGTTGACGAGAATTTATTTATGATTTTGATTAAACATACATTTTTGGAGGATATTAGGTAAAATAAAAAAAGAACAAAATAATTACATTATTTAATTTTTTTATCATTACTATCATAATCAAAACTACAGCTTTTACTTTCATTTAACCAATCCGAATAATCATTATTATTTCTTAAAACAATATGGAGACATTAATTAAATTTTATTAAAACAGCTGGATCTGTTTAATAGAATATTTAAGTAATTTGTAGGAAGGATAAAAAATTCGAAAAATTAATTAATAAAACTTATTTATTAAACCTACACTATTCCAAATTGTAAAAGTAAATTCAAATTCCATGTTTTCCACCGCTTGGGCCGCTGTAGATGGAGCGGAACTCTCCCTCGATTGGACTGGGATCCAAGTCTCAACAGAATGAGTAAACTTTAGGGCACGTTGGGCAGTCGCTACGAAGGTACCCAACCATCCCGCAGCCGTAACAACAGACCGTCTCCGCTCCGTTCTCCCCAGTTGCAGATTCCTCGGGTCGGCTTCCTTCGACGTTTTCCAACCGCTTCCGACATTCTTGCGCTGTATGCCCCTTGAACCTGCAAACATTGCAGCGATTTGACTTGCGTTTGGTTGATGATGGCTTCTGTCGTTTCGGTTCTGGTTCTGGTACCTCCGGTGTCGAACGATCTTCGTCGACGCGAGTTTCCTCTTCCATCCTCTCCACCCGCCTCGCCTTTGTGAGGAGCATCGAGAAATTAGTGACTTCCTCTCGAGGTATCCACTGACGAATTCGAATGTTTAACATCCCGTAGAGGAAGTCTATTTGCGTCTCTTCATTGTGCCTACCCGCAGGGAGTTGAGCCAGCAGGGCACGTTTCCTGATAAGAAACTCGTGGATCGGCTCCAATTCACCTTGTGCACTGCTGAAGAGTTCTTTGTAAATTTGGTAGGGCGGCTTGGGAGGCGCGAAGGCGAATCTTAACATCTCCAATGCTCCTTCCCAGGTGGTCGCTTCCCTCTCGACACCTCGAAACCAGGTTGATGCCGCGTCCGTTAACAGCAACGGTAACGCCCGCAGAGCATCCTCGCTCGAAACGTTTTCCGCTTCTCTGTATAGGGTTACGAAGGTGAGGAAATACTCGACGGTTTCGTGGTTCTCTTCGCCGTTGAAGCGTACCGGGCATTTTAGCATGTTGCCCCGGGGACGTTCGGCGTTGTTGCGCAACTTTACCGCCGCTTCCAGGAGCTGTTTTAGCTGTTCTGCGGTCATAGACATAGCAGCCATCGTTGATCTACTTTGTAATCCAATTGCTGCGCTGTGGAGTTCTTGTAACTTAGTTTTGATTATCGTTGATGTTGAAAGAATCTAGACGAGTATAATCTTGTGTCAGTTTTTCGCAAAAATCTACGGAACGTGTAGCGTTTATTATGTACTAATTGGAATTAAACCGTTGTACTGTACAACCAAGAGTTTTGAATAGTCTAGAAACAAAGCCCAAATCGGCGGTGCGAATGTTCCTTAACGTATTCACGACGCAGAGAAGTGTACTAAGAATTCCAACTTTTACACCGCTTGGGCGTTGTATAAGCATATTAGTTAAGATCTCGGAGGCGACGTGGAATCGGCGGCATCTAGTGGCTGGTGGATGAACTTGGTAACGGCGACTAAATTAGGAGCCGATGCTAACTTTATATTAAATTTATGATGTGATTTTTTTTATTAACGAAGAGAAATATTTAAGAAAATATTCATAGAGAAGCAGCATTTTCCTTAAGGAAAATAAATTAAAAATTTGATTTGGCAACGCCGTTATGGGTGTACATAAATGATATTTGTGACAGTAATGACAATTGATTGACATTGACAGTTCAGTTATTTCGTTTTCGTTATTTGTTTTTATTTCACGTAAACACTCGGGAAGGTGTGTCAGGTATGTTTTCTTTCAAATTATTATTGTACTACACCAATTTCTTTATAAAAATGTCACTATTACCTTTACAATTCTTACATAAATAGTGACAATTAAGAATTTGTCCGTTATAATACCATGGCTATCCATTTTATTTAATGACTCAAACATACCACGCCCAACCCATTGGTAAATTAATCACTTTTTAACTAACTCGTTTAATTTCAGAACGCATCCGAATGACCTGCGATGTCTTCAGTGCTTGACCACAGATACGAATACTTGAACAACCCCTACTTCAAGAAACACGAATACGGCAACTTCTCATCATTTTACATAACAATTACTATTTGTTCGATATTTCTGTTTGCCATCATAATATTGAACATTGTGCTGGGCTGTTGCACGAGGCATTCGACCTATTGGCAAGACAGACACACCGGTAAGTTGCTCTAACTAGCATTATGCTAAGCTGGATGAAAGCTTCATAGTAATCCCTGAAAACTAATGTTCATGCAAAAAGTATTCATATATCGAGCACCCTGTATACTTTACTAATACTAGCGTATACTAATTGCGAACTTAACATTATTTTTAACATTGTAGGTAATCGTTGGTTGGTTGCTCTGTGGACCGCCACGCCCCATCAACAACCCTCTTTGGACTACACTGAGCTAGAGAGTGTTGAAGTAGTTCACCACAGGCAGACTCACAGAGGAGTCCCTACAGTATTCGAGCGTCCCCCTTCGCCGAACGAACCTCCGCAGTACTTGGAGTTGCAGAAGCGAGAAAGCGAAATTTAACGTGTAATTTACTGCACTAAAAAACATGTTTCACGTTTATTGGCCGGCCACGGCAGCCCTGACGATGTTCCTGATAGTAGGGGTGATCATCGTGATGCTAAAATGGGGACCGAGGATCTGCCAGACTCGTCATACGGCTCTGCCCTATGTTAAAAATTGGCGGCCTGTTGTTTACGAACAACAGGTAAGTTACGCTTGAATTTGATGAAAAATCGCTTTAAGTATCATGCACAATTTTATTAGTACTGTTGTTTTATTATTCTTATTAATTTGTTCTCGTATATAGGCCATATTAGTGAGTACGTCACGATATTATGATTGTCATAGCAATGTGCGATCCACGCAACATTTTTTATCGACTTGATTTTAAATATTTTAATTTGTTTTGATATCGCTAGTATTAGTGAATTTTTTGGGTTTTAGTTTCAATATTCTTAGTATTGAATTGATTAGTCACATGAATTGATTTTTTGATTAATTTGATTTTAAAATGACAGTTGACAATTTTGACGTTTCAATAATGTGGTGTCATAAGACTTGAAATTTTAGATCTGATCAAATGTTTATATGTAAAACATGTCCGTCCAATTTTTACACTTTTTATATTAAAGGATTTTAATACTACACATGTCTCTTTATTTATTAATGTAGTAAGTAGTAATTAAGTAAGCGGTAATGTATAATGCCGGATTTTCCTTTCCTATGGGTATGGGTGACTAATAAAATACAGAAAAAAAATACATTACATTTTATTTTTGTTAATTTATTAACACTAGTTGGCTTGGCAAAAAATAAGATTATATGTAAGTAACTATACTACGAGAATCTACGGTGTTATTAGGGAATGTTTTCACTTATTTATAAACACTTGCCTGGTAATTCCAACTAGTGAAATAAATAAAATTACAAAACATTTTGTTTTAGTAACATTTCAGCTTCGATTAAAATATCGAAATAAAAATAATATACAACAAATTTACACCACGTCGAGTACATTAAACAAAATGCATTACAAAAATTCCACTTGTAAAGAATGATTTTTGTTTAACACCCAAATTAAATAGACATTGCAAGGTGTAATAACATAAATAATATACTGTACAAAAATTTGAATCTCACGAAACTCTGATAAGAACATTAAACAGACTCTCTTTTTCATCATGATGAAACAAACAATTATTACTTGTTAGGTTATTTACATAATGTGTTAATGAATCTTTAGTGCTTACTAACTGTATAACTCGCATAGTTCAAGTCAAAGTTAAACCAATGAATTGGCAGGATTTAGGTTAGGTAACTACCCGTTTTCGTAACCATTCGGTTATCTTATCGAGTTACATCTTGCCCTTAGACTGGTAACTTTGTTCTTAATTTTGAAGCAAGAAAATATAGAACGATAGAAAGACCACATTCAATTCGTTTTATACAGAAAACTTTGTAATGTTTCCTTCCTGCACACATAACCAATCTAAAACACATTTCCCGACTTCTTCATATAGCATAAACCTTCCGATCCCTGTAAAAACAGCCGAGCTTATTAGAATTCCCATCTACGCCCATCTCGTCCGATTTCTTGTTCTCGAAATATCTGCATATCTCCTTGACGGCGCCCAGCGAGCAATTCAAATCGCTGAGGTCGTGCAGCGACCTGCTGGTCCTCTTCGCCTCCTGCTTGTCGCGCCTGCAGCTCACGTCCTCGCTGCTGCGCACTTTCCTGCGCAGCTTGCACAGCGACTCGAACAGGAACAGCTTCTCTTTGACGGGCACATAGCGATTCGCGTCCTGGCACTTCTTCAGCAGGTCCTCCACGTACTGCTCCTCGGCTTCCGAGACTACCTGAAAGAGATGCAGATCTCTGTGAGTACATGAAAGGTTCGTCGAAGACCGATCTTGTACCTTTTTGCTTTGAGTGGTACTTGAGCGGTTGTGGTTCAATTCGCAGCTCTTGCAGGTGGTGAGGGAGTGTTGGTGGTCGATTTTGGTGATATTAGAATTCCAGTCTTTTTCGTAGTAGGTGGATCGGATCCTCGTCCAGCAATCGGCTATGGTGAGGATGTCCAAGTATTTGATCGAGTCGAGGGGCGTCTGGCGGATGAGCTCGATGGCGATGGTTCTCACCCATTCTCCGAAGGTTAGGGCGTCAGAAGTCTGGAATAACAATGTTTTTGTACCTTATAGGGTCGATTTTATTAAGAGGGAAGGGCCTTTTGATAAATACAGGGTGTTTCACAACTTATCCGACAAATTTTAACCACATATGCACTGTTACTAGAAAAGTTAATTTCCCAAAAAAATGTAATAAAAGTCTTACAGAAATCGAGATAATAAAATAATAGTTTAACAGTTCAATTACTTATACAAGATGTTCAAAATTGTTCCCATTTACTGCAATGCAAGCTTGGGTGCTTGTTTTTTTTGTTTTAACCATTGTTTTGGTGCAACATTTGCTACAGGAAAGTATTAAGGCAACATTATGAACGCAAAATGCAGTATTTATTTTTCAAGTTTTTATTGAAACTCGGGTTTATAATTTTATTTCTGTAGGACTTTTATTACATTTTTTTTGAGAAATCAACTTCTCTCTCTTTGAGAAATCTCAAAAAAATGTAATAAAAGTCTAAACCTAAAAGTCTAAAGAAATAAAATTATAAACCCGAGTTTCAATAAAAAATTGAGAAATAAATACCTACTGCATTTTGCGTTCATAATTTTGCCTTAATACTTTACTGTAGTAAATGTTGCACCAAAACAATGGTTAAAACAAAAAAAACAAGCACCCAAGCTTGCATTGCAGTAAATGGGAACAATTTTGAACATCTTGTATAAGTAATTGAACTATTAAACTATTATTTTATTATCTCGATTTCTGTAAGACTTTTATTACATTTACTGTATAATTGATTTCATGATGAAATTAAAGGATTCAATAAGCCTAAAAAGTGGCATTTAAAGTGTAGATTTTTAAAAAAGAATTTAAAAAAGAGCTGAAGCTTTTAATAAACATCTGATACGTTTTCGAAGAAGCTTCGTTTCTTTAATTGCATTGTAATTTCACGTTTATCAATACGGGCAATATAGCTATAAAATATTTATAGTTAATTTACAAGCATACTAACCAGCTGAGGATACGATTTTGCTGATTATAAAAATAAACACGATAAATATAAAATATAACAACACATTTGATAAGCGTTGAATGTGCTAAGGCTGTGTTTCTCTGAATTCGATTGTTAATTATATTAAAAATCATGTCTTCGGAAATGATTTATCGATCCTTTTAATTGAATTAGTCAGCCATTATTTCCACGACAATTACTCGAAAATAATTAGTTTTCTCTGAAGTTTTCGTCCATTCTAATTTTTCCAACAAATGTTTTTTCTATAGATACTTTTAACTTACGACTATCTTTACTCATAGCATTACTATGGAAAAGAAGTTGGGTTTGTTTTGAACTGACGAGCACCTTTTGTGCGTTTCATCGGAATGCAATTTGAAATATTCGAAACGTTAATAAACAAATAATTTATTATAGAATTGTTTCGGAATGTAGAGCATACGGGGCGCGGTCTATAACCCGTCGGTTAGCCAGACCTCACTAAAAAAATTGGATTAACAAACTGAAAGCGTTCGAGGTTGTTAAAATGATCTAGAGATTTTTATGCATTAAATTTTTTTAAGTTTACAGATTTGAATAACAATTGTGCCTACCCTGTATATTATGATGTCTCTTGTCATGAAATTAATTTGGAATTCAATAGAGTAGAATAATCAGAAGAACGATATTTGAAAAATAACGGTTAATTTGCAACAGTCGTTACTGCACCTCTACACCATAAATTTTATTCCCACCTCTATTAAACTTCTGTCATACGAAATGTCATAAATGTCAATTTTGACAGTTTATGCAACATCGAATGCATCTTAAAATTATACTTATTCGCATGCAATACGAAAAAGTAAAACTTATAGTAAGGTAAAGTAGAGAGTATAGAAAGTATTGAGAGTTAGAGACTACTAGAAAGTATAGAAGGTATAGAGTACCATACCTGAAAAGTTAGGACCTCCTTTTGTCCTTTGCAAAGCGAAATGCTGTTGGGAAGGGGGCCCATGCGGAGACTCAAGTGCCTCAGCGGGATCCTCTGCGTTGAATCACACGTGGATGATACAAACAGTTGTCCGCATCTGATCGAGGCCTTCCTAGGCCGCCAATCGTTTCCGATTTTCAATAGAAGGTCTCCTGAAATGACCGGCGTAAGATTTATAAGAAATTTCGCAATAATACAAGGAAACTGCGGAATGTATAATAGGAAATTAAACGTGTAATAATATTCGAAACGCGAGTCGCTTACGAAGCAAAACAATAAAATTAGCATTTTTAAATCGGAGATGAATTGTTTGTATAAAACAAACGGTTTGTTTGCGTTTCGATAACGTGCAGAAAACTAGTTTAACTATTGTAAATAAGAGTATCTCGAAATTTGTTGATAACGGCATTTAGCGTAGGTAATCTGTGTGCTAGTTTGTGTTTCTACCTATCAAATTCAATAACAAACTACAAATTTACAACTATGCAAAAATTAAATAAAGGCATTTCGAAATTCCATCATACACCCATTATCGAATTTCTTAAAAACGCCCCTGTTGTTTCGACAATATTTTTAACAACAGGACCATAATTTCACCATTCCAGTATCATAATTTTATCTACAAACTATAGAGATTAATGTAACAAAATTTGATGAAGAATCACCAAATTATTGCTTGAAAGTAAACCCCTTGTGTATGTAAGTATTAATCCAACCATGTGCCCTTAATCAACCAACGTTTACAGCAATTACCGATTACATTGGATCTTTCAACTAACTGTCTCAAAGCAACAAAGATGAATATTATATTTTCACAGAGATAATTGAACATGTGTTTGTTCGGCTTATCTTCCTTCGATTCGAATTTTTTTTTTGTTTCAATAAAGCGAACGAGCTATTAATAGGCTCAATTGGACGTTTCTTTTATTTTGATATGTGCATGTCCTATAAGCTGGGGGTCGTCAACATTCGTTATAATATACAGTGCATTTCTTTAATGTCCCCCCCCTTTTATTTTTTGAACGGATCAACTTAGAAAATTAAAATTTGGGATAATAAAACTAATGCATGATTACTATATTTTGGAGTAAAATTGACAGTTGAAAATTTCAAGATGGCGACTGGGCGCCATCTTGGGAAATAAATTTTAATGGAAAGGGGGGTCTTGTGATACATCATTTTGAAGCTCATGACAAATACTCTACAACCCTGGAATATTAAGTCAATATCTGCACCTGCTACAAAATGGCGGACATTTAATAATTAACGGACATTAAAGAAATGCACTGTATACATGAATGCGTAAAGCGAGCAAATCGTTAATTCTCTTCTGTTATTTTGTAACGATCGACATAAATCAAATAAAGCCCGTAGATTTGTGAAGAAGAAATTCTAAATTATGGCATTCTAGTCGAACCGAAGACAAATAACCGTATCGAAAATGAGATAAATTACAGCGATATCGGTGGTCCGTTGACGGGACAGGGACTTGAACTATTTATTTAGCGCATTTCAATAGAATTGAGGTTTTGAGCATATTTTCCAAATGTGTACCTAAATAAATTTAGCGATACTTGATACTTTGACATCTGGGTAAGAGATCACAACCGAGTTTGCTCAAGAATAACAACTTTTTCGTTTCCTCGAAAAACCAATTATTTCCTCCAAGCTCGTACAATGACTTAATTTTCCATAATTTTCTCAATAAGGGCATATTTGAGGATATTGAGACATTAAACAATAAGCTTCTGTTATACATTAACGATTTTTACGTCTTCCTGCAATAAAACTTGTTAACCTTCTCCGCAGATGAATTATTTATAATAATAAAACGATTGTATTATAACAAAAAAAATATTATCGGAGGTACGTAACGTGTCTACTTTAATGTGGTATTAAAAAAATTAATGCGAGTATAATTGGAGTCTACTACGATTGTAGCTCGAAACAATTCTGACCTCGCTGTACGCCGAGATGTTGCTCTTCGAAATAATAGTAACAAAGTAAAAACATGTATCTTATACACGGTAAAATATTTAATAAGTGGGTATTATTGTTCGTTTTGCATAACCGTAATTACAGGGTTCCACTTCGAAAACCCCAAAAATAATGATGTATATTTTTTTTAATTTATTTCAACACCTTTATTATAGTTAAAAGGTTTGTTTTCGTTGGAAAACAATGTCAATGTCGCTTAACTTTTTGGCGATTAAATAATTTATTAATGGAGAAAATTAAAACGCTTATTTTCGCATAATTTTTACAATTTCGAAATCCAACTATTATAAATATATTTTTTTGCATGTACCTAATTTTCGAATCAACACATTAATTATTAATGTTATAGTACTCGAATATTATTGTGAATCACGATTTCTGATTCAATTCGAATGTTTGGAAATCCTGCGTTTTACACGATTTTCGTTTTATTACACATGAATTTTGTTCCACTTCCAAAAATTTTTTACTGTTTCTACAAGGTTCTTCGAAAAAACGAAGAATTTCTCCTTTTATGGAAAAAATGTGGGATCGAGTATAATTTATTACAACTTTTGACGACTTAATAAAATCATCGCACAGTATGTTTCTTCTAAAAGCAGAGGAAACTTCCCTTATTCATAGAAGGGTATTTTTAGGTAATTTTTCCGAGTATAATTATGTTTTTTAAATAATAAAGAAATTGAAAAGGTATACTGAACAAAAAACCAATAAATTACCTACTGAAAAAAAACCAAAAATGTCTAACCTACCCTTTTTAAAGTTTGACAAAAAAAGTAAAATTGGTAAAAGTATAATTAAAAACAATATACAGGTTGCTCCATTTTTGATCGCAACATAGGTTATATAGGCTATAGGTGCGATAAAGACAACTTCCATTAGACACTTATAAAGGAAAAGGAAAGAGTGACATTTGTGTCATTGCAACTTTTCACTCTGACAACTGTTATTTTATTAATCTTTCTTTGTTCCACTCATAGAAATGACCATGTTGCAATCGGAAATGGAGCAAACGATATAAAGAATTCATTGAAAAACTAAACATGCTTTAAAATGTTTGACAAACTATCCAAGAGGCTTTAAAAATCTCTTGAATAAGGCGAAACAAGTATCAAAACCCCATTGAAATCTACCCCTTAGGACCCATAAGGGTAAAATGCTATCATCATCAACTAAAAGTAGGGAGAAATCATTTAAACCATAGAATCAAATGGTGTCAGTAACCTCCTGCTTTATTATACGACAAACTTGCTCATAGACTGGTTAGAAGATTTTTTTTCAGTAAATATCTCCTAATAGAATCTCACTAGATTTAGATAACAAACGGTTTTACTCTCTCTTTTCAACCGGAATATCAAATCAAAACTCTCTTATTTTCCCAACGCTCACTTCGCATCGCCATCCCATTTTTGACAAAAATTATTACCGTCAACTGTCATTGTCACAACTGTCAAATATCGACGAAAGTAGCGCGAATCGTAGTGTGCGCTCATTAAATTAACCAACTTCGATGTAATTTATTAGAAATCAAAAAACGCACCTGTGCAAGCAGCACATTAATTAGCAGTAATTATATAGGAGCAGTAACATTTTTTTTTCATTATTGCGTTAACGACGTTGTCGCAATTCCTTTTTTTCTAACGATACGGTTTCGTGTCGTCGAGTGAAAACCGAAAATCGGAAGAAACGCGCATAAAAAACCCTCAACCGAAGGAAAAGAAATCATGTGTGATTGTACAGGTAGATTTCCTCACCGTTTTGTTTACCATCCGCGATTGTTGTTAAAGCGAAAAACAACGGTCGAATGCATTTTTACGTTTTATGTGTGCGGTAAAAGCGATTTCTTTCATCACCATGTGGACTAACCAATTATTATCTAATAATAATCGTTGTGTTATTGATACCTAATTAGCCATGAATACACTCGAATTACAATCGATTCAATTTTACACAGCGTGTAGTTTACGTTCTGTCATTGTCTTCTAAATTTTCGCTATCTATTCATTAGTTCTATGTCCCTTCTAATGCCCCCAAATGTCAGAAATTGACAGCTGAATTGACAGATTATCGTTTTGTAAAAATTAAATTGAATAGCAAAATAGAAGTAAAACATTGTTAATATTGAATTATCGACCAATTATCGACGATTTAAATCTTGAAATTAGCATTATACATTTATACATTTGCATTCATAATGCATTATAATACAAGCGTTGATTTGTTGTGTTTAGTCTGAAGTTTAATTTTACAAACTCTCTTAACCGCTATCAATTACTCACTGGAATTCTTATTCACATCCAATTGAATCACCAAAGTACTCTCATAAATAAATCGGTTGAAATACTAGCACAAAAGCATAATTACCAACGAATCAAATGCATACTATTGAGTGCAACATAATCCTCTTGGTTCGTATAACCATTTTTTATAAGTCCCAAACCGGTTGGTTTTCACCCTAAAAACTATTTTAGGGTTACAGGGTGTGAAAGGTTCTGAAACTGTTGATGTTAAAAACTATGTATGTCCATTAATCCGTGTCTTTTTCAACAGTGACATAATATTTTGGGAACACCCTCTATACGGTAGTTCTCAAATTTCACAATAAATCACCGGGGAAAATGTCAGAAAGTTTAGTTCTTGATAAATCTCAATTCACAGTGGAACGTTAAAATTCTTTGTGTGGGTCACATCCGGCCAATAAAAGGGCTCGTTTTTTCCTTGTCCGACAAATTGTCTCTGCATGTTTTTATAACTAGGTATTTACATCTTAATACCTATTTGTTTGGGTTGAAATGCGACTGTCTACAAGTCTAGACGAAAGCCCCATTGGCTTTCAAGTTGCGATAATTTTCAGTACAAGATAAAGTAAAATCACTTATCTACAAGTACCTACATTCTCCATTAATCCCTATCTTATCTTCGAATGCAGACATTTGCTATTTAACATTGTCGTATTTAATTTATGCAATTACCTCCAACATGAAATTTAGGTTGAGAAAGTACTGATATTAGGATATCGATACCTTCGACATACATCTCTATCAGAATTTACTCTACATTCATATTTTATAGTTAGTCATTTTTAAGTACATAATTGAAACAAAGTGAGACTGATACTTCGTAGAAGTACCAATCTGGGTTCTTAAACACTTGATACGAATTTATCTTGAATAGCCATGTTCAATGATGCCCGTATTATTCATTCCTTCGAATACTTAAAACCTACTCGTATTACACACTCGTGAAGAATACGAGTTAGAGTAAAGCACGAGGAGGAAAAGCCAGAGTTTCACTTTCAAATTTGTATAATTTATTCTTAATGGATTAAATCAATAAATACACATTAAAGATTTTTAGTGGAAATGTGACACACCCACTTGCACTCACACTGAAAATTTATTTTTTATGTGATAGGTACTTTCCAGTAGATTATCATCGATTGGTTTGATTTAATACATCTTACTAATAGCATAATATTATCTTTTAAAAAACTGAGAGATGAATTTTGAAATTTTTTCGCCTACATTTTCAATGATCAATTCACCACTTCCATTAATGTACTTACAAAATAATTATCGACAGAGCGTAGAAAACCTATAAAATTTTAGCTTCTGGCTACAAAGACGTTTTCATTACCAATAATTACCACTATATTTACCTTATAAAGTGCTCACCAGGTACTTTCTCCTTCGCGAAAAAACTGTTTGTTGTAACTATATACAATTACCTCCTATAGCAAGTAAGTACCGTATAAGATCCACCTCAAAAAAAAAACATGATACATACTTTTACTAGTTTTTGCAACTTTTAAGTACCTACACTTATTTTTACTTTTAAGTAAATTAAATTAACAAATTTCAATTTGAATATGAATGAAAGGAAGAACGATTATCTGCAAGCCCATACAATTGCGATTGTTACATTGTATAAGATGGACATCGTACGAAACTCTCGCTAATTGTAGAAATTGTAATTTCTATTCAAGTAAATAAAAGGTTGGATTGGTGATTTTGTATTGTGAATTAAAAGAATTACCGGACGACTAAATAATAGATGATGTTTTATTTACCGTTGAACATAAATCAAAGCAAGACGGGGTAAAATTTAAGCATAAATACCAATAAAGAGAATCGATTATTACCTAAGGGAATCGACAAGAAAATGTATAAATGTCCAAGCCATTTTTTACCCAAAGAGTCAATTATATTCTTATCTAACCAAAAGAGTAACATGTATACACGAAAGTTAATTATTCTCTTACTAATCCCAATGATAATTTTATTGAAATTTCTCAAGTACGCGCCCTCTTCAATAAATACATTTCGAAATTCAATTAAAGCTCTCTCTCGTTAAACCTGTGCGTTCAAATTAGAACGTGTATTTTACACAATAATTTCTTTACAGCATAGCTAAGCCTATTTATTTAAAGAAAGCGCTCAGCCAAGTATCAAAACTTATAAGACTTATTAAGGAGCTTATTATGCTCATTACAAGAGTTTTGATATTGTCAATTACAAGTAACTAGATTAATTTAAAGAGTAAATTGGCTTTTTCGTGTCGTGTTCTACTTGAACGTACTATTTCGTAAAATCAAAAGTGATTTTTATTTCGGGGGAATTACAAAATTGTTCAAATAATTGTACGGTAGAATGAGTTTGCTGCACGATATCACTATTATTAATTACCTTTTAAAGACGTTTGTAAGATTTACCTAAACAAAGATAGTAATTTTGTCTAAGAGACTAATGTCCTGGGTGAGTCATCGAACCTAAAATAGTCAAACTATTTACTTGAAAGAAACTTGTATTGCCTAAATCAGCCATTTATTTTTCTGAGAGAGTTTTATACACCTATACGAATCAAATATCTACTCGAGAGAGAGTCACTTGTGAAAATGATCTAACAAAAAGTAATTTTTTTACAATCTTGCGACAAAATCCCTCGTAAACATTTCTATACTTCTTCCTTCTTTTCGAAGCCTCGTCTACTTAGGCTTATTGACTTCTTTCTGTAAATATCTTTGTTAAAAATAAATTTAAACAATTTAAATTGACAAAATGACACATCAGAATGTCACAAATTTAAACGTCATAATTGACAGAATGACGTACCAGTGTCGCCAACTCACTTTATGAAATTTATCGCCAACTATTCAATAGAAAAGTCTCCATCAGTCATAGCCATCCGGTATTCGAGTAACAATATTTATAGATAATAATTGCAAACGAGTAAATAATGGACGTCAAAAAAAAAAGAAAATGTGATGTTCGAATTGTTATCGTCTCTTTTCAACGACCATAACTAATTGAGGACCGACGGTTACATAAAAAGCAATTTTATACATATTTTTTATGAAACTCTGTTCGATATGAAATTTCGTCAAACGAAGAAGCAGTGCATGAAAATGTTTTTATTTTCACTCATACGCTACAAAGTAACTAAAGTGCGATCGCGCTAACGCGGCCGTGACGTCACGAGGCTGAAATAATAATACCTGCTATATAATGCAGTTATGAAATCATTGAATTTTGTAGTATATCCATAAAAAATCAACCGGGATTAACCCGGACGGCAGTTCCAAATAGGGGGAAGAAATTTATTTATTACCTGAAAACTTTTTAGAAGGCTATTTTAATCCATTAGGTGAATTGGGAGCGAGAATATGGCAGATAGAAAAGGAGATTATTTGAGTTCACATCAAACATTGAAAGAAATTGAAAATTTTTGGGGTTTGTTTAGAGTAGAATATAGAATGGAATAGTAGTAGAGTAGAGTAGTATGTGAGTAACAAAATTTTTTGTGCTGAATTTCGGTGCAAATAACGCGTATTTTGTAACAGTCGTTACTGCACCTCTACACCAAAAAAGTGATTCGCACCTCTATTAAACTTCTGTCATACGAAATGTCTTTAATGTCAATTTTGACAGTTTATGTATCATCGATCGCATCTTAAAGTTTATTGCTTATTATTATTTATCACTTATTCGCGCATTGTAATGTGAAAAAAAGTTTAGTAAAGCAAAGTACCTACAGTAAAGTAAAGCAAAGTAAATAGTACTTTACAATTCCTTTCGCATCCGTTCAACACGAAACATTCGAGAAATAATTATCCCGACAATAAAATATTTTATTTTCAAACTAAAGAATGGCAATTGGAAAATTATATACGTAATGTTATTATACCGTACATGTATTTTTACATTTTTCGAACGCCTGCTTCCATCGCGGTATGTAGGTATGCAGTTTCATAATTTTCGATTGTTTTCCTATATGTATACCTAGGCGACTCGATTTGCGCAAACATTAACATCCCACAAACAAAAGAAGCGATTTGTTAACCTGCACGACTCCTTTCTTTGTAATAATGCCTACTATAATTAAATTATTTCTTATATGAATAGGTTTAAGTGTGCTGAGTCGATAAATGGAAAATTATTCAGAAAAAGAATCGTTTGATGTAGAAGAATCCGCAGATGTTTCTCGCACGTGTTTGGAAAATGAATCGTTGAATATATTATTAAACGCAACTATTGTGTTTTTTTTTTGTAATGTAAATTTTATATGCATCGCATATCTATGTGCAAGTAAAGTTCAAAACATTGTCAACGCGTTTATGTTATTGTAAAGCAAATAAATAATGTAAAAAATGTATGCAATTGCGTGTAAAATTGAAGTGGATGTAAATGATTTAAAACCCATTAAGAAATGGGCGTTTTCAATGAGTGCATGAAAATTAAAAAAAGTGTTATCTTGTATTTTTTTCGGTTATTTTAGAGTGATCATAATCATTTTTTTTAATGCAAATTAAGGTATTTTTTTGTCGAAAATCGAGATTTTAAAATATAAAGTTGTAGTTTTCGATCATTTTTAAAATCAAAAGAAGGATATATGGAAGTTTATTTTGGAAATTTCAGATAATTTAGACGTGCACATATGTAGAAAAATCCCTTTAAACCTTTATAAAAACGTGATTAAAAGAAATATAAAATAATCATGACGCTCTAAAATGCTTATAAATTCTCGATAAGTTGGAAATTTATCTAAAATCGTGAAAAACATTAAAAACTCGTTAAAGAAAATGGAACAAATTGTTTGAAATCCTGACAATCATCCTAAAAAAACAACAAAAAAATTGAAAGTTTGTCCGAAATTTCTAAGTTAAATCCTTCAAAAATTACCTTAGACATTAAAGTTTTGTAGAATTCGTTTTTAAAATTCCATGATCAATAGCTCTAAAATTATACCTATAAAAAATATTAAATAATAACAGTAGCGAGGAAGTTTAATAAGTTTACAAAAAAAGTCATGGAATCCCAAACAATATTATTCTTTTGAATATTTTATGAATTGTAACTACAACACATTATTATAATTATACGCTCGGAGTGTTTGATATAGGTAAGTATGTATTTATCCATCAAAAATTATAACTGTATTGTAGAACTATAATAACAATAACACAACTACATTTACCTGTGATTTTAACTTTAAAATTGGGAGACGACGAAAAATAGTAACCGCCGCAATAACTCTTCCGTACTTCGGATATCACTCGAGGAGGCGGTCTCCGATCACTCGACGCAGTACCATCGAAATTTTCAAAATCCCTATTAATCGTATACGGTGTGGCGACGAGCATTATTTTATTCAGTCACAAATTACATGACTCGAAATGATGAACGTCGACGCAACAACAACGACACTTTTAATTTCACCGCGGTCCGGCCGCATTTTCATCGGCGGCAGCATCACCATCATCATCATCACCATCGCCGCGGAACAACAATCGCCATCGGCGACGGGGCGATCGCGCTTGGGAAATGCGAAATCGAAAATGTGCGTGGGTATTTCGAGTTTCTACGGCGCGCACGAAACCATGACTGATGCCACTGTGACTGCGATGACCAGACATGGGTTTTCGGTGTGGAGTAGTAGGCAGTAGAGTACCCCCGGCCGGTGCTCGGTACTCGGTCTCGGTGCTCAGCTCACTCCTCCGCAAGCACGTCCGCTTTACTATCCGCTCATTTCCATTCACGTTTGATTAATTTGGTAGTAAAATTAGGCGGCTTGTGCGTTTAGGGATTCCGTGGAAACCTTGGGTTTGGAAAAAAAATGTTCTTTATGGATTGGTTTTAAACCACAAAATGTCAAAAGATTCTATACAGGGTGGACCATTGAAAAGGAAACAGGGCGCGTCTTCGGGTAGAAAAAAATGGTTTTTGGAAAATTGCAGTTTTTATATCGACAGGGACATCTTTTGTGTTACAGTGTGTACCATATGCAATGAATAAATTTATTTTCTCAGTTAATATTAATAGATAATCATCAAAAAACGCTGAAATAGGTGAATTTTTGTTTTTTTAAATTGAATTTAGTGACTTCACTCCTAACTGATACCACCTCAATGTGAAACTTACAACCCCTAATTTTCCAAATTAGAAGGGTAGGCTTGTAACACCTCATTTTACAAACATTTGTAATACAATGTTATACAATGTTTGGTTTACAATTTGTTGTATTTACCTGAAAAAGTGATTTTAATTGGTTTTAAGTTTTTTTTCTTTTAATTCTGAAGTTTCTGTTGAATTTTGGTTGGTTATTTTCATGCATGTATATATTAAACTTACAATAAATTACATACAACTGGCATTGATTTTTGATTTAATTTTTATTTATTTATAAACAAATATTTGTAAACTTTATCGTTATAAAAATAAAAATGCAACATAACCTCAAACAACTACATTTACTTGACGTCTTCTTCTTTTTACTTCAAAAAATTGCACTTCTACTGTATCGTGATACAATTGCACTTCTACTGTATATGGCTAACTAGACAATTAAAATAAAGACTAATTTGATAAAATATGAAAATTCTAGTATAAAATTACCTAAAATAGGGATAATAAAAGGCAAAATACTGAATATATCACTATCAGTTGCTTTTTTATTGTTCTTCTGATTTCAAATTACAGATCAAAAAATTTTGTGATAACAATCATCATTTCATTAAATAACTTTTTTATATACGATAGTATGAAATAATAATTATTAAACAATAGTATGTAGAATAAATATAAGTAATAAATAAATATTTGGTAAATTTAAATTGGTTGTAAAAAAAAGAAGATTTATTTCCTGTTATCAAAGTTGTCATTGTCAATGCCAAAACAAGCATCCGATTCTGCGCAGTAGAGCTCCCTGTCCAAATCTATTGTTGGAATATTTGGAATTTATCCTGTGCTGTGTCAATCAAAATCCGAAGATAAAACGGGAATTCGTAGGCAAAATCCACCTTTTATTTACACAGTGTTGTGTAGTTTTAAGTATGTTCTTTCATTTATTGTTTATGTAATTAGTTATTTTAGTGAAATTATGTCGCAAACTGTGAGTTTTGCTTGTGTTTTTAGGAAAGGAGTGCCGTGTCAACCGAACCGACTGTGTTGTCAGTTTATCGGTGCGTGCAGTGCGTATGATCGCCTCTGGAAAGGACAAAATAACAGTTAGAATCCGTAACATGAAGCGCAGCAGCGACAGAGATACACCGCCGCGCAGCAAACGGTCCAGATCGAGCATGGGCCGATACGACGACAGCTCCGACGAACGCATCACCCCCGACAGGGTCCGGCGGCGCGGCAGTCGCGGCCGCAGCCCGAGCCCCCCGAGGGCGCGCTACGTATCGCCGCATCGCGACGAATACATGCGCCCGCCGGAGCGCTCCTACCCTTACAAAGTGCTCTGCGTCAGCGCCCTTCACCCCAAAGCCAGCGACGAGGTCATCAAGGACACCCTCTACAGGGAGTACAAGAAGTACGGGGACCTCAGCATCAGGGTCACGCACGATTTGGACGAACGCGTCGCCTACGTATGCTTCAGGAACCCGGAGGACGCGCGAGACGCCAAGCACGGTAAACCCCGCATCATTATTTACGATAAAGTCGCGATCGTAGAGGCCGTGTACGAAGTACCCCGTTCGACGGACGTTTACAGAAGCAGGCCGAGATCGATCAGCCCCGAATACGACAGGCACTATTACGCCCGGTCGCCGGACCTCCGCTACGACAGGGCCGGATACGGTTCGATTCCCGGTTTGCCGGTGCACCGAGAGTACCGGCCGGTGCCCCACCACGATTACCTCGCCCGACCGCCGGTGCACCACGGTCCGCCGCACATGGTGCACGGCGGCGGCTACGGCGCCCCCAGGCAACACCAACACGCCCCCCGGCCGCCGTTCGAACAAAAAGAAAACAAAAAAGACAAGTTTCCCAACTACTTGCACCACATACTACCCGAGGACGATCCTCTGGCCACTCGTACGCTGTTCGCCGGCAACTTGGAAATCAACATAACCGAGGAGGAGTTGCGGCGGATCTTCAGCCGGTACGGCGTCGTCGAGGACATCGATATCAAACGGCCGCCGCCCGGTACGGGTAACGCTTTCGCCTTTGTGCGATTCAATACGCTCGACATGGCCCATCGGGCCAAAGTGGAACTGTCCGGCCAGTACATCGGGAAGTTCCAATGCAAAATCGGCTACGGCAAGGCGACGCCCACCACCAGGATATGGGTGGGCGGCTTGGGGCCTTGGACGTCCGTGCCGCAATTGGAGAGGGAATTCGATCGGTTCGGCGCCATCAAAAAAATCGATTACGTCAAAGGCGATAATCAAGCGTTGATTTTGTACGACAGCATCGACGCCGCCACGGCAGCGGTGAAGGAGATGCGGGGATTCCCGTTGGGCGGGCCGGAACGAAGATTAAGGACCGATTTCGCCGATGTAACACCGGGCGTTACGTACCGACCGAAGCCTCCGTACGGCTCGGGCGACGATTATCGCGCGAGAGAGGCCGATTTCGACTACGAGTACGATTACCGGATGAGAGGCTATCCGGAGCGACGGGGCGGCAGCCGGGATTTGTACAGGGACGAGGAGTGGAGCAGAACGAGGGATCCGGAGTTCGAACGCAGGAGGTCCGGTTCGAGGGGCTTCGACCGATCGAGGTCGAGGACGCCCCGACGATCGCCCGATTCCGATTCGGACGGCGGTTCGAGGCGGGCCGGGCTGTTGGCTTCGAGCCGAACCTTGCCGGAGGTGGCCAGGAAATGTACGATAGTCTGGCAGGGCGCTTTGATCCTCAAAAATTCCCTGTTCCCCGCCAAATTCCATCTGATGGACGGAGACACCGACATAGTCGACGGGCTCATGAAGGACGAGGAGGGTAAACACCAATTGAGGATCACCCAAAGACTGAGGCTGGATCAGCCGAAGTTGGAGGACGTGCAAAAGAGGATATCCAGCGCCAGTTCGCACGCCATATTTCTCGGTCTGGCCGGTTCGACGGCTTCGGTAACGAACGATGACGCTTCGGTGCAAACCAGACCGTTGAGGAATTTGGTGTCGTATCTGAAGCAAAAGGAAGCGGCAGGTGTGATTTCGCTATTGAATAAGGAGACCGAAGCGACCGGTGTTCTCTACTCCTTTCCGCCCTGTCCCTTTTCCACTGAGCTACTCAAACGTAGCTGTCCCAACCTGTCCGATGAGGCCATCAAGGAAGATCATCTCATTATTGTCGTGGTACGTGGTGGTACAGCTTAATCTTTTTTTTCCTTTATTTTTTTTTGTTAATTCTGCAATTTTATTTCGCTTATACACTGTATTTTTATTCTCGTTTTACAGTGAAACATACAAAAGAAAGTATAGTTTATATTTACAGAGATGAACACGAAATTTTGCTGTCTGTTTTCAGAATTTTCTACGATTATTAGTAGTAGGGTTAGTAAGGATACGATAATTTTTATTTTACTTTTATTATTATTATAGGATACTAGAGTAACCGGATAAACCGATGAAATAGTTGGTTTTATCAGTCGAATACAGAATATTTGGAAAGTTACGTACGACTTATCACAGAAGTAAAGTAAGGTACTTTTTATCTATAATAATTATTTTGTTATTATACAGGGTGTCTCACGGACTTACACTATTTGCGTATGAAGAATTACTTGTTATTTTTATAAGAATTTGCAAAAGTTGGTTACCAATTCTACAAATTTTCATAAAAATATCCTGCGTAGTTCTTCATGTACAACTCATTGGGACACCCTGTATATTTTTACAAGTATCTGGAAACAACGACAGCGAAATTTTTTATAAAATTACGTTTCACTATAATGAGTATATACTTTTTATATAGACGAATAATTTAGTTTTAGATAATTTTTCAGGGCAAAGTGTTTCTTGTGTAAGTTAAGGGCAAAAATTCTGTTTTAATTCTAATCAGAAATCGGTTTATTTCAGGAAATTGGCGATCATTGAGTTTTGTGTAGTTTTCTGAAGAAACACTTGATTTAAAGATACGTGAAGTGACAAAATATATGAAAGCAAAAAAAGAATTGGTGTCCTGCAGTTCTTTCTCATGCTGTTTGTTTTTTTTTATAATTACTCTAAAAAGTATTTGGAAATGTGAAAGAACTGTATAGAATGCGTGCGCCGCCCAATTAATACAAAAATCAGTAGTGTTGTGTAGTTTTAATGAAATAATGTACTGCTTGAGACAAAATATTGAATATTCAGTTTATTAATTTTGTGATCATAGTGTTACTTCTCTTTGGTGTTTACTGATAATAATCATTGTACTTTATTGAAGTTAAAACTGGTTCGCTCGATGTATAATGTTTAAACTGTGTCGTGAAATACAAAGTTGTTTCAATGAGTTGTGTTGTTTATTTTGGTGAGTGAGTGAAAATTCCAACGGTGGTTTTTCAATTTTGAAACTAAAAGAATGGCATTGTGAATAATTCGAAAACACGTGTAAAATGTGTGTGAGTGTGTCCAATTTAGTGGATTTTTTTGTATTTAACTGAGAAAAAAACTATTATTAATTTATCATGATACTATGGTAAAATGGTTGGTAATAAAACATTTTGTAAACTATAGTAGTCATTTTTTTAAGTAAAAAAATCATCCACTGAAAAGATATTAAGATAATTAGTAGTGGTGTTTACCAATCAATATTAGCAGAAATTAATTGCAACAATAAATACAACCATTTTCGTATTAGCCATCAAATTTAGTTAATTACCTATTCCTAATTATACATCCGTCCAACAGTAAATACTAATTACACGATGGATAGTAAATGATACAAGATAACACAGAAAGTGAGCTCAAGTACAATTACATTTTGTACTCTTACAGATTATAACTAATAAAAAATATTCACAGCAAGATACACAGAAGATAATCGAAGCGGAGCAAAGGAGGAAGATTCAGAAATCAATTAGCGTAAGTCAAATAGACAATATAGATAAGATAATTAGGTATTTTGAATCCAAATTAATTTTTGGTTTATAGGTGTGCTACATCCAACTACACAGGGTGTTCCTAAACATCGTGCACATCCGAAAGGGGGTTATTTTATGACTAAAAGTTTATGTAAACATAGGTCCGCATTGTTTAGAATTTTTTTTATTTAGAAATTCTTCGTTTCTGCGAGTTATGGAGAAAAAAAATTAATGATATTCAGTAGAAACTTAGATTTATTTTGCAATACAAAAAACCTAAATAATAACTATTAAACATTATAACAAATGTTGAAAGTAATCCTCTCCTACTCGATATACCAAATTTGAGCTAAATATCTCAATAACTGTAGAAGCTCTAAAGAAGGAACAAAATAAGCCAAAGAATCACCCCTTTTCGAATATGCACAGTGTTTAGGGAACACTCTATACACATTTTATAAGATAATTAATGAATCATTTTAAAATTGTATTACAACACACCATTAAACTATTCTCTCGCTTATTCACATCTTTAAAGCTTCACATTTAGCCGCCTTCGATTCGGATAAATTCTCTTCACACCATCTCCCGCAAGTGCCGGCCCGGGCGGCCTTGTGCCTGAGCAGGTTTCCAGCGCAAGAAAACCTCGAACCGCAGCATTCGCAGAAGAACTTCTTGCCGACGTGGGCCGACCGGTGCGTCGACAAACTGCTCCTGTAAACGAACGTTTTACCGCAAAACTCGCAGGCGTACGGTTTCCGGGCCGCGTGCGCGTTCAAATGAACCTTCAGCTGGCCCTTCCACTTGTAGGATTTGCCGCACCAGCCGCAGCGGTAGCTGGTAGCGCCGCCGTGCGAGGCCGAATGGGCCTTTCGCGAGTACTCCGAGAGGAATTCCTTGGGGCAGATGGGGCATTTGAAGCGCGGGTGGCAGTTGGACGATTCGTGATGGACCAAGTGGATCTTTTGCTTGAACATCGAGCCGCATTTGTCGCAAATGTAGAGGTATTGCTTGCGTTTGATTCCTTGATGGGCGCGTTTGCGGTGGCTTCGAAGGGTCTTCGAGCTCGAGAATAACCTGGAGCACATCGAACAAGCTGAAACCGATAACAAATATATTCTGTGTAACCGAAACGAGGTCTTTAAAGAGTCGCTTTATTAATTTGTAGTCCGCGAATATGCTAAATAAAACGACTAATTGTACGTACAATATCACACATTTATTCAAAACGACAGCGACACTTATCACAAGACGATTTATCGAATAAATTAATTATTGGAATTATTACAGGAGACGACGTAATAGAGATCGGCGAATATCTTCGCGGAATCTAAAATGTCTGAAATATCGCGAGGGGTTTCGTCCCGCTCGGATATTTTGTGTAAAAACGTGTCCAGCGCGGACAAACCGCAGCAGATCTGCTTCTGGATGGTACCCAAGACGGTGCTGCTGTCGGGCAATTGCAATGAGAATTTCTTGATGAATTCCGGCAGCGACGAGCGCTTGATGATGTCCCGCTTTTCCGGTTCCGGTAAACCGTTTCTCAAACACGATGTCCACGAAGTGCCTAAAAGTATTTAAGAAATTGAATGGGTTTGTTGGAAACGAGATATGTAATTTTATTATACTTAACTAAAATGTGAACGTAAAGAAAACTGAGCACAAACACAACGAGCGTGAAATAATACCAAGCTATAATAAATGATTGAAATTTGCTAGCTTTCTTATGTTGGTCAAAACCAAATTAATATAGCTTTATGCTAATTAAATTCATTAAAATAAATTCGCTATTTGTTTATAAGGAAAGAGCTGTTCGAGGAGAGCCGAGTTAAGCTTGCGGGGCAAGCGAGAAATGCGTAGAAGAAAAATAAAATGCATTAGTATAACTAATTGCAGCGTTTCCAACAAATAAAAAAAGCTAAAAGCATTATTAGCATTTTGATAAAAAAAATAAAAGTGTATTGTAGTGTAACAGCTTCAATTTTTTAAGCCCTGCTCTAAAAAAAAGCATACCGTACGGGTAAGTGCAATTTTTTGCAATATGGTCAATTCTGAGTTGAAAAAAGAAATATTATTAAAGTAACTGTTGTTGCAGTGAGAAGTTACAATTCCACAAAATTATTCTTTCTATTTTCTTTTATATGAGACTAAAGGAAATTGTCTTTGTTGCACCATATTTCGTACAAATTTGCACTTATTTGTATATTGCCAAATTAAGATTTAAGCATTTTATACAAAATGAGTTTTACTTTTTCTTTTCACGTTGTATGATCTAATAATAGATGATTGAATGACTTAATAAAACGATTAAACTTACTCAATTCAGTGGAATGTTTATTCCTTTGATGTTCCTTTAAATCAAATTCGGTTTCGAAACCCATTTTACAAACACTGCACTTATATGGTAATAAAAATCCGTCTTTGGCATCGTTCTCCTTATGATCCTGTTCGTGTTTGAAGAGCCATTTAAAATTGCTGTATTCCTTCTCACAATATTTACACGTCGCTGTTTTTCCTTTATCTAAAATAGCAAGGCGGTATAAACTATGTCAAAATGCAAATGTGTTTGCTATTTGCTATATGGTTAATTCTATGAGTAAAACAAAGAGAGCTTATTGAAATCGCAGTAGTTAGAGTGAAAATCCAAAGTAGTTTCTATCCAAAAATGACATACCAATAATTATTCTTAATTTTTGATTAATGCTTGTACAAGTGATGAAAATATTGCCAAGTCCCTAATTATAACTTTTGCTACTTTATAAAATAATTTAGTTGAACTTTGTAAATTAACAATCGTCTTACTCAATTTTCTTATTTTAACGAATTCCTCAAATTCCTCCTCGTGAATTAATATTGCACGTTTATTTCTTCGACTTGAACCTCGCAGATCTTCATTATTACAGCTACTTTCTTCGCATTTATCGGATACATCAGAGCATCTATCACTACCATTACAATCAGAATCGTCTTCCTTACACGATTTATCGATGGCTAGTTCTACATTATTACATTCACGTTCTCCATTAGTCTACAATTTCGTACAATGTAAAGAATCGAACGTAACAGAACCGAATACAATCTACCTCAGAATCACCCGTTTTACATTCCTCCATATCATCTTTCTCCAAAACGGCGAATTTCCGCTCGAGATCCTTCATCATCTGGATCCTCTTCAGCTTCGAAGAGGCCGGCGTGTTTATGCGCACTTTGATCTTCGTTGAAGGGTTCTGCACCCGATGGCTGGTCATCGGCAAAGCTCCGCAGGTGTCCGAATGAGTCCTTCGGTGCTTCAGCAAATTCCCCACGCAGCTGAAGGACTTTCCGCAACCCTCGCATTGGTAGGGCTTTATACCGGTGTGCACCGATATGTGAGTTATCAAGCTCTGGCGATGGCAGAAACCCTTTCCACAAACCTAGGAATAATTAATATACATTTAAGTTAATGGTACTGTAAATTAGGTGTGTTTGTGACCTGCGTGAACCTAGCACCCCCACCATAAAAAAAATAAAAAATTATACATCATAATTTAGTGCTATTTTAGTGCTAATTTAGTGCCCACTTCCTAATTTTAGTGCTCGTCTGGTTGAGCAGAAAATTGCGATTGAAAATGGCGGTGCTAAGTTTATAAAGCTAGCACCCCCACATTTAAATATTTAAACAAAATTAAAAAATAATATATCGGAATTTAGTGCTATTTTAGTGCTTTCGAATGCACTACTCAGAATTTAATTTAAGGTATTAATCTTAAAGATACTTGATAAAAACGTATTGGAGTCAATATAGAAAAACAGATAAACATAGAAAAAATACATTTAAACATAGTAATAGGGAAACGATTTTGATCTCTAATGTTTCAATGATTTTAGTGCTTTTAAAGTAGTTAATGCCAAATTTTAGTGCTCAACCCTTAACCCAAAAAATCATATTTTTACCATTTTGTAGTCTGACCTCCAAGAGTAGAAATGTGATTTTTTTGGGTTTAAGGGTTGAGCATTAAAATCTAACTTTATCTATCTTAAAAGCACTAAAATGAACAAAGAATATGAAACAAAAATCATTTTTCTATCTATATTTTTAATGATACTTTACTCTTGGATGTCAGCAGACTACAAAATAGTAAAAATGTGATTTTTTGGGTTTAAGGGTTGAGCACTAAAATCTGACTTTAGCTATCTTAAAAGCACTAAAATGAACAAAGAATATGAAACAAAAATCATTTTTCTATCTATATATTTAATGACACTTTACTCTTGGAGGTCAAACTATACAAAATAGTAAAAATGAGATTTTTTGGGTTTAAGGGTTGAGCACTAAAATCTGACATTAACTACTTTAAAAGCACTAAAATCATTGAAAATTTTAGAGAACAAAATCGTTTCCCTATTACTATGTTTAAATGTATTTTTTCTATGTTTATCTGTTTTTCTATTGACTTCAATACGTTTTTATCAAATATCTTTAAGATTAATTACCTTAAATGAAATTCTGAGTAGTGTATTCGAAAGCACTAAAATAGCACTAAATTCCGATATATTATTTTTTAATTTTGTTTAAATATGTAAATGTGGGGGTGCTAGCTTTATAAACTTAGCACCGCCATTTTCAATCGCAATTTTCTGCTCAACCAGACGAGCACTAAAATTAGGAAGTGGGCACTAAATTATGATGTATGATTTTTTATTTTTTTTGATGGTTGGGGTGCTAGGTTCACGCGGGTGTGTTTGTGTTGGTTGTAATTTACCTACTTACATCGCAAACAAACACTTTTTGCTGAGTGTGGATTCTCTCGTGTACCTTTAGTTGACCGGACGTTAGGAACAATTTAGCGCAGAATCGACACATGAAGCTGTTTTCGCCCTTATGTCGTTTTAAATGGGTATATAATGATCCAGGGGACATGAGTTTCTGGCCGCATTCCTAAAATATATTGTTAATTAATAGCAAACAAAAATAGGCTACATACAGGGTGTCTCATAAGTTGATACATTTTTTTAACTGCGTATAGATCTTTTAATTCTAAGCAACTTTTTCAAATAATTTTTTTTTAAATTCTGGAAAATAGGAGAGCATTTTTCTTTTTTAATTTTTAATTATTAAAAAGTTAGTTAATACAGTCCATTTCTCTAAAAGTTAAAGGAACTGCTCAAAATTGTCGCCATTTTGATTGATTGTCATTATTTTTTTTGACACCTGACACCTGTATGGTAACGGCAGGTATGTATTGGAAAAAATTCGAAATTTTAAAAAAAATTAAAAATTTCTGTATTTTTCTCGGTAGCTGTTGACTAGAACTCTTGGGAGTTCCTGAACAGTTACTATATTTAGGGAATCCAAAAGGTTTTAATGAACGCTACTGCGAAGGACTCGACATTCTTTAAATGCACTGAAAAATAGTACCTTACAAATAAATTGTTTTTCTGTGCCACATTTGGATCGGATGTGGAGGCTGAGCTCAGAACTGGTTCGGAATGTTTTGCCACAAACGTTGCACATGTGGCTCTCTATGATTTTGCCTTCGTGATCGTTTCGAAGGTGTAGCAGATAATCTTTTTCTTCGTTAAAAGTCAAATCGGGGCACACTTTGCACTTGTAGAATTTCAGCTGGAACGAAACGTTATTTAATCGGGTACTTTATATTTTTTTATTAAACCGGCATGGATGTGTATAAATTGATTACATATACCTTTGGGTGTTTTTCTTTATTGTGTAATCTCAGTTGGCTGAATGTTTTGAACGTTTTCCTGCATTTGTCGCAAGTTAAATTGTGAATTTTCTTGTGCCTGTTAAAAAGCATCAGAGTTTTGAATTCTTTAACACAATACGAGCACGAGTAAACTTGTTCCTGAAAATAAAACAATTTAATGAAATAAACAGTAATTTAATTTTAAGTGACTTACTTTTGTTGGTTCTTCGTCCATTATTTAACACTTATTTTAAGGAATTAAATATAAACATTTAAGAATAAGAATGTGGAATAATAATTAATATAGGAATAAGAATTAATATAATACACTGTTAAAATCAATCAATGTTTAATAACAAAGAATACAATGTTGCCAACAATTCTTCTTGTCTTATTGTTACCTTCGACCTAGTTAATATTCAGCCATCGCAAGTTTTCTCTCATTTATTCGATTCTTCGACATCTCAGCTTCAGGAGTTACTAATAAACTTTCATAAGATATTAATGGACCACGATTCTAAAAAGCTATTTATGAAATACTGTTTTTTGACACAAATTGTTTTTGATTTTACATACGGTCCTAAATTTTGACTCAAATTCAACCCGTTTCCATAATTTTTGGACACCCTATTGTATATAATCGTGGTTAACTTGCTTACAAAAAATAGGTATATTCTAGAAAATTGTTTAACACATATTGCATAAGTTTCCATGAATTGATAATATAGGAAGCACCATGCATCGTCATCTATCAATTGATAGATTTAAATTGATAAATTTAAATTTATTGTGTTACAGGAAATAAAATAAATTAAAAATTAAATTGCAAACATATCTGATAATTTATTACAACCAATCTATAAATCTAAATTACCTAATATTGATATAATGGGTGCAATAAATATATGTATAATATTGTGCAACTTTTCGAGATTTTATTGTATTTTCACAATTTGTACCTAATCATTTAGTTCATTAGAGATAAATACATTTAGGATAACTAAAGAGCTATACTTATTTATTAATTATATTCTAATGATTTAGATGTGGCAATCTTAAAAATGCATCAATATTAAATGCCTGTAATTTGCAAATAACTTTATTGTTAATTCTAATGTTAGAAAGTTAAATATAATTTCAATAGGAAGACTGGGTAGAAGGTAAATATACCGACAGGAACACAGCCATATGTATAATTTCTCAATTAAATCTGATGATTTGCATTTTGTTAAGTTATAAGTCAGTAAAAAATGAAAATTTAATAAAAAAAAATGACTAAAATTACTATAAAGAATAATGAATGTAGACAAAATAAAGAGCAATAAATAACACCAGGAAGACAGTGTGATACCAACGACAAGTTGAATAATTGAAAAAAAAATAGAATATTGAGAATATATTAACTGTAATTTAATGGATATAAGATATATAAACAAAAAAATTACACGTACCTAATGTAAATTATTGCCCGTTAACCGAAATTAAATCGTACCGAAATCAATAAAATTATAATTTATAACAGTTAGGCCGGTAATAATTTTTACAATAACGATTAAAAACTTGTAAATCTGAGGAATTAACGGGAGTAAAAGATATCTTACGTATATTCAAATATCAATTGGCAACCGATATATAAGCACGAACCAACAGGTTTTCCTACAAGTATAAGACAAAAACTAAGTATAAACCAAAATGGTGTTCAAAATAGTATTGCTGATTTTCGTTGTAGCAGCTGTAAATGCCAGCAATGATAATCTTATTGCTGTCGTACAGGTATGGTATATTATTATAATAAAATATACATAATGGCCAGTATTCAGCGCCTCAATTTAATTTTAGAGTGACTCTAAAGTTGCGTCTCGAGTCCCTAGTTACTCCATAACAATAATGTAAATCAGTCAAATTAAAGACGAGACTTTAGAGTCACTCCAAAGTTAAACAGAGACGTTGAATAAGGGACATCATATTTATAGAAACACTAAAATATACTTACCGAATATTTTCTAGGTTTTTAGACATGGGCAACGAACACCAATGGGTTTCACCTCGAATGATCCATATGCTGATTTAAACGAGTATTGGGCTGGACTGGATTATGGACAATTAACAAATGTGAGTAATTAATAACATCAGCTATTAATTGATAATTCAACTGGTACATACTACAGGAAGGCAAACGACAACATTACGCTTTAGGCCAATTCTCGAGAAAAAGATATTCGAATTGGTTACCGGCGACATACAGCAGCAAAGACATCTACGCTCAAACAACCGACGTAGATAGAACTCACATGTCAGCACAAGCCAATTTGTATGGTCTATACACCGCCATCGGCAATCAAGTATGGCGCAAAAGCGTAAACTGGCAACCCATACCTCTGCATCCTGCCAACCGGAAAGTCTTCAGAACTTTACCCACAGACTGCTCGAAGTACACCGCTCTCAAGCAGGAAGTCGATTCCAACGAGGAATACACCAACATCGACAAAACCTACGCCGATCTGTACCGGTACATTTCGCAAAACACCAACACGCCCAACGTCACGCTGGACGTCATTTATACACTGTGGGACTCTCTTCTCATCGAAGACCAAGTCGGGTACGCTCTACCGTCCTGGACCTCTTCGCTCTATCCGGAACCGATTCAAACACTAGCGGCGAAATGGTTCGAACGACATTGCTACAATCAGGCTCTACAACAAATATGTTAGTACTTTTAGCGACTCATCCTTTAACTAATTCCCGAAATACTTCATCCATCCAAGCAATGGAGTAACTAAAACTAAGTTTAGAGGCTGGATCAAAGCGTGATCACCAGTGATTGGTCAGCGTAAGGAGGCTTTTTTATTTTACCCAATAGAAGCGAATGTGCTTGATGATCACGCGTCTAACCTTGTTTTGGTTACTCCGTTGGTTCGATGGATGAAGTATAGTACTGCAGTCAGTGATATTTACTAAACTCTTGCTCATCATCTATTTCTCGACTAAATCCTTTACGCGTTATCTTTCAGCCGTTGGGTTATTCTACAACGAAATACTGGGATATTTCGACGGAATGATCGCCGATCCCAAGGCCTCTCCCAAGTATAGAATGTACAGCGGTCACGACAGCAACGCCTTCGCCATATTATCAACGGTGGGGCACAAGCCGACGGTGCCGGTCCCTTTCGCAGTGTCCCTGTGGTTCGAATTGAGGCGAGCGGACTCGGACCACGTGGTGAATTTGTGGATGAAAAGCGGCGATCAATTCACCCAGTTGAGCATCAACGGGTGCGCCTTGGATTGCCCGCTGAGCGAGGTGAAGAAGCTGCTGAGCGACGTCACGATTGATGAAGAAACTTACGATAGCATATGCAAGAGTGATTGAATTTGTATTATATGACTGATTGATTTTGTACATATTATAATATGCCGATTAAATGGTGCACCTAATTGAAATAGCAAATTCCGATTTATTATTGTTATATTTAAATAAGTAGGGGTGCTACTCTTAGCGCCGACATTTTCAATCGTAATTTTCTACCCAACCAGATGTGCACAAAAAATAGAAACAAATGTACGAATTTTTAATTTTTTTGATGGTGGCGGTTCTAGCTCCATACTAGGTTCTACGCCCGGGTACAAAACCTAGCTGAGGAAGAATGTTTTTAGATCCCAAAGATTTAGACAGAACAAGGACATATGAGAATGCCTAAAATTCATAAATATTAGTATCAGCAGTATTATATCAGCGAGAAACTACACAGGATATCGGATTCTAGGTGGTTACGGGGCTTCAAACGACAACAACAAGAATGTCTTTGATAAGGGATAGATCATAGGATCCTCTATAGTTTTCGAACCTTAGGAGTTCTAACGCCCTTGTTGTGCCTACTAGTAGATCTTTGGGATCGAGAAAGATTCTTCCCAGGTTCTGTACCTGTATACAGGGCTTTTCACGGTAACCGTCCATTAGAAGTATCTCAATAATGAAAAGACCTAAAAATCTGAAATTTTGGTTATAGTATTTCCTAGAGCAAGTCAACAGTCACTAACAAAGAAGAAGCTGGGTAAATAGTCTGTAGACTCAGCCCAATAAAAGAAAAAAGAAGAAGAAGAATATTTTCATTTTGATTACACTTCCAGGTATACCGGAAGTTGACACCAACTTCGTTATTTTATATGTAAAGTGCCATTTTTAACTTCATTTTTGAATTCTATGGCCTTTTTTAACTAGACTTTGATAATAACACCATATGCCAAAAATACACCATTTTTAAGATATTACAATTTTTTGATATTTTTTGGAAAAACCGTCGAATGTATTTTCTGTGATATCTCTGTTAATAATACAACTAGAAGCTTGAAATTAAGTATCGATGATGTCCAGACATACTACTAAATGAAACTAAACTGTATTTTCAGAATCCATGTACAGGACGTTTAAAATTGTCTGACAAACTTGACCAAATTAGAGTGGTCATAACTTTGTTATTTCAAATGGATCACCCTGTATATTTTAACAGTGACCAATGCAGTTTTTATTAAAATAATAATAATGTGTTAATAAAACTTCGATTATTTCAAAAACTACTTGATTTGTGTATAGGAAACACCCATATGGATCGAAACGGCTTAAAAACCTGCATAGATACCTGTGTATAATTTCTCAGTTAAATCTGACGATTTGCAACCTCTAAAAACAGTCTAAAGTGAAAAATTTAATAGAATTACTAAAATTTCTGAAATATTAAATAGAACAAACAAATAGCAATAAACACCAGACAAGTTTTACAACTACTTAAAAAACTTAAATAAACTATTGATATAACTGTAATTTAATGGATAAGGGATTAAGGGGAAAAATGACACGTATCTAACGTGCCTGATTACCGAAATTCAATCGTACCTAAATCAATAAAACTATAATTTATATCGTTAAAGTTTGGCGGGTAATAATTTTTACAATGACGATTAAAACTTGAGAATTAACGGGAATAAAAGATACCTTACGTATATTCAAATATCAATTTGCAATCGATATATAAACACAAACTAACAGCTTGTCCCACAACTAGACCAAAATGGTGTTTAAAGTAGTATTGTTGATTTTCGCTGCAGCAGCTGTAAATGCTAGCAATGATAATCTCATCGCTGTGGTACAGGTATGGTACTTTTTTAAAAATTATTTTGGGCTATATTTATAGAAATCTAGAATATACTTAGCGAATATATTGCAGGTGTTTAGACATGGACAAAGAACACCAAATAATTTCTTCTCAAATGATCCATATGCTGATTTAAACGAGTATTGGGCTGGATTGGATTATGGACAATTAACAAATGTGAGTAATTAATAACATCAGTTATTAATTGATAATTCAATTGGTACATATTGTAGGAAGGCAAACGACAACATTACGCTCTAGGCCAATTCTCGAGAAAAAGATATTCGAATTGGTTACCGGCGACATACAGCAGCAAAGACATCTACGCTCAAACAACCGACGTAGATAGAACTCACATGTCAGCACAAGCCAATTTGTACGGTCTATACCCGGCTACCGGCAATCAAGTTTGGCGCAAAAACGTAAACTGGCAACCGATACCTTTGCATCCGGCTAACACGAAAACCTTCAGTGTTTATCCCCAAGGTTGCCCGAACTACAACGCTCTCAGGCAGGAAGTCGATTCCAACGAGGAATACACCAACATCGACAAAACCTACGCCGATCTGTACCGGTACATTTCGCAAAACACCAACACGCCCAACGTCACCCTGGACGACGTTTTTACTTTGTGGGACTCCCTCCTCATCGAAGACCAAGTCGGGTACGCTCTACCGTCCTGGACCTCTTCGCTCTATCCGGAACCGATTCGAACACTAGCAGCGAAATGGTTCGCAAAACATTGCTACAATCAGGCTCTGCAACAAATATGTAAGTATACATTTACCGATGCATTCTTCAACTAATAGATTAAATCCAAAAATCCCGAAGTACTTAGAGCCACTATCAGCGATGTTGGTTGAACTACTCGTAATCTATTTCTCAACTAATGCCCGATTTCACCAACATGTTTTTAGGCATTTCCTAACTAGGTAATTTCTAAGGTAGGAATTACTTAAATCGAATACTTACCTAAATCGAATTTCACCAACATTAGAAATCCCTTTTTTGAATTTTATTGGTAGCATTGCCTAATTTTGACGTGTAAACCGAATAAGCGGAGATCGAAATTGAATATGTTGAGAGAAAAGAAGAGATGTTGATGATCCGGGCCATCTTTAAACTATGTTTGTTATTTTTAAATCTGCTGAAGATGTAGTCTGTACATTAATAGAAAAATAGCCTTTCCGATTTGTAAAATATTTCTGCATCTTCTCCTCCAGGACAATGGATCTTTACATGCATGTGTACGGTCAATAGTTCCAAAAACTTCCTGTGTTTCAAATTAAAAATCATCTTCAAATCTTTGTAATATTTGTAATGCCGTATTTTTATATATCGAAAAAGGCGAAAAAAATCAGTTTCGTCCAGTTTCTAAAAACTCTCCTCACATTTTAAATTTTCATCTAAAGAGTCTAAAGACAGTCAAATCTAAAGCCACATGAAATCACATAAAAAGTATGGTTAAGTATTTCCTAAATGCTTTAGGCAAGCCCAGTGAGCTGTCCTAACTTTAGGCATTTCCTATTACCTTTAGGTATTACTTAGCGCATGGTGAAACGCAATTTGTAGTTAGGAATTCCTAAATCCGGTTTAGGTATTACCTAACTTTAGGAACTTGTTGGTGAAATCGGGCATAAATCATTTACGCGTTACCTTTCAGCCGTGGGGTTATTCTACAACGAAATACTGGGATATTTCGACGAAATGATCGCCGATCCCACATCTACGGCAAAATACAGAATGTACAGCGGTCACGACAACAACGTCGTCGCCATTTTGACCACGGTGGGGCAGAAGCCGACGGCGCCGGTCCCTTTCGCAGTGTCCCTGTGGTTCGAATTGAGGCGAACCAACTGGGACCACGTGGTGAATTTGTGGATGAAGAGCGGCGATCAAATGACCCAGTTGAGCATCAACGGGTGCGCCTTGGATTGCCCTCTGAGCGAGGTGAAGAAGCTGCTGAGCGACGTCACCGTTGATGAGGAAGGTTACCAGAGCTTATGCAAGAGTACTGATGTTTGAGTTTGTATCATAATAAGCCGATTAAATGATGCTACTAATTAAAAAAAAGTGTTGTTTTAATTAGAAAATTTTTATTAGGTACCAAAATACACATAACAAATAATATATTTTGTATTGCCACAGAAGAAAATTCTTATATGTGGCTCAAAAAAACAAAAAAAAATATAAAAACTAAATTGATGACCCTCAACTAAGGATGTAATGCTTTAAAACAAAGCAAAAACTTTATTTGTTTATTTATTTCTTCTTAAAGTCTATGAGTCCCTCTGAGCGGCACCGGTTCAGAAAATACAAGTTTTATAGGTTTTATACAAATAAAGCTTTTTTTTTCCTGATCAATGAGAAAAGATGTTCTTAATTTGGTCGTAGTTACGTTTAATCCATTCAATAACATGTTTCTTAAAAACATTAATACCTTTTAAGTTTCTAATATTGATATCAATTAAATTTATAAATATATGAATATAATATGAAAAGTATCTCTCCCCTAATCTAGATTTTGTACTAAAAGAATAGGCATTATTGTTGCTAAAATTTCTTGTGCAATAATTATGAGGTAATGCATTAGTGTTAATTTTCTTCGTATACCAATTTATTAAAAGTGTCTTTACGAATATCTGTCTAATATTTAAAAGAGAGCTAATTTGTAACAAATCTTTTGTAGGAAAATCGTATGGTTTTTTTATACATGATTTTAATTATTTTTCTATGAAGAATAACAAGCGGCTGTAGAGTAGTATCAAAAACTCCCCCCCCCCCCCCCAACCAATACAACCATATTCAAGGATAGAATTTACAAGTCCATAATAGATAATTTTTAAGGAATTAATGTCTGTAATCTTTGCTAACTTCTTAAAAACATATATTAAATATCTGAGTTTTTTACATAAGTTATCAATTTGGTAAGTCCAACTCAGAAAAGAATCTATTATTATCCCAAGATATTTGGCCTTATTTTGTAAAAGAAAAGTATTCGTGTTACACATGCAAGTAGAAACATTCGTAGAAGAAGCATAGTAGTCACCACTGAAATCTGTAATAATTTTGTTATATGAAGGTAAACTCTTTTTACGTTAGGCAAAAGGGATTATTACCGTTTTTGATTCATTAAGAAGTAGACCATTAAAATTCATCCATTTCTTAGCTAAGAAAAGACCAAATGATACTGTATTCATAAGTGTATCCCAATTGCTAGACGTTTTATTTTTATACCAGTCATTGTTAGATTTAATTATGTATGCACTGTTTAAATTTAAAGTAGGTGCTCGATATAATTATTAAGGTAATAAATACTTAGTGATGACTTTCGATAAAAATAAAATAAAATGAAATTAATATCATTCATTAAAACATGGTGTTTTACCCGAACAATTAGAATTAAACAACGAGAAAATCAAATGGAATTTCTGATTATCTGACGAGTGCTCCTTATCAGATTATACGATAAAATAGTTTTATAAAGGCTGCAGAGGTACTCTTGGGCTACTACAATTGCAGTCATGGCGTGTTTCCGTTATCTTTCAACTTCCCTTTTCCTGTTGACGGTCCTTTGGGAAGCATCAGCCCAAGGTAAAACGAAACTATTTCACACAACATTACACCAGATTATACAACACAATTATTTCCAGACTGCCAAATAAACCCCTTCCAGGAAAACGCGCCTTTGCTGGTACACCCCGAGAACACCACGATAATTTACCCCGACCACGGCAACAAATACATCACCCTGAAAGCGGGACAATCAGTGAAGTTCGCCTGTCCCCAAAGCCGAGTAAACCTAGGAGGCGACAAATCGATCCCCAATCAAGTAACGGCCGTTTGCGTGTCGGACACGCAGTTCAAAGTAAACGGAGCAACAGCCGATTGGAACTCCGTGTCCTGCGACAGCGAACCCGTACCCACCGGCAGATTGTCGAGCTCGAGTTGCGCCAAAAACGCCCGATTGGGCGACATCGGCTTCCCGCTGGGCGCCGACGAATTCCTCAAAATCATCACCATTTGCTTCGACACCGTCCAGCAAACCGCATTATACAGCTACTACGACCTGACGCGAGCCATAGGCTCCCGCGGCAAGTCGCCCCGTCGCCCCCAATTCGCCGAAGACCGGGCATTCTACAAGCTAAACGGCCGAACCGTCAACCAATTGTACCTGAGAAAGACGCAGAGGAAGACCGTCAACGAATTGCTCGGCTTGGACGACTACGATACGAGGTACATCAAAAACGGGGAGCTGTACTTCCTGGCAAGGGGCCACCTGACGGCGTACGCGGATTTCATCTATCCGGCGCTGCAGAAGGCCACTTGCAGGTACATCAACGCGGCGCCGCAATGGCAGACCTTCAACGGGTACAACTGGGAGCGGGCCGAGTCGGATACGAGGAATTTCGCCGATAGCAGGAACGTCGATTTGAAAGTTTGGACCGGTACTTACGGTGTAACAACATTACCGAGCGAGGAGACTGATGAGGATATAAAGTTGTATTTGTACAGCAGCGGCAGCGAACGAGGCATTCCCGTTCCGGCGATTTACTGGAAACTCGTCTACGAGCCGATAACCAAGCGAGCTATCGTTTTGATAGGGGTGAACAATCCGTACGAAACCGAGTTTTCGAAGTACGTTATTTGTCCGGACGTTTCCAGGAACGTCGATTGGCTGGATTGGAGGGCGACCGATCTGAAAGATGGATATTCCTACGCTTGTACTCTTTCTACCTTTAGAAAAGTCGTTACTTACGCTCCGAACCTCCAGGTTACCGGTTTATTAGAGTAAAATGATGTTTTTGTATATGTCACGACTAGTTTGGAAATTCTCAGTTGGTTTGTAAACAAAATAGCTAATTTTGTAATTAGCTTTTTCTAACACTAGCTGCCTTAGCCAGCCTTAGATGTCAGAATAAGCTAATTCCTTCCAAACCAACTAATTTTCAATTTTAGCTGTAGCATAGGTACATGCTAAAATTTTGTAAAAACAAAAAGTCTTAATAAACAGGTGATTAAATTCTACAAACTCTTTTTTATCGGCTAGTTACTCAAATATACCTCACCGAATGTTGCTTGGCAGTTGAAATTTTGAATACGCTGTAGCAAATTTTAAAGAAGGGAGAAAGTGTACGTACTGATAACTCAATTAACAATCTATCGAATCGTTATGACTACAAGGCCCTGTATATCAGGGGCCTATTTCATATAACTGACAAGTTGACAAGTTACAAGTCGACAAGTTACAAGTGTTGATTGACAAGTATTTAAAAATTTCGTTTCATAAAATAAATTTCGACACTTGTCGAATTAAATTTTTGGCATCTGTTTTTCTACAACTGTAATATTAATTAAACGTCAGACTTAAGCCAAAAAGAAAAAAATAGTACTTACTATACTGAGGAGCATAAGTATAGCACAACCTTCGTTTTTCGATATTGGGAAACTTTTACTTTGAAATTGTTTTTTTTTCTGGTTGGAGCTATTTTTAGATGTGAACCACGACAATTTCGTTTATTGACAAAAAACTTATTTCTAAAATGCAGCAACATTTATTTAATATTCAATTATTTTAATAAAGAAAGGGCATTCTATTTGAAAAATTTAGTCCCACTTCTACAAAAGCTATAAAATGTGAGCATTGGAACGAACAAAGACAATGCATAATTTCTATACGTTGGTTCTATACATTAGGCGAGGACCAATAGATTTTAATATTTCCTCCATTTTTATCGAATTCATTGGAAATCGTTTAATAAACTCTCATTAAGCTTCCTCCTCACTGCCGCTTTACCACATTTTCTTTTAAATTTACAAGAAAATCGGATGGTGACAGGAAATCAAATCCCTGTCGCTTTACACTAATATATGATAGGAATAAATGACAAGTGTTGTTTAATTTATTTTTTATGAAACGCAAACCTATCTACAATTGTAAAACAGACTTGTAATATTAGGCTAGTCACTTGTCACTAATAATCTACTCGTGTAATTTTATGAAACACAAACTTGTCAAATACCCCAGTCAAATTTAGACTACACTTGTCCGACAGGACTTGTCAGTTATATGAAACAGGCCCCAGAATGTGTGTTAAATAATCTGAATATTTTGGTGTGAGTACATTTCAAAAATGATGTATTTTCACAAACTATACGATTTTTATACAGGGTGAGTCAAAACACAAACATAAACGTAATACTTTAATCGTAATTAAACCAGCAGAAAAATAATTAAACTTATCTGCAATTAGAATGTATCGAAATCAATCACAGCAACTCGGGTACGTCGATGAACAAAGTCGCTATGAACAATTGGAATTTTATTTGATGCCTGTATGAGTACGTTTTCCCAATCTATTTTAGATAGGTGTTTGACACAAGAGAAAACTTTGGCAGGATTTTTGTTAGTACATTTTCTGATCAAGTTGTTAATTTTAGATGTAACAGTGTGTGAAATATTGTCTGCGACTAATATAAATAAAACCAGTCTAGGTTGGGCTAGTAAAAAGGAAGGAAATACATTTTCTGGAAGAATACCAGAAGAAATATTACCACTTAGTACTAACCTATGCAATTTTAGTTTGTTCAAGTTACTAAATAATTTCTCTAAGTCAATATAACCGCACGACAACCTAAAAAAAATGAGAAAATATGCAATAATATACTGGGTGTTTTTTAATAACATGCTAATAATAAAGGGGGTGTTTATCGTTCCCATTTTAAGAAAAAAACTTCATATGAACACATGTCCTAAACCTTATTATTATTTGTACACCCTGTATACAAATGAATGAGCATCTTTTTCGAATTGGAAAAAATAGGCAACAAACGACACATAATTAAAAAAATCATCATTAAATTGGCAATTTGTTTATCACAGTATTTAGCTTTTTAATGCGCATTTTCCAAAGTCTCATTTATACCTTTATTTTGTAGACGTGAAGAGACTTTATTACTTCTATTTTTTCATACAGTTAAAGCAAATAAAAATTATCTTTCTTTCTTACCAAAAGACTTACCTTAAATCCTTTAAATTTGTAGCAAATTCCAAATTATTATAAAAATTTTTCATAAACGCATTGAAGCCCGGACGATAATTATACAGCGTCAAATCCAGAAAATTTAAATTTTGACACACTTTGAATACCTGTAATAAAAATTACGAATAGAATTTTTCGATTCGACAAACTTGAATCAAAAGTAATTACATTTATTAGAAAAGATCCGTCTATCACATGTGGTATTTCAACTTGGAGTTTTTTTAAATTCCTAAATTCCTCGATGCAATTATATCCGCATAGAACAGAACCGATAATAGTTTTAGAACTGTAAAGGAAAAATGTTTATTGAAAATGTAAGCAGATTAAGTGTCAGTTTTACAAGTAGGAGCTCTCTCATACAGGGTGTCCCATGATAAATTAAAACTCTCTTCATATGGAAAACTACATGCCACTTTTGTAAAAAATGCAGTATCATAGCACTTTTTATTATGTATGGTGGCAGTAATTACTTTAATTTTTCATATTTTTTATCTATAGGAAACTTTATTTTCTAAAGTTTTAGCATGAAAAATTGAATAATCTTTCTTTGTTTAACTCATAAAATTTACCATATTGCGAACACATTTGCACTTACCCATATGTACAGGAAACAATTTCTAATTCTTCTAAGTTACTTAGATTCTTGGCTGTTTCTTGAAATGGGTGATTTAGGCAAACACTTTGAACTCCGATTCTTGGTTTTTTAAAGGGCACTGGTTCTGTGCTAGCTCGTTCTGATTGCCTCAAGTCTAAAGTAAATGTAGTAGTTATGAAGATATGTAAAATAAACAGCTTTACAGGGAATGAACTCACCTTGAAATAAACATGAGTTTATTCTTAATTTTTTGAGATATTTGCAGTTTTCGCTATTCAAAATTGTAAGGGCGGCTTTAATATAATGTTCCTGGTTTAAATGTGAGTTTAGTTTTAGAGAGGCGCATGATATAAAATGTAATTCTTCAAAGCTGATTTGCTTCACCGTCTGGCCTGTGGAAAGAAACTAGACGGGAAAAAAATACTGATTACATAACGTTTAATGCTTGTTGATGTACCTTACTTTAGAATCTCTAGGACCGCAGAACAAAAACCCGCCTCTTTGGAGCCAAAACCAAGCTTCTTCAAATTCAGTCTCTTCCGGTTCAAATATCGACTTTTGTTTAGTTTCAAGAGGTGGCAAGCGTTCTAAAATAAACGAGTGAATAACATACTATATAAAATAAAAGTCGGTTATACTTTTACCCAATATTAACTGGAATCCGATTTGGAAATTATTTGAATAGAAAGTTTCAGATAGGCCCTTCCTTAAATCACGTGAATCTCCAAAAGGCTGATAATTTTGTAGCACTATTTTATTTAAATTTAATTTCTTATTAACATGAAAGTTAAATAGTAAATCTTCAATAACACCATCTAGTAACATACCAGATCTTTCTAGTATCTAAAATATTTTATTACTGAATTTTATGTTATTGATGAGATGTCTAAGAATGCATACAAATTGTTGTGTAGAGAAAGGGATTAACAACTAACCCATAATTCATCAATATTTGGAAATTGCTCAAGAACACTTCCCCCAGTTGACTTCATCATCTGTCTTACTGACGGTAGTAACAATAACTGCAGATATTTAAGTGAATTGAAATAGTAATCTGGCACCAATTCTTCTATATGCTTGCTTGAATTAATGGCCAACTTCTTCAACTAAATAAGAATAAATATCAAATAGTAAGAGGATTTTCACATGGTGAAAACACTCAATACATGCCCCACTACCTGACCTGATTGCCTTTCCAGTTCAAAAACTATTAAAGACGAAATTAATCAGATTTACTAAAAAATTGGGCCAAATTAATTGAAAAAAATTGATTTCAAAAAATGTGGCCTCTTTTCATTCAGAAGAACAGCATTAAAATTTTTCTAACTCACTTTGTAATAGAATGTATCTTTAGGACAAAACATTAATTTAGTATCAACAGCATATAGCTCATTTAAATTAGGCAGCTTCCTTATTAAACTTTCCAAATCCTTCTTAGGTATCCAATATAAGCCATTAATATTCAAAGAAATAACGTTATCGAGATTAATTTCAGTTTTAATGAATCTACACAAATCCATGTTGTGAATTTCAAAGTTTCGACTCCAATTTAAGGAACTAAAAGTGTAATACTTGAAATGATTATGATTAAATTGCTCTTTCTCCACCTACCTTGTTATACACTTTTCCCTTAATAAGAACTTAAAATTTTTGAACACAGCACAAAATTGTACAATATCATAGATATTTAATTGCTTCACTATTTTAAGAAGCAACTCGACTGGAAGCTGATCCATGATAAGTAATACAAATTAACTTACAGTTCTTTTAAATTAACTAAGTTTTTGTATAAGGGTAAAATTAAAATCTGTTTCAAACATTTTAAAAAGTGAGGTTAGAGGTAAAATATCTTGTCATTGTGGTTATGGCCTCGTACTGATGTATTTATTAGCTATTATTTTAGAATTTGAAGAGAATACTTGCATAATGTGCCGTTTTGCATTTACTGCAAAAAATGCTATTTAAAACTTAAAACAATAGCGAAGAACAATTTATTCACCAAAGAAACAACAAATCAACATTAGCATTAAAAAAGTACAAAAATAAATGAGAAAATAACAGCAACTATATTTTTAATTAGCTGCGGCCTTTTTCCCTCTGCCCCTACCCCTGCCTCTGCCCCTTGTCGGCGCCTGCACCCTTGGCGATCCTCTGCCTCTTTTTCCTCTCGTAGATGTCTGTGGCACTTGGTCATCACAATCATCACCATCTATAGTAACAACCGATGTTTGGTTTTCCGGAGATTCCATCGTTGTGGAGCTTCCCAACAACACCTTGGCGAAATCATCGTCGTTTTCCACCTTGTCTTTAAATTCCCTCACATACTGATCGACTCGACTGGAATCCGGCTTGTCTCTAACGAGAGCCTCCATAAGTTTCTTCCTGTAACTATCACCGATGTCGATGATGGCGTTCTTGTCGCTCGATCCTATGCTCTTCATTACCGCTTGAATCAATGAATTCTTAGAGAAGAACTTCAATTTGTTTTCCAACCGTTCGGCGATGAACTCTTCGATGCAATCGGCCAGTATCAATTCATCGTCTTCAGCTTCCCCTTCTGCTGCAATCGATGCATTCCCTTTCCTCCTCTGGGCGTCCCTTATAGATTGAAATTTGACCATACTATCGGGATTGGCTACTTGATCGGCGTAGCTATGCCCAAATCGAATGGAATTAAACGTTAAACTTTCCTTATTATATTTCACCGATAGCCTTATAAGAGGTTTCTCTGAAACTTCGGCGGTTTGTCCCATACTCTTCGCTTCCTCTATCATTTCCCTGATTTTGGTGTGTATCAAATCTTTGCTGTATTCCATAGGCGTAACATCGCCTATGTCATCAGGGGGATCGTGTAAGGCCAGTTCTTTAATAATGAAAGGTCGTACGGTTTTCAAGGGAATCGGTTCGATTTTAAATTCCCTCCCGGCTACTTTCAAAACTCCCACGTGCTTGGGAATGGCCTCTCCGGGAGTCAACGATGTAGCGACCGAACTGCCGGGTTGAGTTACGTAAACACCGTTCACTTTTCGCTCGGGTTCGATGCGACAATCGTGCTCGTGTCCCCAAAGCACGAGGTCCAAGAAGTCCGGCAGAGAATCGTCGGGAATGAAATTTTTAGTGCTCCTCGCGACCCTGTTTTGGTGCCATGCGAGCAAATGAAACCAATCGTCTTTATCGTCCGGCGTTAGAATCTTCACTTTCCCTTCTAAGAAGAGCCTGCCGAGTCGCTCGTCTCTTATGTGCGATAGGCCATATAGGGCTAATTTAGTAGCGCCCTTTCGGAGCAGTATCGGAGATATTTCAATGCTGTCGTAGTTGTTGTAATTACCGAAGTAGTTAACGAGCCCAGTGGCGGAGATTATGTCTAACGAAGAAGTTTTGGACTTTCCAGTAGGATCGTCGTGGTTGCCGTGTATCGAAAATATCGGCATGCTCACGTTCAAATTAGGATCTTCGTAGTTAACAGTGGAATTTTCGCTTCGGGTGAAATTAAGGTTGGGATCGGATAAGAATTCGACGCTTACGGGCTTGTCCCCCAAACAATATTTCTTCAACAGCTCCAAGCACTTGTGGATGCAATTGGGAGTGGGCTGGGCGAAGTGAAACAAGTCTCCTCCCAGCAGGATAAAGTCGACATCTTCCTCGACGGCGATTCGAAGTATTTCTTCGAACGTTTCGAACGTATCGTTACCTCTCACTGGGTGATCTTCGGCATAGCCCAGGTGAATGTCGGTGGCTAGGAGGATTCGAAATGTATCTGCTTCGCTCGGTTCTGACTCTTCCTGGCTGATTAATGAACTTGCTCTTGTGTGAGACATGTTTGTTAATGCAAGTTATGTAGTTTTTGTTCTAATTTCAACGTAAACATTGATAATAAATGGCGGCAGAATTTAAATGTTTTTTAGAGGTTAGGGTAACGTCAACTGTCATAATAAATCAAATTTATTGTTGACAGTTGGCCTTTTACGATAGTTTTAAACGGTTAACACGTAGAGAAAGAAAGATTATTTTATTTTGTATTATTTTTTATTTTGTCTATGGGTTAACATTTACCCAATTTTCTAATTGATCAAAATTGTTCCGAACTGATTCAAATATTTTTTTGCCTAATCACAGTTGATTAAATTGTAATAGAAGAAGAATCCCAGAGTTTACAAAATTTTAGTATCGGTACTTCCCAACATGATTTCTCTTTGATGATGAAATGACACCCGGCTTTTCCCCTAATTCCTGACACAATTTCTCAAGTTTGGCGCAATAATTACGATTCTGCACGGCTCCTTAGCAGGATTTCGAAGAAAAGCACAAGTAGGTCAAAGACGGCGATTTATTAATAACACGAAGGCGGATTGTTTTGGGTTTTTCAGTTATGTAATTGCAATGCAAAAGATCTTTGGCCGCACTGGCTCGTGAAATAGCAATTTGTATGAATGAAATCGAGGACAGGGAATCCCGACATGTAATCGAAACACGATCGCGAATTTCGCAATTTACGATTATAAAATAATTTCATATTTTGCGGGCGTTCCTCAGGCGAATTTGCTTCCGATTCTAGACCCTCTGGAAGTCTGCAAAAAGCATTAAACAATGCCTTAAAGCTCAAACATAGACTTGACATAACAAAATTCACTTTCGTTGCAATGTTGTAATTGTTATGTTAAAAACTAGTCACGACTACATCACCTTTGGGTCAAATTAAGACATTACCATCATCACCAGTAGCGTACTAAATAGAATAATAAGGAATTAATAAATGTAATTGCCTACAAGAGATATCCCCTGAGAGTTCCAATTGAAACTCTAGTCAATATAACTTATCGCAAATATTACACAATTATACACTCTAGTAATACCTACTAGCGTTGTAGTAATTCTAGAATAGCAGAGGTTTATTTATCGGTCAAAAATTGAGGCGTCCGCCGATGTTGCTCGATTTTCGTTCGAACGCGATGGGTCCGTGAATGATTTTCGTCCACTTTCACTCGAAGCCGGATCTAAATTTGAACTCCATTGCACTTTGTCGTAGAAGAAGAAATTCGAGCGACACGGCCCAGCGATCACCGAAGGCGTTGCGGCGATTGTGTAACGTTTAATTTATTTAACGAGTCTTTTTGTCGGGATTGGCGTTGCACGAGCGCTCGATCGGAAGATTCTAAACAAATAACAAATAGTCCGTGTTCTGGTCGAATAATTCATCTGGGAATAAGTGCGAGAGCAGCGAAGCTGTTGTCGATTGCAATTTTATTATAGGGGTGTCTAGAATTGAGGGACTCAAAGATGAAAATTTTCCACAAAAAAATTGCATAAAAACGTCAGTTCAAAATGGTTTTCTTTAAATTATTTTTACTGGAAAATATTGCATTCTGATTGGGTTCACAAGTGGCTTCAACTTTTAGAGTTAAGGCCGATTTTATAAAGAGACATAAAGGAAACTTTGACTTTAAAAATGGTGCTTTAATAGATGTAATTGATTTCCCAATCAACTTTAAGCCTAAAGGTTCCTTTAAGAATTCGCTAAAATTACTCTTAAGGATAAGAATTTATTTATATTAGAGGACAAAAGTCTGTAGGAAAAAGATACTATTTTCATAAATACGACGAGCTAGACTTTACCAACGTTTTCTTTTGAAAAAAGGAACACTTTTGTATCTCCTTTGTACGAAATAGAAGAGAAAAATTTATTTTCTAAATATATACTATTTTTTTATAGGTTCACATTCTATAATATGCTTCAACTACTCAATTTCTTAAAGCAAAAAAGCAAAGCAAAGAAACTTCCTCTCCTCTACTAAAACTTGAAGAGTGAACCTTTCTTTTTAAACTTCGAAATGTCCATGTTTCTCCATCAAACTTATAAGGTAGACTGGGGCAAAAGTTAAAATGGGGTAAGTGTAATATTTTTACCTATTATGTTAATGTTTATTATTATTTTTATAGTTCATTTGTGCATTAGACAGGGTTTGTTTCTTATTTTTCCTTTATTATTTTGTAGCTCTGTTAATTTTTGAAATAAATAAATAAACAGCATATCAAATTTTAGAGGAACCAAATATGTATTTACAATTGCCCCATATGGTTTTCTATATAATTGTATTGCACTTTAGAACTGTTTGTTACATTTACCCCATGGTACGGGGTACTATTGTCAACATTCTAAAAAATATATAAAATGGTTTTCTTCCTTTTCCAAAAAAACTTTTTAATACCTCGATTCTTTAGTTTAGGAAGTTGCGAATTTAATGTGGTATCAGCATTTCTAATAAGAGAAAAAATAAAGCCACATTTTAGGATTTAATTTGAACTATTCAAATTTTACAACCGATTTGCCCCAGTCTACCTTAATTACAAGCAATCATAGAGAAGCTCAAATGCCATATGAATATTTATTTTTGACATTTTATTCTTCAAATTTCCATCTTTTCTCAACCAATTTACTATCATTATCACAGACAAGCTCAAACGCCGTTTAAAGTTTTAAATGTACCACCTAGCTCAATTTCTCATCGAGCTTCAATTCTCCCTTCTTTATAACCTAATGTTTCTAAGTTTTAAATTAAATCAGTTACTACTGTTTTAAGCATCCTGAGGAACTGAAAAAAACCTTCCTGAGGAGGCTGGAATTGACCCAATTTAGCTATATTTTTAATGCAATTCCTAATATAATTTTTTTCCTACCAAATTTACTCAACTATGGAGTCATCGTGTCAATCAATTCCTTATAATAATTCATAAGGTTTTCAAACTAGGTACCATTATACCGGCACTATTGCACTGCATCTCTTCAATAGAAGAGAAAATTTTACCTTCTGAATATACTAATTTTTTTGTAGGTTCACATTCTATAATATGCTTCAACTACTCAATTTTTTAAAGCAAAGAAACCTCCTCTCCTCTACTAAAACTTGAAGAGCGAACCTTTCTTTTTATACTTTGAAATGTCCATGTTTTTCCATCAAACTTATAATCACAAGCAATCATAGACAAGCTCAAATGCCATATGAATATTTATTTTTGACATTTTATTCTTCAAATTTCCATCTTTCTTCAACCAATTTATTATCATTATCACAGACAAGCTCAAACTGGACAAGCTGGATTTGACTGGAAATTGACCCAATTTAGCTATATTTTTAATGCAATTCCTAATATAATTTTTTTCTACCAAATTTACTCAACTGTGGAGTCATCATGTCAATCAATTCCTTATAATAATTCATAAGGTTTTCAAACTAGGTACCATTATACCGGCACTATTGCACTGCAGTATTACATTTTTTTGTTCCAAGATCCGCTTCGAATTTCCGAAAAAACCCCGTCTTTTGTAACATCTTACACCACTACATGGCTCGTTCGTTTATAAGTAGGTATATAAAGAGATAGCGCCATGTAGCAGCCAGTATATCGATATCTGCACACTGGCGTCGCATTCTTAGTAGAAAGTAAAACTCATAATAACAAAGAAGTTGCTGGTGGGAATATCTATAAAACCGCTTAGAGTCGTGAGAAGCTTCTTCAAAGGCAGTGCGCTCAGTGCTGGATAATCCTGTGGACGAATTCTAGAGGTAGGTGAAATTTTTTTGGAAATTTCTAATTTTTGGTGGAGGATTATTTTCAGCACCGTCTTTCTAAAGGCGTTTTAAATTTTTTTTAAAATTTCTACCACATAAAATGAGTTATGTTAGAAAGATGAGGTTTATGTTTTTAACGATTAGAATGAAAAAATAACAGGATTTTTTTAATCGATTTATCCTGAAAATTTACATATTTTAGATTAATATCATTTCTTTCATTAAATTTTTCTGGAAATTTAGGTAGGTTTATTTCTGGAAGATAATGGAAAATTGGAAGGTAGAGAAGAATTTTGTTTTTTGTAAATAAATTTGCATAAGTTTGCATAAAACTGTAAATAATTGTAGATCGTTTAATAATTTAATCACAAAAGACTTCCCTTTACCTTCTGAATCCAAAATGCGTTGAATTATTTTTTTTAACGGGCAAAATTTTAATTTATCCCAATGCTAATAAATGCATGTATTTATTCAATTAATATCTGATTTGAAAAATTAAATTATAATATAAATTCATATGTGCATCACGCAAAAGAGTATCTAAACTCTAGACAATCTAGAGAAATTAATGATGATGATCATGATATCGTTAATATATCTACAATAATTTTAATTAAAGTTGGTATAAAGAACAATCGAAACTTACCGATTCATATCGTAAACTTTTGCTTTTTCTTAATGTACTGTAACCGTTAATTTCTCGTCTTTTTTTTATAAAAAATGACCGTCGTATCTTTTGAATTGAATTCGATGCTAATGAACTTATTCCATCAGTGACCATGACCGTGTCTTATGAAGGGAAAGTGATTCGACTGGCAATCGTAAACAAGACATGAAAAAACCGAATTGAATTACAGCAGTTTTAAGTAAAAATGTCGGTGAAGATTATCTTCGAGTTAATTATCTCGCTTTCTCTATTAAAGGTGTTTTTATGTTTGTTTTCCACCAGAGAATACACCACAATAAACAAACAAAATTATACGCCTTGTAAATTTTTGGATATGTGTGAAGAAAACTTTCCTGCAAAGGTTCTGTTAAAAGTTTTAAAGTTGGAAGAAATGGTATCCAGTTAAAATCTTCTTAGCTTAAAAAGAAGCTTTAAGAAAATAAATTTCAAGTTGAACGTTATTATACAGGATAATTAAATGTTAGAATTTCCCAATGAAAAAGAAAACTTCTAAATATCTAGTATATCAATGTTAGCTTATTAAAGAAAAGTAAAATAAGTTTATAGAATTCATAGATGAGTAATGTTTTTTAAGTAATATGAAATTTCTATCTCTCACAAACTTTCCCCTCTGGAAACCTTTTGTTATAGATTCAATGTTCTTTAGGGCATAACATAAACGAATCAAATACTGTTCGTATGCAAATTTTATGTATTTTTTATTAATCCGAAACGTTTAAAGATGACTTCACTATTGTTAAATGTGAAAATAAAGAGCCGAGTGGGAGCCACAGCGTTACAAAATGGGTCGACACTTTTACTTTCTACCATGTTTATAAAACGCCCATGAGCTTTCTTTTCGCGTACGTTTTTTTGGCGAATTTAATCGTTTTGCGTGGAAAATCCGCTGTCATTTCGAAACCGGATTAATTTTCGATTTCAAATAAATATGTATATTAGAAAGGCATCTTTTTATGCATTATGCAAGTATTATAACTCAAGGTAGAAGTTTTGAAAATGTTTGTAAGTCTCTCATGCTGAGTTTTTCATACAAAATTAGGTTTTTTACAAGCTAATCTTCATCATCTTTCCCATCATCATTGATAATAAGGTAGACTGGGGCAAATCGGTTGTAAAATTTGAATAGTTCAAATTAAATCCTAAAATGTGGCTTTATTTTTTCTCTTATTAGAAATGCTGATATCACATTAAATTCACAACTTCCTAAACTAAAGAATCGAGGTATTAAGAAGTTTTTTTTGAAAAAGGAAGAAAACGATTTTACATATTTTTTAAAATGTTGACAATATGTTACATTTACCCCATGGTACGGGGTAAATGTAACAAAAGGTTCTAAAGTGCAATACAATTATATAGAAAAACATATGGGGCAATTGTAAAAAAAATATTTGGTTCACAAAAGAATGTACAAAAGAATGCACAAAAGAACTATAAAAATAATAAAAACATTAACATAATAGGTAAAAATATTACATTTACTCCATTTTTACATTTGCCCCATTCTACCTTACCACTAATTTTCAATTTATTCTCGTCATTTTGCCATTTGACAATTTTAGAAAATTCTCAATTTTACTTCAAAATATAGTAATCATGCATTAGTTTCATTATCCCAAATTTCAATTTTCTAAGTTGATCCGTTCAAAAAATAAAAGGGGGGGGGACATTAAAGAAATGCACTGTATAGAAAAACATATGGGGCAATTGTAAAAAAATATTTAATTCCTCTAAAATTTGATATGCTGTTTATTTATTTATTTCAAAAAATAACAGAGCTACAAAATAATAAAGAAAAAATAAGAAACAAACCCTGTCTAATGCACAAAAGAACTATAAAAATAATAAAAACATTAACATAATAGGTAAAAATAATACATTTACCCCATTTTTACATTTGCCCCAGTCTACCTTACAGAATTTCCCGTTTACACTACAACATCCTCCCTCACTCTCGCCATTACAATTCCAGATATGAAGCTCATCTTCTGCCTATCGGCGGTCTTGCTGCTGCACCGAGCCAGCTCCAACGAGCAGCCCTGGTCCTGGGGCGCCGGTTCGAAGGAACCCGCCGCCCAGGCACCGGAAGACGCGGAGCCATCGGGCAGATTCGCGCCATCCTACGAAGAAGACCTCCAAGCTGCTCCCAGCGAGCAAGTCAACGCCACCGCGGCCGGTCTAATCATCGACGAAATCATCAGTTCCACCAGAGAAGGCAGAGCCATCGACGGCTTCGATGAGGTCTACAGCGATCCTTCGGTGCAGGAAGCCCTGCAGAACGGCGACGACGGCGAGGCGAGGAACGTGATCAAGGAGAGATTGTGCGCTATAGGATTGATGCAGGTTGGTTTTGTTGGTTTCGATGCGTTTTTAATAGGTTTATAATACATCTTGTTGGTTCCAGTGCGATGATGTGGAAGGCAAACGCCCCTACATTTCACCGGAGCAGCTCGTCTACGCCCAACCGGTGGCTATAAACCCGGTGGGGAAGCCGATTCCCACCATTCCCGTGAAGGGAGTCAGAGGAATAGGGGGCTACGGGCCGCCCAAGCCGCTGCCCTACCCCGCCACCAGGCCAATGCCGCCCGCGAAGTACCCTCCGCCTCAGAACAAGTACCCGTCGTCGGGGAATCCCAACTACTTCCAGCAAGGGAAGCCGCCCAGGCGGTACTTTGGGGTGCCTCCGTCAAAGCCGCTGTACGGGAAACCGTTGAATATCAACGGGGAGGTCTACGAAGGCCCGGAGTTCTACGATAAACCGCCCAGTTTCCTCGCCGGTTCCGGCCAATTTACCGGTCCTAACCAATTTACTGGTCCCAATCAATTCGCTGGTCCTAACCAGTACATCGAACCCATCGAGCCCGAAATTCCTCCTTACAAATTCCACCAAAACCCACCGCCGTTCGTCAATAAAGATAAAAGAGTCGAGATTACCGTAAATGCTCAAGGTGGAACAACAGTAACACCAGGTAAATTAAGTTTCAACATAGACCTATTAACTATGGACGCGGTTTAGACAAAGAGGTAGTGTTGTCGATGAATGAGAGAGATGCAGCTAGTTTGGGCATATGGCAATGAGAGATTGGACAATGCATTAGCCAATAGTAAGAAAGCAAAAGACCACGTGAGTTACGTTTTCAGAAATGCAATGTAGCTGGGGTAGAGGAGGGTAGCTTATGGTAGAATAGGGTTGAGGATTTATTATTTTTTTACCGAGCAAAATTCATTTTTCAGCTGAGCCTAAATTCCCACTCATTTGCAAATACAGTTCTTATTTTGTATTGTTAATTGGAACATCCTACCTATTAGCCAGTACAGATTTCGCAATGTAAGACCTAACTGCTTTCTCTTGTAAAAAATATGTTTCTTCCAGGTCATTCTTCTGTCCAAGTGGATACCAAGATAAAAACAATATTTAAATATTAAGCGTATAAATAATTTAACAGATTAATCACCTTTTTCCACACACCCTGTATATATTTTATATTTTTTTTGGTCCCGCCTACTTTTAGCCCAAACTAGCTCCATCTCTCACGGACCTCTCTCTCTATCATTGGAAACGCTGAATAACCTCAAAATACCGATTGTGCCGCGTCTATACTTAAGAGGTCTATGAGTTTCAACCACTTTATGAGTCACCCTGTTGTCTTGAGTGTTCCTCATCGATTTTTTTCAACCTTAATCGCCTACATTTCAGCTTCAGTCGAGCACGTGCACCACCATTACCACCACAACCTAGAAGGAGCTAACAAACCGCTGGTAATCAACCCCATACCGGTGGCTTCTGCGGCTGCCACGACGACCGATTTGTCGGGCTCGTTCCATTCCCATCCGGGCAATTTCGGCACGTTCAAGCCCTCCGCCAGCGTCGCCACCACCGCCGGTCTCGGTAACTACCAATCGGGCACCTACGGCGGGCAGACCATCGCGAATTACGGACCGAAACCGGTCGAGGAGAACTACAACTACAACAGCTTCGGCGCTTCGGTGGGAGCCTTCGGCTCGAGCGGGCTCTACAAGAAGGAGTTGAACTTAAATTCCGGCAACAACAATTACCTGCAGGTAAAGTCTTCTATTCGCTCTGCTTGCGCGGATTTCGTTAGGTGTACCCGCGTAACTTCACTAATGCCCGATTTCACCAACATGTTTTTAGGCATTTCCTAACTAGGTAATTCCTAAGATAGGAATTACTTAAATCGAATACTTACCTAAGTCGAATTTCACCAACATTAGAAATATCTTACTAAGAAATACCTAGGTAAAAATTTGATTTCGATAATTTTTTGAATTTTATTGGTAGCATTGGCTAATTTTGATGTGTAAACCGAATAAGCGGAGATCGAAATTGAATATGTTGAGAGAAAAGAAGAGATGTTGACGATCCGGGGCATCTTTAAACATGTTAGTTATTTTTAAATCTGCTGACGATGTAGTCTGTACATTAATAGAAAAATAGCCTTTCCAATTTGTAAAATATGTCTGCATCTTCTCCTCCAGGACAATGGATCTTTACATGCATTTGTACGGTCAATAGTTCCAAAAACTTCCTGTGTTACAAATTAAAAATCATCTTCAATTCATTCTAATATTTGTAATGCCGTATTTTTATATATCGAAAAAGGCGAAAAAAATATCAGTTTCGTCCAGTTTCTAAAAACTCTCCTTCCATTTTAAATTTTCATCTAAAGAGTCTAAAGACAGTCAAGACTTAAGTCACATGAAATCACATGAAAAGTATGGTTAAGTATTTCCTAAATGTTTTAGGCAAGCTCAGTCAGCTGTCCTAACTTTAGGCATTTCCTATTACCTTTAGGTATTACTTAGTGCATGGTGAAACGCAAATTGTACTTAGGAATTCCTAAATCTGGTTTAGGTATTACCTAACTTTAGGAACTGGTTGGTGAAATCGGGCATAAATGAATTATAAGTAGAATCTTCTTGAGTAAACATTCCTGCATTGTAACATTTTCTCCTTGCAGACTGGTTACGCCGATAAATACCAGGGATTGGAATCATCGAATTTCGATTGTACTTGCGTGCCGTACAATCAGTGTCCTTCGCAGGACGTCATCGGTCGCAAGGATGATTTGTATTTACCGTTAGATCCCAGGAATTTGAAGACCCAAATCGAGGCTTTGACTGATGAAGAAACGAACAGTACACTCTCGACTGCAAATACTACAGATAGTACAGAAGTAAAGAGCGTTAGTAAAAGAGACACAACATCGGTAGATGCTCCGGTTAAGGAAGATGCCAAACCAGAAGCTGTAAGTTGTTTAGCGACGTGTAAATGTATAATTTCCCTCATCTTTTAACGGTGCTCATTAGTTCCCAGAAATTCTCCACTAATGTTCTAATAATGTGTTGCAGATGTCACTAAACTCATTGAGCCCGGATTCCAGGAACTTACCACCGCCTTTTTGTTTGTGTACATATTTGCCTACTACATGCAACTAAAACCCTAACTTAGTATTTATAGCTGGGTGCCGGAAATCGTAATCGATATTTTCGAATCGATATGATTGAAACTATCATTGTTCCAGCGACAGCGACAGTACGGTTCTTTAGGGAACGTAGACATGAAGAAAATCCAACCGACTTTCGGGATATCTTTCGGGTTGCCACAACAAGGAGGCGGTGGATATCCTGCGAATCCTTACAATCCCTCGCCCTTTCCCAATCCCTACGGCAGCGCTTTAGGCGCCTCCGGCATCAATCTCGGCCTGGTGTCGGTGAATCCTTTGGTTTCCATACAGCTCTCCAAGGACGATTACGGCAACAAGGAGATCAAACCTTTCATTAACTTGCACGTGACGCCCAACAATTTTCTCGTTCACAAGTTCGAGGATCTGTTCGCCTATAAAAAAGGGGTGATCTTCAACAAGCACAAACACTACCACGTCCACAACGGTCACCATCAGTACCACCCTCATGGGGTGTACCATCCACACGAATCGTACCATCCACACGAGGTTTACCACCCTCACGAATCGTACCCTCCTCACGACGTGTACCGCGAACATCCGTACGAATTTACCCACCACCAGCAACCTCATCACGACTATTACCATCCGGAGGGGCCGCCTCCGGTCGAGCATCATCCCTACTTCGATGATCCCCTCAACTATGGAGGCGGTGAATACGTTAATTCCTTCGGCAGGACTTACAGAAACGATTCGAGTAGGGTTGTAGAAGGAAGTAGCGTTTTGCGGCAGTACCAAAACCTCCCGTCCTATCCGCCAGGAGATTTTAACACGCGCAGTTTTCGCGCTGGTAAAAGCCTCCAATCTTCTCGCCCTTCCAATCCAGTCAAATTCCCCAGTAGCAGAAAACGAAGAGACTTGCAAGGTATAGTCGATGAAGAGATTTTAGAGGTAATTACTTCGTTTGGAGGGCTGTAAAGGTACACTTTTCTACCAGTGGATCAAAGAGTCAATATATCTATCTAGCTTGTCTCACCACCTATTTGAATCACCCGTACATTTCCCATACATATCTAACTTCCTGTCCAAAGGAGTACCTTCCAGAATCCCCAATTCAAATTCCATTTGCATCTCTTTATATCTGTTCCAGAGGCAATTCTACGGCGGACAGAGTCAAGCCTGCGGTCCGCGTCACGTCTGCTGCAAGCGCCCCCTTCGACCGCAAGTACCGATTTCGCCGAACCGCCAATGCGGTACTAGGCACTCCCAAGGCGTGAACGGGCGCATCAAGAACCCGGTGTACGTGGACGGCGACAGCGAGTTCGGCGAGTACCCCTGGCAGGTGGCCATACTGAAGAAGGACGCCAAGGAGAGCGTCTACGTCTGTGGCGGTACTCTCATCGATTCCTTGCACATCCTGACGGCCGCGCATTGCGTCAAAACGTAAGTACTCTTCTTCATCCACAAACTTTAAAATATTAGGCCGTTGTTGTAAAAAGAAGCAGCTTTTGCTTCAAAAAATGAAGGAATTGCTTCAAGGTATATGTATAAAAAGAAGTGAAGGAAGAGAGGTTTTGCTTCGAGGATCCTACTGTTGTTTTAAAGCGGAAGCTTTTCTGGTTTTAAAACCTTTAAACCTTTATCTCTTTTGCCTCTACCTTTTACTTCAAAGTAAACGCTTCATTTTTATGAATATTGGCTAATATGGTGTCTGTTTCATATAACTGACAAGTTGACAAGTTACAAGTCGACAAGTTACAAGTGTTGGTTGACAAGTATTTAAAAATTTCGTTTCATAAAATAAATTTCGACACTTGTCGAATTAAATTTTTGGCATCCGTTTTTCTACAACTGTAATATTAATTAAACGTCAGACTTAAGCCAAAAAGAAAGAATTAGTACTTACTATACTGAGGAGCATAAGTATATCACCACCTTCGATTTTCGATATTGGGAAACTTTTACTTTGAAATTGTTTTTTTTTCTGGTTGGAGCTATTTTTAGATGTGAACCACGACAATTTCGTTTATTGACAAAAAACTTATTTTTAAAATGCAGCAACATTTTTTTAATATTAAATTATTTTAATAAAAAAAGGGCATTCTATTTGGAAAATTTAGTCCCACTTCTACAAAAGCTATAAAATGTGAGCATTGGAACGAACAAAGACAATGCATAATTTCTATAAGTTGGTTCTACACATTAGGCGGGGACCAATAGATTTTAATATTTCCTCCATTTTTATCGAATTCATTCGAAATCTTTTATTAAACTCTCATTAAGCTTCCTCCTCAATGTCGCTTGACCACATTTTCTTTTAAATTTACAAGAAAATCGGATGGTGACAGGAAATCAAATCCCTGTCGCTTTACACTAATATATGATAGGAATAAATGACAAGTGTTGTTTAATTTATTTTTTTATGAAACGCAAACCTATCTACAATTGTAAAACAGACTTGTAATATTAGGCTAGTCACTTGTCACTAATAATCTACTCGTGTAATTTTATGAAACACAAACTTGTCAAATACTCCAGTCAAATTTAGACTACACTTGTCCGACAGGACTTGTCAGTTATATAAAACAGGACCATGGTAGTACCTACTACCAAACAAGGTAGTACCCTAGTTAACTAACCCTTGGAATCGTTCGACAGTTACGCCGGTTTCGACCTGCGGGCACGCCTGGGCGAATGGGACGTGAACCACGACGTGGAGTTCTACCCGTACGTTGAGCGGGACGTGGTGTCGGTGCACGTGCACCCGGAGTTCTACGCCGGTACGCTCTACAACGACATCGCCGTGCTGCGAATGGACGCGCCGGTCGATTGGTCGAAGTACCCGCACATCAGCCCGGCCTGTCTGCCGCGGCCGCACGAGGAGTACGCTGGTACCAGGTGCTGGACCACCGGCTGGGGCAAGGACGCCTTCGGCGACTTCGGGAAGTACCAGAACGTGCTGAAGGAGGTCGACGTGCCGGTGGTGGGGCACGAGGCGTGCCAGAGGATACTGCAGAATACCAGATTAGGGTAAGGTTCTTTACAAAGTTCTTAACATTACAACTAAAAGATTAATGCCCGATTTCACCAACCAGTTCCTAAAGTTAGGTAATACCTAAACCGGATTTAGGAATTCCTAAGTACAACTTGCGTTTCACCATGCACAAGTAATACCTGAAGGTAATAGGAAATGCCTAAAGTTGCCTAAAACATTTAGGAAATACTTAACTAAGTTTTAATGTGATTTCATGTGACTTAAGTCTTGACTGTCTTTAGACTCTTTAGATGAAAATTTAAAATTGGAGGAGAGTTTTTAGAAACTGGATGAAACTGATTTTTTTCCGCCTTTTTCGATATATAAAAATACGGCATTACAAATATTAGAATGAATTGAAGATGATTTTTAATTTGATACACAGGAAGTTTTTGGAACTATTGACCGTACACATGCATGTAAAGATCCATTGTCCTGGAGAAGAAGATGTAGAAATATTTTACAAATCGGAACGGTTATTTTTCTAATAATGTACAGACTACATCTTCAGCAGATTTAAAAATAACTAACATAATTTAAAGATGGCCCGGATCGTCAACATCTCCTCTTTTCTCTCAACATATTCAATTTCGATCTCCGCTTTTTCGGTTTATACGTCAAAATTAGGCAATGCTACCAATAAAATTCAAAAAATTGTCGAAATCAAATTTTTACCTAGGTATTTCTTAGTAAGGGATTTCTAATATTGGTGAAATTCGATTTAGGTAAGTATTCGATTTAAGTAATTCCTACCTTAGGATTTACCTAGTTAGGAAATACCTAACAACATGTTGGTGAAATCGGGCATAAATGTTTTTATGATAAATCCCAAATATTTGTGGACTGTTATTGTTTTAAAATTTCTGATGAGAGAGAGAGAGAGAAAGACATAGCTGTTATGAAACGGCCGTATATTTCTAAGGTCTGGAAACATAGGTTGAAAAAAGTGTCCCGTTATTTGAGGATAAAACAAGGTTCCTAAAACGGCCGCTAGGAGGCGATGTTGTAAAGGAAGCTGTTTTTTGCGTACGAATTACATAGATTTAACATTAAAAAAGTTTTTATTCAAACTAGAAATATATAAAAAATATAAAAATATACTTAAATCAGCGATGATTTTGTTGTTAACAACATGCCTCACGTACCTTCGGTTAATGTATTTCTCCATTTTCTCCTCGAAATGTCAAATAATAATTTTTGAAGTTTTGACAGCTTGAACTGTCATCTCACAACCGCCATTTACGTAGCGCGACGCTGATTGGCTGAGATAAGTGGGTCCTTCGATCGTTCGCCACGGCGCGGTGCAAAAGTGAAGCTCAAAAAGTCCTCAAATACCAGGACACATTCTTTAATGCATGCAAAGCATAGGAAGTTTCCAAACCTTAGAAATGTAGGTCTGTGGTTTGGGTGAATGCATAAATATAAACCACAAAAAAATGTAAACAATCCGGTCTCTTATATAGTTGTAACGTCTTTGGTTCTATACTTGTTATGCTTCTATAGCAATATGTGTGGATACTGAGAGGGGTTTTTGATTTGCAGGTACGATTTCCAGTTGCACCCGGGTTTCGTTTGCGCCGGGGGCGAGGAGGGCAAAGACGCCTGCAAAGGGGACGGGGGCGGGCCGATGGTGTGCGAGAGGGGCGGCACCTGGCAGGTGGTGGGACTGGTGAGTTGGGGGATCGGTTGCGGCCAGAACGGCGTCCCCGGGGTGTACGTTAAAGTCAGCCACTATTTGGATTGGATAAAGCAGATTACGCAGCGTTTTTAGAGTAAAACCGGACTGAATCGAGTTGTTTGTTTTTTTAGATTAGTTGTAAAAGGCACCTTTTATTATTTATAATTTAATTTATTAGCACTATTTATTAGACTAGGATAAATTATTATCGTCTGTATATAGGTTTTTGTATGTCGTGATGTTGTACTAAAATAAAACTTTTTTTAAACGTGAATTTTTTATTTCAATAACTTAAATAACGTATCTACTACAGTGATTCGTCTAAAGTTCTTGTAAATGATAACCTTCCATTTAAATCTCTTTCAAGTTTAATAGTCTACAACAGTACAACAATTAAGCAAATACCAGAGCCAAAATAGAGCTACTTGGAGGCTCTGCTTGGAGGTAATAATCAGTGTTGTTAAGTAATTAATTACAAGTAATTGAAAAAGTAATTGAATTACTTTTATTGTAATTGAGGCGGTAATTAATTATAAACTCCTCAATTGTAATTCAATTACTCCTTTCGTTACAATTACATTTTACAATTACATTTTAATTACATTGGACACAAAAGTATTTATTTAATATTTTCAATAGGTGGAAAGTTTAATTCCGATTGCAAATCCCTAAATAATTATTTAAAACTGACACCAAAGCAAAGTAATTGTGATTGTAATTGTAACTTTAATTGTAATTGTAATTACATTCGCAAATTTTGTAATTGTAATTGCAATTAATTACAATTTGCCAAAGGTAATTGTAATTGTAATTAATTACATATTATAAAGTAATTTTAACATCACTGGTAATAATAGAATTATAAATTAACATGTAAAAGTACCAATTACATACCTTCCAAAATTGCCTAATTTCCTCGAGATCGGCCCGTTTCCTCACCCAGTAGCCTCGTACGTGGGCCTGTATGTATTTCGCTGCAGTATTTTTAGTCATCAGCAGTGATATGGGGTAATAAGGTCTAGGGCTACAACCGATTATCCAGTAAACAACATCGTGGATGGATTTAAACTACTGGACAAAATTAACGCAACATCATAAATTTGCCACATTTTTGATGCTATTTTTTGTTTGAATTTATGATCCGATTTGGATGATTTTTTTTTGTATTATAGGTTGGTTCCTTGACAATGTCATCATTTTCGCTGTTTATGATAAAATGTTCCTTCTCGATTATACCGGGTGTAACAAATATGTAATGTTTTTTTCCGAAAATTCGTATCACTCTGTGGAGTATACTAGCAAACGACATGAGACGGTAGATCCATCTTTTGTCAACATTTTCTTTTTTGGTTTACTTCATTATCTCTGTTATTAAAGGAGATACGCCGTTTTATAGCGTAACATGTTTTAATAGACTGTATTATTCAAAACATTCATTGTTAAATGTTTTTAAGTAGGCTATGGACCATTTTTGACATTTCAAGCGATGTGTCAATATCGAATACATTTTTTGTTATTTTAATCTTGAAAAATGAATCGTCCAAAAATTTATTGACCGAAGAAGCAGTAAGAGCCTTAACTTTGGTGGATGAAGGCTATTCAATAAGTCATATTGCAATGGAGCAATAATTCGAAGTAGAGGTGAACATACACGTTATTAGCATTATAAATTCATTAATTTTATTGTTTTTGATTTATGTTCTTTTCTTGTTTTACTCGTTTCCAAAAAAAATGTGTTTAATAAACTCTTAATTTTACTTTATGAAATAAAGTAATTCGTTAATTTTGTTTTCATTCATCAAAGCGAGCAGGAATTATTTTGTTATACAGGTAACAAATAATGTATTCGATATTGACACATCACTTGAAATGTCAAAAATGGTCCATTGCCTACTTGAAAACTTTTAACAATGAATGTTTTGAATAATACAGTCTATTAAAACATGTTACGCTATAAAACGGCGTATCTCCTTTAATAACAGAGATAATGAAGTAAACAAAAAATAAAATGTTGGCAAAAGATGGTTCTACCGTCTAATGTCAACTGCTATATGTCTCGTTTGCTACTATACTCCACAGAGTGATACGAATTTTCGTAAAAAATCATTACATTTTTATTACACCCGGTATAATCGAGAAGGAACATTTTATCATAAACAGCGAAAATGATGACATTGTCAAGGAACCAACCTATAATACAAAAAAAATCCAAATCGGATCATAAATTCAAACAAAAAATAGCATCAAAAATGTGGCAAATTTATGATGCGCGTTAATTTTGTCCAGGAGTGTATTTCAATTGGCCCACCTGGTTTGTAAATACTCCTTGACCCAATCGATGTCGAAGATGTAGGTCCAGTTTTTCTTCCTCTCCGGGTATCTGGGATTGGAATTGTAAAAGAACTCGCTGATGTAGTCCAAGCCGTTGAAACTGCTCCTCGGCCTCTATAACAATGATTCGGTCACAAATCGCCAATACTCGCAGTGTAGTTATTACATAAAAGCCGTCTTCGCAGTGTATTCTATACAGGATCTCGTTGAGGACGGGTTTGATGATATTGAAGAGCAAGTTTTCTACAGAAACTAGTACCGGATCTGAAACATTAGGTACACATTTCAATTACAGTTTAATAAATAAAATAGGTATTTACTTGTTTCTACTTGAATGGTTTTCGATTTCCTGTAAGCTTCTATAAGCGCTCTGTTTTTATCGTAATCCACCATAATCTCTGCCACTATAGCTTCATCGAGGTTTAGTTCCTCTTGGGAAGTGATTTCTTCGGACTGTTCTTTTAGTAGCATTTTTTAAAGCGCAGCAGTAAAAGTTTATTTGGTATTTTTTAAGTCAATTTGACATAAATATAAGGTGGGATAACCATATGATTAGTCTAGGCCAATGGAAGTTTAAGGCCAGTAGCCTGGGTCCTGTTTCATATAACTGACAAGTCCTGTCGGACAAGTGTAGTCTAAATTTGATTGGAGTATTTGACAAGTTTGTGTTTCATAAAATTACACTAGTAGATTATTAGTGACAAGTGACTAGTCTAATATTACAAGTCTGTTTTACAATTGTAGATAGGTTTGCGTTTCATAAAAACATAAATTAAACAACACTTGTCATTTATTCCTATCATATATTAGTGTAAAGCGACAGAGATTTGATTTCCTGTCACCATCCGATTTTCTTGTAAATTTAAAAGAAAATGTGGTCAAGCGACAGTGAGGAGGAAGCTTAATGAGAGTTTAATAAAAGATTTCGAATGAATTCGATAAAAATGGAGGAAATAATAAAATCTATTGGTCCCCGCCTAATGTATAGAACCAACGTATAGAAATTATGCATTGTCTTTGTTCGTTTCAATGCTCACATTTTATAGCTTTTGTAGAAGTGGGACTAAATTTTCCAAATAGAATACCCTTTCTTTATTAAAATAATTGAATATTAAATAAATGTTGATGCATTTTAGAAATGGGTTTTTTGACAATAAACGAAATTGTCGTGGTTCACATCTAAAAATAGCCCCAACCAGAAAAAAAACAATTTCAAAGTAAAAGTTTCCCAATATCGAAAAACGAAGGTTGTGCTATACTTATGCTCCTCAGTATAGTAAGTACTAATTTTTTCTCTTTGGCTTAAGTCTGACGTTTAATTAATATTACAGTTGTAGAAAAACGTATGCCAAAAATTTAATTCGACAAGTGTCGAAATTTATTTTATGAAACGAAATTTTTAAATACTTGTCAACCAACACTTGTAACTTCCCGACTTGTAACTTGTCAACTTGTCAGTTATATGAAACAGGACCCTGATTAAATTAAAGCATAGGTACAGGGTGTCTAGAAAATAGATGCAAATAATTCGGTATAACGGGTTTCTGTAAAAAAATAGACCTGTAGCTTGTATAAAAGGCTTTATTTATAAAAAAATGCAAAATTACATACAAATGCTTTATAAAATTTGGACGGATTAAAAATATGTATGAGATTCTAAAATTGCATAAATATTAATTGTAAATAATACAATTTTGGCTGGTACGAAACGTTAAAGGTTGGTTAAAACCTTGCAATTTTTAAATGGCATTTCTAACCAGCCAACACTTAATTTGTTCAAAATGGAATGGTTTACTACAATACTAATTAAAAAAAATAAAATATATCAATAAATTGGGGCAATTAATAGCTGTAATGGTGTAGGGTGAGAATTTTACACAAACCAAATTGTTACTTAACACAATCTTATAAACTGGCTTAGTTTCAATATACTATTCAGTAGGCACTTAATTATTTGTTGAGATTCACATAAAGGCACTAATACTGAATTATTTATGTAAAATATATATACAGAATCATTATTGAAATGAAATTAGTTTAAATTATACAAAAAACTACCCAACACCCTGATATTTGGTCGGAATGTCGTTATAATAAGTCTTCGATAAAAAAAAACATTAACAAAAATTGTTCATTTAAAAAGTCGCATCTTAAATATAATAATAGTTAAGTTAATTGGTATCTTATCTACAGAGTTTTGTAACAATTAAAAAGAAAACAGCAACAAAATTTTCATCATGGACGGCGAATTGAATTAAAAATTGGACCCCGCAATGTTACTCAAATTGCACAGCTATTTCCAACGAAATAACGACATATAATCATTTCTAAAAACATTGTCGATAACGGGTTCCAATGAAGAATTAAAATATCACTCAATCGACAAATAAATATCTATAAAAACAGCAAAAGCGACGAAACCACAGCGACAATCGCCGTCAAAACGGGTTTTAAGTTTGATGTACCGGCATGGCAATCGACGATGCGCCTCGCTCTCATGAAATCTTTACCCAAATAATCGGAATAATGCCGTCGCGACGGCGGTATTATCTTCAATTGCGTCGTCGCGTCTTGGAATATCAAATCAGAGTACGGCGGGGGCGACGAGAACATGCTGAAACTAATAAAAAAAGTCAAACATGTTTACAAGTTTACACACCGGTTTTGTAACCAATGGGTTATATCGACTCTTGAATACCGATTGAAATACAGGGTGTCCCAATGAAAAGTAGCCCCTTTAATGAGCTAATAATTTTTAAACGCCTAATCATAAAAACATGCGGTTTTCGCAGATATACTAGGTGGCACATTAGTATGGAAAAGCTCAATATATCTGTTATTGTAGATATCTAAAAAAACTTTAACGTGTTAACTTTAGGTATAGGGAATGGTTATTAAGAATGAAAGTACTTCAAAAAAACTTCCTGTTAACGATATAAAATATAGGGCGATCCATTTAAATTAACAGAGAAAATGTTACTTTTGCGTTTGGATCCACTTTGTAAGCAGTATGATTAAAATTGACAAAAAATATTCATTTCGTACATTTTCAGGATATTTGCAATGTTGTAAAACCTGAAATTTATTTTCAATTCAATCCATTTAGTTTCTACAGAGTGGTAAACTTAGTACGATTTTCGTGGAAAAGTGGTCATAACTTTTAAACCACTCAGTATAACGTTATACAAAATTATATTTTTGGAAAGCTGAAAACGAACTAAATTCAATTTTTAAATAAAAAACAGGGTGTTCCATTTAAAAAAGTATAAGTTTGATCTACTACGGAAAAACGGGACACTCTGTACGAATGTAACTAATTTTAAAATGTGCCGTTTAAAAAGATCTACAACTTTTGTAATGACGTTTTTTTAGATAGCTTCTACAATAACAGATATATTGAGCTTTTCCATACTAATGTGCCACCCTGTATTTTATTTTGATATAAGTTTTTATTACAGTGACACAAAAATTTTGCATCGTCTGTAGAGGGTGTTTCAAAAATCCACCTCTTTTAAATTCACATTAACTAAATTTTATGATATAGGACACCTTCTTTTGTACAATAACACATTTTTAAAAAGTAGTAGATCTTTCAAAATATCTACATATACGTGGTGTTCCATTTAAAAAAAAATGGTTACTGTGTATTTAAAACAGGAGATTTTGATAAAACACCCTGTGTTGGTAATACATAATTTCTGTATCACTGTAACAAAACTTATAATAAAATAAAACATATCTGAGAAAACCGCATGTTTTTACGATTATGCGTTTACAAATTACAAGCTCATTAAAGAGGCTACTTTTCATTGGGACACCCTGTATAACGGTTCGAAACTTCTGAATACGGGCGCAGGGGTGTTGTGATTAAGTAGGAGTTGAAAATGGTTAAAATGTAATGCCCGATTTCACCAATATGTTGTTAGGTATTTCTTAACTAGGTAATTCCTAAGGTAGGAATTACTTAAATCGAATACATACCTAAATCGAATTTCACCAACATTAGAAATCCCTTACTAAGAAATACCTAGGTAAAAATTTAATTTTGACAATTTTTTGAATTTTATTGGTAGCATTGGCTAATTTTGACGTGTAAACCGAATAATTGGAGATCGAAATTGAATATGTTGAGAGAAAAGAAGAGATGTTGACAATCCGGGCCATCTTTAAATTATGTTAGTTATTTTTAAATCTACTGAAGATGTAGTCTGTACATTATTAGAAAAATAACCTTTCCAATTTGTAAAATATTTCTACATCTTCTTCTCCAGGACAATGGATCTTTACATGCATGTGTACGGTCAATAGTTCCAAAAACTTCCTGTGTATCAAATTAGAAAATCATCTCCAATTCATTCTAATATTTGTAATGCCGTATTTTTATATATCGAAAAAGGCGAAAAAAAAAATCAGTTTCGTCCAGTTTCTAAAAACTCTCCTCCCATTTTAAATTTTCATCTAAAGAGTGTAAAGACAGTCAAGACTTAAGTCACATGAAATCACATGAAAAGTATGGTTAAGTATTTCCTAAATGTTTTAGGCAAGCTCAGTGAGCTGTCCTAACTTTAGGCATTTCCTATTACCTTCAGGTATTACTTAGTGCATGGTGAAACGCAAATTGTACTTAGGAATTCCTAAATCCGGTTTAGGTATTACCTAACTTTAGGAACTGGTTGGTGAAATCGGGCATAAGAGACTTACCTAAATTCATCGGCGAATTTCCGCCCGTAGAACGTCTGAGCGTACAAGAATAGATTAATATAAGCATTTATGTGTGTTTCGTTGTATCCGTAACCTCCTCGTGTAACGATCGCGTTCGCTTTGACTTTACCTAAATTACACTTCACGTATTCGTTTATCTCCGCTCTGGTACCTGAAATAAAAATTGCAACCGTTAAAAATCCAAATTTAGCCGTAATTAAGCTTCAGGGGTCGATCGAACTGGACTCGAAAAAAAGCGAAAAAAAAAGAAGAAAAATGGCGAGTAGGGGGTAGGTCATAAATTAATTCAGTCCCTATAATACATAGTATAATCTATGACCCACCTTAGAACACCCTGTAGAACATTCAGTCCCATAGTATAAGGTGTTTCAATAAGACCGCAAGATTTGAATTAACCGTCATGTTTGACAGACATAATAACACGTGATTATAACATGACAGATCGAAAGTTGACAGTTGGGAGTTAGTAAATATGGATCATTGGATCTGGATATGGAACTGGATATGGAACATAATCGCGTCTTAATTGTTAAACATTACTCCCGGTCAGGTCATTTCCTGGTTTGGTGACCAGAATTGGCCGCCACGTTTTTGTGATTTAACACCTTTGGACTTCCGGCTGTGAGGTAACTTGTAGTCACAGGTTTATACCAACATGTCCGCGACCACCTAAGCGTTGAAAGCCGAAATTAGACGCTCTATCAATAAAATACTGCCACATGTATACAATAATGCTATTGAAAATTTTATCAAAAGAGTACGCTTGTGCCAGCAAAGCCATGGGGCCATTTATAAGATATTTTGTTTCATATATAATTCCTAAATGTACACATGAAAAATTAATAAATATTTCCATATTTTGCTACAGATAACATTGTTTTATTGAACCTTAAAATCTTGCGCTCTTATTGAAACACCTTTTATAATCTATGACCCACCTTTTACACCCTATACACCATTGGAAATTTAATTTCGCATAATAGGGAAATCAATATTAAATTCTTAGCCGGCTGAAATCCAGTCTACCAGTGTAGATTTCAATAGAACGTCGCGATCAATTCTAATAAATTTAATTGCTCTACTGGACCGCACGCCGCGATTTGTAGAGGTACAGAGTTATTTGTGTTAAGTATGCGAGGTACAAAATTATTTAGAAACTATTTTTTTTGGGATATTTCAAAAAAATATGTGTATCGGTAGGTACAGTTTTGAAAGAGCAACAAATCTTGTTGAAATAAGGGAAAAAATAATTCAATTTTCTGCTAGAATTATACCTCAGCTTAGTAATATGAGATGACATCTGTATGACAAGTTTGGCTATTGTTTAGCAGAAAGCGGTGGACTATTTTTTAGAGTTCTTTTATTTTCTGTTTTAAAATTATCTTTAAATTAATTTTTGGAGTTTCCTTTTTATTATTTTCTTAGAATTTACTTTCTTTTTCAAGCCATTGTGACAAAAAGACATATCTACATAATTCTATTTTAATATTAGTGATATTTTTTCAATAAATTATCGTTTAAAAATTCTCATTTCTTTTTAATCGACTCGACGTTCATCCATCCGAACCCGTTTTGATACTGTCGAAGTGTCGAAACCGTCGAAATTATTTGATTTTTAATCTAACCAAGCCTAAGCGCGGTGTGAAGTCCAGTAGAAAAATTAAATTTATTAGAATTTATCGCGACGTTCTATTGAAATGTACACTGGTAGACTGGATTTCAGCCGGCTAAGAATTTAACATTGATTTCCCTATTATACGCGAATAATTTTCCAACGGTGTATAACACTACGTAGAACATAATAGGTTTGTTCCTACAAAAAGTCACTGATTTGTTACCAATAAGTTTCTGACTCTTCTATTTCGCATGCGCGGTTTATGATTGAATGGTGTAATCAAATTTCCGATTTCTTGATGGAACAGTCTTTACATTTATTACATATTAACCAAATATCAAACAAAAACAACAAAACCTAATAATTAACCTATATTGAGAAATACAAATTAAACCCAAATTGAAAATGCGCTTGCGCCGGATTCTAAATCTCTGTACTATCAGCAAATTTTTCTGACTATCACAAAACCAGTCCCTTGAACTGTTGGAATAATAAATTGTTAACCAAGTCAGAATCAGAGATGTCTGTGGATTTTGTTGGAACGCCTAAATTATTACTGCGCAGACTCCTGACGACCACCGACTATTTCTAACTGTTGTAGGAACAAACCTAATAAAATCGCGATACTCACCATCAGGACAAAGCAACTCGTAGTCATCGTTCAAATTATCCCTGGTCCACCATTCGCGCTTCTTCCCGCCCGTATTCTCCGTCACCGTCGTATGTTTGACGAAAGCGACGTCACCGCCGCCTTCCACCAAACACCTAAAGGCCCCCGTGTGTCCGTAATAATCCTCGGACGCGTCCCGTCTGCAGTAGCGGAAGCTCGGCCCGTGGCACAGATCGCACATGTTGTCGTAGGGCACGCCCGTGTTGTATTCGGTGCTGATGGCGCCCGGCACGCAGCTCTTCGAGAAGTACTCGGCAGCCGCCCGGATGCTGTTGCAGCCGTACGGACGGATCCAGCCGTTGCTGATCAGAAACGCCAGCGGATAGACCCAACCGGCGGCGGTGCTGATGCCGCCGTGACAGGTGTTCTTGTCTGAAAGAGAAATGGTCATTTGTAAATAAACTCCTGGACAAAATTAACGTCGTAGGTCTACTGGGCAAAATGGTCAATTATTTTATAATACGGCAGGTCAACTGGGCAAAGACTCTTTCCTGTCCCCTTTTTGGGTAGGGACAACTGGGCAAAGGGATTGCCTACCTTCCTAAGAATACTTATATAGATTAAATAATCAGAATCATTTTAAACATTTAATTTACCTGTGTTCAAATTTGAATTGAAGTTGAAATTCAAGAAAATTTTGATTCTTTGTGGATATCTTGTACCTACTAAATAATAATCAAATTCATTTTTGTCATTTTGAAAAATGACGTTCCTACATACAGGTAGGTACTTAGGTACAGATAGATGTATATTTTCAAAAATAAAATTCAAGAAGAAACTCAAAACAAAATTTATCTACAGAGACAGCATAGTAAACTAGTATGGTCAAAGAACCATGAGACAGGTCGATCTCGATCATTATTATAAGCTAATAAAATTTTTGCCCAGTTGACCTGCGTCCAAAATTAACACAACCTCATAAATTTGCCACATTTTTGATGCTATTTTTTGTTTGAATTTATGATCCGATTTGGATGATTTTTTTTTTGTATTATAGGTTGGTTCCTTGACAATGTCATCATTTTCGCTGTTTATGATAAAATGTTCCTTCTCGATTATACCGGGTGTAATAAAAATGTAATGTTTTTTGCCGAAAATTCGTATCACCCTGTGGAGTATACTAGCAAACGAGATATATAGCAGTTGACATTAGACGGTAGATCCATCTTTTGCCAACATTTTCTTTTTTGATTTAATTCATTATCTCTGTTATTAAAGGAGATACGCCGTTTTATAGCGTAACATGTTTTAATAGACTTTATTATTCAAAACATTCATTGTTAAATGTTTTTAAGTAGGCTATGGACCATTTTTCACATTTCTAGCGATGTGTCAATATCGAATACATTATTTGTTATTTTAATCTTGAAAAATGAATCGTCCAAAAAATTTATCGACCGAAGAAGCAGTAAAAGCCTTAACTTTGGTGAATGAGGGCTATTCAATGAGTCATATTGTAATGGAGCAGTGATGCGAAGTAGAGGTGGGCATACACGTTATTAGCATAATAAATCCATTAATTTTATTGTTTTTGATTTATGTTCTTTCCTTGTTTTACTCGTTTCCAAAAAATGTGTTTAATAAACTCTTAATTTTACTTTATGAAATAAAGTAATTCGTTAATTTTGTTTTCATTCATCAAAGCGAGCAGGAATTATTTTGTTATACAGATAACAAATAATGTATTCGATATTGACACATCGCTTGAAATGTCAAAAATGGTCCATAGCCTACTTAAAAACATTTAACAATGAATGTTTTGAATAATACAGTCTATTAAAACATGTTACGGCAGTTACGCTATAGAACGGCGTATCTCCTTTAATAACAGAGATAATGAAGTAAACCAAAAGGAAAATGTTGGCAAAAGATGGTTCTACCGTCTAATGTCAACTGCTATATGTCTTGTTTGCTAGTATACTCTACAGAGTGATACGAATTTTCGGAAAAAACATTACATTTTTATTACACCCGGTATAATCTAGAAGGAACATTTTATCATAAACAGCGAAAATGATGACATTGTCAAGGAACCATCCTATAATACAAAAAAAAAATCATCCAAATCGGATCATAAATTCAAACAAAAAACTAGCATCAAAAATGTGACAAATTTATGATATTGCGTTAATTTTGTCCAGGAGTGTATAAGAAAATTTTTTAACACGCGTACAGGTCGGGAAACTACTGTGAAGGGGTGAGGGGGGGGTGTTGCGGATGATGCATAACGAGTCTCCAGACCTGTGTGTAAGACCGTGGTTGTAACTCGCGTTGTTATTTCGAATTATCTTAAGTGAATTAGTTACTTTTCAAGTAGGTGAGTTCGGTGCTCGGATCGGATTCTTTGGCGACTGCGACTACGTAGTACTCCGGTTCGTCTAAATTGTACACTTCGCTGATGAACGGTACCAAATCGAAGTTCAAACCGGCCGTGTAGACGTCGCTGGCGTCCAATAACGTCACGTCGGCGGTACCGGCCCTTATGGCTTGCATACAATGGATTTGCGAATGGCCTTTGTAGCATTCCATGTCCGGTTTCATCAGTTGGGCTTTCAAGGCGATCTGAAATGAATACGGTTAATAAAAGAAGCGAATAGAATTTTGTGAAAACCATATACCTATAATAACCACTATACCGCTAATAATGGTCTAAAACCGTAGCGAACATTATACTGTGGTGTGCTTGCTTATTTATGCGCAAGCTCAAGTGAAAGATTTCTTAATTGGCTACTTTTGACACAGCAAATGAAACGTCAGAAACGTGCTAGCTTTTATTTTGGTATATTTTTTGATATATTTTTAAAATCGACTTCGACTTGCGTGTGTAAATATGGCAGGTTACCGAATTTAAACACGATTTCAAGTATTATTTTCCTTCTTTTCTTTTTAGGCCTCAGCTACTCGCTATTGGTCCTTTTAAAATTAACGCGCTTGCGTATAAACGACTAAGCACACCACAGAGTGTCGCATCTCTCTCTTTAATCGCTACGATTTTCTCTCATGGAATGGATAGGGAGTTAGCAGTATATTAGTTAATAAGTATATGGTGAAAACTTACGCTCATTTTAACGCATTTGGCCTTTTCCGCGTCGGACGTTACGCAAAGTGTCATCCGACCGACGGGACATTGCCTGACGCCCAGGATGATTTCCAACGAATCGCCCAGAAAGCTCGAATAAGTCTGCTGGTTCTCCGGTACCGGAAGGATAGAACGAGCGGCATCCTACAACAAATACAACAGTCTATAGCGATTCAAACTTATTGAAATTCGAAGAGTTGTTTACCTGGAACATCAGATTCAAATGTATCCCGTACCTCGGGCTGGATTCGAACAAATCAAACACTTCGTAAGAGACGTTCGTCCTGTTGAAATCCTGGAAAGGATACTGATTGGTAGGGTGCTGGTTGTTTCCGTTGAAAGGGTACCGATTGTTGTTCTTGTTGTCGTTCGGGTTACCGTACGGATCGATATTCACGCCGTATTGATTGGGATTGATGTGGTAGGGATCGCGGTTGAAAGGATCGTTGGGATTCTGGCCCGGGTTGTTCAGGGAATTAGGATTATCGTTGTAATTGTAAGGGTCGTTGTTGTTGTTGTCCCTGTTGCTCGAATACGGATCGTTGTTTCTGTTGTACGGGTTGTAAGGGTCGTTTTGATCGTTTCTCGAGTACTGGTCGTAATCGTTCTGTCTCTTAAATCTGTTGTTGTTGTTGTTATAATCGTAATTCGATTGTGGATTTTGATCGTATGGATTAGGATTGTTGTTGTTGTTGTTGTTGTCGTATAAGTTAGTGGTGTTTCTGAAACTCTTGGGGTATCGTTCTACGAATTTTTGCAAAAATTTCTGAAGTTTAACTCGATCTTCGAATGAGACGGCTGATGAGACTACGATGGCATCGGAAGGTACTTTTCCCCAATTGCATGAAAGGTATTCGCTTAATGGCCGTCTGGATCCGTCTTTACAAAACAACTCGAAGTTATCTTGAGATAAAGAACCTACAAACAATATAAAACGTTTAAATTATCCTCATAATTAACCCCGGAATTGCTAAGGAGTTATGGATCAAAAGACACACCTAAACTGGTTGATATTAATTCAACTTGTGGACTAATATGAGTGTAAAAAATGTATACTAACCGAATTCTAGACCATTCAAGAGTTCCGGTATAGTATTATGTTTCATAAAAGCGACTTCTCCGGCTTCGAGCAGGCATCTGAAAGCTCCTTCGTAACCGGCATACGGATCGCTGTCAGTGCACCTGCCGCCGGGAATTTTACCAATGCAAATCTGGCAGAGCTTATCCGAATTGTCACCGATCGGATTAAACTGATCGGTCAGGCAATTCACGGCACACGAAGGGCCGAAGAATTGTATGGCCGATTTTACGTGGTTGTTGCAATCGACTATTTCCATGCCGCCTTCGTTCATCAACTAAAATAGAAACGTTGCGATTAAATTGAAAATATACACATGTATTTTCAATTCCACTTACAGTATTGATAGGTAAAATCCAGCCTGCGAAAGTTTCAACGCCCGCAAAGCAAGCCTTAGTGCCTCTCAATTGCTGCAACGAGTTCACGTACGATAAAGTGCCCCTTTTAACAACTGCCACAGCGTAATAGTAGTTGAAACCTCCTTCGAGGACTTCCTGAGCGATAGGAACTAAACTGTGGTATCTTCCTCCGGCGAAAATCTGCCCCGCGTCCAAGGTGGTCATCGTGGCCTTTTCCTCGTCTAGCAATTGCATACATTCTTTCTTGTTAGCTGCTTGCAAGCATTCTATTTTGATGGTGTTGTAGGCTACTCGTATTTGATCCCTTTCGTTCGCGTAGGAAAAGTTTCGGCATTTTTGTTGTTCTTCGGCTGTTATGGTACACCATATTATTTTGTCCTCCTTCGGTTTTTGTTCGATGTCGTCTACAGAGTGGATTTTCCAGAAATTTTGACCTACATAAAAAACAAATCGTATCAAATATCACAATTGTTTATGTGATTCACGTTTTATTAAATTTATAAATATTGTGTTAATCATCAGGAGTCATCAACCGCGCCCACTTTTAATTACTTATGGGGCATATTTACCGTAAATTGATTGAACTCACCTACTACATTTAACGATAATGATGAGATAACTAAAATAAATATCGATAAACCGTTGAATTGATTATTTGGTATCATTTTATTAGATAAATCGAAACATTCAAAACAAACATAACCAAACCACTCCCAGACCAACTGAAAACAAAACACCTGTGTGACAGATGACAGACTGACAGGTGAATGTAAAGTAAAAAAATACCTGTTGTCATAAATGTCAATAGGGGGTCTCTTACTATTTTGGATCTGTGTTTATGAAACTTCATTATCTTTTATTTCCAAATTGCGAGATTTTACTCCATAGAGAAAGAAAGATTTTTTTGTCTATTATATTATTACTAATTATAATTAGTAATTACTCTAATTAGTAACAATTAGTAATTTTCCTGGGCTATTTAAAAACCCAAACAAAAGTCGATCGATTCACTGTTGCCAAATATCCTCAAAAAATAGCAGATGGCCAGTTTTATGTTTGTCTATGTACATAGATACAATTTATTTTAATTATTTATTTATACATATTTTTCAATATGCCAATTCTATTATATTATTCCTTTATAATAAGCGGTGTAAAATAGAAATCTTAATTCAACAACATCCCTCCATTGTGTAAATCAATTTCCGGATCAATTTCCGAAATCTGTTCAACCGGCAACACTGGGTTTGTTCAGTTTGGAATTTGGAAGTTTCAGAAAGGAGTTCAGAATTCAGAAAGTTCTTTGAGTCTGGATGAGCCGAAATCCGAAATAACTTCTTGTTTATTTCATTTGAGCATTTCAAGTTATTATAATTTTTTTGTGATTCTTATTTAATTTGTGGCATTTTTGTATTAATGTAAGTACCATTCAACTTTTTCTAATTTGCTTTACTTTATATTAAATAAACTGTTACCTATATTTTAAAAAACACCTCAAATAATTCTTCCACAAAGTTAATTCTCAGTTAATTTTTCACACTCTACTTACAAATGTACGTTCAAGGTCTCGCTCGCTACGCAAGCTCGACATTACCAACAGAATTTGTGCATTTAATACCAACCTCTCAAAAAAATATCAATTATAACTTATAGCCACTCAGAATTCTTCCCTGTGACTAAAATGGAGGAGCACGATTTAGTACAAGAAAACACGATCCTCCTGGGCAAAGTGGCCGGCTACCCCAAGTGGCCGTGCCTCGTCGTCGATGAAGCCGACATCCAAGTGCCCGACAACGAGAAACCCGCCAGCACCGACGGGCACTACCCCGTGCAGTTTTTCAACGACGGCCAATTCGCCTGGCTGAAGGCCGCCGATTTGCACCCCTACACCGAGGAGGACGTCAGGGCGCTCGTCAAGGCGCATTCTAGAAACAAGAAACTGCTCAACGCCGTGAGGAACGCCGATTTCGAGATCCACCGGAAATCCATCGATCCCTGCTACACCATGAAAATCGAAAAACGGAAGATCCAACGCAACAACGAGGCGAAGGAGGGCCAAGGCAAGCCCGGCGAAGACGAGGATCAGGAAATTGATAAGGAAAATGGATTTGTATTGGGCGATGGATCGCTGGGGTATCCATTGGATTTTTCCGATGATACTGGAGCCGTTGGGGTGATTATTGGAGATGGTATGTTTTTTATATTAAAAGTATTATCATTATCATTAATAATTCACTATTCACTATTCAATCAAATGGAACTACCTAAATGAGACCTGTAGATTATAGACCATTTTGGTTGTTCAACCCCTTATCAACTATAAACATAACCCATTCATTTGGTCTTAATCCTTTTTCAAAATTATTGTCCTCTTTTTACTTCACCTTTTACATGTACCATGGAATCCTCTTACCTTTTAAGCGCGAAACAGTTTCCTCTCTTGAACAATCTTATCCTGCATATATATTTATTAAGTAATTTCTTAATGCCTTTATAAGTTATAAATCCCTTCCAAACATTTCTTGTAGAACATATAGGCACGGCAATCTTGGAAAATTTGCTGAAAGCGGGTTTCAAAATCAACCTTTACGATTCCTATAACCCGCTAAACTGGTTGGCGAAAAATAAATTCAAAATGTACAACACGATCCAGTCGTTTCTATCCGTACGCTCCGTTCTGATGAGTTCCTTCAAAGTTTTCATTTACTTGGAACGAGAGGATCACGTTAAAGACGTCATTGTCCGGGAACTGAAGTACAACGATCCGACAAGCAATTTATTGCTGAAAAAAAGTAGGTATATTTTAATATACCCATTTCCCAAGACCCCTTTCCATATCCCAAAGTTCTTTTATAACCTCTGCAATCAGGGGTCTCCCATCTAGCAAGTGTAACGTGTAGGCATTCTTGAATTCTAGATACCCATCTCCCAAGACCTCTTTCCATATCCCCAAGTACTTTTATAACCTCTGCAATCAGGGGTCTCCCATCTAGCATGTGTAAAGTGTAGGCATTCTTGAATTGTAGCAATCATAAACGCTTCAAACGTGACACCAGAGACTTCTTCAGAGCTGAACATACTGGTGGAGAGTACAGGAGGAAAGTACTTGGAAGTGGCTATTCACGGTCGTCTCCAGCAAGCCCTGGAAGGGAATCTGATGCTTCTGTCGTCCGGCGAAGAGGACGTTTTTATGGACTGTTTGCCGTTGATGAGAGCGATATCGTCGAGGGCCTTTTACGTTGGAAAAATCGGGTGAGAATGAATAAATTTATCCGCATTATCAGTCACTAAAACATGTGGCTACTATTGTAGTAACGCTGCAAAAATTAACCTGGTTCTTCAAATGATGAAAGCCGTCCATATTTCGATGCTTTCAACCAGTTACTCGCTGTTGAACCAACTCGACATCCCCAAGGAGGTTTTCTCCAATATTGTAGACAAAACCGAATTGGCTAGTGAGTATATCACTGTAAAATCGGACACTATGATAGGGATGTTCACCGTATTCGACGAGCAAGTTAAATTGCTGCAGGAACAATTGAAATTGGGAATCAAAATGGCCGACAGCGTGGGGCATCCCCTGTCGTTGGTAGAGCACGTCAACAAATTATTCAAGTTTTGCTTGGACTTGAAGTGGGGCAATTTCGATGCTTCCGTCGTTGCCCAGCTGCACCCGTTCCACTTTTGAATCTCCTTTAATAGTTCTTTTTAATTAATAATGTACTTTTATTTTAATTTCATACTGTATGTACTTTTATTTTAATTATAACAACTTTTGATAATGATGAGATTTTACTGTATTAAGTTAATGTCCAGATTATCTTCTAGACTGAATAGGTAATATACTTTTACTGGCTATTCTGCATAAGTACTATAATTTTGGCACACCACTGTTTTAAAGTTCAACATTGGAAAATAAATGTGATTTGTGTTGCATAATCCGTACCCACTTCTATTCGGTAATGCAGTAAACTAATTACACCAATTTTTAACCATTATATTAAATAAAAGAAGTAGTATACATTAATAAAAGTTAATAAAAGATATTTAAGTATTTTCACTAGTAAGCTGCCGTAAATTAAAGAAAAGCAATTATTTACGACATATTTCATGATAAAAATGAACATTAGAATAAGAGAAGAAAGAACGACATTTGACACATATAATTTTTAATGACGTATTTTAAGGTTGGGAACAGTTGGGAATTTAGAAAGTAGTAAGTTTGACGTTAAAAATCAAGATAATTTGTTGAGTTGTTAATTCCCGTATATAGGAAACTTTGTTCCTTAACTTAAGTTGTTAATTAGTGTGTATTATAAGTGTAAATTCTTTTCTTAAAGTACAAACAACTGTCAAAAGTAAGTAGAACGTTCAGGTTATATCTCATTTGTTTAAATCATGTTCATCATTGTGCAGACCAAATTTTCTGTGTTCACTCGCCTTTAAATATGTTACAATGTTTTCATTGATATTTTCGTTCAAGGTACAACAATGTCTTACCATTCAGGAAGAGTTAGGGGACGAGGCAGATATTCCGATTATCACAGCAGAGGCCAGAATAGACAGTTTAGACCAGTCGAAGGAAAGCCCAGTATTTCCAGTAAAAACATATCCAAACACGACAATAACTGCTGCTCAGATGTCAGCTTTTCCTTGGACCTCGACGCAAACGAACAAATTTTTTTCACTAGTCTTAAAGAAATGTGGAATATGCGTAAGTTGAATTCATTGTAATAATTTACTGAATGAGTTAAATCAATCAATCAATTTTTAGTTAAGAAAAGCCCTCCTGTAGTTAGCAAACTGCAAACATACTACTACAATTCTGATAATGCTTACATTAGAATGTTGAAATTGGTGTGCAATTGCCAGGATTTCTACAATGCGAAAAACAAAACCTTGCCCATGTTTATAATCGAGGAATTCATAGCCTGGAGCGCGATAAACAGGAGTAACATAATAACATTTTTGACGCCCCAACTGAAAATAGACGCTTTCAAAATTTCGCTGAGGCAAAATTCCGCTTCACTAACCAAATTGATCATAGAGGTGTTCGAATTCAAGGAAAACAACGAGTTGTTTCTGGATTTGATTAGGTGTTTGATAGACAAAAAACTCTTTAAAGAGGTATTATATCTTATAAAAACAGGGTGTTTTAATTTAATATGTTTTTTTAAGGCTTGTCAGTACGCGACTTTACTTAAACTTCACAGCCATTTTGCTATTGAAGACTTTCTAATTCCGTTGGTTTTACAAGATCGATTGTTTGGAGTAGACGATTTCCTGAAGAATAATCCTGTACATCAAACTGAATTAGTTAGATTTCTAGACAGTATTTTGGCGCAGCCTTCCGTGAGAGATACGATGGGTGAATACGTTGCGTAAGTTCCTATTACAAATGAATCGATTTTCGATTAAATTATTCATTTGTAGTAAAAGAGGCATTCCCGATTTGAAGTACGACAAAATGCACGCGAAACCTTGGAAAAAGCTGATTACTAGATTAGTGAAAATGTTCAAATTGCCGTCAGATTTGACCCCGAATTTGAATAAAAGGCGAAACGAAGGAGCGCTCAATTTTCTTTTACACAAGCGGTACATCGAAAACTCCTTTGGTAAGCAATAAACTCTCAATAGCTCGTAACAATTTATTAAAATGCTGGTTTACAGGCGACGAAAGTTGGAAAGAAATGGTACAAGAGGCCGTGGGGAACGAAGTGGACCTGCAAAAGGAACTAATATATCAAGTGGCTCATTACGGTGATCCCTCGGAAGCTCTGAGATGGGCTCATCACTACAATTTGGACAAGGAATTCTGGCCTCACAGCGTAAAAATGCTGGAAGAGAACCCGGACGGGAACAGGATGCAACAGAAAGTGCTACAACATGAATATATTAGCTGGGATGACGATTTTGCGGAGCAATCCGAAGAACAGCCCGAGTACCACAAACTGGCACTACTCTCTGATGCGATTGTTCTGATAGACGATCCGACTAAGTTCGAAACTTTCTTGGATACGATTTTAAAGGTATAAAATCAAATCTATATTTCCAAAAGTTGTTTTTAATGGCATATGCTTATGTTTTTTTTTGTATTTTAGGACGTTTGTGTAATAGGAATAGATTGCGAATGGAAGCCCAGTTTCGGTGGCAATCTCAGCGAATTGGCTTTGATGCAAATAGCAACCAGAAAAAATGTGTTCATACTCGATATTATAAATATCGGTAATAAATGCCCGCATTTGTGGCAGGAACTTGGAAAGTTCGTTTTTAACAATTGTGATATATTGAAATTAGGTCAGTTAAAAATGGTTTTCTTCTTTATTTTCCCTGTATATTAAGCTAAAGACTTGAAACTTGGGGATTATTATTTGCCAATGCTACTACCCATTTAGAAATTTTTTCAAAAACCAACCTTAATTTTCACCACAGAATAACTCCTTGAATTCTTTCAGTGTTATTTAGATACACCCTGTTTAAACTACTTTCCCAAAAATAAAAGGGAGCATAGTGTATTTGAATTATCAGGATAATTAAATAGTAATTATTGAATATATTTGTAATTTTTAGGTTTTAGTTTAACCGGTGATATTCATATGATAAAACATGCACTTCCATACCTGAATTTTACTGTCAAACAAGTAGGATTCCTTGATTTATGTTCGTTTTGGAAAATATTAGAGAAACATCCGGAAGTTAAACTACCATTTGAAGGTAAAAGAAAGAAGCCTATTTTTACTGCACTCTATCACATTATCTAAGAATAATCCAAGTCGAATTTTAATTATGTTTTAGTACAAAAAGGAGGCCCTAGTTTAAGTACCTTAGTTCACTGCTGTCTGGGCTCCCCTCTAGATAAATCCGATCAATTTTCGAACTGGGAGAAACGCCCGTTGCGCGACAGCCAGATATTGTACGCCGCTTTGGACGCTTACTGCCTCATAGAATGCTACGACATCATAAAACGTTGCTGCGAAGAGGCCAAGTTTCCGTTCGAAGAGACCTGCTACCATCTGATGGTCAACGAGAAGATGCCCAAGAAGTCTTTCAAGAAATCGAGCAGGAAATCCGACTTTAAGAAAACGAAGGAGATCCCCCAACCGCCCAGTCCTCACTTCGAGGCCGTTCCGGCCGAGAAAATCAATATCGTCTGTGATACGATGCTGCAAGGTAGAATAATTTCCGATTTACGACGGTTTAATTTTAATTATTGTAATTTCGAAGGTCTCGGTAAGAAGCTGCGCAGCTGCGGCGTCAACACCGCCATATTGGAAACGCACGAAGATCATATGATGTGCGTTAAATACGCCATGGATGAGCACCGGTACATCCTTACCAAAGGAAACGAAACTTTTAAATTGGTTAGTAATTCTAACATACATAATTTATTGAGTGTCTACTTCAGGATGTGAATATTTGGATGATTTTAAGAAGAAAAGTTTATATCAATATATACACCGTTGGAAATTTAATTTCGCATAATAGGGAAATCAATGTTAAATTCTTAACCGGCTGAAATCCAGTCTACCAGTGTAGATTTCAATAGAACGTCGCGATCAATTCTAATAAATTTAATTGTTCTACTGGACCGCACGCCGCGATTTGTAGAGGAAAAAAGTTATTTGTGTTAAGTATGAGGTACAAAATTATTTAGAAACTAATTTTTTTGGGGATATTTCAAAAAAATAAGTGTATCAGTAGGTACAGTTTTGAAAGAGCAACAAATCTTGTTGAAATAAGGGAAAAAATAATTTAATTTTCTGCTAGAATTATACCTCAGCTCAGTAATATGAGATGACATCTGTATGACAGGTTTGGATATTGTTTAGCAGAAAGCGGTGGACTATTTTTTAGAGTTCTTTTATTTTCTGTTTTAAAATAATCTTTAAGTTTATTTTTGAAGTTTCCTTTTTATTATTTTCTTAGAATTTACTTTCTTTTTCAAGCCATTGTGGCAAAAAGACATCTACATAATTCTATTTTAATATTAGTGATATTTTTCAATAAATTATCGTTTAAATATTCTCATTTCTTTTTAATCGACTCGACGTTCATTCATCCAAATCCGTTTTGATACTGTCGAAGTGTCGAAACCGTCGAAATTATTTGATTTTTAATCTAACCGAACCAAATCGCGGTGTGTAGAGTCCAGTAGAACAATTAAATTTATTAGAATTAATCGCGACGTTCTATTGAAATTTACACTGTTAGACTGGATTTCAGACGGCTAAGAATTTAACATTGATTTCCCAATTATGCGCGAATAATTTTCCAACGGTGTATGTCCTAAACCTCTTAGTTTTCGAGCTACAGGGTGTTGAAAGTATAGCCATTGAAATATTAACGCAATTACTTGTTGATTGCAGCTCAAAGGATACGTCCCGGAGGGTCATTGTTTGAAAATCATCGGAGATTACACCGACGAGCAAATCAGAGAAGTGCTAGATTACTACAAAGTGGCCGTTACAAAAGAAAACGTGTTTAGCAGATGCCAGGTAGGGTTATCGTCGCGTCTAATTTACAATTTTTTTAATCAAATAAATTTTTAAAGGTGTGCAATGGTAATAATTTCGTCAAGTTATCGAGATCCACGATGATGGCTTTGGTCAACAAGTCCGAAACGAAGTACGTTCCTCCTCCCGCTGGTTTGTACGACGACGAAGCCACCGGATTTTCGAGCGACGAGGATTATTACGACGATTCTGCCACGCAGCAGGTTTCCTATTCGGACGGCAGGAAATGGGATTTGTGTAAGTACAGTTAGTGCCGTCGTAGGTCTACTGGGCAAAATGGTCAATTATTTTATAATACAGGTCGTCGAGCTTTTTTGCAAAATAATAGTAGAAAATGTTATATCGATTAAATAACGATAATTAACTACTCGAAATATTTGGTAATTTTTAAATTAAACTTTAAATTATTATAATTTTAATTTAATCTAGTTACCTCTATGACGTCATCATCTACGAACTATGCGAATTTTACTTATTAAACTCGTGTCACTGTAAATTATAGAATAACTAAAAATTTAGGGTACCTGCTAATGATATTTGATTAATCATTAATCGATATTTAATTTTCTACTATTATTTGGCAAAAAAAGTTCGAAGACGTCATTGGTCATAAGATTAAAATGAAATTATAATATCAAAAACTGGACATTTTTTAATAAAACTGAAAATATCTCAGAAACGGTGACAGTTAGGTATAGGGAAATGTTATGAAAAATGATTCAGTAAGAAATAGGCTTCCCATTGGATATTATTTATATAGGGTGTTCCATTTAAATTAAGCGAGTAATTATTATGTTTGCGTTTTGACTCACCCTGTATACAAATTGTAATTTTGTCAGAATGTAACTATTTTTTGTGAAAATAGACCATTTTCAAAAAGTGTTGTCACAGAAAAATTCACATTATCTGATACATATTCTGATATACAGGGCCTTGAAATCATGTCGATTTGAATATAAAAATGGCCATAACTTTTTAAATACTCAATAGTCATATGAAATCTTATATTGAGAAACTCGTGAAAACGAGCTGAAATCGAATATGAAATAAAAAATATATCATTGCCTTTAAAAAAAGGTATGTTTGGTATGGCTTCGATTTATGGGCCACCCTGTATATTTCGAAATAATTTTAAATTATGCGCCTAAAGGTGCTTAACATTTTTCCTATTTATAATTTTTTCGTATCTATTATAATAACTGAGTAAATGGGCTTTACCGCACTATTGGGACACCCTGTAGATTAAATAATCAGAATCATTTTAAACATTTAATTTACCTATGTTCAAATTTGAATTGAAGTTGAAATTCGAGAAAATTTAGATTCTTTGGATATCCTGTACCTATTAAATAATAATCACATTAATATTTGTCATTTTGAAAAATAACGTAACTACATACAGGTAGGTACTTAGGTACAGATAGATGTATATTTTCAAACATAAAATTCAGGAAGAAACTCGAAACAAAATTGATCTACCGAGACAGCATAGTAAACTAGTATGATCAAAGAACCCCTTCTAATTTTATATTAAAACGCAATTATAATTGGGAAATACCTGCGCTCTACTAGGGGTAGGTATGCAAAAAGTGGATGTACATTAAAGAGATTATCGAATTGTCGTAACTAGAAAAGCGATTAAGGGGCAGGTAAAAATATTGGAAATTGCCCAGTTGATCTATATCTAAAATATATATCATGAGACAGGTCGATTTCGATAATTATTATCAGGTAATAAAATTTTTGCCCAGTTGATCTGCGTCCGTTAGTGCAAAACGAACATCAATGCGCGTCACCTACGATTTACTACGTCACAAGTGGACAGTGTTGCCGAACTTTCATAGAGTTTAAATTATCTAGGAATTTTCTAAAATTGTCAAATGGCAAAATGACAAGAATAAATTGAAAATTAGTGGTAAGGTAGAATGGGGCAAATGTAAAAATGGGGTAAATGTAATATTTTTACCTATTATGTTAATGTTTTTTATTATTTTTATAGTTCTTTTGTGTATTAGACAGGGTTTGTTTCTTATTTTTTCTTTATTATTTTGTAGCTCTGTTATTTTTTGAAATAAATAAATAAACAGCATATCAAATTTTAGACGAACCAAATATGTATTTACAATTGCCCCATATGTTTTTCTATACACTGTGTTATTTATAAGATGCGACATAGGGATTCCTGTACAAATGTGTCAAAAGCGAGCTAACTTTTTTTACCAAATAACATTCGTAAAAATAATGACAGATTTGAAAAGATCGTCAAAAAATAAGTCGAAATGGACATTAAATTTTCTTAAATTCGTTCTAGTTTAATAAAAAAATGTATGTTGAAGTTGAATAAAGTCAAACGTCATATGTCACTATCTAATAATTGTTAAAAGGAGCGGAGCTATCTGGATTGGTTTACGCTCTGAAGTTTGAATAATTCAGTGGTAAGGAATCTGGTTCAATCCCACGCAGTGATGAAACTTTTTTCTTTTTTTCTTTGGCATTTTTTGTGTTTTTAATGTTTTTTTTTGTCAAGAATAAAAATATGGCATCATTTTAAAGGCTCTACCTACTAACGAGATTTTGCGTTATTAAAATTGACACTTACTTGTCGGAGCTTTTATTTAAATAAAAATAAAATTATATCTCAAATAAGCTCGTCTTATTTTAAATATTTCTATTTAACATTTTTTAGACAAAAATATTAGAAAAAAAGAAAACAAATTACTTTACTGCGCGGGGATTGAACCACATTACTCCCCGCTATTTTTTTTTTTAATTTCAGAGCGTAAACCATCCCGGCTAACTCAGCCCATTTTACAATTATTAGATCAGCTACCTTGCATTTCTGAAAACGTAACTCACGTGGTCTTTTGCTTTCTTACTATTGGCTAATGCATTGTCCAATCTCTCATTGCCATATGCCCAAACTAGCTGCATCTCTCTCATTCATCGACAACACAACCTCTTTGTCTAAACCGCGTCCATAGTTAATAGGTCTATGGGCTATACAATAGCATTTAATCATGGTATTTTCAGACCCGGACGAGAAAATTGACGTAGGATTGTGTCAAACGCGCCTAGGAGCAAAGATACAGGTGCAAGCAGTACCGAAGACGCTTCTGGACAAGTACGACTTCTTCTACATATGCGAGGAATGCGGAAAAGTGTATTGGGACGGATCGCACTTCGATAGAGTTTTAACGGGAAGGCTGCAAGGTATCGTGTAATTTCAAATCGATTTACTCTATTAGGATGTTGTTATTTTAATCTCATTATCGACTACATTTATTTAGTAAAAACATTTTAACGTATTGCGTTTTATTTTTACGACTCCTTTATTTTATAAGTGCCTGGATTAATTCGTCGAACAATCATCACTTGAGAGCGATTGATCTGGATTTTATAATGAACTTACTGGTTTAACCAAAGTTTTGTTATCAATTTTATAATTCCTGTGGTAATAAAATTTCCAAATCTACTACCACATCTTTACTTACTCTTTTACACACCAAAATCTGACTAATTTCCGTAAGCACTTGATGATATCATAGGTGATATGATATAAAAAGGGGTGAGTAGTGAGTACCTCCCGGCCCCCTTCTAGGTACGCCATACGGCTAGGATGCTGTAATCTAATTCAGAAACATTTGTTTCGCTTTTTCACTGCAATATGCGGTAAACAAAACAAACAAATTAATTTCTCCAAATGGTACCGCGTTCTAAAAATAGAACGAGCGATTCTCAAAGGGGGATATACATGGTTTACAATCGTGACGAAGGCAGCCTTTGGACGAAAGTTGTTTAAAGTGTGGGAATTCGAATCGAATTCTAGAAACATGTGTTACCGGGAGAAGATGCCCTCATGTCGCGCTCTTCGGTTATTTCGACGGAAGGAATTAATACGGTCGTCAAGTTCGCGAGGTAAATGTGTTTTGAAAATGCAAGTTCGTTTTAAATATAATTGTTTACTGGCGTTAAAAAGTGCGCTTAATTGAGTGATTTGTGTGAATGTGATGTAATTTAATCTTGCTTAGGGTAGACCGCATACTAGACCCTAAAAGTTTACTAAAATATTTTTGAGTTTTTCAAAAAGAGACCTCGCTCGCTCACTCCGCGAGCTTGATCGACTCTTCGCAATTACTCGTTTTTATGATTTGTATCAATGATTTACAATTTGCTGCCTCTTCTGTGTTACCTTTTTAATCGTGTCCTGTTTCCTTAAGCTTTGTATGAATTGTACAATAAAATTTAGCTTCTCTATATGAATGAAAATAGAGCAAAATATTACCAGTAAAGTACAAAACAATATTGAATTTATTAGGTACACATGTAAATAAACATTCGCTCCTTATCTTCGCGTTCAAGATAATCACTGATACAACTCATTTATCTATATTAAATACAATAAGTTTCCACTAATATTACTCATTATCAGCATGAACAGCTTATTATTTAGGAATATAATTTCAGTTTTCCGTGTGAGGTCATCCCGTCGAATAGCGAAGTTGATACTGCGATATTCCGACCAAAAACTGATAGTGGAACTTCCTTTGCGTTCATTTTTAGTGTTTTTTACCCGGTTTATTGTCGATTAGTGTGTTATGCGCGATCAAATGTTGATGCATTATTGGATATAAACTATGTTAAAAGTGCTATTGTTGGTTGTTCTTCATATTACCCTTTTGCATAAGAATGGCGTTGCTCAAACGACTACTGAGGGAGTTTTTCATGATGAATATGATTATATTTCGACTACAACAACAGAAGATGGGGTAAATGTTACTATAAGTAGCGAAACTAGTGATGATATTGATAATGTTGACAACGAAATCAAAAGTAATGACCTGAAAAATGCCTATGTAAGTACTACTAGGCACAGTTTTCCATCTTCTACTTCTACAGATGAATTTTCAACTATTTCTACAACAGTTGGTAATGTCTGTGCCGGTGAGTATAAGTTTTAAGGATCCAATCTAAAATAATAAAAATTATATCAGTAGATAAAGAAGAGTTCTTAAAGTATCTCTCATTCAAAAACCATTCGATTAACAGATTATAATCTTAATTAATCTTCACATTATAGAAAGTGTAGAATCTTACAGTCATATCACGATTATTTTCGTTTATATCGAGTTATGTAGAGCAAATTTAAAAATACTGCAAATGCTCTATCTCAGGATATCTACATAAAAACTATACGAGAAAAACAGATTGAAATACTAACGTTTGGGGTATTCGGAGAATGTCATTTGTACCTTTTCCATTATACTATATCAAAAATAACATTCCTACATACTTACAAGTTGTACCAAACTGAAACATGGGATGCTTATACCTACAGTGTGTTCAAATTAACAAAATTGCCACACATCGTCTTATTCAAATGAATTTGCTAAAGGAATTGGAGCTCTTTAAGAGCCCATTCTAAAGGCAAAAATGAATCTCTAACAAAACTAAAAAAAATCAAACAAAAGAGGAAAGTTAACTTTGTGTTGCTGCTGTAGTATTACTTTTAATTTTTTCTTTTTAATTGCTATTGAAGTAGGCAAAATTATTATAAAAAAATGTACATTATTCCTCGTCAGACATTGCTCTATCATTTACTTGCAGTTTTAAATCAATTAGTGAAAAATAATTTCTAAATATAAACTCCTGGACAAAATTAACGCAACATCATAAATTGCACATAAATTGTATAAAAAACCTATAATACAAAAAAAAATCATCCAAATCGGATCATAAATTCAAATAAAAAATAGCATAAAAAATGTGGCAAATTTATGATGTTGCATTAATTTTTATAGGAGTGTATGTATAAATTTAAATTTTTATTTGATATAAATATATTCAAAATTATTATTTCCTTTTTGGGGATATTTTATACCCAACACTGTACTTTGTACTGCACTTTTCGATGTTCTCTTCCAAATTAAACTAAACATTTGGATATAGAAAAGAATCGAACCCTACAATTCTTATCTAAAGTTTCAGCAGTTTATGAACGAGATAAGCGGATTTATAAGGAAGTCTATGCAATTTTTTTAAATGAAATTCTTTTCAGCTCCGAATTTACGTTATTCAAACCTTCGTGTGTTCTGGGAATTCGAAACCGAATCGTGCGGCGAGATTGCTTATGTACAATTTGCTTGCAATAAATTGTACAATAACCAAGAGGATATCAAAAAGTTTGAGTTTAATGTAACGAATTTTTGGGATATAAATAAACCCAATGAGGATCTACCAACAGGAATTCGATACAATTGTGATGTTTATGCAACAGATGAATATAATGTTCGAGTTTCCGAGTCTACTTCTATAATTATTCCACCTGGTTCTTTAGGTAGGTGAAGTATCAGACATTTACAAAAAAAAAGCTCTATAAATATTGCTATCTATGCGTGTAAAGTTTTCGAGGAATCAAATAAAACCTTTCATTGTTCGGGTTATTTTAAGAGCAATCGCTGAATTAAATTTAAACTTCCGCAATTCAATGATAATTGACTTTATGAAAATAACTGTTTTGTACAAAACTTACAACGAATGATTTTATCTACAATACAGCTCGAATAAAATCGCATAATAGCATTATATTTATAGAGCTTCGACTCGATATTACATAACACTACATGATATTTAAGAAATCCGAGTCACTGTCAACCCCACAAACATTTCCTGGACTGCACCATTCGAAAATCAAACTTTAACATACAACGTTACATTGGAACCCTTTAGTACAAACCGAAACGTACCGCCCGGTTGTGAAGAATCGAATGAAAACCGCGATACCTTCAGTTACATTACACCCGACACGTTCTACACTTTCAATGAATCTTCAATCGATTATGTCGCCAGCATTTCCACAAAGTTTTGGAACACAATCATCGAGAACGAAGAAACTGCGTTCATTAACGCAACTGCAGGTACTTATCTATGGTACTTTGTACAGGGTGTTTCACAACTTATCCGACAAATTTTAACCACATATGCACTGTTACGAGAGAAGTTAATTTCCCAAAAAAAAAATGTAATAAATGTCTTACAGAAATCGAGATAATAAAATAATAGTTTAACAGTTCAATTACTTATACAAGATGTTCAAAATTGTTCCCATTTACTGCAATGCAAGCTTGGGTGCTTGTTTTTTTTTGTTTTAACCATTGTTTTGGTGCAACATTTGCTACAATAAAGTATTAAGGCAAAATTATGAACGCAAAATGCAGTATTTATTTTTTAATTTTTTATTGAAATCAACTTCTCTCTCTTTGAGAAATCTCAAAAAAAATGTAATAAAAGTCCTACAGAAATAAAATTATAAACCCGAGTTTCAATAAAAAATTGAAAAATAAATACTGCATTTTGCGCTCATAATTTTGCCTTAATACTTTACTGTAGCAAATGTTGCACCAAAACAATGGTTAAAACAAAAAAAAACAAGCACCAAAGTTTGCATTGCAGTAAATGGGAACAATTTTGAACATCTTGTATAAGTAATTGAACTGTTAAACCATTATTTTATTATCTCGATTTCTGTATGACTTTTATTACATTTTCTTTTTGGAAAATTAACTTCTTTCATAACAGTACATATGTGGTTAGAATTTGTCGGATAAGTTGTGAAACACCCTGTATAAAAAATATTACAAATGAACGTACAATTGAGAGAATTACATCTGATTAACTCGATTATTCAAAGGAGCAGAATTAAAAACATTATAACTTATTTAGTGATATTATAACTATTCATCATTGGAAATTCTTTCAGCGCCGAGTGAGCCCAGGAACGTGTCTGTTCGGGAATACTTCGACGAAAACAATGAGAAACAGTACGAATTAAGATGGGAAACTCCTTGCCAATCGAACGACGAAATCAAACTATATCAACTCCTCATCACCGATTCAGACGAAACAACAATCGAAAACAAAACCGTCGAAAACGACAAAAATAACGCTGTTAATCTCACCAAACTCGCGCCTAATGCGAATTACAGTTTACAATTATTTGCTCTAGGCGCCGCAGGCGAAGGTGGTAAGAGTGCGATTTACCAATTTTACACTACTGAGATTAGTAAGTACTAATACCCATTTTTATAGTAAAATATTTTCTAATAAAATTCCTGTTACAGCGCCTTCTCCTACTATCAGCATAACAGATACAGGCTCGACTTATTTTACTATCGAATGGAGTATAAACGAGAGCCTGATCCCTTACAATTACTCTGTAGAGATTAAAAATTTAGGCGCTAATTACAGCAGGAACAGCCACTGTCCTGAGTACCCCGATCCTGAGCTGTACTACACAAACAAAACTAGTTACAATTTTACCAATGCCAGGCCTTTTTATAATTACAACGTAACCGTAACAGTTGCGCCTGATAAAATTTCAAAAAAAGAGGAGTTTGTAATAATTACAACGACTTCTTCAGGTACGTTTACACAGGGATTTCTTACTATCTGGGGCCTGTTTCATATAACTGACAAGTTGACAAGTTACAAGTGTTGGTTGACAAGTATTTAAAAATTTCGTTTCATAAAATAAATTTCGACACTTGTCGAATTAAATTTTTGGCATCCGTTTTTCTACAACTGTAATATTAATTAAACGTCAGACTTAAGCCAAAAAGAAAAAAATAGTACTTACTATACTGAGGAGCATAAGTATAGCACAACCTTCGTTTTTCGATATTGGGAAACTTTTACTTTGAAATTGTTTTTTTTCTGGTTGGAACTATTTTTAGATGTGAACCACGACAATTTCGTTTATTGACAAAAAACTTATTTCTAAAATGCAGCAACATTTATTTAATATTCAATTATTTTAATAAAGAAAGGGCATTCTATTTGGAAAATTTAGTCCCACTTCTACAAAAGCTATAAAATGTGAGCATTGGAACGAACAAAGACAATGCATAATTTCTATAAGTTGGTTCTATACATTAGGCGGGGACCAATAGATTTTAATATTTCCTCCATTTTTATCGAATTCATTCGAAATCGTTTAATAAACTCTCATTAAGCTTCCTCCTCACTGTCGCTAGACCACATTTTCTTTTAAATTTACAAGAAAATCGGATGGTGACAGGAAATCAAATCCCTGTCGCTTTACACTAATATATGATAGGAATAAATGACAAGTGTTGTTTAATTTATTTTTTATGAAACGCAAACCTATCTACAATTGTAAAACAGACTTGTAATATTAGGCTAGTCACTTGTCACTAATAATCTACTCGTGTAATTTTATGAAACACAAACTTGTCAAATACCCCAATCAAATTTAGACTACACTTGTCCGACAGGACTTGTCAGTTATATGAAACAAGCCCCTGCTTCATGTTTATACTAAAAAAAATAATCTCCTTATAGAACCAGACGTGGTCACTAATTTAACATTTCGAGTGAACAACGAGACTCTACAGGGCGAATTACAGTGGAAACTACCGTGCGACGTGAACGGATTAATATCGAATTTCGAGATTATAATGTCGGAAAAATACACTGAGGACGAGCTGGAAACAAGCGAAACGTTTATTATACCGAAAACCGATTTTAGCAGGACGTGGAATTTGAAACCCTCGCATATTTACAACATATACATTGCCATTACGCTGGAAGATGGCCTGCAAGGGGACAACGCCACTGTATTGAACTATAAAACAGAGAGTGGTTGTAGGTATATTGTGTGTGACACGATAAGCATGAACTATCTGTATATTAGGAAATATACTGCTCCACAAAAGTTAAGGAAGTTCACAAATATTGAGATTAATTTAAAAGTTGCAGGTTTTTTGTTCGTCAAATTTAGTATCAGTTGTAGAGGTAGGGTAAAAAAATCCACTCAGATATGACAGAATACATTTAATTTCGCATATTTGAAAATTTGGCGCCCAAAAAGTCTGTAACTTTTAAAATAATCGCAAAACTTCCTTAACTTTTGTGGAGCAGTTTATTAATAGTCACGGTAAAAATATAGTATAATTTACTACCACATAATATGGACTATTATCTACTATATTGTTGTTAATGATGCATGAAGAAATATCGAGATATACTTGATGTAATTTTAGTGAATAGTTTGATTGATGCTAAATGAGCTGTGCAAGTTTCCACGATTCGTTTACATGTGCACCAAAATTCGTGGACAAAAATAGCCTTGGCTTGTACTTCTTAACTTTTGTGGAGCAGTTCAGATTTAACTAAAATTCAGTGTACTTGAGCCTACTGGTGAAAGCTCTTGGATTCGTTTAAAAAATTATATTTTTGAAGTAGAATTTTTTACAATTTTTCTACAATAAAGAGCAATACCTCAGACCTCCCCAGTAGCCACAAGTGTTGGATTTTAGTTCAATCTGGTAAGTAGTTTCAAATACTCGGATAGTTAATGCTCTAAATTAATGAGTTAAATAGACTTTTCGAGCGTTCGGGGACAATTTCGTGTATCAAATCCTCTCATTTCAGTGCCAGGATTGCCGGTTTTGTCAGTGAGCAACGTAACAAACACATCTTTCCAAATCAACTGGTCTCGACCTGAAGAGAAAACCGGCCCGATCGAGTACTACGAGTTACTGCTCGTACCTCGTCCCAACTATGCAATTCCTCCGGACTGTCCCATTCGAAACGAATCGTTATTTTTAGTATTCAATAAAACCAGCTCGATTTACGCCAATTATTCGGCTCCTCCAGACCATGCCTATGCAGTTTCTCTCCGAGCCAACACCACCAAAGGATTCGGCAATTATTCGATCATCACGTTTGTTACTGATATCGGAGGTTTGTACCGATCGGAATCAGTTATTTCGATTTGCTGGATATCTGTTTTCAGAGCCGGAAAAAGTACGACATGTAAATACAGACATTTCTAACGACGTTTCAAGTGCTAGTAACGTTCCTAATGTGTTGTTTTCGTTCGATGCGCCTTGTAATTCGTTCGGAACCATCATGGTTTACACTCTTAAATATGTGGGTTATCGGTACCCATACGAAAATGTAACCGGGACCTATCAGATCCCTCCTCGAGGATCAAAAATTACTTTCGATTTGAAACCGGAGTTTGTTTACGAATACCAAATCGAAGCGATCAATAATAAATTTCGCAGCGTTTACCGAAATCGGTTCGAAGCTCCAGCAGGAGGTGAGTTGTACGGGGTGTGCCAAAAAGTTGGTACAGGGTGGTCCTCTAAGAACGGCTCTCGGCCATATCTCGCAGACTAATTGTCGTAGAGACTTGCGGTAAAAAATCTTATAACTAAATCGGCCAAAAGAAAATGCTGGAAATAATTTTTAAGTCTCTAAAATGGCCGCTAGGGGGAGTATCCGCCATCTTGATTTTTAAAAGTCATTTTTTTCAAAATTTTTCTAAATAAAGGTATCAAAAATGTGTTTTATTTTGATAGTTAAGATAATTTCGGATATTTTTTGTCACATATTTTTGACTCTATCTTTTAAAATAAAGTGGTGGGGGTGGTTTGAATATTTTGACTAATAAATGTTAATAACTTTTAAACTGCTGAACCGATTTTCAAAAATATGAAATTGTTGAAAAGGGCTTTCTTTGGTCTATAATTTACACTATATAAGATATTATTTTAATTGCTTGCTTGGCCGCAAGATGGCGTTTTTCGACATTACTTCAAAAAACACCGTTTTTCTCAAAAAATTTAAATGCAACGATATAACTTTTTCTTTGGAAAAAAATAGTCAAATAATTGCCAAACCAGCCTGTGAAAACCGCATCTCGATAACCCCTTCCTAACCTAAAATATATCTAAAAAAAGAAAAAAATCAAGAAAATGGGCAATTTTTGCTGCACTACCAATATAAAAACCTCTATTTAGCGTTGTTCCATCCACAAAAATAATCAATTTGTTAATAATCTTCACCACTCAATCTTTCACCACTTTATTTTAAAAGATAGAGTAAAAAATATATAACAAAAAATAATCGAAATTATCTTAACTATCAAAATAAAACACATTTTTGATACCTTTATTTAAGAAAATTTTGAAAAAAAATGACTTTTAAAAATCAAGATGGCGGATACACCCCCTAGCGGCCATTTTAGAGACTTAAAAATTATTTCCAGCATTTTCTTTTGGCCGATTTAGTTATAAGATTTTTTACCGCAAGTCTCTACGACAATTAGTCTGCGAGATATGGCCGAGAGCCGTTCTTAGAGGACCACCCTGTACAACAGACTTGATTGATTGGTTTATTATTGCAGCTCCAAAAACCAACGTAAACGCCAGCATTTCGGTTGGAGATGTAACTACTGAAAGTGCTCGAATCGTGTTGAAGAAGGAATATTTCGATTTTTACAATGGCGATGTAAAATATGTCGCTCTACTTCTTAGTGAGATCGTTTTGAATAATGACACTCATAAATGGAATTTCGAGAAATGGCCAGATTTGGAGGAAGGAACTCAACAGTTGACTAATTGCTTCTGGAATCCTTTTGAATGTATGTATTTTTCATTTTTTTATATTCTCTTATAACGGAGGCTTTTAGTAAGGCTTTTTAAAGCCTCTTCATATTAATTTTTGATTGTAATCACAGTTATTTTTAAAGGATAAATATTTACAATCTCTTTTTCACTAAAAAATTGAAAAAAAAACACGATTTCAGAACAAAAAAACGTTGAAAAAGAATTTAATGCTGAAATAGTGCAATTAAAATAATAAGGGGCTTCGATGTCATTATATTTTTTATTTTTTTGCAGCTTCTAATGAGACTGTTTTTACTATTGGAAAGGGATCTAATTGTACATCGCCCTGTATATGTAAAAACAGCGTACTTAAAGATGATACACGGTACATTTTGACAATACAAGCCTTTAATTCGGATTATTATGGCAACATAAAATCGATTGCGTTTATTACAGGTGGTACAAATTACTAATTTTGAGCGATATAGAAATTCACAATCGATTCTTTTGCAGATAAAATTAGTCATCTGGCTGTAATTCTTGGAGTGATTTTTGGGATATTGTTCTTCTTTATTTTGGCTCTCGCCGGGTTTTTCGTGTGGAAAAAAAAGCTTTACAAGTAAATAAACGGCGATATTTTTTGCTAAAATGGAATCTAAATTCATTAACTTCCAGAAAAATTACCTACATATCCCCAAGGAAATCTTCAAGCAAATCCATCGAGTTCAGTTCGACAGCCGTCCCGCCGAAGAAATTTATTCAGTATTTCAGGAATACCGAAAACAGACCGGATGTATTGAAGAACCAATTCGCCGAAATAACGGAGAAATCTAAGGAAGTGCAAGCTCAGAAAACTTGCCATTTCGCGGGATTATTGGAGAACAAAAGGAAAAACAGATATTCCAATATTTCCCCTTGTAAGTGGATTTACAGCATTATATTTTAGGTATCATTTTTCACACATTTAATTTAAGATGATGATACGAGAGTCAAATTGCTCATAGATGAAGATGACGAGATAGGCTCGGACTACATAAATGCTTCATACATTAAGGTACTTGCATATACAGTGTGTCTCTGGATTTTTTCGACAAGCAGGAGTTTTTATAAAGCATCAATTTTGAGATTAAATCATTACGATGCAATACAAATCCTTTAGTTCTGATAATTTTAGGGATATTCCGGAACACCTGAATACATAGCGACTCAAGGTCCATTATCTACCACTTGCAGAGATTTCTGGAAAATGGTTATCCAAGAGAACGTCTCTATAATTGTTATGGTAGCACAATTCGTTGAAAATAACAAGGTAACTTTAGACATTTTATCTTATGCCCAGTTTTTTAACCTCTCCTCTAACATAAACATGCTCCTTAAGACGCGGCTAGGATATCCAGAATTACCATTTTCAGGATAAATGCTACAAATACTTTCCAAAAAACCACGAGAATTTGATAGTAAGCGACGATATGGAGATACGATGTTCAACCGAACTACACTTCGGGACCTACCTCGTAAGGAATCTACAAATCAGAAAAGTATTAATGGAAAAAAGTTTTAATGGGAAATTCATCGTGCTATAACAAAACCTATTTCAGGATTGTCAGCAAGTGGCCGTTACGCACATGCAATTCCTGGAATGGCCGGATTTCAACGTACCAACAGGAACCGAACATATGCTTCAATTCATTTACAAGATGCGAGAAAGACTGAAACTCGAAAGCGGTTTGGTCATTGTACATTGTAGGTAAGCAGGTAAAATTTATTATTTAATTATCGAACAAATGCTTGAGAACACACTTAATTTTTGTACCTTTAGGTCTTACCCATTCAGATCTATTTAGACTACTAAGGATTCTAATTCTAGACTTCTAAGGACTCAATTTTCTACTTAGGGTGCTTTGGCTTCTTCAAGTCTTTTCCAGGCCTCTCCCAGATCTTTTCCAGGTTTCATTCTCTTCACATATTTCCAGGTCTCTATACACTGTGTTATTTATAAGATGCGACATAGGGATTCCTGTATAAATGTGTCAAAAGCAAGCTAACTTTTTTATCAAATAACGTTCGTAAAAAATAATGACAGATTTGAAAAGATCATCAAAAAATAAGTCGAAATGGATATTAAATTTTATTAAATTCGTTCTGGTTTAATTAAAAAATGTATAATTAAGTTGAAAAAAGTCAAACGTCATAAATGTGTCATTTTTATGTCACTATCTAATATTTGTAAAATGGGCGGAGTTAGCCGGGATGGTTTACGCTCTGAAATTTAAAAATTTTAGCGGGAAGTAATGTGGTTCAATCCCTGCGCAGTAAAGTAATTTGTTTTCCTTCTTTTTTGGTTTTTTTCTAATATTTTTGTCTAAAAAATGTTAAATAGAAATATTTAAAATAAGACGAGCTTATTTGAGATATAATTTTATTTTTATTTAAATAAAAGCTCCGACAAGTATAAGTGTCAATTTTAATAACGCAAAATCTCGTTACTCGGTAGAGCCTTTAAAATGATGCCATATTTTTATTCTTGACAAAAAAAAACATTAAAAAAACAAAAAATGCCTAAGAAAAAAAGAAAAAAAATTTCAGCACTGCGTGGGATTGAACCAGATTCCTTACCGCTGATTTTTTCAAACTTCAGAGCGTAAACCATTCCAGATATCTCCACCCCTTTTAACAATTATTAGATAGTGACATATGACATATGACTTTTTTCAACTTAATTATACATTTTTTTATTAAACCAAAACGAATTTAATAAAATTTAATGTCCATTTCGACTTATTTTTTGACGATCTTTTCAAATCTTTCATTATTTTTTACGAAGGTTATTTGGTAAAAAAGTTAGCTTGCTTTTGACACATTTGTACAGGAATCCCTATGTCACATCTTATAAATAACACAGTGTATAAACATACAGTGCATTTCTTTAATGTCCCCCCCCTTTTATTTTTTGAACGGATCAACTTAGAAAATTGAAATTTGGGATAATGAAACTAATGCATGATTACTATATTTTGGAGTAAAATTGATAGATGAAAATTTCAAGATGGCGACTGGGCGCCATCTTGGGAAATAAATTTAAATAGAAAGGGGTGTCTTGTGATACATCATTTTGAAGCTCCTGACAAATACTCTACAACCCTGAAATATAAAGTCAATATCTGCACCTGCTACAAAATGGCGGAACATTTAATAATTACCTGAATACAAACAAAATAATATCAATTTTTCTAGAAATATTTGTTTTTCTATGGCAAACAGCAATCCCAACAAACCGATAAGGTTTGACAGGTTATTTTTGGTTAAAAAAATTCCAAAAAATTTAAGTACGACAACGAACATTAATTGTTTAGTCAAAATATGCTCATTTAGTTTTTGGTTTTCCTAGTGTTCAAAATATTCTCTTTAGTTTTTGATTTTCCTGGTGTTCAAAGTATTTTCATTTAGTTTTCGGTTGTTTAGTTCTCATTGCAGTTAGGTAGCACGTCAACTAACTCTAAAATGGCCAATTCTCGTCCATTGGAAGATAAAGCACCACCACATTACTCCAGACAAGTAAGGAACTATTTGGATGCTATTTTCCCTGGTCGTTGGATCGTTGGATTGGTCGTCGAGGTCCTACGGAATGAATTTGACCAGAATTTGACCAGATTTGACACCTTTAGATTTTTTTTATGGGGCTATTTGAAGCAAAATGTGTACGAAACTAAACCTGCTTCAATATTGGATATACGAGAAATAATTACAGATATTTGTAAAAATATCGACGTTACTATGTTCGAAAATGTTCGGATAGGCTGTTCTTACATTAAGAAGTTCAAGGCAACCATTTCGAGCTTTTTTTGAACAGAACTCAGCTTATTTCCTCAAATTATGACGTTAAACGTCGATTTATTCAGGTAATTATTAAATGTCCGCCATTTTGTAGCAGGTGCAGATATTGACTTTATATTCCAGGGTTGTAGAGTATTTGTCAGGAGCTTAAAAATGATGTATCACAAGACCCCCCTTTCCATTTAAATTTATTTTCCAAGATGGCGCCCAGTCGCCATCTTGAAATTATCGTCTGTCAATTTTACTCCAAAATATAGTAATCATGCATTAGTTTCATTATCCCAAATTTCAATTTTCTAAGTTGATCCGTTCAAAAAATAAAAGGGGGGGCGACATTAAAGAAATGCACTGTATAATCAATGAAATGAACCCAATGAATCAAACACCAGAACTTGCTAAATCTCACTAAACATGCTTTAAATGCTTTATGCAGGCTTCTTCAAATCTCCAGATATTCCCAGGTCTCTCCATAATATACTCAATTTAGCAATGAAGAAAATACCTGAGGTTGTTAAGTGTCCTCCTTAGATCCTTTATTCAGGCTTCCTCTCAAGTCCCTTCATAATATTCCCCATTATACAACGAAGTTGAACAAACACCAGAGCTTCCTAAATCTCTCAAGGAGCTTTATTCAGGCTACTTCAGATCTCTCCAGGTTTCTTCATCTTTACATTATCTCCACGTCCGGTAAGCATCTAATAGATCGAAATCATAATTTTCCAGTGCCGGAGTAGGAAGAACTGGTACTCTAATTGCTGCGGATATGTTACTTCAAAACGCGGATGCAGGAAAGCAATTAGACGTGTTCGATACAGTGATGGGTCTCAGGCAGCAAAGGACATGCATGGTCCAAACGCTGGTGAGTTGAAATTTACCTGCTATTAGCCTTCGAAAAGGAAAACCCTCTTATCACTGATAACATGTACACTCCTGGACAAAATTAACGCAACATCATAAATTTGCCACATTTTTTATGCTATTTTTTGTTTGAATTTATGATCCGATTTGGATGATTTTTTTTTGTATTATAGGTTGGTTCTTTGATAATGTCATCATTTTCGCTGTTTATGATAAAATGTTCCTTTTCGATTATACCGGGTGTAATAAAAATGTAATGTTCTTTTCCGAAAATTCGTATCACCCTGTGGAGTATAGTAGCAAACGAGACATAGCAGTTGACATTAGACGGTAGATCCATCTTTTGCCAACATTTTCTTTTTTGGTTTACTTCATTATCTCTGTTATTAAAGGAGATACGCCGTTTTATAGCGTAACATGTTTTAATAGACTGTATTATTCAAAACATTCATTGTTAAATGTTTTCAAGTAGGCTTTGGACCTTTTCTGACATTTCAAGGGATGTGTCAATATCGAATACATTATTTGTTATCTGTATAACAAAATAATTCCTGCTCGCTTTGATGAATGAAAACAAAATTAACGAATTACTTTATTCCATAAAGTAAAATTAAGAGTTTATTAAACACATTTTTTTTGGAAACGAGTGAAACAAGAAATTAAAGAACATAAATCAAAAACAATAAAATTAATGAATTTATAATGCTAATAACGTGTATGTCCACATCTAATTCGAATCAATGCTCCATTGCAATATGACTCATTGAATAGCCTTCATCCACCAAAGTTAAGGCTTTTACTGCTTCTTCGGTCGATAAATTTTTTGGACGATTCATTTTTCAAGATTAAAATAACAAAAAATGACACATCGCTTGAAATGTCAAAAATGGTCCATAGCCTACTTGAAAATATTTAACAATTAATGTTTTGAATAATACAGTCTATTAAAACATGTTACGCTATAAAACGGTGTATCTCCTTTAATAACAGAGATAATGAAGTAAACCAAAAAAGAAAATGTTGGCAAAAGATGGATCTACCGTCTAATTTCAACTGCTATATGTCTTATTTGCTAGTATACTCCACAGAGTGATACGAATTTTCGGAAAAAACATTACATTTTTATTACACCCGGTATAATCGAAAAGGAACATTTTATCATAAACTGCGAAAATGATGACATTGTCAAGGAACCAACCTATAATACAAAAAAAATCATCCAAATCGGATCATAAATTCAAACAAAAAATAGCATAAAGGATGTGTCAAATTTATGATGTTGCGTTAATTTTGTCCAGGAGTTTATTTTGATTCCTTAAGTATCTTGTAGTAGTAACTCTTTAAAATTGTGTTTGTGTTTATTACAGGAACAATACATCTACTTGCATCGACTGATTGCAGACCACATTGACAGGCCACTAACTCCTGGCAAGTTTAACCACGATGCTTTTGGGGTATTTTGTGCGGTTTATTAATTGAAATTTACGTTTTAGATTTGAACGAGACGAACGATCCAGTATACGAGAATATGGATATTTTGAAAAATAATCCGGACTCTCCGTTAAAAGCAAAAGAACAAGAGAGCAAATTTTGAGTACATTTTGAAAATTCGAACATTCCAACTGACTGATAATGAATAGTATTATTGATTTTAATCTGATATACATAGTTGAAGCGCTTTATTTGTATTTAATATGTAATTTGAAATTAACGAAATTATGATTTCTGTGTTATTCTTGTATAAATAAAAAAAAATGGAAAAAAGGGGGCAACGACACGCGGTATTCCCAAGCGGTCACCCATCCAAGTACTAACCGCGCCCAATAATGCTTAGCTGCAGTGATCGGACGAGAACTGGCGTATTCATTGTGGTATGGCCGTTGCCTGTATATTATATATTGAGCAGTTTATATAAAGTGAAATTACAGGAACTCAGTAATATCATTTCAAACAATTATATCCTGGTTCCAAAATAATTGGCAGTGGCATTTTCCAATTTTAGAAAAAATGTTATTTTGGAACCAGGGTATACATCTTGCTCCATTTCCGATTGCAACATGGTCATTTCTATGAGTGGATAAAAGAAAGATTATTAAAATGACAGTTGTCAGAGTGAAAAGTTGCAATGACACAAATGTCACTCTTTCCTTTTCATTTGTAAGTGTCTAATAGAAGTTGTCTTTATCGCACCCATGGCCTATACAGTGTGTCCACGGATGGGGTTGCCTATAGGAGAAAAATTTTTATTATTCATTTTACGACAAAAAGTCATTGTTTATAAAAATTTTTGCTTCTTTTAAAAATGAGAATAACACTGAAAAATCTTAGATTGGGTCTACAGGGTGTTGTCAAATTAAGAAAACATGAAAATACCTCAAGAGGGAAGTACCATTATTTTTTATTTTACACAAAATTTTTATGAAAGAAAGTTGTTTATAATCTAAAATAAAGCCTGAATACAAATTTGCAAACTTAAATTAAAATTTTGTGTGTTCCTAGATAAAGTTGACCAGATAAGAAAAATGGTTGTTATTAATTTTACGACGAAAAGCCATTCTTTATAAAAAAATTAACTTGTCGAGAAAATGAAATTCACATATCAAAACATTAAATAAGACGTATAGGGCGTTAGTAAATTAAGAAACAGGAAAAAATGTCAAGAAAGAAAGAAAGAATTTTTATTATCTAACATAAAGAAAGAATTTATTTATTATCTTACATTATTATTTACAAAAAAATGCTTTTAATCTCTCTTTTAATGCTCTTTTTTTATAAAGAATTACTTTTTTTTCGTAAAATTAATAATCATTTTCTCCTCTGGTCAACTCCATTCGTGGACACACAAAATTGGAATTTTAATTTGAAAATTTGTATTCAGGCTTTATTTTAGATTATAAACAACTTTCTTTTATAAAAATTTTGTGTAAAATAAAAAATAATGGTACTTTTATAATACTTTATACTTTATAATTTATAATAATGGTACATGTTTTCTTAATTTGGCAACACCCTGTAGACCCAATCTAAGATTTTTCAGTGTTATTCTCATTTTTTAAAACAAGCAAAAATTTTTATAAACAATGACTTTTTGTCGTAAAATGAATAATAAAAATTTTTCTCCTATAGGCAACCCCATCCAGGACACACTGTATAACCTATGTTGCGATCAAAAATGGAGCAACCTGTATGTATCATAGAGTGCTCGATTATTGTTAATCGTATTACCTGTCAATAAAAGTTCTAGATGAGTAGTGACGTCATATTGTCAAGTATTTGACAATCGTTTGGTCAACTTTAATAAAAAATACGAATATGTAATGCTTCTAAATCTATATTACTACTAGACTTTGCGGTCTACAATAAAATTGCTTCAATATGCTATTAAACGTCATTTCTACACGTTGTAGAACAGCAAAAAAGTGTATCCAGCTTTCATAATCTACAAATAGGTAACATTAAATTAATCACTTGGTTAAAATGGGACGCTGAATATTAAGCAATTGAATAAACCCTCTTACTTTTAAAAACAAATTATTGTCGATGGTATAAAAATTTCCCACGACGATACTCAAAGGTCTTTCAGACCGGACCATAATCATTAGAAGATCGTTTTGCAAGCCGATGTCCAATTCGTACCAATTATTATTAGCGAAAATGCATTTGGACAATTCTTGGCTCTGAAACACCAACAAAATTTCATTCAAAAATAATTAAACATTTACAACTTACTACTAGAATTAACTCGTTCCCGTGATAACTGATGTACCAAATTTCCACTGATACCACGATGAATGCGAACAGAGCTAAACCCAATCTAGCACGATCTTCATTAAATGACTGTAAAATGAGATTTATACAGGGTGTTCATTAATTGAGTGCCGATATTTAAGGATGTGAATATTTGCATGATTTTAAGAAGAAAAGTTTATATCACCTCTGTCAAACTAGCAGGACCAAATCAGCAGAATCAATTCGGACCTATTGCATTATTTAGTGCTTATTTTGTGCTAATTTGTGCCACTAAAAAAATTTTGTACTACCTGCCGTTTTGACAAAAATCGTGGCGCTGCTAGCTTAATATTAAGCTAGCAGGACCACATACAAAAATAAAATAAAAAAATAAAAAAAGGCTATAAATACAACCGCCAGAATTTGTGCTAATTTGTGCCATCCAAAACAAGCAGCTAAATAGATTAATTCCCCTTGAAATAAGGGCGAATTATATTTATCACGATTGGGCTCAAGAGTAAAGTACCCGTTTTCACGAGCAGAATTCAATTTGAACCGGTACATTCGAAGAATACTAATTTGTGCTTCACAAATGTACACTTACGGATTTTGTACCTCTCACCCCTTCTCTGAAAAACCACCCCCGAGAGCCGTTTGCTCGAGCAGAATTCAATTTGTCATTTGTAAAAGTGAAATTAGTGAAAAACTTAAGTTTTCTAAGTAGAACTTAGAAAACTTGTAGAACTTAGTAGAAGACTCCAATAGTGCGTATGATTGCGTCGAATAGAGAAAAGTCGTTGAGAAAAGTAGTCGAGAGAAAAGTGCAAACTACGAGCGATAATATAAAATATATGTAAAATGAGAGATGTATGTAAAAATATTGTCTTGTTTCACAATACAAACATCCTTTACACACTTGCACGCTGTCTTAAGTCGAGTAGGTTTCAAGGTTTCCAATACTGACTGATTCTGCTGGTGCAAACGGGTATCGGGGGTGGTTTTCAGAGAAGTGATGGGAGGTACAAAATCCGTGAGTCTATATTTGTGAAGCACAAATTAGTATGCTTTGAATGTACCGGTTCAAATTGAATTCTGCTCGTCGAAACGGGTACTTTACTCTTGAGCCCAATCGTGATAAATATAATTCGCCCTTATTTCAAGGGGAATTAATCTATTTAGCTGCTTGTTTTGGATGGCACAAATTAGCACAAATTCTGGCCGTTGTATTTATACCCTTTTTTTATTTTTTTATTTTATTTTTGTATGTGGTCCTGCTAGCTTAATATTAAGCTAGCAGCGCCACGATTTTTGTCAAAACGGCAGATAGCACAAATTTTTTATTAGTGGCACAAATTAGCACAAAATTTGCACTAAATAATGCAAATAGGTCCGAATTGATTCTGCTGATTTGGTCCTGCTAGCTTGACAGAGGTGTTTATATCAATATATGTCTTAAACCGCTTAGTTTTCGAGCTACAGAGTGTTACAATTTTAGAAAGAAAACTTTTCTATCATAATTTTATTGCCATGTCTATAAGCACTAAATAACAATAGTATTGAAATTTATAAACATTGATTTAGTGCTATATAGATTGACAAATTTGCCACATTTGAGAGTACCTATTTGGTAAAAAATTAATAAATTATTTATACATACTTTTAATACGGTGTAAAGATATTGCGTAAAAGTGTAAGATTTCAACATAAAGTCGACTATGAAGCACCATTTCATAGAATGATTAACAGAAACGACGTAACTAAAACGAAAACAATTTTTGATAAAATAGAAACAATCTAACAAAAAAAATATGTCAAAATTTAATGCTATTTTGGCGATATTTTAATATCCCTTAATTTTTAATATCACTTCATTTTATAAGTGCTCAACTGGTTTAGGAATCGATAGCAATTGTAAAACCAGTTTCAAATAAATATCTTTATGATTTTTTGCATCTGAGAGCAATCCTGACCAATTAATTGACTTTTTTTTATAATTATCTATTATATTCATCATTATTGCCAATTAGGAACAAACCTTATTATATCCTGATGTTCTTCAATCAACAAACTTAAATAGTCCTTGGGGGATAAACCGATATTGTCCGTGAATTGCTTAAAATGCTCAAATTTGTAGCAAAGTAACTTCAATCTGGTGGTGGCAAATAAAATTAGAGGCACGATAGTGATATTTAGCGCTAGGTAAACAGCAAAGGTGTAAGCAGAACTTAAAGTCTGGTGCAAAGCTGCTAGGTCTATGTATTGGTATGAGTCGAAAGGGTACCAAACTACTGTAAAAAGCACGTTTTTCAATTCCAACCACAGATACATCGAAAACAGAATCAACTGGATATTGGTAAAACTGTTCAAGGCAATAATTAATTTTGTTAAATTTTTGTTGTATTTCACATCATCGAAGAAAATGTTTCTTAAATTTTGATTTTCTTCTGAAGCTATTCTTTTTTCCACATCGTATATCTCTAGAATTCAGAAGTATACAGGGTGTTTCACAACTTATCCGACAAATTTTAACCACATATGCACTGTTACGAGAGAAGTTAATTTCCCAAAAAAAATGTAATAAAAGTCTTACAGAAATCGAGATAATAAAATAATAGTTTAACAGTTCAAATACTTATACAAGATGTTCAAAATTGTTCCCATTTACTGCAATGCAAGCTTGGGTGCTTGTTTTTTTTTGTTTTAACCATTGTTTTGGTGCAATATTTGCTACAGTAAAGTATTAAGGCAAAATTATGAACGCAAAATGCGGTATTTATTTTTCAATTTTTTATTGAAACTCGGGTTTAAAATTTTATTTCTGTAGAACTTTTATTACATTTTTTTTGAGAAATCAACTTCTCTCTCTTTGAAAAATCTCAAAACAAATGTAATAAAAGTCCTACAGAAATAAAATTATAAACCCGAGTTTCAATAAAAAATTGAAAAATAAATACTGCATTTTGCGTTCATAATTTTGCCTTAATACTTACTTTACTGTAGCAAATGTTGCACCAAAACAATGGTTAAAACAAAAAAAAACAAGCACCCAAGCTTGCATTGCAGTAAATGGGAACAATTTTGAACATCTTGTATAAGTAATTGAACTGTTAAACTATTATTTTATTATCTCGATTTCTGTAAGACTTTTATTACATTTTTTTTGGGAAATTAACTTCTCTCGTAACAGTGCATATGTGGTTAAAATTTGTGGGATAAGTTGTGAAACACCCTGTATAGCATAAAACTCAAATTTATTTAGAATATAAAATGAATAATTACCTGAATAAAGATCTTTAATTTTTTTGGTTTGAAGAAGCCACATCCGTGCTGCAATGGCAATCAAAGTGGGAAGATATTGCAAATTTAAATCCCGATCTGCTTCCGAATCTGTTGTAAGTATACCGATAATGAATAAAGTAACAAATAAATAATAATTTCCTTTGAGAAAATAGGCTAATATTTTGTACACTTTGCGTGAAGTTTCGGTCATTCTTTTAGGATACCATATCGTTGTTAATTCCATAAAAAGCCTCGCTATAGGAAAAAAGTACGTTTTTTCCTCCATTTGATGTATGTAATTGAAACGACTGATACTTTGAAAATCGCTTTTTAAACTAAACGGGGTATCTAAAATAAAAAAAAAATAACTACATATTCGTAATTGGCGCAGTTTATAAAATTGCTAGCGAAATTTAAAATTGTAGTTACTATTTAAAAACTTTATTATCTGTAGGAAACAAAAGTTTGATGCAAAAAAAAACTCCGACGATCAATTCTGAACCAATAATGCTAGATGTTCTGAAATATTTATGATTTGGTTTGCATTTCTACGAGTAGTTGGTATAAAAAATGGTGTAAAGTAAACTCGGTTTTTGATGAATTGATGAAGTTTGGTTTAAAATGCTTGATAATTGGACGAGAAAGAAAAAAACCCCACAGAAACTTGAGCAAATTTATTCAAAAATTAACAACTTCAATTAAAACCAAAAAATAAATAAATTAAAAATTACCAAGTAAACCTCGAAAAATTTAGGTCCTAATTAAGGTACTAAAGAAACTTATCGTGTATTCAAAAGAGCACACTCTCTTTTATTGAAAAAGTACCTATAATGTTTAAAAGACCATTCAAGAGGACTAATCCAATAATTAAGGTCTCCTAAAAAACTAACAATAAGTACTTCAACCATAGACCTATTAACTATGGACGCGGTTTAGACAAAGAGGTAGTGTTGTCGATGAATGAGAGAGATGCAGCTAGTTTAGACATATGACAATGAGAAATTGGACAATGCATTAGCCAATAGTAAGTTAAAGAAAAAGACCACGTGAGTTACGTTTTCAGAAATGCAAGGTAGTTGGGGTAGAGGAGGGTAGATTATGGTAGAATAGGGTTGAGGATTTATTATTTTTTTACCGAGCAAAATGGATTTTTCAGCTGAGCCTAAATTCCCACGCATTTGCAAATACAGTTCTTATTTTTTTATTGTTATTTGGAACCTCCTACCTATTAGCCAGTACAGATTTCACAATTTAAGACCTAACTGCTTTCTCTTGTAAAAAATATGTTTCTTCCAGGTCATTCTTCTGTCCAAGTGGATACCAAGATAAAAACAATATTTAAATATTAAGCGTGTAAATAATTTAACAGATTAATCGCCTTTTTCCACACACCCTGTATATATTTTATATATTTTTTGGTCCCGCCTACTTTTAGCCCAAACTAGCTCCATCTCTCACGGACCTCTCTCTCTATCATTGGGAACGCTGAATAACCTCAAAATAACGATAGTGCCGCGTCCATACTTAATAGGTCTATGACTTCAACGGACCAAATTTGAACATTTTTCGTAAAAATAATTTAATTTAATGAACTTATTCCATTTATATTCATTCCACTCTACAGATCACCATCAGTAAATCCATGCAAAATTGCCGATTCCCTTAAGAAATTCTCTTAATGAACTCTTTCGCAGCATCCGTAGGAATGATTCTCTAAAATCACAAAAGCACAAAACCATATCCAAAGAACGATTATAACGAATCAGGGGCCTGTTTCATATAACTGACAAGTTGACAAGTTACAAGTCGACAAGTTACAAGTGTTGGTTGACAAGTATTTAAAAATTTCGTTTCATAAAATAAATTTCGACACTTGTCGAATTAAATTTTTGGCATCCGTTTTTCTACAATTGTAATATTAATTAAACGTCAGACTTAAGCCAAAAAGAAAAAAATAGTACTTACTATACTGAGGAGCATAAGCATAGCACAACCTTCGTTTTTCGATATTGGGAGACTTTTACTTTGAAATTGTTTTTTTTTTTCTGGTTGGAGCTATTTTTAGATGTGAACCACGACAATTTCGTTTATTGACAAAAAACTTATTTCTAAAATGCAGCAACATTTATTTAATTTTCAATTATTCTAATAAAGAATGGGCATTCTATTTGAAAAATTTAGTCCCACTTCTACAAAAGCTATAAAATGTGAGCATTGGAACGAACAAAGACAATGCATACTTTCTATACGTTGGTTCTATGCATTAGGCGGGGGACCAATAGATTTTATTATTTCCTCCATTTTTATCGAATTCATTAGAAATCGTTTAATAAACTCTCATTAAGCTTCCTCCTCACTGTCGCTAGATCACATTTTCTTTTAAATTTACAAGAAAATCGGATGGTGACAGTAAATCAAATCCCTGTCGCTTTACACTAATATATGATAGGAATAAATGACAAGTGTTGTTTAATTTATTTTTTATGAAACGCAAACCTATCTACAATTGTAAAACATACTTGTAATATTAGGCTAGTCACTTGTCACTAATAATCTAACCGTGTAATTTTATGAAACATAAACTTGTAACTTGTCAACTTGTCAGTTATATGAAATAGGCCCCAGAGCATAATGACAATTTTACCTGTCCTATTCCGACGATAAGCGTTAACAGCGACTTCTTAGGCGGTCTGCAGTACCTTTTCCCATCTTCCTGGCAACACAAATTGGGAAAGCAATCCAACGGCGACTCGCACGGTTTCGGAAACAAGTCCAACAAACCCGGAGGCGGCGGAGTACACTGCATGTAGCCCACCAACGTTCGAATAGCTGTTTTATTTGAACAAAATTTAAACATATATATTTCAACGTTATACAGGGTGTCTATTATAAAAACCGCCAAACTTCAGGAGGTGATTATACAAGTAATTTTGAACAAAAAATGTCCTATAACACTTTTTCGAAAAGTCGATAGTTTCTGTTTTATTTAACATTTCATTATTTAAATTTTTTTTTGTTTTTTTTCCAAAAAGACCGAAATATCACATTTATTCGTATAGTCACATTAATTTTGATCATATACCGTAAAAGTGCATTAAATTTGCTATAAAAATAGTATTTATTAGACTTAAAAAAAAATCAATACGGGGTGTTATAAAAGATTTAATTGCTATGAATATGAAATGAACAAAATTATATGTATCTTTTAATGGTCGTAAAGCCAACAATTTTATAAAATTCATGTTTTTTTTTGGTAAAAACTACTGTATTTAATAAGCTTTTAAGAGGTATACTCAGATATTGAGTAAATTTTTTTTGTAGAAATTTTAAAGGTATATGTTACAAAATACAAAGTAAAATATAAAGTTGTTCAAACAAGAATATCCCGAAAATAAAAATCTACAAAAAATTATTCTGTACAGGGTGTCTACTATAAAAAACGCCAAACTTCAGGAGGTGATTATACAAGTAATTTCGAACAAAAAATTGTCATGTATCACTTTTTCAAAAAGTTGATAGTTCCTCTATCGAGTAATAAAACTACAAAAATAAATCAATATTCATTACTAAATTTTCACAACAGCAACAACAATACTAAATTTTCACTAAAACAAATTTAAGTTAAAACAAGTATTTCCATTAAATAAATTTGAACCCTATAAAAATTGTTCAAAATGTCCTTCTCTTTGTTCAACGCATTTAAGACAACGTTTTCTTACGCAACTAACAACCCTCTGAAGTTCTGTCCTTTTTTGCCTTAATTCTTCACAACATACTCTTATTCTATTAATTAATTCTTCTCGAGAATTAATATTAATTGTATAGACATTAGATTTTAATGTCGCCCAAACGTAAAAAATCAAGGGGTGTCAGGTCAGGACTTCTGGGTGGCCACCTTATTGGACTGTACCTGCCAATCCATTTCTCCCCAAAGTATTGGTTTATCCAGTTTAGAATAATTCTGCCATTATGAGCATGACAACCATCCATTTGGAACCAAATTTCCTGTCTAACAGCTATGGGCATTCTTTCGAGTATGTCAAATAGATGGTTGTTTAATAAATTTAAAAACTCATTAGAATTAAGGCGATTTGGTAGTATTACTGACCCTAACAGAAGGCCGTTAAATAATTCCAACCACACATTCACTCTAAAATCGTGCTGAAAATGTGATACTAAAGTAGCATGAGGGTTTTCCGGCTACACTTTTAAAGACCTGTATCTTCCTGTAACACGCTTATGAAAGATTTTAAGGCAAATTTAGGCATTTTCTTCACATATCTTTCATTTTTTTATACAGAATCACTAATTAATTATTTGTAGATTTTTATTTTCGGCATATTCTTGTTTGAATAACTTTGTATTTTATAACATATACCTTTAAAATTTCTACAAAAAAAATTTACTCAATATCTGAGTATACCTCTTAGAAGCTTATTAAATACAGTAGTTTTACTAAAAAAAACTTATGAATTTTATAAAATTGTTGGCTTTACGACTATTAAAAGATACATATAATTTTGTTCATTTCATATTCATAACAATTAAATATTTTATAACACCCCGTATTGACTTTTTTTTAAGTCTGATATACTTTTTTTATAGCAAATTTAATGCACTTTTACGGTATATGATCAGAATTAATGTGACTATACGAATAAATGTGATATTTCGGTCTTTTTGGAAAAAAACAAAAAAAAATTAAATAATGAAATGTTAAATAAAAGAGAAACTATCGACTTTTAGAAAAAGTGTTAGGACATTTTTTGTTCAACATTATTTGTATAATCACCTCCTAAAGTTTGGCGGTTTTTATAGTAGACACCCTGTATAGAGGCAGTTATGAGTAATCATGAGAACAATTAAAAGTTGCGTCCTTCTTTTAGGAAATACAATTCGGTTTGGTTCATTTTTTGGTAGATATTGAAAGATAATTTCGTAAAAACTTCGCCTCTCTATACTGGAAAAGTATGTACAATTCCTCATGGAAGCAACAAGCAATAATATTTCTCTTTAGAAGAGCAAAAGTGCATACAAAAATATTGAGAGGAGCTGGTCCAATATAGCTCCATCATTATCTCTTTTTGATGCTCTTTTGATCTCCTGGCTCATATTTTACATTAAACTGGGCAAAATAGTCGAAGGCAGGCAACGTGTTAAAAAGAAATTGCTCCTAAACTCGAGTTTGTTACCTCTATGCAAACACCTCGAGAGTTCCTCCAACAAAACTTTCAGTTACTCACGTTCTACGATTTGCTTGGGCGCGGGAATTTTCTCCCAAAGCGGTTGCGCCGTCCTGCAATAACTGACGTTCTTCTCCCCGGACTTTTTGCCCGCGAAAGTCTCCGGGCAGCAAATTCTCGGCGAGCAGTCCTCGTCCTTGTCGCACTCCTTTATCTCCCATATTTCGGCTATCGGTTCCGTGGGGCAGGTTTGCTCGACGAATCCAAATAGAGCGGCTGATACCGAAACAATTCTCGCATTATTCTTTATTAAACATCATCAAATGTAGCTTGGTGCAAAATTATTGCATTTGAGCCTTCTTCCTACTTTTAATTTTGATATACAGTGTGTGTCACGATGAGGGCCCATTAGAAGTATCTGGAAAAGTAGTTGTAATTAAAATTTGAAAATTTGTGTACAAGTATTAGTCGATGCGCTCTATTCAATGAAAATATTTTCAACTTTTCTTTACTTCCGGTTATACCGGAAATGGACAGCAACTTTGTTATTTTAAATGGGACACCCCATATATTAATATATTTTCGAAATGTACGCAAAATTTTAGAGTGCTTTTGTCTAAAAAAACTTTTTTCAAAAATGCATACTTTTTGAGTTACTAATTTTTTTTTTGAAAAATTTGACCGATGCAGACCCTTATAAATTATTTTTTTACGGGGATCCCTTTAAAGATATGGATACGGTTTCTGTAGGGTGGCCACTAGCAAGGTCAAAGGTATTTGAATCTGTGTTAAAAAACTTTTTATTTTATACAGGGTGTTATACTGGTACTTTTGTATACTGGTATACAAAACATGTGAAAAGTTGAACTTCAAAAATACCAAATTATTTAATTTTTTTAAATGGAACGACCTATTTTTTTCTATTTTATTGAAATCAGCGGTAAAAAATTAGGGAAGTTCATGTTTACTTCCCTATACCTAAACTTAATAGTTTTGAAGATATTGAATATTTTACATAAATCTTACTTTTCTGCCTTATTCTTAAATAACTCTGTTTTACAAGTTGGCCATGTAAATTGTTTGTAATTAATTGATTATTAATTTTGGTACTTGTGAGATATTACATGGCCAACTTGTAAAACAGAGTTATTTAAGAATAAGGCAGAAAAGTAAGTTTTATGTAAAATTTTTAATATCTTCAAAACTATTAGGTTTAGGTATAGGAAAGTAAACATGAACTTCCCTTATTTTTTACCGCTGATTTCAATAAAATAGAAAAAAATGGGTGGTTCCATTTAAAAAAATGAAATAATTTGGTATTTTTGAAGTTGAAATTTTCACATGTTTTGTATACACCCTGTATAAAATAAAAAGTTTTTTAACACAGATTCAAATACCTTTGACCTTGCTAGTGGCCACCCTACAGAAACCGTATCCATATCTTTAAAGGGATCCCCGTAAAAAAATAATTTATAAGGGTCTGCATCGGTTAAATTTTTCAAAAAAAAATTAGTAACTCAAAAATTATGCATTTTTGAAAAAAGTTTTTTAGACAAAAGCACTCTAAAATTTTGCGTACATTTCGAAAATATATTAATATATGGAGTGTCCCATTTAAAATAACAAAGTTGATGTCCACTTCCGGTATAACCGGAAGTAAAGAAAAGTTGAAAATATTTTCATTAAATAGAGCGCATCGACTAATACTTGTACACAAATTTTCAAATTTTAATTACAACTACTTTTCCGGATACTTCTAATGGGCCCTCGTCGTGACACACACTATAGGCTAAGCTAAATTTGATGAGGTTTGTGCTATAAGTACTTACGTGAATGTGTGGTCACAGGTTTTGGTGGTTTGACACCCTGTGTGCATCTTTCTTCACAGCATAATATGCTCTTTCCGAATATCGAGCAGTCTTTCTTCGTCGAGCAGGGTAAGGCAAAGAAAGGCCTTTGAACATCCTTACCTGGGCAAACCAATTTGTTGCCTGTAGATTTTTTGGTGGAGTTTTTTTCGACTTTTATATTTGGTGGTAAATCGGCGTCTAGTTTATTGTCTGGAAAAAATAAATTAGGCACTTTATATTCTAAAACATTTAAAACTAATGCTTGAGATAAATACAGGGTATTTCATTGGGAAAGGGCAATATTTTAACCCTATATAGAGGTCACCTAGGGGATTACAAAAAACCCATATACTATGGATCTTGCGCCCATTATAAACGAGTTACAGGGTATTTTTTGAATTTGGCCCATTTCTTTCGACACCTATAACTTTTGAATCACTCAGTATATTTTTTTGATATTTGGCATAGATATTCTATACCTTTAGGACAATTTATTGCAACATTAAAAAAATTATAAAATCCATGCCCGGATTTAGAAAAATTAATAAAATTTGACTGATCCTAAAACAACACCCTATACATCATATTTTTAAAAATTGAATTTCAAATTCAGAAAGAGCATAAAAAATTGAATGTATTCATCACCTTTTTATTTTCCCGCATGCCGTTTTTCTACCAAGATTTAAACGTTAAAATGTACATTATGAGATTTTTGGTCCATGTAAATTGTAATTGAAGGGATTTTAATTATTTTTTCTTTAATAAAACCAGATTTACCTAACACTTTCATAGAAATTCCTGAAATAGACCTATTGAACTTGAATTAACATTCACACAAACCAATAAAAATTACAATTACAGATCCGCACTTAATAAAATTAAAATGATTTCATTTCATTTAATAATTGATCATTGATTATTCAATTTTTACATTTCTACAAGAGATAATTCAAAACTTAACTAAGTAATTTACTAGATTTTTTAAAAAAGATCCTAGAATAAGTATTCTTTTCCAAATATCAAAAAAATATACTGAATGATTCAAAAGTTATAGGTTCCGAAAGAAATGGGCCAAATTCAAAAAACACCCTGTAACTCGGTTATAATGGGCGCAAGACCCATAGTATATGGGTTTTTTGTAATCCCCTGGGTGACCTCTATACAGGGTGTCCCAAAATTCACGCCCGTCCTTTCAGAATATGATTCAGCGGACTAAAACAAATTAAATTTTAAGAATAAAATTTTTTCGTTTTGTCCTTGATAACCGAGTTATTGATAAAAAACAAAAATTTTTAAATTCAACTAAAACTTTAATTAAAACAAAGTAACAAAGAAACATTATTAAACATAAGAACATAAAAAACATAAAAACGAATAATTTATAAAAGGTGTTCAAACAAATCGCCGCCTACTTCAATGCAAACATTCGCACGATTTATAATTGAATCACGAACCCTCTGTAGCATGTTCTCGTCTACAAATGTCACAGGACAAAACGAAAAAATTTTACTCTTAAAATTTAATTTGTTTTAGCCCACTGAATCATATTCTGAAAGGACGGGCGTGAATTTTGGGACACCCTGTATAGGGTCAAAATATTGCCCTTTCCCAATGAAACACCCTGTATAATGCAACACCCGCACATGAAACATAGGCAATAATTAAAGAATAGTGTTAATTGGGAGTAAAAACGAAACGAGTCTTTGACTATAATTTACAATGAGCGTTAACAGTGTTTTTCAAATCAATTAGGATACACTGCAAGGAAATTTATGTAAAATTTCGAAATTTTATTCGAGTACAAGGTTAATCGATTGTCGTACGTTGACAATCTTTTTAATAGTAATGTAGGTGAACAAGAATAGGAAAATAGTAAATTCGTATTGACAACAATTCAATTTTTTACAAATACATAAGTTACAATATTGATTTAGGTATACCCAATAATTCTTAAATACAAAACGTAAAAGTTTTTTTTTATTTATATATCTTTTATATACAAAATTAATCTCCTGATAGCGAAAGGAGTATAGTTAAAATGTAGTCTAGATTTAAAAGAGTTAAATTTTTTATTTCAGACTTATAATTCCTTGACCAGAATGTTAGTAAATTAAATATTTTAATTGAAATAACAGTAGACTGTTGAAAGGTAGATAAAATGCAGTTTCTGTTAGAGACAGAAGGTCGTGCATTTAATTAGTATAACAATTATTACGTAAGGCTATGAATTGACTTTATAATTCGAAATTAAGACACTTAAATAATTTCACAATTTAATTTGTCCTTAAACGCATTCCCTAAATCGGTGAAATTCGCTTCTGCAATTGCTTAAGCGCCATTTCTAACACAATTTAACGTTAATCCAAGGATTAATTTTCTTCAATTAATTATTGATTCTTTATTGAAAAATTGTCTCTAGAAATCTACTTATTCATAAGATCATAGCAAAATCAGCTTCAACGAATTTCATTTTAATAATCAATGTTTTCCATCGAGTAAAAAAGATTCTCGTGCGAATGCAAATCGGAATCCCGCAAGAATAGAAATTTCCGAACAAATCTTCATCATCTTAGCGTTGCGTCAGAAACTCTTGCGATCGTTATGTAACATGCACATGTGCTGTTTTAAAGGACGTAATAATCTGTGATATTTTAACGATATTTCGACTGGCTAGTTAACCGAATTAACGAGAATAGAAAGTAATTATTTGTGTATATGGATCCCCGGAACTTTCTCGTCGTCTTCCTTCCAAATCCTATCGATTTTTATAGACCTATTCAGTTTACGAAAGAGAGTGATGGAGTTATTTGATCAACATAAGAGAATAAAAGAAACAAATATGTTTCACGCGCAATCTGTGGAACCATTTAAAATCTGCGCAAACATAAGTGCAAGAGAGATGAGATATTTGGCCTATTTCTTTGCTGATTGACAGACACATTGAATGATTCTTAGATGAAAACTGTTTTAAATATAAAAAAGAAGAGACCAACTTCAATCTTAACCCTATTTTGTTTCCGTTTGATGTTTGTTTATGTTCAGTGTGTATTATTTTTTAACAGTATTTCTTTGTATTATTTAGTATATTTATTTATAAAGGTAATAATTTTTTGTATAGGTCAATGGGATTATTTTTTTGAAATATATATTATAGCAAACCGATCAAAAAGCATTTTCGGAAACTTTGTACTAACCCTCTTACTCTTTCTTAGACTTGACTTGTACGTAAATATTAAGCCTATAACCCCTTTCTGGGCAGTAAAAACAAATTTGTATCGAGTTACCGTGTCCATTAAATCCGACGGATTGTTGGATAATGACAAATGACGTCTTAAGTTGTCGTTGTCTGGTTGTCAGAACCGTATTTTACCTGAGGTGCGTTCGTTTGTTCGTTTAGATGTCCAGCTAATTGTCCACAGTATGCGCGCGCAGCACAGGTTAAACTGAATAGGTCTATTGCAATTTTTACTATACTTTTAATTGTGTGTTCGTATGCATAATATTAAATACTCTTTTCTTAGAATTTTTTCAAAGATATTTGAAATATTATTTGTCATTGAATGCTCCCCAATTTTAGCGTATTAAATAATTTATTAATGTTAGAAAATTTGCCATTATCATGATGGACTTTTCTAGCTAATTAATTCACCCTCGCCAGTACATTTTGATTCAAAAATTACTCGTTAAATTGTACTTTTAAGTAAACAAACATTCCTTTTAAGCAAAGCCACGGACATTTTACAATAAAACATCAATTTTTTTATCAAAATTTCGAAGCAAATTAATAAAAAAACTCACCTAATTCGAAATCAATCCTGATCCTTTCCTGACTCAAAACTCCTTCGAGCTCTAATGCGAAAACTAAAATAACCGACAATTCAAACCATCCCCTTAAAATGGCGGCGATTTCCATAATTTTGATAGCCCTATTCGCTCGATGCGCCCGCTGCACATACTTTTTATTACCGATGGCAATTTTGTTTTATTATTATTGTTGTGTATATGCTTCAACGGTTAGGAAATACGTATGTTGGGTAAATGTTAAGAGGCAAATGCGCGAGTATAAATGCAAGAACCGGACTTGCTGTTGCTTTCACGTGCAATATCGCAATATCCATTAATACTTACTATACTCTGTAATAAACTATATAAGAAGTGGAAACTCTGATGGATATATAGTTAGGGGAAAAGGGGAGAGATCAAAAAGTAATCAGATTTTTATACTTTTGATGAGTTCAGAGTGGTTAGAGCGATATTCGATGCAATTTAAAAATCAATTGCATACCTCTAGTTAAATTTAAGCTTGTACCAGAGCCTTTTTTTTAGCCCAAAAAAAGGGGCATATGAAGGGAAGCTTTTAAGAACAATAGGAATACATGATATTTTTCTTCAGACACAAATTAAATTAGTTTAACAAAGAAAGGCTTTAATTATCACATATTTTGCATGCGGAGTTGATTTTAAAAACCTCCTCTCACAAATATGGCGGAAGCAGTGCTGTTAAGTAATTAATTACAAGTAATTGAATTACTTTTATTGTAATTGAGGCGGTAATTAATTACAAGCTCCTTAATTGTAATTCATTTGTAATTCAATTACTCCTTTCGTTACAATTTCAATTACATTTTACAATTACATTTCAATTACATTGGACACAAAAGTACTTATTTAATATTTTCAATACGTGGAAAGTTTAATTCCGATTGCAAATCCCTAAATAATTATCTAAAAATGACACCAAAGCAAAGTAATTGTGACTGTAATTGTAATTGTAACTTTAATTGTAATTGTAATTGCAATTAATTACAAACTGCCAAAAGTAATTGTAATTGTAATTAATTACATATTATAAAGTAATTTTAACATCACTGGGCGGGAGAAGGGTCTCCCTCGTCTGTGAATAAGAATGAGTTTATAAATAATTTTTCAATTTAAATCTTTTTAAAGAAAACAAAACAAATAAATTGTAAATAAACTGTAAACTTGTAAAATTTGTAAATATCGTAGAACGTGAAGCAGTTGTGTTCTAAGGTAAACAAGTTCCACGTTTGACAATTCTGACGTGTGACGTGACATATGACATTTATAGTTTTCTTCTCTTTTCGAAGCCTTAAATTTTTAGACTATGCAGCAAACATACCTCAAAAAAAACAGCGTAAATATTCTCAGATCTTTCTGTCTTTTGTGTTAATTGACTTTCACACATTACCAATTCGAGACAAGCTGTAATTCTACAGGGTGTAACACATATTCTGGAGTCAAAATTAGGTCGATTGGCACTTATTTAACCAATTTTTTTAACAACCAAAAGTATTAATGAATCTTCAATTTTTTTTTGATAAAAATCGCCCTATTTTTATATACTTTATTTAAATTATTTATTTAAAATTTATTAAATTATTTCTTTTACGTTCACTAGTTTAATGAATTCATTTTGAACCATTAAATTGACCTTCCAAGAAGTATCTATAACAACAGAAATCGACAAAACCTCGCCCCTTAGCGACGTTAACCATCAACTTCAACGTAAACGTTAGCGATCATCTGCTCATAGAACTCATTAAAATGGTGATAGTCCACGTAAAACACAAAGACACCAGCCAGTTCCTGTACGAAACGACCCTAAAAACCCCCGTGGAGACGTTAATCACCTCCCTGGTGGCGATCTACAACGGCCGGCTAAAAATCGATCGGATATGCTCCGAAATGGAGGAGCTCTCCAAGTACGGCACGCTCTATCCCCCGGAGATTCTCGGCCTGACCGAGGAGCAGGTGGAGGAGATGAAGCTGGAGGACACCTACGGCGAGAAGTGCCTGCCCATGGGCGGCCACGCCTTCAACAAGGACCCCATCGGCCGCAGGAACGGCAAGCAGCCCAATAAAAACATGCAGGAGGTGCTCAAGAAGGCCATAGCCGACGCCAAGGAGATGATTTCCAAGAAACTCGTGCTCCAAGGTGGGCTACAGTTTATGTTTCGAATCCCTCTCGAATCGCTTAATATTTCGCCTTTGCAGAGAAATGTCTAACGATGAAAGTGGTCCAAGAGGCCATAAATCTGCTGAAGGGAGCCGTCACCATAGTGTACCCCATGAAATTGCCGCCCCACGACGTCATTCGCATGGAATTCGAAAACATCGAAGATCTCGCCGGCACCCAAGCCTCCCTCGAAGTCATCGACCCCACCACCGCCCAAATTTGGTTCTGCGGAAAGGAAATGTACAGGTACCCACAAAAATCATTTACATTCGAAAATTTTCTAATTATAATACATACAGTGCATTTCTTTAATGTCCCCCCTCCTTTAATTTTTTGAACGGATCAACTTAGAAAATTTAAATTTAGGATAACAAATGGCGACTGGGCGCCATCTTGAGAAATAAATTTAAATGGAAAGGGGGGTCTTGTGATCATTTTGAAGCTCCTGAAATAAGCTGAGTTCAGTACAAAAAGTGCTCGTAATGGTTGCCTTGAACTTCTTGATACAAGAACAGCCTATCCGAACATTTTCGAACATAGTAACGTCGATATTTCTACAAATATCTGTAATTATTTCTCCTATATCCAATATTGAAGTAGGTTTAGTTTCGTACACTTTTTGCTTCAAATAGCCCCATAAAAAAAGTCTAAAGGTTTCAAATCTGGCGAGCGGGCAGGCCATTCCGTAGGACCTCGACGACCAATCCAACGACCATGGAAAATAGCACCCAAATAGTTCCTTACTTGTCTGGAGTAATGTGGTGGTTTTCTATCTTGTTGGAGTACAATATCCATATCGAATCCATATCCATATCGGTACCTAACTACAATGATAACTAAACAACCGAAAACTAAATGAAAATATTTTGAACACTAGGAAAATCGAAAACTAAAGAGAATATTTTCAACACTAGGAAAACCAAAAACTAAATGAGAATATTTTGGCTAAACAATTAATGTTCGTTGTCGTACTTAAATTTTTTGGAATTTTTTTAACCAAAAATAACCTGTCAAACCTTATCGGTTTGTTGGGATTGCTATTTGGCAAAACAAATAATTCTAGAAAAATTGATATTAATTTGTTTGTATTCAGGTATTTATTAAATGTTCCGCCATTTTGTAATGGGTGCAGATATTGACTTTATATTCCAGGGTTGTAGAGTATTTGTCAGGAGCTTCAAAATGATGTGTTACAAGACCCCCCTTTCCATTTAAATTTATTTCTCAATATGGCGCACAGTCGCCATCTTGAAATTTTCATCTGTCAATTTTACTCCAAAATATAGTAATCATGCATTAGTTTTGTTATCCTAAATTTCAATTTTCTAAGTTGATCCGTTCAAAAAATAAAAGGGGGGGACATTAAAGAAATGCACTGTACATTGCATCGTAACAATCGTTTTTGAATCGAAGAGACAAGCTGGTGGGCGAGTACGTGGGGAGAATCGAAAACTGCAAGGTGGTGATGAAGATAACGAAGAGAGGATCGGGGCCCCCTTGCAGGGAGCCCATCATGTCAGAGGAGGACAGGAAGCAAATGATGCTGCACGCCTACAGGAAGCAGGAGGAGCTGAAGAAACTGGCCCAGGACGATGACGATAATTATTTGAATTCCGATTGGGCGGACGGGCAAAATTTGAAGAGGACTTTCCACGGTTTGCGCAACATCTCCTGGAGACCCTAAATTACGTTGTATTGTATCAACCTTTAATTTATATAATAAATACAAGTTTTAAATGTTTAACAGTGTATCATCGTGTAACCCAATTCAAAAAATTGCTTAAATTTAACACCGCGAAAAGACTGCCGGCAATTTAAAATATTCGAATAAATTATGCACCTGTTATTCTAATCAATTTGTATTTTCATCGGAATGCGATAATAAAACGATTTAGAAAATGTGCCATACATAGTTCATACCTTTTTGGCATGCTCGATTCATATAAAATATCTCCTGTGGTATTTTTCCGAACTCACGAAACTACTGGGGCCTGTTTCATATAACTGACAAGTTGACAAGTTACAAGTCGACAAGTTACAAGTGTTGGTTGACAAGTATTGTAAAATTTCGTTTCATAGAATAAATTTCGACACTTGTCGAATTAAATTTTTGGCATCTGGTTTTTTACAACTGTAATATTAATTAAACGTCAGACTTAAGCCAAAAAGAAAAAAATAGTACTTACTATACTGAGGAGCATACGTATAGCACAACCTTCGTTTTTCGATATTGGGAAACTTTTACTTTGAAATTGTTTTTTTTTCTGATTGGAGCTATTTTTAGATGTGAACCACGACAATTTCGTTTATTGACAAAAAACTTATTTCTAAAATGCATCAACATTTATTTAATATTCAATTATTTTAATAAAGAAAGGGCATTCTATTTGGAAAATTTAGTCCCACTTCTACAAAAGCTATAAAATGTGAGCATTGAAACGAACAAAGACAATGCATAATTTCTATACGTTGGTTCTATATGCATTAGGCGGGAATAGATTTTATTTTTTCCTCCATTTTTATCGAATTCATTCGAAATCTTTTATTAAACTCCCATTAGGCTTCCTCCTCACTGTCGCTAGACCACATTTTCTTTTAAATTTACAAGAAAATCGGTTGGTGACAGGAAATCAAATCCCTGTCGCTTTACACTAATATATGATAGGAATAAATGACAAGTGTTGTTTAATTTATTTTTTATGAAACGCAAACCTATCTACAATTGTAAAACAGACTTGTAATATTAGGCTAGTCACTTGTCACTAATAATCTACTCGTGTAATTTTATGAAACACAAACTTGTCAAATACCCCAATCAAATGTAGACTACACTTGTCCGACAGGACTTCGAAACAGTGACTGCAGCTGCTGTCAGTTATACGAAACAGGCCCCTGATTACAAGTAAATTTATTTCACTAATTACTACACTTATTATAAAACACAAATTAAAAAGTACTTATTTATAATATTACAAGAGGCGTATCAAAAAAAAATCGCTCAATCGCCCTTCCGCCGGCGCATCCTCCGCGCCAACCTCTTCATCCAACCGGGTATCCGCTTCCCCACCTCCGCCTGCAGCTGCCTGAACACCAGCACCAGCAGCACCGGAATGGCCAGCAGCTCGCTCTCGAACAAATACAACCAGCAGGCCACCGCGAACACCGCCAGATCCGTGAGGTAGTCCACGAACCGGTGCACCCGCACCTCGGTCTCGGCCAGCAGCAGCTCGGCCCGCGGCCCCTCGAACGAGCCCAGCCCCTCGGACGTCTGGGTGGTGATCTCCCGCAGCTTGGGGGGCCGCGGGCGGCGCATCGGCGACGGCGATGTCCTCCTGTTGGCGGGGTAAGGAGAGGCGGTTTTTCTCTTCGACGGGGACGCTCTGGTGCTTCGGAGGGCCGAGGAAGCCGGAGGAGTTCTAGGCAAGCTGCCTTTGTCGGAGGATTGAGAGGTTGTCCTGGATCTGTTCGGTCTCAACGGCGATGGGGTTTTCTCTTTTCTGTCGTTACGATGGAATCGCTCTGGTGAGAAAGGTTTAGATGAAGATGCTGGTGAGTTTGAGGGTGATGCTTTCCTGGTTCTACTCGATGATGTAGGAGATAATGCTCTGTCACTTTGAGGTATTTTATAGTTTTCATCTGATTGAGAGGATATCCTGCTGTCTTTCGTACGATCTGGTGATAGAGTTTTCGTTAATTTAGCTTCTACTGCTTGCGATGATGTTACAGTTGAAGTCTGCATCGATTCCTGGGTAGCAACATTCGACTTACTTTCAACTCTAACCGGCGATGTTAAATTCCTGCTACTGTAAGCTGAATACGGATCGTGGTAATTATTAACGCCGGGTTTATTATCATCTTTCGTTTTAGCAGATAATTCTTCCCTGCTCTCGTCCAGTCTCTGCAGAGATTCCCGGCTTTTGTGTACGAACGGGTTCCTCTTCTTGTTGCCGTAGCTTTTGACTATATCACTGTAATGATCCGCCACTACTTTGGCTTCCTCGGCGTCTTTTCTTTTCTCTATCAGCCTGTCGGGAATGACGATGCTGGCGGCGGTTATGCCCGTTATGGTGGCAGCCGCCGAGATGGTTTGCATCAGAAACGACATGGCGGGCTTCTCGGAGCTGTAAATACTCTCCGGCGCCACGTCGATGCTCTTCTCCTCGTTGGGGATCAAAGAGAACGATCTTTCCCGTTTGATTGGAGGCTGTTCTTCGATCAGCGATTGCTGGAACAGTTCCACTTGGGGTAGCAAGGACGTGGCTCTTTGTCTCGGTTGCGGAGGTGGTTGTATGTCGTTGAAGAAAGAGTCGTTTTGGTAGGTAAGCGAAGCGGATCGCTGTCTCGACGTCGGTGTCGACACCTCTTCTTCCGGAATCGTTCTTTGGAGTAGAGGAAGGTTAAGTGAGGCTTCGGCTAGGGATATGTCTTTTTTGAGGAGGCTCGGGGGAATCGGGGAAAGGGATCGCTTCGATTTGGGTGAAGTCGGCGGAGAGAGAGCCGTCGGGTCGGCTTTCTTCAAAATCGGTTTAGGGACGAAGTCCGGACTCGGAGGTTCCTTCTTTTTAGTCAGAATTTCGAACGGTTCCTTATCAGCATCGCTCAGCATTTTCAATCCTTGCGGATGGTACGTTCGATCCTCGGCCTCCTCCTCTTCGTCGCTGTAATTGTACAATTTCCTGCGCAGGCTCTCCTCGTCCTCCTCCTCGTAAGAGGACTCCTCCGTGCTGGATATGTAATCTTCGTCCCATTTTTCTTCATCCGCTACGTGGATTTTTCGCTTCTCCGTGCTGGATTGCGTCTCCAAGGCCATTTTGTTCCTTATACCTTCGAAGAGTTTCTCCTCCATTTCCTCGGACTCCGATCGCTGCCTGTTCATCATAATCGCCCGCTTCTCCTCCCGGCTCAAATCGGACTTCGTCGCCTCCTCGTCGTTGAAAAACCGCCGCCTCAACCGGAGCTGCTGCGTCGTACCGCCCGACAATCTCCTCTTCACCGATTGCAGCCGACCCAGTTCCCGGTCCATCGAATTCACCTGGATCTTCGGTATGTCGATGTTGATACCCTTGCTCTCTACGGACCTCCGGCGCTTCTCCAGCTCCTTTTCCTCCGCCTTGGCCGCCTCGTACAAGCGGCTCGTCGCCCGCTCGTGGAGAATTTCCGAGGAACTGGCGCTCGTCTTGAGCGGGTTGAAAATCGGCCCGGCGGCTCCCAGTTCGGGGGCGGACAGCGACATCGGCGGCGGTACCGAGGCTTCAGAGAAATCGTACTCTCTATGACCTGAAATACACGTAATCGCGCTTAATATAGAAGGTGCAGAACTGGTAAATATGTCTTCGATAACAAGGGATGTATTGCTATTAATGATGTTAAATTTTGGAGGATGCAAATGGAAGAAATACTCATGCAATGGAAGAAATACCTATGAATACTAGATCATATTATTGTCATGTAAAGGAAAGTGTAATGAAATGCGAGATACCTTTTTGATTGTCATCGGGATAGAGCACCAGCATGAACTCGGAGCTGCCGGTTAAGTTTTCGCTGTTTTCCCTGGATAGCCTCAATTTCCTCATCTCTGGACTGGCCGGGGCGTCCGGCGGGGTTCTCTCGCTATTCGTCGGTTGCGGTGGAGGCTCGATGGTGACTTTGAATCGCCTCGTATTAGGACTAGGAGTCCTCGAGTGGTCGGAGCCGCTCGAGACGGTGCTGGCCTCTAACGATTGCAGGTCTTTCTTGATTTTGATGTCGGGACTTCCGTAGGCCAGGTCTCTGGCCATCGAAGACCGGTCGGAGCGTTCGAATATTTCTTTGTTCAGTTTGGTTTCGACGTCGCGCTTGGCCTGCTCTCTTCTGCTCGGCAGAGGAGACGCTTCCGGCGTTTTGGCTTTCGTCCTCGCCGGGCGCTTGGGAGGCTCCGGCGTTAGAGCGGACGAAGATCTCTGTCGGTTGTTCGCTTCGAGCTCCCTCGATTGACTTCTAGCTCGCGGCGGCGGTTGCAGGATGCCTCTTTTGGCGTCGGGAATGAACACCACTTGGGTCTCCTCGCTGGGCTCGCTGATGCCGTACGGACTCTCCGCCTTGATCCTAAATTTATATTCGCTGCCTTCGATCAAATCGCCTACGGTAGTGGTGAGTTGTCTGCTGGTGGCCGCTTTCAACCACACGTCCCATCCCAACCTCAAGTACTCGACGATGTAATTGCCTATTTTACAACCGCCGTCGTCCTGCGGAGTGCTCCACGATAAGGTCACCGATTTCCCCAGAGCCATCACGACTCTAGCTCGACCCGGCGGCGACGGTTTGTCGGTGACGGTCACCAAAAACGACTGGACATCCTCGCCCAGTTTGTTCACCGCTTTGACGGCGTACTCGCCGCGATCCTCGCGCTTGGCGTCGTCGATTTTCAGCACGGAAGCGCCGTCGACGTGCTCGATTTCGTGCGTTTTGATCGACTCCCCGTCGTGCGTCCAAAACACCAACGGAGCCGGCCGACCGGCGATCGACACCTTCAATCGCATCGACTCCCCGATCTCGAACAGCAACCCGTCCTCGTACTGCCTGGGCAGCCGGACGGTGGGCGGCGCGTTCACCGTCAGCCTGGCCTTGGTCGACACGTGACCGGCGCGATTGGTGGCCGTGCACTTGATCTCCCCCTCGTCGGCCAGCGCCGTCTGGTGGATAGTTAGCACGCTCCGATCGGGCTCGGTGAGGATCCGGATGCGGCGGCTGCTGAATATCTCGAAGGCGTCCTTGTACCAGCTCACCTTCGGCGCCGGCTGGCCCAGGAAGTGGACGACGAACTCGGCTTTGGCGTTCTCCAAGGCGACGGTGTCGCGGAGCTCCTGGGTGACGCGCGGCGCCGCGACGGCGCAGCGCTGTAGCGTGACGGTGATGAGCTCGGAGAGGTCGCTGGGGTCGGAGAGGCCGACGGCGTTCTGGGCGCTGACGCGGAATTGGTAGCGCCAGCCGGGCTCGAGGCCGGTGACGGTGAGCTCGGGGAGCGGGACGAGGTGCGGCGCGGCGCGGACCCAATGCGGGGAGCCGGAGCGCCGGTGTTCGACGAGGTAGCCGGAGATGGGGCTGCCGCCGTCGCTGATGGGCTTGGACCAGCGGATGGTGACCAGGTCGGGGGCGGGCTCCGCGTCGGGGACGAGGTGCGGTTTTCCCGGGGCGTACGGCCGGGCTGGAAGGATTCGAACGGTATATAGGGTGTTTCACAACTTATCCGACAAATTTTAACCACATATGGACTGTTACGAGAGAAGTTAATTTCCCAAAAAAAATGTAATAAAAGTCTTACAGAAATCGAGATAATAAAATAATAGTTTAACAGTTCAATTACTTATACAAGATGTTCAAAATTGTTCCCATTTACTGCAATGCAAACTTTGGTGCTTTTTTTTTTTTGTTTTAACCATTGTTTTGGTGCAACATTTGCTACAGTAAAGTATTAAGGCAAAATTATGAACGCAAAATGCAGTATTTATTTTTCAATTTTTTATTGAAACTCGGGTTTATAATTTTATTTCTGTAGGTTTTATTACATTTTTTTGAGATGTCTCAAAGAGACAAAGAGAGAAGTTGATTTGACATCAAAAAAAAGTAATAAAAGTCCTACGGAAATAAAATTATAAACCCGAGTTTCAATAAAAAATTGAAAAATAAATACTGCATTTTGCGTTCATAATTTTGCCTTAATACTTTACTGTAGCAAATGTTGCACCAAAACAATGGTTAAAACAAAAAAAAACAAGCACCCAAGCTTGCATTGCAGTAAATGGGAACAATTTTGAACATCTTGTATAAGTAATTGAACTGTTAAACTATTATTTTATTATCTCGATTTCTGTAAGACTTTTATTACATTTTTTTTGGGAAATTAACTTCTCTCGTAACAGTGCATATGTGGTTAAAATTTGTCGGATAAGTTGTGAAACACCCTGTATTTATCATCTTTCGGAATGGGTTTGTGGATTGGTGGGTGAACGTTGAAGTGGGGAAAATACGGGGTGTTGATTAATAAGTGGGACAAAATTCAGGTGGTGCATAAAAAAATAATGATATTTTACTATATAAACATACAGGGTGTCCCAATAGTGCGGTAAAGCTAATTTACTCAGTTATTATAATAGCTACGAAAAAATGATAAATAGGAAAAATGTTAAGCACTTTTAGGCGCACAATTTAAAATTATTTCGAAATATACAGGGTGACCCATAAATCGAAGCCATACCAAACATACCTTTTTTTAAAGGCATAGATATATTTTTTATTTCATATTCGATTTCAGCTCGTATTCACGAGTTTCTCAATATAAGATTTCATATGACTATACTGAGTATTTAAAAAGTTATGGCCATTTTTATGTTCAAATCGACATGATTTCAAGGCCCTGTACATCAGAATCTGTATCAGATAATGTGAATTTTTCTGTGTCAGCACTTTTTGAAAATGGTCTATTTTCACAAAAAATAGTTACATTTTGCCAAAATTACAATTTGTATACAGTGTGAGTCAAAACGCAAACATAATCATTACTCGCTTAATTTAAATGGAACACCCTATATTAATAATATCCAATGGGAAGTCTATTTGTTACTGAATCTTTTTTCATAACATTTCCCTATACCTAACTGTCACCGTTTCTGAGATATTTTCAGTTTTATTAAAAAATGTCCAGTTTTTGATGTTATAATTTCATTTTGATTGAATTACCATGTAGATAACATGTATTAGGAAATGAAAAATACGCGTTAAGATATTTAATTTTTTTACTCGAAAACAGCGGCCCGAAATTGAACGAGGAATTTATTTATAATTGAATTTTCAATAAAAATGCCTCAGTGGCGTACCAATATAATTTTTTTCTTTAAAAAAATGCATTATTACCCGTATGCGCGTCAATGATGAACATAAAATTATTAATTTTACGTCAAAAAATGCGTAATAGTTACCTCTCAAAATCCACCAAATTTCATTTGAATATCTCGTCTGGTTCCAGAGAAATAAATAAATCTTCGGTTTTTAAGAAGAAACTTATTATTAAAACAAATTATTTTTTCTAGCAGAATCAACCCCTGAAATTTGTCGCACTTATTAATTAACACCCTGTATAACACACATTTCGGAATAATATAAGATTGTAGATAGAAAATTTGTAGTAATTGTACATTCATCAGGTCCTAATGGACCTTCAAATCGTTAAGTTTTCACGTGTGATAATGTAAAATTTGGTTTTAGGAAAGTCGTGATGTGCAACTAAATATATACAGTCACAATAACGTAATTTACGTACATCACTGGCTACAAATATGTACGAACCTCTGGAAACCTTGGAAAATTTATTGGCGAAGCAATTTCCTAATATTCCTGCATTAAAAGACAAATTGAAAATTAATTTAATTCATTAATACTTGCAACAAACATAAATATCATCAAACAATTATCTCCACATTTTTTAAAACATACAGTGACTATGTAATGAATAAATTCATTTTCTCAGTTAATATACAGTGTGTCCACGGATGAGGTTGCCTGTAGGAGAAAAATTTTTATTATTCATTTTACGACAAAAAGTCATTGTTTATAAAAATTTTTGCTTCTTTTAAAAATGAGAATAACACTGAAAAATCTTAGATTGGATCTACAGGGTGTTGTCAAATTAAGAAAACATGAAAATACCTCAAGAGGGAAGTACCGTTATTTTTTATTTTACACAAAATTTTAATAAAGAAAGTTGTTTATAATCTAAAATAAAGCCTGAATACAAATTTACAAACTTAAATTCAAATTTTGTGTGTCCCTAGATAAAGTTGACCAAATAACAAAAATGGTTATTATTAATTTTACGACGAAAAGCCATCTTTATAAAAAAATTAACTTGTCGAGAAAATGAAATTCATATATCAAAACATTAAATAAGACGTATAGGGTGTTAGTAAATTAAGAAACAGGAAAAAATTTCAAGAAAGAACGAAAGAATTTTTATTATCTTACATAAAGAAATTATTTATTTATTATCTTACATTATTATTTACAAAAAAAAATGCTTTTAATCTCTCTTTTAATCTTCTCTTTTTTATAAAGAATTACTTTTTTTTCGTAAAATTAATAATCATTTTCTCATCTGGTCAACTCCATCCGTGGACACACAAAATTGGAATTTTAATTTGAAAATTTGTAATTAGGCTTTATTTTAGATTATAAACAACTTTCTTTTATAAAAATTTTGTGTAAAATAAAAAATAATGGTACTTCTCTCTTGAGGTATTTTCTCCTAAAGGCAACCCCATTCGTGGACACACTGTATCTATGATAGAAAAACGCCGGAATAGATTAATTTTTGTTTTGTAAATCGAATTTAGTAACTTAAAATTTTCACATCTAACTGTAATCCCCCAGAATGAAATTTATTTTTCAAATTAAAGGGTATAGGCTTGTGTCACCTTTTAAAGTGGAAATATAGCACTTATAAACAAATATAGGTCATTTAAAAAATCAACCGTTTTTATTAATTTTTTATACCGAAAAGGTCACCAATGTTAATTTAATATCTGCCTGTGCAATTACAAAACATTACTGCAAAAAAAACAATAATAAAGTGGCATAGATAGATGTCAGAATCGCTTATCTGGTTCAATTACTCACTTCATTTAGATTAAGAAGCGCATTTATTGCAACAGCTTGTTTCTATTTAGCGATTAGAACCCAATAAAATAAAACTACAGGAAATATATCAACACACAAATTCCATATCGAAGCCGAGCAGCATTAAAAACATTCCAATCCAAGCGAAATTAACTGGTGTAACGCGGATAAAAATATACAAAACAACCAATCCGATCCCAAAAATAACGTAGTCACACTCCCGATTCGAGTTAATAAAAGCGATCAAATCTAATCTAAAACAATCCGGGATGAGAACCGGATCCATCTCACCTGCAGCCTTCCAATGCACCTGCTTCTTGTTCCGCTGCCGGGGATGGGGATGGGGTTTGATCTGAGCGTTCCCCATAATCGCTCTCGTCACGACATCGTCACCTCACAGATTATAAGGCTGGCCCCGACTGGTATTTTTAGAATTCGAGAGCCCAACGTTGGGGAAACTCGAACACGAATCGAACGAGAATTGGCAACGGGCGGGTTCGATTTCGGGAATACAATCAACAGAAACGATGGGATTATACGATAAAAAAATTAGTCGTTGGACGTGTAGGATGAGATTAATGCCTGATTTCGCCAACCAGTTCCTAAAGTTAGGTAATACCTAAACAGGATTTAGGAATGCCTAAGTACAATTTGCGTTTCACCATGCACTAAGTAATACCTAAAGGTAATAGGAAATGCTTAAAGTTAGGACAGCTGACTGTGCTTGCCTAAAACATTTAGGAAATACTTAACCATACTTTCCATGTGATTTCATGTGACTTAAGACTTGACTGTCTTTACACTCTTTAGATGAAAATTTAAAATAGGAGGAGAGTTTTTAGAAACTGGACGAAACTGATTTTTTTTTCGCCTTTTTCGATATATAAAAATACGGCATTACAAATATTAGAATGAATTGAATATGATTTTTAATTTGAAACACAGGAAGTTTTTGGAACTATTGACCGTACACATGCATGTAAAGATCCATTGTCCTGGAGAAGAAGATGTAGAAATATTTTACAAATCGGAACGGTTATTTTTCTAATAATGTACAGACTACATCTTCAGCAGATTTAAAAATAACTAACATAGTTTAAAGATGGCCCGGATCGTCAACATCTCTTTTTTTCCCTCAACATATTCAATTTCGATCTCCGCTTATTCGGTTTACAAGTCAAAATTAGCCAATGCTACCAATAAAATTCAAAAAATTGTCGAAATCAAATTTTTACCTAAGGTATTTCTTAGTAAGGGATTTCTAATGTTGGTGAAATTCGATTTAGGTAAGTATTCGATTTAGCCACGTACGATAATTAAAACTGGTTACAGTTCAAATAGTTTAGTTTTTTTGATCACGTGGTGTCAGTTTAAAAAGTTAGAAATAATAATTATGGCACACTCCAGTGCGAGTTTTCATCATATCGACATTAGTTGTATATAATTATTTTACATTAAACGAGTTTGCAGGGAAAGTATCGTCTTTTATTTATTAAATATTGGAAAACATCATGGATTTACTATTTTGTTTAAGAATATTTACCGTTATTCAACTGTTGATATGTTTCATTATCAACTTGCACATCGAATTTAACATTGCAATATTCTAATTCAATGTTTTTAATATCGTTGTATGCAATTTTGATCAAAAAAAACTTTTTTGAAATAATAATAATGTTAATGATGAACACATAAAGCGAAACAAAACCATAATATTTCCCAAGTGAGGTGAGGTTATACAGGAACTTCATAAATGACACTAATGACAGCATAACGACTGGGTTAACTCGATTTTAAACGAGTGCAAAAAGTTTTAAACTATTTTCACTTGCATCGAATTATCGTACAGAGGTCAGGTTAAAAAAGTGCAAAAAGTTATGAATTAAAAGACACACTCAGTTAAAAAAGTTACAAAAGTGCGCAATTATCGTACGCAGCATAAGTAATTCCTAACTTAGAAATTACTTAGTTAGAAAATGCCTAAGAACATATTGGTGAAATCGGGCATAATACAATTCAAACAAAATAACATTCGAAAACTTTAATGAAACGCAACAAAATACAAAAGTGTAAAATTAAATGTAAACAATAAAAACGGAGAATCAAAGTTTGAGTTCGCCCCAACCCAAAAATATGTACAACAGCGAAAAGAAATCGTACATGTTCAGTCCCATCTCCTTGAGCTCGTCGAGCATCGTCCTCACCTCGGCGATCCGCAGCACATTCTCGAATATCGTCCTCGACATCGGCTCCGCCAGCTTCTCGAGCAGCAGGTGGATGTTCGGGTTCTTCTGCATCTTCTCGTTGAACTTCACCAGTATGTCGGTGACCGGTATGGAGTCCTCCACCTCGTCGATGAAGCTCGTCAGGTTCCGCTTCGCCTCCTCGTTCTCCGGCTTCTCGATGGTCACGTTGCTGACGAAGGCGTCGAAGCAGGTGATGATCGAATCGATGGGGATGCCGAACGAGGAGAAGTGCTCCTTGAACGCCAGCCATTCGGGCTTCGCTTGGATCACCTCGACGAGGTTGATCCATTCGGGCGACATCATGAACTTCACCGCCTGCTTGAAGCCGTCGTCCTCTCGCAGGTGCCGCTCGGCGATGTCCTTGATCTTGTCGGTCGGGATCATCTCCATGATTTCGAGCAGGTCTTTTTTCAGGTAGATCAAGTCGATCGCGGCGGCGGAGGCGGAGGTGGTGTTGGTGGAGGCGGTGGTGGTTTCGTTGGTTCCTTCGACGGGGGCGGCCGAGATGAGAGCGCTCGACAGCAGGCAGCTGCAGGTGATGATGAACCACTTCATGATCGAGTTGAGTTGTTGCGACTTCGACGGTTCGATGAATACTGATTGATAGGTGGGTTTGAGAGGTGCGCAAAAGTGTCGCTTGGATACGATCACTTTGGTTTCTAACGTTGCGAATTCGCTCTATCAGGCTTTTATACTCGGCGAGTGATGAACACTTGCGTCGGATGCCTCGAGTTCCGGGGATTCTTTGCACATTTTTCGTGGCGATTATGCATATACTGGCCCGTATTCAGCGCCTCATTTTTAAAGCTAACGCGTCTTTAACTTGACAGTTTCACGTTGTTGTTATGGAGTAACTATAGGGACTTTGGTTACGTTAAAGAGATCCTCTCTAAAGCCATTTATAGGGTTAAAGTGAGGCGATGAATGTGGGTCATATTGTGCAAAAATGAAGGAGACGAGAACATTGAGTTAATCCTGTAATATCTAAATTTATGCGATATCATTGGACAAACTTTTTATACAACCCAAATTCAAGTCTGATCGAATTGAAACACTCCAAACCATAGGATGTCTCCAATTTACTGAATAATTACACTTATTCCTTACATGTTCACTCTAACATGCTAGTTATGCGATAAGATGATTAGGTGAATATTTTTTCCCAATTCACCGCTAAACACTCTCTACCTGCTGGAAAATGCTTCCTGAGTAATACTGAATTCCATTAGTAGTATTAAATAATGTAAAATAAAAAACCTAATTTGTAGTCCTGTATGTTGCATGGAAAATGCAAATAGAATATACCTTGAATTTTTTCACGAGCGTGCTTTAAATCGCCAGTCAGTCGTGATTGAGTTATCGAACGAATATTTTTGCGCACCGGGGCATATTAGAGATAGGTGTAGAATTATTATTTAATGTCGAGCATTTATTATTTATCGCTTATTGATGCACATTCCGAAATTGATAAGATTATTTATTAGGAAGTTGATGTAGAACCGATTTTTAACAATATTACTCGCCTTTTATTCGGCAATGAAGGTTTTATAGGCGATTTTGAAATGAAAGAAAGTACTAAAATCTCCAATTTTTCATTTTAAGCCAGGATATGTAAATGATCTACAAACACTAGGAAAGTGGATGTACAGGGTGGCACATTAGTATGAAAAAGCTCAATATATCTATAAAAGTTATGACCACTTTTCCACGAAAATCGTACTAAGTTTACCACTCTGTTGAAACTAAATGGATTGAATTGAAATTAAATTTCAGGTTTTACAACATTGCAAATATCCTGAGAATGTACAAAATGAATATTTTTTGTCAATTTTAATCATACTGCTTACAGGGTGGATCCAAACGCAAAAGTAACATTTTCTCTGTTAATTTAAATGGATCACCCTATATTTTATATCTTTAACAGGAAGTATTTTTGAAGAACTTTCATTCTTAATAACCATTCCCTATACCTAAAGTTAACACTTATCGAGATATTCCGATTAAAAAAAAACTAGAAAGGAATACTAAAGAAAAAAAATTAAGGTTTCTTTTTGATCGAAGTACACGTTACAGAAAGAAGTAAGAAACGTCAATTAAATACTATCTGGTATGATTTGTCGGTATTGCCTCCACAATTTGTAAAAATTAGAATACAAAATGAATTTTTCTATTGAACAATTATTGATGGTTATGATTTGGGTATTGGGAGAAAGTTTAGAGAATTTGTTGGTTTGCCAAAAGGATTTGCCATGAGAGATATCCTGGAGGAATACAACCTAACAAAAAATTCTTTGAAAAATGTCTAGATTGTCTCAATCGTATGGCTTCAGCTGCATACGAAAAGCCAGAATGTGAAAAAACTATTATAAACGAACAAAATGGACCAAATTATTATTAATAATTGATATTAGCGACTGTTATAAGTCGCAATAGACACAATAAAGTTATTTGTACCTACACGATTAGCGATTAGTATCTGGTGATAGGTGAGTCCAATTAAAGAATATTGAAATATCTCGAAAAATATCAAATTTAGGTACAGGGAAGGTTTATTAGGTATAGACAATTTTTATCAGAACTTCGGTTAAAAAGGAAAGCTTAATTTTTTTTCTTTAATTTTAAGTTCTAATTTTTTTAAGTGAATTATCTCGAAAAGTTTTAACTTTAGGTATAGGGAATGGTTAGTAAGAATAAAAGTACTTCAAAAATACTTCCTGTTAACGATATAAAATATAGGGTGATCCATTTAAATTAACAGAGAAAATGTTACTTTTGCGTTTGGATAAACCCTGTAAGCAGTATGATTAAAATTAACAAAAAATATTCATTTTGTACATTTTCAGGATATTTGCAATGTTGTGAAACCTGAAATTTATTTTCAATTCAATTCATTTAGTTTCTACAGAGTGGTAAACTTAGTACGATTTTCATGGAAACGTGGTCATAACTTTTAAACCACTCAGTATTACGTTATACAAAATTATATTTTTGGAAAGCTGAAAACGAGCTAAATTCAATTTTTAAATAAAAAACAGGGTGTTCCATTTAAAAAAGTATAAGTTTGATCTACTACGGAAAAACGGGACAATCTGTATAAATGTAACTAATTTTAAAAAGTGCAGCTTAAAAAGATCTACAACTTTTTGTAATGACGTTTTTTTAGATATCTTCTACAATAACAGATATATTGAGCTTTTCCATACTAATGTGCCACCCTGTATAATGCATCTTAAGCATTAAAAAAATCTCCTCAAACTACCTTTGGTAATTTTAATTTATTTAACATTATCAATCGTCTCTAAGTAGTAATTAATACAAATTTACATAATCCTTTCGTAGAATAGTAAATACGCTTGAGCTGATAGCACTTTCGATTCGGACACTTCGGACACGTGCGAATCGCTGATGTAAAACCATTTGCCGGCCGGCGCTTCCGGCTCCCCGTCCTTCGACATCTTCTCCTTCTGGTTCTTCGGCAAATACTGCCATCGATGGCTGTCCCCGTCCAACGGCGGTCTCACCTTGATGTAGGCCACGTAGTGACCGCCGTGGATGCTGCCGCTGTGCTCCACCACCCCGTACAGCGAATAGAGCACCTTCGTTTGACCGGCCTCGAAAGTGGGAAGGTTCCGCGAGCGCTTCGAGCAAAACGGCGCCAAGTCGAGCAACGTCGTGAATTGGACGTGCTTGTTCACTTTCGCCGAACGGAATCTGTATACCTGCAAACGAATATGGCGATGAGTATCAGGCAGATATACAGATTGGTTCAATTCAGACTGCGATCTGGGGCCTGTTTCATATAACTGACAAGTCCTGTTGGACAAGTGTAGTCTAAATTTGATTGGAGTATTTGACAAGTTTGTGTTTCATAAAATTACACGAGTAGATTATTAGTGACAAGTGACTAGCCTAATATTACAAATATGTTTTACAATTGTAGATAGGTTTGCGTTTCATAAAAAATAAATTAAACAACACTTGTCATTTATTTCTATCATATATTAGTGTAAAGCGACAGGGATTTGATTTCCTGTCACCATCCGATTTTCTTGTAAATTTAAAAGAAAATGTGGTCAAGCGACAGTGAGGAGGAAGGTTAATGAGAGTTTATTAAACGATTTCGAATGAATTCGATAAAAATGGAGGATATATTAAAATCTATTGGTCCCCGCCTAATGTATAGAACCAACTTATAGAAATTATGCATTGTCTTTGTTCGTTCCAATGCTCACATTGTATAGCTTTTGTAGAAGTGGGACTAAATTTTCCAAATAGAATGCCCTTTCTTTATTAAAATAATTGAATATTAAATAAATGTTGCTGCATTTTAGAAATAAGTTTTTTGTCAATAAACGAAATTGTCGTGGTTCACATCGAAAAATAGCTCCAACCAGAAAAAAAAAAACAATTTCAAAGTAAAAGTTTCCCAATATCGAAAAACGAAGAGGTGCTATACTTATATGCCCCTGGGGCCTGTTTCATATAACTGACAAGTTGTCAAGTTACAAGTGTTGGTTGACAAGTATTTAAAAATTTCGTTTCATAAAATAAATTTCGACACTTGTCGAATTAAATTTTTGGCATCTGTTTTTCTACAACTGTAATATTAATTAAACGTCAGACTTAAGCCAAAAAGAAAAAAATAGTACTTACTATACTGAGGAGCATAAGTATAGCACCACCTTCGTTTTTCGATATTGGGAGACTTTTACTTTGAAATTGTTTTTTTTTCTGGTTGGAGCTATTTTTAGATGTGAACCATGACAATTTCGTTTATTGACAAAAAACTTATTTTTAAAATGCAGCAACATTTTTTTAATATTCAATTATTTTAATAAAGAAAGGGCATTCTATTTGGAAAATTTAGTCCCACTTCTACAAAAGCTATAAAATGTGAGCATTGGAACGAACAAAGACAATGCATAATTTCTATACGTTGGTTGTATACATTAGGCGGGGACCAATAGATTTTAATATTTCCTCCATTTTTATCGAATTCATTCGAAATCTTTTATTAAACTCTCATTAAGCTTCCTCCTCACTTTTGCTTGACCACATTTTCTTCTTTTAAATTTACAAGTAAATTGGATGGTGACAGGAAATCAAGTCCCTGTCGCTTTACACTAATATATGATAGGAATAAATGACAAGTGTTGTTTAATTTATTTTTTATGAAACGCAAACCTATCTACAATTGTAAAACAGACTTGTAATATTAGGCTAGTCACTTGTCACTAATAATCTACTCGTGTAATTTTATGAAACACAAACTTGTCAAATACTCCAGTCAAATTTAGACTACACTTGTCCGACAAGACTTGTCAGTTATATGAAACAGGACCATGGTCGTTTCTAAGAGTTGAACAGTTGTCAGAGTACAAAGATTCAATGACACAATTTTATGAATTTATGAATGACACTGGTTGGGGATGTGATTGTAATAAAAGTACTACAGTTACCTGGAATCGTTTTAAATGCAGTATTAGCACGGCGGGAGGGTTGTAGATGAGCAACTGCTTGGAGGCGTCGGTGTAAACGGTCTTCTTGTCGGGGCCCCCGCGCCTTTTGGTGCACGAGGCGCAGCCGACTTTGTTGTTGCCGGCCATCAATTCGCATTCGGTGAACTGGTTCAAGCAGGACTGCACCGAACATTCGCCCTCTTTGCATTGGTAACGGGGCGAAATCGTGCCGGTGTAGGAATTCTCGTCGTCCTCCTCCTCCTCTTCATCTTCTTCTTCGTCGTCTTCGGCCCCGTCGTCTTCGTCCATCTATCGAAAAAAACGAATGCATGAGTGAGGTTTCTTGTAAATATGTATACTGCTCCAAAAAAGTTGAGGAAGTTCACAAATATTAAGATTAATTTAAAAGTTGCAGGTTTTTTGATCGCCAAATTTAGTATGAATTGTAGAGGTAGGGGCACAAAATCCACTCACATATGAGAGAAAACATTTAGATTCGCATATTTGAAAATTTGGTGCCCAAAAAGTCTGTAACTTTTAAAATAATCGCAAAATTTGCGAACTTCCTTAACTTTTGTGGAGCAGTTTATACAGAGTTGGGCAAAAGTCCGGAATAAAATTATTATCTTTTGAACCAGTAATTTAAACAAAAAACGCTGAAACACGTGAATTGGTTTTATATTGGACGGAGTTGTTGCCAATAAAATGATTTTTTTTTCTTCAACCCCTTAGTTGCCACCCTACTCAACTTTATTTGTTCAAATGCAAAGGTATGTCGTGTGTAGGGTCATTGAAAAGCCCGTGAAAAATGGAATCTAAAACATACCTTTTTTTATTTTTTCTCATGTTGTTATTTGGAAATGGACAAAAATTTCTTTTAAAAACAAAAAAGTTACAAATACTTTTTTAGTGCTATCGACGTAGCAATGTTGAAAATGTCCTTCACCATCTACTTGACAGGCTCCCAGGCATTGGTAAAACGTAATCTCGATAGCATATCTTTAATTCTAAATGACTTTTTAATAAAAACAGGCGAACCTTTGGTAAAAAAACTTGTACAAAAATACAACACCTTTTTTCCTTTTTAAAGTTCACTGATTAACAATGGCTTAAAATTAAACCCATTTTATGTTTTAGTGTTTTCTTAAAACATAAATTTCAACGAATGTTGATGCTAAGTTGTCTTATCAGTTTTAAACGGAAAATCAATAAAATTTGGTGTGCTGCCTTCCCAGGCTCGCCTGTTTTTAAAATAAAATCATTCAGAATTAAAAATAGGCTACCGATATTAGGTTTTACCATCGCCTTGAAGCCTGTTAAGTAGTGGGTGGATGACATTTTCAACATTTCTACGTCGATAGCACTAAAAAAGTATTTGTAACTTTTTTGTTTTTAAAAGAAATTTTTGCCCATTTCCAAATAACATGAGAAAAAATAAAAAAAGGTATGTTTTAGATTCCATTTTTCACGGGCTTTTCAATGACCCTACACACGACATACCTTTGCATTTGAAAAAATAAAGTTGGGTAGGGTGGCAACTAAGGGGTTGAAGAAAAAAAATCATTTTATTGGCAATAAATCCGTCCAATATAAAATCAATTCACGTGTTTCAGCGTTTTTTGTTTAAATTACTGGTTCAACAGATAATAATTTTATTCCGGACTTTTGCCCAACCCTGTATACAAACATGTACGAGTTAAATGCGTTTAAGTGCCGTTAGAAACAATGCGATTTGTTGTATGCAGGTCGAAAAAATTGATCTATCGCAACCACATTTAGAATGTTTCGCAAGCTAATCGAAAAACCAGCAATCAATCAATCACTCAGACAGATCGATTCGACGGAATCATTGTTGTTTGTTTTTTTTTTTTGGTTATTCGTGCACTACCTTTTCGTCCTCACGTTCGACCGGAGGACCGCACGCGCCCTCCATATCGCAATCTTCGTCTCGATTCGACGGCTCCGTCGTCTTGCCGGAGCTATCGGCATTTACAACGCTAAGTTTTTCGAGTTTTTCAAGCTCAACTTTTATATCCATTTCGATGGTACTTACAAACGCCAGTCGCGATTCGGGCCGTTCGAATTCGTCCGCCGGCCTGAAAAATACATACAAATTACAATACAAAAGTCTCTTTATTATTTCACTAAATACTCGTTAATCTTCTCGATTATTCGAGGACAATATGGCGTGTTTGTAAAAAGAAGCCAAGGCTTTTGCTTTGAAAAAAATGAAGGAATTGCTTCGAGGTATAGAGTGTGTGTCACGACGAGGGCCCATTAGAATGTAATATCTCACAAGTACCAAAATTAATAATCAATTAATTACAAACAATTTACATGGCCAACTTGTAAAACAGAGTTATTTAAGAATAAGGCAGAAAAGTAAGATTTATGTAAAATATTCAATATCTTCAAAACTATTAGGTTTAGGTATAGGGAAGTAAACATGAACTTTCCTTATTTTTTATTGCTGATTTCAATAAAATAGAAAAAAATGGGTGGTTCCATTTAAAAAAAAATGAAATAACTTGGTATTTTTGAAGTTCAACTTTTCACATGTTTTGTATACACCCTGTATAAAATAAAAAGTTTTTTAACACATATTCAAATACCTTTGACCTTGCTATTGGCCACCCTACGGAAACCGTATCCATATCTTTAAAGGGATCCCCGTAAAAAAATAATTTATAAGGGTCCGCATCGGTCAAATTTTTCAAAAAAAAATTAGTAACTCAAAAAGTATGCATTTTTGAAAAAAGTTTTTTAGACAAAAGCACTCTAAAATTTTGCGTACATTTCGAAAATATATTAATATATGGGGTGTCCCGTTTAAAATAACAAAGTTGATGTCCACTTCCGGTATAACCGAAAGTAAAAAAAAAGTTGAAAATATTTTCATTGAATAGAGCGCATCGACTAATACTTGTACACAAATTTTCAAATTTTAATTACAACTAATTTTCCAGATACTTCTAATGGGCCCTCGTCGTGACACACACGACGGAGCAACCTGCTGTTGCTTTAAACCAAAAGGTTTTATGATTTTAAAACCTTCAACAAAGGTTCTTTCTCTTACTTTTTGCTTCTACCTTTTACTTCAAAGCAAATGCTTTGTCTGAATGCTTTTTGCTTTGCAAATTGAAATGTGGTGTATACACTGTGTTATTTATAAGATGCGACATAGGGATTCCTGTACAAATGTGTCAAAAGCAAGGTAACTTTTTTATCAAATAACGTTCGTAAAAAATAATGACAGATTTGAAAAGATCGTCAAAAAATAAGTCGAAATGGATATTAAATTTTCTTAAATTCGTTCTGGATTAATAAAAAAATGTATAATTAAGTTGAAAAAAGTCATACGTCATAAATGTGTCATTTTTATGTCGGTAAAATTGGCGGAGTTAGCCGGGATGGTTTACGCTCTGAAATTTAAAAATTTTAGCGGGAAGTAATGTGGTTCAATCCCTGCGCAGTAAAGTAATTTGTTTTCTTTTTTTTTGGTTTTTTTCTAATGTTTTTGTCTAAAAAATGTTAAATAGAAATATTTAAAATAAGACGAGCTTATTTGAGATATAATTTTATTTTTATTTAAAAAAAAGCTCCGACCAGTAAGTGTCAATTTTAATAACGCAAAATCTCGTTAGTAGGTAGAGCCTTTAAAATGATGCCATATTTTTATTCTTGACAAAAAAAAACATTAAAAAAACAAAAAATGCAAAAGATGCAAAAGAAAAAAAGAAAAATAAATTTAAGCACTGCGTGGGATTGAACCAGATTCCTTACCGCTGAATTTTTCAAACTTCAGAGCATAAACCGATCCAGACATCTCCGCTCCTTTTAACAATTATTAGATAGTATTTAAATAAAAATAAAATTATATCTCAAATAAGCTCGTCTTATTTTAAATATTTCTATTTAACATTTTTTAGACAAAAACATTAGAAAAAACCAAAAAAAAAAGAAAACAAATTACTTTACTGCGCAGGGATTGAACCACATTACTTCCCGCTAAAATTTTTAAATTTCAGAGCATAAACCGATCCAGACATCTCCGCTCCTTTTAACAATTATTAGATAGTGACATAAAAATGACACATTTATGACGTTTGACTTTTTTCAACTTAATTATACATTTTTTTATATTAAACCAGAACGAATTTAATAAAATTTAATATCCATTTCGACTTATTTTTCGACGATCTTTTCAAATCTGTCATTATTTTTTACGAACGTTATTTGTTAAAAAAGTTACCTTGCTTTCGACACATTTGTACAGGAATCCCTATGTCGCATCTTATAAATAACACAGTGTATACATAAAAAGAAGTGAAGGAAGAGAGGTTCTGCTTCGAGCACCCTGCTGTTCCTTTAAACCAAAATATTTTATGGTTTTAAAACCGCTTTCTCTTACTTTTTGCTTCTACCTTTTACTTCAAAGCAAATGCTTTGTCTAAATGCTTTTTTCTTTGCAAATTGAAATGTGGTGTATACAGAGTGTTAGATCTAACGCGGAGCAATCTCGCTACGGGATAGCCAATACGAAATTCATTAGCGAAACAAAAACAGAATTAAAAATCGCTTGTTTCGATCGCGCATCGGTCGAGCCTCCCTTCCAGTCGCTACGTCGGGAGTGGCTTCTTCTAATATTCTCTCTTTCTTAGATATATGTACATACAGGTCGTACGAACTGATCCGCTGCAAGCATTAGAATTAGAATCTCAATCAATACTATAAGATAGTAAAGAACAGAAACTTGTTTATCGGTTGCCGGCCGATATTAGAATTCGTCAATTCGCTTCGCTTCGTCCACTAGCGAATAGCGGGGATAGCGGGCGTGACTATTTCGTATGCTCTCTTTATTCCTTACATAGAAAAAGTTCAATTAGCTATCTCATAATTCTCATTGTATGCTTGCAGCGGATCAGTTCGTACGACCTGTATACCATAGAGAAATATAGAGTGGCAAAAGCATACGGATGCGCGTGAAAATAATGGAACAAATTGAATTTGACAGATTTGACAATTTTGACATTGTCATGTCATTTAAGGTAGAAAAGTCAACGAAAATAATGAGATAGCTAATTGAACTTTTGTTATGTAAGGAATAAAGAGAGCAAATGCCCGGTATTCGCACGAAGCGAAGCGAATAACCGATATACAAGTTCCTGTTCCTTACTATCTTATAGAATTGATTGAGATTCTAATTCTAATGCTTGCAGCGGAATAATTCGGTCATATGGTATATTTTTATTATGATTTAAAATTTTTGATACTTGTAGTAATAGAAAATTTCATTCATTTTGTTAACATTTATTTTATTTCGTATCGTTTATTTATTTAGTCTTTTATTTTAACCTTAGATCATATATACTATTAGTATATAAGATTTTAACTATATAAGGCCTACACAAGATCGCCTAAAAGTAGTGGATTTCCGTTACTTTTGGCAACGCTGTGTTAAAATTCCGCTACTTCTGGCAACACTGGTATCTACCTTAAATGACAAGTGACAGTATGCGCAAAATTCAATTTGTGCCATCTACGAATACACGCTTTTTCCACTCTATATTCTCTATGCTGTATACGCTCCATTAAACTGTCTCTCTCAATTTTTGCTCCGCGCTAAATCTAACAATCTGTATAAACTTACTCGTTGTTGGGGCTGTTGTTACCGCAGGGCGGGCTCGAACTGCCGCAACTGATCAGATTCGTTTCGCTGGACGCGGTGCTATTCTCCGGACTGGCCGGAGACGCGTTCAACATCCCGATGGCGGGACTGGGCACGCCGCTGTCGTCCACTTCGGGCGATACGCTGCGATTGTTCGAATCCGGACTGCTGTTGTCGATCTTGTCCGAATTGTAGCCGGATTCGGCGCCTTTCGGCACGTCTTCGCGTTGAGTGGCCTTCGAAATCGACTCCTACGAAAAACCAGACAAGTGATAATTACCTTCTTAAGGGCCGGTTTATCAATTGATGGATAACTCGCCGAGTTAGCCAACCCTGGGTTACCTCTAACTCTGGGCTAAATTGCGAGTTAAGAATAAAAGTGTTTATCCAAGCTTTTTTAACCCTGGGCTAGCAAACCCACGAAATGCTGAAATGTTGGCAATACATTATAGCCGTTGAAACTTTGGCAACGTTGTTTTGTGCTCGTTTTTGACATTTCTTGCATATACCTATTACTACTATACCGCTAATAATGGTCTAAAACCGTAGCAAACATTATACTGTGGTGCGCCTGCTTATTTATGCGCATGCTCAAGTGAAAGATTTCTTGATTGGCTACTTTTGACAGAGCAAATGAAACGTCAGAAACGTGCTAGCTTTTATTTTGGTATATTTTTTGATATATTTTTAAAATCGACTTTGACTTGCCTGTGTAAATATGGCAGGTTACCGAATTTAAACACGATTTCAAGAATTATTTTCCTTCTTTTCTTTTTAGGCCTCAGCTACTCGCTATTGGTCCTTTTAAAATTAACGCGCTTGCGTATAAACGACTAAGCACACCACAGTAGGTCGGATCTCTCTCTTTAATCGCTACGATTTTCTCTCATGGAATGGATAGGGAGTTAGCAGTATATTAGTAATAGGTATATGGTCAAATCCACAAACCTGCCAAATTTGCGCGAGTTAAGATAACCCAGGGGTATCCCTCGAGTTAACAGTTGACCCGCGATGGAAAAACACTTTTGGCAGTTTAACTCAGGGTTATCTTTAACTCGAGGGGTAACCCTCAATTGATAAACCGGCCCTAAAGCGAGGTGCTTCGCTACACCAAACGCCCCCGTTTAAATCTGACGATGAATTACCTCGGCGTTGTCTTCGACGTCGGCGTCGGATTCGCTTTCGGAGGCGGCTTCGGCGGCGGCGACGGCGGCGTCGGCGCCGTCGTTCGTCGTCGTCGATTTATAACCCTTTTGCTTTTTCTGTTTCTTCCGTTCGGCCCGTTTCTCTTTCTTGATTTGATGTTTGGACGGCTTGTTCTCGTCGAGATCTTCCGCTTTTCTTCTGAACGCCGGCGGTAATTGTTTCTCGCATATCGGCAAACTGAATAATATTACAATAATTAGGATCTTCGGGTATGATTTAGACGATATTTTGCATAAAAAATTACAGTCCAAATTAGGGTGAGTACAGGGTATAGTGAAAAGTTCTCGGACTGACAAAGAAAAACCGCGATTTTCAATTGAAAAATTATATTATTCTCCTTATTAAGTCGAAATATTTAGTTCTGGACAGTTCTAAATGATTCTGGAGCGTGATATATGGTTCTAGCCAGTTCTGAATAATTCTGGAGCGTTCTAAATGAGTCTAGAAAGTTCTAAATGATCCTGGACCATTCTATTTGGTCCATTTTAGACAGTTTTTAATAATTATAGAGCATACTAGAATCAGTGATGTTAAAATTACTTTATAATATGTAATTAATTACAATTACTTTTGGCAATTTGTAATTAATTGCAATTACAATTACAAAATTTGCGAATGTAATTACAATTACAATTAAAGTTACAATTACACTCACAATTACTTTGCTTTGGTGTCAGTTTTAAATAATTATTTAGGGATTTGCAATCGGAATTAAACTTTCCACGTATTGAAAATATTAAATAACTACTTTTGTGTCCAATGTAATTGAAATGTAGTTGTAAAATGTAATTGTAATTGTAACGAAAGGAGTAATTGAATTACAAATGAATTACAATTGAGGAGCTTATAATTAATTACCGCATCAATTACAATAAAAGTAATTCAATTACTTTTTCAATTACTTGTAATTATTTACTTAACAACACTGACTAGAATCAATTATAAATATCCCAAAGCGCCCTCGGTGTATCAGGCCGAGAACTTTTCACCCTACCCTCGTACACAAGCTATTCGAAACAGTTGTTGTCAAATTAGGTGTGAAGTTAGCAACGCATTTTGTAAAAGCTGTACCCCCGATTTCATGCACTAATTCGAGTAATGTTTTTATACGTTAATAATGCACCGATACTTAATTAGTATGCAGTCACCTTAAATCGAGGAAGAATTCGTTTCTATGGGAAGTGTGCCAGCAATCTTGACATTGCAACGTGCTCACCAAAACGCCCCTAAACACTTGCTCGGTGGGTAAGAGCATCTCGGAGGCCTGTTGGCCGTAAAACTTAATTATTTTCTTCGTATCGCCTTCGACCGTCGACGGATCGGTTTTATTATTGAAACCTGAAACAAACGATTTTTAGTATTTCTTGGATGATTCATTACGATTCGCGGGATAACGTACCTAATTTTTGAAGTATAACAGATTTATATCTTCGCAAGTCTTCTTCTCGAACCGCTTCTAGCAAGTGTCTTAGTAATTCGTGAGCATCATGTTGATCGCCGCCACCGAATTGCGGCATTTTAGAGGTAAGTCTACGATAATAAAATAAAATTTAAGCTATTAAATAACAGTAAAACAAACTGTAAATATTACTTGGATAGGAGCATTCTGGGAACGTACACCTCTTGTCTACCAGATTGAAGTTCTCTTAAAGTTTCAGCTAATGTCATTGTTAAAGGCCTCCATTTCTCGAGAGTACCTAAAAAGAGTCATTTTACTTAATCGGTGCTCAAATAATAGTTGAATAAATAGCATCAGGTAAATAATAAAGGTATTAACAGAATATTTAAGAATGTACATACCATCTAAAGGCTCCAATTCGGCGTTTTCCTTATTATCTAATGTCACTTTACCGCCGGGCAAACTAAAATATTGATCCTCCACGGAGGTTTCCTCTAATAACTTAAGTAAGTAAGGCGTTTGTCCTAGACATTGCATGACGGAATTGAAGAAACACGTATTTCCTAAATTCGAAAGACCTCTGGCCCTCGGCAAAAGGGAATTGGTCAAACTCGGCGTTTTCGGCGTTGTTCCGGTACTCTTCGACGCCAATGGGATGACTTCCGTGATCTACAAGCATTCACAAAATGTTAATTAATTAATACTTTGATATTTACTGTAGGTATGTTCGCTCATTATGAATTGAATAACCATTGAATAATTCTCTAAATCAGTATAAGAAAGGTATTAAAAAGATCTCAGCAAAGATTTATAAATAAAAATGGTTTAAGATGTTATTCGAGGCATTTACAGGAAGATCTACAGAGAGGAAATGTTCGGAATATGTAGACATTATGCATAAAGCGATATACCTAGAAGTAAGCTAATAAATAAAGATTTACATCATATAAAACTAGGTGTGTGAAGTTGGCACCGCAACTGTAGTTCTCAGTAGTTCTGATTAGAGTTCTGGATTCCTTTTTGGATAGTTTAGGAGTTCTTTTGTACAAAAAATAATAGTTCTGGTGTTTTAACACATTATTTTTTTACATAAAACATGCAGTGCTAACTTCAAACCTAAATTTACAATGGAATAGCTCTGATTAGTTTATTTGATGTATTTTGATGAGTTCTAGAGTTCCTGAATATTAAAAAATAATAATAATTATAAATTTCATCAATAAACAAGTATAAACAGTTAATCAATTAGATATATTATCAGACAACCCATAACTTTTTAATTATTGAAAAATTCGCAAAATACCATTAAAGTTTCTTGTAGAACTCGTCGAATACTATTCAGAACTGTTATCAGAACTCCTGAACTAATCCTGAACTAATCAGAAAACTAATCAGAACTATTCCATTGTAAATTTAGGTTTGAAGTTAGCACTGCATGTTTTATTTAAAAAAATAATGTGTTAAAACACCAGAACTATTATTTTTTGTACAAAAGAACTCCTAAACTATCCAAAAAGGAATCCAGAACTCTTATCAGAACTACTGAGAACTACAGTTGCGGTGCCAACTTCACACACCTCATAAAACTTACTTTCTCGTGGACTTGAGGTATGCTCGGTATCTGCTTGATTTTGTTAGATTCCGCCTGCTTCCGCAGGTTCTCGACGGCGTCCAACAGCTTCTTCTTGGCGCTCAAGTTGATCTCCTCGTCGCAATCGTAGCACCAGACGCTCCAGACGGTCGTGTTGACGCACATCGCGTGCGAATCCGAGCGGGGCGTCTCGAAGTGCTTGAGGGCGTGCTTGTTGCGGCCCCTGCCGCACGCCTGGTGGCCGCATTTCAGGCACAACCACAGGGTGGTGTCGTACTCGATGTCGCCGTTGTCGAGGGCCAAGGGCGTTTTCTCGCACTCCTCGCAGTCGGTGAGGAAGCCCGTGCGCGTCAGGGCCTTCTTCACCTTGGTCAGATCGACGGCTTTGTTGATGTGAGGGCATTCGACGTTGTTTTGGTTCTCGTCGGCCGATTCGGAGGAGATGTCGCCCGGCGGCTCGTTTTGGTGTTTTTTCTTGTTCATTTCGTTTTTCGTTATGCTAATGGGACATGACAGAACTTTTACTGTAACCTACGAAAACGTGCTTGTTTGTTCGAGCAGCTTTCGGTCGTGCGGCGCGCCTAGAACTCGTTTTATCGATTTTACGACGGGTTTCGTTGGTAGTTGGTACCAGCTGGATTACGATGCACTTATTTGTAAAGGATTGATAAAACTTGGTGAAAAAAAATGGAAATCTTGATGTTGGCGGACGAAGAAAGATGGTATAAAAAATTTTATTGACGTTGACATGACACATGTGGCATGTGACAGTTAACGTTGACGTTACGTTGCCAACAGTAGGCGATTGCTGATCGCAAGATCAGAAATCACGAATATCTGATTGGTATCACTTGGCCTAATTCCAATTATAAGCAAAAAGAAGAAGAGTGAAGACGGTGATATTTAAAAAAGTAAACATTTCACATTCTCATCATCATCAACAACATCAAACTAAGAACTGATCCGTTGGAAATGGCCAAAGACACGATATACGACGCGGCTCACAAAGGCGACTACGATTTCCTCACCCAAAAAATCCAAGGCGACCCCGACCTGATAGAAACCCCCGACTCGTCCAAACGGTTGCTCATCCACTGGGCCGTGCTCAGCGGCAACTACAAGCTGGTGCACCACCTAATCGAGTGCGGATCCCCCGTAAACCCCGAAGACGACTGCAGCAACACCCCGTTGTTGCTCGCCTGCTCCGCCGGCCACCTGGAAATCGTCAAACTCCTGTTGAAAAAGTGCAAAGATATCGATCACAGGAACGCCCAGGGGCACTCGGGGCTCCAGTACGCCGCCTCCAAGGGCTGGACCTCGATCTGCGCCCTTCTGCTCGAAGAGGGGGCCGATGTTAATATAGCAGACGAGAGGGGTAGCACTCCTTTGCACAGGGCCGCTTCGAAGGGGCTCGCGCAGGTGGTGGACTTGTTGTTGGGGCGCAAGGGGGCCCTGAGGGTTGATAGTAAAGATTTGTATGGGAATACTGCCTTGCATTACGCTTGCGAAGAGGACAGACAGGAGGTGGCTGTGGCTTTGGTGAAGAACGGGGCTGACATGGAGATGAAGAATAAAGAGGGAAGGACTTGTTTGGATTTGTGCTCGCCTAGATTAAACAGAGTATTGATTAGTACAATTTCTAAATAAGTTGTTATAAGACATGTGGTATTTTTAAGTAATACTTATTAATGATGATTAATATACTTAACGTAGTTTTAATATTACCAAAAAAATGCAGGGTACGAATTTAAAGAATTAGTTTACAGTTTATTTATCTGTTTGTGATAAGGAACTGATTCGATGAAGATGGTAGATGCTGGATAAATAAAATGATTACTCAATGTTCGATAAAAAGTTTATAGGGAAAGATAGGAGTAAGAGTATGAAAAGTATGAAAGGGTTGGGAAGCATAGGGAAGAATTCGAAAGAAAACTTTCAGTACATTTCAAAAAAGTAATTAGTTACAATTACTTCGTTTTGTAATTGGCAATTATGTTTTAGGAAATTTATTCTTTACCTAGAATTGTCTATCCAGGGACTCACTAGGGATTCCCGATTATTTCATCGCCAACTTCTGAATTCCTCCAAGAAATTTTCTATTAAAATCCCAAATTACTCTTTGGATATTTTGGAGAATATATGGAGGATATTTGGAGAAAATATTGCAATTAATTACAATTACATAACGACATGACTAATGTAATCTATTATACCCAACTCTGATAGCTCAAATAAATGATTCAACTTTTAGACATTCCAAAGTATTTAAAGGGTTATTTATTTATGATTAATGAAATGAATATATGGTAAAAATACCATAACATCGAAATTACATTGCAAATGTTATGCAACGCATATGTTCCTATTTGCCTTAAACAAATATTTAATGCGATAAGTACATAATTCAATATACAATCGAGATAATCCATCAAGTATTTACCTATTGAAATCAGTAATATATAACAAATGCTCGTCGAATAATATAGCATCAGTTCTTTTTGAAACTTGAAACACATCAAAGGTAAGTGCTCTGATAAGCTTATACTATCTGAAATATTTGCTTAAATGTTTCATGGAAATTTCCAGTTACTGTAGATTTCAAAAATGCCCTCATACAAAGTAATATACTTCGACTTCACCGGCCGGGCGGAACCGATCAGATGGCTCTTCAGCTACGGAAACATCCCTTTCACCGACCAACGAGTATCTAGGGAAGAATGGGTAAAACTCAAACCCAGTAAGTACTATTTTCTTGAACGATACTGAAGTTGGTACAATAAGAAGCGAAACGTCGATTCTTTCAATAAACCTAGCAAAATCAAGCAGTAACTTAGCTGGAAGTAGTTGCTTCTTGAGATATTAAAGAGGAATTTTCGATTGTAAACTTTAAAGATTCCTTTTTAATTTGCAGCCACTCCTTTTGGGCAACTTCCAGTGTTGGAAATTGATGGGGAACCCGCTGCTCAATCGAACGCTCTTTGCAGATACGTGGCCAATTTGGTTGGTCTCGATGGAAAGGATGCGAAGGAAAATCTCGCCATCAATCAAATCGTCGATGCTGCTGAGGATTTGCAAAAAGGTACAAATCGTCATTTTTTCCTCATAACTGGGGAAATACTCTAAAGAAAATTATTAGTTTTACATTCGTGGCATTATTTCAGGTGTAATTGAAATGTTTTTCTGCAAGGATGAAGACAAAAAGAAGGAGCTGAAAGCTAAATTTGTTTCGTCTTCCGAAGTTTTACTGAAAAATTTCGATGATAGAGCTGGAAAAAACGGGGGTTATCTCGCACTTAACAGAGTAAGATTCAATTAATAGATAATACAATTAAGTACGATTACAATACAATTACAAAGATAAGAAAATTCCAAGATAACAAATCGTAATATTTAAACTAGATTTTATTCCAGAATATACAATAAAGTCAGCCCACTAAAATCCCCACAAACGTTCTTAAATAATATCTAAAATATTATATTTTTTAGTTGACTTGGGCTGATATCATTGTTGTCTTGAATTACGAGAGTTGGGTCAATTCAGTGGATCAGGATGTCTTCAAACCCTACCCCAATTTGCAGAAAGTCAAAAAGAACGTGTTGTCTCAAGATGGAATCAGGAACTGGATAAAGACGAGACCAGAAAATAAAATGAAACCAAAATACGACATAAAACAAGATTTGTAAATTAATAAATAATGCAACATGAATTGTATTTTATTACCGATTATCCAGGAGGAAAGTTAATGAGATATTCGATCGAATTACGTCTCACCTTTGCCTTACCTATATCACCACTACTAAATATAAAATCAGAACGAGCGCAAAATAAAACGAATCTATTTAAAACGCAGTGTAATCAAACTAAAGTGCATAAATTCGAAGAGCACTACTCATTTATATTTGCACGCTTTCGCATATAAGTCTATTAAAATTTACTCGAGTGCGTAATTAGATTATCAACCGAAAACTAAAACCATAAATTTTCCAAAATTAACAGAATATTCTCTTTCTTTAGTTATGGAAAATCGCGGCAGATCAGAGGCAAAACTCAACCAAGCGGTGACAAAATATTTACAAAGATACGGCTGCCTGGATAGCATTAACAATCGAAACTGGAGCATCAAACAGTCTCCCCTAGGAGGCTTCGGCGTATTCGCAACGCGTACCATCGAAGCAGGAGAAATCATTTTCACCGATCACCCTGTAATATTGGGCCCCAGATGCTTGTCTTCCTTACCAGTCCAATGCACCGTTTGTTACCGGTCAGTATACAGGGTGTCTACTATAAAAACCGCCAAACTTTAGGAGGTGATTATACAAGTAATTTTGAACAAAAAATGTCCTATAACACTTTTTTAAAAAGTCGATAGTTTCTCTTTTATTTAACATTTCATTATTTTAAATTTTCTTTTGGTTTTTTTTCCAAAAAGACCGAAATATCACATTTATTCGTATAGTCACATTAATTTTGATCATATACCGTAAAAGTGCATTAAATTTGCTATAAAAATAGTATTTATCAGACTTAAAAAAATCAATACGGGGTGTTATAAAAGATTTAATTGTTATGAATATGAAATGAACAAAATTATATGTATCTTTTAATGGTCGTAAAGCCAACAATTTTATAAAATTCATAAGTTTTTTTTTGGTAAAAACTACTGTATTTAATAAGCTTTTAAGAGGTATACTCAGATATTGAGTAAAATATTTTTTGTAGAAATTTTAAAGGTATATGTTATAAAATACAAAGTTGTTCAAGCAAGAATATCCCGAAAATAAAAATCTACAAAAAATTATTTTGTACAGGGTGTCTACTATAAAGACCACCAAACTTCAGGAGGTGATTATACAAGTAATTTTGAACAAAAAATGTCCTATAACACTTTTTTGAAAAGTCGATAGTTTCTTTTTTATTTAACATTTCATTATTTTAAATTTTTTTTTGGTTTTTTCCAAAAAGACCGAAATATCACATTTATTCGCATAGTCACATTAATTTTGATCATATACCGTAAAAGTGCATTAAATTTGCTATAAAAATAGTATTTATCAGACTTAAAAAAAATCAATACGGGGTGTTATAAAAGATTTAATTGTTATGAATATGAAATGAACAAAATTATATGTATCTTTTAATGGTCGTAAAGCCAACAATTTTATAAAATTCATAAGTTTTTTTTTTTGGTAAAAACTACTGTATTTAATAAGCTTTTAAGAGGTATACTCAGATATTGAGTAAATTTTTTTTGTAGAAATTTTAAAGGTATATGTTATAAAATACAAAGTTGTTCAAACAAGAATATCCCGAAAATAAAAATCTACAAAAAATTATTCTGTACAGGGTGTCTACTATAAAGACCACCAAACTTCAGGAGGTGATTATACAAGTAATTTCGAACAAAAAATTGTCATGTATCACTTTTTCAAAAAGTTGATAGTTCCTCTATCGAGTAATAAAACTACAAAAATAAATCAATATTCATTACTAAATTTTCACAACAGCAACAACAATACTAAATTTTCACTAAAACAAGTATTTCCATTAAATAAATTTGAACTCTATAAAAATTGTTCAAAATGTCCTCCTCTTTGTTCAACGCATTTAAGACAACGTTTTCTTACGCAACTAACAACCCTCTGAAGTTCTGTCCTTTTTTGCCTTAATTCTTCACAACATACTCTTATTCTATCAATTAATTCTTCTCGAGAATTAATATTAATTTTATAGACATTAGATTTTAATGTCGCTCAAACGTAAAAAATCAAGGGGTGTCAGGTCAGGACTTCTGGGTGGCCACCTTATTGGACTGTACCTGCCAATCCATTTCTCCCCAAAGTATTGGTTTATCCAGTTTAGAATAATTCTGCCATTATGAGCAGGACAACCATCCATTTGGAACCAAATTTCCTGTCTAACAGCTATGGGCATTCCTTCGAGTATGTCAAATAGATGGTTGTTTAATAAGTTTAAACCTCATTAGAATTAAGCCGATTTGGTAGTATTACTGGCCCTAAACAGACGGCTGTTAAATAATCACAACCACACATTTACTCTAAAATCGTGCTGAAAATGTGATACAAAAGTAGCATGAGGGTTTTCCGGCTACACTTTTAAAGACCTGTATCTTCCTGTAACACGCTTATGAAAGATTTTAAGGCAAATTTAGGCATTTTCTTCACATTTCTTTCATTTTTTTTATACAGAATCACTAATTAACTTTTTGAAGATTTTTATTTTCGGGATATTCTTGTTTGAACAACTTTGTATTTTATAACATATACCTTTAAAATTTCTACAAAAAAAATTTTACTCAATATCTGAGTATACCTCTTAAAAGCTTATTAAATACAGTAGTTTTTAACAAAAAAAAAACTTACGAATTTTATAAAATTGTTGGCTTTACGACTATTTAAAGATACATATAATTTTGTTCATTTCATATTCATAACAATTAAATCTTTTATAACACCCGGTATTGATTTTTTTTAAGTCTGATAAATATTATTTTTACAGCAAATTTAAAGCAATTTTACGGTATATGATCAAAATTAATGTGACTATACGAATAAATGTGATATTTCAGTCTTTTTGGAAAAAAACCAAAAAAAAATTTAAAATAATGAAATGTTAAATAAAAAAGAAACTATCGACTTTTCAAAAAAGTGTTATAGGACATTTTTTGTTCAAAATTACTTGTATAATCACCTCCTAAAGTTTGGCGGTTTTTATAGTAGACACCCTGTATACAAAACACTAATAAAAGGGATATTCAATTGAACATTCATTTAGCTTCTACTAAAACGATTTCCAGCAGCAAAACCCCCACCGTGTCCAAATGCCCGAACAAATGCGGCCTGCACGTCTGCGAAGAGTGCTCCAAATCGCAGACTCACGCCTCGGAATGCGCCCTGCTGGGGCGATTGAGCGCCGGCAGGGACATGTCGGAGCACAACGAGCGCCTGACGAGGAGCCTCACGCCCCTGCGGGGGCTCCTGCTCGACGCCGACGATCTCGACGTGGTGGGCTGCTTGGTGACCACGCACGCGGGCCCCCGGCCCGGCGGCGAAGCCCTAACGCTGGTGGAAGAATTGCGCTTGGGATTCACCGATGAGGAGTACCGGCTGGTGTGTTTCGTTTGCGGGGCCTTCGACGCAAACGCCTTCGAGGTGCTCACTAACGAGGACGAGGCGCGGAGTACTATCAGAGGTATGTTTGTGGATAAGTTGATGGCAAAAAAGTGTCCGGAAATTCGGAATTAAATTACCAGGGGCCTGTTTCATATAACTGACAAGTTGACAAGTTACAAGTGTTGGTTGACAAGTATTTAAAAATTTCGTTTCATAAAATAAATTTCGACACTTGTCGAATTAAATTTTTGGCATCCATTTTTCTACAACTGTAATATTAATTAAACGTCAGACTTAAGCCAAAGAGAAAAAATTAGTACTTACTATACTGAGGAGCATAAGTATAGCACAACCTTCGTTTTTCGATATTGGGAAACTTTTACTTTGAAATTGTTTTTTTTTCTGGTTGGAGCTATTTTTAGATGTGAACCACGACAATTTCGTTTATTGACAAAAAACTTATTTTTAAAATGCAGCAACATTTTTTTTAATATTCAATTATTTTAATAAAGAAAGGGCATTCTATTTGGAAAATTTAGTACCACTTCTACAAAAGCTATAAAATGAGCATTGAAACGAACAAAGACAATGCATAATTTCTATACGTTGGTTCTATACATTAGGGGGGACCAATAGATTTTAATATTTCCTCAATTTTTATCGAATTCATTCGAAATCTTTTATTAAACTCTCATTAAGCTTCCTCCTCACTGTCGCTTGACCACATTTTCTTTTAAATTTACAAGAAAATCGGATGGTGACAGGAAATCAAGTCCCTGTCGCTTTACACTAATATATGATAGGAATAAATGACAAGTGTTGTTTAATTTATTTTTTATGAAACGCAAACCTATCTACAATTGTAAAACAGACTTGTAATATTAGGCTAGTCACTTGTCACTAATAATCTACTCGTGTAATTTTATGAAACACAAACTTGTCAAATACTCCAGTCAAATTTAGACTACACTTGTCCGACAGGACTTGTCAGTTATATGAAACAGGCCCCTGCACTAAATATACTGCTCCACAAAAGTTCAGGAAGTTCACAAGGAAATTAAAAGAATTACCAATGTTTTCATCTTGATCTTAATTTTCTGCTATATGAATTTAGAACGTAAATGTGAGTCTATTTATTAAGAAGAATGTTTCTAATCTTTGTGTTACAAAATTGGTACTTTAAGATTACATTCTAACATTTGTAATTAAAAAAAGCGTATTAATATATAATACAACAATAAAGCTTATTGAATTCAAAAAAGCAAACAAAATTGAAGTGCCTTGTTATCGTACAAAGATGCAATATATCATATACATCTACAGACAATAATTGAGACTCTTAAATTTAGATTAATATTTATTTTATTTATTTTAGATTCATTTTTGTACCCCCTAGTCGGTGAAAAATCGATCAATTCTGACGCAATTGATTTCATTTCATTGGATTTACAATACTTGGAAAGCAGTATAGCATAAATAATTATTTTTATTAGTGGAAATAAAGAACACCTATAGTTTCTTGAAAAATCTAACTTCACCGTTGCCTCAGTGTTTACCAGAATTTGTATAAAAACTGTCACCGCTGAAGATTAACTACAAAAGATAAAGTAATCGTTCGCAATTTAGTTTTAAAAAATTTAAAAAAAGAAATTTATCAATCTCAAAATGCTCTTTAATTTCACTGGTGTAACAGTTTTTCAATATCACAAAATTAATTGAACAAATAACCCCTTATTCATGGGTGAATTCATTTAGTCAAGTAACTAAAGTAATGTTTTCATTTTTTTACTATTGAATATTAGGTAGATATTATTTTGAAGTTATCAATTTAAATTCAACTAAATAGGTACCTTAACACATCGAGATAAGTTTCGAATGTAAGTAACATGCGAAATAATATACTGCTCCAAAAAAGTTAAGGAAGTTCACAAATATTGAGATTAATTTAATAGTTGCAGGTTTTTTGATCGCCAAATTTAGTATACGAGTTGTAGAGGTAGGGACAAAAAATCCACTCAGTTATGAGAGAAAACATTTAATTTCGCTTATTTGAAAATTTGGTGATCAAAAAGTCTGTAACTTTTAAAATAATCGCAAAATTTGCGAACTTCCTTAACTTTTGTGGTGCAATTTAGTTTTAATTATTTCAAGTTTCTGTATGTAGGTAACACTGTTCTTAATCAGTAAAGAAAAAATTTGAGAGATTTCTCAATCAGTTTGGTTGTAGCAGCTGATTAAAACAGTTTATGTCAGTAGTGCTTTGCGAATTTTGCAATGGACAAAAGTAATGAACGATTAATAAAGAATAATGAAGAGTTTCTCTCATATTTAGGGTTTTGATCGGAATTTCTTGAGCCGAATCAATGCAAATGCTTAAGGTGACTTTGTTTTATCCAAAAGCCCATATTTACGAATGGTGCAAAGCTTTTAAAGATAATTGGAAGATCGCTAAGATACCTCATTTGAAAGACAATTTCAATCTTCTTTCGGGAGGGCCATTTTTTATTAATTCTATTATCAAAAATAAAAGCCTACCCTTCTAATTTGAAAATTTAGGTATAACAAGTTTTATACTGAGAGGGTTGCAGTTAGGAATGAAAATTATAAGTTACTAAATTCAATCTAAAAAACAAAAATTGACCTCTTCTGGTACATGACGCCCTTTCAAATAACAAGTATTTAATTCCCTAACCAACAGACAGTGATGTTAAAATTACTTTATAATATGTAATTACTTACAATTACAATTACTTTTGGCAATTTGTAATTAATTCCAATTACAATTACAAAATTTGCGAATGTAATCACAATTACAATTAAAGTTACAATTACAATTACAGTCACAATTACTTTGCTTTGGTGTCATTTTTAGATAATTATTTAGGGATTTGCAATCGGAATTAAACTTTCCACGTATTGAAAATATTAAATAAGTACTTTTGTGTCCAATGTAATTGAAATGTAATTGTAATTGTAACGAAAGGAGTAATTGAATTACAAATGAATTACAATTGAGGGGTTTGTAATTAATTACCGCCTCAATTACAATAAAAGTAATTCAATTACTTGTAATTAATTACTTAACAACACTGCCAACAGAATTCCCCAGCAATCAATGCAATATTAATAGTTTTGCGTTTCTAGGCCTCTATCCTCTGGGCAGTTTGGCGAATCACCGGTGTTTTCCGAACGCTTTCCACGTGTTCGACGGCAACTACCGAATGATAACCAGAGCTTCGGTGGAAATACCCGAAAGTGCCGAGATATTCCACTCCTACACCAGGTTGTTGTGGGGCACGGTAACGAGGATCCACCACTTGCGAAACTCCAAGCGTTTCCTATGCAAATGTGAACGGTACCTATCAGGACGGGTTTAGAAGCAATAGTTTTACGCGAAGGATCCTCTTGTAGAGGGTGGTCCTCTAAGAATGACTCTCGGCCATATCTCGCAAAGTAATTGTGGTAGAGACTTGCGGTAAAAAAATCTTGGGACTAAATCGACCAAAAGAAAATGCTGGAAATAATTTTTAGGTATCTAAAATGGCCGCTAGGGGGAGTATCCGCCATCTTGATTTTTAAAAGTCATTTTTTTCAAAATTTTTCTAAATAAAGGTATCAAAAATGTGTTTTATTTTGATAGTTAAGATAATTTCGATTATTTTTTGTTATATATTTTTGATTCTATCTTATAAAATAAAATAGTGGGGGTGGTTTAAATATTTTGACAAATAAATGTTAATAACTTTTAAACGGCTGAACCGATTTTCTAAAAAATGAAATTGTTGAAAAGGGCTTTCTTTGGTCTATAATTTACACTATATAAGATATTATTTTAAATACTTGCTTGGCCGCAAGATGGCGTTTTTCGACATTACTTTCATGTATATGTCATGTATATGTCATGTACTTTCATGAATATACATGTTTATGTATATTCTGTGATTACTTTAAAAAACACCCATTTTCTCAAAAAATTTAAATGCAACGAAATAACTTTTTCTTTGGAGAAAAATAGTCAAATAGTTGCCAAATAAGCCTGTAAAAACCGCATCTCGATATCCCCTTCCGAACCTAAAATACATATATCTAAAAAAAAAGAAAAAAATCAAGAAAATTGGTAATTTTTGGTGCATGCACTACCAATGTAAAAGCCTCTATTTAGCGTTGTTCCATCCACAAAAATAATCAATTTATTAATAATCTGCAAGTATGATATTTAGAAACACCAAGCTAAATAATATTCTTTCAATAATTATTGGATTTCCCTTCTATTCGCACTAGTTGAGAACAAAAGAAATAAGCATGCCGTGGAAAATAAATAAACCAAAAAACTGGACGCAGCAGGTCCAGAATAACTAAGAACGTTGGTATCAACGTGTGGTGTAGTATACTAGGTGACAATTGTTGTTCCCTGGTTTATTAATGGGCGATTCAACGGACAAACATATCTAAATTTTCTTCGTAACGAATTTCCTGGGTTATTGGAAGATGTTCGTCTGGAAACTCCAAGAAATATGTATTTCCAACCCGACGGATATACCCAGCTAATTTTTCTAGAGTAGTTCGTTAGATTTTTTGTTTTTTTTTATTTTCCACGACATGGTTATTTCTTTTGTTCTCAACTAGTGCGAATAGAAGGGAAATCCAATAATTATTGAATGAATATTACTTAGCTTGGTGTTTCTAAATATCATACTTGAAGATTATTAATAAATTGATTATTTTTGTGGATGGAACAACGCTAAATAGAGGCTTTTATATTGGTAGTGCACCAAAAATTACCCATTTTCTTGATTTTTTCTTTTTTTAGATATATTTTAGGTTAGGAAGGGGATATTGAGATGCGGTTTTCACAGGCTTATTTGGCAATTATTTGACTATTTTTCTCTAAAGAAAAAGTTATATCGTTGCATTTAAATTTTTTGAGAAAATCGGTGTTTTTTAAAGTAATGTCGAAAAACGCCATCTTGCGGCCAAGCAAGCAATTAAAATAATATCTTATATAGTGTAAATTATAGACCAAAGAAAGCCCTTTTCAACAATTTCATTTTTTTGAAAATCGGTTCAGCCGTTTAAAAGTTATTAACATTTATTTGCCAAAATATTCAAACCACCCCCACCACTTTATTTTAAAAGATAGAGTCAAAAATATATAACAAAAAATAATCGAAATTATCTTAACTATCAAAATAAAACACATTTTTTATACCTTTATTTAGAAAAATTTTGAAAAAAATGACTTTTAAAAATCAAGATGGCGGATACTCCCCCTAGCGGCCATTTTAGAGACCTAAAAATTATTTCCAGCATTTTCTTTTGGCCGATTTAGTCGTAAGATTTTTTACCGCAAGTCTCTACCACAATTACTTTGCGAGATATAGCCGAGAGCCCTTCTTAGAAGACCACCCTGTACTTGCAGATGTAAGGACCCCACGGAGTTCGGGACTTGCTTGAGCGCCTTAAACTGCAACAGATGCCCGGGGAAAGTTCTCCCGGTGGATCCCGCGAGAAGCTCATCGAGCTGGCGATGCGACACTTGCAGTGCAATTCGAGACCTTGGAGACATCTCTAAGACATTGTCTTTGATCGGGGCCGTCATCAAAGGCTTCGCCGGCGACGATTTCGATATCATCTATCGATTTTTAACGACGAAATTGACGACGCTGGTGCCCGATTGCAACCAAGTAGCGGTGGAGCTCAAGTACAACATTAATTGGATACTGGGGTACAAATCGGGGTATCTACTGAATGGTTAGCGAAGGGTTCGTTTGGAGTGTTTTCTGTTGAAAATGGTATTTTGTTTGTTTAAGAAATACCGTTGGATCTACTGTTAATTAAGAAGCAGTATTGCGATGATATATTGAAATTGGTGGATCAGTTGCGATTGGGAAAATGCAGGATCAAGGGGCTTCTGTGCTATGAGGTTTATTTGTGCAATGAGGAATTGAAACGACGTCGAATTGCTAATGGAAATAATGATGAGGTGAGAACTTTTGCGAAATAAACTCTTATAAACTCCTGGACAAAATTAACGCAACATCATAAATTTGCCACATTTTTTATGCTATTTTTTGTTTGAATTTATGATCCGATTTGGATGATTTTTTTTTTTGTATTATAGGTTGGTTCCTTGACAATGTCATCATTTTCGTTGTTTATGATAAAATGTTCCTTCTCCATTATACCGGGTGTAATAAAAATGTAATGTTTTTTTCCGAAAATTCGTATCACCCTGTGGAGTATACTAGCAAACGAGACATATAGCAGTTGAAATTAGAAGGTAGATCCATCTTTTGCCAACATTTTCTTTTTTGGTTTACTTCATTATCTCTGTTATTAAAGGAGATACGCCGTTTTATAGCGTAACATGTTTTAATAGACTGTATTATTCAAAACATTCATTGTTAAATGTTTTCAAGTAGGCTTTGGACCATTTCTGACATTTCAAGCAATGTGTCAATATCAAATACATTATTTGTTATCTGTATAACAAAATAATTCCTGCTCGCTTTGATGAATGAAAACCAAATGAACGAATAACTTTATTTCATAAAGTAAAATTAAGGGTTTATTAAACACATTTTTTTTTTGAGACAAGTGAAACAAGAAAAGAACAGAAATCAAAAACAATAAAATTAATGGATTTATAATGCTAATAACGTGTAGGCGTGTAAAATAACAAATAATGTATTCGATTTGTCTTAATGTCTTAATTTAAAAACATTTAACAATGAATGTTTTGAATAATACAGTCTATTAAAACATGTTACGCTATAAAACGGCGTATCTCCTTTAATAACAGAGATAATGAAGTAAACCAAAAAAGAAAATGTTGACAAAAGAAGGATCTACCGTCTAATGTCAACTGCTATATGTCTCGTTTGCTACTATACTCCACAGAGTGATACGAATTTTCGGAAAAAAACATTACATTTTTATTACACCCGGTATAACCGAGAAGGAACATTTTATCATAAACAGCGAAAATGATGACATTGTCAAGGAACCAACCTATAATACAAAAAAAAAATCATCCAAATCGGATCATAAATTCAAACAAAAAATAGCAAAAAAAATGTGGCAAATTTATGATGTTGCGTTAATTTTGTCCAGGAGTGTAGTTTTACATGAATTTTGCAGATTGTTGACGATAATGAAGCGAATATAAAATTAGAAGAAGCTGCCGATATTCTAAAGTACGATTTCAGCGCTCCCCCGCTATTAAAACAAAGATTCAATCATAAATAACCCTTGCACATGTCAGTAGATAGATACAAAGCCGGTTCTACACCATTTCCAGTTGTATTTCGGAAGCTATCAAATTAATTTCAGAATCAATCAAATGCATTTCAGACTAGTCAGATTAATTTTAGAAAGTGTTAAATGTATTTCAGAATAATCAAATGTACTTCAGACTAGTCAAACGTATTTCAGATAACACCAAATACATTTCAGAAGAGTCATATTTTTTTCAGAAAGCGTCAAATGTATTTCAGATTAGTCAAATGTAGTTGTGAAAATGTTAAATGTATTTCAGACTACATAGTGGAATACAGAAAATCATATCCAAAGGGTAAGAGGGAGGAAGAGAAATCTGACTATTCTGAACTCCATGTGACTATTCTGAATGGTTTTTAACCTTTCCTAAACGACATTTGATATATTCCGAACTACATATGACCAATCTAAAAAACATTTGACGCTTTCTGAAATAAATCTGACTATTCTGAAATACATTTGACGTTGTCTGATATACATTTGGCTATTCTGAACTACATTTAACTAATCTGAAATTCGTTTGACGTTTTCTGATATAAATCTGACTATTCTGAAATACATTTAATGCTTTCTAATATACAACTGGAAAAGGTGTAGAATGTTCATAGGGAAACCAGTGTGTTAGAGAGAGATAGATTATTTAAGTAATATATTCTAGAACCGGCTTTGTATATCTGCTGATGTCACAACACATTCAATTTAACGTTTACTTTCATCAGAAGAAAAATTAATATTAATTTATATTTCATTTCATCGAGTACAAAAAATATACATTTGAAATACAAACGAACGAATTTACAGAATAGTGTACATCATTTTTAACCGTACAAAAGTTAATCCTAAGCGAAAGCAAATTGTAAAAAATTCTAAACACAAGTCAATTATTATCAGATTGTTTCTTCAACACCTTCACTGCCACAATATTTTTTTGTGAACTGTTCGAAATGAACACAATTTGTACAAAACGGCAGTGAAAGTGTTAATAGTTTATTAATTTAAAATATTATTTAGACAGGGAGTTGCGTTAATATGCTAAAAAAACCTTCCAGAGGCGCAGGATTGGTTTATCAAGAGAAATAAGAATGCTCTCCTTGCAAAAAAATAGAAATAATGCCAAAGTAATTAAAAATATCGTTTTTATCGGCATATCTACGCGACACACCCTGTATATAGAAATTTATTCTTACTCTCGAATATTCGATCAACAAGTAACGAAAACTTAACTTTAATATTACCGAGTACATTTAACAACATTTCAACTAGAAGGCAATTCAGTTAAAAATACGTTAAAAAATAGACAGGGCGATGTTTATTCGTTAAAATATCAAACTCTTCGATTTCAAAGGCCTCTTTCGAACCGGCGAATTCTCCCCCGTGATTCTCAACCACGATTTGGATGGAGTGCTCGTTTTCGCCGGATCCAAACGAAACGAAACGTTTTGAATATCCGATGGCGATTGCTTAGCGACGTTTTTCCTGGGCACCCAACTGCGGAAAAAATAATTAATCAAAAACCATTTAATAGAAGATGGAATAAATTGTTCTAGTTAATAGTGTACAGGGTGGCATATTAGTATGGAAAAGCTCAATATATCTGTTATTGTAGAAGATATCAAAAAAACTTCAGTATAAAAGCTATAGATCTTTTTAAACTGCACATTTTAAAATTAGTTACATTCATACAGAGTGTCCCGTTTTTCCGTAGTAGGTCAAACTTATACTTTTTTAAATGGAACACCCTGTTTTTTATTTAAAAATTGAATTTAGCTCGCTTTTCAGCTTTCCAAAAGTATAATTTTGTATAACGTTATACTGAGTGGTTTAAAAGTTATGACCACTTTTCCACGAAAATCGTACTAAGTTTACCACTCTGTAGAAACTAAATGGATTGAATTGAAAATAAATTTCATGTTTCACAACATTGCAAATATCCTGAAAATGTACAAAATGAATATTTTTTGTCAATTTTAATCATACTGCTTACAGGGTGGATCCAAACGCAAAAGTAACATTTTCTCTGTTAATTTAAATGGATCACACTATATTTTATATCGTTAACAGGAAGTATTTTTGAAATACTTTCATTCTTAATAACCATTCCCTATACCTAAAGTTAACACTTTTCGAGATAATTCACTTAAAAAAAATTAGAACTTAAAATTGAAGAAAAAAAAAGCTTTCCTTTTATAATAACCGAAGTTCTGGTAAAAATTGTCTATACCTAATAAACGTTCCCTGTACCTAAATTTGATATTTTTGGAGATATTTCAATATTCTTTAATTGGACTCACCTATCACCAGATACTAATCGCTAATCGTGTAGGTACTAATAATAACTTTATTGTGTCTATTGCGACTTATAACAATTGCTAATACCAATTATTAATAATAATTTGGTCCATTTTGTTCGTTTATAATAGTTTTTTCACATTCTGGATTTTCGTATGCCGCTGAAGCCATACGATTGAGACAATCTAAACATTTTTCAAAGGATTTTTTGTTAGGTTGTATTCCTCCAGGATATCTCTCATGGCAAATCCTTTCGGCAAACCAACAAATTCTCTAAACTTTCTCCCAATACCCAAATCATAACCATCAATAATTGTTCAATAGAAAAAATCATTTTGTATTCTAATTTTTACAAATTGTGGAGGCAATACAGACAAATAATACCATATAGTATTTAATTGACGTTTCTTACTTCTTTCTGTAACGTGTACTTCGATCAAAAAGAAACCTTAATTTTTTTTCTTCAGTATTCCTTTCTAGTTTTTTTTTAATTGGAATATCTCGAAAAGTGTAACTTTAGGTATAGGGAATGGTTATTAAGAATGAAAGTACTACAAAAATACTTCCTGTTAACGATATAAAATATAGGGTGATCCAATTAAATTAACAGAGAAAATGTTACTTTTGCGTTTGGATCCACCCTGTAAGCAGTATGATTAAAATTGACAAAAAATATTCATTTTGTACATTTTCAGGATATTTGCAATGTTATAAAACGTGAAATTTATTTTCAATTCAATCCATTTAGTTTCTACAGAGTGGTAAACTTGGTACGATTTTCGTGGAAAAGTGGTCATAACTTTTAAACCACTCAGTATAACGTTATACAAAATTATATTTTTGGAAAGCTGAAAACGAGCTAAATTCAATTTTTAAATAAAAAACAGGGTGTTCCATTTAAAAAAGTATAAGTTTGATCTATTACGGAAAAACGGGACATTCTGTATAAATGTAACTAATTTTAAAATATGCAGCTTAAAAAGATCTACAACTTTTGTAATGACGTTTTTTTTATATCTTTTACAATAACAGATATATTGAGCTTTTCCATACTAATGTGCCACCCTGTAAGTGAAGTATTAAGCAAAATTCACTCACCTTTCTCTTTCCTCTTTCGTATATAAACTAACCATGTGAAACCAACTGTACACGTACGGGTATTTCTTACAATCTAATTCGACTTCGGAGTAACACAAAGCATTGAAAACGTCGCAATCCGTCTTCGAAGGGTTGTTACTGAAACGATAAAACTGGTTTTATTTCAATATCACTACTGTAGGGCTATGCTAGGCAGTAAGAGGCCATAACTGTCATTGTTGAAGGGTGACGTTTAAAATAGAAAGGACGCCATTTTGGATAACGAATTATAAAGTACTTGAGGTAAATAATACAAGATAAAGCTTAATGAGTTTCAAGATGAATTTAGAAAGAAACATGTAGTAAAAATTATCATTAACTTGGAGCAGTATAGCTCTAAAACTCACCCGTGTATAAATACGTCTTGTTTTGGTAAAATCGAGTCTACGAATTCATCTTCGGAATCTTCATCGTCAAGAAAACTCGGACTTTCAGGCGGCGTGTAAAATTTGTCATCGTCCTCGTCTAAATCTCTCAATTCTAATCGATTACTCGCTAAAGATTTGTCGAAACCATTCCGAACTGCACCAAAAAAAAAATTATCAAAATTACATTCATTTTTCAAATAAAACGCTTAAGCCGGCTGCGGACTATGAGCGATAATATAATATATATTATATCTTGCATATTACATAAATATCGCTTTAAACAAAATCAAATGTAACACCGCTATAATTAATGCTATAATATATATCTATATCCAGGCGATATATTGCGAAGTATCTGCAGAGATATGCTTTTCGAGCGATATTTTAGAGTATATCCCACTCGTAGCTTCGTATTTTTCTTTTTTATGTCAGCTTTTATTAAATCATGTAGTTTAAAAAACTTAATTCGATCCATGCGAAAATAATTCGTAAAATTTTCATCACTTAGATCTTCAAAGAGTCTAAATTCACCCCTTTCTTTACGAAATTTAATATGCTTGGATATCCAGAATCTAGGCGTTTTCTTTTTATTAGCAATAATTAACGCCAAATCATTGTCACATTTTGCTTCTTCGTCTTCTGAAGAGCTATCAATAGTATCATTTCGACGAAGTTTTCCATTTTTAAACGGCACAAACTAACACAACTTATCGATTTGCCAACTGAAATAGTAGTAAATATAAAAATTTTATATCCTAATCTGCTGCATGCTTAATATAATATGATATTATATCTCATTATACAGGGTGTTTCATTGGGAAAGGGCAATATTTTAACCCTGTATAGAGGTCACCCAGGGGATTACAAAAAACCCATATACTATGGGTCTTGCGCCCTTTATAACCGAGTTACAGGGTGTTTTTTGAATTTGGCCCATTTCTTTCGACACCTATAACTTTTGAATCACTCAGTATATTTTTTTGATATTTGGCATAGATATTCTATACCTTTAGGACAATTTATTGCCACATTAAAAAATTACAAAATCCAGGTCCGGATTTAGAAAAATTAATAAAATTTGACCGACCCTAAAACAACACCCTATACATCATATTTTTAAAAATTTAATTTCAAATTCAGAAAGAGCATAAAAAACTGAATGTATTCATCAACTTTTTATTTTCCTGCATGCCGTTTTTCTACCAAAATTTAAACGTTAAAATGTACATTTTGAGATTTTTGGTCCATGTAAATTGTAATTGAAGGGATTTTAATTATTTTTTCTTTAATAAAACCAGATTTACTTAACACTTTCATGAAAATTCTTGAAATAGACCTATTGAACTTGAATTAACATTCACATAAACCAATAAAAATTGTTTAGCAGAAAGCGGTGGACTATTTTTTAGAGTTCTTTTATTTTCTATTTTAAAATAATCTTTAAGTTTATTTTTGGAGTATTCTTTTTATTATTTTCTTAGAATTTACTTTCTTTTTCAAGCCATTGTGGCAAAAAGACATATCTACATAATTCTATTTTAATATTAGTGATATTTTTTCAATAAATTATCGTTTAAAAATTCTCATTTCTTTTTAATCGACTCGACGTTCATCCATCCGAACCCGTTTTGATACTGTCGAAGTGTCGAAACCGTCGAAATTATTTGATTTTTAATCTAACCAAGCCAAATCGCGGTGTGAAGTCCAGTAGAACAATTAAATTTATTAGAATTTATCGCGACGTTCTATTGAAATGTACACTGGTAGACTGGATTTCAGCAGGCTAAGAATTTAACATTGATTTCCCTATTATGCGCGAATAATTTTCCAACGGTATATTATATTATCGCTCGTAGTTCGCAGCCGGCTTTACTCACCGCAATCGGCAAAATCCAAAGCACCCCTAATACCGACCCCACCTTCATCCTCAAACGATCTCCCGCCGCTCCTGAAACCACCCCCGCCCTTCGAAAAGCTATTCTTCTTCCACCGCCTCGATCGAAACACGCACGAACAACCCTCCTCGTCCTTCCAACACCTCTCCCCGTCCTCCAACCGCTTCTTCCCCACCACGTACCCCAGCAGGCACGTCAGCTCGCGCTTCTTCGTCACCTTCGATCGCCCCTCGTCGGTCGACAGAAACGCCAGGCTCATGCGCAGGAAGGCGTCGAGATTGTCGAGCGGCCGCTCGAACACCTTGCGGGCGATGCAGCGCCCCAGGCGGGCGTGCATCTTGCGGAAATCGACGGCGGCGAAGCGCTCGTCGACGGCGTAACTGGTCACCGTCGCCTCGAGCTGCGCCAGATGGGCCTCCAGCGTTTTGGCGAGGCCTTCGGCGAGGTGGCGCTCCGAGCGCGGATCGCGGCCGTCGCGGAACGCGTGCTGGATGTCGTTGGAGATGCGATTGGCGAACACCTGGCAGGCTTTGTCGACGTGAAGGAGAGCCTGCAAACGATGTACGAGATTATTCGATATTAAAAAAGGACTAGTAGCGACTGGTGTAGGGAATGAAATAGTCAATGATAGGTTGTCTATGCACCAGTCGCCGTCTGGAGATAGTTGTGAAACTGCTTCAAGAATGTTTCATTACTATTTTCTGATGGCGAATTTTGTACGTAATGTTAATTCATTGTGAAATAGAGCAGGTAGAAGGAAAGTCGGGATAGGGCAAGTACCTGCGTCTCCGAATAATCCTCGCCCAGGCGGCTGTCTGCAAGTTTAACGCAATTTTCGTTAGCATCGGCCGCAGAATCGTCGTCTTCCAATCTACAAGCTGTAAAAGCGGCGCACAAACTCGATATGGGAGAGACGACGGTGTTTTTCTTTGGTTTTCCATCGTCCTCCTCGCCCTTTAGCTCCGGATCCGCGTCTCTGGTACTGTCTTTTTTCGAGCGATCGCTCTTGAATCGGCTGCTCCGTGACGACTACGAAACCCAAATAGAGTGTGTAAGAAATATGTAGAGAAAGAATCAAGATACAATTTTTAAAATATTCCGATAACGAATCTTATATTTGACTTATAACTTATGCCCGATTTCACCAACATGTTGTTAGGTATTTCCTAACTAGGTAATTCCTAAGGTAGGAATTACTTAAATCGAATACTTACCTAAATCGAATTTCACCAACATTAGAAATCCCTTACTAAGAAATACCTAGGTAAAAATTTGATTTTGACAATTTTTTTAATTTTATTGGTAGCATTGGCTAATTTTAACATGTAAACCGAATAAGTGGAGATCGAAATTGAATATGTTGAGAGAAAAGAAGAGATGTTGATGATCCGGGCCATCTTTAAACTATGTTAGTTATTTTTAAATCTGCTGAAGATGTAGTCTGTGCATTAATAAAAAAATAACCTTTCCGATTTGTAAAATATTTCTACATCTTCTTCTCCAGGACAATGGATCTTTACATGCATGTGTACGGTCAATAGTTCCAAAAACTTCCTGTGTATCAAATTAAAAATCATCTTCAATTCATTCTAATATTTGTAATGCCGTATTTTTGTATATCGAAAAAGGCGGAAAAAAAATCAGTTTCGTCCAGTTTCTAAAAACTCTCCTCCCATTTTAAATGTTCATCTAAAGAGTCTAAAGACAGCCAAGACTTAAGTCACATGAAATACATGGAAAGTATGGTTAAGTATTTCCTAAATGTTTTAGGCAAGCTCAGTGAGCTGTCCTAACTTTAGGCATTTCCTATTACCTTTAGGTATTACTTAGTGCATGGTGAAACGCAAATTGTACTTAGGAATTCCTAAATCTGGTTTAGGTATTACCTAACTTTAGGAACTGGTTGGTGAAATCGGGCATTAGAGCCTCATCCTTTATTTCCTTATGAATCTGGGGTTCCCTATATGAATTCCAAGTACATATCCCAAACATAAATCAGAAATTGCTATTCCATTCGACTGTTTAATTACTTAAAAATTTTATCGCTACATCTCCAGATTATAATGTTATTTTCAATACTAAACCGACCTCATTATCAACAAAACAATTTATCTTATCGTTGTACAATATTACCACAAATCAACCGATCGACCCAATGAAATAACTAAACAAAAAACATCTACAGGTTGGCACATTAGTATGGAAAAGCTCAATATATCTGTTATTATAGAAGATATCAAAAAAACTTCATTACAAAAGTTGTAGATCTTTTTAAACTGCACATTTTAAACTTAGTTACATTTAAACAGAGTGTCCCGTTTTTATAGGGATCACCCTATATTTTATATCGTTAACAGGAAGTATTTTTGAAGTACTTTCATTCTTAATAACCATTCCCTATACCTAAAGTTAACACTTTTCGAGATATTTCAGTTAAAATAAATTAGAGCTTAAAAATGAAAAAAAAAATTAAGCTTTCTTTTTTATAATAACCGAAGTTCTGGTAAAAATTGTCTATACCTAATAAACCTTCCCTGTACCTAAATTTGATATTTTTCGAGATATTTTAATATTCTTTAATTGGACTGACCTGTCAACAGATACTAATCGCTAATCGTGTAGTTTCTAATAATAACTTTATTGTGTCTATTGCGACTTATAACAATTGCTAATACCAATTATTAATAATAATTTGGTCCATTTTGTTCGTTTATAATAGTTTTTTCACATTCTGGCTTTTCGTATGCAGCTGAAGCCATACGATTGAGACAATCTAAACATTTTTCAAAGGATTTTTTGTTAGGTTGTATTCCTCCAGGATATCTTTCATGGCAAATCCTTTTGGCAAGCCAACAAATTCTCTAAACTTTCTCCCAATACCCAAATCATAACCATCAATAATTGTTCAATAGAAAAATTCATTTTGTATTCTAATTTTTACAAATTGTGGAGGCAATATCGACAAATCATACCAGATAGTATTTAATTGACGTTTCTTACTTCTTTCTGTAACGTGTACTTCGATCAAAAAGAAACCTTAATTTTTTTTCTTCGGTATTCCTTTCCAGTTTTTTTTTTATTGGAATATCTCGAAAAGTGTTAACTTTAGGTATAGGGAATGGTTATTAAGAATGAAAGTACTTCAAAAATACTTCCTATTAACGATATAAAATATAGGGTGATCCATTTAAATTAACAGAGGAAATGTTACTTTTGCGTTTGGATCCACCCTGTAAGCAGTATGATTAAAATTGACAAAAAATATTCATTTTGTACATTTTCAGGATATTTGCAATGTTGTAAAACGTGAAATTTATTTTCAATTCAATTCATTTAGTTTCTACACATTGGTAAACTTAGTACGATTTTTGTGGAAAAGTTGTCATAACTTTTAAACCACTCAGTATAAAGTTATACAAAATTATATTTTTGGAAAGCTTAAAACGAGCTAAATTCAATTTTTAAATAAAAAACAGGGTGCCCAATTTAAAAAAGTATAAGTTTGATCTACTACGGAAAAACGAGACACTCTGTATGAATGTAACTAATTTTAAAATATGCAGTTTAAAAAGATCTACAATTTTTGTACTGAAGTTTTTTTGATATCTTCTATAATAACAGATATATTGAGCTTTTCCATACTAATGCGCAACCCTGTATAAAATACCTGCACTTCCGAATCCTCATCGCAAATCGACAGCCCGTCGAACTTCCCGCACGATTTCAATCCCTCCTCCCTTCCTCCATTTCCGACGCTCCTATTCCACAGGTAATCCTCCAACGACCTCAGCCCCTCGTCGGAGGCGATGTCGACGAAACAATCCAGAAACTCCCAGTACTCCTTCCAGGTGACGCGGAACGCGTCGGCTAGTCGCTTCCCCACGCGCTCCAGCCCCTTCTTCGGATCGGTGTAGCGCAACGTGCGCGGATTCGTCGCCGATCGCTGTTGGAAATCGATCGATCGGGGCGGCGTCTTCCACGATTTCTTGAACCGTTGGGCTTCGGACGCCTCCATCGGGCCGGCGTACGCGTGGATCTCCAGCCTCGGACTGAGGATGTCCCTGTTGGGCGGCTGCGGAAGATATACATCTTAATAAAATGACGCATACACCGTTGGAAATTTAATTTCGCATAATAGGGAAATCGATGTTAAATTCTCATCCGGCTGAAATCCAGTCTACCAGTGTACATTTCAATAGAACGTCGCGATTAATTCTAATAAATTTAATTGTTCTACTGGATCGCACGCCGCGATTTGTAGAGGTACAAAGTTATTTGTGTTAGGTATGAGGTACAAAATTATTTAGAAACTAAATTTAATGATTTTTTGGGGGATATTTCAAAAAAATATGTGTATCGGTAGATACTGTTTTGAAAGAGCAACAAATCTTGTTGAAATAAGGGAAAAAATAATTCAATTTTCTGCTAGAATTATACCTCAGCTCAGTAATATGAGATGACATCTGTATGACAGGTTTGGCTATTGTTAAGCAGAAAGTGGTGGACTATTTTTTAGAGTTCTTTTATTTTCTGTTTTAAAATAATCTTTAAGTTTATTTTTGGAGTTTCCTTTTTATTATTTTCTTAGAATTTACTTTCTTTTTCAAGCCATTGTGACAAAAAGACATATCTACATAATTCTATTTTAATATTAGTGATATTTTTTCAATAAATTATCGTTAAAAAATTCTCATTTCTTTTTAATCGACTCGACGTTCACCCATCCGAACCCGTTTTGATACTGTCGAAGTGTCGAAACCGTCGAAATTATTTGTTTTTTAATCTAACCGAAACAAATCGCGGTGTGAAGTCCAGTAGAACAATTAAATTTATTAGAATTTATCGCGACGTTCTATTGAAATGTACACTGGTAGACTGGATTTCAGCAGGCTAATAATTTAACATTGATTTCCCTATTATGCGCGAATAATTTTCCAACGGTGTATACCATATTCCAAGGTCTACAAGGATTAATGGTAAACTACTGTATGCTAGAGGGTTTACAAGGGGCCTGTTTCATATAACTGACAAGTTGACAAGTTACAAGTCAACAAGTTACAAGTGTTGGTTGACAAGTATTTAAAAATTTCGTTTCATAAAATAAATTTCGACACTTGTCGAATTAAATTTTTGGCATCCGTTTTTTTACAACTGTAATATTAATTAAACGTCAGACTTAAGCCAAAAAGAAAAAAATAGTACTTACTATACTGACGAGCATAAGTATAGCACAACCTTCGTTTTTCGATATTGGGAGACTTTTACTTTGAAATTGTTTTTTTTTCTGGTTGGAACTATTTTTAGATGTGAACCACGACAATTTCGTTTATTGACAAAAAATTTATTTTTAAAATGCGGCAAATTTTTTTTATTATTCAATTATTTTAATAAAGAAAGGGCATTCTATTTGGAAAATTTAGTCCCACTTCTACAAAAGCTATAAAATGTGAGCATTGGAACGAACAAAGACAATGCATAATTTCTATAAGTTGGTTCTATACATTAGGCGGGGACCAATAGATTTTAATATTTCCTCCATTTTTATTGAATTCATTCGAAATCGTTTAATAAACTCTCATTAAGCTTCCTCCTTACTGTCGCTAGACCACATTTTCTTTTAAATTTACATGTGAATTGGATGGTGACAGGAAATCAAACCCCTGTCGATTTGCACTAATATATGATAGGAATAAATGACAAGTGTTGTTTAATTTATTTTTTATGAAACGCAAACCTATCTACAATTGTAAAACAGACTTGTAATATTAGTCTAGTCACTTGTCACTAATAATCTACTCATGTAATTTTATGAAACACAAACTTGTCAAATACCCCAATCAAATTTAGACTACACTTGTCCGACAGGACTTGTCAGTTATATGAAACAGGCCCCAGGATTAACGGTAGGTACTGTACTCACCGGTCGACTGGTTGTTAGAAAAGGTTCCCCGATAACGGCGGGCTCGCTGTCGTCCACAGCTCGCAGTACCGGTACGTAGTAAGTGTCATGCAATAAACGCTCTATCCTCTTTTTAATAGAAGCCAGGTCATCTCCTTCGGCTCTTTCGCAATTAATCTACAAGAAAAATCATTCAAATAAATTGTTAATGTGTCTCATATCTAACAAGAACAATCGTACGTGTTAGAATTAATATCTAATAAGACCCAATCTACACTATAAAGACATTCTTCAATCATCCTTAGACCTTAGAGAATCCCTCTATAAAGCAGATAATCACCTGTTCCGCGGTCTTCATGAACTTATTCCTTGCCGTTTTGTCGCATTGCGCGTACGATACGAGCACCTCGACGACGTCAGCGGCGCCGTGCTTGGCGGCGAAATGCAGCGGCGTCTCGTTCAGTCCCTTGTTAGGGGTGTTCAGGTAGAGATCGAGTAACATGGCCGATCTGGAGAGGATCAATGAGTCGTCGTGACGGCCGTCGTCGCCGTACAACAGCCGGATGAACGTCGGATCGGCGACGGTGTCGAGGACGAATTGGGCGATGGGGGCGTTCTTCGATAGGGCCGCCACGTGCAGGGCGTTGTAACGGGCGCCTTCCTGCAATAGGGTAAAGGTGGTATTGCACGGATATTACAAATTTAAGTCGTGCGAACGAACCTTTAATATAGACGGTGTATCTCCGCTGCTGACTAAGTACCTCGGGTTGCGCCACACGGCTTCCATGACCCATTCCAAATCGCCGTTTTCGATGGCCTTGCGCAGCTCGACCAACTCCTGGGGCTTGGGGGCCCTGAAGGCGCTCGCCTTCTCGCCCACTAGACTGCATTCGGGCGATTTGGGATCGGTTTCGGGGCACTCGGGTCCGTTGAGAGCGAATTCGGCGGCTTCGTGGTAGAATCGGAAGGCTTTGAAGCGGCTTTTTTTACACTGTTTCGCCGCCTGTAGGGCTTCCGTTTTGTCGGTGAAGACGGTTGGTTGTTGGTCGGCGGATCGGTTTTCCAAGGGTGCGAATACGCCATAGTAGATCGGTTCCAGTGATTGATTTGAGTGCATATTGTGAGTTGTCCATTCAACTATCGAGTAGGCTAAAAAGTAGAAATATGTAAATACGTATTAATATTAGAGTAAAAAAGAAAACTACAGTAGTGTATATATGAGAGATCAGAAGAGGAGCATTCGGAGCAGGAAGTCGTTATCACCAAACTGGAAATCGTTATCACCAAATTGCAAGCTAAAAATGCTAATTGACCAGCATTCAACTAATTAACAATATTTAACTATTACGATATTAACTGCTTTAAAGCAAAAACGAAAACATTATTTATCCTAAAAACTGATGAAGAAACTAAACAATAAACTGTTTAGAATCACAAATTGTGAGGTTATGATTATTTAAAAATAGTCGCATAACTCACCTGTTTTCTTTTTTTCTCAGCGGAAATTCCACATTCAACTTGTTTCATTCCTTGTTATGTTTGTTAAATATCACAAAATGGGTTGTAAACAGTTATATTTTTTAAAATGCAACACGTATTGAATATAAATTCTTGTTTACATATTCTGCTGATCAGTTCTCGGAACACGAAATTCAAAATTAATGACAGATGACATTGACAAATCAGACGTTTATGAAGATGAGATAATTGTCTGTACTCGATCCGACGTTGCCAAATCTTTACCGTATATTTACGTTGCCAAGTCTTTTAATGATTTCAAACAATATAGATATTTTTTCAAAATTTTCCATGCAGCCACATTATTTCGATTTCTATTAGCACAACGGTAATTGTCGGAGTGTTGCGAATGTTGATACTAACAATGTAAATAACTACATTCAATATTTGTTATTTATTATCAAAGTATAACATATAACCGGATATACCTAGCTTTCCACGTGCGAAAATTGTTCGTGTGAATTAAACACCATTAGGATGATTTGTTGATAAGAATCAAGTGGGTTTCATTAACACTTTAAACGGTTAAGCAGATGTGCATGTTGACTCTTTCCCAATTATTATTGACTCTGTAAAGTTTACATATGTATACTTGTTTTTTGTGTTAAACACACATGAGTTTTTGAACTAATTAAAACATTTGTGTATACAGGTAGATGCAAAGTTGTTTGGAATATAGGCTATGGATGTAACAAAGACAACATGGAGAAGCCTGGAGAAATCCCACTCCAAAATGAGCCTAAATATCCGAATCATCATTGAAATTTTTTGACATCAATGGCCTACTTCTCTAAAAAAAGTTTCAATCAATCAGTGATTTATATGAATCATAAATTGTCACTCTTATACGACGCGTGTTTTATGGTCTGAGCACAATTAGAAGTTTGGCGATTGTCCAAATTATGTTAAGTGTTAAGAAAGACAGTTCAAGGCGGCTAAATTTTTTTTTCTTTAAACTAAGCGCTTATGAATAGAATATAATGTTTCGAATTCACAGAGAAAATGAGATTTCCTTATACGCCTGCTTATACTCATCTTCAAATCCAAAAGAAAATGCAATTGTATGAACTTTTAAAGAGCTTCCAATAAGTTTTTTTGGACGTTTCATGTATTAACTGTGCCAAATTTCGAAGCACTCAAAACATAACTTTTCATAAAGATTTTACTGATGAATTTTAAATGGAGGATGCAAGATTATCTATTAAAGAAACTCATCAAATTGAAATTGGAAGTTATACATATGACTCGCTGTCGCTCGTAAAGGGGGCTCCGCCCCCTTTAAAATTTTTTTTTTTTTTTTTCAAAAAAAAAAAAAAAAAATAACGCCGCCCATGGCGAAACACCCGCCGCTGGCCCGAACCGACGAAATCCATCGGCAACTTACCCGAGCGATGGAAAAGCGACCACGATCCCCGCTCCTTCCGCGGCCGACCGGGAATTCCTTTCTACCGTACTCCGGTGCATCGACAAAGTTTTTTTGCTATAACTCCGAAACGGGTTAAGATATCGTTATCGGGTTTGTTTTGTTAGTTGCACGAAACTTGAATTAATAATTTTGAAAGAATACATTTTTTTCGAAAACCCGATAGTTTCCGAGTAAACGGAGTGTATTTAAAAAAAATTTTAATTTCGGCAAATTTTCATTTCCCTATAACTTGGTGACATATATTTTTGAAGAAACGCGATTTGCGTGGAAAAATGTCAAAAAAATCAAAGAATATACGGTGAAAGTTTGAAAAAAATCTGTAATGTAGTTTCGGAGATATAGGTCGAAAATGCCAAAAAAGTCGTAATTTTAACAAAAAATCCGGTTTTTCACCCGGAAGGAAACTTTTCCGGGTTTGGAAAAGTCGATATTTCGATAGATCTCGTCGAGTTACGTAGGATAGAATTTTTTTCCGATTTTTTCGCCCCCAAATAAAGCCGTAAAAAAAAAAACACGCCAATCAGTCAGTGAATGTCGGTTTCGGTTGTATAGTTGTAGAGACTCGCTGTCGCTCGTAAAGGGGGCTCCGCCCCCTTTAAAATTTTTTTTTTTTTTTTTCAAAAAAAAAAAAAAAAAATAACGCCGCCCATGGCGAAACACCCGCCGCTGGCCCGAACCGACGAAATCCATCGGCAACTTACCCGAGCGATGGAAAAGCGACCACGATCCCCGCTCCTTCCGCGGCCGACCGGGAATTCCTTTCTACCGTACTCCGGTGCATCGACAAAGTTTTTTTGCTATAACTCCGAAACGGGTTAAGATATCGTTATCGGGTTTGTTTTGTTAGTTGCACGAAACTTGAATTAATAATTTTGAAAGAATACATTTTTTTCGAAAACCCGATAGTTTCCGAGTAAACGGAGTGTATTTAAAAAAAATTTTAATTTCGGCAAATTTTCATTTCCCTATAACTTGGTGACATATATTTTTGAAGAAACGCGATTTGCGTGGAAAAATGTCAAAAAAATCAAAGAATATACGGTGAAAGTTTGAAAAAAATCTGTAATGTAGTTTCGGAGATATAGGTCGAAAATGCCAAAAAAGTCGTAATTTTAACAAAAAATCCGGTTTTTTCACCCGGAAGGAAACTTTTCCGGGTTTCGAAAAGTCGATATTTCGATAGATCTCGTCGAGTTACGTAGGATAGAATTTTTTTCCGATTTTTTCGCCCCCAAATAAAGCCGTAAAAAAAAAAACACGCCAATCAGTCAGTGAATGTCGGTTTCGGTTGTATAGTTGTAGAGACTCGCTGTCGCTCGTAAAGGGGGCTCCGCCCCCTTTAAAATTTTTTTTTTTTTTTTAAAAAAAAAAAAAAAAAATAACGCCGCCCATGGCGAAACACCCGCCGCTGGCCCGAACCGACGAAATCCATCGGCAACTTACCCGAGCGATGGAAAAGCGACCACGATCCCCGCTCCTTCCGCGGCCGACCGGGAATTCCTTTCTACCGTACTCCGGTGCATCGACAAAGTTTTTTTGCTATAACTCCGAAACGGGTTAAGATATCGTTATCGGGTTTGTTTTGTTAGTTGCACGAAACTTGAATTAATAATTTTGAAAGAATACATTTTTTTCGAAAACCCGATAGTTTCCGAGTAAACGGAGTGTAATTAAAAAAAATTTTAATTTCGGCAAATTTTCATTTCCCTATAACTTGGTGACATATATTTTTGAAGAAACGCGATTTGCGTGGAAAAATGGCAAAAAAATCAAAGAATATACGGTGAAAGTTTGAAAAAAATCTGTAATGTAGTTTCGGAGATATAGGTCGAAAATGCCAAAAAAGTCGTAATTTTAACAAAAAATCCGGTTTTTCACCCGGAATGAAACTTTTCCGGGTTTCGAAAAGTCGATATTTCGATAGATCTCGTCGAGTTACGTAGGATAGAATTTTTTTCCGATTTTTTCGCCCGCAAATAAAGCCGTAAAAAAAAAAACACGCCAATCAGTCAGTGAATGTCGGTTTCGGTTGTATAGTTAGTGAGACTCGCTTTCGCTCGGAAAGGGGGCTGCGCCCCCTTTCAACCCCCCGGGGCCCAAAGGCAAGGCCTGACGGCCTTGCCTTTAGTACCGCGGTTTTGGCCGCTGCCTCATACTTTGAACGAATGTATAAAAAAATTAGCTTTAAAATTATTTGTGATCCTTTATTTCCATTTCTATTTCTATTCATAATTTCTCTCCTGATTTTCCTTTGTCGGCCCTAAAAATAAAAAAAATATATAAGTAAACGAAAACAAAAACCTACTCTTCATTGAACGGATAACAAAAAATCAGTCGTATATACGTTAAATTTATGATTTGTTTTTCAAAATTAATGTATTCGAATGATATTTTGTATTATTAACCTATTATTAGTAAGTACTTACCTATTAAACATACTATTCTTGTGTTCGAAGACTCTTCGATCGAAGTACAGGATTATTCGGTGAGTGTTGAAAAAGGCAGAAAAAATCCAAAATGTGACTCCAATTGTTGTTGGCGATTTATTTCGAGCTAGTAGTTGTCCTTTGCTTCCTTCTTTTTCATTTTCCGGTGTAAATCCTACAAAAAAAAAGGAAAATATAAGTAAAAGGAAAAAAAACTACTCTTCATTCTACAGGTTACAAAAAATCATTTGTTGCTACGTTATTTTTGTAATTTTTGGTCAAAATTAATGTATTCGAATGATATTTTGTATTATTAACCTATTATTAGTAAGTACTTACCTATTAAACATAGTATTCTTGTGTTCGAAGACTCTTCGATCGAAGTACAGGGTTATTCGGTGAGTGTTGAAAAAGGCAGAAAAAATCCAAAATATGACTCCAATCGTTGTTGGCGATTTATTTCGAGCTAGTAGTTGTCCTTTGCTTCCTTCTTTTCCATTTTCCGGTGTAAATCCTACAAAAAAAAAAAGGAAAATATAAGTAAAAGGAAAAAAAAAACTACTCTTCATTCTACAGGTTACAAAAAATCATTTGTTGCTACGTTATTTTTGTAATTTTTGGTCAAAATTAATGTATTCGAATGATATTTTGTATTATTAACCCATTATTAGTAAGTACTTACCTATTAAACATACTATTCTTGTGTTCGAAGACTCTTCGATCGAAGTACAGGATTATTCGGTGAGTGTTGAAAAAGGCAGAAAAAATCCAAAATATGACTCCAATCGTTGTTGGCGATTTATTTCGAGCTAGTAGTTGTCCTTTGCTTCCTTCTTTTCCATTTTCCGGTGTAAATCCTACAAAAAAAAAAAGGAAAATATAAGTAAAAGGAAAAAAAAAACTACTCTTCATTCTACAGGTTACAAAAAATCATTTGTTGCTACGTTATTTATGTAATTTTTGGTCAAAATTAATGTATTCGAATGATATTTTGTATTAATAACCTATTATTAGTAAGTACTTACGTATTAAACATATTATTCTTGTGTTCGAAGACACTTCGATCGAAGACCGGGTTATTCGGTGAGTGTTGAAAAAGGCAGAAAAAATCCAAAATATGACTCCAATCGTTGTTGGCGATTTATTTCAAGCTAGTAGTTGTCCTTTGCTTCCTTCTTTTCCATTTTCCGGTGTAAATCCTACAAAAAAAAAGGAAAATATAAGTAAAAGGAAAAAAAACTACTCTTCATTCTACAGGTTACAAAAAATCATTTGTTGCTACGTTATTTTTGTAATTTTTGGTCAAAATTAATGTATTCGAATGATATTTTGTATTAATAACCTATTATTAGTAAGTACTTACCTATTAAACATACTATTCTTGTGTTCGAAGACTCTTCGATCGAAGTACAGGGTTATTCGGTGAGTGTTGAAAAAGGCAGAAAAAATCCAAAATATGACTCCAATTGTTGTTGGCGATTTATTTCGAGCTAGTAGTTGTCCTTTGCTTCCTTCTTTTCCATATTCCGGTGTAAATCCTACAAAAAAAAGAAAAAAAAACTACTCTTCATTCTACAGGTTACAAAAAATCATTTGTTGCTACGTTATTTTTGTAATTTTTGGTCAAAATTAATGTATTCGAATGATATTTTGTATTAATAACCAATTATTAGTAAGTACTTACCTATTAAACATACTATTCTTGTGTTCGAAGACTCTTCGATCGAAGTACAGGGTTATTCGGTGAGTGTTGAAAAAGGCAGAAAAAATCCAAAATATGACTCCAATTGTTGTTGGCGATTTATTTCGAGCTAGTAGTTGTCCTTTGCTTCCTTCTTTTCCATTTTCCGGTATAAATCCTACAAAAAAAAGGAAAATATAAGTAAAAGGAAAAAAAAACTACTCTTCCCTAGTAGCACACTACGTCATCATGACGTCTATTTAAAGTCATTTTTAGTCATTTAATTCGTCAGTATGACCATACGAATGACGTCAAGATGGCCTTAAAATAACGACACTTTGTCACCTCCGAATGACGTCACTTTTAATATTAAATTGACGTCATCTGTACTATTATTATTGACGTCATTTTCAAATCATTTTGACGACATTATTATTACCTATAATGACGTCACTTTTAATGTTAAATTGACGTCATCTGTACTATTATTATTGACGTCATTTTCAGATCATTTTGACGGCATTATTATTACCTATAATGACGTCATATTTAGGTAAGTTGATTTTTTATAAATAAAAATCAATGAAAATCAAATTATAAAAATATTTATTATCAGCAAATATTTGTGTCATCTAGAATCAAAACCCGCCAGATCCACTTCAAAATAAACTAATAATGTCTAAACATTGAGCTTTTTTTGTAAAATGAAAATGTAAAAAATGAAAAAAAAAAGGATTTTTTAAAATAAACCTTATGGATTTCGCGGATTTTGATTCTAGAGGACACATTTCACGAAGTTTAAAAAACAAGGAACGTATTAAATTAAAGAAATATAACAGGAACATTCGAGTAAATTGTAAATTACAATATGTGGCCTCGCATTTTAAAAGGGATCTAAGGTGTCAAAAAAAAGAATTGGGAAAACGCGTTAGAAGTTTGCTATCCTTGGATCAAACTAGACTTTTTCACAAATTAGGTGTCAAAATAACACATTGGACACTTTTCTATTGCAGACAACTGCTCACATGATTCTTCTGGGTGTTTCCCATAGTAATTGTCATAAACAAGATTTTACATAATTTGACACACTAGGTCCCTTTTAGCACGTGGAGTCAAACAAAATCAAATCAATTTTCTGGGCAAAATATACAGAGTGTTAACTTTAGCGCGGAGCAAAAATTGAGAGAGACGGTGTAATGGAGCATATACGTATGTCTAAGAATGAGAGAATATTAGAAGCAGCCACTCCCGACGTAGCGACTGGAAGGGAGGCTCGACCGATACGCGATCGAAACAAGCGATTTTTAATTTTGTTTTTGTTTCGCTAATGAATTTCGTATTGGCTATCCCGTACCGAAATTGCTCCGCGTTAGAGTTAACACTCTGTATACTTCATTAGAATGAAAATAGGAGAAATACAACTCTTCTTGTCGATAAAGAAAATAATGTTTCATGAAATATTTCTGTCACAGAGAGAATGTATAACAGGAATGGAAGTATAATTTTTTAAATCTTTATCTGGAAATACCATACATTTCATACTTATTTGGTAAATTGGCCAAACTTTCAGATGACAATTCAAATTTGATAAATTAAAAATACCTAATTCTTCAGATTTCAAAGGATATTCATACAAAGAATTATAAGTAGTAAATTGTTTTCCAATAATTAGAGTTTCAGAATTTTCAATTATAATGTTGTGGATTTCAATAACAATATTATCATTGGTCATGCAGTAGGAGTCTGCTTTAGAATAGGAGTTAATGCAAAGAACAAAATTGTTTAAAGTCAAAATTTTGAATTGATGGATTGACGCAACATCATGAAACTCTAATAATGGTCCAAAATCGTGTTCCTTTGAATGCAATGGTTGCCCATTATCACTAACCATTTCATTATTCACGGCATAAAATTCCTGTAAGCGACGACCAACTTGTTGTAGTGACTTACTATAAGATCTTATTAAGCGTTTCAGTTGTCCCAAAAAGTTTTCAAAAGGAAAAGCTGAGAAAGTATCCACTGATCCAAATTTACGTACATCATCTACTAAGTGGCACAACATGTGTACGTTATATACCAAAAAGTCCTGGCCATACAACTCTTCACAATGATTTATAAAAGTAATTAACAACTTATGCGGAAAATCAAACCCAAATTTAGATAACAGTGAATTAGAAACTAATATTGACATGGCAAAATGAAATAAAAGAAAATTTTCGTAGACAGCTTTATGTATTGTGTGTCTAAGAACAAATGGTCCCAGATATAATAAGAATGTTCTAAATTCTGTGGCTTTCCATCTTTGAAGTTCATCTAAGCCCCTTGGTTTTCTGTTAAACTCTCTTGGAATACATGGTCTTAAGGAAAGAAGAAGTCCAGACAGCGTTTTAACCACACAACCAGAAAACCTTATTGGTAATTTTCCTCCTAACCAAAAATTTAATAACTTTCTCATCACCCCTAAGCAACAAGCATGCATATAGTCAATAGGAAAAGAAGACACCATTCCAATCTGCAACCTAAGTAATGGAGAAACTCCAGTATGGTGCTCTTCATCTTGCTGGATAAAAAAACTTTGGTCCGTTCTCTTTAGATAAGATACACTCTTGAGAATAATTCGTCCATTGACATATTGACCCGGTTCAAAACATTTATCGCATGAAGCGTAACCGCCATGAGACTTTACACTTTTAATAAATGCCTTAGCAGGCGCGTCACAAATAAAGCTATGTACAGAAATTCTATATTCCTTATCATTAAAAAAGAAACCGTTTGTTTTCAGAACGTTAACTTCATTTATAAACTCTTCAAAAAATATTTCCAATGGAACTGGTTTAGATTTTCCGCAGAAAATAGCTATTGCAAAAATATGATTATTTTTAAAATTTTTTACACACCCCAAGATAGGCCAGAATTGTACATTTGAGCTATGAAACAACGGAATACCATCAATATTAAAACTAATGTCTAAATTATTTCCAATAAAATTTAAATTTTGTGTAATAATTCTACAAAGATTATTCTTTAGCCCTAAATAACACAATTCGCCATTCTGTAGATTTATAATATTAAGATGTTTAGGTGTTTTTAACAAAGTTCTTGCATCTAAAGGCAAGTCAGAATGAAGTGGTTTTAATATTTTTAAAAGACCGTTAATTGCAGAATGCGAAACTCTATTTTCAAGAGCCCATGATCTTAAACTATGATGAAGGATAGGTGGTTCAGAATGAATTGATTTAAGAGGTTTGTTTTCTAAATTACATACTGGTGGTTCATTTTCAAATTCATAAATTGAATGTTCATTATTTAAATTACTATTAAATGTAGGTTGATCAGAATTGGTTCCGTTGCATTCGCTTTTTAAAATGTGATTTTGAGATTGTAAATCTGTGTCAGTAAATTCAATACTTTCATCAATATTTTGAAAAACAGATTTGCTACATGAAACATTATTTTCAGTGGCCTCGTTACAAGAAGAGTTCGATTTCTTACCAGTACTACAATTGATTAATTTGATAGTGGAAGCAATTCGCCGTTGACGTTGTCGTTTTCCAACAGAATTCTTCAACTTAAATTTAATTCTCTTTTCTGGCTCCATCCGATTTCTTTAACCGTTCAGGTGCGTGCTTCAGCCAAATTTTGATCGCTTGTTCGATGTCCCTGTCTGTACTTTGTGAATTTGACAATTTTACAGAATCTGTAAAAACAACCAAAAATTAACAAAAATGACCTGTTAAAACTAATTATGTGAATGATTGAACTATGAAATTATTATGCTTACCCACAATAATATTTTTTAATAGCAAATCGCAAAATGGTCGTTTGTTATTCCTCTTCCCAAAGTAGCTAAAAGAGGTGGCTACGGCATCTTTGAAGAGATATTTTAATATTCTATTTGTCCTTGTGACAGTATCTTTGCCACCTAAAGTTGACAAATACGACACCTAAAATTAATTATTTAACAATGTATAAAAATATAACGTGCTATAAAAAATTACCAGCTCTTTAGAAAGTGTTTCAATACTCCGCAAGTCTTCTTCTAGGCTATTAAGGTCATCAAGTGTGTTAAATGGTACCTCCACATTTAAATGAGGACGTATCGTTGTTGGCGTTACTATCTTACTCTGCTTTCGAATCCACTCTAATATTTCGTTGTTTTGTTCTTTCACAGCAGCAACTAATGAAATTAGTTTACCTGCAAATATTTATAAAGTTGTTAATAACATAATTATGTTAGATTTAAAAAGTTACTTACCTATTTTTTCCGAATCGTAGCTAAATTTTGTATTTGCTTGAGGAAGAGATCGGGGTGTTGAAAATGAATTGATTGTTTGAGACTGTAGTGTTGAAACAGTACTTATTGGTTGAGATATTTCTTGAGATAAGCTGGGGCGAGCTACAAATATGGATTAAAATACTAAATGTATGTAAAAAAACTAGAATGAACAAACTTACTTATTTGAGGGGAAGAATTGTTTGTCCTTTTTATCCGACGTGGCCTTGGAAGACAAATTGAAGAAGTTCCTTCTGTATCTGAGGATGATTGAGAATATATCCTAGTATTCTTTTTCCTTTTTCGTTTACGATCAGGTTCCTCTTCAGACTCTATGTTGGATGTGAGCTCAGCTTCTTTTGCTTTTAATCTAGCTTTTGTTAAATCATCTGTAAAAAAAATTCAGAATTTTATGAAGTTTTTATATATTTAAATAACATTAAGAATAAGTCAAATAGTGCACTAAAAATTAAAAATATTTTTAAACGTGAACTTACCACATTCATAAAAAATTTTGTTAAGCTTATAAATGCGCCAGGTTTCTGTATTTACAGTACAACCGTTTTTAAGCGCTTTGTCAAATTGATGTTGTTCTTTGTAAGGTGGCCAAAACGACTCATTTTTCCTTGGCGTTAACCAAGAACTATGTACAACTGCTACGCCTCCACCATCATCCTTGTCAAATTCTACTAGTACGAATGCCATTTTATACTAAGCAGACAACTGCTGAAGCCTACGTACAAGAAACTATTTACTAAAACATGTTAAGCATAATTGAAACAAATTAATTATCATTTTTAGTGTAAACAATTTAAATAAAACAAATTTAAAAAATCAATAAATTTCTTATATTTGATAATATTAAAATTTCTCAATAAACTAAGCCAGTATCCACTATAAATTAACGCATTACTTAAAATAATAGAAAATTTTTCTCTAATGAAGTTAGCACATGCCTTACGAGAACTTTTAAATAAAACCCCAACAACCAGATAAAAGAAATTAATAAAACTTAAAAAAATACTTACTTGATTAATTAGTTTGTCGCTAGTCACTCATCAGCTCATTTAGTCATCAAACCACTTGAAATTTTATTCAAATATATTTATTCCAAAATTTCAAAAGCCTGGCGTCCATCGTACACGCGCAAATTGCCAATACCAATGTTGCAAATGCAAATGGTGGTGGTACTGACTGGACACGACGCGACGCGACAAAAGACACGACGATAAGTAAAAAGTAAAGTAAGATAGGGATAGAAGATGGAAGGTGTACCGGCACCGGCATCGGCTTCGCCTTCTCTTCATTGTCGTTACCCTGTGCGCACAGCGTTGCCAGTTTATTTTTAAGTACGCTGGTCTTACTCTTTTTAAAATATATCTTACCTACTGAAATTGCAAAAATAGTCACATGGTAGAAAAATAATAAAATTCTGATTAAATGTATTTATATAACCATGTTTATATAGAAAAATAATTACACGTTTACAGTGTAACCCGAGCGTAGCTATTAATGTGCACATATAAAAAAAGTACAACCTATGAAACATGGCAACGCTGCCTACATTTGAATTGAATTCAAAGGTAAAAATGAACTGTTTAAAAAAACACTCTGACTATCATTATCAAAATTTAAAAGTTACTCACCCCATTATTCGATATTCCATACATATTCCTATAAATTTATATAAATAATTTTTTATAGACAGACGTCGCATACACTGACGCCACAATGACGTTGTTATAATGACGTCAATTAACATTAATAAAAAATGTCGTCATAAGGACGTACCATTTTCGTCAAATGACGTCGGCGACTAAAAATGACTTTAAATAGACGTCTTAAGGACGTATGTGTGCTACTAGGGTTCATTCTACAGGTTACTAAAAATCATTTCTTGCTACGTTATTTTTGTAATTTTTGGTCAAAATTAATGTATTTGAATGATATTTTGTATTATTAACGTATTATTAGTAAGTACTTACGTATTAAACATACTATTCTTGTGTTCGAAGACTCTTCGATCGAAGTACAGGGTTATTCGGTGAGTGTTGAAAAAGGCAGAAAAAATCCAAAATATGACTCCAATCGTTGTTTCCTGATTTATTTCGGGCTAGTAGTTGTCCTTTGCTTCCTATTTTGTTCTATTTTCCAGTGTAATTCCTACAAAATAAGGAAAATATAAGTAAAGAAAAAAAAACTATTCTTCATTGAACGGATAACAAAAAATCAGTCGTAAATACGTTAAATTTATGATTTGTTTTTCAAAATTAATGTATTCGAATGATATTTTGTATTATTAACCTATTATTAGTAAGTACTTACCTATTAAACATACTATTCTTGTGTTCGAAAGACTCTTCGATCGAAGTACAGGGTTATTCGGGGAGTGTTGAAAAAGGCAGAAAAAATCCAAAATATGACTCCAATCGTTGTTTCCTGATTTATTTCGGGCTAGTAGTTGTCCTTTGCTTCCTATTTTGTTCTATTTTCCAGTGTAATTCCTACAAAATAAGGAAAATATAAGTAAAGAAAAAAAAAAAACCTATTCTTCATTGAACGGATAACAAAAAATCAGTCGTAAATACGTTAAATTTATGATTTGTTTTTCAAAATTAATGTATTCGAATGATATTCTGTATTATTAACCTATTATTAGTAAGTACTTACCTATTAAACATACTATTCTTGTGTTCGAAAGACTCTTCGATCGAAGTACAGGGTTATTCGGTGAGTGTTGAAAAAGGCAGAAAAAATCCAAAATATGACTCCAATCGTTGTTTCCGGTTTATTTCGAGCTAGTAGTTGTCCTTTGCTTCCTTCTTTTTCATTTTTCGGTGTAAATTCTACAAAAAAAAGGAAAATATATTTGTAATTGAAAAAAAACTCCACTCTTCATTCTACGGGTAACTAACCTGTATAACGTTTTTGTACCCAACTTTATTAGTTCTTGACTGATTTTATCCATTTTTCATATAAATCGAAGCACTATTAGTCCTCTTTTTGCATATCCATACGTAGTAAACGGTTCTTACGTTCAGAAAGTAGTATTCTTCCAAATATATCGTCATGTATGAAGGAAGGATTTTCTTCGTAGGCCATCGTTACAATTTCTAGAAAGAACCATTTAAATATCGTAGGAAATTATTAATAGAGTTATTTATTCGTCATATAAATTCACTTACCTTATATTTAACGTAAAAAATCCATCGAAAATGAGAAACTAAGTAGTTCGAACGGCGGCAACTTTTCCCGTCGGCAAGTCGAATTATTCGAAATCAAAATGTCCGACCGAACCGAAACCGAAAAAAAAAATTACAAGCCAGCATTTCGCCGAACGATGGAAATGCGTCCTTTGCTTCCTTCTTTTCCATTCTCCGGTGTAAATTCTACAAAAGAAGGAAAATATATTTGTAATTAAAAAAAAACTTTACTCTTCATTCTACGGGTAACTAACCTGTATAACGTTTTTGTACCCAACTTTATTTTTTCTTGACCGATTTTATTCATTTTTCATATAAATCGAAGCACGATTAGTCCTCTTTCTGCATATCCATACGTAGTAAACCGTTCTTACGTTCAGAAAGTAGTATTCCTCCAAATATATCGTCATGTATGAAGGAAGGATTTTCTTCGTAGGCCATCGTTACAATTTCTAGAAAGAACCATTTAAATATCGTAGGAAATTATTAATAGAGTTATTTATTCGTCATATAAATTCACTTACCTTATATTTAACGTAAAAAATCCATCGAAAATGAGAAACTAAGTAGTTCGAACGGCGGCAACTTTTCCCGTCGGCAAGTCGAATTATTCGAAATCAAAATGTCCGACCGAACCGAAACCGAAAAAAAAAATTACAAGCCAGCATTTCGCCGAACGATGGAAATGCGACGACGGTCCCCTCTCCGTTCTCTTTGTGTCTCGATGTGACGTCACACGCGCTAGCATAGCGACCGGCCGGGAATCCCTCTCTCCCGTATCCCGGTGCATTGACGAAGATTTTCTGCTATAACTCCGGCACGGGTTAAGATATCATAATCGGGTTTGTTTTGTTGGTTGAAAGAAACTTCAATTAACAATTTTGAAAGAATAAATTTTTTTCGAAAACCCAATAGTTTCCGAGTAAATGGAGTGTATTTGTTTAAAATTTTAATCCGGGAAAATTTTCATTTCCCTATAACTTGGAAACTAAGCTCTTTTTAGAAATGCGGTTTGCGGGAGATAATTAGTAATTAAATGAAGAATATTTTAGGAAAGTTTAAAAAAAATCGTGGGAGTAGTTTTCGAGAAATTCCGAAAAACTCCAAAAAAAAGGGTAAAAATCCGGTTTTTTACCCGGAAGGAAACTTTTCCGGGTTTCGAAATGTCGATTTTCCGATAGATCTCGTCGATTTACGTAGGATAGGATTTTTTTCCGTTTTTTTACGCCGCGAATAAAGCCGTAAAAAAAAAAACACGCCAATGAATCAGTGAATGAATGAGTGTCGCTTTCAGCTGTATAGGTATTAGATAAGAAAAACTAAAGATTAAGAAACTCTTTTGATCACAATAAACTTTTTGTCCAAATTACCAGACTTTCAAATGACATTTGACAAATCCGTCAAATTTTATTTTTGACAGGCATTTGACAGGTATTTATGACAGGTTGTTTAATCGCATCAAAATGAATTTGTTCCAACGACTGGCCCTACTTTTGGCAAATGATTATCCTGAAAACTAACGTTATATTGAAAACTTTGTTTATTGTACTTCTTTACTTTGTAGAGTAAATGCAATTTTCTATTGTTCTATGAGTAGAACCAGCATAGAGTTGACCTTGCGGTTTGGCAATAACGATAAAAAACCGCTGCTCTTCTGATCTTTCATATCCAAACTACTCTAGTAAACGTACTAAAAGTGGAAAATAAACTTTTTAAAAATGATGATTAATTCTTCCAGCGAATAGATCGAAAACGTACATCGAAAATTCCCTATAACTCAGCAGGTACAGGAAACGTTCGATCGATCAAGGATGAGCGAATCCGGAAAACTCCTTCGCCCGTTTCCCGACGCGCCGCTTTTCCGCGAAATAATCGAAATCGCCGTCTTTTTTTAACCGTGATCGCCACGCGAAAAAAGGTTTCAGTTTCAGTTTCAGCGACAGCCCGACCGAGATCGCCTCCCGCTCTCCAGGACTCTCCAGAACTCACCCAACCGGTCGCCGGTATATTTTTAGTTTCCCTTCGGACGCGCTCGATATTCCAACTATTCCGACGCGATATTTACGAGTTCGAGTTCGCTTTCTGGAAGGAAAAATGCCAGTTTGTGATTGTTTGTGACCTCGACTTTAGGCTCGCTCTCGACGGATTTTCTAGCGCTTGGGACAGAAGATATGCCGCTGTTCAAGCGGAAGCCCGAGAGGAGGAACACCCTCTCGAGGAAGGAGATCTCGTTGGCACGATTGGAGAATTTCCGAAGGGAAGTCATCACCGATCATCACACCATCAATTTACGTACGTTCTTCTTTTACCTTCAGGATGCCTCTTTAATGCTTCAAAATTATTTTATTCTCTCTACTTTTTATTAAACGTTAAATATAACATGAATACTACGCTTTATTAAACATTACCTAATAATATTTGCTTCATTAATTACTTGAAAATATTTCAATAACTTAACTAAAGCTTATCTGACAGGTTAGTGTAAACGGGCCTTTAACGAATTATATATATTTTTTAAACGCTTAAAATATCCCGTTGGGAACATCTGGAGTAGAAGGTTACATTTAAACCAAAAAGGTTACGTTTCGAATCATAAATAAATTGGCGTTGGACGTAAATTTCCCGTCGGGAGAAATCTATTATTTATTTTTAATTGCCATAATTATTTTTCTACTTGGTGTAAATTACGCGTTTGTTAGGCGTGCTCATTGATAATCTCTCTAAATTATGTACAGGTGTTGAGGTTACGATTTCGGTTAAAATGAACCGGTTAAATATAAATCTCGTGTCATAATTTTCCCAAAAAACTCGAAGGATGTTGAAAATTTATTCGAGGCTTCAAAGTTTGGTGAAACGAATTTCTTATATTTTTAGTATCCCGACGAAAATATTAATAGTCATGGTAAAAATATAGTAATTTACTATCACATAATAAGCACTATTATCTACTATATTGTTGTTAATGATGCATGAAGAAATATCGAGATATACTTGATGTAATTTTAGTGAATAGTTTGATTGATGCTAAATGAGCTGTGCAAGTTTCCACGATTCGTTTACTTGTGTACCAAAATTCGTGGACAAAAATAGCCTTGGCTTGTACTTCTTAATGCACTCATAAATGCAGTCTATAAATAATGTGCACATCAAGTTTCCAAAATGTTGAGATGGATCTCCAAAGTCTAAAGCACCTGCTCGATGCGTGAGAATCGCAGGTATACTGGGTGTTCGGGAAAATATTCCTTTTAACAAGAGCTCGAATGCTCTATTAATCCTGCTGAAACTCATCTATTGAAGTTTCTATAAATTTCTGCACTTTTACTTTTTTCGGTGTCTGTTATGTAGTAGCAATGTAAACGTGTCGATACAAACTGTAAACGATTACGTAAAGACGAAAACAATTACTATAATGTAGGTTGAATGCTTGGAAAACTTTTTCAGGAGATTAACGTATTGGCATTTTTATGTATTGAAGTAAGTGTTTAAATTAGAATCGCACGAGTTCCAGTCTGGCCCTGAAAAACCATTTGAGTGTTCGGTTTTTTCGAAAATGTTATAAATATAAATATGGCATCAAACTTGAGACGGAAAATTGCAAGGGTTGGTTGTTGAGGGAATTAAATAATAAAACTTCGTAATTATGAGGAATAGTCCGTGGTATTACTCAACAAAAATAGTTACTAAAGGGTTCCTGTTCCTAAAGCTTCCTTTTTTAAGAATTCCTTAAGTTTCTATCGTATATGCGTGTTGTTTTAGGATTTACTGTATACAGTGCATTTCTTTAATGTCCCCCCCTTTTATTTTTTGAACGAATCAACTAAGAAAATTGAAATTTGGGATAATGAAACTAATGCATGATTACTATATTTTGGAGTAAAATTGACAGATGAAAATTTCAAGATGGCGACTGGGCGCCATCTTGAGAAATAAATTTAAATGGAAAGGGGGGTCTTGTGATCATTTTGAAGCTCCTGACAAATACTCTACAACCCTGGAATATAAAGTCAATATCTGCACCTGCTACAAAATGGCGGACATTTAATAATTACCTGAATACATCGATGTTTAACGTCGTAATTTGAGGAAATAAGCTGAGTTCAGTTCAGAAAATGCTCAAAATGGTTGCCTTGAACTTCTTGACATAAGAACAGCCTATCCGAACATTTTCGAACATAGTAACGTCGATATTTCTACAAATATCTGTAATTCTTTCTGGTATATCCAATAATTAAGCAGGTTCAGTTTCGTACACTTTTTGCTTCAAATATCCCCATAAAAAAAGTCTAAAGGTGTCAAATCTGGCGAGCGGGCTGGCCATTCCGTAGGACCTCGACGACCAATCTAACGACTAGGGAAAATAGCATCCAAATAGTTCATTACTTGTCTGGAGTAATGTGGTGGTGCTCCATCTTGTTGGAATACAATATCCATATCGAATCCATATATCCATATCGGTACCTAACTACAATGAGAACTAAACAACCGAAAACTGAATGAAAATATTTTGAACACCAGGAAAATCGAAAACTAAAGAGAATATTTTGACGCCCAGTCGCCATCTTGAAATTTTCATCTGTCAATTTTACTCCAAAATATAGTAATTATGCATTAGTTTCATTATCCCAAATTTCAATTTTCTTAGTTGATCCGTTTTTAGGTATTTATAAATATCTGTTTTCCTATAGGAAAACAGTTAAAATGTTGACAATCCGAAAAATATATTAATAAGTCAAAATAAACGAATTGAAGTAGGAGTCAGCGTAACAAGTAAAGAACGCGTGGAAACATGATTTGTCTTTTGGCTAGTATCCAATAAGTTATGCATTTCGCCAGTTATCCGGTAAATAACAAATCATTGGGTCACTTTGTAAAAAATATAAACATATACAAAATTGGTCGGCAAGAAAATGTTTTAATTTACGAAAATATTTTGTGTAAATAAAATTTTTAAAAGAGTTTTTATTTAAAAAAGATAAATGGTTTAAAAATGTATTAAAATTACATAACAGTTAATTTGTGTAGGTATTTTTCTTTTCTTATTTATCAAATGTAACATTTTTTTCTGTATTTGCCCTGTCATAAATGTTTTCAATGTTATAGATATAAATTAAGAGAGATTTTTTCCATACATAAGACTAATACAAAATGCCTTTGTTGCACTCCTAGCCTAAATTGCACTTAATTTTGCATCTACCTGCAGTATAGTTAACAAAACAGTAATTACTATTATTAAAACCTACTTTCTTCCAGTATAAATATTATATTTTGTTTATTTGCCCTGATCGAATTGAAACCGAAAATACTGGGCGAAGAATATGTAGAATATGTAGAAAGAAATCTGAATGAAAACATCAGAAAACCGCTTTTAATCCGTTCCCAAAATACCTTCTTCCTCGTCTGACTAACCTAAGAACTATTTAAAATATTTCCTCCGGCATTATTTACAGCTACAGCTCAATTCGGTCTTCCATCGCCGGTAATTATATTATTAGACGATAAAATTTCAAACAAAACCAACTATTTTTGTCGTTGGTATTACCAACTGTATTTTGATGGTATCGAAAGTCACTAGAAACAAATTAGTGATTTTTTCAATACCTTATCAATAACGTATCAATAACTTACGGTTTTCAACAGTTCTGAACTTCGTTAGAACTATAAAGACTGGAACCAAATGCTGGTATTGGAAACAAATAGTCCAAATTAGGAGGTGTGTGAAGTTGGCACCGCAACTTTAGTTCTCAGTAGTTCTGATTAGAGTTCTGGATTCCTTTTGGATAGTTTAGGAGTTCTTTTGTACAAAAAATAATAGTTCTGGTGTTTCAACACATTATTTTTTGAAATAAAACATGCGGTGCTAACTTCAAACCTAAATTTACAATGGAATAGTTCTGATTAGTTTATTTGATGTATTTTGATGAGTTCTAGAGTTCCTGAATATTAAAAAATAATAATAATAATAATAAATTTCATCAATAAACAAGTATAAACAGTTAATCAATTAGATATGTATATTATCAGACAACCTATAACTTTTTAATTATTGAAAAATTCGCAAAATACCATTAAAGTTTCTTGTAGAACTCGTCGAATACTATTCAGAACTGTTATCAGAACACCTGAGAACTCTCAAAAAATTTTCAAACTCGGGCTTGTATTTTTTTGCCTCGAAGTGATTTTTGAGAATATCTCAAAAACTATTGTTTTAATCCCAAAATACCATTAAAGATCCTTGTAGAACTCGTCGAGTACTATTCAGAACTGTTATCAGAACTCCTGAGAAATTTTGATTAAAACAATAGTTTTTGAGATATTCTCAAAAATCACTTCGAGCCAAAAAAAAATACAAGTCCGAGTTTGAAAATTTTTTGAGAGTTCTCAGGAGTTCTGATAACAGTTCTGAATAGTATTCGACGAGTTCTACAAGAAACTTTAATGGTATTTTGCGAATTTTTCAATAATTAAAAAGTTATAGGTTGTCTGATAATATATCTAATTGATTAACTGTTTATACTTGTCTATTGATGAAATTTATTATTATTATTATTTTTTGATATTCAGGAACTGTAGAACTCATCAAAATACATCAAATAAACTAATCAGAACTATTCCATTGTAAATTTAGGTTTGAAGTTAGCACCGCATGTTTTATTTAAAAAAATAATGTGTTAAAACACCAGAACTATTATTTTTTGTACAAAAGAACTCCTAAACTATCCAAAAGGAATCCAGAACTCTAATCAGAACTACTGAGAACTAAAGTTGCGGTGTCAACTCCACACACCTCAAATTAGGCGACAATAAAGTTTCTCTAAAAGTGCCGTTTTTTGCCCTAAGAAAATCAATCAATTTAACTACAGTCATATCAAATATCGAAATCATTCCCTTCTGAATCTTGTCCCTACGAATTATTATCGAACATTCCAATAATGCTACCGTAATTGTAATGTAATTAAAGGTGCGGACGGTATTCCTCCCTTATATCGCTCCGGCAATGATTAAACAGCGAGTCTGACCCAGTTTTTCTTTTGCTATAAGCTATAATGGATGAATCTATTTACTGTCGTTAGTTAATTAAGTGGAACCGAAGTAAAAGGTCGGTCGATGTACATATCTGTTATATATCACACCAAAAGACGCAAACAACTCCTACTATCGATTTCTATCCTATTGTTGGGAATTATTGCAAGGGTAGATTTAATTGGATTGCTTCCCTATACTCTTCTTTAATGATTTAAAGTATTACGAAAGATATAGAACATAATTCGTGCGTTTTGTACCTAAAAAAGGGCTAAAGGAAAGACCATTTGCAGTGCTCAAAACAATTAGGAGGCTTCCATTCTCGCATTGCAGGAGATAATTGATTGAAAAATGAAATACTAACTCTTCCTTGTTTGTATTATTGAATTATTCTATAGATTATTAATAGCAACTATAAGGTTCTCTATTAGTCCCCTTATTAGATCCCTTCTAATCACAATATACAGGGTGTTTCACAACTTATCCGACAAAATTTTAACCACATATGCACTGTTACGAGAGAAGTTAATTTCCCAAAAAAAATGTAATAAAAGTCTTACAGAAATCGAGATAATAAAATAATAGTTTAACAGTTCAATTACTTATACAAGATGTTCAAAATTGTTCCCATTTATTGCAATGCAAGCTTGGGTGCTTGTTTTTTTTGTTTTAACCATTGTTTTGGTGCAACATTTGCTACAGTAAAGTAATAAGGCAAAATTATGAACGCAAAATGCAGTATTTATTTTTCAATTTTTTATTGAAACTCGGGTTTATAATTTTATTTCTGTAGGACTTTTATTACATTTTTTTTGAGAAATCAACTTCTCTATCTTTGAGAAATTTCAAAAAAAATTTAATAAAAGTCCTACACAAATAAAATTATTAACCCGAGTTTCAATAAAAAATTGAAAAATAAATACTGCATTTTGCGTTCATAATTTTGCCTTAATACTTTACTGTAGCAAATGTTGCACCAAGCCAATGGTTAAAACAAAAAAAAACAAGCACCCAAGCTTGCATTGCAGTAAATGGGAACAATTTTGAATATCTTGTATAAGTAATTTAACTGTTAAACTATTATTTTATTATCTCGATTTCTGTAAGACTTTTATTACATTTTTTTTGGGAAATTAACTTCTCTCGTAACAGTGCATATGTGGTTAAAATTTGTCGGATAAGTTGTGAAACACCCTGTATATTAGAATACAGCACGCTTGATGGTGGCGATCTATTTCTCTACAGGGTGTCTACTACAGATTTTTATTTTCGGGATATTCTTATTTGAACAACTTTGTATTTTATAACATATACCTTTAAAATTTCTACAAAAAAAAATTACTCAATATCTGAGTATACCTCTTAAAAGCTTATTAAATACAGTAGTTTTTACCAAAAAAAAAACTTATGAATTTTATAAAATTGTTGGCTTTACGACCATTAAAAGATACATATAATTTTGTTCATTTCATATTCATAACAATTAAATCTTTTATAACACCCCGTATTGATTTTTTTTAAGTCTGATAAATACTATTTTTATAGCAAATTTAATGCACTTTTACGGTATATGATCAAAATTAATGTGACTATACGAATAAATGTGATATTTCGGTCTTTTTGGAAAAAAACCAAAAAAAAAATTAAAATAATGAAATGTTAAATAAAAAAGAAACTATCGACTTTTCGAAAAAGTGTTATAGGACATTTTTTGTTCAAAATTACTTGTATAATCACCTCCTAAAGTTTGGCGGTTTTTATAGTAGACACTATGTATAATCAGTTTTCTTCAATTTTTCTTTCTTGTTTCAGATGATCTCTGTCGGAAACTCCAAACAGATAAGGAAAACGGACTGACCCCGGAACAGGCAGCTGCTGTATTACAGAGAACAGGACCAAATCAACTCACCCCCTCTCATCGAGTGCCCGAGTATATTAAATTTATAAAAACTCTAACGCAAGGTGAGCACGAGAGTTTTTTATCCCCCAAGATTTTATAGCGATAATACAATTCGTTTAATTAGACTTCGTTACTGCCGAATTCTTTAATTGCCCATTGAGGATGAATGTCGGTAAAATTAAAAATTGTTTGTTATTCGAGCCGCACATGTTGGCATCCTTCCAGCGCATGATACACTCAAACTTCAAGGTAAATAAAATTGAGTCTATTTCAATGCTCTCGGATCAGACGAAAATAATTGCTTATCATCGTTCATTACGAAATCGCCGGAGTTTACGTCGAAAGAATTTTGAATTTCCAAAAAAAAGTTTCTAGAGAAAAAAATGTGCTCGATATGTTTAAGAACTCTACAGCCAACTGTAGGATGTTTTTTCGTGGTTTGGATGGGTTATTTTGGGTTGTTTGGGATTGTTTTTGAATTCCCAAGGGAGCTCTATTAACTGAGTTTTTCCAGGATAGTTGGATTGTTAATAACCCATTAAAATGACCAGCCCGATAACTAGACTTAAACCCTTTGTATTTCTCAATTTTGTATCGACATTTTTAACTAGTACTTTACTAGTATTTTTGCATATACATAGTTTAATGGACCCTCTTCATGACACCACTGTATGTCCAATGCAAAAACTAACATCAATGTGAATCCTTAAGAAAAAAACTCTTTATTATCATTTCTTTCAACAGTCCCTAAATTTATTATATTCTTTCTTTTGTATTAATTCTATCAGGGTCCACTTTATCATCAAAATCCTACAACACTACTCTTATAATGAACCATCGTCGTGCCACTTACTGCATGTAATATAGGATAAATTACATTTTGGTTGATAAACAATTACCCAATTCATATTCATACAATTCATCAGTTTTATAGCCTTAATGCCCGATTTCACCAACATGTTGTTAGGTATTTCCTAACTAGGTAATTCCTAAGGTAGGAATTACTTAAATCGAATACTTACCTAAATCGAGTTTCACCAACATTAGAAATCCCTTACTAAGAAATACCTAGGTAAAAATTTGATTTTGACAATTTTTTGAATTTTATTGGTAGCATTGGCTAATTTTAACATGTAAACCGAATAAGTGGAGATCGAAATTGAATATGTTGAGAGAAAAGAAGAGATGTTGACGATCCGGGCCATCTTTAAACTATGTTAGTTATTTTTAAATCTGCTGAAGATGTAGTCTGTGCATTAATAGAAAAATAACCTTTCCGATTTGTAAAATATTTCTACATCTTCTTCTCCAGGACAATGGATCTTTACATGCATGTGTACGGTCAATAGTTCCAAAAACTTCCTGTGTATCAAATTAAAAATCATCTTCAATTCATTCTAATATTTGTAATGCCGTATTTTTGTATATCGAAAAAGGCGGAAAAAAAATCAGTTTCGTCCAGTTTCTAAAAACTCTCCTCCCATTTTAAATTTTCATCTAAAGAGTCTAAAGACAGTCAAGACTTAAGTCACATGAAATCACATGAAAAGTATGGTTAAGTATTTCCTAAATGTTTTAGGCAAGCTCAGTGAGCTGTCCTAACTTTAGGCATTTCCTATTACCTTTAGGTATTACTTAGTGCATGGTGAAACGCAAATTGTACTTAGGAATTCCTAAATCCGGTTTAGGTTTTGCCTAACTTTAGGAACTGGTTGGTGAAATCGGGCATTAGTTACACTTTCTTTTCTGCAGGTTTTTCGCTGTTACTATGGATTGGAGCGGCTCTGTGTTTCACAGCTTGCATCATAAGGATATTCACCACCCACGAAACGGACACCGACAATCTTATATTAGGATGTGTGCTCGTCGTAGTCGTCGTTGTTACGGGATGTTTCATGTATTTCCAAGAACACAAAAGTCAGAAAGTAAGTACCAAATATTTTTATACATTTCCAAAAACGAGGAATACTAGTAGAAGTGAAAAGCGGAAGGAGATAAGCTTGGAAGAATGTCGCATTTATTGTTCAAAAATTTGTGCATTTGCAGATTATGGAATCTTTTGCTAACATGGTTCCTCCCAAAGCCACTGTGATACGAGGAGGAGAAACACTTACAATCGTTTCCAAAGATATCGTAGTTGGGGATTTAGTGGAAATGAAATTCGGAGATCGAATACCGGCTGATATTAGGATTATTCACAGTCAAGGATTCAAGGTGATGGAACTAATAATCTTCTAATGTTTTAATTGAATCGACGAGCATTCAATTTAAGAGCAATATTCATTAAGGTTTAAGTGCACATTACCTAAATTATAATCGAATTTATTAATATTATAGGTGGATAATTCAGCCCTAACCGGAGAATCCGAACCCCAATACAGAGGCACAGAATGTTCCAGTGATAACATCTTAGAAACGAAAAACTTTGCTTTCTTTTCAACGAACGCCGTAGAAGGCACAGCTAAAGGTAAACTTATTTAAACTACTCACATATATATACAGGGCTTTTCACGGTAACCGTCCATTAGAAGTATCTCAATAATGAAAAGACTTAAAAATCTGAAATTTTGGTTATAGTATTTTTTGGATAATATGAATTGATCTAAAATATTTTCATTTTGATTACACTTCCGGTTATATCGGAAGTTGACACCAACTTCGTTATTTTATATGTAAAGTGCCATTTTTAACTTCATTTTTGAATTCTATGGCCTTTTTTAACTAGACTTTGATAATAACACAATATGCCAAAAACGCAGCATTTTTAAGATATTACAATTTTTTGATATTTTTTGGAAAAACAGTCGAATGTATTTTCTGTGATATCTGTGTTAATAAGTCAGCTAGAAGCTTGAAATTGAGTATCGATGATGTCCAGACACACTTCTAAATGAAACTAAACTGTATTTTCAGAATCCATGTACAGGGCGTTTAAAATTGTCTGACAAACTTGGCCAAATTAAAGTGGTAATAACTTTGTTATTTCAAATGGACTACCCTGTATATTTTAACAGTGACCAATGCAGTTTTTTAAGCCCTTTCGATCCATATGGGTGTTCTCTATACCCAAATCCAGTAGTTTTTGAAATAATCGAAGTTTTATTAAATAAGGTATGAATTTTCTTCTAATTCGCCGATTACGAAAATCTACCTCTTTTCTCTGGGAAAAAACGAAATTTTCCGTTATTCGATTTTAAAAGTGAAATTTTTGACACATTTCCAAATAAATTACTTGATGGACGTTGCCCGTTCGTTTGATTTAAACGGAACTACACCGAAATAAGAGATTTTTTCGTTATTTAGACAATTTCGTCGTTTTTAATGGACGAGAATAAAAGAAAATGCAATAATACGCAAAAATGTACGTTTCTTGGTCATTTGTACTTACCAAAAACGGAGAAACGATCGAATTACTTTTAAAAAAACTACACTAATGACAGCGGCGATGAACAAATTTCAAACTGTCAAAGTTGTCATTTCCGTTACTACGGGATACATTGACATTTAATTTGATGTACAGGGTGTTTTTTCATTAAGGAAATCGGAGAAATTGATATACGGAGCGTTTTTAACATTAAATGAAAAATTATTTTCAATTGAATTGAAATATAGTACAGGGTGACTCGTATTTAAGGAAATGTTAATTATACGTAAACCGAGCGAGCGAAGCAAGCGAGGATCCGGCTATACACCGTTAGAAAATTATTCGCGCATAATAGGGAAATCAATGTTAAATTCTTAGCCTGCTGAAATTCAGTCTGATTAAAAATCAAATAATTTCGAGGGTTTCGACACTTCGACAGTATCAAAACGGGTTCGGATGGGTGAAAGTCGAGTCGATTAAAAAAAAATGAGAATTTTTAAACGATAATTTATTGAAAAAATATCACTAATATTAAAATAGAATTATGTAGATATGTCTTTTTGCCACAATGGCTTGAAAAAGAAAGTAAATTCTAAGAAAATAATAAAAAGGAGACTCCAAAAATAAACTTAAAGATTATTTTAAAACAGAAAATAAAAGAACTCTAAAAAATAGTCCACCGCTTCCTGCTTAACAATAGCCAAACCTGTCATATACAGATGTCATCTCATATTACTGAGCTGAGGTATAATTCTAGCAGAAAATTGAATTATTTTTCCCTTATTTCAACAAGATTTGTTGCTCTTTCAAAACTGTACCTATCGATACAGTTATTTTTTTGAAATATCCCAAAAAAAACTATTAAATGTAGTTTCTAAATAATTTTGTACTTCATACCTAACACAAATAACTTTGTACCTCTACAAATCGTGGCGTGCGGTCCAGTAGAACAATTAAATTTATTAGAATTAATCGCGACGTTCTATTGAAATGTACACTGGTAGACTGGATTTCAGCCGGTTAAGAATTTAACATTGATTTCCCTATTATGCGAAATTAAATTTCCAACGGTGTATAATTGCCTTTGCGTAGGGTAGGGAGAGCCCATCGTTAACTAGAGCGATTTAGTCGAGCTCGCGCAGCGAGCGAGATCTGGTTATTTAAAAAATTGATATACGGGATGTGATTAATTTCCAAACGAAAATTCAATTGCACCGAGCTCGTGAAGCGAACGAGGATCCGTCTAGCAAACTGTCTTGCGGCGAAGCCGCCACCATAAGAAAGGGGGGTTGAGCTTTCCGAGCGTTCAGCGAGTCCACTACTTATAACTCCAACGAATTATTAATTTCGTAGGTATCGTTTGCGAGACCGGAGACCGCACCGTGATGGGCCGAATAGCCGGCCTGACGGCCCGCCTGCAGCCCAACAAGACCCCCATAGCCCGCGAACTGGAGCACTTCATGAAGATCATCAGCGTCTGGGCCTGCTTCCTCGGCTTCATCTTCGGCTCGGCCGCGCTGGCGATGAACTACTCCTGGATCGAGGCGTCGCTCTTCCTCATCGGCATCATCGTCGCCAACGTGCCGGAGGGCCTGCTCGCCACCGTCACCGTTTGTCTCTCAGTCACCGCCAAGCGGATGGCCGCCAAGAATTGCCTGGTGAAGAACCTCGAGGCGGTCGAAACGTTGGGCTCCACCTCAGTCATTTGCTCCGACAAAACCGGCACGCTTACGCAGAACAAAATGACCGTCTGCCATTTTTGGTGCGACAACAAGATCATGAATGCTGATGCTACCATTCAACAGGATCAAGCCAAGGATTATATCAAATCCGAAGGTATACAGTGCATTTCTTTAATGTCACCCCCTTTTTATTTTTTGAACGGATCAACTAAGAAAATTGAAATTTGGGATAATGAAACTAATGCATGATTACTATATTTTGGAGTAAAATTGACAGATGAAAATTTCAAGATAGCGACTGGGCGCCATCTTGGGAAATAAATTTAAATGGAAAGGGGGGGTCTTGTGACACATCATTTTGAAGCTCCTGATAAATACTGTACAACCCTGGAATATAAAGTCAATATCTGCACCTGCTACAAAATGGCGGATATTTATTAATTACCTGAATACATCGACGTTTAACGTCATAATTTGAGGAAATAAGCTAAGTTCAGTTCAAAAAATGCTCGAAATGGTTGCCTTGAACTTCTTGATGTAAGAACAGCCTAACCGAACATTTTCGAAAATAGTAACGTCGATATTTTTACAAATATCTGTAATTATTTCTCGTATATCCAATATTGAAGCAGGTTTAGTTTCGTACACTTTTTGCTTCAAATAGCCCCATAAAAAAAGTCTAAAGGGTCAAATCTGGCGAGCAGGTTGGCCATTCCGTAGGACCTCGACGACCAATCTAACGACCAGGGAAAATAGCATCCAAATAGTTCATTACTTGTCTGGAGTAATGTGGTGGTGCTCCATCTTCCAATGGACAAGAATTGGCCATTTTAGAGTTAGTTCACGTGCTACCTAACTACAATAAGAACTAAACAACCGAAAACTAAATGAAAATACTTTGAACACTAGGAAAATCGAAAACTAAAGAGAATATTTTGAACACTAGGAAAACCAAAAACTAAATGAGAATATTTTGACTAAACAATTAATGTTCGTTGTCGTACTTACATTTTTTGGAATTTTTTTTAACCAATAATAACTTGTCAAACCTTATCGGTTTGCTGGGATTGCTATTTGGCATAGAAAAACAAATATTTCTAGAAAAATTGATATTAATTTGTTGTATTCAGGTAATTAATAAATGTTCCGCCATTTAGAAATGGGTGCAGATATTGACTTTATATTCCAGGGTTGTAGAGTATTTGTCAGGAGCTTCAAAATGATATGTCACAAGACCCCCCTTTCCATTTAAATTTATTTCTAAATATGGCGCCCAGTCGCCATCTTGAAATTTTCATCTGTCAATTTTACTCCAAAATATCCAAAGAAATGCACTGTATAACGATTTTTAGAATACAAACTGTTTGTGGGTTATCTTGTGATGGTATTAATGTAGAAATAAATGTTTGTTAGGCTTCCAGACTCTCATGCGTTGCGCTACATTGTGCAACAGAGCTGAATTCGTGCATGGAGAAGAAGGCAAACCGGTACTAAATCGATTAGTACGAGGAGATGCATCCGAAGAAGCCATCCTAAAGTTCGTAGAATTGACTCACCTCAACGGAGATTCCACCGACTTCAGACACAACAATCCCAAGTTACTGGAAATACCCTTCAGCTCCGTCACCAAGTACCAGGTAACTTTCACCACGTCTATACACTGTTTTATTTATAAGATGCGACATTGGGATTCCTGTACAAATGTGTCAAAAGCAAGCTAACTTTTTTATCAAATAACGTTCTTAAAAAATAATAACAGATTTGAAAAGAACGTCAAAAAATAAGTCGAAATAGACATTAAATTTTCTTAAATTCGTTCTGGTTTAATTAAAAAAAGTATAATTAAGTTGAAAAAAGTCAAACGTCATAAATGTGTCATTTTTATGTCACTATCTAATATTTGTAAAATTGGCGGAGTTAGCTGGGATGGTTTACGCTCTGAAATTTAAAAATCTTAGTGGGAAGTGATGTGGTTCAATCCCCGAGCAGTAAAGACATTTTTTTCCTTTTTTTTTGGTTTTTTCAAATGGTTTTGTCTAAAAAAATGTTAAATAAAAATATTTAAAATAAGACGAGCTTATTTGAGATATAATTTTATTTTTATTTAAATAAAAGCTCCGACAATTAAGTGTCAATTTTAATAACCCAAAATCTCGTTAGTAGGTAGAGCCTTTAAAGTGATGCCATATTTTTATTTTTGACAAAAAAAACATTAAAAAAACAAAAAATGCCAAAGAAAAAAGAAAAAAAATTTCAGCACTGCGTGGGATTGAACCAGATTCCTTACCACTGATTTTTTCAACCTTCAGAGCGTAAACCATTCCAGATATCACCGCCCCTTTTACCAATTATTAGATAGTGACATATGACGTCTGACTTTTTTCAACTTAATTATACATTTTTTAATTAAACCAGAACGAATTTAAGAAAATTTAATGTCTATTTCGACTTATTTTTTGACGTTCTTTTCAAATCTGTTATTATTTTTTACGAACGTTATTTGGTAAAAAAGTTAGCTTGCTTTTGACACATTTGTACAGGAATCCCTATGTCGCATCTTATAAATAACACAGTGTATACTGTTTTACAAGTGATCCTTGCACTAAACGCGATTATTTTTTCAGATCAGCATCCACGGAATGGAAGACGGTAGTTGTCTGGTGGTGATGAAGGGCGCTCCCGAACGAATCCTGGCCAGGTGCTCGAAGATGTTCACCTCGAAAGGAACGGAGGAGATGACGGACGAGATGCGCACCAATTGCGACAGAGCCATGACGGAGCTCGCCGCCAAAGGGGAGCGCGTCCTGGGCTTCGCCGATCTGCTGTTGGACCGCAACCAGTACACCAAGGACTTCGAGTTCCGCGCGGAGCCGCCCAACTTCCCGCGCAAAGATCTGCGATTCGTCGGGTTCATGTCGCTGATTGATCCTCCGCGACCCCAGGTGCCTGATGCTTTGGAGAGGTGCAGGAGCGCCGGGATTCGGGTCATCATGGTGACGGGGGATCATCCGGTATGTCGCTCTATTCCAGCGCTATATAGTGTGTGTCACGACGAGGGCCCATTAGAAGTATTTGGAAAAGTAGTGATAATTAAAATTGAAAATTTTAATAAATTTTAAATTGAAAAATTTTTAATTGAATTGAATTTAATTGAATTGAATTTTTAAAATTTTTTAATTGAAAATTTGTGTACAAGTATTAGTCGATGCGCTCTATTCAATGAAAATATTTTCAACTTTTCTTTACTTCCGGTTATACCGGAAGTGGACAGCAACTTTGTTATTTTAAATGGGACACCCCATATATCAATATATTTTCGAAATGTACGCAAAATTTTAGAGTGCTTTTGTCTAAAAAACTTTTTTCAAAAATGCATACTTTTTGAGTTACTAATTTTTTTTTTGAAAAATTTGAATGATGCAGACCCTTATAAATTATTTTTTCACGGGAATCCCTTCAAAGATATGGATACGGTTTCTGTAGGGTGGCCACTATCAAGGTCAAAGGCATTTGAATATGTGTTAAAAAAAACTTTTTATTTTATACAGGGTGTATACAAAACATGTGAAAAGTTGAACTTCAAAAATACCAAATTATTTCATTTTTTTAAATGGAACCACCCATTTTTTTCTATTTTATTGAAATCAGCGGTCAAAAATAAGGGAAGTTCATGTTTACTTCCCTATACCTAAACTTAATAGTTTTGAAGATATTAAAAATTTTACTTAAAACTTACTTTTCTGCCTTATTCTTAAATAATCCGTTTTTACAAGTTGGCCATGTAAATTGTTTGTAATTAATTGTAATATTAATATTTTAATTTGTAATATTAATTTTGGTACTTGTGAGATATTACATGGCCAACTTGTAAAACAGAGTTATTTAAGAATAAGGCAGAAAAGTATGATTTATGTAAAATATTCAATATCTTCAAAACTATTAGGTTTATGTATAGGGAAGTAAACATGAACTTCCCTTATTTTTGACCGCTGATTTCAATAAAATAGAAAAAAATGGGTGGTTTCGTTTAAAAAAATTAAGAAATTTGATATTTTTGAAGTTCAACTTTTCACATGTTTTGTATACACCCTGTATAAAATAAAAAGTTTTTTAACACAGATTCAAATACCTTTGACCTTGCTAGTGGCCACCCTACAGAAACCGTATCAATATCTTTAAAGGGATCCCCGTAAAAAAATAATTTATAAGGGTCGACTGTATTGGTCAAATTTTCCAAAAAAAAATTAGTAACTCAATAAGTATGCATTTTTGAAAAAAGTTTTTTAAACAAAAGCACTCAAAAATTTTGCGTACATTTCGAAAACATATTAATATATGGGGTGTCCCATTTAAAATAACAAAGTTGATGTCCACTTCCGGTATAACCGGAAGTAAAGAAAAGTTGAAAATATTTTCATTAAATAGAGCGCATCGACTAATACTTGTACACATATTTTCAAATTTTAATTATCACTACTTTTCCAAATACTTCTAATGGGCCCTCGTCGTGACACACACTGTATACTCCTGTAAAATCTTCTATAAAGCGCGTTATTATTGTGTTACAGATTACCGCTAAAGCCATAGCGAAACAGGTCGGTATTATAAAAAACGAAGAGGTGATAGACGCTTTTAGCATCAATGTAATAGAGACCCTACCTCCGAACGTTAAGAATAAATCTATAGTGATACACGGGACGGCGTTGAGGGACGCCAGTAATCAGGAATTGGACCATATTCTACATAACTTCAGAGAGATCGTTTTCGCCAGGACCTCGCCCACGCAGAAACTGCACATCGTCGAGGGGTGTCAAAGGCTCGGAGAAATCGGTAAATATACCCTAAAACTCTTGGGAAAGGCAGATATCCTCACAGCTCTGTTCTTCCTAAGATTCTGGTCTTTGTTCTTCCAAGATGACCCGCTGTTTTCTAAATCTTAGGACCAAGGTATCAAAGGATTACTCTAGTACCATTGTCACAAACTTCTTTAAATTGTACTATGCACTGTTCTTCCTATCCAGAGGGATATTTATAAGAAATAAGAGTATTTCCCAAGATGACCCGCTGTCAAAAGATTACTTTAGTACCGTTATCAAAAACTTCTTCAAATTAGACTATCATTTAAATTAATTTGTATCAGTTCTTCTAAGATACCTGCAGGTATGCTGTTAGAACCAACTGCTTGAGATCTTCTGCTCCTTTATCGTTTGCATTACCTTCTAGCCTACCCCATTTGGCCTCTTTAGACGAATTGTAATTGGTCTGGAGCAGATTTAGTGTAGAGAATGTGAGGAATCCTGGGATTGTTTTTCAGTTGCTGTGACAGGCGACGGCAATAATCCTTACAACTCTTGCTGGTGAAGCCAGAGATCCTCCCAGCTCTGTTCTTCCTAAGATTCTGGTCTTTGTTCTTCCAAGATGACCCGCTGTTTTCTTAATCTTAGGACCAAGCTATCAAAAGATTACTCTAGTACCATTGTCACAAACTTCTTTAAATTGTACTATGCACTGTTCTTCCTATCCCTCTTATTTCCCAAGATGACCCGCTGTCAAAAGATTACTTTAGTACCGTTATCAAAAACTTCTTCAAATTGGACTATCATTTAAATTAATTTGTATCAGTTCTTCTAAGATACCTGCAGGTATGCTGTTAGAACCAACTGCTTGAGATCTTCTGCTCCTTTATCGTTCGCATTACCTTCTAGCCTACCCCATTTGGCCTCTTTAGACGAATTGTAATTGGTCTGGAGCAGATTTAGTGTAGAGAATGTGAGGAATCCTGGGATTGTTTTTCAGTTGCGGTGACAGGCGACGGCAATAATCCTTACAACTCTTGCTGGTGAAGCCAGAGATCCTCCCAGCACTGTTCTTCCTAAAATTCTGGTCTTTGTTCTTCCAAGATGACCCGCTGTTTTCTAAATCTTAGGACCAAGCTATCAAAAGATTACTCTAGTACCATTGTCACAAACTTCTTTAAATTGTACTATGCACTGTTCTTCCTATCCCTCTTATTTCCCAAGCTTATTATCCTCCCAGCTCTGTTCTTCCTAAAATTCTGGTCTTTGTTCTTCCAAGATGACCCGCTGTTTTCTAAATCTTAGGACCAAGCTATCAAAAGATTACTCTAGTACCATTGTCACAAACTTCTTCAAATTGGACTATGCACTGTTCTTCCTATCCCTCTTATTTCCCAAGATGACCCGCTGTCAAAAGATTACTTTAGTACCGTTATCAAAAACTTATTCAAATTGGACTATCATTTAAAAAATTTTGTATCAGTTCTTCTAAGATACCTGCAGGTATGCTGTTAGAACCAACTGCTTGAGATCTTCTGCTCCTTTATCGTTCGCATTACCTTCTAGCCTACCCCATTTGGCCTCTTTAGACGAATTGTAATTGGTCTGGAGCAGAGTTAGTGTAGAGAATGTAAGGAATCCTGGGATTGTTTTTCAGTTTCGGTGACAGGCGACGGCAATAATCCTTACAACTCTTGCTGGTGAAGCCAGAGATCCTCCCACTACTGTTCTTCCTAAAATTCTGGTCTTTGTTCTTCCAAGATGACCCGCTGTTTTCTAAATCTTAGGACCAAGCTATCAAAGGATTACTCTAGTACCATTGTCACAAACTTCTTTAAATTGTACTATGCACTGTTCTTCCTATCCCTCTTATTTCCCAAGCTTATTATCCTCCCATCTCTGTTCTTCCTAAGATTCTGGTCTTTGTTCTTCCAAGATGACCCGCTGTTTTCTAAATCTTAGGACCAAGCTATCAAAAGATTACTCTAGTACCATTGTCACAAACTTCTTTAAATTGTACTATGCACTGTTCTTCCTATCCCTCTTATTTCCCAAGATGACCCGCTGTCAAAAGATTACTTTAGTACTGTTATCAAAAACTTCTTCAAATTGGATTATCATTTAAATTAATTTGTATCAGTTCTTCTAAGATACCTGCAGGTATGCTGTTAGAACCAACTGCTTGAGATCTTCTGCTCCTTTATCGTTTGCATTACCTTCTAGCCTACCCCATTTGGCCTCTTTAGACGAATTGTAATTCGTCTGGAGCAGATTTAGTGTAGATAATGTGAGGAATCCTGGGATTGTTTTTCAGTTGCTGTGACAGGCGACGGCAATAATCCTTACAACTCTTGCTGGTGAAGCCAGAGATCCTCCCAGCACTGTTCTTCCTAAAATTCTGGTCTTTGTTCTTCCAAGATGACCCGCTGTTTTCTAAATCTTAGGACCAAGCTATCAAAGGATTACTCTAGTACCATTGTCACAAACTTCTTTAAATTGTACTATGCACTGTTCTTCCTATCCCTCTTATTTCCCAAGATGACCCGCTGCCAAAAGATTACTTTAGTACTGTTATCAAAAACTTCTTCAAATTGGACTATCATTTATATTAATTTCTATCAGTTCTTCTTGGAAAACTACTGTTAGAACCAACTGCTTGGGATCTTCTGCTCCTTTATCGTTCGCATTACCTTCTAGCCTACCCCATTTGGCCTCTTTAGACGAATTGTAATTCGTCTGGAGCAGATTTAGTGTAGAGAATGTGAGGAATCCTGGGATTGTTTCAGTTGCGGTGACAGGCGACGGCGTCAACGACGCCCCGGCGCTGAAGAAAGCCGACATCGGCATCGCCATGGGCATCTCGGGCTCGGAGGTGTCCCGGCAATCGGCCGACATGATCCTGCTGGACGACAATTTCGCCTCGATCATCACCGGCGTCGAAGAGGGCCGGAGGATCTTCGACAATCTGAAGAAATCCATCGCGTACACTTTGGCCTCGAACGTTCCGGAAATATTGCCGTTTCTCGGTTTCGTGCTTCTCAACATTCCACTTCCACTAGGTCGGTGATACTCTAATGCCCGATTTCACCAACATGTTTTTAGGTATTTTCTAACTAGGTAATTCCTAAGGTAGGAATTACTTAAATCGAATACTTATCTAAATCGAATTTCACTAATATTAGAAATCCCTTACTAAGAAATACCTAGGTAAAAATTTGATTTCGACAATTTTTTGAATTTTATTGGTAGTATTGCCTAATTTTGACGTGTAAACCGAATAAGCGGAGATCGTAATTGAATATGTTGAGAGAAAAGAAGAGATTTTGATGATCCGGGCCATCTTTAAACTATGTTTGTTATTTTTAAATCTGCTGAAGATATATTCTGTACATTAATAGAAAAATAGCCTTTCCGATTTGTAAAATATTTCTGCATCATCTCCTCCAGGACAATGGATCTTTACATGCATGTGTACGGTCAATAGTTCCAAAACTTTCCTGTGTATCAAATTAAAAATCATCTTAAATTTATTCTAATATTTGTAATGCCGTATTTTTATATATCGAAAAAGGCGAAAAAAAATCAGTTTCGCCTAGTTTCTAAAAACTCTCCTCCCATTTTAAATTTTCATCAAAAGAGTCTAAAGAGAGTCAAGACTTAAGTCACATGAAATCACGTGAAAAGAATGGTTAAGTATTTCCTAAATGTTTTAGGCAAGCCCAGTGAGCTGTCCTAACTTTAGGCATTTCCTATTACCTTCAGGTATTACTTAGTGCATGGTGAAACGCGAATTGTACTTAGGAATTCCTAAATCCGGTTTAGGTATTACCTAACTTTAGGAACTGGTTGGTGAAATCGGGCATAACTACTTCTGGTTCGATGATATTAAAGGAGCCGATTGTTTTTTCAGGTGTTATGGCCATTTTGTGCATAGATTTGCTAACGGACATGCTGCCCGCTATCAGTTTGGCTTATGAGAAAGCGGAGAGCGACATTATGAGCCGTCCGCCGAGGAATCCCAAGAAAGACAAATTGGTGACCAGGAAATTGTACTTCCTGGCTTATGGACACATCGGTATGATCGAAGCCTTGGGAGGTTTCTTCGTTTACTTCGCCATCATGGCGGAAAACGGGTTCTATCCTCGCAGATTGTTCGGTAAGTATTATTATTCGTGTATATGCAAAGGGTAGCAAAGCTAGTAAAAACATTGAGTAAGGGTAGTAATGATAGTGTAGAGGGTTTAATTAAAAATCTGATCCTCCCCTGATTAAACTTTATTTTCCAAACAATTTTTCATAACTTTCTATACATCGACATCTTTTTTGTTCAAACCTCAACGTTTCTCTTTTACAAAGGTGTGATCTTTTATTCAGCGGTTGAACAACCGATGTCATCAAACTGTTCATTTATTCAGCGATTTTTTAAACGTTTGTCATCTGTCAACGATCTTTTTTTCATCGATGAAACAGCGATTAGTCATCTGATTAATCGGATTTTGAAGAGGATGGATCTGGTTGACAGATGAATTATAACCCATATTTTTCATTCCATGATCGGTTTCGGTTATGATCTGATGTTCCATGCTGAAGTTGTGCATTCAACGTGCATTCAATTTTTTAATTTATTTTGCTGGTTTTGCAATTTGCAATGGATTCCGAAATCTGCTATTGCATGAGTTTTATTGATTTCTTTGTTTATTAAAAATAGTTCCAATAACTCATCACTGCCACTGTTATTTGAGGACTCTTCACTTTCAGGTTCTGATGATGAATCGGATGAATATAACATATTTTTTGCAATCAAATAAAACTCCATTTTTTATAATTTCCCTCACATTTAAAAATTCAAATTCAAATTCAAATTGTCAACGTCAACGTCAAAATTTCCAACCATCCAGCAATTTGTTCCTATATTCACATAAATCAATTCCATCAGAAATCAATCATGACGTCATTTGACATTAATCATAGGTGAGACGGAGATGGAAAAAAGATCATACCTCAACTTACAACTAACTGTCACCTGACTATTGACAGTATTGACATAGGATTGACACTGGCCTTTGATTAATTGGTTAAATGACTACAATAGGGTTTGGTTGTATCATTTTTGGGGGTTTCAGGGCTTCGTGAAGCGTGGGATTCGGAGAAAGTAAACGACTTGATGGATTCATTTGGACAGGAATGGACCTACGAGCACAGGAAGGAGCTGGAGTATACATGTTACACTGCGTTTATGATATCGGTTGTGGTCACCCAATGGACCGATTTGATCGTTTGCAAAACCAGAATTAATTCCATTTTCAAACAAGGTTAGAAACATTTTTTGAGCGAAATTTAATCGTGCTAAGATATTTCTGGACTTCTTGATTATATCTAACGACCTATTTTATAAAGGATGCTTTTTTAGTTTAAAGGATTCTTTAATATAAAGGGTGTTCCAATAGTGTGGTAGAACTCATTTATTATGTTATTATGATAAGATACAAAAAATGATAAATAGAAAAATTGTTAAGCACATTGAGGGCGCGTAATTTAAAATTATTTCGAAATATACAGGGTGGTCTATAAATCGAAGCCGAACCAAACATACATATATACCATTTTTTTTAAGGCAATAATATGATTTTTATTCCATATTCGATTTTAGTTCGTTTTCGCGAGTTTATCAATACAAAGTTTCATATGACTACTATTATTAAGTACATATTTAAAAAAAAGTTATGGCCATTTTTAAAAGTATATTTTGAAAATGATGTATTTAAAAAATGGTTTTAATTTCAACAATATTATGATTTGTATACAGGGTGAGTCAAAACACAAACTTAATAATTACTTACTTTATTTAAATGGAACACCCTATATTATTAATATCTAGTAAATAAATAGGAAATAGTATTATCTAGGAAATAAATAGGAAGCCATGTAGGTAGGTACTTAATGAATATGACGTCATCCAAGTGAAAATATTACCATACAATTAAATATCTTATCCTATCTTACTTAATTTAAATACTATCTTTAAATATCAAAAATTAAATACAAAAATTAATTATGATTAAAATCACCAGAAATATAAATGATAAGCACTAAACTCGTAAAAAATAATTCTCACGAAAAAGACAGATATTTTTTTAATTTCTCGATTTATTTATAGGTTTAGGAAACATGGTATTGAACATAAGTTTAATATTCGAAACTGTCGTGGCCTGCATGCTGTCTTATATCCCGGGAATGCACTATTTGAAGTTTTATCCTATTCTGTTCAGATGGTAAGAAATGCGTAAAGATATACAGGGTATCCAAAAAATATATCGTCAATAATTCGGGAGCGCATAGATAAAATCAAAACAAGGGTAAACCTTCATGAAAAATTGGTCATTTGAGCCCCCATTTTTGAGCCTGAGCCCTTTAAAGTTGAAAATTAAAATTTATTTTTATGTTTTATTTCCTAATTAAAGGTACATGGGAGAAATATAAAATTTTTGTGGTTTATTACCTACTCCAGTATGCCCAATTTGCTGATAAAATGAATCCTACACTACTCCCTGGAAGACAGGGAGGTGTTCCCACAATTCGTAACTCTTATGGGGACAATCTGTATAAAGCAAACATATCGTAAATAGATTAATTTATTAATCGATAAACTAACAAAAATGTACTCCTGTTTGAAGTCAATAAAATTAACGGTTTAGGAGAAATTTCAATTTTTAGATTGAGATGATAGTTGATAGTTATAGAGAGCTCTAAAATGGGGGCTGAAATGAACAAAATTTATATAAAGTTGTACTCTTATTTTGATTTCACCTATACACTTCTGAATATTTTGACATTTATTTTCTGGACACCCTGTATTTCAAAGTATAAATAATGATATACATGGTGGCACATTAGTATGGAAAAGCTCAATATATCTGTTATTGTAGAAGATATCAAAAAACTTCATTACAAAAGTTGTAGATATTTTTAAACTGCACATTTTAAAATTAGTTACATTTATACAGAGTGTCCCGTTTTTCCGTAGTAGATCAAACTTATACTTTTTTAAATGGAACACCCTGTTTTTTATTTAAAAATTGAATTTAGCTCGTTTTCAGCATTCCAAAAATATAATTTTGTATAACGTTATACTGAGTGGTTTAAAAGTTATGACCACTTTTCCACGAAAATCTTACTAAGTTTACCACTCTGTAGAAACTAAATGGATTGAATTGAAAATAAATTTCAGGTTTTACAACATTGAAATATCCTGAAAATGTACAAAATGAATATTTTTTGTCAATTTTAATCATACTGCTTACAGGGTGGATCCAAACGCAAAAGTAAAATTTTCTCTGTTAATTTAAATGGATCACCCTATATTTTATATCGTTTACAGGAATGCTGAAAAATGCTGGAATGCTGAAAACGAGCTAAATTCAATTTTTAATAAAAAACAGGGTGTTCCATTTAAAAAAGTATAAGTTTGATCTACTACGGAAAAACGGGACACTCTGTAAAAAGATCTACAACTTTTGTAATGAAGTTTTTTTGATATCTTCTATAATAACAGATATATTGAGCTTTTCCATACTAATGTGCCACCCTGTATATCTACTATCTAATGTTGATTTCCAGGTGGTGTTACTCTTTTCCTTTCGCCATTTTCCTCTTTGTCTTCGACGAATTTAGGAAATGGCGGCTAAGAAGAAGCCCCGACGGTTGGTACCGACGGGAAACTTATTATTAATTTATAGGAAATTTTAATGAGAATATTTTTTTCGATGTAATTTTTCGTAGTTGATTCGTTTTTATTTATTTGTTAATTCATTTCACCGTTATAGTTGTTTTTGTAACGCTTATCATACATTTGTTATAGACATGTAAGTGAATGGTTTCATAAAATTTAAATATTTTAATCGATAAAATTATAATTGTGATTAATGGAGTGTTGATTGAGAGATTTAAGTTTTATGTAACCGATCGTTTAGGTAATTTTAAAATGTCTAAACCAGTAATTCTCATTTGTGGGTAGGTATAGAATTAGAATTTCTATAAATAAGTTAGTTTAAATTTAGCCCATTTGTTCTTTACTCTCTGAGTAACTTACTAATTTCGTATTAATCCGTAATGCTTCTGAATGTGATATAATATCCAATATTTTATCTTTATTTTCCCAAGCTTTTTATGCCATTCGATTTTTGTAGTTGCCGATGTTTAAATAATTGTGTCCTTTAACTTTGCACTGCATTCATGAAGTATGGAAAATTGTTATAGAGAAAAAATAATATTTTTGATTTAAATTTCACACTATTAATATGGAATAAATTTTCTCACATATCTAATAAAAAAGCGGATGTACATAATTTGTACTTCGAAAAATATTCATTGTAGAACTTTGTAAAAATCAGAATTTATTTTACAAACAGACATATTAAAAATGAATTGTTGCTTTTTCATTTTAATCTGCATTTACAAATTTTCTAATAGTGTGGACTCTTGAATATTGCTAATATTGTAATGTTTATGCATACTAATTTACATAGCTGTTACATAATAATTGCCCAAATTATTATCACAGCTTTAATGATTTTTTACTATTGCTTTTATGCATTTTATGTTTTAGGTATCAAATCTATGGTATACCTTTAAAATACAAATATTTATTCAATTTATTTTAGTGGTTTTAATATGAAAAAATACCCTCAGGCAAAGTTCTTTTCTAAAACTCATAATTTAAACATTTAAATGTACTGTTATATAAGCAAATAAATAGCATTGAAATAAACCCGTTAATCATTAAAATTAATAAAATATACTGTTACATTTGATTATTAGTTCGGAAGAAGCGATAAGAACTATTCACAAATTAATTAATAAAAACGTGATAAGGAAAGGATAAGGGCAACCGAAAATTGCGATAATTTATGGATAATTTCGACCAACAAGAAATTTCTAGCCCCTACTGGATTCGAATATTTTGCCACCATACAGGGTGATTCAACAAAAAGCCAAATGATTTTTCTCTTATCGATTTCATAAAGAGATAGATTTTTGAAGCGGATTTAGAGTGACTTTAAAGCGGTTTCAAAACTATTTTAGTGCAATTTTGCAACAATTTTAGACCGATTTTAAGTCGGTTTTTAGGAGATTAGAATCATAGACAAGCCCAAACGCCATATAAATTTTTGGAAATTTACAAAAAGGCAAATGATATTTTCTCTCATCGATTTCATAAAGAGATATAGATTTTTGAAGCGGATTTAGAGTGATTTTAGAGCGGTTTCAAAACTATTTTAGTGCAATTTTGAAACGATTTTAGACCGATTTTAAGTCCGTTTTTAGGAGATTAGAATCATAGACAAGATCAAACGCCATATAAATTTTGGAAATTTACAAAAAGGCAATGATATTTTTCTCTCGTCGATTTCATAAAGAGATATAGATTTTTGAAGCGGATTTAGAGTGATTTTAGAGCGGTTTCAAAACCATTTTAGTGCAATTTTGAAACGATTTTAGACCGATTTTAAGTCGGTTTTTAGGAGATTAGAATCATAGACAAGCTCAAACGCCATATAAATTTTTGGAAATTTACAAAAAGGCAAATGATATTTTTCTCTCATCGATTTCATAAAGAGATATAGATTTTTGAAGCGGATTTAGAGTGACTTTAAAGCGGTTTCAAAACTATTTTAGTGCAATTTTGCAACGATTTTAGACCGATTTTAAGTCGGTTTTTAGGAGATTAGAATCATAGACAAGCTCAAACGCCATATAAATTTTTGGAAATTTACAAAAAGGCAAATGATATTTTTCTCTCATCGATTTCATAAAGATATATAGATTTTTGAAGCGGATTTAGAGTGATTTTAAAGCGGTTTCAAAACTATTTTAGTGCAATTTTGCATCGATTTTAGACCGATTTTAAGTCGGTTTTTAGGAGATTAGAATCATAGACAAGCTCAAACGCCATATAAATTTTTGGAAATTTACAAAAAGGCAAATGATATTTTTCTCTCATCGATTTCATAAAGAGATATAGATTTTTGAAGCAGATTTAGAGTGATTTTAGAGCGGTTTCAAAACTATTTTAGTGCAATTTTGAAACGATTTTAGACCGATTTTAAGTCGGTTTTTAGGAGATTAGAATCATAGACAAGCTCAAACGCCATATAAATTTTTGGAAATTTACAAAAAGGCAAATGATATTTTTCTCTCATCGATTTCATAACGAGCTATAGATTTTTGAAGCGGATTTAGAGTGATTTTAGAGCGGTTTCAAAACTATTTTAGTGCAATTTTGCATCGATTTTAGACCGATTTTAAGTCGGTTTTTAGGAGATTAGAATCGTAGACAAGCTCAAACGCTATATAAATTTTTGGAAATGTACCAATTAGTTCAAATATACCGCTTTCCGGTTAGCCAACGTTTCAAAATATCCTTAAAGCCACCATTTAATGGTTAAAGGATTTTTCTTTCTGATTTTTCTCTCATCGATTTCATAAAGAGATATAGATTTTTTAAATGGATTTAGAGTGATTTTAGAGCGGTTTCAAAACTATTTTAGTGCAATTTTGCGACGATTTTAGACCGATTTTAAGTCGGTTTTTAGGAGATTAGAATCATAGACAAGCTCAAACGCCATATAAATTTTTGGAAATTTACCAATTAGTTCAAATATACAGCTTTCCGGTTAGCCAACGTTTCAAAATATCCTTAAAGCAACCTTTTAATGGTTAAAGGATATTTTATCTTAAAGCTTCCTTTCGTTAAATTTTAATGCTTTGTTACGAAATCGACTCTCATTAGTTTTGAAAATGTTTCGTAGGCTTTACCGACCACACCCTGTATATTAATCGCGATTAACACCACGCTCGTTAGTTAATACTACCAGCAAACTAATCGAGTTTAAATCAATCTATCGGGTTTCGTGGGAACTTATCGCTTCCCTTGGGATAAAAATCTTATCGCTTCCTGCACGCAGATTTTTCCATTTAAACGCCAGATTAAGGAAAATTTTCAGCAGATTCAATCGAAAATCAGACCCGAAACATCAAAATGAAATTCAGCGCGGTTTTGTGTTTGGCAATCGTCCTTTGCGTCGCCGTCTCCCAATCGTCCGCAAGACCAGACAAAAGGGTAATAGAATTTTCCTACTACTATAATAATCAGTGATGTTAAAATTATTTTATAATATGTAATTAATTACAATTACAATTACTTTTGGCAAATTGTAATTAATTGCAATTACAATTACAAAATTTGCGAATGTAATTACAATTACAATTAAAGTTACAATTACAATTACAATCACAATTACTTTGCTTTGGTGTCAGTTTTAAGTAATTATTTAGGGATTTGCAATCGGATTTAAAATTTCCACGTATTGGAAAATATTAAATAAGTACTTTTGTGTCCAATGTAATTGAAATGTAATTGTAATCGTAACGAAAGGAGTAATTGAATTACAAATGAATTACAATTGAGGAGCTTGTAATTAATTACCGCCTCAATTACAATAAATGTATTTCAATTACTTTTCAATTACTTGTAATTAATTACTTAACAACACTGATAATAATATAATTTTTGTATGATTAATGTAATCTAATTTAAAACTTTATTTTTTTTAAGAGGGCCGTCGCTCAAACGCTTGAACTTAGATTGCCTAACAGACATCAACGCCCCGTAGGTAAGTGCCTGCATTATTTTTATTAGCAGTATAATTTGTTATTACCTGTAATTTAGTAATTTTTTAACAGGAGTAATATTTTTTATGTTAATGATGACAGTTGTTTAGTTTTCACGTGTAACGATTATTCTCGACGAGGAAAAGACCTTTTTTGGGATTGTTTTCAAATCTTAAGATGCTATAAAATCAAATGAAATAATAAAAGTAAAAAAAAAATAAAATAAACTTCCCTTAAAGTTCAGATAACTCACAGTATATTAAAGCTTGCAAACATTATCTTGTGCAGCGATCCTTAACAAACTTATTATTGTAATTATTTATAAGATTCAACATAGGGATTCCTGTACAAATGTGTCAAAAGCAAGCTAACTTTTTTACCAAATAACGTTCTTAAAAAATAATAACAGATTTGAAAAGATCGTCAAAAAATAAGTCGAAATGGACATTAAATTTTCTTAAATTCGTTCTGGTTTAATTAAAAAATGTATAATTAAGTTGAAAAAAGTCAAACGTCATAAATGTGTCATTTTTATGTCACTATCTAATAATTGTAAAATGGGCGGAGTTAGCCGGGATGGTTTACGCTCTGAAATTTAAAAAATTTAGCGGGAAGTAATGTGGTTCAATCCCCGCGCAGTACAGAAATTTTTTCTTTTTTTTTTGGTTTTTCTCTAATATTTTTGTCTAAAAAATGTTAAATAGAAATATTTAAAATAAGGCGAGCTTATTTGAGATATAATTTATTTTTATTTAAATAAAAGCTCCGACAATTAAGTGTCAATTTTAATAACGCAAAATCTCGTTAGTAGGTAGAGCCTTTAAAATGATGCCATATTTTTATTCTTGACAAAAAAAAAACATTAAAAAAACAAAAAATGCCAAAGAAAAAAGAAAAAAAATTTCAGCACTGCGTGGGATTGAACCAGATTCCTTACCGCTGATTTTTTCAAACTTCAGAGCGTAAACCATTCCAGATATCTCCGCCCCTTTTAACAATTATTAGATAGTGACATATGACGTTTGACTTTTTTCAACTTAATTATACATTTTTTTATTAAACCAGAACGAATTTAATAAAATTTAATATCCATTTCGACTTATTTTTTGACGATCTTTTCAATCTGTCATTATTTTTTACGAACGTTATTTGGTAAAAAAGTTACCTTGCTTTTGACACATTTGTACAGGAATCCCTCCCTATGTCACATCTTATAAATAACACACTATATGTGTTTTTAACAGGCCAACATTTGACTAAAGACATCCGTCTGGACGATCTTCCCTCAGTCCAAATGAGCCATTTCTTCCACGAGCACGACGATTTATGGAAGACCAACTATCCCCAATACGCTAAATTCGAGAGGAAAAACGAGGCCGACAGCGGTGTATGGAAACCCTCTGGAGGTAGCTCCAGTAACGGTATCTACGAGGTTTAATCGGAACATCCGGTTTTAATCTATCTCAATCGTTGTATCGATTAAATGCAGAAAAAAATCATGTAATTACTTTTGCAATAAACATTAACTTCTGTGTAAGGCGTTGCATTTTATTTCTGCTGGGAACGTATACCATAGTTTATATTTATATTGGTGGAAGTTTTGGCGAGTCTATGTTTTGGTGGAGGATTCAATGTTCTTGGATTTAAAGAGCAAATCTTAAATCCTTAATAATCCTAGTCGAATAATATTCCCATTAATAAACTGCTCGACAAAAGTTAAGGAAGTTCGCAAATTTTGCGATTATTTTAAAAGTTATAGACTTTTTGATCAACAAATTTTCAAATATGCGAATTTCAGGTTTTCTCTCATATCTGAGTGGATTTTTTTTGTCCCTACCTCTACAATTCATACTAAATTTGGCGATCAAAAAACCTATTTGAAAGGGCGTCATGTACCAGAAGAGGTCAATTTTTGTTTTTTAGATTGAATTTAGTAACTTATAATTTTCATTTCTAACTGCAACCCTCTCAGTATAAGACTTGTTATCCCTAAATTTTCAAATTAGAAGGGTAGGCTTTAATTTTTGATAACAGAATTAATAAAAAATGGCCCTCCCAAATAAAGATTGAAATTGCCTTTGAAATGAAATATCTTAGCGATCTCCCGATTGTCTTTAAAAGCTTTGCACCATTCGTAAATATGGGCTTTTCGATAAAACAAAGTCCCCTTAAGCATTTTGCATTGATTCGGCTCACGAAATTCCGGTCAAAACCCTAAATATGAGAGAAACTCTTCATTATTCTTTATTAATCGTTCATTACTTTTGTCCATTACAAAATTCGCAAAGCCCTACTGACATAAACTGTTTTAATCAGCTGCTACAACCAAACTGATTGAGAAATCTCTCTAATTTTTTCTTTACTGATTAAGAACAGTGTTACCTACATACAGAAACTTGAAATAATTAAAACTAAATTGCACCACAAAAGTTAAGGAAGTTCGCAAATTTTGCGATTATTTTAAAAGTTACAGATTTTTTGATCACCAAATTTTCAAATAAGCGAAATTAAATGTTTTCTCTCATAACTGAGTGGATTTTTTGTCCCTACCTCTACAATTCATACTAAATTTGGCGATCAAAAAACTTGCAACTTTTAAATTAATCTCAATATTTGTGAACTTCCTTAACTTTTTTGGAGCAGTATATTATTTCGCATGTTACTTACATTCGAAACTTATCTCGATGTGTTAAGGTACCTATTTATTTGAATTTAAATTGATAACTTCAAAATAATATCTACCTAATTATTCAATAGTAAAAAAATGAAAACATTACTTTAGTTACTTGACTAAATGAATTCACCCATGAATAGGGGGTTATTTATTCAATTAATATTGTAATATTGAAAAACTTACACCAGTGAAATTAAAGAGCATTTTGAGATTGATAAATTTCTTTTTTAAAACTTTTTTAAAACTAAATTGCGAACGATTACTTTATCTTTTGTAGTTAATCTTCAGCGGTGACAGTTTTTATACAAATTCTGGTAAACACTGAGGCAACGGTGAAGTTAGATTTTTCAAGAAATTATAAGGTTTTCTTTATTTCCACTAACAAAAATAATTATTTATGCTATACTGCTTTCCAAGTATTGTAAATCCAATGAAATGAAATCAATTGCGTCAGAATTGATCGATTTTTCACCGACTAGGGGGTACAAAAATTAATCTAAAATAAATAAAATAAATATTAATCTAAATTTAAGAGTCTCAATTATTGTCTGTAGATGTATATGATATATTGCATCTTTGTACAATAACAAGGCACTTCAATTTTGTTTGCTTTTTTGAATTCAATAAGCTTTATTATGTTATCTTTGTTGTATTGTATATTAATACGCTTTTTTTAATTACAAATGTTAGAATGTAATCTTAAAGTACCAATTTTGTGACACAAAGATTAGAAATGTTTTTCTTAATAAATAGACTCACATTTACTTTCTAAATTCATATAGCAGAAAATTAAGATCAAGATGAAAACATTGGTAATTCTTTTAATTTCCGTATGGGCGGTGAATAGTTTATCTCTGCACGAGCAATGGACAGACTTTAAGGTAAACATTATTTTATTCTTTTTAAGTAAAGAATGTTAATTTCCTGGACTTTTCAAACGTATATTAATCTTTAATATCATCAGTACATTTTTTTACAATTTCATATTTCCTTGCTTTTCTTTATGAACATATTTCAAGATTCGTTCTAAATCGACAAATTAAATATTTTAAGTATAATTATCTATAATAATTAATTTATTTTCCTAATTTTTACCAACTTACAAAATAATTTGAAGGTCACACACAGCAAAGTGTATAAAAACATCGCCGAAGAGAAATTGCGCTTCGGAATATTCCAAGAGACTTTAAAGAAAATCGAAGAGCACAATGCAAAATACGAAGCAGGTTTGTCCAGCTATTGGATGGGCGTCAATCAATTCTCCGATTTGACAACCGAAGAATTTAGTGCATTTTTGAGAAAAAGTAGCGCGAAAAAGCCGAAAATCGATGCTGAACTCCACGTCCCCTCTAATGTTTCCATACCAACCGAAATAGATTGGAGAAAAAAAGGAGCCGTTCTAGGTGTTAAGGACCAAGGAGCTTGTGGTTCCTGCTGGGCATTTAGTGCCGTAAGTAACATTTTATATCATAAGGTAAGTTCGGTTTCACGTGATTTTAGAGCAAGCTCCAATCTTTATCCGTATCCGAACGGAATCGAGCATTATGACGAAAACAGCCATCAATTGTCAATGTCAACTTGAAAATATCCGTTATCTTTTTGACAATCCTCGGGAAATTTGCTATCTTTGGAATTTCGGCTCTGATTTCGTCTTCGTTAATTTCATCGTCAACGTCAAAAAATAAATCATTTGCGAATTGAACAATCGTTAATAATATTTCATAATTCATCTTGCTTTCTTTTTGTTGTTGTCAATCAATTTATGACAGACCAGACAGATGACAGTGACAGATTTACTTTGATGATTCCGAACGGTTTAGAGCAAATCGAGCTAAAAGTGCATGAAACATGAAACCGAACTTAGCAAAAGTTTCGTAGACATTTTGTAATAGAAATATTGCGATCTATAAATCAATTACTTACCAAATTTCCAGACTGGTGCTCTTGAAGGACAAAACGCCATCAAACATCATAAAAAAGTACCTTTAAGCGAACAACAACTCTTAGATTGCTCTGGGAGTTATGGTAATGGTGATTGCGATCAGGGTGGTGAAATGACAGACGCTTTCAATTACGTCCGCGATCACGGAATAGAATCCGAAAGCAGCTATCCCTATAAAGCTAAGCAACATAAATGCACTGCTTCCAAGCAAAAAAACGTATTATCCATTCAAGGATATAAAAATGTTGCCCATACAGTCGAAGGTCTAAGGAATGCAGTCGGTACGATACATTCATCAAGATGATAAATCCAATCGTGGCATTTGAAATGTTTCCTGTTTCAGCTACCGTTGGACCAATTTCCATAGGAATGTACGCTGAGCCTATACAATCGTATGCAGGAGGTATCTTCGATGGATTCTGCAAGGGTGAGTCAGACCATGGAGTTCTAGCTGTAGGTTATGGTGAAAGTCCAAAGCCATATTGGATTGTCAAAAATTCCTGGAGCGCTCAATGGGGAGAAAATGGCTACTTTAGAATCAGTAGACACGATAATTTATGTAACATTGCCTCTGAAGGAACTTATCCGGTTGTACACTAAAATGTTAGAAGTTATGCCAGGATGATGTAATTTTAATAAAATCTGTAAATATATCTGAAAGTATAAGATTTAATCACATTTTTTCTTAATTTTTAATTTAAAATTTTTGTTCTTATGTGGTGTTATGTTATGTCGTTATGTCGTACCAATAAAGTGTACTCACAATCAGTATTTTTGCATGATTTTTTTGAGGTATTGTGATCACTGCAACAATTTATTTGTTGGATTGAGAGACATTTATGATTTGAGATAAATTATCGAGTGATTGGAAAACCCATGATTTGTTTATCTGAGAGTTTGAATGAGTATATTTGCTTTATGATTACAATGTGATGATGGTACTCAAATAAAATGAAATTAGTATTAACAAAAAATCATTAAAAGTAAAACAATATCAACCAAAATGATTTAATGAGTTCATCCAAGATAATCAAATTAGGTAAAATACCGATATTATACAAAGATACTCGTTGCAAATAACGATGAATTAGATAACGAAATTAAACATCTACGTCTTATTTTACAAGATATATTTATATATTTTATTAAATTTACACCATCTTGTTATATCTTATTATGATTACACTGCGATGATGATACTCAAATAGAATGACCCCTTATTATTAACAAAAAATCATTAAAAGTAAAACAATATCAACCAAAATGATTTAATGAGTTCATCCAAGATAATCAAATTAGGTAAAAATTACCGATATTATACAAAGATACTCGTTGCAAATAACGATGAATTAGATAACGAAATTAAACATCTACGTCTTATTTTACAAGATATATTTATAGATTTTATTAAATTTACACCATCTTGTTATATCTTATCCAATTTTATATTACAATTGGATACAATCCTTCAGAGGCAATGTTACACAAATTATTTTTTCTGCTAATTCTAAAGTAGCCATTTTCTCCCCAATAAGCACCCCAGGAATTTTTGACAATCCAGTATGGCTTTGGACTTTCACCATAACCTACAGCTAGAACTCCATGGTCTGTCTCACCCTCACAGAATCCATCGAAGATACCTCCTTCATAAGATTGTATAGGCTCAGCGTACATTCCTATGGAAATTGGTCCAACGGTAGCTGAAACAAGAAACATTTCAAATGCCACGATTGGATTTTTCACCTCGATGAACTTATCGTACCGACGGCTTCTCTTAAACCTTCGACTGTTGTGGTAACATTTTTATATCCTTTAATGGATAATACTGTTTTTTCCTCGGAAGCCGTGCATTCATATTGCTCAGCTTCATAGGGATAGCTGCTTTCGGATTCTATTCCGTGATCGCGAACATAATCGAAAGCATCTGTCATTTCACCACCTACATCGCAATCACCATTACCATAACTCCCAGAGCAATCTAAGAGTTGTTGTTCACTTAAAGGTATTCTTTGATTATGTATGATGGCGTTTTGTCCTTCAAGAGCACCAGTCTAGAAATTTTGTAAGTAATTGATTTATACATCACAATATTTCTATTACAAAATACACTCCTGGACAAAATTAACGCAACATCATAAATTTGCCACATTTTTTATGCTATTTTTTGTTTGAATTTATGATCCGATTTGGATGATTTTTTTTTTTGTATTATAGGTTGGTTCCTTGACAATGTCATCATTTTCGCTGTTTATGACAAAATGTTCCTTCTCGATTATACCGGGTGTAATAAAAATGTAATGTTTTTTTCCGAAAATTCGTATCACCCTGTGGAGTATACTAACAAACGAGACATATAGCAGTTGACATTAGACGGTTATAGATCCATCTTTTGCCAACATTTTCTTTTTTGGTTTACTTCATTATCTCTGTTATTAAAGGAGATACGCCGTTCTATAGCGTAACATGTTTTAATAGACTTTATTATTCAAAACATTCATTGTTAAATGTTTTCAAGTAGGCTTTGGACCTTTTCTGACATTTCAAGCGATGTGTCAAAATCGAATACATTATTTGTTATTTTAATCTTGAAAAATGAATCGTCCAAAAAATTTATCGACCGAAGAAGCAGTAAAAGCCTTAACTTTGGTGAATGAAGGCTATTCAATGAGTCATATTGCAATTGAGCAGTGATTCGAAGTAGAGGTGAACATACACGTTATTAGCATTATAAATCCATTAATTTTATTGTTTTTGATTTATGTTCTTTTCTTGTTTCACTCGTTTCCAAAAAAAATTTTTGTTTAATAAACTCTTAATTTTACTTTATGAAATAAAGTAATTCGTTAATTTTGTTTTCATTCATCAAAGTGAGCAGGAATTATTTTGTTATACAGATAACAAATAATGTATTCGATATTGACACATCACTTGAAATGTCAAAAATGGCCCATAGCCTACTTGAAAATATTTAACAATGAATGTTTTGATAATATAGTCTATTAAAACATGTTACGCTATAAAACGGCGTATCTCCTTTAATAACAGAGATAATGAAGTAAACCAAAAAAGAAAATGTTGGCAAAAGATGGATCTACCGTCTAATTTTAACTGCTATATGTCTCGTTTGCTAGTATACTCCACAGGGTGATACGAATTTTCGGAAAAAAACATTACATTTTTATTACACCCGGTATAATCGAAAAGGAACATTTTATCATAAATAGCGAAAATGATGACATTGTCAAGGAACCAACCTATAATACAAAAAAAAAATCATTCAAATCCGATTATAAATTCAAACAAAAAATAGCATCAAAAATGTGGCAAATTTATGATGTTGCGTTAATTTTGTCCAGGAGTTTATCTACAAAACGTTTGTTAAGTATGATATAAAATGTTACTTACGGCACTAAATGCCCAGCAGGAACCACAAGCTCCTTGGTTTTTAACACCTAGAACGGCTCCTTTTTTTCTCCAATCTATTTCGGTTGGTATGGAAACATTAGAGGGGACGTGGAGTTCAGCTTCGATTTTCGGCTTTTTTGCACTACTTTTTCTCAAAAATGCGCTAAATTCTTCGGTTGTCAAATCGGAGAATTGATTGACGCCCATCCAATAGCTGGACAAACCTGCTTCGTATTTTGCATTGTGCTCTTCGATTTTCTTTAAAGTCTCTTGGAATATTCCGAAGCGCAATTTCTCTTCGGCGATGTTTTTATACACTTTGCTGTGTTTGACCTTTAAATTATTTTGTAAGTTGGTTAAAATTAGGAAAATAGATTAATTATTGTAGATAATTATACTTAAAAAATTTACTTTGTCGATTTAGAATGAATCTTGAAATATGTTCATAAAGAAAAGCAAGGAAATATGGATTTGTAAAAAAATGTACTGATGATATTAAAGATTAATATACGTTTGAAAAGTCCAGGAAATTAACATTCTTTACTTTAAAAGAATAAAATAATACACTTTGTTGTGTTTGAGCTTCAAATTATTATAATTTAAGTTGGTTAAATTAGGAAAATAGATAATTCTAAAGAAAATGTATAATAAAAATATTACTTATTATAGATACAATAGATTCAGATGGAGTTTTGAAATAGTATATTTATAAAGAAAAACAAGAAAACATAGAAAAGTAAAAAAGTATACTTATGCTTGAAAAGTTCAGCAAATTGACATATCTTTACTTAAAAAGTTTACTTTCTTAAACTTTACTCAAAAAAATTTTCAAGAATTAAAATTAAAAAAGTTTTTACCTTAAAGCCTGCCCATTGCTCATTCAGAGATAAACAGTTCACTGCCCATACGGAGACCAAAAGAATTACTAATGTTTTCATCTTGCTCTTAATCTTTTGCAATATGAATTTAGAATGTTAATATGGGCCTATTTATATAGATGAATTTTCTAATCTGTTTTACGTACTCGATACTTTAAGATTATTCTAATAAATTTTAATAGGAATAGAAAAAATCAGCAAGATAAATTAATATAGTTTATTGTATTCAAAAAAGGCTAGCAGTAAAAAAATTTACCTGATTATTCATAAATACACATCAAGTAGGTAATAAAGTAGGAGTATCTTTGTATAATATCGGTAATTTACCTAATTTGATTATCTTGGATGAACTCATTAAATCATTTTGGTTGATATTGTTTTACTTTTAATGATTTTTTGTTAATAATAATTTCATTCTATTTGAGTACCATCATCGCATTGTATTCATAAAGTAGGTATGCTCATTCAAAGTCTCAGATAAACAAATCATGGGTTTTCAAATCACTCGCTAATTTATCTCGAGTCATAATTGTCTCTCAATCCAACAAATAAATTGTTGCAGTGATCACAATACCTCAAAAAAATCATGTAAAAATACTGATTGTGAGTACACTTTATTGGTCATATTAACAACTAAACGACATAACATAACACCACATAAGAACAAAAATTTTAAATTAAAAATTAGGAAAAAATGCCGATACAAAGATTACTTACAAAAATTAAAAGTAACATTACACTATCAATAATTAATACGTAGGTAATAGTAATTTATTAGTCATTAAAATTAATAATAATAAAATAGTAGATACAACCATTTTTTATAGTCGTTAAAATTAAAACTCAAATGGTAAAAAGTAAAAATCACGGTCCATATCCAGGAAATAACAATTTTAACGCTTGACTAAAGTTTTCGTTTATTTCCAATTTATAATTCTCGCCGAGTTCTCCTCTACAACAAGGGCACGAGAACAATTTGCATTTGAAGGACCTCTTCATGCATCCCTGAAAAATAAAATAATCGATGAATATTGTAAGTAATTGAGATATTCAACCAATCATACACTCCTGGACAAAATTAACGCAACATCATAAATTTGCCCATAGACCTATTAAGTATGGACGCGGCACAATCGTTATTTTGAGGTTATTCAGCGTTCCCAATGATAGAGAGAGAGGTCCGTGAGAGATGGAGCTAGTTTGGGCTAAAAGTTGGTGGGACCAAAAAAATATCAAATATATACAGGGTGCGTAAAAAAAGGCTATTAATCTGTTAAATTATTTATACGCTTAATATTTAAATATTGTTTTTATCTTGCTATCCACTTGGACAGAAGAATGACCAGGAAGAAACATATTTTTTACAAGAGAAAGCAGTTAGGTCTTAATTGCGAATCTGTACTGGCTAATAGGTAGGATGTTCCAATTAACAATACAAATAAAAACTGTATTTGCAAATGCGTGGGAATTTAGGCTCAGCTGAAAAATGAATTTTGCTCGGCAAAAAAATAATAAATCACAATACCCTCCGCTGCACTCCTCAACCATATTCAACCATAAGCTACCTCCTCTACCCAGCTACCTTGCATATCTAAAAACGTAACTCACGTGGTCTTTTGCTCTCTTACTATTGGCTAATGCATTGTCCAATCTCTCATTGCCATATGCCCAAACTAGCTGCATCTCTCTCATTCATCGACAACACTACCTCTTTGTCTAAACCGCGTCCATAGTTAATAGGTCTATGAATTTGCCACATTTTTTATGCTATTTTTTGTTTGAATTTATGATCCGATTTGGATGATTTTTTTTTGTATTATAGGTTGGTTCCTTGACAATGTCATCATTTTCGCTGTTTATGATAAAATGTTCCTTTTCGATTATACCGGGTGTAATAAAAATGTAATGTTTTTTTCCGAAAATTCGTAACACTCTGTGGAGTATATTAGCAAACGAGACATATAGCAGTTGAAATTAGACGGTAGATCCATCTTTTGCCAACATTTTCTTTTTTGACTTACTTTATTATCTCTGTTATTAAAGGAGATACGCCGTTTTATAGCGTAACATGTTTTAATAGACTGTATTATTCAAAACATTCATTGTTAAATATTTTCAAGTAGGCAATGGGCCATTTTTGACATTTCAAGTGATGTGTCAATATCGAATACATTATTTGTTATCTGCATAACAAAATAATTCCTGTTCGCTTTGATGAATGAAAACAAAATTAACGAATTACTTTATTTCATAAAGTAAAATTAAGAGTTTATTAAACACATTCTTTTTGGAAACGAGCGAAACAAGAAAAGAACAAAAAACAAAAATAATAAAATTAATGGATTTATAATGCTAATAACGTGTATGTCCACCTCTAATTTGAATCAATGCTCCATTGCAATATGACTCATTGAATAGCCCTCATTCACCAAAGTTAAGGCTTTTACTGCTTCTTCGGTCGATAAATTTTTTGGACGATTCATTTTTCAAGATTAAAATAACAAATAATGTATTCGATATTGACACATCGCTTGAAATGTCAAAAATGGCCCATAGCCTACTTGAAAATATTTAACAATGAATGTTTTGAATAATACAGTCTATTAAAACATGTTACGCTATAAAACGGTGTATCTCCTTTAATAACAGAGATAATGAAGTAAACCAAAAAAGAAAATGTTTGCAAAAGATGGATCTACCGTCTAATGTCAACTGCTATATGTCTCGTTTGCTAGTATACTCCACAGGGTGATACGAATTTTCGGAAAAAAACATTACATTTTTATTACACCCGGTAGGAGTGTAATAAAGGAGTTTAGTATAAAAGTATCTACCTTGCAAAAACTGTGGGTACATTCGAGCGTTACTGGATCGAAAACGAGATCTTGACAACAAATACATGTAAACATTTCCTGAACCTTCACTAAATAGTCGGATTTTCCCTTCGTCAAATATGTGCTACACTCATTCCAATATTTACTATTCAATTTGTCTTTCTCTATAAGTTTTTTTACTTCGTCGGGTAACGTATATTCCAATTTGGCCTTCTTCACGTGCTTCAAAAGATCAGTTTGTTTCTTCCTTTTGCCACCACCGTCCTTTTTCTTCTCACTTCGATTTTCCAAATACAAAGGAGGATACTAAAAACAAACAAAGCGATGAAAAGATATTCCTAATCTAATATCCAGTGTTGTTAAGTAATTAATTACAAGTAATTGAAAAAGTAATTGAATTACTTTTATTGTAATTGAGGCGGTAATTAATTACAAGCTCCTCAATTGTAATTCATTTGTAATTCAGTTACTCCTTTCGTTACAATTACAATTACATTTCAATTACATTGGACACAAAAGAACTTATTTAATATTTTCAATACGTGGAAAGTTTAATTCCGAATGCAAATCCCTAAAAAATTATTTAAAACTGACACCAAAGCAAAGTAATTGTGATTGTAATTGTAATTGTAATTGTAACTTTAATTGTAATTGTAATTACATTCGCAAATTTTGTAAAGCCGGCTGCGGACTACGAGCGATAATATAATATACAGTGTGTCCACGGATGGGGTTGCCTATAGGAAAAAAATTTTTATTATTCATTTTACGACAAAAAATCATTGTTTATAAAAATTTTTGCTTCTTTTAAAAATGAGAATATCACTGAAAAATCTTAGATTGGATCTACAGGGTGTTGTCAAATTAAGAAAACATGAAAATACCTCAAGAGAGAAGTACCATTATTTTTTATTTTACACAAAATTTTTATGAAAGAAAGTTGTTTATAATCTAAAATAAAGCCTGAATACAAATTTGCAAACTTAAATTCAAATTTTGTGTGTCCCTAGATAAAGTTGACCAGATAAGAAAATGGTTATTATTAATTTTACGACGAAAAGCCATTCTTTATAAAAAAAATTAACTTGTCGAGAAAATGAAATTCACATATCAAAACATTAAATAAGACGTATAGGGTGTTAGTAAATTAAGAAACAGGAAAAAATGTCAAGAAAGAATGAAAGAATTTTGATTATCTTACATAAAGAAAGAATTTATTTATTATCTTACATTATTATTTACAAAAAAATGCTTTTAATCTCTCTTTTAATGCTCTTTTTTTATAAAGAATTACTTTTTTTTCGTAAAATTAATAATCATTTTCTCCTCTGGTCAACTCCATTCGTGGACACACAAAATTGGAATTTTAATTTGAAAATTTATGTTCAGGCTTTATTTTAGATTATAAACAACTTTCTTTTATAAAAATTTTGTGAAAAAATAATGGTACATCTCTCTTGAGGTATTTTCATGTTTTCTTAATTTGGCAACACCCTGTAGATCCAATCTAAAGATTTTTCAGTGTTATTCTCATTTTAAAAGAAGCAAAAATTTTTATAAACAATGACTTTTTGTCGTAAAATGAATAATAAAAATTTTTCTCCTATAGGCAACCCCATCCGTGGACACACTGTATATTATAGCTCTATAATGAGATATAATATCATATTATATTAAGCATGCAGCAGATTAGGATATAAAATTTTTATATTTACTACTATTTCAGTTGGCAAATCGATAAGTTGTGTTAGTTTGTGCCGTTTAAAAATGGAAAACTTCGTCGAAATGATACTTGATATTATTGATAGCTCTTCAGAAAAAGAAGAAGCAAAATGTGACAATGATTTGGCGTTAATTATTGCTAATAAAAAGAAAACGCCTAAATTCTGGATATCCAAGCATATTAAATTTCGTTAAGAAAGGGGTGAATTTAGAACTCTTTGAAGATCTAAGTGATGAAAATTTTACGAATTATTTTCGCATGGATCGAATTAAGTTTTTTAAACTACATGATTTAATAAAAGCTGACATAAAAAAGAAAAATACGAAGCTACGAGTGGAATATACTCTAAAATATCGCTCGAAAAGCGTATCTCTGCAGATACTTAATATATCGCCTGGATATAGATATATATTATAGCATTAATTATAGCGGTGTTACATTTGTATTTTTTTTAAAGTGATATTTATGTAATATGCAAGATATAATATACAGGGTGTTTCATTGGGAAAGGGCAATATTTTAACCCTATATAGAGGTCACCCAGGGGATTACAAAAAACCCATATACTATGGGTCTTGCGCCCTTTATAAGCGAGTTACAGGGTGTTTTTTGAATTTGGCCCATTTCTTTCGACACCCATAACTTTTGAATCACTCAGTATATTTTTTTGATATTTGGCATAGATATTCTATACCTTTAGGACAATTTATTGCAACATTAAAAAAATATAAAATCCAGGCCCGGATTTAGAAAAATTAATAAAATTTGACCGACCCTTAAACAACACTCTATACATCATATTTTTAAAAATTGAATTTCAAATTCAGAAAGAGCATAAAAAACTGAATGTATTCATCACCTTTTTATTTTCCCGCATGCCGTTTTTCTACCAAAATTTAAACGTTAAAATGTACATTGACTTAAAATGTACATGAGATTTTTGGTCCATATAAATTGTAATTGAAGGGATTTTAATTATTTTTTCTTTAATAAAACCAGATTTACCTAACACTTTCATTGAAATTCCTGAAATAGACCTATTGAACTTGAATTAACATTCAAACAAACCAATAAAAATTACAATTACAGATCCGCACTTAATAAAATGAAAATGATTTCATTTCATTTAATAATTAATCATTGATTATTCAATTTTTACATTTCTACATGAGAAAATTTAAAACCTCACTAAGTAATTTACTATATTTTTAAAAAAAAATACCAGAATAAGTATTCTTTTCCAAATATCAAAAAAATATACTGAGTGATTCAAAAGTTATAGGTGCCGAAAGAAATGGGCCAAATTCAAAAAACACCCTGTAACTCGGTTATAATGGGCGCAAGACCCATAGTATATGGGTTTTTTGTAATCCCCTGGGTGACCTAATTACAAATTGCCAAAAGTAATTGTAATTGTAATTAATTACATATTATAAAGTAATTTTAACATCACTGCTAATATCACAACGAAACTCACAATCATATCCAATTCTTGTCCGGCTTTCTCCCAAGGCGCAGGCGCAGGATCGTCTCTTCTCAGCAAATACTTCCAAACGATAAAACCTGATAAACCTTTTTCCGGGTAATATTTAACCACTTTGTAAATACCATCGTACCTATTTCCCTCCAAAGGCGCGTACTTGGAATGCTTTCGAGCTTTGTAATTCCTGACCACCCTGATGGGTTTTCCTTTTGTCCAATCGTCAGCGTGGGCGCCTTTTTCGTTAAACGCTGCGTGACAATTCAACGCCAACGCTCTACAATCGAGAATATCATTAGAATAATTTAGTCGATTTTCCGGACTAGCGCGTTTCGAACATATATCTACAGGGTGGCACATTAGTATGGAAAAGCTCAATATATCTGTTATTGTAGAAGATATCAAAAAAACTTCATTACAAAAGTTGTAGATCTTTTTAAGCTGCACATTTTAAAATTAGTTACATTTATACAGAGTGTCCCGTTTTTCCGTAATAGATCAAACTTATGCTTTTTTAAATGGAACAGCCTGTTTTTTATTTAAAAATTGAATTTAGCTCGTTTTCAGCTTTCCAAAAATATAATTTTGTATAACGTTATACTGAGTGGTTTAAAAGTTATGACCACTTTTCCACGAAAATCGTACTAGGTTTACCACTCTGTAGAAAATAAATGGATTAAATTGAAAATAAATTTCAGATTTTACAACATTGCAAATATCCTGAAAATGTACAAAATGAATATTTTTTGTCAATTTTAATCATACTGCTTACAGGGTGGATTCAAACGCAAAAGTAACATTTTCTCTGTTAATTTAAATGGATCACCCTATATTTTATATCGTTAACAGGAAGTATTTTTGAAGTACTTTCATTCTTAATAACCATTCCCTATACCGAAAGTTTTCGAGATATTCCAATTAAAAAAAACTAGAATGGAATACTGAAGAAAAAAATGAAGGTTTCTTTTTGATCGAAGTACACGAAGTTACAGAAAGAAGTAAGAAACGTCAATTAAATAGTATATGGTATTATTTGTCTGTATTGCCTCCACAATTTTTACCAGAACTTCGGTTATTATAAAAAAGGAAGCCTAATTTTTTTTTTCTTCAATTTTAAGGTCTAATTTATTTTAATTGAAATATCTCGAAAAGTGTTAACTTTAGGTACAGGGAATGGTTATTATGAATGAAAGTACTTCAAAAATACTTCCTGTTAACGATATAAAATATAGGGTGATCCATTTAAATTAACAGAGAAATTGTTACTTTTGCGTTTGTATCCACCCTGTAAGCAGTATGATTAAAATTGACAAAAAATATTCATTTTGTACATTTTCAGGATATTTGCAATGTTGTGAAACCAGAAATTTATTTTTAATTCAATCCATTTAGTTTCTACATAGTGGTAAACTTAGTACGATTTTCGTGGAAAAGTGGTCATAACTTTTAAACCACTCAGTATAACGTTATACAAAATTATATTTTTGGAAAGCTGAAAACGAGCTAAATTCAATTTTTAAATAAAAAACAGGGTGTTCCATTTAAAAAAGCATAAGTTTGATCTATTACGGAAAAACAGGACACTCTGTATAAATGTAACTAATTTTAAAATATGCAGTTTAAAAATATCTATAACTTTTGTACTGAAGTTTTTTTGATATCTTCTATAATAACAGATATATTGAGCTTTTCCATACTAATGTGCCACCCTGTATAACTACTATACCGCTAATAATGGTCTAAAACCGTAGCAAACATTATACTGTGGTGTGCTTGCTTATTTATGCGCATGCTCAAGTGAAAGATTTCTTGATTGGCTACTTTTGACAGAGCAAATGAAACGTCAGAAACGTGCTAACTTTTATTTTGGTATATTATTTAATATATTTTTAAAATCGACTTCGACTTGCCTGTGTAAATATGTCAGGTTACCGAATTTAAACACGATTTCAAGTATTATTTTCCTTCTTTTCTTTTTAGGCCTCAGCTACTCGCTATTGGTCCTTTTAAAATTAACGCGCTTGCGTATAAACGACTAAGCACACCACAGAAGGTCGGATCTCTCTCTTTAATCGCTACGATTTTCTCTTATGGAATGGATAGGGAGTTAGCAGTATACACTGTTGGAAAATTATTCGCGCATAATAGGGAAATCAATGTTAAATTCTTAGCCTGCTGAAATCCAGTCTACCAGTGTACATTTCAATAGAACGTCGTGATCAATTCTAATAAATTTAATTGTTCTACTGGATCGCACGCCGCGATTTGTAGAGGTACAAAGTTATTTGTGTTAGGTATGAGGTACAAAATTATTTAGAAACTACATTTAATAGGTTTATTGGGGATATTTCAAAAAATGTGTGTATCGGTAGGTACAGTTTTGAAAGAGCAACAAATCTTGTTGAAATAAGGGAAAAAATAATTCAATTTTCTGCTAGAATTATACCTCAGCTCAGTAATATGGGATGACATCTGTATGACAGGTTTGGCTATTGTTAAGCAGAAAGCGGTGGACTATTTTTTAGAGTTCTCTTATTTTCTGTTTTAAAATAATCTTTAAGTTTATCTTTAAGTTTCTTTTTTATTATTTTCTTAGAATTTACTTTCTTTTTCAAGCCATTGTGGCAAAAAGACATATCTTCATAATTCTATTTTAATATTAGTGATATTTATTCAATAAATTATCGTTTAAAAATGCTCATTTCTTTTTAATCGACTCGACGTTTATCCATCCGAACCCGTTTTGATACTGTCGAAGTGTCGAAACCGTCGAAATTATTTGATTTTTAATCTAACCGAACCAAATCGCGGTGTGAAGTCCAGTAGAACAATTAAATTTATTAGAATTTATCGCGACGTTCTATTTAAATGTATACTGGTAGACTGGATTTCAGCCGGCTAAGAATTTAACATTGATTTCCCTATTATGCGCGAATAATTTTCCAACGGTGTATATTAGTTAATAGGTATATGGTTTCGAATTACTTGTTGCAACCGGTCAATGTTTGATCGCAGCTTTGCACGTTGACGCGTTTGTTGCCGGACAAATCTCGCCCTCCGCTGCCCGTGTAGAGGAACTCGTAGCCGGTGTCGACGTCGTCTTCGTAGCCACCGCTGAGGACCAACGAAAAAGCGCCCTCGTTCGCTACGCCGTGAATGCCGCTGACTGAAGGCCGGTGAACCCCCGCTTCGGATACCTGAAACGGCGGTCGTGCAATAAATTGTTTGTAATTAATTGATTATTAATTTTGGTACTTGTGAGATATTACATGGCCAACTTGTAAAACAGAGTTATTTAAGAATAAGGCAGAAAAGTATGATTTATGTAAAATATTCAATATCATCAAACCTATTAGGTTTAGGTATAGGGAAGTAAACATGAACTTCCCTAATTTTTTACCGCTGATTTCAATAAAATAGAAAAAAAATGGTTGGTTCCATTTAAATAAATGAAATAATTTGGTATTTTTAAAGTTCAACTTTTCACATGTTATGTATACACCCTGTATAAAATAAAAAGGTTTTTAACACAGATTCAAATACCTTTGACCTTGCTAGTGGCCACCCTACAGAAACCGTATCCATATCTTTAAAGGGATCCCCGTAAAAAAATAATTTATAAGGGTCTGCATCGGTCAAATTTAAAAAAAAATATTAATTCAAAAAGTATGCATTTTTGAAAAAAGTTTTTTAGACAAAAGCACTCTAAAATTTTGCGTACATTTCGAAAATATATTAATATATGGGGTGTCCCATTTAAAATAACAAAGTTGATGTACACTTCCGGTATAACCGGAAGTAAAGAAAAGTTGAAAATATTATCATTGAATAGAGCGCATCGACTAATACTTGTACACAAATTTTCAAATTTTAATTACAACTACTTTTCCAGATACTTCTAATGGGCCCTCGTCGTGACACACACTGTATATCATGAAACAGGTCGATCTCGATAATTATTATCAGGTAATAAAATTTTTGCCCAGTTGACCTGCGCCCATAAAAACAGGTCCGGAAACTTCGGTTAAAAAGGCGTTGCTGATGATGGGACTGTCGACAGAGGGCGCTAGTATCGGGTAGTTTTTGTCTTCCAAATACCATTCTTATTTAATTTACGACGATTTTAATTTAATTTGACTACAGGGTGTCTTGTAAGTTGATACTTAAAACGATTTCTTTAAATTTCTTTAAATTTCGAATATTTTCCAATAATTTCCTGCCATTACCATACAGGGGCCTGTTTCATATAACTGACAAGTTGACAAGTTACAAGTGTTGGTTGACAAGTATTTAAAAATTTCGTTTCATAAAATAAATTTCGACACTTGTCGAATTAAATTTTTGGCATCCGTTTTTCTACAACTGTAATATTAATTAAACGTCAGACTTAAGCCAAAAAGAAAAAAATAGTACTTACTATACTGAGGAGCATAAGCATAGCACAACTTTCGTTTTTTGATATTGGGAAACTTTTACTTTGAAATTGTTTTTTTTTCTGGTTGGAGCTATTTTTAGATGTGAACCACGACAATTTCGTTTATTGACAAAAAACTTATTTCTAAAATGCAGCAACATTTATTTAATATTCAATTATTTTAATAAAGAAAGGGCATTTTATTTGGAAAATTTAGTTCCACTTCTACAAAAGCTATAAAATGTGAGCATTGGAACGAACAAAGACAATGCATAATTTCTATACGTTGGTTCTATACATTAGGCGGGGACCAATAGATTTTATTATTTCCTCCATTTTTATCGAATTCATTCGAAATCTGTTATTAAACTCTCATTAAGCTTCCTCCTCACTGTCACTAGACCACATTTTCTTTTAAATTTATAAGAAAATTGGATGGTGACAGTAAATCAAGTTCCTGTCACTTTACACTAATATATGATAGGAATAAATGACAAGTGTTGTTTAATTTATTTTTTATGAAACGCAAACCTATCTACAATTGTAAAACAGACTTGTAATATTAGGCTAGTCACTTGTTACTAATAATCTACTCGTGTAATTTTATGAAACACAAACTTGTCAAATACCCCAGTCAAATTTAGACTACACTTGTCCGACAGGACTTATCAGTTATATGAAACAGGCCCCAGGTGTCAAAAAATAATAAATAATTAATGACAATCAATTAAAATGGCGACCATTTTGAGCAGTTCCTTTAATTTTTAATGAACAGTGCCGTATTAACTAACTTTTTAACAATTAAAAATTGAAAAAAATATCTCTCTTATTTTCCAGAATATTAAAAAATTTAACTTGAAAAAATTGCTTGGAATTAAAAGATCTATACGCAATTTAAAAAAAAGTATCAACTTATGAGACACCCTGTATAATTCAATATTCAATCTTCTCCGGAACTTCTTTTTCTTATTTAAATACTACCATTTGTGATTTTTTTTTTAATTTGTAACATTGAAAGTAAACATAACCTTAAATTAAATTTATCCGTCATATAAGCGATTTCAATTACGATTCGGCAACGTTGCAACAGGCTGACTCGTGACGTCATAGTCATTTAAAAACTATTCAGCCCGATAGTTAAACCCGATTTAGCCCGATATCTCAATCATTCTGTTTTATTTAAACACAAAATATACTGCTCCACAAAAGTTAAGGAAGTTCACAAATATTGCGATTAATTTAAAAGTTTCAGGTTTTTTGATCGCCAAATTTAGTATAAGTTGTAGAGGTAGGAGCAAAAATTCCTCTTAGATATGAGAGAAAACATTTAATTTCGCATATTTGAAAATTTGGTGATCAAAAAGTCTGTAACTTTTAAAATAATCGCAAAATTTGCGAACTTCCTTAACTTTTGTGGAGCAGTTTAGTTATTCCCTTATTGAAAATCTCTTTAAAATCTCTTGCAAAAATGGGACGCATTCATTTTCATTCATTTCATTCATTTTACCTGGACACGAAACATCCAACGTGTACCGACATCGATGCCAGGAATGGGTCCGAAATGGTTCTTCGGTACGATGGTACAGATGGTACTTCTTCCGGCGCAAGCCATGCCTTTGCCCCAGTCTCGGGTCGATGTCGACTGTTTGTTTGGCATCTTGGCCTGTCTCTTGGTAAGCCTAAATTCGCCTGTTGTCATTATCTCCGATTGGTCAACTTTGCACGTCGGGCAGTACCTAAATAGATCACAAATCTCTCGGTACTAGAGAATTCTTGTCTAGAAACCTATCTACTTTTTTGGTGTATTTATACATACCAGTCATCGTCTGGGATATTTTCCAACGGAGGGTCCAAACAGTAAGTGTGATATTCGTCATCACATTCGTCGCATAATAAAATTTTATTGTAATTTTCTTTACCTTTGCAGACTTTGCAGCCGCATTTGTCGCATTTTTTCTTTTTATCGTCGAGGCATTTGTCGCAGTAGTACGGGTACTTCCCTGGAAGATAATTGAATTTATTTAGTACACGATTTCTATGAGAAATGTAACACGAGTACTCACTAGGGACATAAGTGATATTTTCATTTTGAGGACAGTCAGCCAAAGGTTTAGCTTCTTCAATTCTCATCAATTCGTTTCTAAATTCAATCGAACAATCTTCTATCGGTGCTTCATCGTTACCTAAGTGTATCGTACCAGTTATTTTGGTTCTCGTTAATTCGTTAATTTTGAAATCGTACCTACAATATACATCGAGTAATGTAAACGATATACTAAGCGTACAATAAGAGCGATACAATTTAAATTGTATAGCTTTAATACCTACCAAAGCCCTCGTGATTTCTTATCTTCCAGGTTATAGTTTGCTAATACGACTAAATCTATTTGTAATTCATCAGGTTTGTAGTTATAGTAAGATCTGGGTCTGAGGTTTTTGGGATATACCTCTACGTCGAAGGCAGGCACAATGTGTTCGGAACTAAAAATGTAATTATAATTCATTTAAATCTTTATAATCGAATAGGTATTTTTATCGATAAACGTTACCTTATTACGTTAAATAATATTTTTTCTTCATCGAATGCTTCTTTGTTGTTTATAGATATTTTCTGTATTACTCCTTCGTACCAGGCTCCCGTGTCACTTAGTAAGACGTCCACAAAATCGCCTTTTTTGTAATATTTGCTTTCTACCTCGACGAATTCATCGTTCTCAGGTTGTTTGTCACATTTCGATTCATCATCGGTTTGTATATCCGGTCTAATGGACAAAATAATCGTACCTCCATGGATGATTTTATAATCTACTAATTCAACGGAATCTTCTAGCTGTAATTAAAAATACTATTAACGACTGTTGTATAACGTACGAAGAAAACTTACACTTTTACCGAAGTAAATCAACCTTTGTCGGGAACTTTTAATTTTTATTTTATCAGCTATTTTCGCCTTTAATTCACAGACTAGGGCTTTTTTGGAAATGTCCACCGAAAAAACTGTGGTTTTGCCTGTTTCATCTTGAGTGCTGATATTTATCAACATTTTGACTACCTTTGACTAACACAAATGTACAAATAAATTAAAGACCAATGGAACTGGATACAGATGGCAACAGAAATCGAAACGGCGGGAAATTATTATAAACATAACCTAAAAACTTAAATAAAAAGAAGAAAAACGTCAACGTTGTCAAACTTCTGTCAAGTCAACCTTTTACTCTTCAGGTCATATAGCCAAGAAATGACCTCATATAGGCCTTTTTAATTTTTTGTCTATGATTTTTGCACAATATATTTACCTAAATAACAGCTGGAATTTTATTTACTTACATATACCTATTAGTACTATACCGCTTACTACGGTCTAAAACCCGTAGCAAACATTATACTGTGGTGTGCCTGCTTATTTATGCGCATGCTCAAGTGAAAGATTTCTTGATTGGCTACTTTTGACAGAGCAAATGAAACGTCAGAAACGTGCTAGCTTTTATTTTGGTATATTTTTTGATATATTTTTAAAATCGACTTCGACTTGCCTGTGTAAATATGTCAGGTTACCGAATTTAACCACGATTTCAAGTATTATTTTCCTTCTTTTCTTTTTAGGCCTCAGCTACTCGCTATTGGTCCTTTTAAAATTAACGCGCTTGCGTATAAACGACTAAGCACACCATAGAGGGTCGGATCTCTCTCTTTAATCGCTACGATTTTCTCTCATGGAATAGATAGGGAGTTAGCAGTATATTACTAATAGGTATATGTTTAATTACAATCCAACAATAACAATTACCTACCTTGAAAAACTTTCTCCACAATTTTGAGACTACTAACGCCATCTGGTTCGACCAGTGTAACTGCAAAAAATTACTGGATTATAGGCTCAATTGGTACGACTGCAGAATTGCTAAACGCCCCCCTTAATAATAGTATATTTGTCAAAAAAAGGAGGCATTTTGAAGATATATAATTTTTTCAAAAAAATCAACAAGTACAGGTGATTCTTTTTAATAAAAACTAGAAAAAACCGGGTAACTTTAAGCCTATTTTATAATTTGTGCCGAGAAAAGTTTTAGTTTTGATGGATTGAGAAGCTACTTTATTTATAAAAAAATATAGAAAACAATTAAAAAACCTCTAAACTTCGCCTTCAAAACAAACATGTTTTTTTGACCTCAACGTCAATCATCAGTCGATTTCCATCCCGAAATCGAAATTTCCAGCAAACAAACAACCCGCCCGATTCCCCGATGGATCATCATGACAACCCGAAATCCCTGAAGGCCAAATCCGAACCCAAAATCGCATTGAAAACCGCCTTCCTCGCCAAATTCACCGACCCCAATCAACCCACTTCCTCCACGCCCCACGACCCCTCCAACCAACACCAAAAAGTCGCCATACTCGACAAACGCTACCCCCGAGTCCTCCTCACCGACCACCAAGTCAGCATCCTGCAGGACAAGCTGGTGGAAGCGCTGGAAACCGCCCCCCGCGGCGACGAGAGCTACAAATTCGAGGGCACCGAATTCAGCGAGGGCGTCCTCTGGATCCGATGCGCCAACGAAACCACCAAAAACTGGCTCAAGGACACCGTCACGCTGCTGGGCAACCCTTGGGCGGACTCCCAGCTGTCAGCGGTGGATCACAAGAACGTGCCCAGGAGGTACACGGTGCGCCTCATCCTGCAGGACTCCGACGACGAGGCGAACGTGAGGGCGAGGCTGGTGCGACAGAACTCCGAGCTCAATCTGCCCGATTGGTTCCTCGTCGAGAGGAGCCTGCAGGACGAGCAGCAGATACTCGTGTATTCGGTCGACGAGGACACGCTGAGAGCGCTGGAGAGGAATAGCAATAAAATGTATTACAAATTGGGCACGGTGGGGATTAAAGTTGTAGATTTCGATTACGGTCAATCGGACTTCCTTAAACACGTTAAATAAGTGGTTTTAGATTAAATAACTGAAGCTTAATTTAGAACGCTGTCACTTATGCCCGATTTCACCAACCAGTTCCTAAAGTTAGGTAATACCTAAACCGGATTTAGGAATTCCTAAGTACAATTTGCGTTTCACCATGCACTAAGTTATACCTAAAGGTAATAGGAAATGCCTAAAGTTAGGACAGCTCACTGGGTTTGCCTAAAACATTTAGGAAATACTTAACCATACTTTTCATGTGATTTCATGTGACTTAAGTCTTGACTGCCTTTAGACTCTTTAGATGAAAATTTAAAATGGGAGGAGAGTTTTTAGAAACTGGTCGAAACTGATTTTTTTTCGCCTTTTTCGATATATAAAAAGACGGCATTACAAATATAAGAATGAATTGTAGATGATTTTTAATTTGATACACAGGAAGTTTTTGGAACTATTGACCGTACACATGCATGTAAAGATCCATTGTCCTGGAGAAGAAGATGTAGATATATTTTACAAGTCGGAAAGACTATTTTTCTATTAATCTACAGACTACATCTTCAGCAGATTTAAAAATAACTAACATAATTTAAAGATGGCCCGGATCATCAACATCTCTTCTTTTCTCTCAACATATTCAATTTCGATCTCCGCTTATTCGGTTTACACGTCAAAATGAGGCAATGCTGCCAATAAAATTCAAAAAATTGTCGAAATCAAATTTTTACCTAGGTATTTCTTAGTAAGGGATTTCTAATGTTGGTGAAATTCGATTTAGGTAAATATTCGATTTAAGTAATTCCTACCTTGCTATACTGAGATGTGCAGAGCATCTCATAAATAATGGAGCCACACATTCCCGAATAAATATTTATTCGGATAGCCGCGCTGCCCTAGAGGCACTGGCGAAAAACACCACGGTCTCCGCCGTGGTGCGGGACTGCATGCAGAACCTCGCCAGGTTAGGGGCTGAGAATGTAGTGACTCTAATTTGGATCCCTGGACATCAGGGAATAGAGGGCAATGAGGTAGCCGATAATCTAGCCAGAGAGGGGGCCATGGAGCAACCTGGTAGGCAGATAGTTGGAATGCCCTTTGCAGAAGGTAAACAATACCTAAACAAACTCCTAGAAAGGGAACATCTCGTTCGATGGAGGAACTCGACAGGCTGTAGGGTATCCAAACAGTTCATGGAAACACCCTCAAAAGAAAGGGCAACCGAGCTCTGGGCTATGGACCGTGACAGGCTGAGCAAAACGCTTGGACTACTCACAGGACACGTAGCACTCAGAGCGCACCTATACCGCCTCAAAATAGTAGAGCAGAAAACATGCCGTCTATGTGGGGAGGCTGATGAGGACAGCATACACATACTGTGTCACTGTCCAGCATTATCCTTGCGCAGGTATAATACCTGGGGAAGGACCTCATTAGATCCTAGCGATCTCAAAAACACAAGGGCATCCGAACTGCTGAGGTTTGCAAATACTTGCGACCTCTGGCAGAATCAATGACCTTGGGAAACAGCGGGAAACTACAGAGGATCATTAGATCTAGGTGGTCACGGGGCTGGAAAGACCGCCCGCATAAAAACAACAACAACAACAACAATTCCTACCTTAGAAATTACCTAGTTAGGAGATACCTAAGAACATGTTGGTGAAATCGGGCATTAGATAAGACAAATCGGTACATGTTGGTTTTATACAGGGTCTTCTAAAGGTTTTTATCGTTATTCGACCGTAAAGCAAAGCCCATTTAATAGAATTTTTAATTCTTCTTTGAAACTCCTAGACATTTTTTTCAATTAATGTGCTTGCAGGTATTCCAAATAAGTAAATAATGAGGACTGAAAAAGTTAAGCAAGGAAGGCTTTTCTCTATCATGTACAAAAATATACAAATTATTGTATTTTGGAAGTACCGGGTTATATTTAATTTCAAGTCTCGTTTTCGTTAACAATTAGTACAATTTTAAATTTGTTATCATGATAATTTGCTTGAGCCTTATCTCAAGCGATAATCTGTTGAGGTAATTAAGTTGTGCATTTAATTAAAATAATTCCATTCATTGCATTGCGTAACTAGCAAAAAATACATATTTGATATGATATTATATAAATAGGAATATCTACAAATTATGTCTAATACCACATTTCTTTCATTTTACTAGCACCCATTTCATTGTTAAGTTAGACATATTATTTTATCTACGCCTTTTCCGCAAATTGACTAACGATTGAATTATTGCTAGAAATCATCCAGGGGCCTGTTTCATATAACTGACAAGTCCTGTCGAACAAGTGTAGTCTAAATTTGACTGGAGTATTTGACAAGTTTGTGTTTTATAAAATTACACGAGTAGATTATTAGTGACAAGTGACTAGTCTAATATTACAAGTCTGTTTTACAATTGTAGATAGGTTTGCGTTTCATAAAAAATAAATTAAACAACATTCGTCATTTATTCCTATTATATATTAGTGTAAAGCGACAGGGATTTGATTTCCTGTCACTATCCGATTTTCTTGTAAATTTAAAAGAAAATGGTCTAGCGACAGTGAGGAGGAAGCTTAATGAGAGTTTAATAAAAGATTTCGAATGACTTCGATAAAAATTGAGGGAAATAATAAAATCTATTTTTCCCCGCCTAATGTATAGAACCAACGTATAGAAATTATGCATTGTCTTTGTTCGTTTCATTGCTCACATTTTATAGCTTTTGTAGAAGTGGGACTAAATTTTCCAAATAGAATGCCCTTTCTTTATTAAAATAATTGAATATTAAATAAATGTTGCTGCATTTTAAAAATAAGTTTTTTGTCAATAAACGAAATTGTCGTGGTTCACATCTAAAAATAGCTCCAACCAGAAAAAAAAACAATTTCAAAGTAAAAGTTTCCCAATATCGAAAAACGAAGGTTGTGCTATACTTATGCTCCTCAGTATAGTAAGTACTATTTTTTTCTTTTTAGCTTAAGTCTGACGTTTAATTAATATTACAGTTGTAAAAAAACAGATGCCAAAAATTTAATTCGACAAATGTCGAAATTTATTTTATGAAACGAAATTTTTAAATACTTGTCAACCAACACTTGTAACTTGTCGACTTGTAACTTGTCAACTTGTCAGTTATATGAAACAGGCCCCAGTAATTTCATTTTCAAATAGAAGGTCCTATAAAAGCCATAGATAAAAAGACCAGGGTCAAGACCACGGTTGTGCGACCCACACTACGCTATACGGTTTCGGTCCTCTAATAATCCTCTGTACCATTCTGTCAAACCAATTCACCCATTTCGGACATTTCTCTTTGATGTGCTGGTAAATCTGTTGATCGCTATAACCCGGATACATCCTCCTGTAGTACATCACTTCATCATAAAAGTTGTGGTAAATGGTAATATTTGTACCTTAAAAAGATCAGAAAATTAATCAGATTCCACCAACAAATTGAATATAAGATCTATTCTACTAATATTTCCCATAGGGTGTCATAATAAAGCTCTACTAGTTTTCTAATAAATCCTAAAAAGTTTTATCATACTCTCGGTACGATTCTTTCTTAGAATCCTAAAAATCAGGTGTGTGAGTTGGCACCGCAACTTTAGTTCTCAGTAGTTCTGATTAGAGTTCTGGATTCCTTTTGGATAGTTTAGGAGTTCTTTTGTACAAAAAATAATAGTTCTGGTGTTTTAACACATTATTTTTTTTAAATAAAACATGCGGTGCTTACTTCAAACCTAAATTTACAATGGAATAGTTCTGATTAGTTTATTTGATGTATTTTGATGAGTTCTACAGTTCCTGAATATTAAAAAAAATAATAATAATAATAAATTTCATCAATAAACAAGTATAAACAGTTAATCAATTAGATATATTATCAGACAACCCATAACTTTTTAATTATTGAAAAATTCGCAAAATACCATTAAAGTTTCTTGTAGAACTTGTCGAATACTATTCAGAACTGTTATCAGAACTCCTGAGAACTCTCAAAAAATTTTCAAACTCGGACTTGTATTTTTTTTTGCTCGAAGTGATTTTTGAGAATATCTCAAAAACTATTGTTTTAATCGCAAAATACCATTAAAGTTTCTTGTAGAACTCGTCGAATACTATTCAGAACTGTTATCACAACTCTAATCAGAACTACTGAGAACTAAAGTTGCGGAGCCAACTTCACACACCTCTAAAAATCCGCCCTTTCATAAGAAAAATATTTTGATAAGCCACCATAAACAAATCGTGGCCTTTACCTATACAAGCCAACGTGACAAGTCCCACCTACCGGCTTCCATATTAATCCTGTACATATGCCTTTGAAACTCTTCCCCGTGCCCGTCCCAATCCCTATTATTTTGGGTGACAAACAGGAAAGCGTGTATCATTTCGTGCAGCAGAGTCTCCACCAGGTCCTTCCTCGGCCGGAGCTTCAGAAGGGGCTCGCTGAGGTAGATGGTGCACATGCCGCCTCTGCCCTGGTAGATGCACATCCCAGCGCTCGAGGTCATCCGCGTGTTCCACTCGACCGTGACAGAACCCAGTTGGTTCCAGAAGAACCGCTCGTTGAAGGCGGTGAAGAGGCTGTAGATGTCCGGGGTGGGGTCGGTGACCTCCAAGGAGGGGTGCGTGGGCCATGAGGTGGCTGTGGTTCCGGATGTGCTGGGGTACACATTCGGATGAGGCCTGGAAATAGATAGATTTCGAAGCGTTGTAGATGTTCGGATAATTGGTCTTGTACTAGGTAATTTAACCTTACAATTCTCTCATAATCTGATAAACTTACCTACCTGTTGTGCATCGGCAACGCTGCCATTTGGTCTCGTTCTTGTTCCTGCAGCAAACGGGCAATCGATGAATCGTTTGATAACCGTTCCTGTTGAACTTCGTGCTCCCTTTGGAAGGTTTCTTGTAGGGCTTTCGCGATTTCTTTGTCTCGACGCTCTTGTTCGTATTTGCGTTGTTGGTCTAAGGCCAATTGGTAGTTTATTTGAGACATTTTTGATCGGATTTCTTCGGCTAGAAATTAACACAAATAAGTACAAGTCTTTGATTGTACCGCAGGAATTATACCTTATAAATTGTACTTGTGTGGTTAGTACCTCAGGAAGTGTATGTCATGGGTACATTACAATTATTTTGAACTTTTCAGAGCACTTAATGGTACTGATGCTGATCCATTGCATATTAAACGATTAATCATTCAGTTGAGATATGAAATGTACCTGATCATTACCGTGACGCCTTGGACTTAGTCATGCTATTTGAACAATCACTAAAATTGTTTGAAAATTATGCAAATTAGTACCCATTAGTTTGTTGTTTTGAAGGAGGATGAATAATTGTTTTTAATTGTCAGTGTCATATGTCAATGTCGAACGTCATGTACTTTTATAATAAAAATTTAGAACTTTTACTAAACCAGTGTGCAGCCACCACAATAGGGTGTTTCACGAAAACCCAATTTTATATTTATAAATTAGACGGGGTAAATATCTACAGGGGAAAAAATTACACCTTATCAGACGTACGATGTATGCAGACAAGAACAAATGTTACTAAAGTTCGCATATGAAATTTGATCTCGATTTATTAAAAAAATACGAGTTGGGGAAGTACCACAGACTATACATACCTAAGGGAAGTACAAAAAATTTAATGATAAATAAAAATATACAAAAAACGATATGATGAAAATATTCCATTACTTTACAAATTGTTCTATTCATAAACTTTACAGTCATATCGTTTTAAAAGAATAATAATAAGGTGCATTCGCGCACGAACAAATAAAACGAAATGGTGAAATAATTGTTAAATGCATTTTCTTTATCATCGACAATGTACTATAAATGACCCTTCGAAGGTATAAATATTTATTTGACCCACATAAGTCACCGTTTAATTTAGTTTGCATAAAACATGAATTATTGCACAATAAATTTGCACCACCTTCTTCATCAACTTGGTAACATATTTAGGAAAAGCAAGAAAATTAAATGATCGCTAATTTAATCATAATTTTTTTGTATCAAATAGTTCTAACTACATATCGACCCTTTAATTTAGTAGCAATTTAAAATAAATGTGTCAGATAATATTTCTGATAAAAAAATTTACATTTTATGCGAGCGTATATATAAACGATGCACCGATGCACTTTCTGCAGGGTGTCAAACAACTATTTATTTTTACCTAACTGCCTTAATTGTTGACTTTGGTTCCAAATATGTTAGAAATTTTATTTGTCGCTTGTATTATCGTTTTCGGTCTCACACAGGAAGACTTAATCAGGTTTGTATAATATGAGCTAAATTTTAATCAAACATTTGGCGGTCTTCTAATCGAGTGGTTCAGTTTGCGAATTTGGGGTTTCTCCTATTTTTTATCGACTTCCTAAGTGAGTAATTATACGAGATAAATTGGGGTAAAATTGATAGCTGTTTCTTATTTCGGGTAGTAACAATGGTAAACTTAGCATATTTAGTGGATCTTTCGTTTATTTAAACATGCATTTTTATATTTGGCTTGGATAGTTTTGTATAAACGTTGCAATTCGCATATACTGTGTTTAATAAATACTCTCGTGAAATATTCAGGAGAATATTTTTTAAATAAAATCATTTTTTATTGGAAATTTATTTCAAAATATTTCGCTGCGCGGGCTTGACTATTTCACTATCTTGTATTTCCCTCTTTTGACTAATACGAATTTTAAGGCAATACAGGGTGTTTCACAACTTATCCGACAAATTTTAACCACATATGCACTGTTACGAGAGAAGTTAATTTCCAAAAAAAATGTAATAAAAGTCTTACAGAAATCGAGATAATAAAATAATAGTTTAACAGTTCAATTACTTATACAAGATGTTCAAAATTGTTCCCATTTACTGCAATGCAAGCTTGGGTGCTTGTTTTTTTTGTTTTAACCATTGTTTTGGTGCAACATTTGCTACAGTAAAGTATTAAGGCAAAATTATGAACGCAAAATGCAGTATTTATTTTTCAATTTTTTATTGAAACTCGGGTTTATAATTTTATTTCTGTAGGACTTTTATTACATTTTTTTTGAGAAATCAACTTCTCTCTCTTTGAGAAATCTCAAAAAAAATGTAATAAAAGTCCTACAGAAATAAAATTATAAACACGAGTTTCAATAAAAAATTGTAAAATAAATACTGCATTTTGCGTTCATAATTTTGCCTTAATACTTTACTGTAGCAAATGTTGCACCAAAACAATGGTTTAAAACAAAAAAAACAAGCACCCAAGCTTGCATTGCAATAAATGGGAACAATTTTGAACATCTTGTATAAGTAATTGAACTGTTAAACTATTATTTTATTATCTCGATTTCTGTAAGACTTTTATTACTTTTTTTTTTGGGAAATTAACTTCTCTCGTAACAGTGCATATGTGGTTAAAATTTGTCGGATAAGTTGTGAAACACCCTGTATATTCTTTCCTAAAATTCATTGTAAACATAAATTAAATTTTTCTATTAAATTAATTTCCTAATCTAAATAGTGTTTAACATAATATAGTCGACAATCGGGTCAGTATAGAAAAAATAAATTTTGCAAATATCCTCTAGCGCATTGGGACAAGCGTTACCTAATTTCGAATGCATCGTGTCATATTTTACTACAATTCTCTTGCCAAGAATCCGAACGTAGCTAAAAAAGCAAACTCGTCCGAACCTAAAAATACAAACAGATCGAAATTATAATAAATTAGCCACTAGAAGATCGATAAAAAATCGGCGGACGACCCCATCAAGTCGCAAATAACCCAGTGCAAAATCCGGTCGTAAGAAATCCGCGTGAAAAACAACCCCAAATCCGCTCAATTAAACTTTAAGTTTAATTTAAGTTAATTTAAGTTTAAACATTAAGTTTTCCGATAATAATTAAGAAACAAAATGCTCGGCGCGACGTTTTTAACGCAATTGTGGCTATGCCGGTCGATTTTGAGTTACCCCCTCACCATATGCATTGTTTTGTATTGCAGCAACAACAAGGACTTGCACCGTCTGAGACCCCCGTCGGCGTCGGGACGCCCCCCGGCCGAAATCCTCGTCTACTGGAACGTCCCGACGTTCCAATGCGACGCCCACCAGCTGAACTTCTCCGGCTTGGTCGAGAAATTCGGGATCGTCCAGAACCAGAACGGGCGGTTCTGGGGCCGAATGGTGAACATCCTGTACGATCCAGGCCGGTTCCCGGCGCTCCTGCGAAACGGCAGCAGGAACGGCGGCGTGCCGCAGGAGGGCGACCTCGCCGAGCACTTGAAGGCCTTCCAGGAGTCGTTGGACGATGTTGTGCCGGATGAATCGTTTGCAGGTAAACTCCGATGGGTTGTTCTTGTACAGGGTGGTGCTCTAAGAACGGCTCTCGGGCATATCTCGCAAAGTAATTGTGGTAGAGACTTGCGGTAAAAAATCTTAGGACTAAATCGGCCAAAGGAAAATGGTGGAAATAATTTTTAGGTCTCTAAAATGGCCGCTAGGGGGAGTATCCGCCATTTTGATTTTTAAAAGTCATTTTTTTTTAAATTGTCCTAAATAAAGGTATCAAAAATGTGTTTTATTTTGATAGTTAAGATAATTTCGGATATTTTTTGTCGCATATTTTTGACTCTATCTTTTAAAATAAAGTGGTGGGGGTGGTTTGAATATTTTGACAAATAAATGTTAATAACTTTTAAACGGCTGAACCGATTTTCAAAAAAATGAAATTTTTGAAAAGGGCTTTCTTTGGTCTAAAATTTACACTATATAAGATATTATTTTAATTGCTTGCTTGGCCGCAAGATGGCGTTTTTCGACATAACTTCAAAATACACCGATTTTCTCAAAAAATTTAAACGCAACGATATAACTGTTTCCTTGGAGAAAAATAGTCAAATCGTTGCCAAATAAGCCCGTGAAAACCGCATCTCGATATCCCCTTCCTAACCTAAAATATATCTAAAAAAAGAAAAAAATCAAGAAAATGGGTAATTTTTGGTGCACTACCAATATAAAAGCCTCTATTTAGCGTTGTTCCTTTCACAAAAATAATCAATTTATTAATAATCTTCAAGTATGATATTTAGAAACACCAAGCTAAGTAATATTCATTCAATATTTATTGGATTTCCCTTCTATACGCACTAGTTGAGAACAAAAGAAATAAGCATGCCGTGGAAAATAAAAAAAACCAAAAAACTGGACGAAGTAGGTCCAGAATTATTAAGGACATTGGTATCAACGTGTAGTGTGTTATAGTAGGTGACAATTGTTGTTTCCTGGTTTATTAATGGGCGACTCAACGGACAAACATATCTAAATTTTCTTCGTAACGAATTTCCTGGGTTATTGGAAGATGTTCGTCTGGAAACTCCAAGAAATATGTATTTCCAACCCGATGGATGCCCAGCTCATTTTTCTAGACTAGTTCGTTAGATTTTTTGTTTTTTTTTATTTTCCACGACATGGTTATTTCTTTTGTTCTCAACTAGTGCGAATAGAAGGGAAATCCAATAATTATTGAATGAATATTACTTAGCTTGGTGTTTCTAAATATCATACTTGAAGATTATTAATAAATTGAGGCTAAATAGAGGCTAAATAGAGGCTTTTATATTGGTAGTGCACCAAAAATTACCCATTTTCTTGAGTTTTTTTTCTTTTTTTTAGATATATTTTAGGTTAGGAAGGGGATATCGAGATGCGGTTTTCACAGGCTTGTTTGGCAATGATTTGACTATTTTTCTCCAAAGAAAAAGTTATATCGTTGCATTTAAATTTTTTGAGAAAGTCGGTGTTTTTTGAAGTAATGTCGAAAAACGCCATCTTGCGGCCAAGCAAACAATTAAAATAATATATTATATAGTGTAAATTATAGACCAAAGAAAGCCCTTTTCAACAATTTCATTTTTTTGAAAATCGGTTAAGCCGTTTAAAAGTTATTAACATTTATTTGTCAAAATATTCAAACCACCCCCACCACTTTATTTTAAAAGATAAAGTCAAAAATATATAACAAAAAATAATCGAAAATATCTTAACTATCAAAATAAAACACATTTTTGATACCTTTATTTAGAAAAATTTTGGAAAAAATGACTTTTAAAAATCAAAATGGCGGATACTCCCCCTAGCGGCCATTTTAGAGAGCTTAAAATTTTTATTTTTTACAGCAAGTCTCTACGACAATTACTTTGCGAGATATGGCCGAGAGCCATCCTTATTTGGCCACCCTGTACAAAGTTCGCATGCAAATGTATAGTGGGTGTTTATAGGAATTGGTATAATCGACTTCGAAAGTTGGAGGCCGGTGTTCCGGCAGAACTTCGGGTCGTTGACGAACTACCGGAGGGCTTCGGTGGCCCTGGAAAGGGAGAAACATCCCGGCTGGTCGGAGAAGGAGCTAGAGCATGAGGCTGCTCGAAGGTTCGAAGGCGGCGCCAGGAAATTCATGGAGAACACGCTGGTGGCGGCCAAAAGGGCGAGACCTCGGGCGTTTTGGGGCTACTACGCTTATCCATATTGCTTCAACATGTCGCCCAACAGCATGAGAGAGGCCTGCCCGAAGGAGGTCACAGCTGAAAACGATAGGTACATCCAGTGTTGTTAAGTAATTAATTACAAGTAATTGAAAAAGTAATTGAATTACTTTTATTGTAATTGAGGCGGTAATTAATTACAAGCTCCTCAATTGTAATTCATTTGTAATTCAGTTACTCCTTTCGTTACAATTACAAATACATTTTACAATTACATTTCAATTACATTGGACACAAAAGTACTTATTTAATATTTTCAATACGTGGAAAGTTTAATTCCGATTGCAAATCCCTAAATAATTATTTAAAACTGACACCAAAGCAAAGTTATTGTGATTGTAATTGTAATTGTAACTTTAATTGTAATTGTAATTACATTCGCAAATTTTGTAATTGTAATTGCAATTAATTACAATTTGCCAAATGTAATTGTAATTGTAATTAATTACATATTATAAAGTAATTTTAACATCACTGGGTACATCTTTCTTTTGTGTAGCTGATTTAATGATTTTGTATGGTCTTTTTTAATTTTAGAACGAAATGGTTGTTCAAATTGGTGGATAATTTTCACCCGTCTTTGTACTTGCAGAAATTGCGAATGAACGCGAGCCAAAAGGTGCAGATGATTGAAGGGCGCATTAACGAGGCGCACCGGATTTCGGAAAAATTTAATATTCGACCAAGAATCGTTCCCTATTATTGGTTCAAGTACCAGGATAAACATCAGCAATTCGTAACCAAGGTACCCATATACACTGTGCTTCATTCCAGATCGCAACATATAGGTTATACAGGTTGCTCCATTTTTGATCGCAGTATAGGTTATATAGGCCATGGGTGCGATAAAGACAACTTCCATTAGACACTTACAAAGGAAAAAGGAAAGAGTGACATTTGTGTCATTGCAACTTTTCACTCTGACAACTGTTATTTTATTAATTTTTCTTTGTTCCACTCATAGAAATGACCATGGGCCTGTTTCATATAACTGACAAGTCCTGTCGGACAAGTGTAGTCTAGTTTTGACTAGAGTATTTGACAAGCTTGTGTTTCATAAAATTACACGAGTAGATTATTAGTGACAAGTGACTAGCCTAATATTATAAGTCTGTTTTACAATTGTAGATAGGTTTGCGTTTCATAAAAAATAAATTCAAAAACACTTGTCATTTATTCCTATCATATATTAGTGTAAAGCGACAGGGACTTGATTTCCTGTCACCATCCGATTTTCTTGTAAATTTAAAAGAAAATGTGGTCTAGGGACAGTGAGGAGGAAGCTTAATGAGAGTTTATTAAACGATTTCGAATGAATTCGATAAAAATGGAGGAAATAATAAAATCTATTTGTCCCCGCCTAATGTATAGAACCAATTTATAGAAATTATGCATTGTCTTTGTTCGTTTCAATGCTCATTTTATAGCTTTTGTAGAAGTGGGACTAAATTTTCCAAATAGAATGCCCGTTCTTTATTAAAATAATTGAATATTAAAAAAATGTTGCTGCATTTTAAAAATAAGTTTTTTTGTCAATAAACGAAATTGTCGTGGTTCACATCTAAAAATAGCTCCAACCAGAAAAAAAAAACAATTTCAAAGTAAAAGTTTCCCAATATCAAAAAACGAAGGGGGTGATATACTTATGCTTCCCAGTATAGTAAGTACTATTTTTTTCTTTTTGGCTTAAGTCTGACGTTTAATTAATATTACAGTTGTAGAAAAACGGATGCCAAAAATTTAATTCGACAAGTGTCGAAATTTATTTTATGAAACGAAATTTTTAAATACTTGTCAACCAACACTTGTAACTTGTCGACTTGTAACTTGTCAACTTGTCAGTTATATGAAACAGGTCCCATGTTGCAATCGGAAATGGAGCAAACGATATAGGCTATAAGTGCGATAAAGACAACTTCCATTAGACACTTATAAATGAAAAAGAAAAGAGTGACATTTGTGTCATTGCAACTTTTCACTCTGACAACTGTTATTTTATTAATCTTTCTTTGTTCAACTCATAGAAACGACTATGTTGCGGTCTGAATTGAAGCAACCGATATAAAACTCCATATACCTACCAAGTTCCAATACAACATCCTTCTTCAGAAACTCAGAAAAATCTTACTATTTACAAATCTTTCCAACAGTATTTATTACTTATGGGATTCATTGTATACCTCACCAATTGTAGGTTGGCAGTTGGAACTTTTTAAAAGTTGGATAAGGGTAGGGTAAGATCGCAAGATTGTACATTAATCCCTGAATTATGTATCAAATTAAAATGCCCAAAGATGCAAAAGATGATCACTGTGGTACATACATACAGAGTGTTAATTAATTGATTGCCGGTATTTCAGAATGTGAATATTTGGGTGATTTTAAGAAGAAAAGTTACAATCAATATACAGTGTGTCCACGGATGGGGTTGCCTATAGGAGAAAAATTTTTATTATTCATTATACGACAAAAAGTCATTGTTTATAAAAATTTTTGCTTCTTTTAAAAATGAGAATAACACTGAAAAATCTTAGATTGGATCTACAGGGTGTTGTCAAATTAAGAAAACATGAAAATACCTCAAGAGGGAAGTACCATTATTTTTTATTTTTCAAAAAATTTTTTGAAAGAAAGTTGTTTATAATCTAAAACAAAGCCTGAATACTAATTTGCAAACTTAAATTCAAATTTTGTGTGTTCCTAGATAAAGTTGACCAGATAAGAAAAATGGTTATTTATAATTTTACGACGAAAAGACATTCTTTATAAAAAAATTAACTTGTCGAGAAAATGAAATTCACATATCAAAACATTAAATAAGACGTATAGGGTGTTAGTAAATTAAGAAACAGAAAAAAATGTCAAGAAAGAACGAAAGAATTTTTATTATCTTACATAAAGAAAGAATTTATTTATTATCTTACATTATTATTTACAAAAAATGCTTTTAATCTCTCTTTTAATGCTCTTTTTTTATAAAGAATTACTTTTTTTCGTAAAATTAATAATCATTTTCTCCCCTGGTCAACTCCATCCGTGGACACACAAAATTGGAATTTTAATTTAAAAATTTGTAATCAGGCTTTATTTTAGAATTTAAATAACTTTCTTTTATAAAAATTTTATGTAAAATAAAAAATAATGGTACTTCTCTCTTGAGGTATTTTCATGTTTTCTTAATTTGGCAACACCCTGTAGATCCAATCTAAGATTTTTCAGTGTTATTCTCATTTTTAAACGAAGCAAAAATGTTTATAAACAATGACTTTTTGTGGTAAAATGAATAATAAAAATTTTTCTCCTATAGGCAACCCCATCCGTGGACACACTGTATTTGCGCATTTAATGCAATTTTTGAACTGCCAAGCTACATTCGGTGAGGTACGGTTTACAATAGTATCTAATACAAAAAAGATTATTTTCCAGCAAGATCTCTTCGAGTCTTTCATTGCGTTAGCAAGTTTTAAAATCGACGGTTTGGTAATTTGGGGCAGCAGTAACGATGTGAATACAAGGAAAAAATGTCATGAGCTCTACCACTACATCGATAACGTGTTGGGACCTTTAATAAAGCATATCTTTTAATACCAATGAAAATCTTTAAATATCAATAATTCAACATCTTCATGGGGAACTGGTGATGATTTCACGAGGGGTTATTTCCTTTAGTTGTATGGAAAATACGATGGAACATTTTGGTACCAGTGTTAAATACATATCGTAGAAATTTTTTAAATTCCATTGTGTAGGGAAGTTGTAGATTATTTGTTTTTTTTTGCTAAATAAATATACTATTTATTTTGATATAAAATACGTTGTTTTAAACTTATACTTTCTAAATAATGATTCTAAATAATTAGTATATTTATACTCCGCTCGTCATCAGGAGATGACCTAAGAGAACCTCATTTTGTATACAAAACTCCCACGAAGAATTCAATTCAACGAAAAAATAAAAAAATTCAAAAAAGTTTTACGACTGTGTAATATCAATTAATATCAATTATTAATATTTTAACCATATTTTATCACTGTCTCCTGATCGCGAACGGAGTATAGGTATAATGTAATCAGTGTTGTTAAGTAATTAATTACAAGTAATTAAAAAAGTAATTGAATTACTTTTATTGTAATTGAGGCGGTAATTAATTACAAGCTCCTCAATTGTAATTCATTTGTAATTCAATTACTCCTTTCGTTACAATTACAATTACATTTTACAATGACATTTTACAATTACATTTCAATTACATTGGACACAAAAGTACTTATTTAATATTTTCAATACGTGGAAAGTTTAATTCCGATTGCAAATCCCTAAATAATTATTTAAAACTGACATCAACGCAAAGTAATTGTGATTGTAATTGTAATTGTAACTTTAATTGTAATTGTAATTACATTCGCAAATTTTGCAATGGTAATTGTAATTAATTACAAATTGCCAAAAGTAATTGTAATTGTAATTAATTACATATTATAAAGTAATTTTAACATCACTGAATGTATAATGTATACGAGTGTAATTTTAGGACAATGTGGCGTCTAGGATTTATCCAGATTTACACATATTTACAGTTAAGATTAGTTTGGACGGAAACAGTCAAATTATGCGTAAATCAGTCTACAAAAACATGGCAAACGTGTAAACCACATCCATTCCTTCGTTGAAGTCTTAAGTTAAAAATTGGAGAAAATGCAATGGAACTGGACGCAGGTCAACTGGGCAAAAATTTTATTACCTGATAATAATTATCGAAATCGACCTGTCTCATGATATAGGTCAACTGGGCAATTTCCAATATTTTTACCTGCCCCTTAATCGCTTTTCTCGTTTCGACAATTCGATAATCTCTTTAATGTACATCCAATTTTTGCATACCTACCCCTAGTAGAGCGTAGGTATTTCCCAATTATAATTGCGTTTTAATATAAAATTAGAAGGGGTTCTTTGATCATACTAGTTTACTATGCTGTCTCGGTAGATCAATTTTGTTTCGAGTTTCTTCCTGAATTTTACGTTTGAAAATATACATCTATCTGTACCTAAGTACCTACCTGTATGTAGTTACGTTATTTTTCAAAATGACAAATATTAATGCGATTATTATATTATTATCGAAGATATCTAAAGAATTCAAATTTGAACATAGGTAAATTAAATGTTTAAAATGATTCTGATTATTTAATCTATACAGGGTGTTTCATTGGGAAAGGGCAATATTTTAACCCTATATAGAGGTCACCCAGGGGCTTACAAAAAACCCATATACTATGAGTCTTGCGTCTATTATAACCGAGTTACAGGGTGTTTTTTGAATTTGGCCCATTTATTTCGGCACTTATAACTTTTGAATCACTCAGTATATTTTTTTGATATTTGGCATAGATATTCTATACCTTTAGGACAATTTATTGCAAAATTAAAAAAATTATAAAATCCAGGCCCGGATTTAGAAAAATTAATAAAATTTGACCGACCCTTAAACAACACCCTATACATCATATTTTTAAAAATTGAATTTCAAATTCAGAAAGAGCATAAAAAACTGAATGTATTCATCACCTTTTTATTATCCCGCATGCCGTTTTTCTACCAAAATTTAAACGTTAAAATGTACATTATGAGATTTTTGGTCCATGTAAATTGTAATTGAAGGGATTTTAATTATTTTTTCTTTAATAAAACCAGATTTACCTAACACTTTCATGGAAATTCCTGAAATAGACCTATTGAACTTGAATTAACATTCAAACAAACCAATAAAAATTACAATTACAGATCCGCACTTAATAAAATTAAAATGATTTCATTTCATTTAATAATTAATCATTGATTATTCAATTTTTACATTTCTACATGAGAAAATTCAAAACTTAACTAAGCAATTTACTAGATTTTTAAAAAAAGATACTAGAATAAGTATTCTTTTCCAAATATCAAAAAAATATACTGAGTGATTCAAAAGTTATAGGTGCCGAAAAAAATGGGCCAAATTCAAAAAACACCCTGTAACTCGGTTATAATGGGCGCAAGACTCATGGTATATGGGTTTTTTGTAATCCCCCGGGTGACCTCTATATATGGTTAAAATATTGCCCTTTCCCAATGAAACACCCTGTATAAGTATTCTTAGGAAGGTAGGTATTCCCTTTGCCCAGTTGACCCTACCCAAAAAGGGGCCAGGAAAGAATCTTTGCCCAGTTGACCTGCCGTATTATAAAATAATTGACCATTTTGCCCAGTAGACCTACGACGATGGAACTCTCTCTTCCATCTCTTCCATCATTTCTCCACATCCACGCAACCATCCGGCTCGTCGGATCGATCCGAGCAGTGGAACACACCGTCGCAAACCTCCGTTTTATCGATGCAAACACCGTCGTCGCATGCGAATTGATCGATTCTACAATTTATCGTCGTACTCTGCGAGCAATTCCTCTCGTCGCTGCCGTCCCAACAATCGACGATCCTGTCGCAGCGCTTCGACAGCTCCAAGCAGGACAACTTCCTGCCGCATCGGAAGTGGGAACTCAGATCGCAATCTGGAAACACACGAATTCGTTGCAAAATCGTCGGTGGGATTCGAAGAGAGGGAATAGATGAGTGTAGAAGTAGTACCGATTGTATACAATGCAAATTTGCATGCAATTGGTGCAACAAAGACGTTCCTGCGATACTGGTAAGGTCAAATGAGTACTGACTTTTATTGAAATTATTCGAACAAAAAAAAGTTGAAAAATATATTAATAATTTTAGAAGGATTTATACAGTGTGTTCACGGATGGGGTTGCCTATAGGAGAAAAATTTTTATTATTCATTTTACGACAAAAAGTCATTGTTTATAAAAATTTTGCTTCTTTTAAAAATGAGAATAACACTGAAAAATCTTAGATTGGATCTACAGGGTGTTGTCAATTTAAGAAAACATGAAAATACCTCAAGAGAGAAGTACCATTATTTTTTATTTTGCACAAAATTTTTATAAAAGAAAGTTGTTGTAAATCGCAGTTGTTGACACTTCGAGCTGTCAAAACTTATAAAGTTATTTTTTTACATTTCGAGAAAATGGAGAAATACATTAACCGAAGATACGCGAGGCATGATGTTAACAACAAAATCATCGCTGATTTAAGTATATTTTCATATTTTGTATCTGTTTTTAGTTTGAAAAACCTTTTATAAATTCGTACGCAAAAAAGCCGCGGTCCTTTACAACATCGCCTCCTAGCGGCCGCTTTAGGAACCCTGTTTTATCCTCAACAAACGGGACACTTTTGAGGTTATATCCTAATAATGACTCGCTTGTCAGCACGGAAAGGGGGCGCAGCGCCCCCTTTCAACCCCCCTTTCTACAACAGTTTGCTAGCCGGAGCCTCGCTCGCTGCGCTCGCTCGGTCGTGATCATCCTGTACATCAAATTTTCATTTTTTCTTAACGTAAAAACACCCTGTACATCAAATGTCCCGTCGACGTCTCCTTAGAAACGTCAGTGACATTTTCAGTCATTGTGAGGTTTGTTCTTTGCCGCTGTCATTAGTGTACACTTTTCGATATTAAATTAATCATTTCTCGGTTATTCGTCAATAAAACATGGAGAAAACTTAAGGGTTAGTAAATTATTGTATATTCTTTCATATTCAACCGTTAAGAGCGGCTAAAAGGTACCAATTAAGAAAAAAAGTTACACTAAGGTAAAGTTCCATTCAAACTAAACGAACACAAATCGTCCGTCAAATAATTTTTTGGAAAATGTGTCAAAAATTTCAACTTTATATCGATATTGTGAACGAAAACGAATTTAGCCGGAGAAAAGAGGTCGATTTTCGAAAAGAGCGAATCCGTTTACGTCCCCCCAACTACCTCTCTATGCCGCAGAAATTATTTTTTAATTTCTGTCGCCAATCGGTCTATATCCCCTGGGGTTTTATATACAGGGTGTTTCACAACTTATCCGACAAATTTTAACCACATATGCACTGTTACGAGAGAAGTTAATTTCTCAAAAAAAAAGTAATAAAAGTCTTACAGAAATCGAGATAATAAAATAATAGTTTAACAGTTCAATTACTTATACAAGATGTTCAAAATTATTCCTATTTATTGCAATGCAAGCTTGGGTGCTTGTTTTTTTTTGTTTTAACCATTGTTTTGGTGCTACATTTGCTACAGTAAAGTATTAAGGCAAAATTATGAACGCAAAATGCAGTATTTATTTTTCAATTTTTTATTGAAACTCGGGTTTACAATTTTATCTTTGTAGGACTTTTATTACATTTTTTTTGAGAAATCAACTTCTCTCTCTTTGAGAAATCTTAAAAAAATGTAATAAAAGTACTACAGAAATAAAATTATAAACCCGAGTTTCAATAAAAAATTGAAATATAAATACTGCATTTTGCGTTCATAATTTTGCCTTAATACTTTATTGTAGCAAATGTTGCACCAAAACAATGGTTAAAACAAAAAAACAAGCACCCAAGCTTGCATTTCAGTAAATGGGAACAATTTTGTACATCTTGTATAAGTAATTGAACTGTTAAACTATTATTTTATTATCTCGATTTCTGTAAGACTTTTATTACATTTTTTTGGGAAATTAACTTCTCTCGTAACAGTGCATATGTGGTTAAAATTTGTCGGATAAGTTGTGAAACACCCTGTATATAGTGACTTCGCGATTAAAGTTTTTTGCAGGAACGTCCTTTTACAAAAACGAACAATTTAATTACCGCAATTCGCCTCGTCGGATTCGTTGGAACAGTCGACGACGCCGTCGCACCGACGCTCGGCGCCGACGCACATGTTCTGACAGTTGAACTGGCCGTCGTCGCAGGCGAGCAGATCGCGCCTCGGCAGGCATCGGACCACGTCGTGGCCCAGCTTGTGACAGTACTCGGTGTTGATGAGGCAGAGACCGCCGCAACCGGTGGGATCCGAAGGATCGGCGGCGGCGACGCAGGAAGGCTTCGCGCCGCCCTCGTCGGTTTTCATGCAAACGTAGCCGGCGGAGCAGTCCGAGCAGTACCGCTTTCTCTCGATGTTGGTCTGCAATAGTATAGATAATTGTATACAGGTTGCTCTATTTTTAAGTAGTATAAAATAGAGATAGTATAAGTAGATTTTTTGTTATTTTAATCTTGAAAAATGAATCGTCCAAAAATTTATCGACCGAAGAAGCAGTAAGAGTCTTAACTTTGGTGGATGAAGGCTATTCAATTAATGTTCCATCCATTCCAATCCATTAATTTTATTGTTTTTGATTTATGTTCTTTCCTTGTTTTACTCGTTTCCAAAAAAATGTGTTTAATAAACTCTTAATTTTACTTTATGAAATAAAGTAATTCGTTAATTTTGTTTTCATTCATCAAAGCGAGCAGGAATTATTTTGTTATACAGATAACAAATAATGTATTCGATATTGACACATCGCTGGAAATGTCAAAAATGGTCCATAGCCTACTTAAAAACATTTAACAATTAATGTTTTGAATAATACAGTCTATTAAAACATGTTACGCTATAAAACGGCGTATCTCCTTTAATAACAGAGATAATGAAGTAAACCAAAAAAGAAAATGTTGACAAAAGATGGTTCTACCGTCTAATGTCAACTGCTATATGTCCTGTTTGCTTGTATACTCCACAGAGTGATACGAATTTTCGGAAAAAAACATTACATTTTTATTACACCCGGTATAATCGAGAAGGAACATTTTATCATAAACAGCGAAAATGATGACATTGTCAAGGAACCAACCTATAATACAAAAAAAAAATCATCCAAATCGGATCATAAATTCAAACAAAAAATACAATAAAAAATGTGGTAAATTTATGATGTTGCGTTAATTTTGTCCAGGAGTGTACTTTGATGTGCTTTATTGATTTTCTCCCAACATATAACATTTTTCAGTAAATTAATAAGCATCAGGGAAAAGAAGAACCCTCCGTTGGACGTGAAAAAAATCCTATCGGAGTGCAACAGCATCGTACTCACCGTACCTTGGCTGGTGAACTATCTATCAATGTTGGATTATGTAACATTACGGTTACCCTACTACCTTTCAGTGTACAAAATGTTGTATCGAATATACCATTCCTACGGCGAATGGTCCACTACTGTCGATTACGATGCAGCTTTGGTGAGATTCTGCTTGGGATGGTTGTTCGAGTTGCCTCATTTCCCTAACACTGATTACGGCCTGTTTCGTGATAAGTTTGCGGTGGATCGTAAAGGATCTTTCGGGGCGAAAAAACCCTCTGTAGTGGACGAGTGTATTTTGTTCACTTGTTGCCCCCATTTAGAGGATATGAAAAAGATGTTAGTCAGCAATAGAGGGGTTACCGTGAAGCACATAACTCCAGTAACGGCCGTGGAATCGTCCGAGATGATATCGAAGAAACGCTGCGAGGTATCAACTCCCTTGATTATTATGAAACTTTATGTGTGATGTTTGTGTTTGTATTTCTAGCAACAACTAGAAGAAGCTTTCTTCAACAATCAACCGGAATCGGTGAAGAAAACTGTCGAATTCGTGTCCGAAAGAGTGTCTTCGACTTGCATCAAACACATTTGTAATACCATCGTACCATCTTGCAAAAAAACAGCTTTCGACGAATTTAGAGACTTCGTCAACAGTCAACTAACTAATGGTACATCAATGGAAGTCGTCAAAATAAAAACTCGACATTTAGCGCACGAAAAACTCGCTGCGCTACAATCGAAATGCAAGGAAGAACTATCGATAATGCTGGGCGATCGAATACCAAAATCGTTCGACAGTCTTCTACCGGTCGATTCCCTGCCGCAAGTGAAATTAACTTGTGTATCGATAACAACCAAAAATTGCAAAGAAAGGATACACAAGTGGACGAACGATCAATTAACCATCAATATCTTCTCGAAAGACATCGATAAATGTTTCGACGTTATTAAAAGAAAACCGGCGGACGAGAAACCTGTGTTTGTCCTACCGCCGTCTGGTAAGAGGCCACAGCACGACGATAGCCTCTCCAGCGGATTTCGAATAGCTGATAAAATTAGAGTAAGCTCCACGAATATACATAGTTCTACTTGATTAATGGTTACAATTCAACGTTAGATAAATTTGTACTTAGTCTAATAAACAGACGCGTTTCAGACACTATCAGTGGATGTTTTAGAGCGTAAGGACTACATCGATGGTAATCTATTGGACGTGTTACTGAAGGATGTTAAGGAATCTTTGGAGCAACGTTGCGATCTCAACGATTTCATCGTTTTCAATATCTCCAATTTGATGTTCGAACTCGCATTGTTGTTGAGTAAGTCGGAAATAAGTTTTAAGTAGTAAGTTAATGACACTTTATACGGTTATTGTTTTGCTAAAAAACTTCTTCCTCGTCCTCTTTTATATGCAATTTTGACCTGAAAACTATTGCACTCCTTTGATTTACAAGACAAGTATTGTCCAAATAGGATTGAGTGGTTGTAATTCGTGTCATACATGCAGAGAAACTTCAATTTTACACAATAAAACTGTTTTAAAACAAATCCTTTTTTTTGCATTTCAGTTGCCTTCAGGCCGGATTTGATGGATAGAAAAACCCAAGCAAAGTTGATAGACATTTGGCGGAGACATTGCCGCTCGACGGAGGATTTGTTTAAGGATTTGCTGTGTCCCAGGAACGTCGCCCTATTGGGCCAATCGCCCAATTCGGGCGACTGTTGGCGCAATTACGCCCGCTTCGTGGCGTTTCTGATCGAAGAGAAAGTCTTATCGTGCGACAGCTTCGAACGACAGTGCACTGGTTTTTTTCGAAGGGATTACGAACGAGTGAGTTTTGTAATAAGACAGCTGGATAGATAGAGTGGATGAGCATAAAAGTACTCATTATTGGAATTCGAATTCTCGTTCCTTTACTATCGGTGTAAGTGGAGGTTTGTGCTAGAAAAGAAGCGAGAATTCAAGCTGAGCGATAGGTTCGTCGCCTATCATATATACTAATTATTAAATGGTTGTTTGTTGTTTTTAGAGTATCATAAATGGAGTTGGCAGCTTCATGAACCAGTTTGTGGAATTTTACAAAACGAACGGCGGAGATTGCGGTAAATTCACCATGTTGGTTGAATTCCTTTCGGAATTTTGTATGGATTTGTAGATAAGATGAACAAATATATTGTTTTTTATGAAATATTGCAGTTTTGAAGTTTACCTTTCATAATTTGTATACAATGAAGAGTTTTTCACCGCAGGTTCAAATACTTTTGACCTTGCTGGATGTGAATATTTGTATGATTTTAATATAAGAATAAGAAAATTACGATAGAAAAGTTTTTTTTTCTAAAACTGTAACACCCTGTAACTCGTAGATTAAGAGGTTTAGGACATACAGGTTGCTCCATTTTTGATCGCAACATAGGTTATATAGGCCATGGGTGCGATAAAGACAACTTCCATTACACACTTACAAAGGAAAAAGAAAGAGTGACATTTGTGTCATTGCAACTTTTCACTCTGACAACTGTTATTTTATTAATCTTTCTTTGTTCCACTCATAGAAATGAGCATGTTGCAATCGAAAATGGAGCCAACGATATGTTTGAGGGAATGAAGAAAGCAAAGCAAATATGCAGATCAGTAGAGCAACGTGTAGATCAATATCTGTAGATCAATAGAGGACAATATGTAGATCAGAAGAGCAATGTGTAGATTAATAGAGGGCAATAAGTAGATCAATATCTGCAGATCAATAGAGGACAATATGTATATTAGAAGAGCAATCTGTACATTAATAGAGGGCAATAAGTAGATCAATATCTGCAGATCAATAGAGGACAATATGTAGATCAGAAGAGCAATGTGTAGATTAATAGAGGGCAATAAGTAGATCAATATCTGCAGATCAATAGAGGACAATATGTAGATCAGAAGAGCAATCTGTACATTAATAGAGGGCAATAAGTAGATCAATATCTGCAGATCAATAGAGGACAATATGTAGATCAGAAGAGCAATGTGTAGATTAATAGAGGGCAATAAGTAGATCAATATCTGCAGATCAATAGAGAACAATATGTAGATCAGAAGAGCAATCTGTACATTAATAGAGGGCAATAAGTAGATCAATATCTGCAGATCAATAGAGGACAATATGTAGATCAGAAGAGCAATGTGTAGATTAATAGAGGGCAATAAGTAGATCAATATCTGCATATCAATAGAGGACAATATGTAGATCAGAAGAGCAATGTGTAGATTAATAGAGGGCAATAAGTAGATCAATATCTGCAGATCAATAGAGGACAATATGTAGATCAGAAGAGCAATCTGTACATTAATATAGGGCAATAAGTAGATCAATATCTGCAGATCAATATTTGCAGATCAATAGAGGATAATATGTATAGATCAGAAGAGCAATGTGATGTGTAGATTAATAGAGGGCAATAAGTAGAACAATATAAAACAAAATATGTAGAACAATGATCCACGAAGGGAACCCAATGCAATTAATTATGTAATTGAATAAGTCGAAATAAAATCGAGTAATCTACACGGATTTAAGTCTGGCGATGGAGCTGGTCATTTAAATGGATCGTTATTAGCAATCCACCTATCCTAGGATAACTCTGTTAATAGAATTTCCAAGGGAATCTAGTGAGTAGATTCGAGTTAGTACTTACATTTTCTGTTGTGTTGAAAGTGTCGTTGAAACTTTGAAAATCCGTTGATAAATCGGTGGTGTTTTCGGGAAGAGTTGTTAGGGGAGTTTCGAATACTTTGGGAGGACGAGCGCGCGTTTGCATGTCCTTCGGATAGATGTAATTCTTGGTGTAGTTTGCTCTGTTGCTGTTGAAGTTGAAGATCGTGTTATCTGTTGAAAATGTAAAAAAAAACAAAATTAGATGAAAGTTAATAAGCTGTAGACGTCAAATTTTCACCAAGTATAGCCTGATGTCTTGTCTTGGGGTCTACCAAATAGCATTATCCTTGCTCAACTGGAAGTGATCCAAACACCCTTTTGAATGAGACGATGTTCAAAATTAGGAAAAGAGAAAAAAATCAGTCTTACATTAAGGGGTGGTTTGACACATTTCAGTTGAGTAGGTCTAATGCTACTTGGTGGACCTCAAGACAAGACATGAGGCGATATCTGGTTAAAATTTCACCTCTCTAGTTTGACTACTGCCAATTTTATAAGCCTTTAAAAATATGAGTTGCTAATTTTGACGAACAGTGTATTAATAAGTATAGCTTTTTCAATGTCACATATATACAGTGTGACTTAAGTTCGCACCATATGGAAAACTTTTTTATTATTAATTTTACGAAAAAAAGTTATTCTACATAAAAAGTTCTGCATGTTTTAAAACCTAAAATACAATCAGATATCTAATTTTTTCAGTCGTATACGAGGTTTGTCAGAAAATATGAATTTTGCTCAAAAGTAAAGTAAATTTTATTTTTGAAAATATTGGAAATTGTTATCTGTTATCTCTTTATTCGTTAAAAATTTAATTACATTTACATCTCTTAACCTCTATGCTGCATTAGTTTGATTATGCATTGAAATAAATGATAACAAAATAATTTATTTTACAATAATTATCGACTACATAAAAACATTAAAAAATGCAATTTTTAGTCCTGATCAACTTTTCTTAATAACAATTTCCGATATTTTCAAAAATAAAGGTACTTTACTCTTGAGCAAAAAAACACATTTTTTTGACAAACCTCGTATACGGATTAAAAAAAGTGTTTTCTGATGGTTGTATTTTAGGTTTTAAAACATGCAGAACTATTTATTAAGAATAACTTTTTTTCGTAAAATAAAAAAAGTTTTCCATATGGTGCGAACTTAAGTAGACACACTGTATATAGATAGAACCGAGTTGGGATGCGAGATTTTTAAATCATGAATTACTTGGGCGTACAGAGGTACATAGGGGCACGTAAAAAATTCGCTGGTTACGAAAATCGACCTCTTTTCGCTGGCTAAATTCGTTTTTTGCAGTAAATTGAAATTAAAAATGTAAAATTTTTGACGGATTTCCAAAGAAATTATTTGATGGCCGTTGCCCGTTCGTTTGGTTTAAACGGAACTAACACCGAAATGACAGATTTTTCGTTATTTTGACAATTTTGTCGATTTTAATGGACGACAATAAAAGAAATTGCAATAATTCGCAAAAATATACGTTTCTTGGTCATTTGTACTTACCAAAAACGGAGAAACGATCAAATTATTTTTAAAAAACCTCCACTAATGACAGCGGCGATGAACAAACTTCAAACTGTCAAAGTTGTCATTTCCGTTACTACGGGATATGTTGACATTTAATTTGATGTACAAGGGTGTTTTTTCATTAAGGAAATCGGAAAAATTGATATACGGGGTGGTTTTTTTTCTAAATCGAACAATTATTTAAATTTAAATTAAAATATAGTACAGGGTGACTTGTCTTTAAGGAAATGGTAATTGCATAAACCGGGCGAGCGAAGCGAGCGAGGATCCGTCTATATAACTGTCGGGTTTATACGCAGAGCCCATCGTTAACCAGAGCGATTTAGTCGAGCTCGCGTAGCGAGCGCGAGACCTTGGTTATTTAAAAAAAATGATATACGGGGTGTGATTAATTTCCAAACGAAAATTCAATTGCACCGAGCGAGGATCAGGCTAGCAAACTGTCTTGCGGCGAAGCCGCCACCGTAAGAAAGGGGGGTTGAAAGGGGGCGCAGCCCCCTTTCCGAGCGTTAAGCGAGTTATTTCAATAAACGGGTAAGTACAAATTTGCAAAAAAACGACATTAAAAAACTCACTCAAAGCGAACAAAATTCCAAAAACGACGATCACCCCGATGCAGAGGAACGCCCAAATGCACAAGGCCCGTTCCAACGTTTCCGTTCCGCCGGTACTCTTCTCGATCTCGTTCACTTTCAACACCCACTTGCGACCGAACCCGAACCCGAAGGCGCTCTTCTCGATGCCGGGCGGCCGTCGCGACGCCGCCTCCACCGCCCCCGACACGCTCCAACAGCGCCGGTTCCGGTCGAAATGGTGGACGCCGGTCAATTGGACGTCGCTCGGCTGCAGGATCATCGTTATAGTTGTAGTTATTGGCTCGAATGAGGGAATGATTTCGCCGGTTAGAGCTCGAATAAACGCCGAATGGCGGATACAAACAAACGCGCGCGTGCCATATGTCGCGTGTTAATCCGGGCGAGACACGTTGCGACGGTAACGGCTCTACAAATATCCGCTGTATACTGTATAAATTCGTCAGTGATATTATTTTGGTGGGTCGTTTGAATCTGGGGATTTTGTGGTGGTAGGGTTTGCCATTGTTGGATTGGTCAAACTGTTTCCTGTAATTTGCATTTCGTGTATTTGTCATTACTGTCAAAATTGTTAATTAGATCTGTCATTATTTGACATTTAAGATTACTAGGATTACTAGGACACACTCCAGTGCGATTTTTCATCATATCAATGATATCAACATTAGTTGTATATAATTATTTTACATTAAAGTGTTTGCTGGGAGAGTATCGTTTTTTATTTATTAAATATTGGAAAACATCATGGATTTACTATTTTGTTTAAGAATATTTACCGTTAATCAACTGTTGATATGTTTCATTATCAACTTGCACATCGAATTTAACATTGCAATATTCTAATTCAATGTTTTTAATATCGTTGTATGCCATTTTGATCAAATAAAACTTTTTTGAAATAATAATAATAATGTTAATGATGAACACATAAAGCGAAACAAAACCAAAATATTTCCCAAGTGAGGTGAGGTTATACAGGAACTTCATAAATGACACTAATGACAGCATAACTGGGTTAACTCGATTTTAAACGAGTGCAAAAAGTTTTAAACTATTTTCACTTGCATCGAATTATCGTACAGAGGTCAGGTTAAAAAAGTGCAAAAAGTTATGAATTAAAAGACACATTCAGTTAAAAAAGTTACAAAAGTGCCAAAGTGCGCAATTATCGTACGCAGCATATAGATTAGGCTTTAATAGGTAAGTTCGGTTTCATGCACTTTTAGCTCGATTTGCTCTAAACCGTTCGGAATCATCAAAGTTGATAGATCTGGCGAACTCCAAATCGTTCGGTTACGTTGTCAGAGAGCAAAAAGAGCAAAGCTCTCTTTGCTCGGAGCTTTCAGATCGAGCTCCCAAATTTGTTTTTAAATCTGTCACTGTCATATGTCTGGTCTGTCATAAATTGATTGACAACAACAAAAAGAAACCAAGATGAATTATGAAATATTATTAACGATTGTTCAATTCGCAAATGATTTATTTAAGTAAAGTGTCAATAAATTGTTGGTCTGGCACCTGTACTATTACCTCTTCTTTGTCGTTAAATTTCAGTTTGACAATATAGGACATTTTGAAACAATGAAATCAAAAATAAACTAATAAACACCGAATTATGAATACCGACCGAACGGGTTCCCGGGGATTGATAAAAAGATAACGGATATTTTCAAGTTGACATTGACAATTGATGGCTGTTTTCGTCATAATGCTCGATTCCGTTCTAAAATCTGCTCTGGGACTGCTCTCCTCCGCGACGTTGAAACCGAACTTACCTTGTATAAATCCCTTCGTGATATTATTTTGGTGGGTCGTTTGAATCTGGGGATTTTGTGGTGGTAGGGTTTGCAATACGATTGCCATTGTTGGATTGGTCAAACTGTTTCCTGCATGTAATTTGCATTTCGTGTATTTGTCATTACTGTCAAAATTGTTAATTAGATCTGTCATTATTTGACATTTAAGATTACTAGATTAGGCTTTAATATTGCTTTAGATGGATTAATGATGAATCGCAATTGGATTCAAATAAGTTTTAATGATATTAGAAAGCTATAAAGGTATGATCTTTTTTCCATCTTCGTTTCACCTATGATTAATGTCAAATGACGTCGTCATGATTGATTCCTGATGGAATTGATTTATATGAATATAGGAACAAATTGCTGGATGGTTGGAAATTTTGACTTTGACGTTGACATTGACAATTTGAATTTGAATTTTTAAATGTGAGGGAAATTATAAAAAATGGAGTTTTATTTGATTGCAATAATTAATTAATTAATTGATTGCAAATATTCATCCGATTCATCATCAGAACCTGAAAATGAAGAATCTTCAAATAACAGTGGCAGTGATGAGTTATTGGAACTATTTTTAATAAACAAAGAAATCAATAAAACTCATGCAATAGCAGATTTCGGAATCCATTGCAAATTGCAAAACCAGCAAAACAAATTAAAAAATTTAATGCACGTTCAATGCACAACTCCAACATGGAACATCAGATCATAACCGAAACCGATCATGGAATGAAAAATATGGGTTATAATTCATCTGTCAAACAAGACCCATCCTCTTTAAAATCCGATTAATCAGGACTAATCGCTGTTTCATCAATGAGAAAAAGATCGTTGACAGATGACAAACGTTGAAAAAATCGCTGAATAAATGAACAGTTTGATGACATCGCTTGTTCAACCGCTGAATAAAAGATCACACCTTAAATATGATTAAAGAATATGGACGAATGGATGATATGGATCATAGTTTGTATTTAGTCTCCCCTTATTAAAGCTAATCAATCGTTTAAAGAGTCTCTTTTACGTAAACAAATGTCCATGGTTACTCCATAACAACAATGTAAAACTGTCAAGTTATAAACTATCTAAACATAAAAAAGCGCTGAGTACGGATGAATATAAGTTTACTAGAAAACAGCACAATTTAATTAATTCATTATTAACAATACTTTAGAGCAGGTAAACAATTAACTGCTAAAATTTATTATTAGTTTGAGATTGTAGAAAAAAGGAAACAAGTATAGATTTTCGCTATGTTTGTACTCATTCTAGCCAATCAGAATACTCGATTTTGACTTAATAGTTTTACCAGCCAATAGGAGCACTCGCTGAGTAATGACGTCACGACCAAGAATTAGAGCCGTTGGGTATAGAATAGACGATTTCTCGGGAACATTCGAGATGATAGGTGATTTTTATTTTGTATAGGTATTTAAAGGGTCAATTAAATTGGCCTTTTAACGTCGAGTGGGAGTTAATTTAAAACCGTTAAGACGAACATTTTGCTATTATTTTATTTGGAACTATCATTGAAATTCACCTTCAAATGTTATCCAAATCTAGTAAATTAATTATCGACAGACGTTTGTGAGTTTGAATTATTCGACCAATTGATAAGTTTATTTTACTTATATGTATATTAGGTAACAACAAGTGCATGTAATTGCATTATCTTAAATAAGTAAATTAGATTTTTTCGTAACAATGATACTATGAAATTGCATTTATTTTTTCCATACTAATATAAGTACGTACTTTAATTTATTTACTGTACTGTAAAATGGAACAATTTCATATTGTACGAGTTATTTTTTGCAATTATCCACAGTACATGAGTACTGCAAAGAATTTTATACAGGGTGTCCCTGTAGAGCATAGTTTGATTGAAGTAACCATGCATTTAGAGAACAAACTAACTTGAATCTCCTTGTATTAATTGTTCAATTTCTATGCAACTCATATGGGATTACCCACCAATTTACATGCAAATAAATTATTCTCAGAAATCGAAAGTATAATAATCGAAATTTATGCCTAGTTACCCTGTACAAACGTTTATGTAAGTAATTGTATAAATTACGTATATAGCAAATCTCGATCGGATTTTTATTTAACACTAGAGATTTAGAGTGGTAGAGAGATTTAGAGATTATCGTTCATACACAGTAGCTAGATAATGGCCAATTTCTTAATAATTATTTGTTTATTATATCTTATCTATTATATCTTATATCTTATTATATCATTTTTTTCAACGAATTTGGAGGTATTATAAGAAGCCATATCACCTTCATTAAATCCAAATTAATTTCATACATCGATCAACGATGATAGCAGTACTTTTCCTAATCCTTTCTCTAAGCTATCAAAACAGGTATGATTTCTGTTAATTGGTTAATTGGTAATTTTTCCACTTCATTGTTACAAGAACAAATTTTGACAAAACCTATAATATTGCACCCAGTGTTGTTAAGTAATTAATTACAAGTAATTGAAAAAGTAATTGAATTACTTTTATTGTAATTGAGGCGGTAATTAATTACAAGCTCCTCAATTGTAATTCATTTGTAATTCAGTTACTCCTTTCGTTACAATTACAATTACATTTTACAATTACATTTCAATTACATTGGACACAAAAGTACTTATTTAATATTTTCAATACGTGGAAAGTTTAATTCCGATTGCAAATCCCTAAATAATTATTTAAAACTGACACCAAAGCAAAGTAATTGTGACTGTAATTGTAATTTTAATTGTAACTTTAATTGTAATTGTAATTACATTCGCAAATTTTGTAATTGTAATTGCAATTAATTACAATTTGCCAAAAGTAATTGTAATTGTAATTAATTACATATTATAAAGTAATTTTAACATCACTGATTGCACCTTAATTCTGGTTCTAGCGCATCGGGCGTCGCGACGTCCGAAGACGCCTTTCCGGCGCCCTTCCTATTCGGCGCCGCTTCCTCCGCTTACCAGACAGAAGGCGCCTGGGCTGAGGGCCACAAAGGCGAGACCATATGGGATAGATGGTCGCACGAGAAACGCGCCGGCGACGCCGACGCCGACGCCGACACAGCCAGCGATTCCTACCACAAGTACAGAGAGGACATCCAGCTGGCCAAGGAACTGGGATTGACCCACTACAAGTTCTCCATCTCTTGGGCCAGGTGAGTTGTGATCGGGTCACAGGATGACTGGATTCGCTTTCTATACAGGGTGTCTACTATAAAAACCGCCAAACTTTAGGAGGTGTTTATACAAGTAATTTTGAACAAAAAATGTCCTATAACACTTTTTCGAAAAGTCGATAGTTTCTCTTTTATTTAACATTTCATTATTTTAAGTTTTTTTTTTGGTTTTTTTCCAAAAAGACCGAAATATCACATTTATTCGTATAGTCACATTAATTTTGATCATATACCGTAAAAGTGCATTAAATTTGCTATAAAAATAGTATTTATCAGAGTTTAAAAAAAAATCAATACGGGGTGTTATAAAAGATTTAATTGTTATGAATATGAAATGAACAAAATTATATGTATCTTTTAATGGTCGTAAAGCCAACAATTTTATAAAATTCATAAGTTTTTTTAAGGTAAAAACTAGTGTATTTAATAAGCTTTTAAGAGGTATACTCACATATTGAGTAATTTTTTTTTGTAGAAATTTTAAAGGTATATGTTATAAAATACAAAGTTGTTCAAAACAAATATCCCGAAAATATAAATCTACAAAAAATTATTCTGTACAGGGTGTCTACTATAAAGACCGACAAACTTCAGGAGGTGATTATACAAGTAATTTTGAACAAAAAATTGTCATGTATCACTTTTTCAAAAAGTTGATAGTTCCTCTATCGAGTAATAAAATTACAAAAATTAATCAATATTCATTACTAAATTTTAACTAAATACAACAGCAACAACAATACTAAATTTTCACTAAAACAAATTTAAGTTAAAACAAGTATTTCCATTAAATAAATTTGAACCCTATAAAAATTGTTCAAAATGTCCTCCTCTTTGTTCAACGCATTTAAGACAACGTTTTCTTACGCAACTATTAAGAACCCTCTGAAGTTCTGTTCTTTTTTGCCTTAATTCTTCACAACATACTCTTATTCTATCAATTAATTCTTCTCGAGAATTAATATTAATTTTATAGACATTAGATTTTAATGTCGCCCAAACGTAAAAAATCAAGGGGTGTCAGGTCAGGACTTCTGGGTGGCCACCTTATTGGACCGTACCTGCCAATCCATTTCTCCCCAAAGTATTGGTTTATCCAGTTTAGAATAATTCTGCCATTATGAGCAGGGCAACCATCCATTTGGAACCAAATTTCCTGTCTAACAGCTATGGACATTCCTTCGAGTATGTCAAATAGATGGTTGTTTAATAAATTTAAAAACACATTAGAATTAATATACAGAATCACTAATTAACTTTTTGTAGATTTTTATTTTCGGGATATTCTTGTTTGAACGACTTTGTATTTTATAACATATACCTTTAAAATTTCTACAAAAAAAAATTTTACTCAATATCTGAGTATACCTCTTAAAAGCTTATTAAATACAGTAGTTTTTACCAAAAAAAAACTTATGAATTTTATAAAATTGTTGGCTTTACGACCATTAAAAGATACATATAATTTTGTTCATTTCATATTCATAACAATTAAATCTTTTATAACACCCGGTATTGATTTTTTTAAGTCTGATAAATACTATTTTTATAACAAATTTAATGCACTTTTATGATCAAAATTAAGTAATATGATATGATAAGTAATAATACGATATGATTAAGTAATATTATACACTGTTGGAAATTAAATTTCGCATAATAGGGAAATCAATGTTAAATTCTTAGCCGGCTAAAATCCAGTCTACCAGTATACATTTCAATAGAACGTCGCGATGAATTCTAATAAATTTAATTGTTCTACTGGATCGCACGCCGCGATTTTTAGAGGTACAAAGTTATTTGTGTTAGGTATGAGGTGCAAACCGTGCAAAATTATTTAGAAACTACAATTAATAGGTTTTTTGGGGATATTTCAAAAAAATGTGTGTATCGGTAGGTACAGTTTTGAAATAGCAACAAATCTTGTTAAAATAAGGAAAAATAAGGAAAAATAAGGAAAAAATAATTCAATTTTCTTAAAATTACACCTCAGCTCAGTAATATGAGATGACATCTGTATGACAGGTTTGGCTATTGTTTAGCAGAAAGCGGTGGACTATTTTTTAGAGTTCTTTTATTTTCTATTTTAAAATAATCTTTAAGTTTATTTTTGGAGTATTCTTTTTATTATTTTCTTAGAATTTACTTTCTTTTTCAAGCCATTGTGGCAAAAAGACATATCTACATAATTCTATTTTATTATTAGTGATATTTTTTCAATAAATTATCGTTTAAAAATTCTCATTTCTTTTTAATCGACTCGACGTTCACCCATCCGAACCCGTTTTGATACTGTCGAAGTGTCCAAACCGTCGAAATTATTTGATTTTTAATCTAACCAAGCCAAAGCGCGGTGTGAAGTCCAGTAGAACAATTAAATTTATTAGAATTGATCGCGACGTTCTATTGAAATGTATACTGGTAGACTGGATTTCAGCCGGCTAAGAATTTAACATTGATTTCCCTATTATGCGCGAAAAATTTTCCAACACGGTATGAGTAATATTGATATGATCAAAATTAATGTGACTATACGAATAAATGTGATATTACGGTGTTTTTGGAAAAAAACCAAAAAAAAAATTTAAAATAATGAAATGTTAAATAAAAAAAAAACTATCGACTTTTCAAAAAAGTCTTATAGGACATTTTTTGTTCAAAATTACTTGTATAATCACCTCCTAAAGTTTGGCGGTTTTTATAGTAGACACCCTGTAGAAATATCGGTAGAAAAATTCGGTAAAAAAAACTATATTTTTTGAAGGATTGATTGATTTTTTTAGGATATTTCCGAGCGGTTTCAACAATTCATTCAGTACTCAGGCGCAATTTCACTATCAAAGTTTGATCAACGAATTGCTCAAGAACAACATAACGCCTGTAGTGACGATGTATCATTGGGATCTGCCCGAAAGCATCGAAAATTTCGGCGGTTGGCTCAACTTAGACATCGTGGATTATTTCACCGATTACGCTCGACATTTGTTCAAGACTTTTCCAAACGTTAAATATTGGATCACCATCAACGAACCTAGACAGGTTGGTGCAAACTAGGGACTTTGTTTCTTGGTGTAATTTATGGAATCGCTTTTAAATTGAGTGTCCAGGAACTAACGCAAATTACTCCCAAATTGCCTTAATTCCTATTCGATTGGTGGTGATATAAACTCCTGGACAAAATTAACGCAACGTCATAAATTTGCCACATTTTTTATGCTATTTTTTGTTTGAATTTATGATCCGATTTGGATGATTTTTTTTTGTATTATAGGTTGGTTCCTTGACAATGTCATCATTTTCGCTGTTTATGATAAAATGTTCCTTCTCGATTATACCGGGTGTAATAAAAATGTAATGTTTTTTCCGAAAATTCGTATCACTCTGTGGAGTATACTAGCAAACGAGACATATAGCAGTTGAAATTAGACGGTAGATCCATCTTTTGCAAACATTTTCTTTTTTGGTTTACTTCATTATCTCTGTTATTAAAGGAGATACGCCGTTTTATAGCGTAACATGTTTTAATAGACTATTATTCAAAACATTCATTGTTAAATGTTTTTAAGTAGGCTATGGACCATTTTTGACATTTCCAGCGATGTGTCAATATCGAATACATTATTTGTTATCTGTATAACAAAATAATTCCTGCTCGCTTTGATGAATGAAAACAAAATTAACGAATTACTTTATTTCATAAAGTAAAATTAAGAGTTTATTAAACACATTTTTTTGGAAACGAGTAAAACAAGGAAAGAACATAAATCAAAAACAATAAAATTAATGGATTTATAATGCTAATAACGTGTATGTTCACCTCTACTTCGAATCACTGCTCCTTTGCAATATGACTTATTGAATAGCCTGTTGTAATGAGGTTAATTAGGACACATTTAACTTTATTCACTTGGAATAACTTTAATCACTTTAATGAGAACAACTATACATTTAAATACAAACTTTACTTCTAGAAAAACGAGAGAGTAACTCTTACTTTTAACATAACGAACTTCTTCTTATTTCTTACATTATTGACAGTTATGACATGTGTCATTACTTGATTATAACATAAGTACGTTCCGTACAACATCTCCCCTTAATCAAGCAATTACACAATTCCCATATTCTCAATACAAAAACTATGTTTGGGTCCGTACAAACCCTTAGTCATCACATCAGCCACCATCCTATCAGTTGGCAAATAGTCGATTCGAACAACACCCTTCTCTACAATTTCTCGAATATAATGATACTTTGTATCAATGTGCTTGGTCCTGCTGTGATGAATAGGATTCTTTATTAGCTTCTGAGCACTCTGGCTATCATTAAAAATAACAATTTGCTCATCTCTTGAACAAAGTTCACTAAATAAACCCTTTAGAAAAACTGCCTCCTTACCGGCTTCACAAATTGCTATGTATTCAGCCTCAGTACTCGAAAGCGAAACACATGACTGTTTCCTGGATTCCCAAGATATTACCGAATTACATAAAATAAAAACATATCCCGAATACGACTTCCTATCGTTCATGTCATTGGAAAAATCCGCATCCACATAACCAAAAATGCTCTTATCGTTCTTACTAAAATTTAAACCCTTATCTATTGTTCCCTTTAAATACTTTAAAATTCGCTTCGCATGTTTCCAATGTTCATGACTATAGTTAGAATTAAATTGACTTAGGTAACTAACCGTGAATGAAATGTCTGGTCTAGTATGCACAGCCAGATACATCAATGAACCTATCAAGCTTTGATAGGGCAAACTTGAATATTCATTACCACCACTTAACTTTAATCCCGCTTCAATTGGTGTCGAAACAGTCTTTGCCTCAGACATATTAAATTTTTCTAAAAGCCCCTGAATATATTTCTTTTGATCAACTTTCATTGAATTTGTAACTTTATTAAACTCTATATTTAAACCCAAAAAATACTTAATTGGTCCCAAATCCTTAAGCTTAAACTGTCTCGCCAATTGCTGTTTTAAAATATTTCTCAACTGAAGATCATTTGAACAAACCAAAAAATCATCAACATACAATGCTACAATTATAATTGCATTCACATCTTGTTTGAAGAAGATACACGGCTCACAAGCAGACTGTTTAAAATCTAAATTTAACAAAACATCTTTTACTCTTTTATTCCAAATTCGTGAAGACTGCTTTAAGCCATACATCGCCTTCCTAAGTAAACAAATTTTATTCTTATTCTTTTCGATAACAAAACCTTCCGGTTGTAACATATAAATTTCCTGATCAATATCGCCATTTAAAAAAGCGGTTTCAACATCAAGATGATCAATATCTAAATCTAATTGCACAGACAAAGCCAATAACATTCTTATTGTTGAACTACGTACTACAGGCGAATAGGTCTCTTTATAATCAACACCATGTTTCTGTGTGAAACCTTTCGCTACCAATCGCGCCTTATATCGCGGATCACCATTAAATGCCCTTTTAACACAAAACACCCACTTATTTTTCACTACAGTTTTGTTCGGTGGACAGTCAACCAACACCCATGCTTCATTGTCTATTAGTGATGCATATTCTTTTTCCATCGCCTCTCTCCATTTATTTGCATCAGGTCTTGACATAGCTTCGCTCACTGTCTCTGGATCATGCAACTCACTTTCATTTACACGTCCGTCAATATCATTAGCCGTTGCACCATAGGTCACATAGTCCTGAAACACTCTTCTTTTTGATACTCTTCCTGATCTTGTTATCACTTCATTTTCATCCTCTCTATCAACCATAATAGACGAACCCTCACTTTCTATTTCCGCTCGCTCCTCTTCCCTTTCCCGAGCCTCCTCATTAATATCAATTTCCTGATTTGCTTCTTCATTTATTTCTTCGTTGCACCTCTCTGTATTCTTTAATTCCCTCACTGTAATTTCAGGCTGCTTGTCGACGCAATTATCAACAGTCTGGAAAGGCTGATTCAAAAATTCATTGAATCTTACTGTTCTGGTTATCGTTACTTTATTTGTTTCTGGATCCATAATTCTATAACCCTTACTAACCTCACTGTATCCCACCATGATACCTTCTTTAGCTTTCTTGTCCCATTTTGTCCTCCTCCCATCTGGCACATGTATAAAAGCATGACTACCGAAGGTGACTAAATGTGACAAATTTGGTTTCATACCAGTCCACAATTCGTATGGCGTTTTCAATTTGCTTCTGGTGGGAAGTCTGTTCGTAAGGTAGTTGGCGGTTGTTACGGCTTCACCCCAATATTTATGTGGTAATCCTGCATCCAAAAGCATGCATCTTGCAGACTCCACCAAGGTCCTGTTTTTTCTCTCCGAAACTCCATTCTGTTCGGGACAATATGGCACCGTCAGCTGATGCCTAATTCCAAAATTTTTCAGCAACAACTGAATTGCCTGCGACTTATATTCACCTCCATTATCCGATCTAATAATCCTTGGATATCTTCCAAACTGGTTTCTCATTTCCGCTAGAAATTCTTTAAGCCTGTCTATCACCTCATCCTTTGCATGCAACAAATAAACTTTAGTATATCTGGAAAAATCATCCGTGAAGGTTAAAAAATATCTCTTTTGTCCCACAGTCTCTGTTTTCATAGGACCGCATAGATCACTATGAATTAAATCTAAAACTTGATTTGTTTTTGATCCTGACGTTTGGGGAAATGGTTTCCGGGATAATTTTCCCTCGATACATGACACACATTCCTTCACGACGCTGCAACTGGATATTTTCACACCATCAGCCAAATTTCTTTCAGTCAGCTGCCTTATTATTTCTGGATTTTTATGCCCCATCCTCCTGTGCCAAATGTGTATGCAGTTGCGTGTGTCTTCACATGCTGGTTTTATTAAGTTAGCCCTTTCTGTAAACACTGGAACTTCGTATAGGCCACCCTTGAAAATTGCTGCTAATATTATACAACCATTCTTCATTACATTACAGGAACCATTGTTAAAATTTACTTCATATCCCTCCTGCGTAATCCTCGATACGGACAACAAATTGTTTTCCAGTCCAGGAACATACAAAACATTCTTTAATCTTAAGTTTCCAACATTACCATTTTGAGTCACGATTTTTAGGACAACATCCCCTTTTCCTTTAATCTTTACTTTCTGACCATTTGCAACTTTTATTATATCAGACTCAACATTTCTAATGTCAACAAAATAGTTTAATTCCTTTGACATATGACTCGTTGCCCCAGAATCGATAAACCATTGAGAATCTTTATTTCCATTATCATCTGTCGTATTAAAAACAAAATTGTTTTCTGACTCACCATTTTCAACAGCCATCTTTACTTGCGGCGTCCCTTTTTTGATATCCTTCTTTAAAAAATAACAATTTTTCTTTATATGTCCCCTTCTATGGCAATAGTAACATTCCTTCTTCTCCGTTGTCTCTTTCCTTGCTCCTCCGTTAAATTTATTTACGCTAAGTGCTGATCCTTCACTATCTGTTTCCTTTTTTCTTTTAAACTCGTCCATCAGCTTTCCTTTAACATATTCTAATGTGAGTTCATCATCTGGTCTTGCATCAAGGGCGGTAACTAATGTCGCATAACTGTCCGGTAAACCTCCCAGTAGTAACGCAGCTACGTGAAAATCTCTAATTTCTTCTCCGATACCTCTTAATCGTTCAACCAACTCCAAAACATCCTTGATATATTCCGACATGTTCTTATTTTCCAACTTCGATCGGTATAGTCTCCTTAAAAGATATAACTTATTAGTTAAATTGTTTCGCTCATGAACTTTCTGGAGTTCGTCCCACATTTCTCCAGCATTTTTACACTTATACAAATGTATGATTTGGTCGTCTTCAATACTTAGCGAAATAGTCGCTTGAGCCCTCTCATCTTTTCTTTTATCCTCTTCATTAATCGGTCGTACATTTAGTAACTCGTTATTTTCTACAATCGACCAATTACCTTCTCGAATAAGAAGCATTTTTACACGAAACTTCCAACTTTGGTAATTATTATTATTCAGACGGGCAAACCCAAACTTTACACCCTCCGAATCCATTTCTCTATACTTTTTAACTCCAACAAGTCCAACAAAAAAAAAAACAACCACGTTTTTACTTAACCTCAAAACTTTTACCAACTCTTTACTAGGGTTCTGGGCCCATAACCTGTTGTAATGAGGTTAATTAGGACACATTTAACTTTATTCACTTGGAATAACTTTAATCACTTTAATGAGAACAACTATACATTTAAATACAAACTTTACTTCTAGAAAAACGAGAGAGTAACTCTTTACTTTTAACATAACGAACTTCTTCTTATTTCTTTCATTATTGACAGTTATGACATGTGTCATTACTTGATTATAACATAAGTACGTTCCGTACAACATAGCCCTCATCCACCAAAGTTAAGACTCTTACTGCTTCTTCGGTCGATAAATTTTTTGGACGATTCATTTTTCAAGATTAAAATAACGTAAATACGTAAAATAATGTATTAGATATTGCCACTTCGCTTGAAATGTCAGAAAAGGTCCAAAACCTACTTGAAAACATTTAACAATGAACGTTTTGAATAATACAGTCTATTAAAACATGTTACGCTATAAAACGGCGTATCTCCTTTAATAACAGAGATAATGAAGTAAATCAAAAAAGAAAATGTTGACAAAAGACGGATCTACCGTCTAATGTCAACTGCTATATGTCTCGTTTGGTAGTATACTCCACAGATTGATACGAATTTTCCGAAAAAAACATTACATTTTTATTACACCCGGTATAATCGAAAAAGAACATTTTATCATAAACAGCGAAAATGATGACATTGTCAAGGAACCAACCTATAATACAAAAAAAAATCATCCAAATCGGATCATAAATTCAAACAAAAATTAGCATAAAAAATGTGGCAAATTTATGATGTTGCGTTAATTTTGTCCAGTAGTTTATTAATGTGCATTGTAATTTCTGAAATTAATGAATTTTAGGTGTGCTCGGGCGGGTACGGGCAGGGAACGAAAGCACCTTTTCTCAATGTAAGCGGAGAAGCGGATTATCTGTGCGCATATCACGTCATTTTAGCGCACGCTTCAGTTTATAATTTGTACAAGACAGAATTTTCGAAAAACAAAGGTAGGCGGATTTAACTATACTCTATTTCCAAAATAGTAGGCACTAAATTCTCGGAAATATTGTCGCTTTTCTTATTTATTACATAATCCTTGCTCTTCTAATTATTAGTCTCCTGGGGCCTGTTTCATATAACTGACAAGTCATGTTGGACAAGTGTAGTCTAAATTTGATTGGAGTATTTGACAAGTTTGTGTTTCATAAAATTACACGAGTAGATTATTAGTGACAAGTGACTAGATTAATATTACAAGTCTGTTTTACAATTGTAGATAGGTTTGCGTTTCATAAAAAATAAATTAAACAACACTTGTCATTTATTCCTATCATATATTAGTGTAAAGCGACAGGGATTTGATTTCCTGTCACCATCCGATTTTCTTGTAAATTTAAAAGAAAATGTGGTCTAGCGACAGTGAGGAGGAAGCTTAATGAGAGTTTAATAAAAGATTTCGAATGAATTCGATAAAAATGGAGGAAATATTAAAATCTATTGGTCCCCGCCTAATGTATAAGAACCAACGTATAGAAATTATGCATTGTCTTTGTTCGTTCCAATGCTCACATTTTATAGCTTTTGTAGAAGTGGGACTAAATTTTCCAAATAGAATGCCCTTTCTTTATTAAAATAATTGAATATTAAAAAAATGTTGCTGCATTTTAAAAATAAGCTTTTGTCAATAAACGACATTGTCGTGGTTCACATCTAAAAATAGCTGCAACCAGAAAAAAAAAAACAATTTCAAAGTAAAAGTTTCCCAATATCGAAAAACGAAGGTTGTGCTATACTTATGCTCCTCAGTATAGTAAGTACTATTTTTTTCTTTTCGGCTTAAGTCTGACGTTTAATTACTATTACAGTTGTAGAAAAACAGATGCCAAAAATTTAATTCGACAAGTATCAAAATTTATTTTATGAAACGAAATTTTTAAATACTTGTCAACCAACACTTGTAACTTGTTGACTTGTAAGTTGTCAACTTGTCAGTTATATGAAACAGGCCCCTGCTGATTTTCCCGTCAAACACACTTGTAGCCTACGATATTTTCCGTACGCCACTGGGAGAGACCCATTATCGCAATCATTTCTGAGAATTTAGTGCCTACTATTTTGGAATTAAGGTATAGTCCTTTTAATAATCCATCTTTATAAAAATGAAGCAATTACTTTGAAGTAAAAGGTAGAGACAAAAGATAAGAGAAAAAGGTTTTAAAACCTCAAACAAAATATTTTATAACCACAAAACCTTTATTTGATTGAAAGCAACAGCAGGGCCCTGGAATGAAAATCTCTTCCTTCGCACTTCTTTTTATGCAAATACCTTGAAGGAATTCCGTCATTTTTTTTGAAGTAAAATGTTGTGCTTCTTTTTATAAATACGGCCTAATGTGTAAAATAATTAGCCACAATTCAAATTGCTAGTGCATCAAATTTCAGGCGCAAGATTTCTATATCACTTCGCGATCTCAGCTTCTTTATACCTTTAGTTTAATTGATATTGCCATCGAGCACTTCGTTTTTAGGTACAATTAGCATCAATTTGGACGGTGAATGGAACATTCCTGCCAGCAAGAGCAAGGAGGACGAGCAAGCTGCCGAAAGAAGATTACAATTCGATGTAAGTGTTTAAACCACACACTATACACTATGTTATTTATAAGATGCAACATAGGGATTCCTGTGCAAATGTGTCAAAAGCAAGCTAATTTTTAAACAAATAACGTTCGTAAAAAATATTGACAGATTTGAAAAGATCGTCAAAAAATAAGTCGAAGTGGATATTAAATTTTATTAAATTCGTTCTGGTTTAATAAAAAAATGTATAATTAAGTTGAAAAAAGTCAAATGTCATAAATGTGTCATTTTTATGTCACTATCTAATAATTGTAAAATGGGCGGAATTAGCCGGGATGGTTTACGCTCTGAATTTTAAAAATTTTAGCGGGAAGTAATGTGGTTCAATCCCCGCGCAGTGAAGACATTTTTTTCTTTTTTTTTTTGGTTTTTTTCTAATGTTTTTGTCTAAAAAATAGAAATATTTAAAATAAGACGAGCTTATTTGAGATATAATTTTATTTTTATTTAAATAAAAGCTCCGACAAGTAAGTGTCAATTTTAATAACGCAAAGTCTCGTTATTAGGTAGAACCTTTAAAATGATGCCATATTTTTATTCTTGACAAAAACAAAGAACATTAAAAAAACAAAAAATGCCAAAGAAAAAAAAAAAAATTTCAGCTCTGCGTGGGATTGAACCCAAATTCCTTACCGCTGAATTTTTCAAACTTCAGATCGTAAACCAATCCAGATATCTCCGCTCCTTTTAACAATTATTAGATAGTGACATATGACGTATGACTTTTTCAACTTAATTATACATTTTTTAATTAAACCAGAACGAATTTAATAAAATTTAATGTCCATTTCGACTTATTTTTTGATGATCTTCTCAAATCTGTCATTATTTTTTACGAACGTTATTTGGAAAAAAAGTTAGCCTCCTTTTGACACTTTTGTACAGGAATCCCTATGTCACATCTTATAAATAACACAGTGTATAATAACTTTAATCATGCATTGTATACTTAAATACAAAAATGGTTTTCAGTTTGGATTGTATGCCAATCCGTTGATGTTCGGCGATTGGCCGAGCGTTGTAAAACAACGCGTGGATGAACGAAGTAATAAAGAAAACTTCACCGAGTCCAGATTGCCAGTATTTACAGATGATCAGAAGAAATGGATCAATGGAAGTTTGGATTTCTTAACGGTAGATTTTTGGGACACTAAACGAGTGGGAGATGCTCGGGAAGCTGATTATTCCAACTTTTCCTACGATAATGATGTTAGAGTAGCGGTTAGCAAACCCGATAATTTACCTACTGCTTTAGATGGGAACACGGTACGTGGTAAAAATTTTGTATTCTACTATAGCCAGGTGTTTAACAGTTTTTAACTGTTAAAAATGTTCAAATAGTCAACAGATTTTATAAAGATACCTAAAGAATATAGTTTAAATGATCCTTAACAGATTTAATTGATTTCATAATCAACTTAAAGGGCACTTATGCCCGATTTCACCAACCAGTTCCTAAAGTTAGGTAATACCTAAACCAGATTTAGGAATTCCTAAGTACAATTTGCGTTTCACCATGCACTAAGTAATACCTAAAGGTAATAGGAAATGCCTAAAGTTAGGACAGCTCACTGGGCTTGCCTAAAACATTTAGGAAATACTTAACCATACTTTTTATGTGATTTCATGTGACTTAAGTCTTGACTGTCTTTAGACTCTTTAGATGAAAATTTAAAATGGGAGGAGAGTTTTTAGAAACTGGACGAGACTAATTTTTTTCGCCTTTTTCGATACATAAAAATACGGCATTACAAATATTAAAAAGAATTGAAGAGGATTTTTAATTTGAAACACAGGAAGTTTTTGGATCTACTGACCGTACACATGCATGTAAAGATCCATTGCCCTGGAGAAGAAGATGTAGAAATATTTTACAAATCGGAAAGGTTATTTTTCTAATAATGTAAAGACTGCATCTTCAGCAGATTTAAAAATAACTAACATAGTTTAAAGATCGCCCGGATCATCAAAATCTCTTCTTTTCTCTCAACATATTTAATTTTGATCTCCGCTTATTCGGTTTACACGTCAAAATTAGCCAATGCTACCAATAAAATTCAAAAAATTGTCGAAATCAAATTTTTACCTAGGTAAAAATTTCTTAGTAAGGGATTTCTAATGTTGGTGAAATTCGATTTAGATAAGTATTCGATTTAAGTAATTCCTACCTTAGGAATTACCTAGTTAGGAAATACCTAAAAACATTTTGGTGAAATCGGGCATGAATTTATTAGAAAATTTCCTGATGCCTGTTTGAAGTAAATGCTTTAACGCTTTAATACTTTAACGCTTTATTATAAAATCGGCCCTTGGACATTTATTTTACGACATTTATAATATGAATGTTTTTGTACCAAAAAAATGCTTCGTGAATTTAGATTAATCCAGATGGTTTGAGATCTTTCTTGCAATGGGTGGATAAAACTTACAACAAACCGAAAATTCTTATCGGAGGAAATGGAATTCCTGATGATGGCTCGACTCTGGTAGATAACGACAGGTTGTATTATTTGGCCGTAAGTATAGCACAATTTTATTTTATTATTTCATTAATATGACACCTTAAGTGAATAAAACAATCCATACTTTTACTATGGTGATTTTTTATGGTGCATTAACTAATCGATACATTTTGCCATTATTATTTGTTTAAAGGGCCATTTGAATGCTTTGTTAAAATCGATTTACGATGATAAAATCGATGTGTTCGGTTACACGGCGTGGAGTCTTTTGGATGATTTCGAATGGACCGATGGATACAGGTCAGTTAGTTTCATTTTCTAATAAAACGTGCTTTTTTCCATTATTAGAAACTATTGTAGATGTGTAAAATTAAGTATGCTATTGCTCACCCTAAATTCTTGTTCCTTTTCTATCCACTTATATCGATAGTAAAGAAGCGAAAGTTCGAGGTGAACGATAGGTCATACATGCAAATTTTAAAATATTTTTTTACCTGATGAATGTAGAATAAATATACAGGGTGTATACTATAAAAACCGCCAAACTTCAGGAGGTGATTATACAAGTAATTTTGAACAAAAAATGTCCTATAACACTTTTTCGAAAAGTCGATAGTTTCTCTTTTATTTAACATTTCATTATTTGAAGTTTTTTTTTGTTTTTTTTTCCAAAAAGACCGAAATATCACATTTATTCGTATAGTCATATTAATTTTGATCATATACCGTAAAAGTGCATTAAATTTGCTATAAAAAAGTATTTATCAGAGTTAAAAAAAATCAATACCGGGTGTTATAAAAGATTTAATTGTTATGAATATGAAATGAACAAAATTATATGTATCTTTTAATGGTCGTAAAGCCAACAATTTTATAAAATTCATAAGTTTTTTTTTGGTAAAAACTAGTGTATTTAATAAGCTTTTAAGAGGTATACTCAGATATTGAGTAAATTTTTTTTTGTAGAAATTTTAAAGTTATATGTTATAAAATACAAAGTTGTTCAAACAAGAATATCCCGAAAATAAAAATCTACGAAAAATTATTCTGTACAGGGTGTCTACTATAAAGACCGCCAAACTTCAGGGGGTGATTATACAAGTAATCTTGAACAAAAAATTGTCATGTATCACTTTTTCAAAAAGTTGATAGTTCCTCTATCGAGTAATAAAACTACAAAAATAAATCAATATTCATTACTAAATTTTCACAACAGCAACAACAATACTAAATTTTCACTAAAACAAGTATTTCCATTAAATAAATTTAAACCCTATAAAAATTGTTCAAAATGTCCTCCTCTTTGTTCAACGCATTTAAGACAACGTTTTCTTACGCAACTAACAACCCTCTGAAGTTCTGTTCTTTTTTGCCTTAATTCTTCACAACATACTCTTATTCTATCAATTAATTCTTCTCGAGAATTAATATTAATTTTATAGACATTAGATTTTAATGTCGCCCAAACGTAAAAAATCAAGGGGTGTCAGGTCAGGACTTCTGGGTGGCCACCTTATTGGACCGTACCTGCCAATCCATTTCTCCCCAAAGTATTGGTTTATCCAGTTTAGAATAATTCTGCCATTATTAGCAGGGCAACCATCCATTTGGAACCAAATTTCCTGTCTAACAGCTATGGGCATTCTTTCGAGTATGTCAAATAGATGTTTGTTTAATAAATTTAAAAACTCATTAGAATTAAGGCGATTTGGTAGTATTACTGGCTCTAACAGACGGCCGTTAAATAATCCCAACCACACATTCACTCTAAAATCGTGCTGAAAATGTGATACTAAAGTAGCATGAGGGTTTTCCGGCTACACTTTTAAAGACCTGTATCTTCCTGTAACACGCTTATGAAAGATTTTAAGGCAAATTTAGGCATTTTCTTCACATTTCTTTAATTTTTTTGATACAGAATCACTAATTAATTTTTTGTAGATTTTTATTTTCGGGATATTCTTGTTTGAACAACTTTGAATTTTATAACATATACCTTTAAAATTTCTACAAAAAAAATTTTACTCAATATCTGAGTATACCTCTTAAAAGCTTATTAAATACAGTAGTTTTTACCAAAAAAAAAACTTATGAATTTTATAAAATTGTTGGCTTTACGACCATTAAAAGATACATATAATTTTGTTAATTTCATATTCATAACAATTAAATCTTTTATAACACCCGGTATTGATTTTTTTTAACTCTGATAAATACTTTTTTATATCAAATTTAATGCACTTTTACGATATATGATCAAAATTAATGTGACTATACGAATAAATGTGATATTTCGGTCTTTTTGAAAAAAACCAAAAAAAAACTTAAAATAATGCAATGTTAAATAAAAGAGAAACTATCGACTTTTCGAAAAAGTGTTATAGGACATTTTTTGTTCAAAATTACTTGTATAATCACCTCCTGAAGTTTGGCGGTTTTTATAGTAGACACCCTGTATAAATGATAATTGTAATTAATGAACGATTTATTTAAGGCTACACTATGGTTTATATTCAGTCAACTTTACCGACTCGAATAGGAACCGAACAGCGAAAGATTCCGTGAAATACTACAAAACTATTATCGAAACACGGAAAATTCCTGCAACTCCCAAGACAACGACAACTAGTTCAACTACAACTACAAGTACAACCACAAGTTCAACTACAAGTACAACCACTCCTGCTACAAGTTCTATTATTCCCGAAACAACGACGGCTTCGAGTTGTGTGCATTTTGTAGAATTATCTTTGTTTTTTACTGCAACCTTCTTGTATCTGTTCGTAAATTAATGCAAATTAATGTAAATTAAACAATCATTTTAACTTGATTTAATTTTTAAATTAACATTTTTAGCTGCGCTATGGTTTCGAAAAATTTAATATTCTGTAGTTGATTATTTTTTATAATTCTTTGTTTTTAATAAAATTGTGTAATTTGGGTATTTGGAATAAGCCAAGTTATTTTATTATCTTAGGTGTTATACAGAGTGTCCTAATAGTGTGGTAAATTTCATTTATTACAAAAAATTATAAATTGGAAAATTGTTGTCTTTGTTTTTTACTGCAACGTTCTTGTATCTGTTCGTAAATTAATGCAAATTAATGTAAATTAAACAATCATTTTAACTTGATTTAATTTTTAAATTAACATTTTTAGCTGCGCTATGGTTTCGAAAAATTTAATATTGTGCAGTTGATTATTTTTTGTAATTCTTTGTTTTTAATAAAATTGTGCAATTTGGGTATTTGGAATAAGCCAAGTTCTTTTATTATCTTAGGTGTTATCAGTGATGTTAAAATTACTTTATAATATGTAATTAATTAAAATTTGCGAATGTAATTACAATTACTTTGCTTTGGTGTCAGTTTTAAATAATTATTTAGGGATTTGCAATCGGAATTAAACTTTCCACGTATTGAAAATATTAAATAAGTACTTTTGTGTCCAATGTAATTGAAATGTAATTGTAAAATGTAATTGTAATATGTAATTGTAATTGTAACGAAAGGAGTAATTGAATTACAAATGAATTACAATTGAGGATCTTGTAATTAATTACCGCCTCAATTAAAATAAAAGTAATTCAATTACTTTTTCAATTACTTGTAATTAATTACTTAACAACACTGGGTGTTATACAGGGTGTCTTAATAGTGTGGTAAATTTCATTTATTACAAAAAATTATAAATTGGAAAATTGTTAAGCACCTTTTGAGCTTTATGCCTTTTCAGCAAGTTATGACCATTTTTGCGCTCGTGAGGCTAATTTAAGGATTAATAACAAAGTCATTGGAATTAATAAAAAATTTTATTGACCATCAACGATATATCCCGACAGAAATCTTTTACACGGTGACCTGTTGTTGAGCCAACAAGTAGGGGTTCTGGAGGACGTAGGGGCAAGTGCAGACATCTCCTATGTTAACTACACGCTTGATTTGAAGGACATCTCGGAAGTAACTGATCAATCCATTTATGTCCACTACTACTTTATTGCCTAAAAAAATACATAAGAGTTACATACTTAGAATTATACGTATTTTATACAGGGTGTTTCATTGGGAAAGGGCAATATTTTAACCCTATATAGAGGTCACCCAGGGGATTACAAAAAAACCCATATACTATGGGTCTTGCGCCCTTTATAACCGAGTTACAGGGTGTTTTTTGAATTTGGCCCATTTCTTTCGACACCTATAACTTTTGAATCACTCAGTATATTTTTTTGATATTTGGCATAGATATTCTATACCTTTAGGACAATTTATTGCCACATTAAAAAAATTACAAAATCCAGGTCCGGATTTAGAAAAATTAATAAAATTTGACCGACTCTAAAACAACACCCTATACATCATATTTTAAAAAATTGAATTTCAAATTCAGAAAGAGCATAAAAAACTGAATGTATTCATCAACTTTTTATTTTCCTGCATGCCGTTTTTCTACCAAAATTTAAACGTTAAAACGTACATTATGAGATTTTTGGTCCATGTAAATTGTAATTGAAGGGATTTTAATTATTTTTTCTTTAATAAAACCAGGTTTACTTAACACTTTCATGGAAATTCCTGAAATGAACCTATTGAACTTGAATTAACATTCACATAAACCAATAAAAATTACAATTACAGATCCGCACTTAATAAAATTAAAATGATTTCATTTCATTTAATAATTAATTTGAAACATTAAATTTAAAATGAAACACCCTGTATAAGAATGCATAAATGCATTCTTCTAATGTTTATCTTTGTTAACGTTGCATTTCCTTTCAGTTAGAAGCTTTTGTATTTTTAGATTCATTCTTTGTCTAACCACTTGATTATCAACATTAAATAAAATAACAAAATAAAATTTATAATATTTTTTAAAAACGGATTTTCCGAATAAAAATCCTTAATTTAAGCATGTGTTGAGTGACGAAGAAATGGAAGAGACCTTTAAGGTAACTTAATTGAAGGGTAGCAAATATCAGGTAATGTATCCTGCATACTTAGGAATGCAGTTATTATAAATATTTAGGTAAGGTAGACTGGGGCAAATGTAAAAATGGGTTAAATGTAATATTTTTACCTATTTTGTTAATGTTTTTTATTATTTTTATAGTTCTTTTGTGCATTCTTTTGTGAACCAAATATTTTTTTACAATTGCCCCATATGTTTTTCTATATAATTGTATTGCACTTTAGAACCGTTTGTTACATTTACCCCGTACCATGGGGTAAATGTAACATATTGTCAAAATTTTAAAAAATATGTAAAATCGTTTTCTTCCTTTTTCAAAAAAACTTTTTAATACCTTGATTCTTTAATTAAGGAAGTTGTGAATTTAATGTAATATCAGCATTTCTAACAAGAAAAAAAATAAAGCCACATTTTAGGATTTAATTTGAACTATTCAAATTTTAAAAGCGATTTGCCCCAGTCTACCTTACTGGATTCAACTAAATTTTGCAATAATAACCTGAAATCTTATCATTTTTTTTCTATCAATAAACATGTGGCAAGCTATGAAAAATACCCGAAAAATTTCGAGACATAATTAGAAATGTAACTTACTGTTGACCAGTGATGTTAAAATTACTTCATAATATGTAATTAATTACAATTACAATTAAAGTTACAATTACAATCACAATTACTTTGCTTTGGTGTCAGTTTTAAATAATTATTTAGGGATTTGCAATCGGAATTAAACTTTCCACGTATTGAAAATATTAAATAAGTACTTTTGTGTCCAATCTAATTCAAATGTAATTGTAAAATGTAATTGTAATCGTAACGAAAGGAGTGAACTGAATTACAAATGAATTACAATTGAGGGCTTGTAATTAATTACCGCCTCAATTACAATAAAAGTAATTCAATTACTTTTTCAATTACTTGTAATTAATTACTTAACAACACTGCTGTTGACAGGTGTGTGAAGTTGGCACCGCAACTTTAGTTCTCAGTAGTTCTGATTAGAGTTCTGGATTCCTTTTGGATAGTTTAGGAGTTCTTTTGTACAAAAAATAATAGTTCTGGTGTTTTAACACATTATTTTTTTAAATAAAACATGCGGTGCTAACTTCTATTTTATCTCACCCTTTTTTATATCCTAAAATAAAGATACTTACCTCCCAATATAGCGGATATGGTTTTACCAGCAGAGTTGGTCAATTGACCAACAGTTCCCGTGAGAAGATTGACTACTCCATCCGGGGAAGCACAAACGAATGCCAAAACGGCCGCCAAAACGATCTATAATGATAAAAATTACGTACTTGACAGTGTTGTTAAGTAATTAATTACAAGTAATTGAAAAAGTAATTGAATTACTTTTGTTGTAATTGACGCGGTAAATAATTACAAGCTCCTCAATTTTAATTCATTTGTAATTCAATTACTCCTTTCGTTACAATTACAATTACATTTTACAATTACATTGGACACAAAAGTACTTATTTAATATTTTCAATACGTGGAAAGTTTAATTCCGATTGCAAATCCCTAAATAATTATTTAAAATTGACACCAAAGCAAAGTAATTGTGATTGTAATTGTAACTTTAATTGTAATTGCAATTAATTACAATTTGCCAAAAGTAATTGTAATTGTAATTGCAATTAATTACAATTTGCCAAAAGTAATTGTAATTGTAATTAATTACATATTATAAAGTAATTTTAACATCACTGCAGTACTTGATCTACTTAAAGGATTCAAACTTACCAATTTGAACATGATTTCTTTGTAAATGTAGTTAGAACTGACGAGTGGAATAAAATAGCGGCGTTTGTTGTATGAGGAGTATTAAAAAATCGCTGTTTTTATATACGAGAAATAAGCCATCAGTGCGGTAATTAGAATAATCGAAAAACAAAATAGTTATCGATTTCGAAACTTGAATTAATATCGTTCGTTTTAATATAATTTTAAACACCTTGTAGTCGATAGATTTGATAAAAATGTTATTCGATTTGAAATCGATTTACAAAAAATATACGGGGTGTTTAGGGGCTCTAGCGGGGCGGTGGTAAATTGGGCGGAAAATTGTTTTTATTACTTCAAAGCTTTAAAGGGTATTTTAATCCTTGAGTTAAATTGAGCGCAAGAATATTTCATAGAGAAAAGGGAATTATTTGAATTGTGGGAATAACCCCTTTTTGGGTCATATTTGAGTAAAATAGAGTAGAGTAGAGAGTAGAGAATAGAGGGTAGAGGGTAGAGAATAAAAAGTAGAGAGTAGAAAATAAATCTCCCGCCTCTCTTAAATAATTTACTCTTTTTAATATCTAAATGCTTAAAAATTTGTTGGAAATAAAAATGCACCTTCTAAATATTCTAGATTGGGCAATTTAGCAAAAAAATTTCATGAAATTTAGTCAAATTTATCGAGCAAGATAATATTGTTTTTTTATTAGATTTATAATTATAACTTTAATTACCATTATTAAAATATACCTGTGCCGATAAATAGTAATTCATCATTAAATTCCAATTAGTCCCCTACACTAAACACCTATAAAAAGCTTCAAATTGCTCGGATTTGTATTCAATTTGAATAATTTAGTTGAAACTACAACAATGAACAAGGTAAGGCAGGCTTTCTTTAATTAATTAAACATCTACAAAACTTATGAGAAAATTTAACGAAAAAAAATATTTTTTATTACAGTTTATAATCGCCTTTGCTGTAGTCCTCGGCATCGTCGCCGCCTCACCAGATTTATTAAACAACGGCGGTGGGGCCTTTGAAATGGTGGGATCGACCTTAGGAGGAGTCACCACCACCTTGGGCGGTGTAGTAGACAACTTACTTGGAATCGGTAAGTTTGAAAGTTTATTACAAAATTAACAGTTACTAATAATAATGCCCGATTTCACCAACATGTTGTTAGGTATTTCCTAACTAGGTAATTCCTAAGGTAGGAATTACTTAAATCGAATACTTACCTAAATCGAATTTCACCAATATTAGAAATCCCTTACTAAGAAATACCTAGGTAAAAATTTGATTTCGACAATTTTTTGAATTTTATTGGTAGCATTGGCTAATTTTGACGTGTAAACCGAAAAAGCGGAGATCGAAATTGAATATGTTGAGAGAAAAGAAGAGATGTTGATGATTCGGGCCATCTTTAAATTATGTTAGTTATTTTTAAATCTGTTGAAGATGTAGTCTGTACATTATTAGAAAAATAACCTTTCCGATTTGTAAAATATTTCTGCATTTTCTCCTCCAGGACTATGGATCTTTACATGCATGTGTACGGTCAATAGTTCCAAAAACTTCCTGTGTAAATTAAAAATCATCTTTTATTCTTTCTGATATTTGTAATGCCGTATTTTTATATATCGAAAAAGGCGAAAAAAATCAGTTTCGTCCAGTTTCTAAAAACTCTCCTCCCATTTTAAATTTTCATCTAAAGAGTCTAAAGACAGTCAAGCCTTAAGTCACATGAAATCACATGAAAAGTATGGTTAAGTATTTCCTAAATGTTTTAGGCAAGCCCAGTGAGATGTCCTAACTTTAGGCATTTCCTATTACCTTTAGGTATTACTTAGTGCATGGTGAAACGCAAATTGTACTTAGGAATTCCTAAATCCGGTTTAGGTATTACCTAACTTTAGGAACTGGTTGGTGAAATCGGGCATTAATAAGTGGCGATTTTTTAATTAGGCAAACGTCAGATGAAGTCTAAAAAAGCAACAATTTTAAGAATAGCAACAATTCTTTAAGAGCGTTTTCATACAGTGCAATATATTGCAGCTGTTTATTGCACCGCAATAATCCGTTGAAAACGCTCTAAAGCTGAAGTCATGATATTAATTTTGATCTCATTTCTCAAAAATGGTTCTAGATAAATCGGAACAATTAGTATAATGCTCACATTTTCAGAATTATTAGAGTTTATAATTTAGCGAGGGAAGGCTCAGAAGAAAAATGTGGACCAGGGGCCTGTTTCATATAACTGACAAGTTAACAAGTTACAAGTCGACAAGTTACAAGTGTTGGTTGAAAAGTATTTAAAAATTTCGTTTCATAAAATAAATTTCGACACTTGTCGAATTAAATTTTTGGCATCCGTTTTTTCTACAACTGTAATATTAATTAAACGTCAGGCTTAAGCCAAAAAGAAAAAATTAGTACTTACTATACTGAGGAGCATAAGCATAGCACAACCTTCGTTTTTCGATATTGGGAGACTTTTACTTTGAATTTTTTTTTTCTCGTTGGAGCTATTTTTAGATGTGAACCACGACAATTTCGTTTATTGACAAAAAACTTATTTCTAAAATGCAGCAACATTTATTTAATATTCAATTATTTTGATAAAGAAAGTGCATTCTATTTGGAAAATTTAGTTCCACATCTACAAAAGCTATAAAATGTGAGCATTGAAATGAACAAAGACAATGCATAATTTCTATACGTTGGTTCTATACATTAGGCGGGGACCAATAGATTTTATTATTTCCTCCATTTTTATCGAATTCATTCGAAATCTTTTAATAAACTTTCATTAAGCTTCCTCCTCACTGTCGCTAGACCACATTTTCTTTTAAATTTACAAGAAAATCGGATGATGACAGGAAATCAAATCCCTGTCGCTTTACACTAATATATGATAGGAATAAATGACAATTGTTGTTTAATTTATTTTTTATGAAACGCAAACCTATCTACAATTGTAAAACAGACTTGTAATATTAGGCTAGTCACTTGTCACTAATAATCTACTCGTGTAATTTTATGAAACACAAACTTGTCAAATACCCCAATCAAATTTAGACTACACTTGTCCGACAGGACTTGTCAGTTATATGAAACAGGCCCCTGACTATCTCCTGAGCCCTTCTACATTTCAACTTCAATAAACCTATGTGTGTTTCAGGAGAAAAAATCACCACAATCCCTTGGATCGACTTGTACCGGTACTTCGCCGTGACTCACGGCATTAACAAAATCCCCGGATCGAATTACTGCACTTGCCCGTACGTTTACAAGGGAATAATGCCCAAAGTTCCCTCCACGGGATTGGTGAACGGCGTCGTGGACACCGTCGGTGACGTGGTGAACACCGCTGGAAATATTGTGGTCAACGGAATCACCAATCCCGTCAAGTCTCTTTTAGCAGTCTAAGGCATCCTACTGTTGGGAGTTTCGAAATTCAAAATACACGTTATTAATGTAGTTTGTTTTTTATTAGCGGAATTGACCGGTGTCCTTTTGCGTGATTTCAGAAAAGATTTATGTAGGGTGTTAATTAATTGAGTGCCGAAACTTCAGGATGTGAATATTTGGATGATTTTAAGAAGAAAAGTTTATATCAATATATAAAACTAATAGGTTTAAGACATATACAGGGTGTCTCATAAGTTGATACTTTTTTTTAACTGCGTATAAATCTTTTAATTCTAAGCAACTTTTTCAAGTAAAATTTTTTAATATTCTGGAAAATAAGAGAGCATGTTTTTTTTCAATTTTTAATTATTAAAAAGTTAGTTAATACGGCCCTGTTCATTAAAAGTTAAAGGAACTGCTCAAAATTGTCGCCATTTTGAATGGAAACGCTTTGGAAACACTCTCCATAAATAATCAGCATCACCAATTTATTATTTGTATAAAGATTAGCCATTTTCAATTCAACAATCGAAAAAAATTAAATTTTTGTTAATAATTATTTATTAGTTTTTTGACACCTGTATTGTAATGGCAGGTACGTATTGGAAAATATTCGAAATTTAAAGAAATTTTAAAAATTTCCATCTTTTTTATTTTTCAGAATATTAAAAAAAATACTCGAAAAAGTTGCTTAGAAAAGTTCTATACGCAGTTAAAAAAATTAACTTATGAGACACCCTGTATTGATATAAACTTTTCATCTTAAAATCATCCAAATATTTACAACCGGTTGATCCATTTCCGTTTGCAACATGGTCATTTCTATGAGTGGAACAAAGAAAGATTATTAAAATGACAGTTGTCAGAGTGACAAGTTGCAATGACACAAATGTCACTCTTTCCTTTTCCTTTGTAAGTGTCTAATGGAAGTTGTCTTTATCGCACCCATGGCCTATTATTTCAAAAACTACTGGATTTGGGTATAGGGAACACCCATATGGATCGAAAAGGCTTAAAAAACTGCATTGGTCACTGTTAAAAAATACAGGGTGATCCATTTGAAATAACAAAGTTATGACCACTTTAATTTGGCCAAGTTTGTCGGACAATTTTAAACGCCCTGTACATGCATTCTAAAAATACCGTTTATAGTTTCATTTAGTAGTATGTCTGGACATCATCGATACTCAAATTCAAACTTCTAGCTGCATTATTAACAGAGATATCACAGAAAATACATTCGACTGTTTTTCCAAAAAATATCAAAAAAATTGTAATATCTTAAAAATGGTGCATTTTTGGCATATGATGTTATTATCAAAGTCTAGTTAAAAAAGGCCATAGAATTCAAAAATGAAGTTAAAAATGGCACTTTACATATAAAATAACGAAGTTGGTGTCAACTTCCGGTATAACCGGAAGTGTAATCAAAATGAAAATATTTTAGATCAATTCATATTATCCAAAAAATACTATAACCAAAATTTCAGATTTTTAAGTCTTTTCATTATTGAGATACTTTTAATGGACGGTTTAATGGCTTAAATGGACCTGTATGTCCTAAACCTCTTAATCTACGAGTTACAGGGTGTTACAGTTTTAGAAAAAAAAACTTTTCTATCGTAATTTTCTTATTCTTATATTAAAATCATACAAATATTCACATCCAGCAAGGTCAAAGATATTCGAACCTGCGGTGAAAAACTCTTTATTGCATACGAATTATGAAAGGTAAACTTCAAAACTGCAATATTTCATAAAAAAACAATATATTTGTTCATCTTATCTACAAATCCATACAAAATTCCGAAAGGAATTCAACCAACATGGTGAATTTACCGCAATCTCCGCCGTTCGTTTTGTAAAATTCCACAAACTGGTTCATGAAGCTGCAAACTCCATTTATGATACTCTAAAAACAACAAACAACCATTTAATAACTATACTCTAAATCCAAAATAGTAGGCACTAAATTTTCGGAAATATTATCGCAATAAAACGAAAATATTGTGTCAGGTTGCGATTCTTGATATTTAAGCATCTTCTATTTAAATAATTTACAAGCTGCTAAAGAGCCATAGAATAACGGCTAACTAATAACGAAAACTTCACTATCATTTCTGAGAATTTAGTGCCTACTATTTTGGGAATTAGAGTATAGTATATATGATAGGCGGCGCACCTATCGCTCAGCTTGAATTCTCCGCTCCTTTTCTAGCACAAACCTCCACTTACACCGATAGTAAAGGAACGAGAATTCGAATTCCAATAATGAGTACTTTTATGCTCATCCACTCTATCTATCCAGCTCTCTTATTACAAAACTCGCTTATCGGCTCGGGAGGGGCTCCGCCCCTCCACCCCCGACATTTACATATCCGATTCTCGCTCGCTGCGCGAGCTCGAGTTTATTGGTAATTGCAATAATGGGCTCTGCCGAATAGACCCGCAGCTCGGAGGCCTAACGGCCTCCTACGCAAAGACAGTTGTACAGGGTGTTTCACAACTTATCCGACAAATTTTAACCACATATGCACTGTTACGAGAGAAGTTAATTTCCCAAAAAAAATTGTAATAAAAGTCTTACAGAAATCGAGATAATAAAATAATAGTTTAACAGTTCAATTACTTATACAAGATGTTCAAAATTGTTCCCATTTACTGCAATGCAAGCTTGAGTGTTTGTTTTTTTTTGTTTTAACCATTGTTTTGGTGCAACATTTGCTACAGTAAAGTATTAAGGCAAAATTATGAATGCAAAATGCAGTATTTATTTTTCAATTTTTTATTGAAACTCGGGTTTCTAATTTTATTTCTGTAGGACTTTTATTACATTTTTTTGAGATTTCTCAAAGAGAGAGAAGTTGATTTCTCAAAAAAATGTAACAAAAGTCTTACAGAAATAAAATTATAAACCAGAGTTTCAATAAAAAATTGAAAAATAAATACTGCATTTTGCGTTCATAATTTTGCCTTAATACTTTACTGTAGCAAATGTTGCACCAAAACAATGGTTAAAACAAAAAAAAAACAAACACTCAAGCTTGCATTGCAGTAAATGGGAACAATTTTGAACATCTTGTATAAGTAATTGAACTGTTAAACTATTATTTTATTATCTCGATTTCTGTAAGACTTTTATTACATTTTTTTTGGGAAATTAACTTCTTTCATAACAGTGCATATGTGGTTAGAATTTGTCGGATAAGTTGTGAAACACCCTGTATAGCCGGATCTTCGCTCGCTTCGCTCGCTCGGTTTATGTAATTAACGTTTCCTTAAAAACGAATCGCCCTATACTATATTTCAATTTAATTAAAAATAATTTTTCACTTAAGATAAAAAAAACGCCCCGTATATCAATTTTTCCGATTTCCTTAATGAAAAAACACCCTGTACATCAAATTAAATGTCAACATATCCATAGAAACGCAAAAGTCATCCATTTTGTCTTTCATTCGGGAATGATCGTACGTCATCGTAGATCTGAAAGTTTTCACTTCCGGTTCGACGGCTGCCGTACAATATGCAACGATTTCGAAAAATCTTTATAATTCGATAAATAATAATTAAGAAAATGGGAAAAAAATTTGGTAGATAGAAAAATGTCGTATCTATAAATTTTCGCTTTCAAAATTTTCTTAAAGATGGTAGTTTCCGAGTTTTGGCGTTACAAACTTGAAGACAATTTAAAAACGGTTTTTTCGAAAAAACTCGAAAAGTACAGATCGGAAAAACACCCGGTCTCTTTTGTTTTGAATGACCCTACGAATTTGGGCCTTACAGCTTTATAGTATGTCCGATTTCACCAACATGTTGTTAGGTATTTCCTAACTAGGTAATTCCTAAGGTAGGAATTACTTAAATCGAATACTTACATAAATCGAGTTTCACCAATATTAGAAATCCCTTACTAAGAAATACCTAGGTAAAAATTTGATTTTGACAATTTTTTGAATTTTATTGGTAGCATTGGCTAATTTTGATGTGTAAACCGAATAAGCGGAGATTGAAATTGAATATGTTGAGAGAAAAGAAGAGATGTTGACGATCCGGGCCATCTTTAAATTATGTTAGTTATTTTTAAATCTGCTGAAGATGTAGTCTTTACATTATTAGAAAAATAACCGTTCCGATTTGTAAAATATTTCTACATCTTCTTCTCCCAGGACAATGGATATTTACATGCTTGTGTACGGTCAATAGTTCCAAAAACTTCCTGTGTATCAAATTAAAAATCATCTTTTATTCTTTCTGATGTTTGTAATGCCGTATTTTTATATATCGAAAAAGGCGAAAAAAAAAATCAGTTTCGTCCAGTTTCTAAAAACTCTCCTCCCATTTTAAATGTTCATCTAAAGAGTGTAAAGACAGTCAAGACTTAAGTCACATGAAATCACATGGAAAGTATGGTTAAGTATTTCCTAAATGTTTTAGGCAAGCTCAGTGAGCTGTCCTAACTTTAGGCATTTCCTATTACCTTTAGGTATTACTTAGTGCATGGTGAAACGCAAATTGTACTTAGGAATTCCTAAATCCGGTTTAGGTATTACCTAACTTTAGGAACTTGTTGGTGAAATCGGGCATTAGTGACTCACCCGTTCGTAATCCCTTCGAAAAAAACCAGTGCACTGTCGTTCGAAGCTGTCGCACGATAAGACTTTTTCTTCGATCAGAAACGCCACGAAGCGGGCGTAATTGCGCCAACAGTCGCCCGGATTGGGCGATTCGCCCAATAGGGCGACGTTCCTGGGACACAGCAAATCCTTAAACAAATCCTCCGTCGAGCGGCAATGTCTCCGCCAAATGTCTATCAACTTTGCTTGGGTTTTTCTATCCATCAAATCCGGCCTGAAGGCAACTGAAATGCAAAAAAAAGGGATTTGTTTTAAAACAGTTTCACTATTACTATAAAGCTGTAAGGCCCAAATTCGTAGGGTCATTCCCGAGATTTTTTTTACGGCCGCCGTTCGTCTTTTTCGACCGGGAAAAGTATCGAATCCTATGGAAACGCGCACGCCCGATCGAAATATCGACGTTTCGACTCGATCAAATTTCATCTTCAGCGTCAAATGAGCGAAATAAACGGTTTTTTTTCGGTTTTTCGCACGTTTCTCGAATCGGGTTCGTTCGATTCGCTTCAAAACCTCCCAAAAGATTCTCCATCGGTTCTCTCGACTTTCGTACATAGCCGTTTTCCAGGAAAAAATCGTTTTGGGAAAATATCGTGGAAAATAGTTTTCGAGGGTTTTCTAAAAATCGAAATAATTCGTAAACGGTAATTTACGAACATTTTTCATACTTGCAAAATAATTGAAAATTCTTTTTTCCATCCGACAAAAGAGACCGGGTGTTTTTCCGATCTGTACTTTTTGAGTTTTTTCAAAAATACCGTTTTTAAATTATCTTCAAGTTTGTAACGCCAAAACTCGGAAACTACCATCTTTAAGAAAATTTTGAAAGCGAAAATTTATAGATACGACATTTTTCTATCTACCAAATTTTTTTCTCATTTTCTTAATTATTATTTATCGAATTATAAAGATTTTTCGAAATCGATGCATATTTTACGGCAGCCGTCGAACCGGAAGTGAAAACTTTTCGATCTACGATGACGTACGATCATTCCCGAATGAAAGACAAAATGGATGACTTTTGCGTTTCTATGGATATGTTGACATTTAATTTGATGTACAGGGTGTTTTTTCATTAAGGAAATCGGAAAAATTGATATACGGGGCGTTTTTTTATCTTAAGTGAAAAATTATTATCGCTGATAAGCGAGTTATTGTATAAAATTGAAGTTTCTCTGCATGTATGACACGAATTATAACCACTCAATCCTATTTGGACAATACTTGTCTTGTAAATCAAAGGAGTGCAATAGTTTTCAGGTCAAAAATGCATATAAAAGAGGACGAGGAAGAAGTTTTTTAGCAAAACAATAACCGTATAAAGTGTCATTAACTTACTACTTAAAACTTATTTCCGACTTACTCAACAACAATGCGAGTTCGAACATCAAATTGGAGATATTGAAAACGATGAAATCGTTGAGATCGCAACGTTGCTCCAAAGATTCCTTAACATCCTTCAGTAACACGTCCAATAGATTACCATCGATGTAGTCCTTACGCTCTAAAACATCCACCGATAGTGTCTGAAACGCGTCTGTTTATTAGACTAAGTACAAATTTATCTAACGTTGAATTGTAACCATTAATCAAATAGAACTATGTATATTCGTGGAGCTTACTCTAATTTTATCAGCTATTCGAAATCCGCTGGAGAGGCTATCGTCGTGCTGTGGCCTCTTACCAGACGGCGGTAGGACAAACACAGGTTTCTCGTCCGCCGGTTTTCTTTTAATAACGTCGAAACATTTATCGATGTCTTTCGAGAAGATATTGATGGTTAATTGATCGTTCGTCCACTTGTGTATCCTTTCTTTGCAATTTTTGGTCGTTATCGATACGCAAGTTAATTTCACTTGCGGCAGGGAATCGACCGGTAGAAGACTGTCGAACGATTTTGGTATTCGATCGCCCAGCATTATCGATAGTTCTTCCTTGCATTTCGATTGTAGCGCAGCGAGTTTTTCGTGCGCTAAATGGCGAGTTTTTATTTTAACGACGTCCATTGATGTACCATAAGTTAGTTGACTGTTGACGAAGTCTCTAAATTCGTTGAAAGCTGTTTTTTTGCAAGATGGTACGATGGTATTACAAATGTGTTTGATGCAAGTTGAAGACACTCTTTCGGACACGAATTCGACAGTTTTCTTCACCGATTCCGGTTGATTGTTGAAGAAAGCTTCTTCTAGTTGTTGCTAGAAATACAAACACAAACATCACACATAAAGTTTCATAATAATCAAGGGAGTTGATACCTCGCAGCGTTTCTTCGATATCATCTCGGACGATTCCACGGCCGTTACTGGAGTTATGTGCTTCACGGTAACCCCTCTATTGCTGACTAACATCTTTTTCATATCCTCTAAATGGGGGCAACAGGTGAACAAAATACACTCGTCCACTACAGAGGGTTTTTTCGCCCTTAAAGATCCTTTACGATCCACCGCAAACTTATCACGAAACAGGCCGTAATCAGTGTTAGGGAAATGAGGCAACTCGAACAACCAACCCAAGCAAAATCTCACCAAAGCTGCATCGTAATCGACAGTAGTAGACCATTCGCCGTAGGAATGGTATATTCGATATAACATTTTGTACACTGAAAGGTAGTAGGGTAACCGTAATGTTACATAATCCAACATTGATAGGTAGTTCACCAGCCAAGGTATGGTGAGTACGATGCTGTTGCACTCCGATAGGATTTTTTTCACGTCCAACGGAGGGTTCTTCTTTTCCCTGATGCTTATTAATTTGCTGAAAAATGTTATGTATATGTTGGGAGAAAATCAATAAAGCACATCAAAGTACACTCCTGGACAAAATTAACGCAACATCATAAATTTGCCACATTTTTTATGGTATTTTTTTTTGAATTTATGATCCGATTTGGATGATTTTTTTTTTATTATAGGTTGGTTCCTTGACAATGTCATCATTTTCGCTGTTTATGATAAAATGTTCCTTCTCGATTATACCGGGTGTAATAAAATGTAATGTTTTTTTTCCGAAAATTCTTATCACTCTGTGGAGTATACTAACAAACAAGACATATAGCAGTTGAAATTAGACGGTAGATCCATCTTTTGCAAACATTTTCTTTTTTGGTTTACTTCATTATCTCTGTTATTAAAGGAGATACGCCGTTTTATAGCGTAACATGTTTTAATAGACTGTATTATTCAAAACATTCATTGTTAAATGTTTTCAAGTAGGTTTTGGACCTTTTCTGACATTTCAAGCGATGTGTCAATATCGAATACATTATTTGTTATCTGTATAACAAAATAATTCCTGCTCGCTTTGATGAATGAAAACAAAATTAACGAATTACTTTATTTCATAAAGTAAAATTAAGAGTTTATTAAACACATTTTTTTGGAAACGAGTAAAACAAGGAAAGAACATAAATCAAAAACAATAAAATTAATGGATTTATTATGCTAATAACGTGTATGTTCACCTCTACTTCGAATCAATGCTCCATTGCAATATGACTTATTGAATAGCCTTCATCCACCAAAGTTAAGGCTCTTTTACTGCTTTTTCGGTCGATACATTTTTTGGACGATTCATTTTTCAAGATTAAAATAACAAAAAAATGTATTCGATATTGACACATCGCTTGAAATGTCAGAAATGGTCCAAAGCTTACTTGAAAATATTTAACAATGAATGTTTTGAATAATACAGTCTATTAAAACATGTTACGCTATAAAACGGCGTATCTCCTTTAATAACAGAAATAATGAATTAAACCAAAAAAGAAAATGTTGACAAAAGATGGATTTACCGTCTAATTTCAACTGCTATATGTCTTGTTTGCTAGTATACTCCACAGGGTGATACGAATTTTCGGAAAAAAACATTACATTTTTATTACACCCGGTATAATCGAGAAGGAACATTTTATCATAAACAGCGAAAATGATGACATTGTCAAGGAACCAACCTATAATACAAAAAAAAATCATCCAAATCGGATCATAAATTCAAACAAAAAATAGCATAAAAAATGTGGCAAATTTATGATGTTGCGTTAATTTTGTCCAGAAGTTTAGGATACTAATAAAATACATTACCTAGCTCTGGTTTCGTCATAACTGTGTGTTAACCTGTTATAAGGAATCGATTCGATGAAGCCCAGAAATTTCGCTGAAACTCTCATTCGATTTAAGTAGGTTTTCTCATGGCTAACATCAGCGTGAATCGATTCGGATATTTCGCAAATAAGTCCATCACACAGGTGAATGTTAAACGAGTGATTCCCGGCAGTGATAATAAATTCCTTGTAAAATTGTTGGTAACCTGGGAAATCGGGTAGAGAGTTTGAAATATCCGATTGTTTGTTGATTAATCGGTTTTGCAGTTTGCTCAATTTGTTCGGATCGATGGTAGGAAAGGTGCTTGGTAATTTGTCTTCCTAAAAAAATCGTTTATTTATAATACAAAGAAAATGACTTGTAAATACAGGTGTGTGAAGTTGGCACCGCAACTTTAGTTCTCAGTAGTTCTGATTAGAGTTCTGGATTCCTTTTGGATAGTTTAGGAGTTCTTTTGTACAAAAAATAATAGTTCTGGTGTTTTAACACATTATTTTTTTAATTAAAACATGCGGTGCTAACTTCAAACCTAAATTTACAATGGAATAGTTCTGATTAGTTTATTTGATGTATTTTGATGAGTTCTAGAGTTCCTGAATATTAAAAAATAATAATAATAATAATAAATTTCATCAATAAACAAGTATAAACAGTTCAGATCAATTAGATATATTATCAGACAACCCATAACTTTTTAATTATTGAAAAATTCGCAAAATACCATTAAAGTTTCTTGTAGAACTCGTCGAATACTATTCAGAACTGTTATCAGAACTCCTGAGAACTCTCAAAAAAATTCCAAACTCGGACTTTTATTTTTTTTGTATCGAAGTGATTTTTGAGAATATCTCAAAAACTATTGTTTTAATCAAAATTTCTCAGGAGTTCTGATAACAGTTCTGAATAGTATTCGACAAGTTCTACAAGAAACTTTAATTGCATTTTGCGAATTTTTCGAATTTAATATTCAAGAACTCTAGAACTCATCAAAATACATCAGATAAACTAATCAGAACTATTCCATTGTAAATTTAGGTTTGAAGTTAGCACCGCATGTTTTATTTAAAAAAAATAATGTGTTAAAACACCAGAACTATTATTTTTTGTACAAAAGAACTCCTAAACTATCCAAAAGGAATCCAGAACTCTAATCAGAACTACTGAAAACTAAAGTTGCGGTGCCAACTTCACACACCTTGTAAATACCACAAAAAAAACAAAATACTTACTATGAATTGATCGCAAGTGTTGAGCAAATGTAATTTAAACAATCTAGCGAAATGTACAGTATCGCAAACTTCGTTTTGCATGTACAATAAACTCCTAATTTTAGCACCTAATTGCACCTGAAACCGCCATTCAGGCAACAAATGCTCCTTCTCCCAGGATCTCAATATCTCGTAGAACAAATCCCTTTGCTTCTTAAACGCCAAAAAACTATCGTCGGTTATAAAATTACTCCTCGTATCGACTTCTAGATCGAACCTTACATTCGAATTCTCAGTATACTCTCTCACGTAGTCGCTTTTCTTCTCGCATAGCTTCCTCAATTTACGGGAGAATTCAGGCGAGAATTCCTCCAATCGTTTGTTACTCGATAACAGTTTTATCGTGGATTTGTCGTAGTATTCAAGCACGTGAAATTGCGTTTTTAACATCTCTACAGAGAAATATACTAAGTTGTGAATCGAGTTAAAATAATCCAAACAGCTGGATACTTTACAATTCGTTAATAATATGTTCTCGTCATTTAAATCTAGTACTTGTATACCGTCGTCGATTGATGTCGAATCGTACTGTTTCATTACAAGTAAAGATACCAAGTAATGGATTTCTCCTATTATATTTAGCACTAAATTGTGTTTTAAAATCGATGAATAAATTTTGATTAGAATATCGAGTTGATTTTGGTTGAGTACCAATCGTAAACTTGGCTGTATTTCAATGGGCTCTTCTTCGTTTTTCGATTTGACCACAGCTGGGACTTGCCTAGAGGCGATTTTAAGCCTTTCTTGGGCTAGAAATCGCCTATTTTCTTCACCATCTTGTATTACCTCTTTCGTATCGAATTCTGTGTAGCTATTGGTGGTTTTGAATGAGTCTTTAATCGACGTAGGAGTTATTCTTTTATTTGATGATTTTCGTAAAGGAGTTTTCTTCTTGGCGGATTTTGTTACAAGAAAATCGCCCAAACATATAGGTGATTTTGGATGTCTCGGTGTGGTATCTGCTAGATCTTTACCCAAAGGAGTATCACACGAGAATTTTTTTTCAAGTACTTTGACCATCGAACTACTTTTGTTGTCTTTATTATCACGTTTAGATATGGAATTAACATCGTGTTTTAGTTTTAGTTTTCTTGGGGTGCAATTTAATGCGGGCTCATTGAATTTCTTTTGGCTGCAAAACGAAGGAAATTATCAATAGTAGGAATTGTAAATGTAAGATTTAATAATTTACTCGGCGATTTCTTCGTGTATGAAGTTGAGGAAATAGATTAAAAACTCGTTTTGCGTACAATTGTAGTCGGTTTTCTCTTCCTAAAATGATAATTTGAGGTTACGATTGATGTAATTTATTGAGAGGAAAACTTACCTGAGAAAGGAGCCATTTTTGAAATTTACCTAATTCGATTTCACCGTTAGATAAACTATATAATAAGTTATCCGACATTATTATACATATGCAATGTTTTGAAAAATTGAAATATAAAATACAAAATACAAAAGGCGCTAAAATGTAAACACAAGAACACACGTGGGTCCTTTACCTTTACAGTTTACAGTCATCATTTCGGTATTCATGTGTCAAAAAGTCAAATTTCTCTTCTTTTTTATTAATGACTCGTTCTTGTATGTATATATACCCGAAAAGGAGCTCGTATATACAGGGCGTCCCAGGAATGAAAAAGATACAATATACGGTTATATTTTTTTACCATTTATTTCATAAGAACATTCTATGGCGACATAGGGGCAGGACAGGACATTGTTAGGACTGTTTTCTATATATCATGAGAATGGTCTTTTGACTGACGGAGATATACACATTTATTTATTTTAATTACCTTGTAATTTGTATCTACATGTTTTCTGCTAGCATCCTTACTTTTGTAGTAGGAACATTGTGTGTTCTCCTTTAACCAGCAAGTTTCCATTGATTTTATTTTTGATTAAAACCTGCAGAAAAGCCATCGTTTTTCCCACTTTTAACGTATCAGCTTCGATCAGTATTTCTTCGCCCTCTTTAATTCCTTTCAAATATGAAACGTTTATATTTACAGACACACTGGGATGGTTCCCTTTTTCATGGGTAAAGAGAGCATGACTCGAGATGGTGTCTACTAAACTCGCTGCAAATCCTGCTTGCATTGTTCCCATGGAATTCGTGTGTTCTTCTTTCACTTTTAACGTAGCTGTGCATCTTCCTTTGCCCAATTCCACAAGGTTTATTGCTTTCAAGCATTTGTTAAACCTCTTTGTTGTTTCTAGTAGGTTTTTGAACTGTTTAGCGTCGATTGCTAATTTGGCCATTTTGTTTGTATTACATTTGATATTTTACTCATTTTTATCGAATACATTTTGGTAAATAATTATGCAGCTTTTTTTATCGTGTAAAAGTCCTTGATCCTTAATAGATTAAAAAGCAGGACCGGCGTAAGTACAAAGATGTCCGAATTTAATGATTAATATGTCGTTAATTTAATGCAGTTATGTAAATGAAGATAATATTACTTTTTTTATGTATATAAAGTTTTTGTGCATAATGTAAAAATAGTCAATAATTTGAATCATTTTTTGTAAGAAAAATTACTTTAACTACGCCTATGTTGAGCAAATAGCAATGTCATTGGCCCTAATAAAAATGTATATGAACCAATGAGAGAATAGAAATAAATTGACACAGAAATTAACTGACAAGAACAAGGCAGCCTAATGATCGTTAATTTACCTTTATTTTTATTTCGAATCATACACATTCGTATCTAAATAATCCTGAAGCAAATGAATTATTCCACTATTAATTTTTCATTACTAACTTCATTTGGTAGAACGTAGAACCCCCGCTTTGACACTTTTGACAGTATACATTGACAATTGACACATTATTTTTAAATTAAATTTAAAAGAAGATTTGGAGGGCTTCTGTTTGTTTATTTCCAATTCTTCAGATTTGGTGTCCAAAAAATGTTTACAAAACGTTTCAGAGTGCATGTAAACGAGTCTATCAGTTGAAAGTATCGTCTAACAAACCTTCCACAATGTCCAGGAGACAGAGACAGAAACCGTTCTTCGATATGAACGAAGCCGATCATACTCCGGCGAAGAAAAAGAAAACCACCGACGATACCGAGGACGACGGAGCGGAAGAGTCCGGCCGGAGCGCCGGCTTCATAAACCGCATAACGCTCAAGAATTTCATGTGCCATTCCTTGTTGCAGGTCGATTTCACGAACAACGTGAGCTTCATCATTGGCAAAAACGGCAGCGGCAAGAGCGCCATCCTAACGGCTCTAATCCTAGGATTAGGAGGTAAATCGAGCCTCACTAATCGCAGCAGCAACGTGAAAGGTTTCATAAAATTCGGACAATCCTCGGCCAGCATAAACATAGAGTTGCATAACGAAGGATCGATGGCTTATAAACCGGAGGTATACGGTAATACAATTACTGTTATACGTACAATCAGCTCGAGTGGTTCGAGCACGTACAAATTAAAATCTGTAAATGGCGAAACGATCTCGACTAGCACCAGAGAATTAACGAACATTAAGCTGAGCTTAAACATACAAATCGACAACCCCGTTTGTGTATTAAACCAAGACGTATCGAGGAATTTCTTAAGTACAAACAACCCGAAGAACATGTTCGCTATATTCATGAAAGCCACTCGGCTGGAGTTTTTACTCGAAGAGTACGAACGCCTCGAAACCAACAAAAACGAATCGGTGAGAATCCTAGGAGAGAAAATGGAGCAATTGAATCGATTGAAAAACGAAATAACCCAACTCGAAGCGAAGATAAAAGACTACAAGCAAATATCCCAGCTGAAAGACGGGAAATTGTTGCTCAATTGCGAACTAGTCTGGGCGAAAGTGAAAGATTTCGAAAGCGAGCTCGAGGAGATTCGATCGAGACACGAAGTCGCACGAGAAAAGTTCAACAATTTCAAACTCAAATCGGCCAAACGGGCAGACGAATTGAAAGAACTCGACGATGCCAACAACAAACTCAAACGAGAAATATCCAAATTAACCGAAGAAATACAAGCTCTAAAACAACCCGAACTAGCCCTTCGATCCGAATTAGACGAACTATCGAGGAAAATCTCCAACAAAAAACGCGAGAAACAAACCGTTGTAATCACCATACAAAACAAACGAAGGGACATCAAGTCCCTGAACGATAACATAGCTTCCTGGAAAGACCAAATGTCCCAAGCCGAATTGGAGAAAGTCCAAAAAATCCAGAAACTCGAAGGCTACAAATCCAAACTGAAGGGATTCGACGATCACCTCGAAACCATCAAAAACGATTTGTTCCTGATACGAGGCGACCTATCCCATAGGGAAAAGGAGGAAACGGAGATCAGGAACGAAGCCGACCGATTGGCCCGAGAGCTGAACGAAAAGAGGAACAATTTGAACGCCATCAGCGCCGAATCCACCAATAAGTTGCTGTTATACGGAAGGCAAGTGCCCAGAATTAAGGAGATGATCAAACAGTACGGGAGCCGGTTTAAAAAGACCCCTAAGGGACCGTTGGGGTCCTACGTTACCATTAAAGATAAAAAGTGGACTGTAGCTGTCGAAGGTGAGGAGGATTTTAAAAATATGTTAGTGTAGTAAGACCAAAAACTCTATTTTTAGGCGTCATCGGTCCTGCTGTGCTCAAAGCTTTCATCGTCGACAACGTGCAGGACAACAAGCTTCTGATAGAAATTTTCACGAAAGTGCTAGGCCCCACTTCCCATCCGCTAATCATTACATCGGAATTCGTTGGGAAGAAGCACGATGTATCCAGGAACTTGGTACAAGAACCGAAGGGCTGTCGAAGCGTCTACAACGCCATCGACATCGAAGATCCCGTCGTTTCCAATTGCATAGTGGACAATTGCGGTCCGGAGAATATACTTCTTGTACCGTCCAATGATATGGCTCAGCAGTTGCTCTCCGAGAGGCGAAACGTGCCGAGGAATTGTTATCAGGGCATCACGGAAAACGGTAAGGAAATTATCTGTCAAACGATTGAGAAGGAGAATAGGTATGATCTTTTTTCCATCTCCGTTTCACCTATGATTAATGTCAAATGACGTCATGATTGATTCCTGATGGAATTGATTTATGTGAATATATGAACAAATTGCTGGATGGTTGGAAATTTTGACGTTGACGTTGACAAGTTGAATTTGAATTTTTAAATGTGAGGGAAATTATAAAAAATGGAGTTTTATTTGATTGCAAAAATAAGTTATATTCATCCGATTCATTATCAGAACCTGAAAGTGAAGAGTCCTCAAATAACAGTGGCAGTGATGAGTTATTGGAACTATTTTTAATAAACAAAGAAATCAATAAAACTCATGCAATAGCAGATTTCGGAATCCATTGCAAATTGCAAAACCAGCAAAACAAATTAAAAAATTGAATGCACGTTGAATGCGCAACTTCAGCATGGAACATCAGATCATAACCGAAACCGATCATGGAATGAAAAATATGGGTTATAATTCATCTGTCAACCAGATCCATCCTCTTCAAAATCCGATTAATCAGATGACTAATCGCTGTTTCATCGATGAGAAAAAGATCGTTGACAGATGACAAACGTTTAAAAAATCGCTGAATAAATGAACAGTTTGATGACATCGGTTGTTCAACCGCTGAATAAAAGATCACACCTAATGTTGTGCTGAGATCTTGTGGATTAATAACGTTTTTTTTTTTTTTAGGTGATATTTATTACCCGGATCCTAATTATAGGACTTATGCATCGATGTACCACAGGGCTCAGTATTTGCAGGTCGATACTAAGGAATACATTAGGGAATTGAAGGAGACTATTGAGAATTTGGAGAATAAACATCGAAATGCTACACAGCAATTGAAAACGTTCCAGCAAGATACACACAAAAAAGTAAATAATTTACATTCTTTAATGTGCATAACTACTATTATTTTCGTATTTACTACCTTTATTTGATATACTCTATTTAAAAACTATGAGGAGCGATTCGAATTTAAGTTGGCAACAATCGCGTGGATGATTTTTTTTGTATTGTAGGTTGGTTCCTTGACAATGTCATCATTTTTGCTGTTTATGATAAAATGTTCCTTTTCGATTATACCGGGTGTAATAAAAATGTAATGTTTTTTTTCCGAAAATTCGTATCACCCTGTGGAGTATACTAACAAACGAGACATATAGCAGTTGAAATTAGACGGTAGATCCATCTTTTGCCAACATTTTCTTTTTTGATTTACTTCATTATCTCTGTTATTAAAGGAGATACGCCGTTTTATAGCGTAACATGTTTTAATAGACTGTATTATTCAAAACATTTATTGTTAAATGTTTTCAAGTAGGCTATGGACCTTTTCTGACATTTCAAGTGATGTGTCAATATCGAATACATTATTTGTTATTTTAATCTTGAAAAATGAATCGTCCAAAAAATTTATCGACCGAAGAAGCAGTAAAAGCCTTAACTTTGGTGGATGAGGGCTATTCAATAAGTTATATTGCAATGGAGCATTGATTCGAATTAGAGGTGGACATACACGTTATTAGCATTATAAATCCATTAATTTTATTGTTTTTGATTTATGTTCTTTTCTTGTTTCACTCGTTTCCAAAAAAAATGTGTTTAATAAACCCTTAATTTTACTTTATGAAATAAAGTTATTCGTTAATTTTGTTTTCATTCATCAAAGCGAGCAGGAATTATTTTGTTATACAGATAACAAATAATGTATTCGATATTGACACATCGCTTGAAATGTCAGAAAAGGTCCAAAGCCTACTTGAAAACATTTAACAATGAATGTTTTGAATAATAAAGTCTATTAAAACATGTTACGCTATAAAACGGCGTATCTCCTTTAATAACAGAGATAATGAAGTAAACCAAAAAAGAAAATGTTGGCAAAAGATGGATCTACCGTCTAATGTCAACTGCTATATGTCTCGTTTGCTAGTATACTCCACAGGGTGATACGAATTTTCGGAAAAAAACATTACATTTTTATTACACCCGGTATAATCGAAAAGGAACATTTTATCATAAACAGCGAAAATGATGACATTGTCAAGGAACCAACCTATAATACAAAAAAAATCATCCAAATCGGATCATAAATTCAAACAAAAAATAGCATCAAAAATGTGGCAAATTTATGAAGTTGCGTTAATTTTGTCCAGGAGTTTATATTCACATACATCAATTCCATCAGGAATCAATCATGACGTCATTTGACATTAATCATAGGTGAAACGGAGATGGAAAAAAGATCATACCTAGAGTATAGTACAATTGAATTAATTGTGACGCTTTTTTCAGGTGACCAGGCAACGCGAATTGGAAGAAAAAGTACGAAGCGTAACCCAAGCCAGGGCGACGATCAGAAATCGATTGGACGAGCTGAGCTCGAGCACAGTACCTGAGGCTCAGAACGTCAGATTCCTCGAAGAGGACCTCGACAAGTGCCTGAAAACCGTCGAGGAAAAACTCGCCGAACTCGAGACCATCAACGCAGCAATAGACACATTAGAAGCCTCCATTCGAGAGAAACAAGACGAATGTTCCGACGCCAAAAACTCTGCAAAACAATACGAAGAACGAGTGCGGACATTAAACGAAGAAATCCGCGAAAACTCGGTGAAAAAGAACGAGCTGTGCACAAACCACGACTACACATCGAGATTATCAGAGGAGCTGAATAACAGAGCAGCCAAAATCGAGGCCGAGTTGCAAATCAAGCGCAAGGAAGTGGAGAAATACTCGAACGAAGCCAGCAAAGTAGGCAACCGGCCTGCCTATCTCCGAGAAGTCAACGTAATAGTAAACGAAATCGAAAAGATCAAGCACAAAATCACCAGCATCGAAGTCTACACGGAGAACATCGATGATTTAATCGGTAAACACAAGGAGCTGTCTCTCACTTACACCAATTCGGTGGATTTCATCAACACTTTAGACTCCACCGTGAACGTTTTATCGGAGGGTCTTTCGAGGCGAAGCAAACACTACAAACTCACCGAGAACTTCTTCACCATGTTCATGAAGATCTCGTTTAAGAAGATACTGGAATCCAGGCAGTTCAAGGGCGATTTGGAGATCGATTTGAAAGGGAAAAAAATAGGATTGACTGTGATACCTCAACACGGGTCTCAAGGGCATTCGAACACTTCGAATCTATCGGGGGGCGAACGGAGTTTTTCTACAGTGTCTTTTTTGTACGCTTTGTGGCAGTGCACCGATTTGCCGTTTTATTTTCTCGACGAATTCGATGTGTATATGGACAAATTGAACCGGGCTAAAATCATCGATATACTTTTGCATCACGCCAAATCGAGGCCTTATCTTCAGTTTGTGTTTCTGACGCCGCAGGACGTTTCGTTTTTGGGCGACGACGTGACCGTTTTGAAGCTGGAAGATCCCAGAAAGAATAATAATAGTAGGTGAATTTAAGATGAGTCGTTTTGTAAATTGTATTTTTTTATACGAGTTTATTGTTTTATTTCTTATTGATGAATTATTGGCATTTTGTATAGTTTTATGGATTAGTTCTCCAGAACCAAAAATATACATAGATGTTGAAGTGTGAATATTGTTTAAAAATGTTTTCATTAAAGTATTTTTCTAAAGGTGCGTTTATATTTCTTGTTCCTTTTCTTAGTATTCGGATTAGCCAATAATTATTGAATGAATATTACTTAGCTTGGTGTTTCTAAATATCATACTTGAAGATTATTATAAATTGATTATTTTTGTGAATGGAACAACTCTAAATAGAGGCTTTTATATTGGTAGTGCACCAAAAATGACCCATTTTCTTGATTTTTTTTCTTTTTTTAGATATATTTTAGGTTAGGAAGGGAATATCGAGATGCGGTTTTCACAGGCTTGTTTGGCAATTATTTGACTATTTTCCTCCAAAGAAAAAGTTATATCGTTGCATTTAAATTTTTCGAGAAAATCGGTGTATTTTGAAGTAATGTCGAAAAACGCCATCTTGCGGCCTAGCAAGCAATTAAAATAATATCTTACATAGTGTAAATTGTAGACCAAAGAAAGCCCTTTTCAACAATTTCATTTTTTTGAAAATCGGATTAGCCGTTTAAGAGTTATTAACATTTATTTGTCAAAATATTCAAACCACCCCCACCACTTTATTTTAAAAGATAGAGTCAAAAATATATAACAAAAAATAATCGAAAATATCTTAACTATCAAAATAAAACACATTTTTGATACCTTTATTTAGGAAAATTTTGAAAAAACTGACTTTTAAAAATCAAGATGGCGGATACTCCCCGTAGCGGCCATTTTAGAGAACTAAAAATTATTTCCAGCATTTTCTTTTGGGAAATTTAGTCATAAGATTTTTACCGCAAGTCTTTACGATAATTAGTTTGCGAGATATGGCCGAGAGCCTTTCTTAGAGGACCACCCTGTACCAGTGCCGGATTTAGATTATTAAAGGCCCTAAGGTATTTGCGCATTTACATCTCATTTTTAGGTTTGTAAATTACACGAGATAATAAAATAATGAATAAAATCAATAGAAATCATCAATACCAATTTCATCTTGAGGCTCTAGGTTGAAGCCTAGATAAAAAGTCCGGCCCTGTCTTGTACATTTCGATTGCCCAGGGGTAAATAACACACTTTTGCCAATGACGGAATTAAATAATTAATTCTCGACGAATTCGATGTGTATATGGATAAATTGAACCGGGCTAAAATCATCGATATACTTTTGCATCATGCCAAATCGAGGCCTTATCTTCAGTTTGTGTTTCTGACGCCGCAGGACGTTTCGTTTTTGGGCGATGACGTGACAGTTTTGAAGCTGGAAGATCCCAGAAAGAATAATAATAGTAGGTGAATTTAAGATGAGTCGTTTTGTAAATTGTATTTTTTTATACGAGTTTATTGTTTTATTTCTTATTGATGAATTATTGGCATTTTGTATAGTTTTATGGATTAGTTCTCCAGAACCAAAAATATACATAGATGTTGAAGTGTGAATATTGTTTAAAAATGTTTTCATTAAAGTATTTTTCTAAAGGTGCGTTTTTATTTCTTGTTCCTTTCCTTAGTATTCGGATTAGCCAATAATTATTGAATGAATATTACTTAGCTTGGTGTTTCTAAATATCATACTTGAAGATTATTAATAAATTGATTATTTTTGTGGATGGATCAACGCTAATTAGAGGCTTTTATATTGGTAGTGCACCAAAAATGACCCATTTTCTTGATTTTTTTTCTTTTTTTAGATATATTTTAGGTTAGGAAGGGAATATCGAGATGCGGTTTTCACAGGCTTGTTTGGCAATTATTTGACTATTTTCCTCCAAAGAAAAAGTTATATCGTTGCATTTAAATTTTTTGAGAAAATCGGTGTTTTTGGAAGTAATGTCGAAAAACGCCATCTTGCGGCCAAGCAAGCAATTAAAATAATATCTTACATAGTGTAAATTATAGACCAAAGAAAGCCCTTTTCAACAATTTCATTTTTTTGAAAATCGGATTAGCCTTTTAAGAGTTAACATTTATTTGTCAAAATATTCAAACCACTCCCACCACTTTATTTTAAAAGATCGAAGTCTACACGGAGAATATCGATGATTTAATCGGTAAACACAAGGAGCTGTCTCTCACTTACACCAATTCGGTGGATTTCATCAACAGTTTAGATTCCACCGTGAATGTTCTATCGGAGGGTCTGGCGAGGCGAAGCAAACACTACAAACTCACCGAGAACTTCTTCACCATGTTCATGAAGATCTCGTTTAAAAAGATACTGGAATCCAGGCAGTTCAAGGGCGATTTGGAGATCGATTTGAAAGGGAAAAAAATAGGATTGACTGTGATACCTCAACACGGGTCTCAAGGGCACTCGAACACTTCGAATCTATCGGGGGGTGAAAGGAGCTTTTCTACGGTGTCTTTTTTGTACGCTTTGTGGCAGTGCACCGATTTGCCGTTTTATTTTCTCGACGAATTCGATGTGTATATGGATAAATTGAACCGGGCTAAAATCATCGATATACTTTTGCATCACGCCAAATCGAGGCCTTATCTTCAGTTTGTGTTTCTGACGCCGCAGGACGTTTCGTTTTTGGGCGACGATGTGACCGTTTTGAAGCTGGAAGATCCCAGAAAGAATAATAATAGTAGGTGAATTTAAGATGAGTCGTTTTGTAAATTGTATTTTTTTATACGAGTTTATTGTTTTATTTCTTATTGATGAATTATTGGCATTTTGTATAGTTTTTATGGATTAGTTCTCCAGAACCAAAAATATACATAGATGTTGAAGTGTGGATATTGTTTAAAAATGTTTTCATTAAAGTATTTTTCTAAAGGTGCGTTTATATTTCTTGTTCATTTCCTTAGTATTCGGATTAGCCAATAATTATTGAATGAATATTACTTAGCTTGGTGTTTCTAAATATCATACTTGAAGATTATTAATAAATTGATTATTTTTGTGGATGGAACAACGCTAATTAGAGGCTTTTATATTGGTAGTGCACCAAAAATTACCCATTTTCTTGATTTTTTCTTTTTATTAGATATATTTTATATTAGAAAGGGGATATCGAGATGCGGTTTTCACAGGCTTGTTTGGCAATTATTTGACTATTTTTCTCCAAAGAAAAAGTTATATCGTTGCATTTAAATTTTTTGAGAAAATCGGTGTTTTTTGAAGTAATGTCGAAAAACGCCATCTCGCGGCCAAGCAAGCAATTAAAATAATATCTTATATAGTGTAAATTATAGACCAAAGAAAGCCCATTTCAACAATTTCATTTTTTTGAAAATCGGTTCATCCGTGTAAAAGTTATTAACATTTATTAGTCAAAATATTCAAACCACCCCCACCACTTTATTTTAAAAGATAGAGTCAAAAATATATAACAAAAAATAATCGAAAATATCTTAACTATCAAAATAAAACACATTTTTGATACCTTTATTTAGGAAAATTTTGAAAAAAATGACTTTTAAAAATCAAGATGGCGGATACTCCCCCTAGCGGCCATTTTAGAGAACTAAAAATTATTTCCAGCATTTTCTTTTGGGAAATTTAGTCCTATTTCGATTGCCCAGAGGTAAATAACACACTTTTGCCAATTACGGAATTAAATAATTTTCGAAATATACAAAAAGTTTTATTAATGACTGCTCATTACTGAAAACCAGCAATTATTTATATGAACAGGTTATTTACCTGCCAGCTAATTCAGCAAATTATATTAATTACACTTTGAGCCAATTTAATAAATAATTATGATTAAAAACACATTAAATTAGTCTCTCAATTCTATTGGGGCCTATTTCATATAACTGACAAGTCCTGTCGGACAAGTGTAGTCTAAATTTGACTGGAGTATTTGACAAGTTTGTGTTTCATAAAATTACACGAGTAGATTATTAGTGACAAGTGACTAGCCTAATATTACAAGTCTGTTTTACAATTGTAGATAGGTTTGCGTTTCATAAAAAATAAATTAAACAACACTTGTCATTTATTCCTATCATATATTAGTGTAAAGCGACAGGGATTTGATTTCCTGTCATCATCCGATTTTCTTGTAAATTTAAAAGAAAATGTGATCTAGCGACAGTGAGGAGGAAGCTTAATGAGAGTTTAATAAAATATTTCGAATGAATTTGATAAAAATGAAGGAAATATTAAAAACCAACGTATAGAAATTATGCATTATCTTTGTTCGTTCCAACATTTTATAGCTTTTGTAAAAGTGGGACTAAATTTTCCAAATAGAATGCCCTTTCTTTATTAAAATAATTGAATATTAAATAAATGTTGCTGCATTTTAGAAATAAGTTTTTTTGTCAATAAACGAAATTGTCGTAGTACACATCTAAAAATAGCTCCAACCAGAAAAAAAAACAATTTCAAAGTAAAAGTTTCCCAATATCGAAAAACGAAGGTTGTGCTATACTTATGTTCCTCAGTATAGTAAGTACTATTTTTTTCTTTTTGGCTTAAGTCTGACGTTTAATTAATATTAGAAATTGTAGAAAAACGGATGCCAAAAATTTAATTCGACAAGTGTCGAAATTTATTTTATGAAACGAAATTTTTAAATACTTGTCAACCAACACTTGTAATTTGTCGACTTGTAACTTGTCAACTTGTCAGTTATATGAAACAGGCCCCTGGTCATTTATTTGAGGGATGTAAAAACCAAATTTTGTAATTTTTTGCCAATTTAAAGTGCAAATTCTAATGTTTTTAACTACAAGCTAGGATTCTTAACACTTTTATTGCTAAAATGAAGATTTTCGCGATTGCTAAGCGCAAAAATTGTATTTAGTTATTTTCGAATAATAGCGCATAAATAGCGCATTATTTCAGGATTATCGCGTTCGAGAGAAAGTGGCGGGACCATCTACGCACCGGTTATTCTAAGCGAATAAACGTGTTGTAACAGAACAATCTCATATCCAAGACTGCAAATTTTCTATAAACTTCTCGAAAACGCGCTATACACTGTGTTATTTATAAGATGCAACATAGGGATTCCTGTGCAAATGTGTCAAAAGCAAGCTAACTTTTTTACCAAATAACGTTCGTAAAAAATAATGACAGATT